TTGATAGTGCTCAGTTTACATGCCCATCCACGAGCACGAGAAACGTGGGTTGCTTTCGAGGCATGTGTCTTTCCATAGAAGATAATGTATCTGCATCGCTATCGATACCCCCTCATTCTTGTCTTAGGTTCGGGTCAGATCTGAATCCCGATCCCGTCGTTCGAGGAATTCATAGCTAGCTAGCTACATGGACCCTGGCATGTTTCTGGAGCTGGGCTGGAATCGGACAAGAACCTGATGCCGTAACGCAAATAGTTAATGTCACCACAACTACATTATTTTGCGCTGTCGACCTTTGGATTCCAGGTCTGAAAACTCTTAACTCTGTAGCTGTAGATGTAGCATTCCCCTTATTGATGCATTGAAGGATTCTCCCCCTTGCATGAAGCCTCTTCCACGTGAAGACTCCATGATGTTTGACCTTCAGGTGGCTGTACCTGCATGCCATCCTACCTACCAGCCACGCGTTTTCTAAAGCCGGCTAGCTCCACTACCCATGGGCGGAGTATGCCATGGATGTGCTGTTTTGACCCCATTATTGCTGCAAACAGATACAACATCTTCTTCACCTAATGCACGCTAAGCTAGGCGGAAATCCATCCAAACTGAAGGCGACTCCCAATTGGAGGGGGCGGGATCAATTGAATCTGCAGTAGTTTTGACGATGATGCTGCAATGACATTGTTGTGAAATCCCTTGGTTGTGATTGTCCGGAACTTCAGACCAACAGTCGGTTCCGGAAGTTATTGGTCGGAATGTGCCCGGTGGACGAAGGTCTATGGAATCAACGTAGAAACCCGCTTACTCTGCAGCCACACAGACTCATGTCAGACTGTGCAGAAGATGGTGTTACCGATTAGTATGATTTGGAAACATGGCCACTGGGATAATTCTTGATGCTTTGATTCTGCTGCTTCTCGAATCCTCTCCTGTCATAAAGACTTACTCCGGAGATTACTGATAGCACTTGTCCGCGGAACATATGGTGGTAGACAAAGGGGGCAATGATCTACATGACGGTGGTACAATCGGTTACCGGGGAAAGACTTCTCCCCAGATACCTAATACAGCTAAGATACGGTCCACCCCTAGCGTTATTTCTTCCCCCCTGTGTCTTACTATTTTATTATTATTATTTCTCTCTCTTCTCCCCTTTTTCCTTTCTCTTTGCCGACCAAAGAGAATGGGATAAATTGATATTAATTGTTTATTTACCTACCTGTCAGTATCTTACCTAGGTACTCCGTACTCCGTAAGCTACCGACTACGGACTGATCCGCCAAATGAAACAACCTAAGTGCACATTTTCTGCAATCTGACTTGGATGGCGGGAAAAAGACTGCCCCACAGGGCTGGACACTTGCAACGATGAGGCCTGGATGCCTGACATTTCTTGTACTTCTCATACATATGAAGGTACCTTGGTTAGCATGTGGAGTACTTACCCTCATCGTTCGAACTCTTTTCTAATAGGGAAATTCTTTTCCATTTCACATGGCATTAATCGCACATAAAGTATGGAGGGACTACTAGCATAACCTTGAACTGTCAATAGCTGTGTACTCTGTAGTAGTATTAGGCCGGTGATTTGCCGAAATTCCCGAGTTCCACGCATTCAGCCATTCCAGACGGTAGACAGCTTATCTCTGAGATTGGATAGTCATGTCGTTATGCTCTCTTTTTTTGGGTCTTTTTTTTTTTTTTATTTCGCGTGTTTCCCCCCTCTCAGATGCTTGCTGCTCCTCCCGATTGATTTTTCCTCCGAGGGCTCAGATACTTAGGATCATTAGCACTTTTGGAAAGTGTGTGGTTTCCTACTTGTCAAGAGCGGGTTAACTCTACAATGGTGTGGTTTCGTCTCGACCACTGCAATGCACGGTCTAAACCTATTTCGGTAAAAGTCCTCGATAGGCTGACTTCGATGTAAATCATGGGGAGCCTTGAGGGACATCCCTACCACCGCGTGTCCTCTCCCCTAACTTTAGCTGGCATGCTTCCGTGGTTGGTATGATGACCATCAGAGCCTACCTACATATACGAATTGATTGACATTTCTATATTTATATCATTCGTATGTTGGCATAGCGCATACATCATGATCAAACCCTTGCTCAGGCTTGTTTGTGATAGAAAACCATTGGAACAAGAGAAATGGTTCCAGGGTTTTCTTTTGAGTTGTTGGTGGAATGTACCCTGCTGGTCAGTATTAGGACTAGGAGTATAGAAAAAAAAAAAAAAAAAAAGCCAAGATCAAATCCTAACGAAAATCATAATAATCTCCAAATAAAGGAGCCGCCGACCAGATCGATCGAGCTGTGCTATGACACAGTCGGACTCGCCTACTCCGTAGATAATTTAGTTGTCGGCCGGACTCGGACATCGGGGCGAGCGAACGACCTACTGCTAGTAAATTGATGAACCTCAAATTTCCTACCTAGGCTAGCGGGGCACCGTTAGAGGTTTTGCTTGGTAACTAACAAAGAGGGAAATTGTGACAAATACCGCGAAATTTCATTTGTTAGTTCGGTTGATAGAATAACCCCTTGTCCGTCCACACAGACATCGTCTGATATGCAGCAAGTTATTATTAGTATTTTCGCATGGTTCAGATTTAGGTGCTGTTCTTGAAACAATCTGATTATTGTCGCAGATGCAGGCAGTGCATGTTTGCAGTTTGGATGCAGGTAGGCAAGGAAGTTGAAACCTTAGGTCTGAGCAGTTCGGCTCTGCTTCTATCCATCTCTGCCGTCTTGTAGTTGTCAGTCATTTTTACTATTTGACTAATCTGCCCTGGTAGATCTCCTTGTCAAATTCGAACGGGTCGACTGGGTGTCTCCACCACGTTCGACTTTAGCTCTGGGTTCTGCCCAGTGGGTCTCTCCACCAAGAGAAAAAAGACAATTTTTTTTTTAAAAAAAAAATAAACAATTATCAAAGGGATAAAATTTTCTTGTTTTCCTACTAGAGAGTCGGTGCGTGCCATACCGACCGTGGAGATCGTGATAGAGGAATAAATGTCCACCTCCGGAGTGGGCCATCGAGGCTCACGATGAGAGAGAGCCTGCAAGGGTTCTCCATATCCTGACCTTTACTCCATACAGTATATCGTGTGTACGTAGCAGTAGCATGGAGCAGGTTATGTTGGCCGACTTCGGTAAGTGACCTTTTTTTTTTTTTTTTTTTTTTTTTTTTTTCTTTTTCTCTCCTTCCTGCGTTTTTTAAACCCCCGTTTGGACCAATTACATGCGCTCTGGAGCCAACAATTCAGTTCTTACCTGCCATGTGCGCATTCCACTTTCCACCACGCTCTCGTTAGATACTGTTCTCTACGTCGACCACGATGTCCCACTGACTGACTGACTGACTGATTGATATTATTGTTATTATTATTATTTTGAGGTTTCTCTGTAGATCAAGATGCAAATACTCTCCATGAAAAGGAAGTAGCCTCGGGTTACCAGGAATAGCAAGCAGTACGGCGTCCACCTATTTGAAGCTGACAGGATCGACCTGGGATGAGTCTGGGCCATGTGGTCCTGGAGAAATTTAATTATTATTTCCACCTCCCTTTCTGCCCCCCTCCCCTAGCGCAAACTTCATTCGATTGATGGATCCATTTTTTTGTACCCTCTCGCGGATTTTCTTTAAATTATCATTGCAGGGTTTAATATTCCTGATCCTCGTGGCGCTCGATGAAGATCCAGAATCCGTGGCTTGCGAGAGGGAATCCAACCAACTGACAACCGTTGAAGTATATTTGAAATTGTGTCCCAGTGACAGTATTATTCGGTAGTAAAATCCGCATTAAATTCCAAATCCAGAAAATCGTCTAGGTTGAATATTCTGCCCTGCAGGCATTCTTCCCCCCATCTTTGCAGGTGCGGCTGAGGCGCGCCAGTCACGTCAATACGGGCCTCGTGCAGTTGGTTCTCCCGGTTTAGCTGATTACTATTGCTCTCTGTTGGTCTGTAAAAATAACCTGCATTACCTTACCTCCGCCGTCCCTCGAATCGTATCGTGCTAAGATATCGGGACCATAAATAACACTGTGAAAATAATATTTATCTGTAAAAGTTATAAAAACCATAAAAATAACTACAAAAACATGAAAACATTTTAATATAATATAAATTGTCTACGACTCCGTCACCTCGACTACTTTAGCTCTGCAACTACATAGCCCTCATACTAGTATGATCATCCTGCAGATTGATCACCAACTCTTCGCTTACTTCCCTATTGCTGCATTCGAATGAATGATAATCCTCCGCCATGCCTATTTCATGAAAGCTCGTTTATAATTATTTGAGATTGGATTGATTGATTTTTTTTTATTATTTATTTCTATTTTTTCTATTTTTTCTTTTCTATTTTTTCTATTGCATTTTTTTCGCTTTTTTATTTTTGATTCCCTTGTCCAGGGTCTGCAGTAGATCTCTTGCCCTGGTACCTCACATACCCACTCTGACAGTTCTATATCAATTCCTCATTCTCACCATTTTCCCTCTTCCAAGTCTCTACTGCCACCATTCCGTCTGTTTCAGATCGTAGATTTCTTTTTTCCTTCTTTCCTTTTTCCTCTGGACTCTTATCCACTTTTCCTTGCCGTATCTTACTCCGTCAACCTGACTTGCAGATGCGAGGCATTTTTTCTAATTTCTTCAGAACCGTCTGATCTCACCCCTCTATAGTCTCCATTTGCATTACTTTCACAGCCCACCTTACCCATCCATCCCCCCACATACATACCGCACTGGGCTCTGTTCCTGAAATCCTCCTGAATTGTCCGTTGACGGCCAAGTGATCTTCGTCCAACTCAAAAACTATATCTTCCCTCCCCCACCCGCAAATCCATCTCGGATCTGTTCTCAACTTCTCACATCATTCTTCAAGACCAACTACTTCTCTCTCGCTCTCTATAACCCTTCCTCTCTCTTCTTCTACTTGCCCTTCTGTGTCCGTCTTCCTCACGCTCCTTCCGCTCCACACAGTCCTTACCAATGGCCGCTAAGAAAGCCACTGGGACCATGCGTCGGTCCAGCCAATCTACGGAGATCCCTCTCCCAATTACCTATACTCCCACCACCCATCGCATCAGCAAGGCAAAGAAGGGGAAGCGTGTGCATGCTTGTGAATATCCTGGATGCAACAAGGTCCGTTCCTACCACTATAGCTTCCGCAGCCTCTGTCTAACAGCGCTTCAGGTCTTCACGCGAGCAGAGCACAGGAGGCGTCATGAGTTGAACCACAACCCCGAGGCATTGTTCCGTTGCACACATCACAATTGCAAGAAGGCCTTTCACCGTCCTGACCTACTAGCACGTCACATGGAAAGACAGTAAGTTCATTCCCCCAGGTGGTTTCGCATATTGGTCAGAAGCAAGCTCACAAGTGCCCCTGTGTAGCGAGCTCGAGGCACAGATGGACAACACACAATGGGAAAGGCACAGCCGTGGTCCCATGGTCTCTGAGCCTCATTATGTGACCAAGTGTGCGCCCATCGATCCCAACTCCGCAACTTACATCGCTGTAACTCAACAGCCCAACTCTATGTCTATTGGTTCCCTCGTGGGGCCAGCAATTCACCCCGACCTGGCAAACGATTGCGGTATGATGTGGCACGAAATGCCCATGCATTCTCAGCATCAAGCCCCCATGTACCCGAGTAACCACATCCACGAGTCTGTGGAAGACACTCGATTCTATGGCTCCCCCGAGTCTTGCTCATCTCCTTCTTCAGACGGGGCGACGTTATCGATTCCCTCTCACCCACGGTCCTCCCTGTCCTCGACTCCCGTTGCAGTGGTGGACCCTTATCCCGAAAACATCATTGAATCCGACTTGACTTCGTCTCCCATGTCTATGACCGCCAACGTACGATGCTGGGATCAGCAGGAACATAATCTCGCTTCCTCAAATATTGTACAACTCTCTCTCCACGACGGTCTCGTTCAACCCGTAAGCACTTGAAACCAACCCTACTAGCAGACACCTGAAACTAATGAGAATTTTAGCCCCTTCAGTGCCATTATCCATCGCCAGCTTGGTCTACACCACACCAGTTGGGATATGACGAACACCCTCTTCCGCCCGTCACTCATTACGTACCACCCGTGGCCTGGAAGTCATGGACGCTATGAGATCCCGATTTTCAGGATCACTGAAAAAGAAAAAAAAAGAGAGCGAGAGAAAACGAACCCCTGCGGGGCTTTTCACAAAACGACGTAATCTAATCTCATACGCCAAATATTACACCAGAACCGGCGGGTTTCTAATTAGGGCTTATGAGTCCTTGTTTCTATATACGAAGTTTAACGCAGTCAATTGTACAAGTGGGTGTTTAGAATGCAGTGATACTACATTAGCATCCAGGTTCTTGTGATATACGAGCGTTTCACCTCGACATACCTAATCATCTTGGGGGGTGAGGGGAAAGTCTCAAATGAGCCAGCACTCCGGTTTAGAGTCCGACTAAAAACACCGACTGTCAGGGTGAGGTCGTACAACCCAAGATGTTGGAAAGAAAAAGAACGTGAGATTCTAAAATTGGCATCGAAGCCTTGTCTCTTCTCGGAGATTCCAGAGGCCACCGGTTTTATTCGGTGTCACAAGATCACCGGCGTGCTTTTTCTCTTCATCTCTTCCGTTTGAATAATTACCGTGAGGATTCTTTTTTTTTTTTTTTTTTTTTTTTTTTTTTTTTTTTTTTTGCTTTTTCTTATAGAAAAAGGACTGCAACGGTTGTATGTTCGATGGCGGCTTTGGGTACCTCTTCTCCTCTCTTCCTGTCCTTCTATTTGCATTGGGTTTGGCTAGCGCTTTCTTTGTGCTCCTCCAGTTTTATTCTTTTGTTTCCTTTGTTCTTGATGCTAAATGTGCCCCTTTGTGTTTACGAATCTATACCCCCTTTATCGCCCGAGACCAGATTTTGTATAATTATGTATGTCCAATGCTTTTTTTCTTATTTCTTATATTCTGTCAACCAGTTTTTGTTTGTCTCGCAACTCTCTTGTGATGCTTATAGAGATGGCTTCTATCTTTTTGGAATGTACTCATGGATCTTAAGATGCATATTAAAATTCCTTCTTTCTATTTTTATCTTATGATATTGGAAGTCCTTAGTTGAAAGATATTCAGTCACATTTTGTTGTTCCATAAGTAATTCTCTATAAAGTATGTATGTAGATGAGGTGAGATTCTATGTATATGTACTGGATTTCTAGATATACAGCCCGGAATTCGTCAGTCTTTTAACCCACAAAGAAGTTCTCGCGGTCTCCTGATAATATACCTATACCATCACCAATTGCTAACCATCTTCATGACATGAGCAACTTGAAACTCATTTGTTGCTGGTGTTTCGTAGTATTCGTTGCGTTAGACAATGTCAGAGACTACAAGAACTAGAAGCGCAATACAATTATCCCACATAAGGCTTCAATTCGTGAAAAGGATAAGACGGCAAATCTCGTTACTATCGAAGATAATAGCTGCGCCCACTCCTTCAACCACCAACGGGAATAACTTAGATACCTAGATTCCACGTTATCATGAATCTACAAGCGACGACGTGTCCCCATTTGGGTCAATATCGCTTCCTTGGTATCTGGTAAAGAATGTCGAGGTTCGTCCATGCAATGGGTCACAAAAGACAATAGCATAACCTGAAGTGAAGCAATTTAATTAGCAAAGAGTCATAGGGCGTACAGGGAAAGAAAATTGCAGAGGAAAGTCATAGATGGCCGAATGGCTAAGCTTACAGGAATAATGAGATGCTCCTTTAGTTTATGATCCATGAGGCGCGTGGAGAATGTAGCGATAATGGTAAGAAATTCTGTCCGAAGCAGATGGCTCGTATCACCGTCACTGGCATTATAGAGGCAGATCTTGATGTGTACACAACCACGTTTTAAACAACGGTGTTCGGGCTCCCACTCCGGGGAATGGTCGCTGTGCAGATAAGGAGACAATTCATCTCCAAAAACAAACCTGTATGATGATTGTTTAGCTCAGCTATACGCCATACTACGCAAAGCAGTAAGAGCAGTGTCTTGGTCCCTGATTTACACGGAGATTCTCCAGCTTGTCACCGCGCTCAGTGGCCTGGAGTTTCCCTTTGTACCCATCCTGGGAACTGCATCTGCCTCCCACGCAAGCCGACAACACAAATGTTCTAGCTTCATATCCATGCTAAAGATTCCCATCCTGGCCGGCTCCGGACTTTCCTCGTCGGCTGCCTCTGCAATCTGCGAGTATTTTTTGCAACCTCCGGGGACTCAAAATTCGGGCTGTGTGTGAATAAGACGCATTCCTTCGACAGGTGAATGAAAAAGTTCCTGTCAGCATCCACTCGATTGCTGTCATTCTCCTCGATATTGTGGTCGTTCTACGTAGGAGTCTTGATGATGACGATCTCGATTGGGAGACATTCAAAATGTTCAGATTCCATATAAACCACTGGATACTCCGTTAATTCCTTGAACGTATCACCTAGTGCATCCAAGGCTTTCTTTTCGTCTCTAGTTTTTCTCTCTGGTTCTCTTGACTTCCTGGTAGTCTGAAGCGAGCGGAAGCATCGGACAGGAATGACAGAGTATTGCTCCCAAAAGTCCCTGTTGGACACATCTTGATGCCCGAGTAGGCTGACATGACAATATAAGCGAGGGAGGTAAAGGGTTATTGGAAGAAGGGTGAGAGAAAAGGTGGGAAGATATCCTGATAACACAGCTTTGGAGATGACGGGTACATAAGGGAATCCGCAACTTAGTTCCGCGAATGAGCAAATTCTTACATTTTTTTCTCGGTCGTAAATCACGGAAGCCTTTTCTATTTCATAACAGCCAGCATTAATATAATACACTTCAGTACAAGCCTCGCCTCGCTCGGGCTGCTTGAAGTGTCTGATGGAAACGATCACGCTATATTAAAATCATTAGGATTATTATTATATTTATTGCAGATATTAAAGTAAAGACTTGATAAATTGTTTTATAAATCCCCTCGGCCCTTGCCTAGGTCCTCAGTGAATCACTCAGGTAACAATATGCCACTGCTCCTGCGGACCAATTGTACATCACCACGCGAATTTTATATGCTAAGATATTGATATCTGTCTAACGCATTAATCTAGTTCACTTTCAAGATAGACCCTTCCATTATCCTAATTACTAGGTTAAATTTTACTCGAACAGAAACCATTAACTGACTCTTCCGCACATGGCCTCGGGTTTGCATAGGTGCAGCCCATCAGCTTAAGGAACACCCTAATAAACAGACAAGACAAATACAGCTTCCACAGTGATTCCATGACTCTAAAAATTAGCTAGATAGCTTCGCTTATTTTGTATTCCATGTATTCTACTCCACAAAGAAATCTAATCTTGTGATGTTTTCATTGTGGCTTTTCTAATCTTGTGGTTGACCTGAAAACTAGATGATAGCGGGCGTCAGGTGGTCAGGTATATTATAGGGTCATTAAAATTCCAATGCACAGACAATGGCTTGTTTACTATGTATGGCCTGCAAATGTGTACACTTGCTTCAGACAATTTGTCACTCAAAAATCGTTTAATTCCCATCAGTTTTCTGCTAGCATCCAGAAGGGTACAGTAGCAGTGGCTCTAGAAAATTAACTCCGTATAGGAACATATGTACAACCGAACAAAACAAAATCTGTTCGACTTTTCTGTCTCTTTAGTCTAACTGTTTAATTAGAAGGGGATAGATAATCTCCTACTTATTTCCTATTATATCCAACAACCAATAAGCGCCCAGTTTCACGTCTATTAGTTCTTTTTCTTCCCCTTGGGCACCCGACAAAGCCAATACAGAAACACCGCGGCGCTGATATTGAAGACAACGTACACCCACACCAATCCGAAGTCTCTCCACCGCGTCGAAAAGTCAATACTGACTGTCTTCAAGAAGTCGTTGGTATTGGTTACACTGCAGAATTGGCAGTTCTCGGCGCCCCGAGCATCCGGGTTCATGAGTTCGCCCCCATAAGAGGCCATGTATGCCTCGAGGTATTCGAAGCAGGTCTGGTTTGGCGGAGCCGAGAAGGAAAGGAGTTCGTTCGTGGCACAGTGCATTGGGGCGTTACCCAGACTGGCGGACAACAGGCCTGAAGTGACGTAGGTAAAGGGGTTCACGCGGTACATAAAGATCCAGAAGCGGGGGAGAGCGTTAGGACCAGCGAGAATACCGCAGAAGGCATACAGCATGATGCTGAGGATGTTGGCGAGGGCGGACGCCAGCTCGTCACTCTCGACTCCAGCAATGAGCATGTGCGCCATGGAACTCGCGAAGAGGAACAGAACCCAGATGATTAGGAATACTAGCATGCTGCGCGAGTGTACGGTTCCTGTGTATTCGGCGTTGCGGTAGAGACCGATGGGGTAAAACCATACTAGGAAGCACAGGACGGCTAGGATCTAGTTTGTGAGATTGTCCGTTAGTTTGTCGTTCGAGAGAGAGAGCGACTTGCACCTAGGGTGAAATGGTCTTACCGAGTTCCATGCGATTTCAACGGCAATGTTCGATAAGGCAAATGCCTGCCATGCATAGGTCTTGGACTGGCGCTCGCGTGCTTCATACAGCGTGCGTTGGGTGACGAATACCGGGATGATCTGGAACATCATTTGGATCACAATAAAGAAGAAAATCAGAATACCAAACATTTGGTTCTGTAGGCCTTGGATGGTGTTGTCACTCTTAAAAAAGGAGAATCCGATGAATAGAGACTGGCGCGTAACAGTTAGTCCTGTGCCAATCTAGAGGAATTTTTCAAACCTACACAAACCACAGTAAGCAGAGCTTTGGAGTAGATATAGGACGGAGTCCGCCAATATTGTTGGAAAACGCGCAGCCCAACTTGGTACAATTGCGTTGTAAGGGGTGCAGCAAATTCCTGATAGCTGGATTTGTCGTTTGGGTCAGACACTGCTGAAGGGGAATTGACAAGTTCTTTTAAACTGGCAAGCTCTGTACGGACTTCCTGATATTCCTTGCTATTGCGCCAAACTGAAGGCCAATCGATTTCCGTATGGGAGCCTGGTGCAGCACCTATCACTTCCAGCATATATTCAGCCGGGTTCGCACCTGGCGGGCAAGCTGGGCCGCCGTTGCGGACAAAATAATCTACTAACGTTTGGGAGTTTCTCCCAATTTCGCCGAAGTAAACCGTTTTGCCTCCTGTGGCCAGAAGAAGTAGTCTATCGAAGCGCTGGAAGAGCATTGCAGAGGGTTGATGGATGGTACACAGAATGGCTTGGCCGTTGCGAGTTAGCTTCTCCATGAGGTTACAGATTGACCATGACGTTTGACTGTCCAGACCGGAGGTTGGTTCATCAAGAAAGAAAAGCAGTTTCGGGCGAGCAGCGAGCTCCACACCAATTGTCAAGCGCTTGCGCTGTTCCACGTTGAGACCTTCTCCAGGAACTCCAACTATAGCGTCTGCATATTCGTCCATATTAAGGAGACTAATAACCTTATTTACGTAGTCCAGTTTTTCTTGGCGAGTGAAATGACTTGGCTGTCGGAGAAGAGCACTAAATTCAAGGGCCTCACGGACGGTGGATGTATGGAGATGCAAGTCCTGTTGCTGTACGTATCCCGTTTTGCGCTGGAATGATTCATCACGTTGTCGACCGTCGACGAGCATGTCACCGGAGATAACCCCAACTGTAGTGCGGCTGGCGAGTACGTCAAGGAGAGTGGTTTTGCCCGCTCCAGAAACACCCTGGAATTGCTGGAATTAGTATTGTCCATAACCTCGGAAGGGAGAGCAGTGAGACCAGAAAATCATACCATTAGTGCAGTTAATGTGCCCGGCTTAATCCACCCATCAACATTGTCCAGGATCCGTCGAGGTTCGTTCTTGATCTTGATGTCATAACATACGTTTTCCCAATGGAAAATGGAGACTTGCTGGTCGACATCGGCATCCGAGTCCACGCTATTGTCATGTTTCTCATGCTGAACACTGGGGGAGCCTGACTGTTCCTCGTCAAGCTGCGATCGTTTCGCCTTGGATTTGTGTGCCTTGCCACGCCGAAATACAAGGACTTCTCCTTTAGAACGCTCAGAGGCTACCAACTCTGACATCACTAGATGGCAAAAACCAAGAAAGACGGTGAAAGCAATAATAATACCAAAATTACGCCAACGGTGGCTGTTAAAATAGTGGTAGGAACTCTGGACAAATGCTGTGCCGCTGACAGTATTCAAACCGGGAAGAGAGCCTGCTGTAGAACAGACACGTTGATCTGGAGAAACGTTCTCATACCCAGGCCCAGATGGAACGAACGAGGCACACGGGAATTCACGTCCGTGGAATTCGTTAACCATTACAGATTCAAACCCATAGGATATGGGGTTTATGTAACGAATCCACTGAGCCCAACCACGCATGTATGCCACGGGTAGTGCAAAGCCGGTATATAAGACTAGACCCATCATAATAATACCCGAAGGAGCTAGAGCCTGAGCAATGGTCTTGGTCACTGAGGCAAAGAGACGGAAAAACATAGACATTGACATCATTATAAAGAACGAGAGTAGTAGGTAGAAGAAGAACGGCCCAGGTTCTCGACGAAGGTGGCCCATGAAGTATAGGGTCGTGTTCACCAACAGCGTGTTGGTGATCTTGTATGGCATGTCAACAATGATCGAAGCGATTGCCTCGGCGCTCGGATGATATAGTGCATACCGATTGTGCTTTTCCACAATCTGTCGTTTCGCATAAAGTGACAGGATTTCAAGTAAGCTTGCAAAAGCATTCATCACAACCATCAAGAATAGCAGGGCACCCCGTGAAAAAAAGGAGGTTGTGTCGTTCGCAAGATTATAGAAGACACTGGAAATAATCAATGCTTCAAAGAAATTTCCAATTAGCATGGCAAGCGTGACACTGGGGTCATTTTTTAGCTGTCGTACCCCACGCCACAAGCACAATTTAATTTGACTCCAGTAGGAAAGGGTATACGGTGACTTTTGGCGTTGATTGGAGGATTTTTCAATTGCTCTTAATTGAGCAAATTGCTCGAGGTCAGATCCTCCAAACGGGTGATCCCCAGCATACTCTTCGATCTGGAGCAAAAGCTCCTGACGCTCGGGACTATCTTTCCATCTCTGAGCAAATTCATCAGCTGTTCGTGGCACCAGGTGTTCATATCCTGGTTTGATCACTCGCTCCACAGGGTTCGTCATTGAGGTGAGGAAGTCAGCCGTGGTTTGTGAATCAGGGCACTGGAAGCCAAGTCGTTCGAAGTATGCTTTGGCTTCATCAGCCTTGCCGAAATATATCTGTCGCCCTTCGTACAAGACTGTTACTTTGTGGAATAACTACCCAGTGGTTAGGATGGACTTGGATATCATATATTTGTCTCTTCACATACTTCATAGGCTGCCTGAGGAGCCTGGTAGATGGCAATGCACGAAGTCGTCCCAAAAACATCACTCTGCGTGCGCAGGGTCTTGCAAAACTCGACAGCGTTGGCACTATCCAAGCCTCGCGTACTGTTATCCCAGCATTGCAATGGGGCATAGCTTAGTGAGGCTTCAGCGATCGTCACGCGCTTTCTCTCTCCTCCACTGACTCCTCGGACAAAATCATTGCCTACCCGAGTGTTGATAGTGTGACTTATACCAAACATGGCCATAATAACATCACGCAGATGGATAGCGTATTCCTCACGGCTGACGCCTGCAGGGATCTGGTAGGGAGTGCGGGCAAGTGCAGCGAAGTAAAGCGTATCACCCACGGAAAGCATGGGAAAATGCGTGTCGACTTCTGCGGTATAGATGGCCTCCCCTCGAAACGAAGTAGACATCTGTTGTGGAGTAATACCATGGTAGTTGATATACGAAGACGGGTGAACTTGGAAGCCATGTGTGTCGCCAGCGATTGTCTTCAGTAGCGTCGAACAGCCTGATCCAGGAGGGCCCAAAGCGCATAGCTGCTCCCCAGGGAGGACCAGTCCATCGAGATCTCGAAGAATATCGACCTTATGTTTCTGCTTTCCACTGAAAAAGCGAAGGGCCATGGACGGTAGCTTAAGAAAGGCATTGCCAACGCTCATTTGATAATCGGTAGCAGTACCATAGCCATACACGTTCAGGTTCTTAAAAGCGACCCCCACCACCCTTGGCTGCGAATTGCCCTCTGCCTTATAGCGCACATTATAAAATGCCTTCGCCCAGGATCTAGCGTTGAACTCTAGATTTTTGGGGTCCAGCTGTTTTCCAGGATTCGCACCGAACAGGGGTTGTTGGTGTTGAGACTTGGTTGACCTGTTTGTGAACTCACGAGCTAGCTTGAGCACTTCCTGTTCTTTGCGAGATTCACTATCCTCAGATATATCTGGGTCCAGCTTCAGCTCATGCCCTCCTTCGGTATGGTGGGCTTGAGTGGTGGAGGCCATTGTTTCATCCGACAAGCTGTTATTGGATGGGGCTATGGAAGCCGTGGGATGGACTGGTGGGACCAGTATTATTTCCTGAGAGTGATATCGTAGGCAAAAGGATAGGCTGAGGTTAATCGACCGAAAAGAATGTGAACGGCAAAGGATCAATCCTCCAGATCATATATGTACTATACGTCTTTCGGAGCCGGCGATTGGCGTTCCCGGGAATACGAGAGAAACCAAAAATAATAACAATAAGGGGACCCATCTGGGCTAGTGGGATGCAGACAGCCAAGAAGCCAGAAATTGGACCGGAAGAAACAAATGAAGGAGAGACAAATAAGTGGGTGAAGAAGAAGACCAGGAGGGTGGAGGGGATTTGATACCAGTGATCACCCGATGCCGAATTGGGAGCCCGAAGAGCAGGGGCCAGAGAATGGCGAAAAAAATAACAATACGAGGGTGACAATTCTGCTGTCGGAATTCCATTACTCATGCCAAGTCAACGGCTCTCTTGCACATCCGATTCCGACTTCTTGGGCAATCGTCTTGGTGATGAGTCTATTTCCGTCATATTAGGAGTCCATGATACATGACTTTACATACATACAATAATAATAATAATAATACATCGACGTGCTCCAGCTTCGTCACGCTAGCTCGTCGCCGAGCAGCTAATTCAGCAACTTGAGTACCAGCTCATATGTTCCCAGCGTGATCGCAGCCGAAGGGACAGTGCGGATCAGATGGGCGGTTAATCCTCCGTACAAGGCGGCGACGCCCTCTTCTTTGACCATCAGCCGGAGGCACTGCATAACTCCCGTATATTTCGGGTGGCCATCCGCCATCGGGGCTTGTCGTAGCCGAGTCCGAAGCACCTATAGAGCAACCGTCTGTTAGTTGTTGGAACTGGTCCGAACCTAGTAAGAGACTCACCTCGTGTGGGTAAGCAATTAACACGGCAATCAGCTTGGAAAGGCCCGCAGCACCACTAAGAACAAGCCCTTGGACTAGTTCGCTGTTCTTAGCCTTGTCCTTTAACTTGGTCTGGTTCGCGAGCATGACCTTGATCCGCTCGTATGACGCAAGATGCAAAGTCGTCTCGATCACGCCGAGATAGCTAGCCGCAAGACCCCGATATAGTCCCCTCACACCTTCTTGCCGGATGACCTGTTTTACACAATCATAGCTGTTCTTGTATCGCGGTTGCTCGCCGCTATGCAAATGTGATTTATCAAGCTGAAGTCGTGTTTTGACCAGCCATATTGGATTTGTTGCTGTCCCCGTCACGATACCCGCTGTAGCCGCCGAAAGAGCATGTACTGACGTGGAGTCGGCGTCATAGCCAAGGAGGCCCGGATAGAGTCGCTTGCAGTTCCCATACGCGTAGAACTTTACGGCAGTGGCGGGTACAACGCCCGTAAGGCTTGGCCCAAGACCCCGAAATAAGCTGCGCCAGCCTTCGACCCGGTGTATGGAGAAGAGAATGTCGAATGTTTCGCGGAAATGGAGAAGGAAGGATCGTGGGAGAGATACTCGAGTGTGGGGGGAAGGAGTTGAGGCAGCAGACTTGAGTTGCGAGCGATAGAAGTCGGACTGTAATCGGGTTCTGAGCACGTCTAAGGGCGACGTAAGGAGCGCCGTGACCATTCCACCAGAGCTGTCAGGACTTGGATTAGCATTACCCGGGCGATATCTGGGAACCATCAAAATACTCACGCGCCAGCTATGAAATGTGCAGAAGGACTAGATGCCTTAAGGACATGCGATGTAATTTTGTTATCCGATGCAGCCGTTTCTGCGAAGGTCTTTCGAGTCGAACCATTATCGATATCTTTTCGGAGTGCCTGCATCTCCGGGCGTGACGAGATGAGACGAGACGGGATGGGGGGATAGAGGGAAAAGTGATTAGATTAGGACCCGTTGCGAAGAATCAAGACAATCACAGTACGCTAATCCCTTGTTATCATAGCACACGTAACGCAAAGAGAGGATCTTAAAACTTTGTTGGACAGAGTCGGGGAAGTTTAGGATTTGATTTCTTGCGCCAAGAAAACGCCGCCAGGGACGCTGCCTCCAGCGTTCTGGATTTTTTTTTTTTTGGCCAAGCCTATACCGGAGAGAGGATCTTCCGCCCCGACCATCGGCTCCACTGGCAACGATCTAATTATCTAGTTACTAGAACTGTCAGCTATCCTCACTCCATCACGATGCTGGCCCCGTCCAGATTTCTGTTTTGGAGGGAATGACTCTCCAGCACCATCCACACCAACTTCGGTCCTGCCCCTCTTCTTCTCGCATCAGGTACTGCCCTGTTTCTCGTTCGTCCTCGTGTTCAACCACGCAGGCGCCGACGGTGACTCTTTTCTTAGCCTTTTGTTTCACGACGCCACCTATTCCAATAATTTCCTGTCTGAAGTATCCGGGTTCCTCCTCGTCGCGATTTTCTCCTCGGTCACTCGAATGGTTATGGGACCTACGAGGTCCGTATCCAATGTCATAAAAGTGGTCGAAGAAGCTCCCCGCGGATTCGTCCGCTTCACATTCCACTTCCATTTCGATTTCTTGGGCGGCCAGACATTCCTCTCCGCGACCGCATTTGACCCCCTGGCATCCTTCACCAATCCCAGTCCCTAGACCACCAAGATAAGTACTGTAGCGGGTACGCCAAGTCCATACTCGGCGGTAGGTAGTGTCATTGCTGCGTAATCGCTGCCCACATTGATGGCAGAGCCAAAATGCTTCGACGCATGAACATGGAGTACGTAAAAATACGGGTGCCGTAAAGCTAGATGGATCGAGTGATAACGGTGTTTGAGGGTCGTGATGGAGCGAGTCGATCGGAGATGGGACTAGAAAATCGGCCAATGGTGCCGTACGGCAGGTGGTGCAAAGACGACGGATACGATTTTTAAGCATGCTACTTGTCGCAGGCTTGGCCGTGCAGTTCTGGACAGGTACCATTAGTATGTAGTGCTATAGTGGCACGGGAACGGGTGGGCGGTACCCGACACACGACCTTCGAGCATCTTCGGCACTCCGCTACCATATCCCGGGCACATTTTGATATTTTGCCACTAGTGAGGCGCCCGGAATGCATGGCCCCCTGGCTCAGGAGTCGGAGCACGGACTTGACGCTGTCAGGTATAGCAGTTCCACTCTTCAACAAGTCCACTAATGTTTCGACGTATTCATTCTCACAACGGAGGGTCTGTTTCATCAGTTGCTGGCGATACGGCGACAAGTTGGCATGGAATTGGCGGCATGTTTGGGTCAAGGAGACTAGGGTGTTTAAATCCACTAGCTGGGCAATTTCTTTGACAATTCTGATCGCTTGGTTAGCGCGACGGGGTTGAAGCAATCATCTCTAGTTTAAGGGTTTACAAACGGGTAGCAGCTCAAAGCAGCGGAAAATGTGTTGTGATTTGGAGCATCCCTTTCCGATGTTGACGGACGAGCATCGTATGCTGATTCGGTGGAAGCGCCGTCGTCGGTCTCCATATCCGCAGAGCAAGACGACGAGTCAGAATTGCGACGCCCCGGCTTTGATAAGGCAGTGGAAGGCTTCCCAGACTCTCCATACGGATGGACTAAGGGATTCGGGTACTTTGAATAGTGACACTTGTTAATTGTGTCGTGATCAAGGTCAACAAACACCACCATTTTGCTGGACTGTGAAGGGGAAAGACGAGGTTCAATAGGTGTCTCAATATCCAGGCAACCAGCAAAAACAGGAGGTTTGCATCGGATGGTAAATTGCAGAATTCCAATATGCAGAGTGAAATCAGCAGGGTATTTCCATATTTTTTTATTTTATTTTATTTTTCTCCCAAAATGATAATTATGATACTGTACTGCACAGAGTATGTCTACGATCGCTGTGAGATAACGTGTTGAGAAAGCTCCACTCTCCGTGGTAGGTGCGGGGGACACGATGGACAATGTCGGCTATCAAGAAGCCGATGGCGATTCTTCTGGGTCGGGTCTGTAAGGAGGTCGTGTCCAATGGGTTCCGGGTGGGAATGGATGGGGAATAGGAGAAGCAGAAGCTGAACGAGCAGTAGTTCTTGAACCTCCGTTACTCTGCTTCTTCTGCTTCTTCTTTGTCTATCTTATCATGATAGATCGATTGGATCGATCCAATTAATATAATTAATCACTTATCAGATCACCTGATCCTGGAGTTATGGGATGACGCCATTATTAAAACGGAATAGCGCCCGCTCTATCCTGATCGAGAAAGTCACTTGATCGGAGATGGCGCTTTTCTCCGGATTTTGTAATCCACCATCTCCAACTTCAGCTTCCCAGTCTGCGTTGAGGACGTGTGCCATGGATGTAGATCATTGTCCTAACCCGGGGTCCTGTGCACCGGGCGCTCCATTCCGTCTATTTCTTCGCAGTCAAATGAAATACACAAAGGTGGATGGATATTACGGTACTAACTACTCTCAGTAGTTAGCTAATAATCTTGGCTTCTCCAATCTGATTGCCCCGAGTGGTAGCGGGGCAAGGGGTTTGGAACAATCTTCTAACTATGAATCACCCGAATTCCGGATTTCTCTATTTAACCCAGCTTGCTCCGTTCCCCAGATTCAACAGCAATTGGATCTTACCACAACCTACCCTTCCGCAAAGGGATCAAGCCAAAATGCCTCTTAATTCGAAGGCTGTCTACTCTCGACTCAATCCCGACTTTGCTCCATTTGCGAGTCGGAGGAGCACCGTACATAGTACGAATGGAATCGTCTCTTGTACCCAGCCTCTGGCTGCCGCTGCAGGACAGAGGATCCTCATGGAAGGAGGAAATGCTGCTGTACGTTCCTAAATAGACTTTTCTTTAACGCTACCTAAACTGATTGACCCTTGAAGGATGCAGCTGTTGCGGTGGGTACGTAGTGAATACTTGTCTCGAATAAACATAGGATTTCAAGCGACTAACCTACACATGACAATAGCCGCCGCTCTGAATATGACTGAGCCTAGCTCAACGGGAATTGGAGGAGACATGTTCTGCCTCTTCTATGACGCCAAGACGAAGAAGGTTCACTCTCTAAACGGGTCCGGTAGATATGCCGCCAATGCTACTCTCGAAAAGGTTAGAAAGGATCTGAACCTCAGTCCTGGCGAAGCGGGCGAGATTCCCATGACAAGCCCACTTGCAACAACCACCCCGGGTGCGGCTGCGGGGTGGGTTGATACGATCGAGCGATTTGGCAGCGGTAAACTGTCTCTCGAGCAAATTCTGCTTCCAGCTATTGAGCTCGGCGAAGAAGGGTTCCCGGTCTCAGAACTGTCGTCCCATTTTGTATGTCATTATAATCACTCTTTGATTTGGTGCTCTGTGAGAGTATCCTAGCCGGGAGCAAACAGCACAGTACTCTTGTTCATTAATCCAAACTGACCGGCATCCTATTCTAGTGGCACGAGGGGGAGGATCTGCTTCGCAAGGCGTCTCCAAATGCCCATGAGATGCTTAAGCCCGACCCAACAGCCGCGAATGGGTTCAGAAGCCCCCTTCCCGGAGAAATCATGAAGAACCCCCCGTTAGCTCGGACTTTCCGGACGCTCGCGGCGGAAGGTAAAAAAGGATTTTATGAAGGACGAGTGGCAGAGGAATTGGTTAAGGTTGTTCAAGGTCTAGGGGGCTACTTGACCCTGGATGATCTCAAGTATCACGCTGAAACGGGAAGCCAAAATACGGAGGCCATTTCCCTGAAGTTCACTGGGCAAGACATAATGGGCAAACAAGCCCATGGTACGGAGGGTAGAGCCAACCAGGGGGTTGAGATCTGGGAGCATCCGCCAAATGGACAGGGAATTGTCGCGCTCATGGCGTTGGGCATACTTGAAGAACTTGAGCGCACGGGAAAGATCCCGAAATTCACGGAAGCCCAGCACAACTCAGCTGAGTACCTTCATGCGGTGATTGAAAGTCTTCGCATTGCGTTTGCGGATGCTTCCTGGTGGGTCGCGGATCCCGACGAGGAAAAGGTCCCAACCAAAGAGCTCATCTCACAGACGTATCTGGTTGAGCGCGCAAAGTTGTTCAACGCCGACAAGGCTTCTGACATCATTGATCACGGTAGTCCGGCCCACAACCACTGTGATACAGTTTACTTCGCGGTAACTGACAAGGAGGGGAATGGCATATCATTTATCAACAGCAACTATGCCGGATTTGGCACAGGAATTATCCCCAAGGGCTGCGGGTTTACCTTGCAGAACCGCGGTGCCAATTTCGCTCTAATTCCAGGCCATTCCAATGCTTTGGCTCCACGGAAACGACCATATCACACAATCATCCCTGCAATGGTCACCAACGTCTCCGATGGCTCTCTGCACTCGGTCTATGGTGTTATGGGCGGTTTCATGCAGCCCCAAGGTCATGTTCAGGTTTTGCTCAACATGCTCGCCTTTAACTACCACCCACAGGCTGCGCTGGATTCCCCTCGGATCTGCGTCTCAGCCGTGCAGGCCGGATTATCCCCAGATCGCACCGTGTATGTGGAAGAAGGTATCAGTGAGCAGGCTATTACAGGTCTCAGGCAACTCGGCCATAAGATAGAGGTCCTAACGGGATGGAAGAGGGGCATGTTTGGCCGCGGACAGATTATCCGCTGTCACTACGATGATGGGAAATTGATCTATAGCGCAGGGAGCGACCCAAGGGGCGATGGGATGGCCGTTCCTGTTCTATGATTCTGCTAGGATGGTATAGGGCTCATAATCCGGACTAACCTGATCTTTGGAGATTCTTTGAACCTTGACTTTGAAAAGAATAATTGATTTCCTTGACAACATTTGATGGTCGTAGGATGAATGGATATACTTGACTCTGCTCAACATCCCAACCATTAGTGATGTTACAGGAAAATGGACGCAGGCTATGATAGAGATATAACGAAACGACATGATTTCAAACATGACAGGTGCAAAGCTAAATGGCAGCATCAATAATATGGAACAAATAGAACACAAGCGCAGAGGGAAAGAATCATTAGTAAACACCACCTTGCCATGCTCGCTGCCTACTATGCTAATGCTATATAACCCGCTTAGATGCATGGATCGACTTTGGAATAATCAACATTAAAAAACACAGGGAAAGAAAACAACGAAAAAATAAATAAAATCTATAATGTAATGCAGATACTGGCAAAGCAAGCAACCACAAACTGAAACTAGATCAATGGGCAGCAATAGCGGACTTGAACATGTCTTTTAATTTCGAACCTCCACGCGACGGAGATGGATCTCGGCGATGTCGGTGGGTACGACGACGTTCTTCTCCACTGCGATGATGACGGCGACTGTCGGATTCCTCTTTTACTTTGCCTTTATCTTCTTGTTCTCGCTCTTGTTCTTGCTCTTCCACTTTTCGTCGGGCTCGTCGGGGCTCACGTCGAGCTTGCTCGTCCTCTTCGCCACGATGGGAACCGCTGGACCGTTCGCTGGAGCCATGTTTCTCGGACGAATGCCGATGGCTGTGAGAGTGGCTAGTCGAAGATCGTCGATGAGAGTCGACGATGTTCGCGGAGGCTTTGGCGCCGTTGATCCTGAGTAAGGGCCCATTTTCGGATTTGCCCGTGGTCATGTACTTAAGGAAAGCCCTTGGTTTTTGTGCCGCTGGCTGGGCATGTCTCGAGGAAGATCCTGACTTTCTTTCACGGTCACGGTCGCGGTCTCCTCTTCGTTCGCGGCTGCCTGAGTTCTCTGAAGTGCGGTGATGGGACCGAGGTTGGTCTCGTTCAGGCTCCCTTTCTAGCACAGCTCGCTGCTCCGTTCGCTCTACTCGTTCCCCTCGTCGGGTTTCTCTCTCGCGCCCCTTGTCCGTAGTGTAGGCTTTCTCCTTCTGCTTGACCTTTTCCTCGTGCTGTCTTTTGGCTTCGTCCAGTGTTCTGGCCCAACGATTCGTAAATAGGCCCCGGTCGCTCTTTTGTCGCTGCATGTGCGCCGATCGGTGCTCTTCGGATGAGCTCTTGGACGGGCGTCTCTCGCGTTCCAAATTGGGGGAGCGCTTCTTTCTCCTTTTCGAGCCATGTTTTCCTAACACGGCCGGTGCTACCAGAGCCGTGCCTGCGAGAACCGCGGCTTCCAAAGGGATATCCTTGGAGGACTCGACAGCTTCGGAGTCTTCGGGAAGTTCTCTTGCACCTGTTTGTTCTGGTGTTTCTTCAGGGATCTCTTCAGGGGCAGGCTCTTCAGTATGGGGCGCTTCAGCGACGGGCCCATCGTCAGCTGATACGGGTTCTTCGACAGGTGGATCATCGGGAGAACGCGCCTCAATCGTAGGCTCAGCAGGAAGCTCTCGATCGGTAGGTTCATCAATCGGAGTGGCATCATCGACTATTGCAGGGTCCTGTGTAGGAGCAGGCGCTTCGACAGCAGTAGGTTCTTCTGCAGCAGGCTCTTCAACAGGAGCAGGATCAGCAGGCATTTCAGTAACGGGTTCTTCCGTGGCAGGAGGTTCGACTGGAGCAGATTCTTCAGCAGGTGCAGTCTCTTCAGTAGCGGGTTCTTCAGCAGTAGACTTATTGACAGTGGGCTCATCAGCTGGAGCAGGCTCATCTGCAGGAGGTTCACTATCAGGCACCGATTGCTCCACAGCCGGCTCCTCAGTGATGGTCTCTTCCGCAGCTGGCGTAGGCTCTTCAGGGGCAGTTTTAGCGGGAGTTTCCTTGGAGGCTTCCTGCTCTTCAACGGGAGCTTCTGGAGCGTCCACCGTTTCAGCAGCAGGTTCTTCAGGAGGCTCTTCAGCAGGCGCAAATTCTTCATGAAAAACGGCCTCTTCTGGTTCCTCCATTGGAACTTTCTCGGTTTGTACTTCTGCAGGAGCCGACTCCTCGGCTGCGTCCGCAGGCTCTTCAGGAGCAGGAGCCTCGTCTAATTCTGCTTCTTTGTCCTGAAATGCGTCTTCTGCTATGACTTCCTGAGCAGCCGACTCTGGAGATGACTCTTCCTCAGCTGGAGCTTCTTCAGCGAGTGTTTCTTCAGTCTGCGGTTCCCCTGTAGCAGACTCCTCAGTATGAGGAGTTCCAGCGGGTGCTTCAGTCGGAGCTTCTTCCACGGCCGATGGGATTTCCGCGGGCGAGTCTTCAGAAGACTTTTCTTCCGTTGGTCTATCTTCCGGTGTCGCTTCTGGAGTCTCTTCCGGGGCTACTTGCTCACCAGGTGGGTCTTCGGACGCACTTTTAACTGCAGTCTCCTCCATAACTTCCTTGTCAGAGCCAGCATATGCAGCAGGAGCATCTTCGGCAGGCTTATCGAAGGGCTCATCAGCAGCTATGCCGACGTTCTCAGCCCCAGTCTGTGTATCTCCTGCCTTCTCACTCAGCTCTTCGGATAAAGGCTCCTCAGAAACGGCTTCATTAGAGTCAGCGCTTGCAGCGGCCTCTGCCTCAGGTGCATCCCCAACATTCTCCGGCTGGGCGGTTTCTTCTAATGTATCGTTCGGTGTTTCTTCGGCTGTTTCTTTGGTTGCCTGATCTTCTGCCGTCACCGGTCCTTCATCCAGTTTAGATTCATCTTCGCATCGTGCTGTTTCTTCTGGCTCAGGTAGAGATTCGTTTGTATCCCAGTCTGCTCGAGCTTCATCGGACGGTTCCTCCGCAATTTCCTTTGGTACTTCCCCAGCATCTGGTTGGGTATCCTCTGGAGATTCTGGAGTTGCAGTCTCAGCAGGCTCAGGTTCAGGCTCTGTGGTTTCTTTATCTAGGTTTTCGGAAGTAGGACTTTCCTCTTGAGCTTCTGCGTCCGCTTTCGTCGGCTTCTCTGCCGCCTCTTTCTCGGCTGACGTCTCAGCGTTGGCTTCGGGTTCCGGTGCTTGATCATCTGCTATTAGCTCTGCAGTCGATACTTCATCTTCGGGAGATCCAGCGCCCTTGGACGTCTCATCAGGACTGTTATCATCTTCTGCTGGAGGCGCGGTCTCAGCTTCTACACTTGCCTCATTCTCTTGGGTCTCGGTAGGAGGGTCGGGCGCTGCCTCAATCTCTGGGCCAGAGTCAAAATCGATCAATTCCTCCTCTTTTACGGCGTTCTCTTCTTCCTCGGCTTTAGCGTCCTCTTCTGCTTGCTTGGCAGCTGCTTCTTTTTCAGCTTCAACTTTGTCAATCGCTGCTGTAGGATCACATTCTGGGAAGTCATCCTCTATGTGTAAGGTTAGCTGACTTTGTGAACTGATATTATCTGCAAGCATACCATTCTGGGCCTCGTTGCTTTCTGTGGGGGGTTTCTGATCTTCTGCAGCCGTGTCGTCCTTATTGCCATTTGAACCGTCTTCATTCTCCGGAGGTTGCTCGGGCTCCGCGTTTTCTGCAGAAGGCTTTTCGCCCTCCTCTTTCGATTCGTTGGGAGCCTCACTAAGAGACTCTATCGATTCAGCGGGAGGAGTTGTTGCTTCAGAAGAATCTACGTGACACTTAGCTATAATTGCATATCTCCCATGAGCATATCAAAAGGCACACAAACTATGTCAGGGGCATTTTGGAGGGGCAATAGAAGACCCAAGAGGGTCGATGACACATACCTCCAGCCTCGGGAGAAGACGATGAGGCATCAACGGGCGGTGAATCTGATCCTTCTTCGGGAGCTGGATCTTGGGCTTGGACCTTTGCTGGTTTGGTGGCATTGTTGTCCTGATCCTTATTCGGCGTCAGACGATCCGAAGATGCACTATTGACAGGATAATATGAAAATTGAAGAGTATGAGGGTCGAAGGTCTGATAGTGACGCTCGATTGTCTGGTACTCAAACTTGGGGAGCTGTGCATACTGGATCGGCTGGTCCATTTTCACCCGACTCAACTACCGTTTCCGGGGCGGGATCGGAGTGGTTGCTCTCGGGGTTGGATATTAGATTGTCGCTTACAGGTAGTCGTTTATTGTTGTTGTTGTTGTTGTTGTTGTTCTTCTTTTTGCCCTTGGACCCTTTCTTACCCATGGCATCGACTTAGTTGAGCATGAACTAATATTACGGGGTTCGATTGGAGTGGAAGTGGAAGAGAAGAATATAAATCAGTTAAACGGGAAATATGGCATCGGCCTGTCTAGATCTAGACAGGTACAGGGGAGATCGAACAATAAGAAAAGGAGAAAATAACAGGCGACAAAACGGGATAGAATGTGAAACGAGATGAGATGTGAAGGGTCAGGTTTGAGTGGTGGCTAATGTATCAGACGGCTGAAAGGATAAGGGAGAAGCAACGATACGTTCGCCTGCCCACCAAAACAAAATGGTGATTTCTTTTTCAAGGATCAACCCGAGGCGACGTATCGTGGTCTATCCACCACCCAGCAGGACGGGACTATATTGAGCTGCAATGTGGGCTTAGACTGGAGATGCCATCGATGAACGCCCAACAGCATCGCGTCTCATTGGGCCACGTCTCATGGACCCAGCAGCCTTGGTAAACTGATAGAAGGAGAGGGTCTCCGGGAAGCATCACCGGGGCAGGGGAGAAACTCGGAAGACAGCCACCTGCAGGAAAAGCTTGCAGTAGCAAACCGTGGAGGGCTCCAGGTGAGGAGACGATGATCGAGATAGGAAAGCACCACAGAAAGAAAAATTGGGTACAATCCGTCGTGTCAGTGGGGTGGTGCCACTGCTTTGTCAGGATTGGCCTTTATTTTTATTTTTTCTTAAAATTCTTCTTTCTTTTTTCGCTATAGCACATTTGGGCTTCCTTTGTCTGTCTAATCCTTCACCCCCTGATAGTTAATTACTGTTGATAAGATTCCAGATGTATGCCTTCAGGATAGAAACGAGGTTAGCTAACATTCGAACAGGGAGTAAAAAAGATTGCATAAGAAGTGCAAGATCAATGGCTGGAACCACTGCATCGTAACGACCATGACCAAGTTGCCATCAATAGGAAAGATGGGGACGCAAGTGACGGTTGTGTTGATTACTCCTTTGGTGGAGTGTACCACCAACACCTATCGCCCCCATCATGGCAATGGCAGTCAAACACCAATTTCTGCCCAACGCCTGATGCGGGCAGCGGCAGCAAATGCAGAATTGCGTGGAGTTGAGATGGGTCCCTAGCCAGAAGACTAGGGAGGGATTGGCTACGGCGTCAGAGGGCAGATATGAACATTGGCGGGGATTACTATAGCAACGCCTCGGAGAATAATAGTCAATCAATCAGACACCGTTTTGGGAAGAGGCGATGAGAGAGAGACAAGAGGGACACAGAGGGATGAGGATATGATAGAAAGAGCGAGAGAAGCCGATCCACCAAACCAAACAAGTCAGCGCCGATCACTGGATCGCCCAACGCGTATTAGCGCCACTTGGGCTTCTTTTCTTTACTCTTTTCGTCCACAACGAACACACTCATTCCGTTCCATTCCATACAGAAGAAAATAGAAGAGCCAAAGACGATGGATGATGTTCTATTCTCCCAACAGGAAAACATCCTCATCGGGTGCCATCACCCTCAACGGATAGAGGACCACTATGGAAACAGTCATTGCAGAACTGACTAACACGGACAGTTATGCCCACTGAGGAAGAAAAAGTGAGGCGCGATGCTGTTTTGGCAGTCGGTGAGTGGCTGCTTTTGCACCCACATCCAGGCCCATTGGGGGGGTGAATGTACCAAAACCTTACCAGAGTAGTCAATCTAGTCTAGTGAGGAAGTTGTGTGACAGGAATCGGCGGACTAAAATTATGATGCTAAAACAGATAGCCCCGAAGTGGATTCTTGGCTACAGGATCCCTTCCAGAGAACTGAATGTTGCCCCCCACACAAAATTGACATTTGATGCTGCATCTGAGACTTAATTATCAAAAATACGGCATGTCTTCAGACAGACAAATAGTGCCTCAAACCCAACATAATATGTGCTAAAGATAATAATAACTACCATTCAGATTCGGACCACTGCGAGACTGATGGGTCATACTGGATTGTTACCCCAGCATTGCCAATGTTGCCATTTAGGCCTTGATTTTCGACCATGGGGTACGCATATCCTACGTAATCCGCGCATCCGCAGGGCACTACTGTTGTACGGCTGCAGTGAGACAAAGTCCGAACACGATCGTTGAGAACATTCAATACCGATCCATGATTCAAGTATCTTCCGCTCCAATGACGGGAGGAATGCCTCCAGTGTTATCCCACGGTCTCCATGCAGCAGACCCAATACAGCTACCCGCTTGCCGTCGTGCTTCTGTTACACTACTCCGTTGTGATATTCATGAGGGATCCAGGATTACCCTCAATGAGGGTTTTGATTATCTTTGTCCGTTATCACCCGGGGAGACTATCATTGATGCTATCCCCTCCCGAATAGTGTGATTCATGTTGAGGTGGTTGCACATAGTCTAGGAATAACTCCTACCCCCGCCAATGATTCGTGGCATCTTTCGCATACCCTCGACCTACTTCCTTAATTAGTAGCCAGAAAGTGGAGACGATATTGAGACTGATCTGGAAAACAATATTCTTAAGACCCAACTTGCCCGTTCATTTATAATCCTTGCCAGACAGCATATACTAATCCTCGGTAACTCTAGAGTAACAACAGCCCTCATGCTACGCCATGCGAAAGGCCCGCTGTGGGACTCGTTGGGTAACCCCTGGTGCCTTTATGTGACAACAATTCTAGGTGCTGACACTGAGTTGTCTGCTGACTAGGGCGAATCAAAGATGGACAATATCAGAAAGATGCCTGTGCATCGGTCTGGACCTCATTAGCTCTATGAATAATCTGACATTTTGGGTATCTTCATGCCGCTCCATCTCTCTGAGAACTCTCGGATGATCATCCAACCTAAAACAGACATGCACTGCTCTAATGCCTCAGACCTGGTCCGAGTGTTCCAAGACAATAAAGGAAAAATACCAGCATTCCAGCAACGTAGCAGCCCAAGTTGCAATATACAAAACAAACACTCTAAGAAGAATCATTACTGCATCGTACCCCAGCTGGCAACACGGAGAATGCAAATTTTGCTTTGACTCACGTTGGTGTCGCCAGCTCTCAGATTGGGTAGTGTTGTGCTTATTGCCTGAGGGCGTCCATTGATGCTCTCCAACGAGGCCCAAAGACTTTCATGACGAAGAGGACAGAGCTGCTAGCAAAAGCGGCTACTCCGAGAATGGTAAAAAGCCATCCGTTTCCGATTGCATCGATGATTGGAGCTGTGACGAGAGACCCTACGCATGAGAAGATGTTCCGCATGAAATTGTTCAGGGCCACACCTGCGGACGACTTCTTGGGCATGAACTCGGTCAGCATCGTCGTCGCCATGCTGAAAATAAGCATTGACCCAATGCCAAAAAAGAAATTGGCAAACATCTGTATGATGTGCTGTTAGATCTTTCCGTGTGGGAATGATTGGATAGAGAATCTCACCGGTGCCAGCCAGAACACACCCTGATCAGCCGTCCATCCATACCAGATCAATGCCGCCGGGTAGAGCAAAGCACCAAGCCAGGCATTCTCGCGCATTCGGTCTTCGGGATGATAAATCAGCCTGCCGTTCTCGTCATATCTCTGCGCCTTTCGGGCCTCCCGTTGCATGATATCATCCATCCATCGCCCACCAAATGAGCTGGCAACTATATATCCCACAGAATTTGGAATGTAAAGCAGACCCACGATGATCGTAGCGAAGTTGTAGGGGCCACTTGCGAAGGTATGCTCAATGCTCACGTTCAACACATAGAGGGAGCCGAACGTAATGCTCGCATAGTATACCGTCAGCAATACTGGCGGATATCGCAGGTAGAGGACAATTTTCAATGGGTCAATAAACACCACCTTGAGAACTTTCAGCCATCTCGCAGTGATCTGGACCACCTGTCGTGACGAGACTCGACTTATCCGACGCCCAATGGGTTCCTGCTGGTTGTTGTCGGTACTGGGAGAGGTCTTTGATACCACCAGGGTCTCAGGAAGGGCAAAGAATATGAACACCACGGTGATTGCCCCATAAACAGCCAGAAACCACAGAGTACTCCTCCACCCCCACCGCTGAGCCAGAGCTCCTCCGATGATAGGAGCAAACAACGGACCGCACAGTGGGCCAAGATAGAAGATACTCATGGCACGTCCACGTTCCTGTGAGTCCCATATATCTGCTATGGTCCCTGCGCCCACTGCCTGGACCGATGCAGACGCTCCACCGCTCAGCATCCGCATCACAATGAGCATAGCGATCGAACTGGAAACTGCACAGACAATATTGAATACGACAAAGAGACAGAACGACACTAGGTATATTGTCCGCCGGCCTAATCTTTCGCTGAACGAAGACCACCACAGCGGAAATATAGACATGCTCAGCATATATAATGCAATTGACAAATTTGCCACAGTGGTTGAGGAATGCAATTCCCTTGATACCTGTGAAAGAGAGGCTGGATGCCACGAGAATACAGGTCAGTTTAGGTCTGTATTCCAGAGCGAGAACCCAAAATAAGAAAAAGAAAAAGAAAAAGAAAACATACGGAAGAATATTGAACTGCCCATAGGTGCCGTGGCCCCAGCCACTGCAACAATGAACGTGATGAACCATTTCTTATTCCGGGGATATGCCTTGGGGTTTTCAATCTCAGCCAGCAGGGTGAGCTGACCAAAAAGACCTCTACGCTTCAGTCGCGGTACCACTGCTGGTAGCTTACTTTCCGTTTCTGTGGGATACGAAGGACCGCGTGCTTCTTCATCCTTTTCTTCCATATCTAGATGTGGACCCGACGTTGGTGTTGTAGAATAGAGATCGCTTATGTCTTTCGTTGTTTCGTTGGACAGGGTAGTTCCCCCCCGGAGGTCCTCCTGTGGTGCGCCTGGCGATATAGAAGTGGATGCCCCATCTTTCTCCATGGACGAGGCCATCACTTCTAGTAAGAATATCGTGTACTCCTTTGTATGGAGCCTTGGAAATGTCTGACAACAGGTTCTTGGTGCAGGAATAGTTCTCGATGGCGCAATGACACAGTATTCTCACATCAAAGCCCAGGAGACAGCTGTTCTAGGTATTCGTTTGCACAAGGCCGCTTGAAAAGATATCTATCGCGTCACCGATTCCGAAAGGCCCATGTGGGGTAAAAAGAGAGCAAAGAAAGTATTCAAAACAGACACCACATAAAGCAGCGTCTTATAAGAGAGTCGATATTAATTCTAGTCGATATGTGATGATACATAAAGGGTGGACCAAAGTGTGACTGTCATCTTCTTCAGCCCAACAACACAGGGAGAAAGGAAGGAAGACGAGGAAGGAAATCAAGAACAGGGAAAGAGACCCGGTCATAGAGTGATTTTTTTTTTTTTTTTTTTTTTAATTTGGCTGACAGATTGGCACCAAAAAGGCAGGCGTAGATCTCTCCGCTCTCGAGGCGGGTCTTGCCTTGAGTACATATTGAGGTATCTAATCAACATTCATTTCAGTCCACTTTGATTCACTCATAACGAGAGCCTATAGTACGTCGAGCAATACGAACAGATGATCGCGGATATTTATCCGAGCATGTGCGGTGGCGGCACCAACAGAGATGCATGCTCGTCTCCTATCATTCTGAGAGAGCTATCCTACAGTAGAAAGAGAGAGTGTGTATTACGTAGAATCGAGGATCAGGCTAAATCATCCCGAGGAAAGGGCCAGTCACGATTGGAGCGAGAGCGTGCCGTTCCATCCGATCGGGTATTTCCGCCTGTTTAGTGCCGAGGTCAAGCCTTCTGGCAAGGGGCCGAATACTTACTGAAACAGATAAAGACCCGGCATATGGGTGATTAGGATGGGATTGAATAGACTGATGATGCTGAATTTTGGCGCACCATGGAGTTGATGTCCATAGCGCGACTCTCACTCTAATACAACCTCAAAAACAGTGCCATATACGCTTATTCCAAGAAGACCAACATTATCGTCCAGTGGGACTTTTGCATCATTGCCAGCATCTAGATATGACGACAGTGTGCATAAGGTGGAATCCCTCATTTACGGAGGGGCGTTCGGTGTGGCATGGTAAAGGTTGCCTTGCATGAATCCTTGCATGACATGTGCCCAACGGTATTATGGAGATTTCTACACCGTACTCTATCTTCACTTTGCTACCCACTTAGCGCACCGTATTCTATGACCAGGCTTATCAGCAATGGACACTTCCAAATTCTTCATCGATTTCCAAGGCGAAAAATACGTGGATGGCTGGGCCAATCTCTGGAGTATAGGCGAGTCTCAGATTTGGGATAAGGGATTCCCAAACCCCGCACTGGAGGACGCATTGGTCCAGCAGCGTTCTATCCTGGGAGATCCGCTTACGGTCGATGCGCAGGGAGTCGAGCACCGCAAGACGGCTCTGGTTCCTGGTTGTGGAAGAGGTGTTGATGTGCTCCTCCTCGCCAGCTTCGGTTATAATGCCTACGGACTAGAGTGCAGTGCCGTCGCCGTCGAGGAATGCAAGCAGGAAGATACCAGAAACCGTCATCGGTATCCCGTCCGGCACCCCGAGGTGGGTCGTGGAAAGGCGATATTCGTACAGGGTGATTTCTTCAAAGATGACTGGCTGAAGGCACTTCGGTTGCCATTCAATTGCTTTGACCTAGTTTATGATTACAGGGTAAGGGATGCCGCATCTAATGCTATATTTGAAATTCTTTCTATGCAATTCTCTATCGCAAAATCAAATGCTCGCTTGTGTTCGAACGACGGGAATAAGAAGAAGAGAAACTGGCTCCGTGATGAGTTGCCCCAATTTCTGAATCAAAGGATATTCATTTTGATTATGTGATTGCAATTGTAGTTTTTCTGCGCGCTGAACCCATCAATGCGTCCACAATGGGCCCTTCGATATGCCCAGCTTCTTGCTCCATCCCCGCGCGGTAATCTGATTTGTCTCGAGTACCCCAGGAACAAGGACCCTTTGCTACCAGGCTCGCCATGGGGGGTTTCGTCGGAGGCATACTGGGAGCACTTGACTCACCCCGGCGAAACAATTCCCTACGATGATCATGGTAGATGCGCAAGTGACCCTTCTCGGAAGCCAGGCGAACGGCGGTTCGAACGAGTTGCATATTGGCAGCCCGCTCGGACCCACGACATTGGAATAGACGAGATGGGTGAGATACATGACCGAATTTCCGTATGGCGTCGACAGTAGCGCTGTTACCTATGACAGCCCACACGTTATGGAGGTGTGTCCCAAGGCACAGGGTTAGAGAGCGCCTGACCCTCGACTGATCAGAGGTCGGCTCGCATGAAGTCACGCATTTAGAGCTGTTTTACAAGTGCGTTGTAATGCTCTCCAAGCCCGTATGTATGCCTATAATACGCCAGCCATATAATGCGCTTGTTTTCTCCATCTGAGATATCGTCGCCTAGTTCTATTTTTTCAATCCGTCCATCTCCTTGTATGACGTTGATTTCGACCCCGTATGCCCTTGCGATAGCTTGTAGCTCCAGCTGCCCTCCCCATTCCGCCGTAAGCTTGATTTTTCGCGTGTATTGGTCTAACGGTTCTTCCATGAATGGCTCAAAGTCATCTTTATGTTCCGTGATATAGTCGGCCGCCACCGCCCTGACCGCCCTGTACCCATCATGTTTCGACGAAGTCACCGTATCCACGCGGGCCTGAGTAGGAGGTTGCAAGACAATTCGTTTCGGGTCGGGTCTCAACCCGAGTCCAGACTCCTCCAGCTGGCTGGCAATCGCCGAGTAGAGACAATGTCCATCTGGGTTAATTTCGACCTCTTTCAACCCTAACCGCTTAAAAACTGCATCCATGACCTCCTTCTCATTCCCACGACGATCTGTTTGTTTGGCAGCCTCCTCTGCGGCTATTTCAGCCTGAGCGGCCTGTTCAGCAGCGCGGCGCGCCAGTCGCGCCTTCTGACGATTCGGCTTCCTCTGACGCGGAGCGTCCAACGCTGCTGCTGACTGCGGAGAGGCCGGGTTGTCCGACGGGCTATCCGTAGTTGACTGTTCATTTGGAGAGGTATCCGATGTTCTTCTGCCTACGTCTGTATTCTCGTCGTCGCCCGAAGCATTAAGACTCAGTTCCTGGAGACCATCGACAGGATTCGACGTCGACCCGCCGTTTAACTCAGCGATTTCAACCTGATGGCGTTCAGAAAGTTCTCGTTGTAGTCGGTCGCATTCTTCGTTTACTCCTCGACGGGTCTTTTTCGTGGCGGATTTTTTCTTCTGCGTGATCCGTGCTTGGAGGTCTTTTTGTTCCTTGCGGTGTTTGGATAACAACTCGTCCATTCTGAGTGGCGGAATGTGGGGAATATGGAGGGGAGGAGAGAGAAAGAGGTCCTGAGATTTATTCCCGCTCGAAGGAGGATTAGTAGGGAAGATAGTATGGACTCTGTATTTGGAATCGGAGGATGAATTTCTCTCTGCAAGTCTAGTATCCACATAGGAAAACTGAGCAAGCTTGCCTTGCCCCGCAAACTAATGTCCCTCCCGAATGGGAATGGCGTGTCTTGCTCGGTTATTGGAGATGGACATTTCCCTAAGGCAGCCTCCTGTCGTGAACACGCATCTAATTTGGATTTTTGGAGATATGCTAGTATTATCGCTTTCCTAGTTACAAATCTAAGAAATCTCTGTCCACTGGATCGAGTGTGGTGTTGTTGTTTAGATGATGTACCTCCCGGAGTGCGTCATCATTATTCCACTGCCTCGGTATCTTTGCGCTCTCGGTCGTCGGATACGGCGACTTAGGCTACAAATACGTTTCCTCCACGCATTGGCATGGTCAGACGGGATCGACCGTGACTATATTTTCATCTTGATTTTTTATATTCTTCTCAATCTAACACTTATAACTTGTTTTATTCGTGTTTGGCAATTGTTTTTACTATGGATTCCCAGAACCTGTTCGATATCAAGGTCAGTAGTGGCGGAGCTTCCCGCGAATAGTAACAATTGCTGAAGATCGGCCTAGGGGAAAGTGGTGCTGGTCACCGGTGGAGCTAAAGGCGTTGGTCGAATGATTTCAGAGGGCTTTGTCGCGAATGGTGCCACCGTCTATATCTCATCTCGCGATGCCAAGGCTTGTGGAACTGCGGTGAACGAGCTGAATGCTCTCGGAAAGGGCAAAGCGCATGCCATCCCAGCCGATTTTTATAAGGAAGAAGAGATAAAGAGGCTAGCTACAGAGCTTGCCAAGCGTGAAAGTAGTGAGTTCCCAGCGATTGAGATAGCGCCGACTGGTCTAATATCCAAACCAGAGCTTCATGTCCTCGTCAACAACTCCGGATCAAACTGGGGTGCCCCCTATAATGAATATCCATCCGCTGCCTGGACTCGGGTCCTCACTCTTAACCTGCATCGGGTGTTCGATTTGACACAGGCTGTCACCCCGTTGCTAGAGAAGGCAGCTTCAGCTGGCGACCCAGCTCGTATTATCAACATTGGTAGTGTTGATGGACTTCGAGTCCCCGCTTTAGAGACATTTGCCTACAGTGCCAGCAAGGCCGGTCTGCATCACCTGAGCCGAGTTCTCGCTCATCATCTTGGCAAAAGAAACATTACGTATGTGCATCCATTCCATCGAGACTCCCTAGGCGCGTGCCAAGCTCGGACCGGCTAATACAACCCCCACGCTGTAGATCGAATTCACTCGCATGCGGCCCATTCCAGAGTAAGATGATGGCGGCTACTTTGGAGACCTTCCGGGAAACCATCGAGGCAGGTATCCCGCTGGGTCGTATTGGTACCCCTGAGGATGTGGCCGGCGCTTGCTTGTTCCTGAGCAGTCGGGCAGGAGCGTATGTCAATGGAGCGACCATTTCTCTAGACGGTGGAAGCGCTATTGCCGCCCGACTATAAGCACTTTTTTGTAGGTATATAGGGTTAGTGTAGTGTGTCCTCTGTTCTGTTCCTTGTTTCTCTGTCTTCTTCTGGAAGGTACAACCTTCAACTTAGACTCTATGGCCCCTGATCTCACGCTACCCATGCATCATTGTCGTACCATGTGTCAAAAACCTTAAAGACGCATGGCGCATCGCTGCAAAATAAGCATGCTGACATGACGTTATCAAACAATGCATCGCGCACTCTGTACTTCAAGTCCCCATGCCACGATGTATCTGGCCAACCAGAATACATCCAGAATAACTGTATCACGAACAGAGCGATCACGCGTTCGACGCCACAGAGGTCATGCTGATCAACTGAAGGTTATGAAAGCCGAAATGATGGGTAGACAGAAGAAATTAAAGCTACTGCATAGCGTGGGACACTGGTGCTGACACCTCTAATTAACTAGTTAGCTAGCCTTTCAGGGTCTGACCAAGCCACGCTGACCTTGTTCCGCCAGAACTGTTGGATGGGAAAATCCCTCCTATATCGTGGATGGGGATTTAAAGTAGGAGCTTTAGTACTGAGAGGGGCCGCATTCCCTGTCTATGTATTGGATTTACTAAATCCCTCAATCCCGACCGACTGCATTAACAGTTTATGTACACTTTAAATCCATAGCTTACTTTTCACTCGCTGCATAATTAATTGCTCGGGGAGGATGTGGCAGTTCCGGGTGAACTTCATCACCTTGCATTGTGTGTTGCGAATCCACTGGGGGAAACTATCACCACCAATGCTCACGTTTAGAACCAGACGCCTACATCATCTTCTTGAGTATCCTGGGACTGGTTGTCCTCTATCCTTATGGCAATCTACGAGCGATTGACTCCTTTTTCTTCGGGGCGAGCGCGTCTACAGAATCCGGATTAAACCCGTTCGTTTCTTTTGCAGCTGGTTTTGTCTGCTGGCACAGTACTGAGCCATGTCTTATCTAGTGTCGATGTGAAAGAACTCAAGACTTACCAGCAACTGTATGTCTATTTCATTCCGATGATATCGAATCCTGGTTTCATCAATATACTGGTGGTGGTTGTGCGGCTTCATTGGTTTGAAAAACGCCTGAGGAAAATAGGTAAGCTGACTGCTTGCCATTGTTCGTGCCATCGAAATCATGCTGACGACTTAATCTACTAGCACCCTCTGTTCTTTATCCAACGTCCACTTCGTCAGATCGCAGGGGCTGCGATAACGATCAAGAAGCCAGATTCAGTAAGGGCGACGAAGAATATGCACCAAAGCAAGAGTCTATTCAACTATCAAAAGATAACACATGTGATGGAATAGTTTTAAAAGACGAGAAAACCAATGGAAGGGACCCAGAGTACGTTTGCTGCACACCCTTCTATATCAAGATCTGGCTTACTGAGCGATACAATATTCATTAGCAACGATGATTCAATCCAGCCCAACAACCCCCGCCCTAGTTTGAATAATCGCCGGATTTCATTTGCAGAGAATTCAAAAGCCCTGTATATCCCTTCGCCCCGTGAGCGTGACAGAGGTAGTCAAAACACCGTTTGATGGATTAGATCTGGATCTGTTCTCATGGCATAACAGGAATTCCGATATTGGAGGTAAATGAGAGGCCGGGTGTTAATGGTAGGCAACCCACCGCATATTTGGGTGATATAAAAGGAAACTAAACGCTATAATATTGGCTCAGACTTTGAGGACTCAATCGATAAAGCCGATACAGAAACTGAGGGCAACCGCCGGGGAGTAAGTGGCACGTCGTCAAGTGGCTTCCCACTGGAACGTGTCGCTTCTTCTGTATTTGTGCTTGGCAGACAACCCAGGACATCTGAGGAGCCACGCCTTCGAAGTGCGGTCTCACTTTCCAATGACTCCAACCTTCCAGGTCTCTCTTCGCAGGCCACTCTCGGCAGGAATTCGCAGTTTTACAACCTAACCGACGAGGACCGAGAGAGGCTAGGTGGCATTGAATACCGAAGTCTGAAACTCCTTTTGAAGATCGTGATTGGTATTAACACACCCTGTTCGGTTATGTATGTGGCGAAGTCAGTGCTGACATACGAGAACAGGATATTTTTTTGGTCTCCACCTATTTGGCGCAATATGTTTAATTGGTTGGATCCAGTATGCTAACCCCAAGTATCGGAACTACCTTGATGAATGTGGACAAAATCATATCTGGTGGTAAGTATTGTGTAAATTTTGATTTAGAGCATGCATCCAAACTCACATTGCGGCAAGGGCAATCTACTCTGGACAAACAATGGTCGATAATCTGGGGCTTACCCTCACCCCAGATTCGATGGTTTCCTTTCAAGACGCTACATTTCCCATGTTGATTATGAGCTTTCTAGCGTACGCAGGGCATACTCTATATCCCTGTTTTCTGCGTCTAGTTATCTGGATCATGTTCAAGTGTGTCCCACATCAGTCATCTCTCAAGGAACCGCTTGGCTTCCTCCTGAAATATCCCCGTCGATGCTATACGCTTCTCTTCCGAAGTCGGCCAACTTGGACCCTCTTCGGAATCATCTTCGCGCTCAACTTTGTAGACGTACTTTTGATCGTGGTACTGGATCTCCACAATTCTGCAGTGAACAACCTCCCTGCTGGACCCCGAGTGCTGGCCGCAATCTTCCAGGCAGCGTCGTCACGGCATACAGGAACATCGTCGTTTAATCTTGCCGATGTCAGTCCAGCAGTCCAGTTCAGCTTACTGGTGATGATGTACATTTCGATATTTCCAATCGCCATCAGCGTTCGAGCGTCCAACACATACGAAGAGAGATCGCTTGGCGTGTATTCGCTGGATGGCGAAATGGATGAGAGCAACGGAATGCAATATGTGATGACGCATATGCGGAATCAGCTCAGCTTCGACCTGTGGTACATATTTTTGGGGATATTCTGCATCTGCATTGCTGAGTCCAATAGGATCATGGATCCTTCTGAACCCGTGTGTCGATCAATCTCTCTATGTCTCAGAATGTGACAGCTAATGTGACCGAACAGGCATTTTCCGTGTTTGCAATTTTTTTCGAAGCTGTCTCCGCGTAGTGAGTGTTTCTGAACCCTTTTGATTATATGCGGACATGCTTCTGATATCGCCCAGCGGAAATGTTGGCCTCAGCCTAGGCTACCCCACAGTTTCGACTTCCTTTTGCGGTCAGTTCACGACTTTTAGCAAGGTTGTCGTTTGTGCTATGATGATTCGGGGACGTCACCGTGGCCTGCCCTATTCGCTTGACCGGGCAATTGTGCTTCCCAACGATCACCTTATCGAAGACCACAGGGCTGACATTCGTCCTCATCGACCTCTGTATACGGACAGGACTGTCGATAAGCGGGTGCAGTTCAAGCGGTATCATACCAAATAACCTCATTGTGGTCGCGGAATCGAGCTTCTCGTTTCGATGGTCACTATCTCTGCGACCTTCATGATGGCTATTCTTTGTTGATAAATCCTACAATGTATGTAGTGATTTTTTGAGCGTAAATAATTGTAGAAATAGAATGGGAGAATATGCATTTTCGAAATCCTAGTAAGACATGTTCGCATGCATTAACCAGTTAGGCAATTAGCAGTGGAGCGGCGACATCATCGCTTTTATGCCGTCATTACGCCGGGGAATTTTCCTTCCACCATCTCATTTTCTCTCCGGGGCTCTTTTTCATCGCTTTGGCTTTCTTGTAGCTTATTTTTAGTATTTTTATACTTTCCTTAATTGGGGATTACATATCGGCGCCCACCGCCATCCACTTTGGAAAAGTGACGTCAGTCGTCCCCAGTACACCCACCAATTTGCCCCTCCGTCACATCTGATCGAACGGAACACAGAGAGCGCCACAAAGCCTAACGTGGCCATTCACTTAGGTTGATTTAGGCCTGTCACCCTTGCCTTAGCCTTCTGTACTCGGTTGCTGGCTTTTTTTGTTCCTCCTGAATCCTCCATCCCCCTGTCCTTCTCCCCGCAAACTACCCTAGACGATGAGCTCGTCAAACGGCCATAATCGAACGAGCTCTCTCGATCCATTTTCTCATCCGGACATCTATTACGGAAACGACGAGACGATCTCGCGCATTAAAAGCCGTCGACGGGCATTTTCCTCGGTGAGTGGCGACTCTGGAACGATAAGATCAAAGAATAAGATGCTAAATGCTACGCCAAACGAATAGACTTTGAAGTCGTTTAATAAAGAGGATATCCAAGATTTCCTGGGTGGACGGTTGGCAAGAAGGGGCAGCCATGGTGCGCGTTTGCTTAATCCCTCTCTGTCTGAAGTGATGTACATGGGTATTGACTTGAAGAACGTGGTCATCAGATGAGAGTTCCGGTCAGCCCCGAAAGTTCCTTATCGATGTCAACGAGACGCTGCACACACTCTTGGAGAGGGAGGATAGCGACAGGAATATGCAGATAACGATCGAGGATGTCGGGCCGAAGGTAGGCGAGGTGTCAAGCAAGCTCTCAATTAGGGTACTAAGCTACATGCTCTAGGTGCTTTCCGTCGGAACTGCCGCTTCTTCTGGGTACAATAGATTCGATGTGCGGGGGACGTATATGCTCTCCAATCTCCTTCAGGAGCTTACCATAGCCAAGGATTACGGTAGGAAGGTCATCGTGTTAGATGAGGAACGCCTAAGCGAGAACCCTGTTTCTCGTCTCTCACGCCTGATCAAGCACTCGTTCTGGAACGCTCTCACCCGACGAATCGACGGTTCGAATATCGACGTTTCTGGAAAAGATCCAAAGGATTGGACGAAGAACCCCCAGCCTCGTATCTATATCCCGCCAGGTGTTCCTGAGCAGATCGAGTACTATAGAAATATCGCAAAGTCCCGCCCAGAGCTTCGTCTGGATGTGCAGGTGTTAGACACTGATATCACACCGGAATATGTGAAAGACCTCAACCACAAGCCTGGGATTTTAGCATTGGCAATGGACGAAACGTACGATGAATCTACCAAGAAGACAGAGTATTCGGGAGTGCCATTTGTCGTTCCTGGGGGTAGATTCAACGAGCTGTATGGGTGGGACAGCTACATGACATCTCTGGGGCTGATAGTCAGTAACCGAGTTGACCTAGCCAAGGCCATGGTAATCAACTTCTGCTTCTGCATCAAGCATTATGGAAAGATCCTGAACGCCAACCGCACTTACTACCTGACTCGATCCCAACCGCCTTTCCTGACGGACATGACCTTGCGTGTCTACGAACGAATAAAGTCTGAACCCGATGCTATGGATTTCTTGCGCAATGCAACCCTCGCTGCCATCAAGGAATACCACAGTGTGTGGACGGCAGCGCCGAGGTTAGACCCGGTGTCTGGTTTGTCACGGTATCGCCCAGAAGGGTGGGGGGTGCCGCCAGAGACCGAACCTACTCATTTCACGCATGTCCTTAGTCCATATGCGGAGAAACATGGCATGGAATTCAAGGAATTCGTCCATGCCTACAATGATCGTAAGGTCGAGGAACCCGAACTCGACGAGTATTTCTTGCACGATCGGGCTGTTCGCGAATCTGGCCACGATACAAGCTACCGGCTGGAGAGGATCTGTGCGAATTTAGCCACGGTGGATCTGAACTCCCTTCTCTATAAATATGAGGTAGATATTGCCCGGCTGATCCGGACATACTTTAAAGACAAACTTGAAATTCCTCCCGAGTTCCGCACGCCGGCGACCAAAGATATTGCGAGCGAGTCCTCATCCGTATGGGACCGCCGAGCAAGGCGGCGAAAGATGAGAATGGACACCTACATGTGGAATGAAGACAAAGGGATGTACTTCGACTACGACACGGTGAAACAGGAACGGACATTATATGAGAGTGCAACGACTTTCTGGGCCATGTGGGCTGGCCTCACCACACCGCAACAAGCGGGCGACATGGTGAAGAAAGCCCTCCCCAGATTTGAGGCCTACGGCGGCCTTGTATCTGGCACGGAAGAATCGCGAGGTGCAATCAGTTTGGAACGACCTACACGGCAATGGGACTATCCGTACGGCTGGGCACCCCAGCAGATGCTCGCATGGACCGGACTGTTGCGCTACGGGTATCAGGAAGAAGCGGAACGACTCGCTTATAAGTGGCTGTATATGATCACCAAAGCATTTGTGGATTTCAACGGAGTCGTCGTTGAGAAATACGACGTGACTCGGCCAATCGATCCACACCGTGTGGATGCAGAGTACGGCAACCAGGGTGTAGATTTCAAGGGCGCACCTCGAGAAGGGTAAGGTCCACTCTTATAACCCCATGGCAAATTCGATGGCATTTCTAACCATGTGGATACAGATTCGGCTGGGTCAATGCTAGTTATGTGTTTGGTTTGGAATTCCTCAACGCGCATGAAAGGCGTTCTCTGGGAACTATCACGCCGTATGAGACGTACAGCAAGGCCGTACTGGCCCAGGAAGAACTAGAAAGTCTATAGGGATACTTTCAGCCAAATAGAATCTATTCGGTGGATTGGGCCGGGGATGTGGATGAAGAATACCATCGAACAGATACAGATTGAAAGACATGCTTGAACATTCGGTCCACTTTTTCTTTCTTTTTTAATCATTTTGATGAAGAAGTTCCATGCTGAAATTGCAATGGACCGGAACTTGTTTTATGGCGCTCCAGCAGGTTTGTGAGCTCAAATATCTTATTCCGACTATCGTATAAATTTCCATTCTGCGGAAACTCGAAATAATGGAAAGAATATAATAGAAATTCTCTGTACTTCCAGAGCTAATCTCCATCCTACCGATCAGTATTATACTCTCTTTCTATGCACGGTTCAGTTTCTAATCTTAGCGGTTAGACAGACCTGAATCTATAGAGAGTAAGCCGATTACATACTAATTACTTAGTATTAGGTATTAAATAATAGAATTTTTAGGTGGACATGTGTGTAATAGATTAAGAGTAACTTCTCTGAATGATGTTCATTATAAGAAGTTTGACTAAATCTAATATATAGTGATATGGATAAGCTATTCCCCTCCCTCCATGACGATCTTCGTGATTGAAGTGACTGTTATAGAATTTAAATAATTGGGAACAAACTACTATTCACTTCATAAGGAATCTGTACGTACATTATCCATTGGATAGAGAGTTATGTTAAATTAGTGCTAGGCTTTAAATCTGTATAGTGAATTTTGTATGGTTTTCACAATACACCAGAGTACTGAAAGTGAGGTGAATTTCTCAAGGCTCCTTAAACCAAGTTGGAATTCTTACTTACTGTAGTGAAGTGGTGAATCTTCACTGCGTAAGTTCCAATTGAAGGGATCTCTTCTGTTACTCAGGCTCGTCTACTAGAATAAGACCTCCCTCCCCAGCCCTTTCACCTCATTTTTCTTCTCTCTTCTCCTCCCATAAGAATACCTGTCTTGATCAACTCTCTCAGCCTCAAACATCCAACCCCGTTATCTCTTTCCAATCTGTCAGAATATCAGATGAATTATCTAGCCTGACTACAGCCGCCTTTTTAGTGTAGTGGAATTTTATTGACATTATCCCTCGTCCATCCAAGACTGTTTGCCTGACTTAGCCAGTCAAGCATAAAACTGGTCAAGCAGGAAATCACTGAACAGACTCGGGTTATCTCCATTAGGGAGAACCCAGCTACCCAGCCTGATGATAATCTGATGGAAACCCGTTCAGCAACCCTCTGTGAGTGCAATCCAGCGTTTCCCTAGAGATCATAGGAACTAACCTTTCGATATAGATGAAGACGATAAGACAGCAGCCCTCCTGTTTAGAAACCGTTATTTTTCAAAGAAAAAACCAGAATTCCAGGAGAAACTCCTCCCGCATCTGCCTTTTGATTACATGCCCCTCAGTCGCAATACGATATGGTCGACCAGTTCTATGCCCTGCAAATGCGACTCTGGAGACGCGATAAAACCCAATGGAATCGATTTCATTTTGATGAGCTCTATGCAAGACACTGCTATCTTTCGAAACAAGCTCACGAAGAAAGATCTGGACCATCTTGATTCCCGGCTTAGATGTTCATTACCTCCTACCGTGTTCCCAAAGAACGGATTCACGGTCACAGGGACGAGGATCCAACCCATAGTTGCACCAGAGGGGTTATTCCGATGACACGATGCACGCCTTAATAGCTCCTAAGGCAAACCATTCGACTACTAAACCCGGCATTCAGTGAGACGTAATTTAGCAGTATCATGGAAGACAGGAGTCTCAACAATAGCTCGCTGAAACATCTAAACATACTTACAGTTGCACATCTTTTATGGTCTTCCAGCAAGCTACCTTTCCCAGACACTTGTTCTATTTGAAAAGGCCACCAGTCTCATCTTGCGAGACTGGGTAGAGGACAAGAAGGAGCCCTTTCCGGATCTGGCCTCAAGAACAAGATTTACCTTAAAAACCTACGTGTACCTTGTTTTGTTCCATTTTTTTGCTGCGAGGGGCAGCGTTGAGACAAATTCCCCGAGCTCACTAATAGTCCGGGCTTAATAATTGGTCTTGAGATACACACTGATCAAAGGGATCAGAACAACCACAACACAGCATGCACAGTGGTGCTCATCACATACTCAACGTGGCTCCAAATCTCCGAGCTGACAAAGATGTATTATGCATCTTCATTGAGCGAGAGTCCAGATCCCATATGGTGAAGGGTGTTAACCAGTTATGGTTCCAAACTTTTAAAGTCACTCTGTCTGTGTACAGGGTAAACTGAGTATCTTACCTAGAACAGAGACTTTAGACTGCAAGCTTCAAGACGGACGTGATCTGACATATGTAGGACTCGTAAGTAGTACCTACAGAGGTATCTTGCCAATACAGAACAGAACACATGACAATCTAGACTCCATTTGCATGTGAATCATCTCTGGTTAGTAAACTACCTAGTAGTTAGTAGTAGTAGTAGTATCTTCGCACCATCTCACTACAGAGTAGTAAAAGATTATGATTCGGACAACATCCGAACCGCGCATTCCAATCAATCTAATGAGCCATCGATCATCAACCCCTATACTATACTCCGTACATATCGACAATAACACGGAACCAGCTCCTTATTTTCCCGAGGCGATTCTCGTGCGTTTCGAAGACCAACCAAACCCAACGCAACCCCAACCTGAACGCGGGAGACGAGATCGGATCGTCTCGTGGGTCTGTGATTGGTGCCTGCGATGCCGAGGTTCCTGCCTTATTTGGTATAGTTTGTATTGAACGTAAGTATTCGTACTCCGTACAAGGCATCCATTCCATGCATGTACTTTATTACTCCGATTTTCGGAGGTACTGTCCGTGAGGGATTACACGGTACAGTTCTGCAGGTCTACAACGGTTGCATTTCATTTCTTTAGAATTACCTGCTTAGTTACAGAGCAGGAGAGCTGGCTATGTGAAGAAATATAGTGGGGTTATACCAGGGTTGGACGAGACCACTACTATGGAGGAGAGGCTATCCCGTGACTGTGATATGGTATCGTACTGTCAGGCTACTCCGGCACATGTCTCGACGTCATCGATCTGGAGTGATGTCCCCGAGTAAAGATAGAATCCAATTGTCGGGATTGGATAGGTATTTGATTCTCAAGGTGTCGAAAATCAATAACTTACAGTATATATGTATGTACATAAGGTGCTTGATGGTACAGAGAAATCCAAGTTGTTCGTCCACTGTAGGATGTAGCCTGGAAGTCAATACTGGATCCAGTGGCAAGTCCATTAGACCGAGGATCTTTCAGTCTCGATTCCTCTCTTCCGAACAGAAACGAAACATGCATTATCAGGGTATAGCTTGTGAATTTGGCTGGCTGCACTCTGTAATTGCCATCCTGCCCAGTCATACCAATTCGTAAGAACCTGGTAACATCTCCCCTGGTTGGCATACCGGTCCGCGTTTTCCTTCTTGTCCCGCTGAGCCGAGCGTTTACCGACTGGGTCTGAAGTGACGCATCTGCAATGGTTGGATAAGTACCTTGTTTCTGGCTTGTGATTGCGTCTAATTTCTTTTTATTCCTCGTGTAGCCGGTTATTCTACTTTCTTTTCCCCTTTTTCCCCCTGTTCCCTTTCTCTCTTTCTATCTTCGTTCGCTTGGGACTTCTTCCTTCCCTGTTGCGTAGTCCTATTGTCTTCAAAAGCATTTACTGAGCTCTGATCTCTGATCACTGTATTATATCGCTTTCACATCCGTACCTACAACCATCCTAGGATAGCACAATGGGTTACTTCGAAGACGAGGACCAGGTGTACCTGGATGACGTCCGGGCAGTCAAGGCTTGGTGGAACGATTCGCGATGGCGGTACACCAAGCGTCCTTACACCGCTGAACAGATCGTGGCCAAGCGTGGAAACCTGAAGATCGAATACCCATCCAATGTCCAGAGTAAGAAGCTGTGGAAAATCCTGGAAAGCAACTTTGCGGTTCGTAGCTCTTCTCACAAATGTGTGCGCGCTCTCATTGACCTATCTTCCATAGAAAAAGGTCCCGAGCTTCACCTATGGCTGTCTGGAGCCCACCATGATCACCCAGATGGCCAAGTACCTTGACACAGTGTATGTCTCCGGCTGGCAGAGCTCTTCTACTGCCTCGTCCACCGACGAGCCGTCCCCGGATCTGGCGGACTACCCTATGGTAAGGAAGGAAGCTCGTGCTGTGCGAAATCAATCGGTCGGACTGACAGGTCTAGAACACCGTCCCCAACAAGGTCAACCAGCTCTTTATGGCCCAGCTCTTCCATGATCGGAAACAGCGGGAAGAGCGTGTCACCACCCCCAAGGAACAGCGTGGCAAGGTGGCCAATGTGGACTACCTGCGTCCCATCATTGCGGATGCCGACACTGGCCACGGTGGCTTAACGGCGGTCATGAAGCTGACCAAGCTGTTTGTGGAGCGCGGAGCTGCTGGTATCCATATCGAGGATCAGGCCCCTGGCACCAAGAAGTGCGGCCACATGGCCGGAAAGGTGCTTGTCCCTATTAGCGAGCACATCAACCGTTTGGTTGCCATCCGTGCGCAGGCCGACATCATGGGTATGTTAATTAGCTCCATTCTGCACGAACGGGCCGATGGCTGACTCCATTTCCTAGGCACCGACCTCCTTGCCATTGCCCGAACCGACTCCGAAGCTGCCACTCTTATCACCTCGACCATTGACCACCGTGACCACGCCTTCGTTGTGGGATCGACAAACCCCAACCTCCAGCCCCTCAACGACCTCATGGTGGCCGCGGAACAGGCGGGCAAGAGCGGTGATGAACTCCAAGCCATCGAAGACCAGTGGGTGGCTCAGGCTGGTCTCAAGCTCTTCGACGAAGCCGTGATCGATGCCATCAACAAGGGCGCCCACTCCAATAAGAAGGCCGTTATCGACGGCTACCTGAAGGCCGTCAAGGGCAAGAGCAACGGCGAAGCTCGCGCCATTGCCAAGGGCATCACAGGCGGTGATATCTACTGGAATTGGGACGCTCCTCGTACCCGTGAAGGTTTCTACCGCTACCAGGGAGGTACGCAGTGCGCCATCAACCGTGCGGTGGCCTACGCGCCATTTGCAGACCTGATCTGGATGGAGAGCAAGCTTCCAGACTATGCTCAAGCCAAGGAGTTTGCCGATGGCGTGCACGCCGTCTGGCCGGAACAGAAGTGAGTGTTTTCTTTTAGATAAATATAACCTACCGTTCGATAACTAACCCGACACCCACTAGGCTGGCATACAACCTGTCCCCCTCATTCAACTGGAAGAAGGCGATGCCGCGCGAGGAGCAGGAGACATACATCCAGCGTCTGGGTGCCCTGGGATACTGCTGGCAGTTCATCACCTTGGCGGGTCTGCACACCACGGCACTGATCTCTGATCAGTTTGCCCGGGCGTACGCAAAACACGGTATGCGGGCATATGGCGAATTGGTGCAGGAACCGGAGATGGAACTGGGAGTGGATGTGGTGACGCACCAGAAATGGAGCGGTGCCAATTATGTAGATAATCTGTTGAAGATGGTCACGGGTGGCGTTAGCAGCACGGCGGCAATGGGCAAAGGCGTGACTGAGGATCAGTTCAAGCACTGAGGGGGGGTTCAGTGATGAGTGATGTTTTGGTTATGTCTTTTTGTTTTTATTATTATTATATTTCATTTTCTTTTTTGAAGCCTGAATTTTACGACCGGGAGATGTATTGTAGGCCATCGGATCCTTGGAGGTAGTGTTTGATCAACGACGAACGTTCTAGGTCCTATATCATCTTATATATTAGAAATATTCATAATATATGTTAAAGAAGAATAGGGTTAGACCTGTACGAATCGAGAACTGCTTGCGAGGTGGATGTCGATCCACCGACTAAGAGAGACTAAGAAATGGAGTGCAGAGACTAAGACTGACGATAACCGAGGAAGAGCTGCAATCTGACCTCTGGTTGGATCTCCATCCAGACCGTTAACAACCAGCTTCTCCGGAAACTGAGTTCTTCCTAAATTGATGCGACAAATCCAGAATATCTTCCGCCAGAGAGAGCCGCGGTTCCGACCGAAAGGAGGGGAAGCACTTCAACCATGGCATGTGGAGATGAACGATCCGTTAGCTAAGGTAGTATATTACGGAGTAGATGGATGGAGATTTGGCACCTGACCTCATTTCGCTCCTTCTCCTCTTTTCTTTGATATCGCGTCGCCCACCATGGTCACCTCCAATATCCCAGAGATCCAGTTCACTCCCATCGAGGAGATCCGCAGCCGCAGCGCCACTCTTCGCAAGACCTTTCTCGAACACAAGACGCGAGATGTGGAGTTTCGGCTGGTCCAACTCCGCAAGCTCTACTGGGCGTAAGTCACTCTCCTATGATGGACGATATCTTGACTGACGCGTTTTCTTTTCTTTTTCTTTAATAGTTTAAAAGATCACGAACAGCAAATCGCCGATGCCCTCTATTTGGACCTCAACAAACCGCGCTTCGAGTCGGAAATCGCGGAGTCGTCATGGCTACAGAATGATATTGTGTTTGTGACGCGCCATCTACACAAATGGGTCAAGGATGAGAAGGCCGAGGATATCGAACTCGCATTCAAGTTTATGAATCCAAAGATTCGGAAGGATCCGCTGGGTTGTGTTCTGGTGATCGGGTATGTAGATTTTGAACCCGTGCCGTGCCGTGCCCTAGGGATGGTTTCTAACGGACATTGGACAGCGCTTTCAACTACCCTTTCCAGTTGACGCTCGGTCCGGTCATTGGTGCCATTGCCGCGGGTAATACCGTGGTCATCAAGCCCAGCGAAAATGCCCCGTACAGTGCCGTCGTGATGCAGCGCATCGTGGAAGCCTCCCTCGACCCCTCGTGCTACACTGTTATCCAAGGCGGCATCCCCGAAACTCAGGCCTTGCTCGCGGAACGTTGGGATAAGATCTTCTTCACCGGTGGTGCCAATGTCGGTCGCATCATCGCCAAAGCCGCTGCACCTCACTTGACCCCAGTGGTGCTGGAGCTGGGAGGGATGAACCCGGCCATTATCACCAAGAACGCCGATCCCAGACTCGTCGCCCGACGAATGCTATGGGGAAAGCACCTGAATGCCGGTCAGGTGTGCACGTCGCAGAACTACTTACTGGTCGACAGGGCGATTCTGCCGGCAGTCGTCGAGGAATTCAAGAAGGCCTTCAAGGAGTTTTACCCTCGCGGAGCCAAGGAATCTCCAGACTATTCCCGCATCGTCAGCGTTGCCGCCTTCCAACGACTCAAGTCGATGATCGACAATTCCCAGGGCAAGATCCTCCTGGGAGGTACAATGGATGAAGAGGAGCGGTTCATCGAGCCGACTCTGGTGCAGGTGGATTCGCCCGATGACTCCATGCTCACCCAGGAGAGCTTCGGTCCGTTGATCCCCATTCTGCCCGTTGACAACCTCGACGAAGCGATCAACATCGCCAACGGCATCCAGAGCACGCCTCTGGGTATCTACCCATTTGGCTCTAAGGGGGAAGTGGAAAAGGGTATGTGGTTTTATCTGCGATTGAGAGACGCTCGGATTGAGATATTAATCCTCCATAGTTCTCCGAATGACCCGTTCTGGTGGTGTGTCCGTCAACGATGCTGCGCTGCATATCCCGACCCTTCCATTCGGCGGCGTGGGCGAGAGTGGCTACGGTGCCTACCGCGGAAGGTCCAGCTTCGACGTCTTCGTGCACCGCCGTCCCATCACCAGCAGCCCCGGCTGGCTCGAGTCCATCCTCGCGATCCGCTACCCTCCCTACGCGGGCAAGCTGAGCAAGTTGAAAGCGGCCAGTACGCTGGCTCCTGATTTCGATCGCAGCGGAAGAAAGGTCCGACTTGGCTGGCTACGGTTCATTTTGACTCTGGGCGGAGGCAGCGCGAAGGCTGGTGTAAGCAGGGCTGCCGTTGTTGCTGCGCGTAAGTTATTCATCTCCTAGCTGTTCTTTCCCGCCCCGCTCCTGGCTACTGGCCGTTCCATTGGCCTATGCCTCTTCATTCACGATTCTTACTGTCCGAATCACTTCTCAGACTGTGATTAATCCTCCGGAACCTGAAACCAATATACCTACTCAACCCCAACGATTTCCTTGTGTTATAAAATACCCCCATATTTTTTTTTTTTTTTTTTTATCTTGATCCTCTTCATTCTACATCTATTGGATACTACGATGTTGCCCAGTCATATGTCCCATATCCGAGATTTCAATTATTAATCTCTTTTGAAGTATATGTACTCATATTCTATTCTGCCCAGTTGCCTACCTCGTGCTACAGATTCTCGAGCGCCGAACCTCAAAGCTTTAGGACTAACGGTCCGTCTGTGTCTGCACCATCGTCATAATCACTTAAAACAAACAACCAACACTGGATCTGAACCGCGATTCGATCGAGGTATTAATCCTGTTCTTTCCTATTTCTGTAGTACTAGTTCTGGGACTCACCATCCGGATCTAAACACCCTATCTACGATGGATAAGTTGTTCTGTTTCTTGGTTATGTTATGTTAATGTAATCAAATCGAATCGAATCATTTCTTTATTTCTTTTATATGCTAGATTACTACTCTTCTAAGTGGGTAGTTTTGTAGATGATATGAATTTGTTAGGGAATAGGATCGTAGCTTTACATCGTACAATTTTGAAGGAAGATGGACTGTAATCATTGATCTGAACATCAGTCGGCTAGGGATTCCCTAGGACTTCCTTTAGAGTAGTTAATGTGAGTAACTTATTTTCTTCATCCATCCCATCCAGGTATATAGTCATTATTCATTTCATCGAACGTTGAAGTAAACGGTCTACACCTAGTACCTATAAACCTTGTAACAGTCATAATACCCATTTCATGCCCTAATATCCAAAAAAGTAGAATTGATGATGTTTTATTTCTTCAACATCTTCTTTCCACTCCCTTTCGACTCACACATAAATATTTCACGCCCTTGTAGGGTTTCACACCCTCGCCTAGACCACGACTGCGTCGCGGATCGATGTTCAAACTGTCGACTTTGATCCCGGATGGTAGCCAGCCTCGCACGGAGAATGAGACGGAAGCGGAGTTGGGCATGAGGTTGGAATTGAACTGGGATTTAGTTTTGCGCGGCGCGGTGTGGAAGATCGCGGAGTCTTCCTGAGGAATTGGTGGAGGTGGCGATGGAGAGGTGGTGGGAGGTTGAGGCGTGGGGGTTTGCGATGGCAATGGACCTGGATTTTGTTCATTTTCTTGTTCTTGTTCTTGATTAGGAGGTTGTTGTTGGTCGTCCACGTCAGCAATCGAAGGGAACGTGTTGGGTGTCCGGGATGATTTCTTGACCTTCTTCTTTTTCTTCTTCTTGGTCTTTCGTTTCGAGGTCTCGGGTTCGACGTTTTGGTAAGAGGTGGAGGCATCGTAGTAGCCTTGAAGGAGATTGGTGTCGGGATCGATCTCTTCGACGTCACCTTCGAGGTCGTCGTCGGCGGATTGGTGGCCCACGACAGTACAGCGTAGAGTGGCCGTGCCGGAGATAGATCCTGCGTCTTTAGTCGGAACCCGCCACTCAAGAGTATCGTTGCCGGGAGAGAATATGGCCTCGCCTCGACTGGCTTGCATGTCGGTGATGTTTCGGACGGATTTGGGGATAGAGACCGAGACCACAACATCCTCTAGCATAGGCGATGAGGGGTTCCCGCTTCCTCCGAGAAATGACGGTGTCGATGTGCCCGATCCGCTCCGCCCTACACCGGATCGAGCAGCAGAAGGGTGCCCCGGAAAGTTCGTATTGAGTAGGAGTCGGACCTCAAATTCGGAACCTGTCGTACCTAGAGATTTGCGGATATCCACTGACGCAGGCAGGAAAACCTTCTCCATGTGGCTGGGTGGCTCATCGCGGCTCGCATCAATGGGGAGGAGGTCTACCTCGTACCCTGCAAGAATAAATCGTCCATCAGGAGGTACGAAGCTGAGTTCTCCTGGCCGTTCCCTCCATTTCGCCAGCCGAACACACGGATGAAACACGGGAAGTTCAACCTTACGCCCAAGCGCTTGTTGCCCTCCCGGGGTTGTCAAGGACAGAAGGAGATCAGGGACGCCAGACATCTTGGCCGTAAAGGCAATGGTACCTGATACCAAAGCTGACAGTAAACGGCCGGAGGGCGCCATAGTGACCGACAATGATTCGATAATGTCCACATATAATTCATTGGAAGTATGCCGTACTCCTGGTCTCCTCCAAGGAATTGCGGGACCCTGCGCGGCTGCATTGGCTGACAGTGACTGTTTGAGCGTATTGGAAGGGCCTAGAATAGGTGTCGACGAGCTACATCCCATCATACAAGTCAGTCCCCAGGAGAAAAGCGTCTACTGTATCATCACATGAAGTACTCACCCAGACAAACCCACACCTCCCAACAACTTCCCCATCCATCCAGGCATTTCCACCGCCTCTTGTAATGCATTGAGCTCCGTGCTAGATACGATGCCTGCATCGCACATTTCATAGAGAAGCTGTGCAACTACATCATAGTTTGCCTGCAGCTTGGACGAGATCAACGGAGCTCCGACGAACTCCTCGAGTACATCAACGACACGATGCAGGAACTCCAACACCAGGAGGGGCTCCGTGTCCACCTCGGAAAGTGCTAGAAAGAGCAGATTCGACTGAACAACGGAGTACACCGTTACTGGAGGTGTAGCACCGGGGATATATATCAGTGATGGGCGCGGAGCTGGATGGGCAAGGTAGAGGGGCAGGGTAGCTGCCGCGGAGGGGGGACGGGAACGATAAACTTGCTCTACCAGAGGATTGCTGGGCACGAAAGTCAGTGGGGTTTGCATGAAAATAGTGCGTGGATAAACTCAGCATACTTCTTCTCATCGTAGACGTACAGCGCATCGATCTCGCTGCTCATTATGGCGATCTAGACTGCTTGAATCGATGGGGGGAGAGGCAGCAATCCGGCGCCATCGATCGACGCCTAGTTGAGCACCCACCTGTTCTGCCGCCGATCCCCGCCTTGCCATGATTTCGATCGAACGATGGATGAGGATCTAGAGTCTTCATTTCCACAGTTCATATCCTTCTCCCTTGCATATATTGCCTCCCGTCACTCCATGGCCGGGTCCTCTGATAATCAAAGCTCCTGGGATGTCCAGTCTAAGGATGCAAAGCGTCTACTAGCGGAAGATCAATATGATGATTGTACTGCCTGCAGAGTGACCGGTGAGGACTTCTTTGTCTGTATGGCTGGTTGTAACAAGTCTAACGTTTGTTTAATGCTTCTAGGTTCCGCCGCATTTATTGGTCTCGGTGTATACAGCTACTATACGGGGATGAGCAATCTCCGAAAGCAAGAGAAGGCAGGCTTACTGAATGCAACAAAATATAAGATGGGCTCTCGACAGTTGGGCATTGCAGCTATCTCTGCGACACTTGTGGGCATGGGAATATATAGGGCCCTCAATTGATGCCCCTCCTAGGGTATTACAACAATGGACACTACCAGAGAGTTTATGTTACGTATATATTTCTATGGAAAAGGTTTTTCGTTGGTAGACGCTTCCTTGCGGCCCAATCTCCAGTAGAAATTCATGTGAAATTCATGGGGTAGAAAATCTGTCCCACTGGGTATCACCATATCTGATAACCTCTATAAGTTTAGTCCTTGTAATGAAACAAAGGGGGAAAAGAAAAGAACCAAAGGCTCAAGTGAAAAAGAAAATGCAAAGAAAAGAAAATCAAATGAAATAATGCAGATGAAGATGTAACTAAGGATGAGACAATGACCAAAGATATAAGGTAGCATGCAACTCCCATAAAATGCACCCATAATGTTAAAAAGGTAATCAACCGCTGCGTGACCGTAAGAATACTATATTCGTGCTACTCGTCGAGTATCATATTCTTTAGGTGAACCGGCCGCGTTTGCTGCCCCCGAAAATATCTCTATTCCCTAGGCCAGAGAGGTCGAAAAAGTCCGGGACTGTAAATTTTCGTTTGGACCCTAGTCCGGTGGAAGGCTCTCGGGTAGAAATTCGAGGATTTACTCGAGATAGGTTATTGTGGCGGATTTGCGGTCGAGGGTTTCGAGGCAGGACTGATACACTGACGGGGGTTCCATCTTGAGACAAGCCGGTAGAACTATCGGTAGGCTGCATGTCAACATCATGCTCCTGGAATTGCGGGAAGGTTGGTCCCGCTGAGAAAGTGAAGATGGTGGACTTCTCCAAAGCGTTGGTCTCGGAGACGGACGGATTGGGTGGTGCTGGAGGCTGCGCAGCAATCTGCTCATCCACTGGAGGTGACGCTGACTTCTGCGGCTGGCGGGGAGCTTCAGACCCATGCTGATCCTTGCGAGCTGCTGCAGGCGAAGTACCCCTATGTTGCTTTTCAGCCTCATCGTCGTCACTGGGGGTACCTGTTCCATCACTTCTTTCCGTTGCCCATTGCCGAATTTTCCAGCCTTCTCCATCACCAAGGCCGAGGTTCTCTCGATCTAGGAACTGCAATAAATCCTCAATAGCCTCCTGGTAGCCGGATTGTTTGGCTTGTGTCTGTTCGTAAACGGCATTCTTGTAGAGGTTGGTGACGGACAGCGCAGCTGCTTTGAACGACTGCAGAAGTTGTTCAGGGGGTTGGGAACGGGGCGCTGAGCTCGGTAGCGAGGTGTTCAAAGATCTCATGGAATCCATATCAGGTTTGGCTGCAACTGTAGCAGCTTTCCTAGGATCTTCAAGCAATGAGTCTACTAGTGCCACTTGGAGGGGTGAGGTGAACCGTACTTCGATATGGTAGAAAAGGAAAATTTCTGGTAGCCAAAACTAAATTCCCAGAAAACGAAAAATTGACCAATTATACAAAAGAAATGTATCTGGGAGCTAGAGAGAGGAAAAAGACAAAGAGGGAGGCCCCGGTCGAGTGCAAACAAAGGCCGATGATAGTGAGGGTTGGTCACAATAATGTGGCTGCAGATGATCCTTCTTTCCTTTCTGACCCGGTAACGTGACCCACCGCGGGGAAACTTACCTTCCGCTCCTGGCTGACTCAGCGCGCTGACTCAACACACTGGTCGCGTTTCCTGCCCAATCAGTGCGTGGCCTGGCCGCGCTTCTCCAACGAAATTCCCGTTTGCCATCCCAGCGCGACTGGCGGATGCGCTGCTTCTTTCGTCCTCCATCCTCCTTTGCTACTCTTTTTTTATTCTCTGCTCACAACCGGAGCTTCAACTTCTCAACAAGACCATCGACACACAACCCACGTCTAGCTCAGTGGGCTCAGTGGGCTACTTCTTGTCCTCGATTTAATCCCCACCGAATCTCGTGGGCTGGCGGGACGCCGCAGGGCGTGTTGGACCGTATACACTTGATACGAAGATTGCGCAGAAGACGAACATGGCGCCTCTGGCCGCCCCCAATTCAGACACGCCCTCTCAGACAGATACTCCTATGACCGATGCTAACGAGGAACCTATTACGTCGGTGCCTGTTGACGCGCCAATGATGGTAAGTGATAGTTACCACTCTGTCGCCCTTTTTGCAAAGGCCCACGTTTTTGTTCCTGTTTACGCAGCTTCAATCGCTCTATGGGAATGGTTGCTAATTGCGTCTTGTGTATAGGGCTACCAGGAAACACCAGACTACACGGTAAATATCATTTAGTCCATTGTTGAAGCTGGTCAAATATTAACGTCCTCGCGATTCAGGACTCTGACACCAATCCGAACACCACGGCAAGCAGCGTCGCAGGCGACATGGCCCCGCTTGATGGCCGACGGCGAAGATCCGAAGCTTTCCACATGAGGAAGAGCATTCTGGGCAAAAAACACGGTCGCCTGGATGAGTCCAAGGTAGGGCAAACCATAGACTATGTCTCAACCAACTTCACTACGGTGGCTCATTGATTTTGGAATTTAGGAGGATGATTCAATTCGCCGATTCCGCTATCTTCTCGGACTAACCGACCTATTCCGTCATTTCATCGAAACGAACCCTAACCCACGAATCAAGGAGATCATGTCGGAAATTGATCGACAGAATGCTGAAGACGAGGCAAAAGCCAAAAAAGGCTCGTCACGGTCAGGCGGTGCTGGTGGTGACCGACGTCGCAGGACAGAACAGGAAGAAGACGCGGAGCTATTGAAGGATGAGAAGAGTGGTGGCCAAACTGGCACGATCTTCCGGGAATCTCCTCCATTCGTCCACGGCCAAATGCGTGATTATCAAATCGCGGGCTTGAACTGGCTTGTATCTCTACACGAGAACGGTATATCGGGTATCCTAGCAGATGAGATGGGTCTAGGTAAAACTTTGCAAACGATATCTTTTCTTGGGTACCTTCGGCATGTGTGCGGCATCACTGGGCCTCATCTTATCACAGTTCCCAAATCCACTCTCGATAATTGGAGGCGAGAATTCCAAAGGTGGACACCAGACGTCAATGTCCTTGTCCTCCAGGGGGACAAAGAAACGCGCCATAAACTGATCAACGAACAACTACTCGACGAGAACTTCGACGTTTGCATCACGAGTTACGAAATGGTCCTTCGGGAGAAGTCTCACCTCAAAAAGTTCGCCTGGGAGTACATCATTATTGACGAAGCTCATCGGATCAAGAATGAAGAGTCCTCCCTCGCACAAATTATCCGTGTTTTCAATTCTCGAAATCGGCTGCTTATCACCGGCACCCCGCTTCAGAATAACCTCCACGAACTTTGGGCTCTTCTAAATTTCCTTTTGCCGGATGTTTTTGGTGATTCGGAAGCCTTCGACCAATGGTTCTCTGGCCAGGACGCCGATCAAGATACTGTTGTGCAACAGCTCCATCGGGTGTTGCGGCCGTTCCTGCTTCGTCGCGTTAAGAGCGATGTTGAGAGAAGCTTGCTTCCCAAAAAGGAAATGAACTTGTATGTGCCTATGTCAGAAATGCAAGTGAAATGGTATCAAAAGATTCTTGAAAAGGACATTGATGCTGTGAACGGCGCCGCTGGGAAGCGGGAATCCAAAACCCGTCTATTGAACATTGTCATGCAGCTGCGCAAGTGCTGCAACCATCCATACCTTTTCGAGGGAGCTGAGCCTGGTCCTCCTTACACCACCGACGAACACCTTGTCTTCAATGCTGGCAAGATGTCCATCCTGGACAAGCTTTTGGCACGTATGCAGAATCAAGGTAGCCGAGTGCTCATTTTCTCCCAGATGAGTCGTGTTCTTGATATTTTGGAAGACTACTGCGTATTTCGCGAGTACAACTACTGTCGTATAGACGGTACCACAGCCCATGAGGACCGGATTGCTGCTATTGATGAATACAACAAACCGGGATCTGATAAATTTATCTTCCTTCTCACGACGAGAGCGGGTGGCCTCGGTATCAACTTGACAACTGCAGATATCGTTGTTCTCTACGACAGCGACTGGAACCCCCAGGCCGATCTCCAGGCTATGGACCGCGCTCACCGTATCGGTCAGACAAAACAGGTGGTCGTATTCCGTTTCGTCACCGAAAATGCCATCGAGGAGAAGGTCCTGGAGCGAGCGGCGCAAAAGTTGCGGTTGGACCAGCTAGTTATTCAACAAGGTCGTGCCCAGCAGCAAACCAAGAATGCAGCCTCGAAGGAGGAACTCCTCGGCATGATCCAGCATGGAGCTGCCAACGTGTTCAGCAACAATGCCGCAACACCCCCCCTGTCTGCTGATAAACAGATATCGGACGACAGCTTCGACGAGATTATGCGCAAGGGTGAGGAGCGAACTGTCGAACTGAATAAAAAGTACGAAAAGTTGGGCATCGATGACCTGCAGAAGTTCAGCTCCGAAAGTGCATATGAATGGAATGGCAAAGACTTCACAGACCGTAAGAAGGACATCGGAATCAACTGGATCAATCCCGCAAAGCGGGAGCGAAAGGAACAGTTTTACTCTATCGACAAATATTACCGACAAGCCCTGGCTACTGGCGGAAGGACAGCTGATCCCAAACCGAAGGTTCCACGAGCGCCCAAGCAAGTCGCTGTCCACGATTGGCAGTTCTTCCCACCGGGGCTCCAGGAGCTCCAGGAAAAGGAGACGGCTTACTTCCACAAAGAAATTGGGTATAAGGTTCCTCTTGGTGACGGCCCGGAGGAAGAGCTTAGTGATCGCGAGGCTGAGCGTGATCTAGAGCAACAAGTAATTGACAACGCGGTTCCCTTGACCGAGGAGGAGCAAGCCCAAAAGGCCAAGATGTCCGAAGATGGATTCTCCACCTGGAATCGTCGGGATTTCCAACAGTTTGTGAACGGGTCGGCCAAATTTGGACGCACAGACTACGTTGGCATTGCCACCGAAGTGGACAGTAAAGAACCGGATGAAGTCGAGGAATATGCTGAAGTCTTCTGGAAGAGATACACCGAGATTCAGGACTACCCCAAGTATCTCCGGGTCGTTGAACAAGGCGAAGAAAAATTGCGGAAGATGAGCCATCAGCGCATGATGCTCCGCAAGAAGATGAAGATGTATCGGGTGCCTCTCCAGCAGCTTAAAATCAACTATACCGTGTCTACGACTAACAAGAAAGTATATACGGAAGAGGAAGATCGGTTCTTGTTGGTGATGCTGGACCGGTACGGAGTCGACGGTGAAGGACTTTACGAGAAAATCCGGGATGAGATTCGCGAGTCGCCTCTCTTCCGGTTCGATTGGTTCTTCCTTAGCCGGACTCCCGTGGAAATTGGACGTCGGTGCACCACTCTACTGAACACCGTGGCCAAGGAGTTTGAGGCCGGTGATGGAAAAGCAAACGGTGAGAGTGGGAAAGGCCGTGGACGTGACGACGATGCCGATAATGACGAGGATAGCGCGCCAGCCAAGAAGAAGAGCAAGAGTGGTGCGGTGGTATGTTTTTTTCCTTTTTTCTTTCTTTTTTTCTATTTCCTCATTTATTTTTAATTTCTTGCCGCCTTTGTTGAATATTCGACTAACTTGCAACAGAACAAACAGGTCAAGGCAGTCAAGGGTGGCACAAAAGCCAACTCTACATCCACGTCGCGAGCAGCCAGTGTCTCGTCCAACACTGCACCCAAGTCTCGAAGCCGGAAGAAGTGATGTTCTGGAATAATATAGTTTTTGAACCATTATTGTTATGCCTATTTGTGTAGTCTCATTGGGAAGGTTATTGGCTGTGGAAGGGTTTGTTGGCTTTTGACCGTTATTTGATTCTGTTGTCTCCCATACACGTCGGACTGGCGTTGGCTGATAGATGCCATTGGGGTTTGTGATCTTCCTCTTTCTTTTTCTTGTTTCATGTACCATGATAGCTATTTCTCACCGAGTGGAATTTAAAATGTATACAAATATAGATGAAAGCCTTCTGGTCATGGAATGAGGCTGATCGGCGAGAGACGTCATCGGGGGGGGCGATCGTCATCCTAAGAGGCACTCCTCTCCTGATGCACCTCATCTCCTAAGGATGATAAATCACAGCGATTCAACTCCTCTTCACCTATCTGGATCTCCTGGCAGAAATATAATCACAGGCTGGACCCCTCTGTGGCTCGCTTTTCGCACTCCTCACCATGGCATCGTCCAAAGTGCCTCTCATCCATAATCCCCACTATTGCAAGTCGGGAGTTAAATCCTATACCTATTTAATGCGCAAATACCATTTCCAGCCCACTCGAGATGGCCCCTATTCCATTGGTCGTACTATCCACCAGACTGGTCGGCCCTTTTCCAGTAAACCGGTGGGTGGTAGAGTCCGTTTTCACGATATTATGCAAAAGCAGTTTTCCGACAAGGAGCTGCAGCAGGTGGACGCAGACGACATCCAAAACGACACCCTCTATCTCGTTCCAGTCTCTATTGGAACACCCCCTCAGTCCCTGAATCTCGTCCTAGATACAGCGTCCACCGACCTCTGGGTTTGCATCCCACTGCCCGAACAACTCCCAGTCTCTACTGACTTCCAGCAGATGCGATCTACCGGTCTGCCCTCTAGTACACTGTCGCAAGACAACAGACGCCACCATGCCTTTGATTCGTCGAAATCGCGCACTTTCTCTCCTGCTGAACAGTCCACGTGGAAACGATCCCACTTGGACAACTCTTCTGCCTCTGGCTACATTGGAACCGACAACGTCACCTTCGGAAACGTACTCATCAAATCCCAACACATCGGCCTTGCCACTTCTCTATCATCGGGATTTGAGCAAGCCACAGCTGATGGCCTCGTAGGACTAGGCTTTGGGAATATAGAAAATGTCTACCCAGAAGCCAAAGGCCTAGTCGAGACCCTACTTACGCAAGATGTCCTACCATCCTCCACCAAGCTATTCAGCGTGAAGTTTGGTGTCCGGGATGATTCCGACCAAGACACACCGCCGTTTGTCACATTTGGGTGCATTGATGAAGAAACCATTCACCGATACCGCGAAGACATACACTACACACATATTGACAACAGCCACCACTTCTGGATGTTCGATTCCACCGCTGCGTCTATTTCTGGAACTCCGATCAGTAGACCCCTGAATAAAGCTATTATTGATACTGATGCCGCTCTTACATTGCTTGATGACCAAACATGCCAGGCTATCTATGATGCCATTCCAGGGGCGCTCTACGATAGTGATTATCAGGGGTTTATATTCCCATCTGATACTGGCTCTCATCAGAGACCTACTGTGGAACTGGACGTGGGAGGGAAGCTGTTCCGCATGTCAAACCGTAGTCTGGGATTTTCTGAAGTCAAGTCTGGATATTTATATGGGGCGATTCAGAGTCGTGGATCCTTGGAATATGATGTCCTTTCTACTACGTTTTTAGAAGGGTTATATGCTGTGAGTTTTGTGCTAATTGAAAGCTGCCATCTGGTCTTTGCAACTAATTAATCTGGTTGTAGGTTTTTGACGTTGGTAATCTTCGCTTTGGTGCCGTGCAGACCATTTAATTGTGGTCGATTTAGCCCAAGTAAATGAAATGGAATGACAAATTGTCCCTACAAAAGATGCATTAGATAGAGCCCAGAGTATTTGCGAATCGGGGAGATCTAATTTCCAGGTTCCTATCAATGAAGTGCACCACACAGAAACAATATAAACAAAAATTTTCATAACTGATAGACTCATAAGTTTCTATGATCTAGGCAATGATTAGATACCAATGTACATGGCTTAATATACAGTTTATTCAGCTAAGAGACAGTCTTCAGCCTCAATGAGATTTTCCCTTCTGCGGCACCTCAGCCACCGCGAGCGGGACTCGAAGGAACATCTCCATCAGTAGTGCAGCTGCAACGCTCACATTGAGACTGTCAACCCTGGCCGGATCGGATTCGACACCCAGGTCCGTACTGAATCGGGATCCTGGGATGCTCACAACAGAGTCGGCATGGGATTTGATGTGCTTGCTCAACCCCGCGCCCTCGCTGCCCATCATAATGACGCTAGGTGCTTGAGTGATAGCAAGGCCAGTAGTCGTCATCTCATCTCCATTGTCAGACGAAAAGTCCACGTATGTTGAACTGGGACCAGGGGCATCTGCAGCATAAAATCGCCACCCGTTAGCCTTAGATCGCTGAATGAAATCCACCTCGTTGCTGACTTCTAAAAGCGTCATATTCTCTGCAGCACCAGCGGAAGCCTTGATTGTCACGGGAGATAATGGTGCGGAGTTTTTGCCGGCAAAGAGAATGGCGTCTATCCCAAGATAATAAGCCGAACGGATAATGGCTCCGAGATTTCCTGGGTCAACAACTCCATCCAGTAACAAAACGACCGGGAAGCGTCTGCGTCCCTGTGAGTGGTGGATTGCGATGTGGTCATTCATGCCATTCACCATTGCTTCTTCTCGTGATTGAGCCCCTAACTCCACAGCAAACTGGTCTTCTTCAAGGGACGAGACCTGCTTAAAACTTTTTACTGGCAGTCGGGGTAAATGGGACGCTTCAAGGACACAGCCGTTGTGAGGACGACCAGCGCTCATCTTATCAAGCAATCTATCCCAGCCTCCAAAAGCCAGTTTCACTTTAAGGTTTTTCATGAGTGCAATCTTGCGTAGTGCAACTTTGGCAGAGCTCAGCTCGTCGCCAGCTGCCTGGTATAGATAAAGTGTGTACAATTTGCGTCGGCTGCAGCGCAGTGCAGCCTCAACCGCACTTGTCCCGTAAATGAATTCTGATGCGGGAGAGGTGTAAGGAATCGAATCCGGGACTTTCACGTTTTCCTTCACGCGTTCTGGAACTTTTTCTGAGGACTGATGGCGGGATGGGGTCTTTTTAGCTTGGTTTACGTGAGGTTTTCTTTGAGCTTCGTTATGGATGTCCCGATCATTGCGTGCCCTTGGAGTGCGCTGGAATCTCTGGTGCTCCCGAGGCAAGGCTCTGAAGTTGCCTGTCCTGATGAACTCATCCTCGTCGAAGTCACTCATAGACCACTGCTTATTCCCTCTTCGGCGCTCAGACTTGGAGTGTCTGAAGTCTTCCTTCTGGTCATACTGCTGGCCATCACTAAGGTTCCCTCGAATTGAAGAATCGCTGGCACGAGTCTTGCGGATGCCACGGCCAATAGCCGAGTTTAAGGATGCATATCGAACCAAGTTTAGATAGGTAAATAAGAATGATTTTGACAGTCGGGGAGACGGCCGAAGTGGAAGAATAGATGAAGAGGTAAACATCGGATCTCAGAATCACTGCAGCCGGAGATAGGCTGTTTGTGGCATTGAGATCTGAGAATGCTTCTCCGTACTAGTACTACGATGTTTTTTCGGTTCTTCGTCGACGACGATAAGATAAGCGGGAAATCGTTGTTCCACCGCGACTCTGCGCGTGAAGGCGCGTCTGGATCGGCGCAATATTACGCTTGTTGGACATACAAAAGTGACTCGTCTCTAGCTCTGCTATCAAACAATGGCACGCTACTCTGGTGTGGATTCTGACTTTCTCTCTCTTTAATTGCCTCTCTGATAAAATATGCATTCCTTTCTGTTTGTCTTTCTCATCCTCCAAACAAATTTCTTGAGCTTCTACTGATATGGAGAGCGATGCCTCTGCTCAGTTAAACGATGCCCTAGTCGCAGACTTATTGGCGCAGTTCAATGCTAGTGCTCGACCAGCAGCGCCCAGGTTTACTGCTGCTAAGCGTGACGTTTCTGAAAATGCTGTTGCTGAAAGTGTTGTACCTGACAATATTGCAACTGAAATGCCTAACCAGATGTTTTCTCCGCCACAGATGCCTGTGGTTGAAATTCCATCCATCGCTAACAGCGATGAGTATGATTACCTTCCTGGGCACTTTGATGTTCGTTGCGTCATTAGTGAAGCAGTGGACGCTGGAAAGGAGTCTTATCTAGTGGAATTGCGAAGCGGGGAGATTGAAACTGTGTGTAGTTTCACTTAACTCTCACTCCATTTTCCATTCTTCTAATTTATTCATTGATAGATCTCGTCCTCGCGACTCGAATCACTTGATAACGGGCCAATAGCGTTGTCGAACTTTCAAAACTCAGAAAGATACAGCATCTCTTCATCTTCATCGGATACAGTAGCTGCTTCAGAAGAGGACGACCGTTCTTCTGATTCACATTCTCAGAGGGGGAAACGCCGCTCTACCCGGTTGAAACGTACTACATTTACGGATTTCTTTGATGGTATTAGCAGTGACAACGGAATGGGTCGCTCGTCGAGGGGCGCTTCTAGCGACGGTATTTTCTCGCCTTTTAGAAAAACCACTAAGCAGCGTCGGTTGCGGAGAGGCCGGCGTCGGGAAATGCGCTTGGACATCACAGATGAAGCCAGCGATTTTGCTTCAAAGGGGACACGCTTTTCGACCCGACAGCGCAAAGTCCTTCGACGTAATCTACGTGAACTGTATGAATACGAGATCTCCGAGAACGAGGGGCACGAAAAAAGACAAAAGTTTCATGGAGCTAGAGAAACATTTAATAAAGCTCCATTAGAAGACCCCTTTCGACTGAAACATCAAGACTCGTGTGATTACTGCTATGTTACTGGAGATGATTGTGCAAAGGGTCCTCTGGTTTTTTGCCAAGGATGCACCAGTGCATATCATCGCCTTTGCCTAGGCCCAAGAGCAACACGCGAACACCTGGTTACAAAAGTATCAGATTCTCTATTTCTTCTCCAATGCCGCCGATGCCTTGGAGTTGCTCATGCAAAAGACTCTACCAGCCCTCATCTGGGTTGCTGTACCGTCTGTCATGAGAAAGGAGATATGGCCGAGCCACTTAAAGAACGCTTAACCCCAAAGCAAGAACAGCAGCTTCGTCAAGACAATGATGATAATGACCCGATTACCGTTGTGGATGAGGCCCGCATAAATAACCTTGATAATTTATTCTTTCGCTGCATCTCTTGTCACAGAGCTTTCCACTTTGAGCATCTGACAATCGACGCAGCGTGGCAGTGTCAGGATTGTTCTTCAGTTCCTGGGGAGATCGGCGCTATTGTCTCCTGGCGGCCAACAGACCCTCAAAAATTTACTCTAGGATCTACAGCGGATGTCCTGAAGGAGACGGATAAGGAGTATCTTATTAAGTGGAAGAATGAGCCCTATAGAACTGCCACTTGGATGCCTGGAAGCTGGGTTTGGGCAGTCGCAAGCCCTCCCATGCGTCGGGGTTTTCTTAGGTCCGACAAAAGACTGAAGCCTCATATGACTGCGGAGGAGGCCATTCCCGACGATTTCCAGCGTGTCGATATTGTTTTTGATATACAATACGCTGAAGATAGCCCACATGACCGGACCTACGAAGCCGACTGTGCGCGAGTGGATCACGTAGCTAAGGCATATGTCAAATTCAAAGGCCTTCCTTATGAAGATGCAGTCTGGGACTCGCCTCCAGATCGTAATAGCAAGCGATGGAAAGATTTTGAAGCCGCTTACAAAGACTGGGTTAGCCGTGACTACGTTCACACTCCAGACTCGCAGTCTCTCAAGAAACATCTTGCCCATGTTCGACGACGGAATTTCAAAAGAGACGTGGTGAGAGAAACCCAACCAGAAACAATGACTGGTGGGGAGATCATGGATTATCAGAAAGATGGTTTAAACTGGCTGTATTATATGTGGTTTAAGCAGCAGAACGCCATCCTTGCCGATGAGATGGGACTTGGGAAAACCATCCAGGTTATTGGTTTATTTGCAACTCTTATCCAGTACCATAAATGCTGGCCTTTTCTAGTTGTGGTTCCAAATTCCACCTGTTCAAATTGGCGGAAGGAAATAAAAACTTGGATGCCTTCAATTCGGGTAGTTACGTATTATGGTTCCTCGTTCTCGCGGAAGCTCGCTCAGAAGCATGAGATGTTTCCCGGTGACGACGGTGACCTTAAGTGTCATGTTGTCGTTACTTCTTATGAAACCATGGTTGATGATGCATCTCGGAGGGTGCTCTCTAAAGTTCCTTGGGCTGGATTGGTTGTTGATGAAGGCCAGCGATTGAAAAATGATAAAAGTCAACTCTATGAGGCATTGTCACGGATGTCATTCCCCTTTAAGGTGCTAATGACTGGCACTCCTCTCCAAAACAATATCAGGGAATTATTTAATCTTTTACAGTTCTGTGATCCAACCACCAATGCAGAAGATCTAGAGAATGAGTATGGAACTCTTTCAAAGAAAAATATCCCTGAACTGCACAATATTATTCGGCCTTTTTTTCTCCGGAGAACCAAGGCCCAGGTCCTGTCATTTCTTCCCCCTGTTGCACAAATCATCGTTCCAGTCTCAATGACCGTTGTGCAAAAGAAATTATATAAGTCAATTCTTGCCAAGGATCCGAATTTGATCAAAACTATCTTCCAGCAAAAAAATGGCGACGGTCCGGCGCTTAAAAATAAACAAACAGAGCGGCACAATCTGAACAATATTTTGATGCAACTCAGAAAATGCTTGTGCCATCCCTTCATTTACAGCAAAGCCATCGAAGAGCGCACAGCTGATGCGGCTATGTCTCATAGAAATTTAGTCGACGCAGCGGGGAAGTTTCAGTTACTTGAACTCATGCTGCCGAAGCTCCAAAAGCGCGGCCATAGAGTGCTGATTTTCAGCCAGTTTCTGGATAATCTAGATATCATTGAAGATTTCCTCGATGGACTTATGCTTCCGCATCTTCGCCTTGATGGGCGCATGTCATCTTTGGAGAAGCAGAATGTAATTGATGAATACAACGCAGAGAACTCGCCATACTTTGCATTCCTGCTGTCCACCAGATCGGGGGGGTGTGGGGATCAATCTGGCCACAGCCGATACCGTTCTTATTATGGATCCGGACTTTAATCCGCACCAGGACATGCAGGCATTGTCTCGCGCACACCGTATAGGTCAGAAGAATAAAGTCCTGGTTTTCCAGCTCATGACTCGGGGTAGTGCGGAAGAAAAGATCATGCAGATTGGTAAAAGCAAGATGGTCCTGGATCATGTGCTTATCGATCGAATGGCTGCTGAAGACGACGATGGACAAGATCTCGAATCAATCCTTCGACATGGAGCCCAGGTGTTATTCGAAGACGACGATTCACGCGATATCCACTACGATTCTGAGTCTGTCGACAAGCTTCTTGATCGTAGTCAAGTCGAGCAGGCTCGATCTCAATCCCCCCCCCAACGAGGACGGGAAAGAGTCGCAATTCAGCTTTGCTCGAGTCTGGGCAAATGACACCCAGGATCTTGGCGATCTGTTGCAAGATACAGAGGACTCCCCGCCCAGTGCTGCTGTTTGGGAGAAGATCCTTCAGGAGCGGGAGCAAGCAGCGGTTGACGAAGCCAAACGCAAAGCGGAGACTCTTGGCCGAGGTAAAAGAAAGCGGACCACTGTTGACTATAGCCATACTGCAACCGAAGAATCTCCGGTGAAGGTACGCCGCACGCGCGAGGCTGAAAGCGACGAAGAGTTCAAGGGAGGTGACGTTGTGGAATCCGATGTCGACTCCAGCCCTGAAACTGATTCGGACGTCATGGCGTGGGCAGCCAAGAAGAAGCCCAAAGGTAATGAGGCTCAGCATTGTTTTCGTTGCTTTTCCTTTCTTGTGACATAAGCTAACGGAAGCCACAGCAGTGCAACCCTTCAAACGCATCCATTCCCCAGACGATGCTGCAGCCTCCACATTCCCAGCCAACATGGACGGCCATATAGAAAACCGCTCGTCATGTCTCGCCTGCAATCAACGTCACCCAGCTGGCTCCTGCCGTTTGAAATTGGCCGGCGTCGAACACTGCGGACTTTGTGGACTCGCGCACTTTGGTGTCGCCCGGACCTGCCCTCATCTCAAGTCCGATATTCAAGTAGCCCGGATGTTGGAAGCCTTAAAGCATAGCGCCGAAGACCCGGAACTTGTCCTTCGGGCCAAAAAAAATACCTGACAGGGATCCGGGGAGACCTTGCACAGCGTAAGAGAAGACAAGCTAGTAAGGCTGCAGCCAGTCTCACAAACCCCGGTGTACCACTTCGCACGACGACTACTGATGGCCCCGTTGCCTCCAAACCACTCTTTACAGCGAATGGCAGTCTTCCACTGTCGATGGGACCACCTACATTACAGCAGCCTTTTTCTGGTGGCAATGAGATATATCGCGGTTTCCAGCCAGAATTTAAAAGAACTTAAAGGGATGCGGTGGGCCTCTTTTATTTTATTTTATTTTATTTTTTGGCCCCTGCTCTGTTTATGATTGACCCGATCTGGTGGGATCGTAGACATTCTGAAGCGAGATTGGCGTTTTTCTTTTCTTTTTTGTTTTAAGAAAAAAATTACTGTATTGGGCAAGTCCATAATGGTAGACATCCTCGTTTTCATTCTGACACGATCTGGACCTGTACATAATCCCCCAAACTCCTTGAAAAATGCAGAAAAAGGTGTTGATTAATTCTACGGCGGGTCACATGGATGCCTCGTGATCGATCTCCAGAACCATTGGATTTGACTCCGATCTGCAAAGTAAAAGACAATAATAATGCTCCAGTATGTTCTACTCTCTGCCTCTACATAGTTAGCATGTTCCAGGTACACCACCCCGTTTGTCCCTGTTTCCTTCTACTGATGCAAAGCAGGTTTTGTCGGAACGCCGTTTGAAAAGGTGCATACAATCCGTCCTCGGTTGCCCACTTCTGGTCATTCATTACCATTTGAGGGCGGTAGGAACAGAGGTACAGTAGGATGTACCAAACCTTGATTATTTCCATCTCATTACCCAGAGACTGTGAGTGTAGAAGTCAGGAGAGAAGGGGGAAGAAGAAGGAACAAAATGGAAAAGGAAAAGAAGACATGAGTCAGAATACCTTCCAGCGAAAAAAAACGATTGCACCTGCGTCCCAGAAACGGAAATGGTCCAACAAAAAGGGCTTGGACGTGAGGGAAAGAAAGGATGCTGCAGCCATCCGGGCAGGATGGTTGTACATCCAGACTGGACAAACACTTGTTGCTTCTTATACGACACTTCTCTCTCTCTTTCTCGGCTGTCTTGCTCTTACTCTTGCTCATGCTCTTATGTCGGCCCTTTCGTCCCCGTTGGCGGTGACAGTCATTTTTTTTCTTTCGTTCTGTTATTTGACAATCCTTTTTGTTTTGCTTTTTGTTCTTCTTTTCTTCCCTTTTCTGTTTTTCGTCCAGTATATTTGTTCTGCTAGATTGTTGTCTTGTTCCGGCTTTCTTTCTTCCCTTTCACATTTGTTCGGCAGTTGGACATTCTGGTGGGTGTTTGGATGGTCTTCGTGTATTTCTCTTTTCTCACTGGTATATTGCCATTCAGATAGCATTGGCTTTGCTTGCATACTTTGGAATCCTATATATTTGCTGCTCCGTATAGTTTAGTTCCAGATTTGCCTGTTATTCCACCTGCTTTGCCTTCACCCCACTCGCTCTCAGTGAATGTTGGTCGTCACTTCACGCCCACTGGATTCTTCCAATTCACCGTGGGTTTTCTTGTGCCAGCGGAGTTTTCCTCTTCCTTCTGCTAGCCTCCTTTTTCCCTTCTTCTTCCCTTTTCTCGCTCTCCTTCTATATCGTACTCTACCTTCTGCTACCTCCCCTTTCTACTCTCTGTCGCAAACCACTGTTCTCAATCTTTACATCCGTGCACAATCATATATTTCAGTGCTCGCACTCATCAATTTCCTCACTTTCACAAATTCTCAGCATAATTTGGCTCTTGTCTATGTCTGAGAGGTCGATCATGGCTTCCTCGCTCCGTCCTCAATTCTTCTGTACCCGCCCAAATGGTACCTTCACTCCGCTTATCGCTGTTGATGAATTGCCTCCTCACCTCTCAATTCGCGGGGTTCCTCGTGTCCTGTCCCCCAATGAGACTCAAGGAATGACAAGCTTGGGTACTGTGAATTCAAGGACTCAATCCTACATCGTCGAGGGCATGGCGCCAGCCTCAAACCGTGCGTCATCGACCAACGCAAACGGCCATCGTTCTCGAGACTATGACTTACAGACTGCACTCATGAGACTTGCTTCCGATGAAAACATTCCAGCAAATCATCGTTTGGCTCTGAGTGCTTTGCTGCAGCAGGGGGTGACTCAAAACTGGTCAGTGACCAATACTGCCAGCAGTGGATGGATGGTCCCTAGTGTCAGCGGTGCTTCTGGCGGTGGCTCGAGACAGGTAAGTAGTACCCCACAGATTCCGTGGCAAGACCTTTCTCAAGAGTCCGCATTTTACGACGTTGACTGTTGTTCTTTGGTCAGAGTAATCATTTCGGTGCGAAAAAAGAATACTGCTCTTACTGGATCCGGCATGGCGAGTGTGACTACCAACAACAGGGTAAGATGCTATTAGCGTTGGATTTTTTATTTTATTATTTATTTTTTTTTTTTTTTTTTTTTTTTCCTAAAAATAAAAAACCAAGAGGAAAATTAAATTGTCAGAGCTGGCTAATGCCAGTCCAACAGGATGTCTTTATAAGCATGAGATGCCTAGAGATCTGGCAACCTTGGAGAAGCTTGGTCTTCGTGATATTCCCCGCTGGTTTCGTGAAAAATACGGTATTCCCAGCCTTCTCCCAAGCGGACACGGTCATCCCCGGGCCCACGGTAGTCATGGGCAGCACTGGAAAGACGACACAGTGGATCGCGGCGGAGTAAAGTCGATTCAGTACCCCCCACAACTGGAGCTGAATGGGGTGGTCGATGCTTCTGACGCGGAGAAAAATGCCAAGCAGAAAAGCCCTAGCTATGCCCCCTCACAGCAGCATTCTATGGGCCTTCCCGGTCCTTCTCGCTCTGCGTTTCCCGGTGGGAGCTCACCAAAGGTCTCAATCAACCAGAGACATGGACATGGACCCAAGCACGGCCCCAATCAGCATAGCTCGATTGCGAAGAGAATTGACCTTTTGTCGTTCGACCCTCTCCCGGAGTACCCATCCCTGAATGCGGTGGGCGGCGGTAGCATTGGTGGATTGAATTATCCGACTTCTAGAGAGGATGTTACTGTCGACAACGCTGATAGGGCGCAGCATGAGTTCGTCCGCAACATTCAATCTCTCATGCCTACCTCGGCAGCCGCGCACACGGAGTACTTGCCCGGACCATTTGAGCCGGCCAGCGCAGGTCAGAATCGTCCCAAGAAGATGCAGAAGTCCCGCCGTTTGTATCAACCTCGATCTCAGGTTAGTGAGCCTGAGGCCAGCTTCGACAGCACCGAACTCGACTCTTTCAAAAGTATACAAGATCCTGCGACCGCATCCTCGAGCGTGGCGTCTCCGACCTCCAAGGACACTGCTGGCTCCCAGCTGGCAAGTCCCGTCGCCGGTCCTACTCAAGCGGGTGCCTCCGAACCTCCCACTCGTGGCGCCTCCCCGTCTGGACACTCGGGCTCTTCTTCCCTTGATTCTGAATGCAGTCCGCTTGTTCTTCGTGCCCAGGTCAATGAGAACGAGTACAGATCCATTCCAAGCCCAATTGGAAGCAAGAGAGTTCATCGCAAGAAGTCCGTAGGGACTTCAAACGTTGATTTCTTCAAGCTCACCATAGGACATGGAAAGTAAGGACGAATTCGTTCACGTGTGACCTAAGACTACCCGCGAAACCTCCCTTTTTTTGTTTATTTATTTATGTTCTACTGTATTTACGACATCATCTCTGATGATACAAAGCTTACTCAGCTCTGATGATATGATAAACCGGTTCATGACTGCCTCGTTTAAATATACCCCCCTCAACCGAGCACGGTAATGTCTATGAATGGGGTGGACTGTTTACAATGAATAGGCATATGACGAAACGACATCTTCTCACGTCTTTTCTTTTATCGTGTGTCTTTGATCGCCTTTGTTAGATCCGAAGACATTCCACACATATGATATGATATGGTGATTAGGATAAAAAGCAACGATGCAACATGGACTGGATAGATCTGGCTCACTTTGCAGCAGCTGTTCTGTGACATATTCCCAGGATCTTCGTTTTCTTCTTTCTCGTTCTCCTCCCTTGTCTTAGTGGCTCCTCTTTAATTATGACTTATGAAGTGTACTATAGCAAGGGTTTTCAAGTTTATACTTCTTTTCTCATACCGACGCTCACTCAGAAAGGGGCACCCAAAAAAAGTGGAGGATAGGAAAAAGGGTCAGGTAAATGTATTTCTGATATTCTGATATCTACGTGATGAGCTTTCAGTATAGAGGACTAGGTATATTAGGCATCTGTAGGAACTAGTTCCTGGTATGAATGTGAGACGATCCAAGATATACATGTATGAAGCGTAGTGGGAATATAATACATTGAGATACATAAATCTAATATGACCTTGCAAATTTGCGCCGCCCCGATGTTTTGGAGTCAAAAAGAAAAGGAAATTAAGAAAAACAACAACATCGTCCCATGCAAGCACACAGAATCAAATATACAATGCCTCCTCCCTCTCCTATGGCTGTCACCGTCACCTCCTCCTTACCGTACTCGCCTCTTCTGCGGCTTACCAGCGATTCTGGCGGCAACCTTTTCTCGCTCCTGAGTCGCCTTGGCGTTCAATGCAGGGTTCAACGAGGGTAAGTTCTGGATGGCCTGCGCGACGACCGACTTGCCGTCGACGACATCCTTTCCCTCTTGCTCCGAACGCCGTCTCTCTGCGCGTCGGGCCTCGAGTTGCTTCTTGCGCTCCTCGGTCATATTCCACGACTCCGGGAAGCGGAGCTTCCGTTGTGGTTTATGATGTCGGAGGTCGAGGGGAATATCGCTGAAGGAATCGCCCTCCTTTGCCTCCTTGATCAAGGTTTCGACAAGATCACCCAGGTACCGCTTGTTCTGTGCAGGGGTGGTGAACTTCTCGCAGGACATGCGTACAATGTCAGTCTCCGGATTGTACCGCGGGCCGACGAGCTTGAGGAACGTCTGGCGCTGTGCCTCAGACAAGTACTTGGGTGTCAAGTCCTTGGAGCTCACTTCAACGACGACCTTGCTCTCCGCAGGGTGCTCCTCGCCCATGTAGGAGGTGTAGCGGAAACGAAGGATATGAGTTTCGGGGGGAAGGGTGAACGGTTTGGCCAGCTCTGGGGATCGCAGATTAGTATAATTCAAAGGAAACTTGAGGAGGGGGTTCTTACTGCTCAGCAATGGCATATCCCAGGCCGCGATCCGAGCATACTCTCGAATCTCCCGATGCACTTCAAGCTCCGCATGAGCCATGGAGGTTATATCGTCGTCCCGGAACTCGTCATCGGCGTCCTCGACCATGCCGAATTCGTCCTCCTCCCCATCAGCCCAGAAGCCGGCTCTCTTCTCCCGTACGTCTTCGAATCGAAAGCCGTCCCGGTCCAGTTCCGCCACGCTCCTGTCGATCTCGGCGAGCTTTGCCGCTCGCTTCTGCGGGTCGTTGAATTCTTCCACCATACGACGGTTCTCGGCATCAAATTCGGCCTGCTCTTCAGGAGACATCATGTCATACATTGACCGCTCCTCCTTCGTGAGGAGGTCCGGCGAGTATTCCGGCATAGGCGGCACATCTTCTGAGTGAGGGTCTGGCAGGAAACTCGACGGAGAGACGGAAAACGACCGAACGGGGAAAACAATTGGACATCTCCGGGCCACTGAAAGGGCTGAACGGCCCAGATACCGAGCTGCTAGAGCCATGACGAGGGCGTCGGTGGGGGAGGGATCAAGTTGAGATTGCTGGATGAGTCCGAAGTGATGTTTTTCTGTGGCTGCGAACTTCGTCGACCCCTAATCCCGATCGGGAAAGACAGGTCGACCGCCTTTCGAATGCCCAACACCGCGCCTCTTCAATCCTCGCAACAATGCTCGCTAACCCAGTCGGCCACCGCCAAGCGAATATGCTTGGTCTTGTGCTTCATCTTCCGCCCCGGATTGACGTCGACTTTGCGCTTCCTTCCTGTCAGACCTAACGGCGGTTTTCTGTGATGGCCACCAGCCACCCCGCGAAGCTATGCTTCGTCACCGTGGGAGCCACGGCTTCGTTCCATCAGCTCCTGCATGCCGTTTTGGACCAGTCGTTTCTAGTAGCGCTGCATCAGTTCGGCTACACGCACTTGCTTGTCCAGTATGGAAAGGATGGTCGAAGTCTCTTCGAGGAATCTCTCCGCCAGCATTTGCCGGGGAGTACCAGTCATCACGGCTTGGAGATTGACGGGTTCGATTTCAACGCCGAGGGCCTGGACGAAGAGATGCGGCTGGCGCAGTTGAATCCGGCGGAAAATCGGAGTAGCGGATTAATCATCAGTCATGCAGGTAACCACTTGTGTGGCCTGGACCTCTCCCACGAACTTGACTTGGCCACTGGCGAAAGGCTGATGTATGAGATTCTCCAGGATCGGGTAGTATCCTAGGTGCATTGCGACTGGGTGTCCCACTAGTGGTGGTTCCCAATCCGACTCTCAAGGATAATCACCAAGAGGAGCTGGCGCGAGAGCTACAGACGCAAGGATATGTCGTTGCGAGTTCATTTCAGTATGCCTGATACCCGAGTATACTTTCTTTCTTCTTCTTTTTTAATCTTCTTCGATTTTGTAGGGACGTTTCTACCGCTGTCGAAAGAGCAGAGGCACTCCGGTCTCGCATATTGAGCTGGCCCCCAGTGAGTGGTGCTGGAAAGGAACAGCATCAGACACTGGAACAGGTCATGTCGGATGAGATGGGCTTCTTGGATTAGTTCGCCTATATTATTATTGCTATTAGAATGGAGATGAGTGTCGTAATATTTATTTCACCAACATATTCTATTCGTCGAGGGTGATTCTATTTTCTATATTTTCGTAGAGTATGGTGTATATGTAAAGTGGCCCAAGCTCCTTGTTGACCAACAACTTCAACTTTGTCCACGCATTTCCCCGACGCGACATTCACCTTCACCTATCTACTCTCGTCCTCCTGCTCAATCTGCTGTCAATTGCAGTAGGACTCAACCTGTTGATATTCCTTCTCCTCTTGGCCTGTCGTGTCTCATTCCCAAACCCCCGACCGTGGGGCTCTCTCCTCTCCTCTCCCAAACAATCGGGACTCTCCCAAAACATCGCCCCGTCACGCCCCTCTCAGTCATCATCCTACCGCGCAATGGCCGAGGCCACCCTTCACAATGCCCCCATCGTCATCGATAATGGCAGTGGGACGATCCGCGCCGGATTCGCAGGAGAAGAAATTCCCTCATGTTACTTCCCATCGTTTGTTGGTCGGCCCAAACACCCTCGGGTCATGGCCGGCGGTCTGGAAGGTGACGTCTTCATCGGCCAACGAGCTCAGGAATTGCGCGGACTGCTGAAGATCAGATACCCCCTGGAACATGGAATCGTGACTGACTGGGATGACATGGAGAAGATCTGGCACTACGTCTACGAGAACGAGTTGAAAACGCTGCCCGAAGAGCACCCCGTGCTCCTGACTGAACCGCCGCTCAATCCCCGCAGGAACCGCGACACAGCGGCCCAGATCATGTTCGAAACCTTCAACGTTCCCGCCCTGTACACGTCCATCCAGGCAGTGCTGTCGTTATACGCGTCCGGCCGAACGACCGGGGTGGTTCTGGATTCAGGGGATGGGGTGTCTCATGCGGTCCCGGTGTTTGAAGGGTTCGCCATCCCCAATAGCATCCGGAGGATCGACGTGGCGGGACGAGATGTCACGGAGCAGCTGCAGTTGCTGCTGCGGAAGAATGGTCATGTGTTGCACACGAGTGCCGAGAAGGAGGTGGTGCGCATGATCAAGGAGAAGGTCTGCTATGTCTCGTTGGACCCGAAGCGGGAAGAGAAGGACTGGACGAACAGCTACCACAAAACGGATAATAAACAGGTGGACTACGCATTGCCGGATGGCCATAAGATCAAGGTACGTTCTCTCGTCTCAGCCCAGGTCTTCTCTAACACCGCCGTCTGTCCCTCTCAGATTGGTCAAGAACGTTATCGTGCTCCAGAAATCCTCTTCGACCCGGAATTGATCGGCCTCGAATATCCCGGCGTTCACCAAATCGTCCAGGACGCCATCACGCGGACGGACCTGGATCTACGCAAGTCCTTATACCTCAACATTGTTCTCTCGGGAGGATCGACCCTGTGCAAGAATTTCCCGGACCGACTGATGCGCGAGATCAAGCGATTGGCCGTGGAAGACATGAAGATCCGAATCTCTGCCCCCGCTGAGCGAAAGTACACCACCTGGATCGGCGGAGGCATTCTCGCCGGACTGAGCACATTTCGCAAGGTAAGCTGTGCACCCGTCAATGGAGGATCAACGTGCTGAATCTATGGATCTGTAGATGTGGGTTAGCGCAGACGAATGGCACGAAGATCCCGAAATTATCCACCGGAAATTCGCCTAAGACGACACCAGTGGGGTACGACAAATAGACATGCTTCGACTAAAAATAAAAAAGAAAACGAAGCAACGTCCCTGATCGAATGAGTCTAGAATTAGGTGACATGGTGAGAATGTCACGACAACTTCGACCAAAACGGAATACTCGCTAGCTGTTGATTTTACAGGCCATCGAGCAGCGGCTTTTGATACCCCCTCTCTCATTTTTTCCTTTTTTCCCCCCCATATCAGCGTGGCATTACATGACCGCCACGATCGCATCATATCTCTCTATTGTTGGGCCATCATGCTCTACTCATACTAAGGATGTGACTCTGTCATCTTCTGTGTTGCTGCTTTTCTTTGTCTCATTTTTGCTATTTCTGTCCAGGTAGGACGGGATGGATTGATTGACTGACTGATTGACCGAGCCAATGTAAATAATAATTCAGGAATAGATGGACGAGTAAGACGTGTAAATGATTCATTTTCATACTTTTCAAAAGATCTATAGAAGCCATTAAGCCCCATTACGAATTAAAAAAAAAAATGAACGGCATCCAACGTGTTCTTCTCCTTTCATTCCGGTCGATAGACGATAGACTTCAAGCTAACATACAAGGTAGTGATCACAGCTACTGTACTGTATCAGGAGACGAAGATACAAAGTAATAATAAATAAAAAAGATAAAAATAAAAAGGTAGAGTAAACATCCTCCGAATCGCCGATTCCAGAATCCAGCATACACACAAGGTAAGATGGATTCAGACGAAAAAGGAAAGATATCCCGGATATAAAAGAGAACACACGATGCAGAAAATCAAAGTGCCAATGAGGATTCATGGCGAACAGGGTATCATGTCGACGACATTGACGTCGAAAGCGGAGGCGAAACAAGGCCATCGAATAAGAATAGATAGATGGATGAAATGTGTGAACGAGGGAGTGAGCAATCCATTGATAGAGTCTGTTGAGTTGCACTTCCTGTCGGGTCAGGACCGAAGTCGGATATTTCGAAATTGAGAAGAGAGATAACGTGATTAAAAAATCGATTCGTGACAGACAATCCTTTACCTGCAGAGGTAAGGCAAGGCAAGACAGGGTGTTGAAGACCGAGAAGTTGAATAAAGAACTTTTTAGTTGGTCATAAGTCGTTAATTCATGCATTGAAACGCTGGCCATGCATGGGATTAAAATGGCAATCCATCCGGCAAAGTAAAAGAAAATAATAATGCAGGCATGTCTATGTCATTCCCCTGATCTTGCCCCAGCCTTTCTCCAAGCCGCGCAGGGCTCTCTCGCGAGTTGAGCTGGTTGAACCGGTACTGCTTGAGGTGGCATTACTGCTAGCGGAGAACTTGCGACTCAGACTGGTGCCGCTGGAACTGTCACTGTAGACCATATTGCCTGCACCACCGCGACCGACATGGTACACGGGGGCCGCACGGCGGAGATCTCGTTCTAGTTCCTCGTCAAAGCTGAAAATGGCACGCTCGGTGCTGCTGTGGACGTTTCCTGCACCACCGCGGCCGGATTTGAATGTACTGGGGACATTGGAGTCCAAGCGCGTTAACGATGCAGGCCCGGTGGCTGTTCGGGAATCGGTGGTCTTGGTATTCTTCAAGTTGATCACATTGCCGGCACCTCCGCGGGCAGTATGGATAGCGGGACGGGAGCTATGAGGGACGGACGGGTGTGGTTCAACGACCCGGTAGTTGATGGATGTCGGCATGGTGATGATTACAGATGGGATGCTCTTGAGAAAGAGGAGAGAGATCTATGACGCAAAATGCATAGAATAACACACTAGTCTAAGCGACGGGAGGATCTCGAAGTATAGAATATCTGTCACGACGAGAGAGAAAGACGCGCGAAACCAGAAAGAAGACGGAATTAAACGCCGTACAATAGCAGTATCAAGGGTGTATGGGTATATCGCAAGAAATTTCTGGTATTCAGGAGATTAGGACCACTATACGGGGAGCCAAACATTGCGGCGGGGACGGTGTTATATAGTAGGATCGACTGGGGAAGAGGTCCCAGGCACCAACCGGCTAAGGGTCACGCGTGTTGCCAGTCCAGTCGGTGGATGAGACGAGTGGAGCAACCCCAAAAAGAAATGAATAAAAATGAATAAAAAGAGGAAACTGCGATGCCAACTGAGTAAGCAAAATGGCCGAAATGCCTATGCGCGCGGTACGGCGTGGTTATGTAAAATCTTCCAGTCCAGATTTGATGTTTCCATGTTTTAGGGCTGGGCGGTTGTCGCAGCCACTCAGGCACGCTGCTGCTCGCTTTTTCCCTGATGATTGGCCATCATGGACCCACTCATCCTGCTGCTTTCGGGCCCTGAGAGATCATCTGACATGACGGAGCCCTGGGCGAAACGTAATAGAAACTTGGCGGAGAGCCAATCCGGCGCCAGGAGGTCTCAATGTGAGTTTTCTGGGAGTAATGGAAATTGCTGGCTGGTCACGAGTGGTATGGCGAGGAGATGATCCTTACAGAGCCTTCAATGGTGTGCTTTGGAGACGTGGAAGAGATAAAACCTGCGGTCAACTCGGCTGGCTGACACGTACAGAGTATGGTATACCAGAAGATTCTTGAATTTAGCTATTCCCCTTGGTGCCTACTCCAGGGGAATTCATTAGAAAGCAAAAGGAAATACTCTAGAGATTAAAAAAAAAAAAAAAAAAAAATAGAAATAAAAGTATATAAAAATAATCCCCGCAAGTTCCTCACACAGCTAGACGTTCGATTGCATCATCGCTTCTGGACGAATCGGTGGCCCCTGTCTCTGTAGATTCATGAATCTCGGTACTTTGTACGGAGTACCGCCTGGAATGCTTGTCGTCTGCTGTCATAGGTACATACATGTACCTCCTGCCCGGTTCCTGACCTGCCGTTCGCTACTTCAGGCCTTCATTGCCAATGAAGCATCGGTACATATTACCCTGCAGGCTCATACAGCAATGTTGTCCTCCCCGGTGGGGCAGATCTGGCTCGACTTTCCTTTCTCCGTATACTCTGTACATAAAGAGTAGTAGGTAGGTACCTGGTAGTTGAGGAGACCCTCCAGTAAATCTCTCACCGTTCCTCTGTCCTGAAGCAACCATTATTGGTGCTGAATTGTTGCATAAGGTGGACCACGCCTCACCATCAAAATTCCAGCCCCATAGAAACGTGGCACTAAACCACAAAAGGGTAGGTTTCCCCCAGACATTTGTCGCAGCTGGACTGGAGAGAAAATGACGCCAGTTCCACCACCAGCAGAGAAATCCCTCATAACCGACCACTAAGGAGGTCATGAAAATTTTTTCTCTCTCCATTGCGGCCCACTGGCGTACATGACGGGCGATTGGCCCGCTTCACCGATCCGGTCCAACCGGCCAGTGGCGGATGACTCAGCGCCTCGTGACTCGTCTCTTGCTTCCCCGGATTTTGGCCCCAGGCATTCATGGGTGGTCACCTGCAGTTCGTCGGAACAGCTGAGCGCAAGAATTCCTGTGGCAGAACCCAATTTCAACCGTCTGTCCCTGCGGCTTCCGTCGGTCCTGTCTCGGTTCTAGCTCACTCCCTTGCCGCCTGGATATCCCTGCTCGTCTCTCCGAGGAATCATTCCGATTTTACATAATGAAACGAGGAATCAAGAACATTCGGCAGGAGGATGAGCCATTTATCCCAACCGAACACCGCCATTGTGACCCCTCGACTTTTTCACCTGCAGTGTATCATCAACAACCCTGTTCTTCCTGCTTGCTGTCCCCATCTGGCTCAAGCATATGTGGCAGGGGGCTACAGCGTCACGGCGTAACTATATCCGAACGAAGAAAGCTTTCCACGAGAACCGTGCCCCCGATTATACTTCTTCTAACCTTCTCCGTACATCAGTAACCAATTATTCCTGAGGCAACTGACAGGCAAATGTTCAGCTTCGCCCTCTTTCTTCCGCGATGCATCCTATCAGTACTTAGCAGGATTAAGCAGCAGCTCAGGCTCAGCTCCATTCTACCTTACATGATTCTACAGGCTAGTAATCCCCTGTGCTGGACTGCTTGTCCAGTTTGTTTCACTTGTTGTCACACACTCACCAGTGCTCTCTTTCCCTTCTCTTCCTAACCCCCTGTCTTAAGGTCCATTCCTACGGAGTATACCGTTGCAGATCTATCCTCGCACTTAGCAACAAGTAGCAAAGACAACTATATCCTAGGAGTCCTCACTCTGTGCCACCGACTGAGGGAAACATAGTCCGTAGACAGCTAGAGCCATTCCTAACACAGCCAAAGTAATATAAAAAACCTTGTATTTCACTGCATCCAGCAAAAATTAGTGCACGATGCTTGAAGGTCGTCGGGGGAAATGAATGAATACACTTAGAATGGCCCCGTCTTTTAACATTAAACTTACATGTTACAAAGGATGTCAACCAAACATGATATCCGCAGTATCAGTGAAGTGATATAAAGCTAGAGCATCCGTCAAGAAATCTTGCACGTCTTGGGCTATCCTACATCAACCAACTAATATAACTCACAGTATACTCATCTTTGGACAGACTCTATCCAGAGGTATAGAACAAGACTGGTGCATTTGTTGGCAATCCACAACATATCACTCGAACATTTTTAAATATGTAACATAGCATAATCTCCATGCTACAATACAGCTACGTCGCAGGTTTATGTTACGGCAGCAACCCAAAGTGAATATAAGCTAGAGATCTGACACGCAATTCAGAGGGCAGAGTGATAAGCCTAAGTCTATTGTAGTCTAGTTTGGGCTTGGAAGTAAAATTTCTACAACCAATGCACTTGAATCCTTTAGAATATTCTCACTGGCCCGATGAGAGCTGTTGAAATGTGTCTGATATGTCTACTCACGCCATGTTAGATGTCTCAGGGAGAAACTGTTTTTGTCACCACACACCGCCTTGAGATATCTCATCTCCATCTATCGGATCTCCACTTCAGCTCCCAGAACTTCATGCAACTCTTTACTCAGAGCATTCCCGGCAACTCCTGTATTTCAAATATTTGTTGCAAAACCAGGCTGTTTGAACGACTGCATCAGGCACATCTGTGACGCGAGTATTCCCGATCTGAGCTCACCCATTCCACGCGCACCGCGCCATTCGAGCGCCGCCGAACTGAAGTTCTTAGAGCAGCTACGGTGTGAAAATTCAAGATGCCTAAATATATGTGTTCCCCGTGCCCCTCGGTTAAATGAGACTAAAAGCTGACTGCCGAAGCACTCTTCTGTAGGTTCCTATATTCCGTGACGGACATCCATTCGGAAGAGCCCCCGTATCTATCCTGGGTCACATCTTCCACATCTATCTCTAGCTATATACGCCTTACTGATCTTGTGTCTGAATTGCAGGCGACTACTGCGATGTGTATCTTACGCATGACTCTATGAGTGTGCGCAAGGCGCATAACTCCGGACGAAACCACCTGAGGAACGTGTTAGAATATTACCAGCGTATGTCCTCGCAAGCACGCTGTTCCCAGTCGAGTACTCGAACTAACAAGACTACAGAAATCGGTCAAGAAAAGGCCCAATCAGTCATTGACTCTATCACCTCGTCGTACGCCGCTGAAGGCCAAGCCGTACCGAACCCTGCGATGGCACCCCCGGGGGCTTTACCTCCGCCGTTTGGATTTCCCGGTATGCGTTCACCTCCCGCTTAGATGTTTTGACATGTCCCTCGAAGTCATTCAGATATAACTAATCATATCCAGGTCGACCAGGCCAATTCCCTCCGCCTCCTCTTCCATTTGGAATGCCTCCCCCAGGAGGACCAAACGGTGCTCCCAGCATGCCTCCTCGTGTGTCCATCCCTCCTCTTCCCCCCTCCCCAAACACACAAAGCTAACCACTCAGCAGCCCCAGGAGGTAGAGGCCTCCCTTTTCCTCCTCCATTCCCTGCAGCATCAGGTGCCCCTCCCCCGGGTAACCTCCCCCTACCTCCTCTTCCCAACATGCCTCCTCCAGGAGGTCAAGGTTTCCCTCCCCCGCCAGGCGGTTTCCCTCCCAACTTCCAGACACCACCTCCAGGTGCCCCCGGGTTCCCCCCCGTGCCTCCCCCAGGCCAGTCATCGGCGGGATACAACCCTGGTTCTGGTCCTGGGATGGGTGGACCGCCCGGACCAGACGGATATGCACCCCCCGGTGCTGGATCTGGAGGTCTCCCTGGTCCGCCTCCAGGTTTGGGAGACTCGCGTTGAGTTCAAGGCCTGTTTAGTGTTTTTTAAATTTTTACCTTCCTTTGGTATGTGAAATTTGCAGCTGTTTCTTTTTTTTGCCTAGTGGTTTGTACCAAGTCTTTCTATCTAGATTTTTTTTCTTTTTTGTTTTAATTTTTCTCTCATTTATATCTTTTCCAGCGTGGTATCTGTGGGTTCGGTATTAAAAAGATTATGGGAACAAAATGAGCAACAGGATCTTAATGGTCACATGTAAACTTGCAAGTTATATTTAACTAGATGCAATAAGGCATTAGAGCTTGTATCATGGATTACAATGGCTCCCAGAAGGATCTTAAAAAAAAAGTCAATATCTACTAGAGAAGATTTGAGAAGTTCTGAAATGCCTGCGTTCTCCAACATAGGCACTACTAACATTATGATCTCTGCACGTACACGAAATCACTGATAATACACAGGGACATCAGATCGAAGAACGACGACCCCAATCAAGTATATAGTTCACATAGTCCGCAAATCCAAATCCCGATCTCCCGATCCTATGCATCAGAACGCCAAATGAAGAACAAGAAGGGTTGAAGAGAAAAATAACCTGACAAGGTGACAATGAGGGGTAAAATAATGGTACTTTTCGGTATATCACAGTATACGAAAAGGGGTAGTCAAAAAGAAAGCAAAGACGCGCACAAGTAAAAAGCACGTCGTGCGTAAGACAGCAAAAAAAGAACGAGAAACAAGGTGGGCACAAAATATTCAGCCCATTCCCACGCTAAGCCATAACTTCATCTCAGGGAAGACCACAAACAACGCAATGTGTTAATGGTCGTATCCAGCTCCTCTTTGCCACGGGCTGGACGAATTTTGCGCTCTATATGCACTCGGGTTATTGAAAGGAGATGAACTTAAACCTCGCGCGACCGGTGATGGCGGTCCTCGTGGGTCTGAGGTATCACTGGGGAAAAGAGGTAGTGAAGGATCAACGGGAGAATGAGGCTGCCGAGCAATGTTCGACGCACCGTTAGCATCTAGATTCTGACGGCTAGCATTCGCACCATTGCCGTGGGAGTAGGAGGTGGAGCTATTGTCGTCATCGAAAGGGCTAGACTTGTAGGCAGTAGTTTTCATATCGCCACGAGCAGTAGCTCCCAGAGCATCCAATTCGGTAGTAAGCTGCGTTTGCGATTTGATGAAAGAACCACGGTCATCTCGCATGGGCTGGTAGCGCGTATCAGGATTCTTCGATACAATGGCATATATAGAGGCGACGAGAACCATAATCAAGAGAATCAGTGCAAACACCGCGTTGATCACAAAGAATACAACACCCATGACACCAGTTACAATGCCAGGCTGATTGAACACATCGGAGAAAAATAGAAGGAAGATAACGTTGAGGAAATTAATGGCAGCGCTGGCGATGTTGTAAATATTGGTTTTCTTATCCATCCATGGTCGCAGAACGCTGGCTGCAATCAACATAGCAGCCTCAATAATGACCAAAGCAATGGTCTGGACGACAGGAGCCGGCTGGCTAAGACCAATGAACATGCCTTTAACAAGGATATATCCGAGCACGGGTACGACGAAGTAGTAAGCCGTAGCTCGATATTGCACGTACAGGAAACCCCATTTATTTAAGCATGTTGGATCGGAGTAGAGGATATAAGCCGGATTCTTGTGCATGGTAACCGACCGCTTCGCCAAGCGAATGACCTTGAATGCAGCCCAACTCAGGGCAGCAACAATCGACAGGATCATGATCACAGCTAGAACCACCTCGGCAGCCGAGTCCTTTCTGGTAAACTCCCACAAACAAAGGATGCACATTTGTGGGAAGCCGATCAATGTTAGTCGAAAAAGAATCCCGCGAGCGACAATTTTCCATCCGTTTCGGAAATCCTGGAATTTATCGCTCTTCATCCTCCCATTCTTTGCCAAGAGCTCACACACCCCTTTGAAGAGGGCAACGAAAATCATCACCAGAGCGACGAAAACGACAAAAAAGATTAGCCCGGTCAGGAAAATATTCGACTGTTCAATGCCCGCTTTAAATCCAACTCGTTGAATACCTCTGACAGTGATGCTCTTGCTGTTAGCTTTCTCAGATGCTGCCCCGTCCCGTTTGAACAAGTGCTCCGAAACGCTCCTAACTAGGTTGACTGGGGCATTAAGAGACCTGCGTTTCAATACTTGAACTGAAGTTGTGGAGAGCTCCGAAAGAAGTGTCGTTGGGATCCCTCCAGTTGATCTTTGGTACCAGGTACAGATATTTTCGAGGAATCCAATATGAATAATACCCATACTCCATTGGAAATTTTGAGTCCACGATTCGACGATTGGAGGCATGTGGACAGATGTCATGCCAATTATAGCCTGAGACTGCATAAAACTGAAAAGAGACAAGGCATTAGCGGCAACATGGGCGGCTGTATTCGAGTGGCCGAGGCCCGATGTGACGGCAGAGGCAGCCAAGCCTAAGCCGGAGATGACGGCCGTGGACCAACCCACTCCTTTTTGATACACCGTTTTGCCGTTGGACAAACTAGCCTCCAGACATGTAATGCTTTGGCCCGTCTCAGTAGAGTTGATATAGATGCGGACAGAGGCGTCAAGGTCAGGAACAGTATACGCAATTCCTAGCGGTTTCGTCAGTCAAAAGAAAAAGGTATGCCACACTGGCCTATTTGCGTGTTTACTCACCGGGGATTTTGTCGACCACATCTTTCGGAACGTCCACGGTGCCACGTTTAACTTTGATAGGCCCTGCATTCATGGGGCAAAGACCTTGCAGTTTCTCTTTACAAGGATCGATTTCCTTTTTAAAAGCCTCAATACCGTAGGCATTGAGGGTCAGCTCAGCAGTCACCTTTCCGGAAATGGAGGCGATTCCATCGAAGCCAAAAGCCAGCGATCTGTTGTTGGGGGTGAAAGTGACACTGAAATAAGTTGCCGTAAAATTTGAGCTATCTTGGCAGATATTCAAGGCGTTGGATTTGATATACTTTTCCGCCGACACCACGGGTGCCGCTAGAAAAGCGACAAAAGCGCTAACGATCAATATTAGCCGCATTTTGGCGAATGGTCTGTCGGCGTCAACTCTACAGGGCGACGGCGAAGGTACTGGTCAATAAAAAGATATCGCCGCTGAAGGAAATTCGGGCAGCGGTGGGTTGGAAGGTGGTACTCCAGAGTATCAATCTAACACCGGCCGGATGCGGAAGGCTCTTGGGTATGGGTCTCGTGTCGGGGCTCAAGGTGAGAATGAAACCCTGGGAAGATCTGGAGAGGCCAGAAGGTCGTAGAAATTAGTGGAGAATGGTAGAGCGAAGTTGCAATTCACAACGTCATTGATGTATTTCCAACAGGTCAATAAGCAGGGCGATTGTTCGTTCAAGGCGAATGACGAGGATAAATTAGTCTAGTGGAGACGAGCGATTGGAGAACTGAAAGTAGTCACGTAAAGAATGTCGAAAGGTGGGAATGTGTCGAAGGACAGTCCAAGTTGGATCAAAGCAAAGCGAGTGGGATGGCGACACACAGTATGGCCTAGGAAGAGGGCGGACAAAAGTAAGAAGGGAAGGGATAACTACTAGGAAGCGGACGGGAGGGGGAATCCTGGGTCACCCTATAGAAAATGGGAAGAAAAGCGTTCTCGCTCCCTCAGACAAAGGGGAAACAGGGTCTGCTTTGGCGGTGAGAGATGGGAACGAGTGGAAGGGAAAGAGAAAGGAAAGAAAGAAACGTTTTCCTTCTAACGACTTTCTTACTTTCGTGGATTCTTTCTGGGAGAGGAACAAGGAGAAGGGGAAAGGCCCTCTGGGTCTCGCTGATTTGGGGGGAGGAAGAAGTGGAATGCGGTGAAACACCTGGCGCTGAGTCAGCAGATGTATCTCGCAGTAACGACGTATCGACTGGTGTTTACCGTACTGGGACGTCGTTCCCTGGTCAGAAAACGACAGGTGGGTATGGTACTGGCAAGGTATTGAATTGTTAGTGGTAGGGAACTAGGTCCATACAGTCTGCGTAATAATGAACAACCCAGCGGTTCGAGACACTCAGGTCACCAGTACCTGGATGTACTTCAACAAGAATATTTGGAAATTACGAAGGGGAGAATTGCAGAAAATTCGGGAGGATGCTGAGAGGTTGACAAGGTTAAATGAGAAAAAAAAATTAAATAAATTAACAATAATAAAAAAAAAAAAATAAAGGCTCATTCGAATTCCCTAACCAGTAGGTCATTGATTTTCTCTCGTGCTAAGAGCCTAAGACTGAACTCCCCCTCAGATCCCACGCACGCGCGTCCTCAGGGGGTAGGATCTGGGCCCGAATGTGGATGATTTTGCTTCCTGTCCATGGCTTCCCGCCTCTGATTTGTCCCCAAGACCACCATTGACAGCCAAGAAGTGAAACTTTTTTTTGGCGCCGAAGGAAGACTGGGTTTTAGCAACTACAGTGTAATAGTGTTGTGCTGGATCGACTGGATTGACTGGTGTGTGGCGTACCCTCTCCAGACGCCCAGTCTCTTCACATTGACACGACGTCACTGCACAGGAACATATCCACTACGAGTCCAACAGAAAATCGATAACAGAGACGGACACAATGGATCTTTCTTCCCAGCAAGAACTTGGCCCCTTTGGGTTCGAGAAAAGGCCATTCCATCCAGATCTGCTCGTCCCAATCTCGGAGAAACAGGACGCACCGACTTGATACGCAAGGTTATTTTATCCTTCTGCCTATCAAACTACTATTAATAACCGCTTGCACGAAATGGTCTTGCAGCTCAAGATCTCTTGGTGCAACACGTAGTGTGTATTGTACAGATCATGTTGGCCATAATCTCTGGGTAGGATTATTGTATAAAGAGTACGTACGAGGTAGCACCCATCCTATCTATGGAGTAGTACGTAAATATTTACATACAGAAATGGTACCTTCACTTGATAGTCAATCAACTACAGAGTATCTAGATCAGCATTAGATATGGATGAATGTTCATACATACTTGGGCGACAGGACATGAGATCACCAAGTATGGATGGTATCCTTGACGTACGCCATCAAAGATGGATTTGGATTGTAGCACGACAAATTCAGACCTTTTTTGGGTATTGAGTTGAGTGAATGTTAAAGAGTCTACGATGTATCGAATCATCGTACTCGTATCTATGTGCTCCGTATACTATGAAATACAAACCATTGAGAGACAATCTCTGGCGGTCGACCCACGGCGATATATCCGTCTATCCGAAGGGTTGAGTAAAGATGAATTAATATCAGGGACGGCACAGCCCCCCGACCAGTTCTCAGGCGATCCCTATTTAACACATTCTCCGAGAGACAGGAGGGTCTCACTTTTACCCTGCCACTATCATTACTGTTGCCAGTGTTTCTCATCATACAATGTAGTGCGGAGTACAGAGTAGTTAGCGAACATGCGAACCGTCGTGTCTCTCTCGCGCAACGGTCTCCATTCCTGATCAATAAAAATGTGAAGGTGATCGACCTGGCTGGAATGCGCGTCATTGACGTCGACCCCCCCATGGATCATCATTCCTTCATCGACGGACAAGCATTTTGGTGTCATTTCAATGGTAACGTCCGTTCCACTAACAAAAACCATCCATATTCGAAAGAAGAAAGGAAAAAGAAAATTCCCGAAACAGATAATCCCTTACCAGGGCAGAGTCCACCGGTTCAACCGTGGGCAGCAAAATTGTCCTATTTTTGTCACGTTGGGGGTCTGTGCAGAACCAAACTTATTAAGAGAGTAGGCGGTCTTGGCGCGGGCTCGCCTTGCGACGGATTTGTTTCATACTCCGATTTTTATCATCTTTGTGTCTTTGGATCTGATGGCCTTCGACTTCCCCTAATGTGACACTCAAGGGTTTTGATTATGGAGATATTCCCCAACACTATGGAGTACTGCGTACAACATTCTTTTCTCATATTGGTCTTTGCTCCAACGCAGGAACTGGTCAGGAGGGTGCAGACCTGTGCCCAGAGTCGTGGCATACAAATGCATTAGTGGCACTCAGGACAGACAGACATATGTCGTCTGACATCTCATTAGCCCTTACTCTGTATAGATTTAATATTTCACTGCTCTTTTTCAAAGTCATCGTCCACCGTACCGCGATATAGGGAATACCTCCAGTCGGACATCGTGATCAACCATGAAGGTCCTCCAGAATACCCAGCTCAGATCACACTCACATTTTTACCCCTATTCTCTGTACTCTGGATTTACTTGTGCCCAGGCAGCAATTTGGACAAAACACGCCAACTTGCTCCCGTCATCTAAGGGTGCAATGCCAAGTTCATAATCCCCAGTGTGTGTTCCCTTTTTAGAATGAACCGCGGTCGCACGTGAGCAAGGGGGGGTCAGATGAGGACAATCACTGAAGAACTGTCAGTCCTAGGCTAAAAAGAGCTAGTGTATATTGATACTACCTTCTGACAACGCATGGTATAAATAATAGTTACCTGTAAGCGTTGGCGTAGAGAAGAACTGCTGCCAGGAATGCTGCTTTAGAAAATGAGAACTCCGTAACCCTGTGGCCTACCTACTATGTATTACTCTTGACGAGCGACTTGTAAAATTCCAATCTTAGTAGTTTGCCACTATATGAAACAGATAGATTATAAATGAAGATGAATCTCGTGCAAGATCTAATAGTATGAACATAACTACTCCCTGTCCTTGTCTTATATAAGAGCAAACGACCAAGCCAAATCCAGAATTCGACCATTGCCTACCAAGTTAGAAGAATATTGCCTTGGGTATACGTTGATTCGCTCACCGCCCGGCCCTATCAGCGGTTATCGGCACGTGATGGCTTTTTTCGATAATTTTCTTCCCGCAAAATCGGTGTTTGGTTTTGAATTGTGGTAGAGCGACAGCGATAAAAAGGGAAAAAAAAAAGGTTTTTCTACCATGCTTTGAGAAGTCGTTCGTGTCTCACCATCTATAATAGAGATCTTAATAGCATCAGAAATAATTACTGCAGCTGAATTTCTATCCCTCTACTAATTTCTCTACGCTAATTTCCGCCGTCGAGTGTTTCTCGCAAAACCTCAGACCAAACCGGCCACGAACATGCCGATTCCTATGGACACCGCAAAATCGGATTCAAAGAAGCGAAAGAGAAAGCACGGAGGTAGTGCGCGCGCAGTAACAGCAGCAGATGACGAAGTGGCCCCGACACCAGCGGCCGAGAATGGAACACTGGCCGATTCTTCAGTAAAGAAAGACGCCGTCTCCGCAAAGAAGTCAAAAAAGTCCGCGAAGGACGGATCCTCGAAGAAGCGCAAAGTGGAAAAGTCGTCCAGTGATAATGAGAAGGAGAGAGAGGAGGGTTCAGATGCCCCTACTGTTGAGGATGAGGATAGCGACGCTAACGAGTCGCCGGCCGCCAATGCCTCAGACCTTCCTTCCGCAGACCCTGTTCGTCTGCCACAGGTAGAGGGTGAGCCGCAGAAGTTCACAGAGCTGAATCTGTCAGAAAAGACCATCAAGGCCATTCAGGAAATGGGATTTGAGACAATGACCGAGATCCAGCAGCGTACTATTCCCCCATTGCTTGCCGGGCGGGACGTTCTTGGAGCTGCGAAGACTGGTTCAGGAAAGACTCTGTCTTTCTTGACTCCCGCAATTGAGATGCTGAGCTCGTTGCGTTTCAAGCCAAGAAACGGTAAGTTCGCTGTTTCCTTTTGTGGGTCTTAGTCTATGCAGTACTAATCTTCTGTCGCCCATAGGTACCGGTGTCATCGTTGTATCTCCTACCCGCGAGTTGGCCCTGCAAATATTCCAGGTGGCCCGTGAACTTTGTCAGTTCCAGTAGGTGCTCCATTAACTACCCTCTCTAGGTGTCTTAACTGACTTAAACCTAGTTCTCAAACTTATGGTATCGTCATTGGAGGTGCGAATCGAAGGGCCGAAGCAGAGAAGCTCGCCAAGGGAGTCAATTTGCTTGTTGCGACGCCCGGACGTTTGCTTGATCATCTGCAAAATACGCAAGGATTTGTCTACAAAAATCTCAAAACTCTCGTCATCGACGAGGCAGACCGCATCCTTGAAGTCGGGTTCGAAGATGAAATGCGCCAAATCGTGAAGATCTTGCCGAATGATAACAGGCAAACAATGCTGTTCTCCGCTACTCAAACCACTAAGGTGGAGGATTTGGCGCGGATATCGCTCAGACCGGGTCCTCTATACATTAACGTGGACCATCGCAAGGAGCACAGTACCGTTGAAGGGCTGGAGCAAGGCTACGTCCTCTGCGAAGCCGACAAGCGCTTCTTGTTGCTCTTTTCCTTCCTGAAGCGCAATGCGAAGAAGAAGATTATTGTTTTTTTCTCCAGCTGTAACTGCGTCAAATACCACGCAGAGCTACTTAACTACATCGATCTCCCAGTGCTCGAGCTACACGGAAAACAGAAACAGCAGAAACGGACCAACACATTCTTCGAATTCTGCAATGCGAAGCAGGGAACCCTAATTTGCACTGACGTTGCCGCCCGAGGCTTGGATGTATGTCTACGCTACTTTGATTCTTCCCGCTGTTTTGTAGAGGAGATTTCTGATAGTTGATTAGATCCCCGCCGTGGATTGGATTATCCAGTATGACCCACCAGATGATACCAGAGATTACATCCACCGGGTTGGTCGTACAGCCCGTGGTAAGGACGGAAAGGGTCGCAGTTTGATGTTCTTGCAGCCGTCCGAAGTCGGGTTCCTGAAGCACCTGAAGGAAGCGCGAGTGCCCGTGGTGGAGTTCGATTTCCCAAGCAACAAGATCGTCAATGTGCAGTCTCAGCTTGAGAAGCTGATTGAGCAGAACTACTATTTGAACAGGGTAAGTCTCTGCTCTTGTCTATCTTGAGCGGTAGGAACATCCCAAGGATAGGGACAACGCTAACGGACCCTCTCTATCAGTCTGCCAAGGATGGCTACCGCTCGTACCTCCAGGCGTATGCCTCACACTCACTCCGGTCCGTCTTCGACGTGCACAAAATCGACCTGGTCAAGGTGGCGAAGGGATTCGGGTTCTCCACCCCTCCACGCATCGACATCCAACTAGGCTCCAGCCTCAGTCGGGACAAGAAACAGCAACAGCAAGGCCGTCGAAACTACGGCAGCCAACCCAATAACAAAGGATTGAAGTTCAAGCGGAAACACGAGGATGATTGATTTCCTCGCCGGTCCACCACAGCAGCAATAGCAGCATGTCGGTCTATTTGTATAATTTTGGTCGATTGCCCTGAGTTCCGGAGTTTGAGTTTTCAGCCTGTGGATATAACTTGTGCTTTCGTCTGCATCCTCCGTGTCATGTGTTCTTTACCCTTTGCATTAGAATTTAGAAAAGTTCTATCTATTCTATTTATTTTTCCAACGTCAATTGCGTTATCTCGACCTGTAAGCAGTAACACAGAAGCCATCCATTCATCCATCCATGAACCCCGATCGGTGGTTTCACAGTGACACTGAACGTCTCAGTCGAGCGGCCTGCAGATTCCAGACGTAAGGGAGACCATGATAGAAAGAAAGAAAGGGAGAACCTTCACAGCGAGGACTTGCCCCTTTGGAAGAGTCCATCCATGGTTAAGACCCGGTTGGTCAAAGATATAATAGCCCTACCCATTTGCAAGTAATAATAAAAGAAAAGCGAAAAGATGAGGAACGGAGTACACGAGTAGGACCAAACATGGCAACGGGAAGAAAAACCAACAAATACGAATTTTTGGTCTTCAAATGCAAGTAAGGCACTAGAGTAGGTACATCCTTGAGTAAGGAAAGGAATGGCTGTGATTACCCCGACTGCATACTCCGTATAGGACTCCGTATGGACACCCATATTCAATAGTCCAATCCCATCACTTGCTAGAAATCACTAGTCGAAGGCTGTAGTCGAATCCAATTCCAAACCCATCTTATCTGGGTTTCCCGCGCAAGGACCAGCCACCGTCTCGGTGGCTGGGGATCCACCAGAGACACTATACTAGCCTGTCCTTACTAGTTGAGATCTTCCTATCCGTACTCCGGAGGTACGAAGTACTACTTGCTTCGGTACAGACAGTCAACCATCAGGGTGTGATTCCGTCACCATCGGGAGATTGTCCTACCAATCAATGCATGAGGCCGGCGCTGGTGGAAGGATAGATGTGATGAGTTGGCAGATGCAGAACCAATGGAGACGAATGGGAAAGGTGGTGATCGGTCGTCCGGGAGACCAATGCACCTAGTTAGCTGGTAGTGAGATTCGTTGGTTAGGTCCACCGTGGGATTCAGATCATAGTATCCCGTACTCCAGAAGGATGGTGTACTCCGTACTGAGTACAGAGTAGTCTGTATGTTGTCTATGTCGTTGTATGTAGACCATTTTGGGAGACGACGGGAGACACCGGACTGGACCTAGACCTTATTATTACCTGGCACTCTCTTGACAGAGATACAGGTCGCAATTCAGGTTACTGGGAGAGTCTATATAAATACCTCCGATCTCCCTGGTGTTGTGCCATCAAGGGCAACGGGAAGAATATGAGATGATAATCCTCTATATAGCGTACTCTGTATACTCTGAGTGTTTCCCTCATTAAGATGGGATGTTCTCTCCTCGGATCAATGGACTCTGGCCACCTTGCATGGCGTTTGATGATGTCGCAAAGGACGTGGGGGATGGGAATTGGAGCCTTAAATAAACCTGGAATGATCTGGATGGCATAAAGTAAAGACGAGAATAATATTATATTATCTGGATCGTCCGAATGAAATGAATAAAAATAAGTAATCCATGGCTGGGAACTCATTTTACAACAGGCTGCGTTTGTTGTCGCCGCTAAAAGTGACCAGCGCATCTCTCTCTCATCTCCAGCCTTCGTCTTTTTCGTCCCGGACTCCGTAAAGCCCCCATCGCTTTCTTTTCTTCTCTTGCATTTATCTTGAATTTTATTTTATTTCTATTATCTATTTTATTATTTTATTTTTATTCCTAAGTCTCTGTCTACTCCTCGGTCCTCTACCAACTATCTTCCTCTCTATGATTCATTCTCATCATTCAACTAACCCGTCTAGCGGCGTCGCATGTTGTTAGGCATCCGGTGAATTGTCCCAATTGATTCATCCCACACCTTCTCTCGCCCATCGTCTTCATCGGACTGCTCAGTTAGGCGTCGATTGCACCAGTCCTCGATAAGTCTACCGTCACAACTACTTCGATTCTTATTATTGTCTCCTCCCACGATCTCACATCACAGCAAGTGAGGGATCAACGGCTGAGCTTGCTCTGCATTCACCTTTGTCCACTTCATCTCGCCTTTTTCTCGACCTTTATTTTTTTTTTTTTTTTAGCCCCTTTTTGGTTCTTCATCTCCTTCCCATAGCCCTTTTTATCTCCTGCGATCGGACAACGACGGTACGCTTAAACCTTTCCTTTCTTTCTCCCCATGTGATATCAAATCTCTCGACCCACGAGTACCTACTGCTGCATATCGATTGTCCGATCGGTAGTGACCTTTCCATCTGATAGCAGCCTGGATTCCATTCCAGACGCTGGTTGTTCAATCTCAATTCCCTTGCCCACTTTCAGTTTCCCCTGAGAAGTCCACCAAAAAAAAAAAAAATAAGGGGAAAAAGGAGGTCAGGTCAAAGAGACACATAAACACACAAAAAAAAAAAAAAAAAAAAAAAAGAAGAAGAAGACAAACGGAGAATAAATCTGCGGACTATGATATTCTGAAAGGCCGTTCATTCCTCCGTCATGGGCGTCGATACGCGCAGACCGATCTTGCCCGCTCCCACTGAATCCATTGTCGACACCGCCACTGGCGACAGTACAACAGGCACTGATTTGGCAACTGACGTATCTCGACGCACAGACAAGACGTCGTACTCGATTCCAGACGACGGGAGTCCCGTTACTATCCCCACCCACCGCAAACACCGGGCCCGCGGGGACGATTCCAAACTGTCCCGCTCGTCACACCACTCCCAGACCTCCCTGCTCATCGAGTACTTCGAGGGCGGGAAGGGTTCTGGCTCCCTGGTCTCCCGGCCTAGTGTCCGAGTCCGAGTGACTCCTTCGTCGGCCCGAAAGTTGAAAGATCAGCAGGACCACGTCCAGATCACCGAATCCAGCAGCGGCCGGAAACCCGCCTACTCGCGCCGCATCTCCCTCAGCTCACCGTCCAAGCACAAGTCGCAGAAGGAGTACGCCGTTGATGAGTACAGTGTGAGCTCCAACTCAGCGACCGATGACCAGCATCCCCCGGGTCGTTCCCCCGTCGAGATCGAGCTCGTGAATCGTGACCAGGCCAGCGAGCTTTCCAGTGTCTCTCGCGACAGGTATATCCACCCCACCTCGGATATCTCGTCGATGCCCGCGGATAGCATGCTAGAGGCCCCATCTTCTGGTCCACGGCGGAAACGTAGTCAGAGCTTAGAGCGAGAGCGGAACCCCGACGCCAAGGTATATCTGAAAACCCCGACTCGGCAGAGAAGTCGCAGCTTGAGCACTGAGCGTATCGCACAGCGGGTTGCAGAGAAACTCAGCAACGACCCGCGTGAGCCCTCCACCAGCAAAGGCCACCGGGCGCAAAGCAGCCGAGACATCGACGATTTCCAGGAGACAGATCCCAAGTCCCCTCGACGCCGGCTGGCTGCATATCGCGGCGACGACGACACCATGAGTCCCGAATCTAGCCTTCTGAGCGCCTCGGCGCTGTCCTCACATCGTCGATCCGGCGACCAGTACTCCTTCAAGTCTGGCACTTCCAAATCGTCCATTAACAACCCCAAGCTCCTCGAGACTGTCGAGGATGCGATTCGGAGGTTGATCCTGCCGGAGCTGAAAGAGCTTAAAAAAGATCAGAAGGTGATGTCCAATACCTCCAAGTTCGAACGTGACATGGGCTCATCGTACTCACCTGCGAGCTCTCCATCTCGGGATGAATTGGGCAGGCGGCTGTCGAAACATGCCAGTGCCCCGGACGTCAGGAAACCAAAGGTTGTCCTTAATAAGGATAGCCAAGACGAAGGTATTGTCCTTTCGGGTGAGTCGGCTCCGTCACAGAAGGAGCGCAGGGCCAGTAAAGACAGCGAAATGACATCCGATGCAAGCTACGTCAAATGGGGGCTTCGTCCGGAGCTGACTGAACAGGAAAAACTGCGGCGTCAGAGGAGCAAGGGATTGCGAGACGCCGAAAAGGCTGGCCGAGTGGGAAACGCCTTGACGGCGGCCGCCCTCAAGCACCACGACTCCCGATCTAGTATCGACAAGAATGAATTTCGGAGGCCGAGTGGCACCCGGAGTCGCACCGGGAGTGTCAATGAAACGGAGCTGGTTTTCCAAAAACACAACGTGGCGCCCATGCCGCTACGCAGCGCGATTGAATCTGAAATGACGCGAGTTTCGTTGCTCTCCGAACAGACAGTGGAACCCACAACACCTCACAAAGAATATGTAGACCAGGACTATATGCAGACTGTTTCTCCCACTGCCCAGACCCCGGTCCGTACTTCCTTGGACTCGCGGTATGAGCTCAAGCACAGCAACCTATCCAGTCATGATCTGTCGATCCACAGCGCGTCGGAAAACGGCGACCACGAACAGGGTTATTCCCCAGTAGGGGATGCCGCTGCTGGAGCCATTGCCGCTGCGGCTGCGGCGAACCTATTAGACGTCCATTCCGGGCGCCGTGCTCCTGATTTTAACGATCGTCGACGAACCCTCAGTCCGATCCAGAGCGTTGCGAGCAATCAGAGTGAGTCTCACATCCAGCTAGACTCCACTCACCATAACGGCCAGGCCGACTCGGTCGACGAAAGAGGATTAGAACAGCGTTTGTCGATCGACTCCCTTTCATCCGCTCCAAGCACTAATCTTGCGAGGTCGACACGACTAGAAGGCATTAGCATTGCCAGTCAGAGCGAGCTTTTCCATCGACGCTATGATGGCCCCGAACTCGGCTACGAGGAATCCCCGGTGATGTCTCCGGGCGGCAACAGGCAGTGGCCGGAAGAATACGAGGGAGATAACGACGATGCGTACCAGCATTCAATAGCGGAGACTACCAGTACCACTGCCAAAAGAATGACGGGTTATACAGATGACAGCCAAGTCGATTTCATGGACAAGGTCAAGCAAGGAAAGCCCGTTGCAGGCCTCGGTGCCAACCCTCAGTTCGTTCATCCACTCGCTGTAGAGTCCGCTGTGGCCTCTCTACTTGAGCCTTCGGTCCTAGACACGAAGTCCAACCAGTCTGGAGTAAACCACTCGCAGACGAACCTCTCACGGCAAATTGAGAACCCAAGCCCCAAGGCCAAGGAGAGAACAGTCCAGTCGCCTCGTGGGTCCCGTCAAGGAAGCCCACTAAAACAGCGCCAGGATGCCTCCAGTCCGGATACTACTTCTTTCCCCAGGCGTATGGGAGCAACGTCTCCCCCGCAAAGCGTAACGCAGTCCCTAGACGACCAGACGGTGCCGACACATAGACCCGCCGAGGAGGACTACCAGCATGAGAGTGCCAGCCCTGAAGTCGACCGGAGCCCTGAATCTGAGTCTGAGATCAACACCAATCCATCCATCATCCAAGGGCCGATCGGAGGAGTTCCCCATGAGAGTAGCTGGGCGTACGATCAGACACCATCCAGAGGCGGGCAATCACCTCTTTTTGGCGATACGGGTGCTGCTGCTGGCAACGCCGGCCTAGGCTTGGAGCAACAGCCTACCTACAACCAAGACTATTACATGAAAGATTATGGCCCTGATGGCTACATTGATCAGCAGTATGCGAGAGGACATATGCTCGACACGCCGCCGGGCGCTAAAGACGAAGGCTATGTATCAGCTGCTAACCCTCTCTCCCCGAGTGTGGACACCCCAGAGCCTAAAGGATTTGGCGGAACCGACGCCAATGGCATGGGTCTTTTTGATAGCCCTATCGGTGCGGATGATGATTTCAATCCTTCTCACCAGCGCCAACTTAGCGGCTACTCCCATGGAGTCGGTTCGCCCTTATATGATAGTGCAACTGGTCGAGGCATCGAGCGGATCCAGTCCAAAGATATTGTCGCCCTCATGGATCATGTAAGTCCAAAATGATGTTTCGCAAGGAATAAGGCGTGATCATACTGACTTCTGTGCAGCTTACTGTTCGTGATGCCCAACGAAATGCTCGAGACACGGAGATCCTAGTGACACTGGTTCGAAGTGCAGCCGAAATGCGGAATTCATTTGAAGAAATGAAGAAGTTCATTGCCCAGCAGGATGAGATGCTCATGGAGTCTAGCGACCGACAGCATGAGCGCACGCACAAGGCCCTGGGAGGGCCTCGTCCACTACCAGCCAGCGGAGCCCGCGGTAATCGTCACGCCACAACAGATGAAGAAGATCTGCGCTCAAAGCGGAAGAATGTTTTTAAGCGCGCACTGAAGGGCCTCAGCCTTAAGTCCTCTAACGATTTGTCCAAAATTGAGGAGATGCTGGAACAGCTGCTCGAGGAGATGGAAACCCTGCGCGCTAACCAAGATGACCGGTACGTCCGCAGCAGCAATCGGGCTGCCAGCGTGGACCCCGATGGCTACGAACCCGAGGGCCAAGCGGGGACTTCTTCTGAGAACCATTCCGGATATCTCTCGACCTTTGCCCGTCCGGTACAAGAACCACGAGGCAATGGCCTGAGGAGGGAGCCGGGACAGCGTGTCAGCACTGTTCCAGAGGCCGATGAGGAATTGGATGACCATGAGCGCGGTGAATTTTTGAGCCCGCATCTGCACTTGATGGAGAATTCGAATAATCGACAGGAAAGAGGCGGGTCTGCACCTGTCTCAACGCCTCCCCGGGTTCCAGTGGCTTCCGGCGCCTTGAGCAACGAGACCACTCCGAAGACAAGCGAGAAAGCACGAAAGCACAAATCAAGCAGCTCTTCATTCTTCCCCAAGATCTCCCGCTGGTCTAAGACCACGGCATCGTCTGTGGGAGACAACATCCGAAACAGTATGCAGCCCCCACGCAGAGATCGTGCGTCTTTTGATGCGTCACGCTCAGGATCCGACGTCGCCAATGGGCCGTACAGGACCGGTGACTACTACGACCCCCAAGGTGATGACCGACTGCGGTCGAACTACACCCTGGACGATCAGCGACAAGAGAGTCGCCCGCCATCGCCCTTGGTACCGTCCCAAGTCTCCGAGGCACCGAAATATCGGGCCCATCGAGACAGCCTTGATCTTCAACACCCTCAACCGCGCCAGGGCCCTACCGGGCGATTTCAATCTCACCTCGAATCGCAGGCACAGACCTACGGCATGCCGGCGCCAGCAGAACAGTGGGGCTCCAATCCCAGCCTGCCGGGTACCAATCCCAATCGACGATATAGCGGCGGTGGTCATCTATCTCCCATTTCCGACGCTGGATACTCGGAGAGCAGCTCTCGCACTGCAGGTCCTCCACGGCCTCCGAAGGTTAAGGACGAAGGTCCACTGGTCCCCGAACGGCCCCCTAAATCCAAGGGGGATGAGAGATCGTATGCGGATCGCGTTGCTTCTCGGGTAAGCATCCCCACCCTTCTCCGTATGATGCATTTCAGGCGCTAATATGACCATCTATTTCTTCTAGAGCTCTGCGATGCGCTCATCCCCACGCAACACACCACCTCCCCGTAAACCGACAGGACCACGTCCTCTGACTTCGGGCGGTCCAAACAGCCCTGGACGGCAAAAGAAAAGTTACTACCGGGCAAGTCCGGACCAGGTTGACGACCAGCATGTCTAGTAATACGCCTGTCTGGCCTTTTTCCTCTTCCTTTTCTTTTCTTAATGACTTAACGAAGTGTTTTGGTGTCAACAGGTTATGACCAGCAACCTGCGTGTTTTTATGAGAACTGCTTTATATCCATGAAATCGAACCGAGCGATGGAAGAGCTGTAAACTCGGGTTGTTTCTGTTCTGGCCTGTCCTTTTCTTTGCATACCATGTATCCAATTCAATGTCCACATAGTGATTCCCTTCTCCTCTGCACATGGTTTTACCGGCGTTGACGAGACTTATAGTTGTCCGGCACAAAATAAGATACTCACTATGGCTCTTGGTCGTAATCTCGCATTCACACATGTCTATTTATTCATTTCCTAATCACTTGCATTAAAAGTAATTCGCCCATCATGTGTAAAAGACCTTATGAAATGGGAAAATGCTGATATGAGGCCTCCAGAAGTGAAAGGTAGTAATTATCATTTTTATCTCATTCAACTCATCCAACAACTTTCCTCCCGTGTTTATCTTAATGTTTCCAGCACCCCAGTCTCCCTGTACTCGAATTAACGTTTGCTACACAAAAGTTTCATGATGTCGACTTCTGATCTTCAGTGTTACCCAAACGAGGAAATTCTCAGGGCAGATTTCAAGCAAAAGTTGGGGCCTACTAAGCAACTAACTGATGCCACCGGTCAGTATACTGTCCTCGAGAACCTCCCATTTGACTTTGTCGAGGTCTGCACCTTTGACCCTCATGACCAGCACCCTCCGGCCCAAATGGATTCTTCTTCAAACTTATGCCGGTCGAGAGGCATCCCATTAATCACCGCGTTGCTAGCCCAGAGCTGGACCTCAGCTACAAGGATTTTGTCCCGAATGCCGGCCCGAAAACAGCGCTAGAACGAATGGCAATAGACCCCTACCAGTGTGCTCTGGAGGTCCTCGATTACCTCGATCAGTTGTACTTTCATGCGCCCAGAAAGGGCACAAGTACCAAAGTTTCGATGATATTTCGTTGTGCTAGGAGTTAGGTGAGCCATTTCAGATAACAAGTTATGACTATGCCTCTATCAGCACTTTCCTTGATTCTAACAAACTGATAGTCCTGAATGACTGCCAGCTACGAGAATTCTTTTGGTCCAAAGTCGGACTCGTGTTCCACAATCACATCCAGAGGCAGGCTGAATGGTCGACGAACGGGGTCCATGAGTAAATCAAGGAGAACAGGAAGAAGTTTACCCATCTGCAAGTTGTCACCCATCAGGGTTGCGTGGGAGAAATGACTAAATTCGCATCGGGGAACCAACCGGCTGCGGTAGCGCAGTCCATCTATAGTCGTCTTAGCCAAGCTCAGTTTGATGGTGTTTTCTTCCCGGTAAGCATCTAAGTAGCATCACTGCTTATTTTCCCTGCCACTAATCTCTATCTCTTTATGCTACCTTAAATCCTCATGACATCTTTCATTAGTCCTCATCCACTGATGCTTTGACCGGGTCCGAAATTGAACATTCTACCGAGTCAATGATTTATTGCACCAAGAGCGAAGCTACGTGGATTTGTTCCTCCGTAGGATCCGTGAGCCACTGCCAGGAAATCCCTCGTCGTCCCGGAGGGACTAAACATCACCAGATCGACGTCATATTTTGAACAGTACTTCAATGACCAGACCAGCGTGATGTCGGGGAAGGTTCCCGTGGCTAGGGATTCCCTTACGCCGTTGGGTTTTCTGTATGAGGCGGGCTCGTTGGTGGAGATTGATCGTAATGTCCTGGCACAAACACCGATTCCACGAGTCTCGCTAGTGTAGGCGTTAACTTATATTGATAAAAATATCACTGACACTGATACTACGGTGCCCAGCTTCAGCCCGACGGATCCCAATTCCTATTACACGGTGTCGAGGGCCTGGAGCAATGTCCCCAATAGTATGAACAACGCCCGATGGGCCATTCTAGACAATGACAATGATATTGGCGAGAAGGACCTGTAGTCGCTGATCTCGGTCATCATTATCCTGTCCAATGACATCTAGACCCTGATCAATGGTCTGATTTTCCGATGGGAGGCGTTAGAGCAGGGAACCTCCCCCCGGCTGTCTTACTCTGGGATTTCAAAGTCAATTTCAATTCGCTCATGATAAATATCGCCCCTCGATTGTCAGCGTCGAATTCTGCTGTTGCTCTTCTGGAGAGACTGCGGGATACTATGACCGCAATTGATAATGGTCGAAATCGTATATCGGGGGCAGTGTTGTTCAATTACTCTTTTTGGGAATGGATGGATGTCTTCAGAATGCTTTTTGGTTCTTCTTGACTTCTGTCTTTGTCTGTGTTGCTCTTGAGTATTCTGACACCCTGTACAGAACATAAAATCATGACGAATTCATATCTATTGGTGAAATACAAAATGGCTATTGATTCCTGTTATATACCTAATCTCCTCATATCTATCTATCAGGAATTCCGATGATTTATACCTTTCCCAGACTAATAAATACCAACGCAGCTATATTCAGAACAGTCAGCAGCCACCAGGCTAAAACAGACATACAAAGAGTCAACCAGCTATTGGTCATCTTAATGGTCACCATCGGTGCGTCCGGTCCATTCAGTCGTCCCCGCACCGTCATGTACTGGTCCCGACTGGTGAAGTAGATCAACGGTGCCGTCACCACCGGGAGGAGGATGCTCAACACCACCTGGCTGGCTGTTAGAGCGGCATCGAGACCATCGCGTCCCACGGCCGCCGCGATCACCACACTGGGCACGATGCTGATGGACCGCGTGATCAGCCGTCGGACCCAGGGAGACATCTTCCAATCCAACATGCCCTCGCTCACCATCTGCCCGGCGATCGTCCCGATCACCCCTGCCGAAAGGCCGGAGAAGAGCAGCGCCAGGGCAAACACCGTGCCGGCGGCCGGGGAGATGGTCTGCGAGAGGAGATCGTGGATTCCAAAGAGATCCGCATCGCCCGCCTCGGGGTTCCCATACAGGGAGGCCCCGGACACGATCAGGATGGCGCTGTTGACGAACGTGGCAAACGTCACTAGGGACACGGATAGCTCGACGATGGAATACTTCATACAGCCTCGGATCGCCGCAATCGTTGGGTGGTACTCAGTTTTGTCCCCGTCACGGTTCTCGTCCGTATGGCTGTTCCCGGCTGTTGCTCTATTCCCATGACCTTCGATTTCCGCATACCCCTGATCCAGATCGAATTCTTTCAACCGAGCCTGAACCAGTCCACTCCCCAGGAACAGCGAATGGGGCATGACCGTGGCGCCGACAATCCCACAGCTGAGGTAGATCCTACAGTACGTTAATACGGGAACGGGAATGGGAACACGTTTCGAATCAGTCGTCGAGGCACATACGCATTCCCCCGGAAAATCGTCGCCGAGGGTAGATACCCCCGAAGAACTTCACCCACGCTGGTGTCCCGGATGAAGGAGAGTTCCACGCAAAAACAGGCAGTCACCCCCAAGACCAGCAGGGTCACAAACCCCTCGAAAGCACGGAGTTCCATCATGGAGCCATAGGGACGGTAAAACATCAGAATAAAGAGGGTGTCCACCAAGGTGATGGCACATCCCGCTACCAAGGGGATATTGAAGAGCAATTTCAGTGAGATTGCCGATCCAATAACCTATTTCTTTTTTAATGATTATCCCTCCTGTCAGCACAGTTCATTTCGGTGAATCCCCAAAAGTTTCAAGGTTGAATCTTACCTCCGAGATATCCGTCGCAATGATTGCCGTTTCCGCAGCCCCGTAGAGAAGAAGGGTCATCCATCGAGGCAGATGGGCTCTACAGTTCTGCGCCAGGTCCCGTCCGGTAACGATCCCCAATTTGATACAGAGGGATTGGAACAAAATGGCAATCAAGTTGGACGCAAAGATAATAAACAGGAGGGCAAACCGGGTCTCCGACCCCGCCGCAACGTCGGTGGCATAGTTCCCCGGATCGATATACGCGACCGCGATGAGAAACCCCGGTCCGATAAACTTGGAGTACGTGACGAGATGCTGCGAGACGCAAGAGAATACTTCTCTGTAGCGTTTCCGACCCGCTGTGCGGACAGCACTGCCTATGAGCGGCGTGTCGGCATTGGCATCCAGACCGTCTCGATTGTGAATGTTTTCCGTCCCAGGGAGCTGAGCTTGGGCGGTGGCATCTCCCCGTTCATGGACCGTGAGAGGATCATCCATGCGGAGTTCGCTTGAATTCTACACAGAAGATGAACAAACAGGATGGTTGGGTTGTTGGTGTTGGTCCCTTGTCTTGCGCCATTCCGCACGTGCTGAGGCAGTAAGGCAGCTCGGGGCGGAAAAACCATCAGATGGGTAGGAATCCGATGACGTCATATTTGTAGTTCAGTGGCGCATAGATACTCCATAACTGGAAGCGGTTTAGCCAACTGAGGCTTGCCACTAATCTGTGTGATTAAGGTAGTTCATGTACTACCGGTACTAACTAGGCAGTTGAACCTTTAGCACGCATTGTCTGAACTAGAGTGGTCGTTTCTCATCAGGAAGACTATAAAGGGTGTGAAAATAGTCGGGTTCTACATTTATTGCTAGTACTGGTATTAATAATAAAGAGAAGAATCTATAGTCATAGTTAGGTATACTTCGATTTGGAATACAGAAACTTCGACTGCCAAATACAAACAAGAACCTATTTATTAGGCATACTTGGTCTATAACTATGTCACTCCCTGGAATAAAAATCTCACTCTACGTCTTTTCTTTTGGAGCGTTCTCAAAGAACCAGCATGCAGTACAGAAGAAAACCCAAGACACGGGGTTATTGGGGGCTAGGTTCGTAGGTTATCATTTTGTATCATCGAGGAACATCCTGATAATTTCCACCATTTATCTACATCCAAATATTGGTCATGACAGTCAGTCGGTAAAGATGTCCGATCCATACATGTTTGATCAGCAGTCACTTTATTTGTATCGGTCAAATGGAAGAGTTCGTAAAGGAGGTTCGAACTTTTTGTTAAGTACTTGTCCAGTCCAGCCTTCGTCTTTGCATCCTCTGCGTCCTCGGCGGGATCGGGATAGTTCTTGATACTATCTGACAATTTGTCAACAGAATACGATGTGGTCACATTTTATCATTCCCACTGTGGATCAGGACGGGAATGCAAAAACGTTAAGACTGCATGTGGCCGGCCCTCCTTCTCACCACATGGCAGAGTGAAGAGTTTAACCCGAGATAGTGCACAACGACCATTTGAACCCAAGGACGACTGGCATCAAGACGAGAGAAGAACTAGGATTGCTATTTTGTAGTATCCGAACTGGTGTAGAATGTTAGTTTCGTCCTCCTTGGGAGATGCAAAAAGTGATCTCCCCTCGGAGACGTCGCGCTTCCGCCTTGCTGACAACGGGGGCAGACAAACTATAACTAAACAGTACTCATCTTGGGTAAGCAGAGCCCCACGGCCGCGGGCGCGATCAAAGAGAGAGTATGTGATTATTAACTTTACTCCGCCAATGCGGGGAAGTCCAAGTGGAGCACATGATAATCTCTGTATATATTCAAGACAACCTTCGTATTCATCAATCTCATCATCACATCTCTTCCTCACCATGACTGACCCTTTAGATCTACCCATCTGCACAGCCTGTGGCGTGCAACACTCGGCTCCCTCCCCCTCATCATGTAAAATCTGCGACGATCCTCGGCAATACATCCCTCCTACCGGGTAGTTATATACTTCATCCACCGTCCAAGCAGACCTACTAACCCCATTCCCAGACAATCATGGACCACACTGCGCAAGCTCCAATCCTCCGGCGCCTACCATAATGAATTCACGCCGATGGGATCCCACCCTGACCATCTGATCACCATCCGCACCGTCCCCAGGCTCGCCATCGGCCAGCGTGCCTTTCTCTGTCGGACCCCTTACGGCAATGTCCTCTGGGACTGTCTCACCTACCTGGATGACGAAACCATTGCGCAAATTAACAAGTTGGGCGGCATAGCCGCCATCGTCATTTCGCATCCGCATTACTACGCGACGAACTTGCATTGGGCTGACACTTTCAATTGTCCCGTCTACCTCTCCGCTGAGGACGCAGAGTGGGTGATGCGCAAGGGTCCTCGACAGGACTTCTGGGAGGGTTCGGAGCTGCGTCTCCCGCTGGGTCCTGGGGACGATGCGGGTGATGTAGTGGCGGTGAAAACGGGTGGGCATTTCCCTGGGAGTTCGGTGTTGTGGTGGAAGTCATTACGGACGCTGTTAATTGCCGATACGATCTTTGTGGTACCGAGTGGCGTGTATCATGTTGGTCGGTTGCCGGGGACGACGTCATTTTCGTTTATGTGGTCCTATCCGAATATGGTTGGTTCTCTTGTCCTCCGAGCAGTTTCTACCTTAGGTTACAGCGGCTTACAATCTAATAGATACCCCTTCCACCGGATGAGGTGCACAAGATCTGGAAGGCGATTGCGCATACGGAGTTTGACGACACTTATGGGGCTTTCGAGGGCGGCGAGACTTTTGGCAACAGCAAGAGACGGGTCTTGGACAGTGCTAAGATTATTGTCAAGGCCATGGGCTACCTGGATCATGCTATTCACCAGGAAAGGTGTCTTTGATTCTAATCAGCACTGACACATGTTACTCTATGTTATACAAAACTCGTGATAGCAAGGACAAAAGCCGTATTGCGTGACCTGTTAGACTCTGCACAACCGGGTACCCACGAGTAAGAATAAATGTCCAAAAGTAAAATTCCGGCGAAGAATACTGCCTAAACCTCGGAGAACGGCCTCACCGAAGTCACACTCCGAACACGCACTCCAGGCCGTGGCATCGCCAGCGACCCCATCTCCAGCCTGTCTGCACTGGCAAATCTTTCCGCGTCTGCTGATCGACACTGTTTAAGACGTCTCCGCTCCTGCACCAGTCGGGACTCGTTTAAAACCAAACTGCGGCGTCGCAGTGGAAGATCGAGACCGAGATGCGGTTCCTCCGTCCTGGTTGCAGGATATCTGGCAAGCCAGTTCAGAGTCCTATTCCGCTGATATCCCGCATAGTCCGAACGGCCTTGGCTGGCCGGGATATTCTTCTCAAGGTCAGCTGAAGCAGAATTACTGGTACCGATCTGCGAGTCCTGTTCGTTTCCACCGTTTGCCGGCTGAAGCCCTGGGGTCTCAGGGTGAGCCGCCTCCAGCCTTGGCCGGTCCAGTAAAATACGCGTGAAAGGACTCCGAGGACGAGTCACGGTCGATATATCATCAACTTTGGGGTCAGGACCTCCGTCGGTCTGCCCTTTATGATTGTTCAAGTGGCTGGGCGCCATCACTTCCTCTGTCACGATGTCCGATCTCAGAAATGATGCCAACAGGACTTCGATGATGAGCCGCTCCCTGCGCGCGATGGCCCCACGCAGGGGATTATTGGAAACAGCTTGAGGGCCGTTGACGACGCGGATGACCACCGTGGCGACATGGAGCAGTTTTAAGGCTAGAAGGTCGTAGATCAGAGAAAGGACCTGGCTGACGCTGATAATGGAAGGATCGCAGAGATCCAGGTCGTGAGGGTTGTCTGCCATGGCTAATGCTGCTTGGGAGATTCTGTTTGGATAGGATGGGACGATAACAAGGAATGAAGAATGAAGAATATGAACGTTGGGGAGGATGGTCCAGTTGGCATTATGGTGATATGTGGACTTGAGCAGGAAAGAGCAAGGGCATATATGGCATGTACCTTCCTAACTATATTTGGGCTACGTATACCTGGTCTAAGAATGAAAGAAAGCTGCATGATTAACAAGACAACATGCCAGCAACGTCATTGAAGCTATCCGTACTATTTAGATATACACTACATAGTCCGGGATTCCCCGCCACTAGACAGACCAACCCACTTAGTATGAAGTCGAAGCCATCTCCACCGCTCCATCATCCATCCATAAATCACCTTAGCTTATCATCCCGTCATTATCATTAGCAGCAGCATCACCGTCACTCACCTGGAGTCCAGTTCATGGTTTTCCCTCGATCCCCATTTTCCCGAAAGATGGGTTCCGTTCCCGCAATCTGCCGACGGTTCGCGCCGCTTAATCCGACGACAGGATCGACTCTGCCGCAGCTGAGAGGGATCGTATTCGACGTAGATGGGACGTTATGGTAACTCCTGCCTAACCCTCTTAGCCCTCAGATAGTATATATATTAATGGAATATAGTCTCCCCCAAAATTACATGTTCTCTGAGATGCGGTAACCATTCCACCCCTCATTGAGTTGAATACCACCATTCAACATCCATCCATCTCCGGAATATCCGTATCCTAAGAAGAGAATATCGTAGAGAATCCCTCGGTATATCGAAAAACATCGACATCCTGCACCACATCCAACAACTCCCCACGGCGGAGGAACGAGTCATCGCGGCGGAGAAAATCCGCTCCATCGAGCGTCGAGCCATGCAGCATCAGCAGCCGCAGCCGGGTCTGATTGAATTAATGGATTATCTTCAGACTCGAGGGGTTCCGTGCGCTTTGTGTACGAGGAATTTAGAGTATTTTTCCTTTTCTTTCTCCCTTCTTCCCTACTGGTTGCATATATAGTGTGTATATGTTTATTGGCTAGGACGAACGATTATGAATAGATGATAATCAATGATAATGATAGAACACCCGTTACTCGCCTCCTCGAAACCTTTCTCCCCAAACATGTCTTCCTGCCTATCATCACGCGCGAAACCCCAGGGTTGCTGCCCAAGCCGGATCCCGCGGGGATTCTGCATATTGCGCACGAATGGGGGTTAGGGAATCGGGGGGAGAGTCTTATCATGGTATACATCCACTATGCCTATACCCTTATATTTATATATTTTTATTGATAAATATACAGGTAGGAGATAGCATCGACGATATGACAGCCGGTCATACCGCCGGCGCAGCCACAGTCTTACTTGTCAACGACCATAATAGCCATCTCAAGGAACATGCGCATACCGATCTATGGATCGAGAGACTCGATGAATTGGTGGGGATTCTGGAGACGGGGTTTGTGGGACAGGCTGTTGATAGACAGATTGATTGATACTTTTCATGTTGGTAATATAGAAATAGATACTGTATTTGCTTGGCATTACTGCAAATTTTGTGGTATACTGGATCTGGATGTCTAGATATCTGTAACAATATAATTCATACCGTCGGACAACGTCCTACGAATAATATCTTGTACAAAGTCATGATCGCCCTATACACATGTCATCAAACCCAGCCTCTAACAGTCTTATCCTATCCAACAGGGTATCACGTATAAACTGTCCGGTCAACGCCCAAAGTCACAAGCTACGCCCCGAATTCGTCTCAAGTCTCAAAGACGGTACCGATCCCAGGCCTCTTTGGCGGCACTGGGCAACGGACGATACGTATCTCCACCGCCTCGCTTTCCACCTCCGCGCGGCCCTCCACGACCGCCCCGATCTGCTCCGCCCCTGCGCGGAGGCGGTTTGGATCGGTTGGGTGGCGGGGAGCGAGGCGCGGGTTGTCGGCTATCCGGTTTTCGGTTCCGGCCCGGAGGAGGGTTAGGAGACCATGAGCGCTGGCGTCCATTGCCTCGCTGGCAATCCTGGCGATCGCGGTAAATCTGACGTGCATCATTTACTGGGGCTCGCGTGTCTGCCGGCGCAAGGCTATGATTCTTTCCTATGCCGCCCCCGATACGGATATTGGGCCGTTGCGTATTGCGACCCAGAAGCTGCCGTGGGCGAGACATCATGTCGTCGCTATCTGGGGACGGCGACCGCTGGTTCGCACGGCCCTTGATCCTCATGCCACGCTGGCCGCCTCGGGACGGAGCGCCTCCCCGTCTGCTGCCAATGACCGAGTTGATGTTGGTCACCATGCTGGGATCGATCCCCCGGAGTGTCCATGATGAGGACGGGATGGGTCTTGGCAGGGATGGGCAATCGCCTACGAGGTGGCGGTTGCTGGTGCAATGCGAGCATGAAAGGGAGACAAGCACGGGTCCCATCGGGGGGTCTTGTCGGGGGATTTTCCACATCAAGTCACATTGACGCTCCAGGTGTGCGGACGATCCACACAGGTCACAGGGGATTTCAGATGCAGAGCTTTTCAGAGCCGATGAACATTGCGGTTCATCATGGCCCCGGTCCCGACACCGTTGGCATCTTCTCCATTTCGGACAGAAACTGCTCTGGTGTTGATTCCAAGCTCCGCAGTGTACACACTATGTCAATCAGTAGCTGTATCACAACATTTCATTTTTTCGATACGAGAATGGGATCGATCAAGGAGAATGGGCTCTAAACATACCTCCTTGGACGGGCAGACCTCGGCGAGGTGACCCTCCCGCAAGCACTCAGTACAAGCGATCGGCAATTGAAGGTCGATGTCATTAATGTCACGATCATAGAACAAGCACCTCGCTTGGCTCTCCATGTCGCTACGGTCTAGGTCAGCCAGGGTGGAGGGGGTCGCAGGGTATTTCTCAGAGAAGCGGCGGAACGCTTCCTCCTTCGAAGAACCGTGAGCGGTACGGTTTTGCAAATCAGACGCCTTGCCGCTCGATAGAACCTCGGACATGGGTAAGGTCTCGGGATCATAATCATCGCCATCTTCTGCGGGAGACGAGCGCTTTCGTTTCTGGCCAAAGTTGCCCTGGTCCTGGTCACGTGTTCCAATATTCAACAATATCGAATCGTCGGCCTCCGAGACTAACGAATCCGAGTCATCGGAATCATCCGAGAGATGCATTTGGTTAGATGCCACCGTGGTATCTTCCTGTAACTCTCCCTCTTCCGGGGCCGTATGATCCGGTCTATTGTTGTGTGGTTTGGGGCTATCATCACTGGCGGAAGCGGAAGCACTGCGACTGCGCCAGTACTTGTTATTGACAGCATCGAATTGCGAGCTTTGCTTGGCGTTGCCATCTGGTTTGTTCCCTCGACTACTGAGCGATGTCCGAATCACACTCTTGCTGCCCCTGTTCCACCTGACCGTCGACGCTCCTCCAGGGTTGCCCTCCTGGGGACCCGAATCCTCCTCGCCAGACGAACTTGTCTCGTCACTAAAGTCGGAGTTGGAATCGGAATCGAATCCCGACGACGATGTGCTGTCCGGATCAACCTCCAAAGAATTGGCACTGAATGAGGCACCACGAGGCACGAAATCATGAACGTCCCTGTTATCGGCCTTTCCATTGCGTCGCTGTCGTTTCGAATTCGGTGGATCCATGGGGCTCTGTCGCGAAGAGGTGCTGGAGCCATTGCCACGAATCCGCTGGGCCCCTACCGAGGCGGTTCTCGAGTCATGATCACCGTCTGAAGAATTAGACATGCTGGATGGGACCAAATAAGGGGGAGGGGAGAGAGGAAACGGGGTGGAGGATGAGAAGCCGAGAGACGTTAGTTGCGGGAAAAAATTTACGGGGAGCGACAAAGAGCAAAGACGTCAGATCGGAAGAATCCTATTGTTGGAGAAGAGGATTATTAGTTAAGGGGAAGAGTAGGAGGCAATTATCCAGAGCAACTGTCTAGAACGTCAGGCTATTCTTAGCCACAGTGAAAGGTCCTCTTGGCTGTTTTTTTCTAGAAGTTCGTTTGTGGCTTTTCTTTTTCTGATTCTTTTCTTTTCTCTCTCTCTCTCGTCCTCGTCCTATTTTCTCTCAAATACCACTACTATTAATAATAATTTCATCTACTGTCAATTCCAGATCTTATCGTGGGATTCCCCATTGATTTTATTTTAATTTTTTCCTTTTTTTTTTTACTTTTTTATTTTTTGTCCCTCGACTGTACTGCGCCTGCTCCCGTGACCTGGTCGCCGATCATCCATTGAGATCTGACGGTCGGAATTGATCTCTCAGCGATTTCACCTTCATCGGCTTCGTCTGGTCACCCTCCATCCATCCCTCTTGACTCTCCTACTTCCTCTCCCTCTCTCTCTCCTTCTTTCTCCCTTTCCGCGTTCCTCCCGCCCCTGAAATCCTTCCCCGCGATCTCCTATCAATACCGCCAAAGTGTCTTCCCTTTTGGTTCCTCGTGCTATCTCCTTCCCTCCAGAGGCCGACAGTCGGCCGTACGGGTTGAGTCCGGACCCTAACATGTCTCAAAGCAAGGCTGGAAGGAGGAGGAGGTCGAGCAGTATCATCTATCAGGAGCCCCCGGAGTCCATTGAGCATACCAGTGATCAGGCTGCCTTACCCAATCTGAATGCGAACTGGGTAAATGCCAAGGGTGAGTGGCATCCCCCCTCCTCTACCTCTTCTCCATCGCTCCATGGGTTGAGCCAGCTAGGGAGAGAGGATAACAGTGACTGATTCGAGTTCGTTGGAGATAGGTGCCTGGACAATCCATTTTGTTTTGATCATCGCTTTGAAGATTTTCTACGATATCATCCCCGGAGTCTCCCAGGAGACATCATGGACCCTCACCAATATCAGCTATATGTTCGGCTCCTTTCTCATGTTCCACTGGGTGCGGGGCATCCCCTTTGAATTTAATGCGGGTGCCTACGACAACCTCAACATGTGGGAGCAAATTGATAACGGAGACCAATATACTCCGACCAAGAAATTCCTCCTCTGCGTGCCCATCTGTCTCTTCCTCCTCAGTACTCATTATACCCACTACGACTTGACATATTTTACCATCAACTTCCTGGCCACGTTGGGGGTAGTCATTCCGAAACTTCCATTTGTATGTACCACCCTGAAACGGCCGCGGTTGGCGTATCGGCTCGTGCTAATCCGACTCCAGTCACACCGATTGCGAATAGGACTCTTCTCCGATGAACTGGATGAATAGTGGCTTCTCTTATTTCTTTTTTCTTTTCTTTTTGTGCTGTCTTACTTCGCCTCTCTCTTTCTTTTCTTGACCATATTCTCCACTTGGCGTCCATTATCTTTTCTTTTTTTCTTTTTTTTTCTCTTTTAATTTTTGTTACACACTCCGGGGAGAAGAGAAACTCTCCACTAGTAAATTGGCCGGGGTTCTGTTATTCTATTCTGTCGAGATATTTTTTGTTTCTTGGTGAGAGGGTACAAGGCAGGCAGACGAAAACAAGAGAGAAAACTGGAAGATAAGAAAAAAAAAAAAAAAAAAAAAAAAAAAAAAAAGAGAGAGACTGAAGATCCGGCCGGAAATTAGACGATATGGGGCGTGATGGAAAAATCAATAGAAGAAGCCGAGGCCAGAGAATGCTGCGATCCTCGTCACCCACTGTCTTAGATATCAAAGCATTCTATTCCATGATTTGCTCGCATCTTCGTCATCATTTCCGGGTTTCGGGATTTCTCAAATTGTACTTTGTAGACACTGAACAGACTTTCATCATGCATGCATTGCAATCACAGCGATTTGACATCTGCGGCCTTGGCTCCTGCTCCCTGCGTGGGGACTGAGCTTATTGCATTAGGCTCTTTCGATGCTGCAGCTAGAGGGTTGACATCCATGCCAAGACCATTCAATTCGTTCGCTACTTCTAGCTCGCATAAAGGGCCATTTTTCCGGGGTCGTTGAAGGCGAGCACGATGATCCAAAAAGGGAGAAGGACTTCCGTGGTAGATAGAGTCCATACAAAAAAAATGTGCGTCAGCGGTAGGATTCGAACCTGCGCGGGCGAACCCAATTGATACCTGAAAGTTGTCTATTGTGCATAGACAAAGACAGTCATATTCAAGTCAATCGCCTTAACCACTCGGCCACACTGACGTAAAAGTCCCTGATTTCTCGAATCTCGTGTACACAAGTCTCGGATTCTGCAGCTCCCCCGAACGCCAAATGGGTTTAATTAGTTTATGCTGCCTTTGTTATACAATAGCCTACTATTTATCAGAGGAAGCAGTACTGGACTAACAAGTGAAAATCAAGACGGTGAAGAAAATATAATAACAAGCCTTGCTCCTTAACTGTTATTTATGGCTTACTGGGATCGATCTTTCGGGACGGCAAAACAAAACAAAATGTTAAGGGTTGAACTCAGTGTATTGCTCATGCGCAGACTAAGTTCTTCGCTACTATATAGGGCGCTAGGTGTGACTGGTCTGTTTATCAGTTGTCTTGTACCATTATTATGGTCAAGTGGTTTACCTCTACTGGCACAGAGACAACCAGTCCATCACACAAAAGGAATATCAGCAGCAGAGTAGGATTTGATACCTGTCAAGTTTTAGAGGATACTCCTCTCTCTGTGCTTCTTACTCTCTCTTGGCTTGCTTCGTGGTGTCATATCCCTATTTTATGTTGAATCAAAGAAGGGATATGAAGCTATATTTATTGGTGTTCCTGGTGGTCTATATATATGTCGGGTATTGATATACAGGCACATTCAGTTAAAGAGCACATACATGCGTGCTCCATGCATCAATGGGAATAATTTATAAAGAAACCGACATGCATATAACTAAAGAGGATAGTGGGAGAAAGAAAAAGAAAAGAAAGCTGAAAAAAGAATACGAAAAGTATAAAAAGACAAATCAAGTCTCGGTCGCCATTGGCGCCGCTGGGAATCGAACCCAGATCGAGACGGGACTGCGGGAAAACCACAACGTCGCATGATAACCATTACACTACGGCACCTTGATTTGTTGAAATGCCGACTTAAACCGGCTACATATCCCTCCAGACTTTAGGCATGCGAAATAACAACCTCCACTCTAGACCTTCGGATCTCAAATTCGGACATTTCTATCCCATCTATCTCGCCTATCCATCTATGCTCAACCTGATCCCGAAGATCTCGAAGATCATCAGATTTGCCCGCGCGGGCAAGAGGACCCCTCCGGTCGCGTCACGCCGTGTATCGATAAGCCGTCGCGATCGCGATCCGCGTTTATCGCCTCTCATCCACTTATTTCCACCATCGCTTGCACATCAATGACGATACCGGAGGTGCAAGAGGCGTCGTTGCCTCATTATTGCCCTGTAAAGCCCATTCCATTCGAGCTGGTCCAGCACTCGGGCATATTCTTGGAAGAGAAACTCTGTCCGCTACCCTCCCGCCATCTGTTCAACCTAATGCCCGTGGCGCTGACTTGTCCCACGCTTCTCACCCCCTAGACACCCAAGCTCTCGACCTTCTCCTGAACATCCTTACGTCTTCAACAGAGCTTCCAACTTCTGTCTTTGTCCCCTCGCCTCAACATCTCGCCATTGCAGCGACTTTTCTTGTCCACCCGTCGACCACTACCTGCGCCAAAACCATCGAAGAAGAGGAAGCACCCAATGCCTCTCTACGACTACTACGACTCACGAATACCCTCGCCGGGCCAATCTCTGCGAACTTCAGACTGGCATTCTCCTTCACCCACTTTGAATCCTCTCGCCAAGGTCGACGGCGGCACGAGCATGACTCCGACGATGATATGAAACCATTAAACCTCCACCTGGGCCAGTCCTCATCCGTATGGTCCCGCGCAGAGGACTTCTGGCACGCAGTTGGATGGGCGCTCAATTGCTCGGTGCTCCACCGTGAGCGATGGCAGAGATGGCAGACCTGGCTGGAATTCATGTGCGAAGTCCTCGAAGATGACTGGAACGAGCGAATTCGTCTGCATACCTCTACAGAACAGGGGGCTGAGAAAGGCGGCGACGATTCCAAGATCCTCAAGGATAGCCTGATCCTGCGATACATCACGGAGGGCACTGGGGGTTATGGACGAAACCGTCGGATCTTGCGCGCTATCTTTGCCGATGGAGGCAGCGGCTCCGTTAACGAATTCCGAGAGGTATTCCACAAGGAGCTGAAGCAGCGCAAACGGGGCGGCGAGAACGTCAAAAAAAGAGAAGTCGAAGTGAACATCGACGAAGAGCAGTATGGCGACTATCTCGCCAATGATGACGACGACGAAGACGGGTCATCCCCGGGCCAAACCGACAACACGACAGCCAAAGCGAAACGGCCAACACGACAGAGCAAACGTCCCCGACGAGGCACCCGATCCAAAGACGCCCATGCTCACGCCAACAATGACGCCCAAACCACCACCCACACGAATGGCGACGTTGCCCTTTTCGGAGGCTTTCCCTCCTTAGCTCTACGCCAGCGTCTCCTCCACCTACTCTCCTCCGTATCGCAACACCTCCCGAAGTGTTTCGTCTCGCTGGAAGAACTATATCACCTATTCGCCGAGAACATCCGCCACCTGCCCCTGCCTACTTTCCAAGCGCTGGTCTCTCCCTCGATACTGCCGTACTTCTCGTCCGCCGCGCAGACCACACTCTGCGAGTTCCTACTCTTCCGCATGCGCGAGAGCCACGCCGCCGACTCCGACGAGCAATACCTCAACCAGACGAAACTGGTACGATGTTTCCTGCCATACGCAGCCAACACATCCAGCATCACCGACAACGCCAAGATATCCATCACCCTGGAGTCGTTGTTGATGCTCCTAGCCGAAAGCGACATGCTGACGGTGACCCCGGAGTTACAAGGGGCAGTGCAGACGGGGATCCTGGCGCGCGCGGACAAAGCGCAGGCCGAGAGCAAGAAAAGTCAGAATAGTCGCAAATACGAGGACGTCGAGTGGTGCTGGCTTCTGGAAAGTGGTGAGAGGTTGATGTTTCTTGTGAATGAGATTCTGCCACATGCGAAGAAGACTTAAGTATTCGCTGGTTCATGAGCTCTGGTATTGAGATGGATGGATGGCTTCGGTGAATCTTACTAGTTGCTTATTATCTACCTACCTGCGTCTTAGATACCCACGTTGTATGCATGGTCTAGCGTACTGCAAAGATTCAATGTCAATAGTAGTCTATTTTGGCTAACATCTGCATAAACGTATTTACAAAACATCACCACTATGGATTAACTAATTGATGAAGACGTGAAAATAAAAAAAAATAAAAATAAAAATAAAAATAAAAAGAAGTATAAAATGAAGAACAGAAATAAGGGGAATAAGATAGATTAAGATAGAGGCGATCATACTGAGGCAACGTATAGCATATCCCACCGAAGACAACACTACAATAGATAGACTCCGATCAGTTTATAGAGGAGGTCGAGGCCCAATGATCTGTCGTTTGGCTCCCCCGACTCCCAAACCGGGACCACCTCGATTCTGACTATCGCCGCCCAGGAAACCATACTGGTGCACGTTCCAGGCTCCTTGACCTGGACCAGTACCTAGAGAAGCGTCCCCTAGTCCCTTTGCGGCAGCTTCTTCGGTTTGTTTCTGGTTCTCCTCCCATTCGCGCTGGCGCTCACGCTCGCGCTCCATTTCACGCTCCAGAAGGGACTTTGAGGCCCAACCACCGGCTTTGGTTTTTTGCTGAGCAGCTTCACGGCGACTGTTCTCCACGTCGACCTCCGCAGTGGTGGTATAGTCTTGTGGTCGATGGGTAGTCGGCCTTGGTGCCACGGGCGGACGGTTCGATGAGAGGAATCGGTCGACGCGGCTCTCTTGTTTCCGGGTCTCGAGGGCATGGGTGATCGGGTCGGGGAGTGGACGACGAGGGGGCATAGCTGGTGATGGACTGGTGGCTGAGGGCTGTGCGGATGTTGACGGGTCGGGAAGTGGTCGAGGAGGATTGGAGGGTGGACTGGTGGATTCGGAGATTGGGCCTTCCTGTTGATAATTCTGCCATTCCGTACGAAGGAGTCGGCGTTCTTGCTCCAGGGAAGATAGATTATAGCTTGGCTTGGGAGGGACAGGGGCCGGACGGGGACTGCGGGTTTGGTTGGGTCCTGACTCTTTCTCTTGGAGAGCTCGTCGCTCGCGCTCGTACTGAGACTCTCTCTCCTTCGCCTTCTCTAGTTCCTGCTCCAGTTCTTGAACGCGCTCGCTCTCCTTGGACTCGGAAGAGACGGTTGGGTCAGTTCTCCCTAGGCTGGCTTGATATTGACTGAGGAATTGCCCGTTGAGACGTGAGTCGTGTGCCTCTCGTCGACGTTGCCTTTCCTTATCGAATCGTTCTTCTGTTTCTCTTTCTTCCCGTAGGCGCTGTTGTTCCTCTTCCTCCCATTTTCGCTGTTCCTCATCCCACCGTCTTCGCTCTTCCTCCACCTCACGCCGCTCCTTTTCTCTAAGACGCGCGGTCTCTTCCTCCCAGCGACGTGTTTCCTCTGCTCGAGCTCGCTCCTCTTCCAATTCCCGCTCCTGCTGGCGCATGCGCTCAGCATTCTCCTGCTCTATACGAGCACGGTCTTCTGCTTCACGCCTGTGTTGTTCCTTCTCCGTCAAGCTTGGTACGTGTGGTGCAGCGGTTGTAATCTGCCGACGAGCACCAAAGGCGACCCCTTGGTTCGCTTGGCTGGCACCACCCATGTAGCCGTATTGGTGGATATTCCAGGCTGGGGTTGTGGAATGTTCATCCGACTTCTTACTCCAAGTACTGATGGAAGAAGGCTTCGCAGAGGGACTAGGTTGTCCAGACATTCTCGAGTTAGCATCACTCACGTTGCTAAATCCTCGAGATCTCGCAGGGGTGTAGCCCCCTTGACTGGAGCCAGTCATGTTTGGACTCAAGGTGCCCCCTTTGTTCTGGGGACCAATCGAACGAGAGAATTTGCTGGGTTGAAGAGCGTTGGCCCGCCGGCTGAAAGCCATTAGGCATTGGAGAACCTGTGCGGGATCTTTGGCTTCGTAGAGATCGACCGTGAGAAAGACGTCATGTGGTGGGAGGCTTAGGGGTGGCATTTGACAGGCACGGAGGAAGTGAGAAATATTCTCCATCTGCACAAAGGGCATCGATGATTGTTTGAACTTGACTCCCGGAGACACTGCAAGATTGACAAGTCTGGGGTTGACCGTTAGTACGATAGCTGCCCGATTGTTCGGAGTACTCCGGAAGACCCGAGAGGAAGCATAGGAGGTACTTCGCGTCCTACCTGCAAAGAGCAACGCCATCTTTCAGAGCCTCGAGAAGGTCACCTGCTGGTAGCCGATCATGAAGCATTTCTTCTACCCAGTCACGTACTTCTGCGGCTGCCTGCGGGGTATAGCGGGACAGGCGCAGATTGCGCAGGTCCTTGTCTAGGGACGTAACAGATGCCATACTGGAATTGACACCGACCAGATAAGGCGCTTAGTGCATCTAGAGAGATGAGAGTGGTTTTGCAAAGCCTGACCGGGTGTAGGGGTCGATTGCTGCCTGCAGGGTAGCCAACTGTGGTTCGTGGCTAGGCGCTTTCTATAGGGTGTTAAGGGACGAGAGAATGGTATATAGGGCGACCAAGAGCAACGGTCAATCGAACAAAATCAATATTTAATGAATCCCGGAATGAATGAGCCGATAGATCGATCGATGGGGTTTTCCAGAAGAGAGGGAGAAGAAGAGCAAATGAAGGAATGAAGGGAACCAGTCGGGCGTGACGAGACCGTCAGCAGCCGCTCCGCCTCGCTGATGACGTTCGCGCTTTTCCTCCGACGATCGGTTTTGCCCTTGTTCCCAGCCTTCCATTCTCATGCTCCTGTCCCTGGCCTCTCTGAACCCCCTTCTTTGCCCCTGAATACCCGGTAATCCCGTTCCCTTGGGCACCAATGAGTCCAGTGAATAGTTTGTGGTTTAAGTGGAAGAGCCTTCGATTGCCGTGGCGAAAATCCTTCCTGGCTGGTATATTTCTCTCCCTTGGTGTTGCACCGTCGAGTTCACTTCGTTCTAACTAGCAATTTGGACAGGGTCGGACCTAGCCGGAAACACGTACTGGGAATTTAAAGATGCGCTGAATGCCTCGCGGTATCGGCGGATTGTCAAAGTCGATCCTAAAACCCACCTCGCAGATGTTCAAGTGAGCCGTACGTATTCCCTTGAAAATGTCGACGAGAAAAAATTCATAAAAATAGAGACGGACAGAGAGAGAGTTTCTGGCTTAACTGACGGTCTCAGCGCAATGGCATCAATGGCTCCGCCACATGCGTGCAGATCCACCTTCGATCGAAGAACAGAAACAGGACATCCTCCGACAGCTTCAGATTAAGCGACTTGCTCGTCTGGCCGACGAGCGATGGGCAAGCAAACCATCCTATCTTGATAAGCCACAGACTCAACATCCTATGCCTGCTACCAAAACGAGCGATGACACGTTGAATCCGCCCACGAGAAGAACCAATTCTGCTCCTAGTCAGGGAGGCAACGATGTTACTGAGACGGAAAATCAAGCCAAGGACAAAACTCCGACAGCGAAAGAAGACCCCTGGGCGCAGACAAGAGGTGGGCCCAGTGAGAACTGGCAGCCTGACTCTTGGACGCCCAAGACGTCTCAGAGATGAAATATCAGAGCGTCAGGAAGGTCTCTATCTGACAGACTCACCATCACTCCTCGGGGTTGTCATATCCCGTTCCGTGATGGCTTTGAAGCAACCTCCGTTGCTCGCTTATATATGATCCGTTGCTACGAAATGATCAGTGTCGTCCGCTAATTTGAATACTGAATATCAAATTTCGCGGAGAGCCTCCAGTACCTGTCTCATTTGTGCAGTTTATCAAGTACAGACGGAGTGGATGGCCTAGCCGAGGGTTAAAGATGGTTGGGTTGATGTATCTTTGTTACTCCGTCTCCCATTTCCTCTAGAGTCATTGGCAGGTGTTATGGATTCCATGGTACTCTATGTGTATTTAATCGTCGTAGACTGGCTTCAGTTTGTACATTACTCCACCACTATACACTTCGCTATAGGAAAACAAAAATATATCGACTACGATGTTTGTCGCTCTGTACAGATTATCTCTTGGTTTTTTCTGAAGTGACAAGTATGATATCCAATAACTGATGGCCAGATATCCATTATGGCATGCTGGGGCAGCAGGGCGATGATCAGGTGCATCGTAGAAGCCCTAATTGGTTCCGAGCGTCAGGTCCATCAACAGTTGTATAACTAGAAGTTCAAAATCCAAATATATTAAATATTAACTGCACTAAACTTGAATTATTAGAATGTGGATAGGAAACAGCGCTCAAAATCTAACATTTTTGGTAACAGAATGCCAAGTCCTTGTTCCGAACATATGCCATCAACACCAAAACAACTGTTGCCCAAGAAAAACGAAGGAGGTATATAACAGAAAAAAAAACTGAGCGATTAAAAGGCAATGCTATATGCGTACAGCAAGGAAACACTTTTTAGCAGAGAACTGCTTCTAGAGCTTCGACGTCGCCACCGGCTTTTCGCACTGCATTCAACGCAGCTTCGCTCATTTTGCGCCGTCTATCGCGGGCTTCTTGCTCCCGCCGCGCTTTCGTTTTCGAGCTTCCGCTCGGGGCAACACCAGTTAGGATCTTCTTGCTGTCGTCAGGGGTGAAATTCACAAACGACACCATCACGGACCTATTCGCGCTCTTCGGGCTCCCTGTTGAGCGACCTGTGCCCTTGACCTGCCTGGGAGCATTCATGGAGTGAGACGACAATTTGCGGCCATGATTTTGGCGCTGAGGAGTTTTAATGTTAGTTTCATTGCGCATGACATCCCTAGGTGAACCTGCTCTCGGAGATAAAGATGGGGATCGCGAAGAATTCTGGATTTGAGGCGCGAAGGAGGACGAGTCGACAAACTTTTGTAGAGTAGTGGGGACGTGGCTGTACGTGTGGTTTTCCTGAACGCTTGGAACCCGGGGCATGTTTGATGCGGGAAAGGATGGATCTGCCGTACCCGGCATGTCAAATGGTGTGGGATCTAACTGAATCATAAGCCCCCCTTGCAGCATGTCATGTTGGTTGGTGGTGTTATGGATTCGTCTTTGAGGAGCTGGGGACGCGACCACTTGTTGGTAGGAAGGTTGTCGCTGTGGTGCAACCCGAGAAGCCATTGGTGACCACCATGCTTGAGCATCATGGTTATGAAGGTCGGGTGTGAATGGAAGCGCCGGGTCGGAATGCCATGAGGACAGGGACTGAGGATCCGAGGAATGTGGAGAGGAAAATATGTCGTCTGCTGGCGGGGAGCTTGACGTGGGAATTCCCGAAGGGTTCGAACGGCTTAAATATCGCTGCTGCTTCCTTGCTAAGGCACCAGCAGAAGGTGATGGCATGGAGATGGCTGGTGACTGAGTGAACATGGTCGAATCAAAATGATGAGATATATCTGTGGAATCCCCCGGATGGTTCATCTGCGCGGAGGTGCCGTCGGTGGGAAGATTCTCATGTTGCACCAGGATATCTGATGGTGGCGGCGACAATGGCAGTCGATCATCAGAACCACCAATACTGAAGTTCTGGAGCGACTGAGCCCAAGCGTCTGGGTACGCCATCCTACTCTTTTGGAGCTGAGAAGAGCGCATCAAACTGGGAGAGCTCTGTTTGCGCAGTGGACTACGGTTGTCATTCGTGTGACAATGGCGACGGATGGACTTGGGGGTCACTAATGCGTTTTTTGTTTTGCGGTTAGGGGTGGTTGGGGGAGTAGACGGCGACCGGACTTGTTTTGGCGAAGAAGCTTCGAGGTTGACGTTGAGATCCGAGACAGTAGAAGGATGGATGGTGTCTGGAAACCCAAGGGCCGCTTGCCCGGCGGATGGGGCCGCATCCTGTGGAGCACACCAAAGGTCTCTACTCCAATGTTGTGGTGACTTAAGGGCCCGCTTGGAGGCAGAGATGCTGGGTGACAGGTCGCCACACTCGCTGGACAATGAGTCGAAAGAGAATAATTGGTCAAGATCACCAGGGAACGAAACGTCTTTGTTACCATCAACTGTCGAGGGATCCACATCGACACATTGATTGAATAGATCATTGAACGAATGGTCGAAAGGTTGGGCGAACATCTTGAAGAACGACGGTTACCTTCCGTTTGCGGCGACGACGAGCGAGCCGACAAAAACTGGTCCAGCAAAGATTGAAAGAGTATACAGCCTATGATTGGCCAAATAGCTCACGCAAATGGTATGATGCTATGAATCAAAGGAAGGTTCGGATAGCGAGCCGGCGATCCGTCAACTGTTGTTTGGGAGACGGTGGAATGTTCCGTGTAGGAACCGTTTGATAAGTTGACAACCAAAGAAAACACTGCAGAAAGTGCAAAGGAGACAAAGCAAACAAACAACAGAAAGATGGTCCTATTTGAATGGTCAAGATGGACCCCAGCCTCTGGGATTCTGCACACATTCCATCTGCACTAAAGATGGGAAAGGAATGCAGTCTAGGTGCTCTGCGGGTTGTCAATATATGGCCCACCCTATCCTAATTGATCGACTTGGAATGCCATAGGACCGTCCCAATGCCAGGATTACCAACCAGAGGACTCAACTGAATGGGTTTCTCCATCTCTCACCCACATTTCGTTCAGAGTGGGCTCGGGACCCAAATGGCCACCCACCGGAATGCAACCTTCACCATGCCAGAAGCATAGAGAATGGGATCAGCAGGACAGGTGCGTGCGGGTCTTAGAGGGACCAAAGAGGCCCAAACCAATAGTACTGAGATGTTCTTTCAACAATGGAAGTTAAACAGGCAATGGCCGGGCCGATGCAAGACAGGGATCATCAATGGCACAGTTTCTTTGAACAGGCAATCCAGAGCATCTGCATAGCAAGTTGATGTATCTAATGTAAACGTCATCACACCATTACTTCATGTTAGGCTCCAAAGGTAGTAGTAGCTGCTGCCCCATCTTGCTATCCTCCTTTCGACTTCTCCAAAGGTTTCTCTGGTATGGTGGAGTAGAGACTTCCGGGTGTTCGGCCCACTGACGTTGATAAGGTTGTTGGAATGGATGGTTAACTGGGGCTGGGAGGAATGTGTACCCCCAGAAACAATGCGCGAATCAGTATTCTGGAATTTGAGAACATAGTTGCATCCCTGCCACATATTCAATAGGGTAACTGCGTAAATTGTTAATTTGATGAAGATTTTGACAAGGATCTGCAGCTGAGGCGCTATTGTGCAGACTCAGATTTCTATTATTAACACCACACAGGCGAATCCGCGCTTCGATAAGAGGGATCATAGCCGTCTGTCTGCATTCGGGCTTCTTTTCCTCTCTCATTTTTTTTTTTTTCATTTTTTTTTTTAGGGACGTGCCTTTTCATTTTTCCAAGGTACTTTCATAGTCAATAACCCAGAGGACTGTCCTACGAGTTACCTCGTGAGACGCATGAACCGAGTGTGGCGGAGGTTCTTTGTTCTTAGGCCAATTGGAGGCCATCGATTTGCTCGAGTGCGAGGAAAATAAAAAAAAAAAAAAAAGTTTATGAATCATTTAGTTTCTCTTTTCCTTGCTCAATTCCTTTCTGGCTTTGGGTGCTTAAGCCTGTAAAAGAGCCACAGTTCACGCGCTTTGCGATATCCTGGAAATCACGACGGCTGGGCAGTCTAGATGGCAAAATAGCAACGCAAATTGATAAAGAGCATACGGGATGTCGCCGAGGCCTAAAATCCTGAAAACGTAATCCTTGAGAGGACAAAGATACCAGCCCAAGAGGAATGGCTTCAAGCAGGAAGCCACCAGAAAGAATGTTCGATTCAGCCTAGAACTTACTTTCTAGGTAGACAGACAATACGAACATGCATGCCTGCGAGTCCAAACACCGTTAGCACAGTAGTCTCATACAGAAAAGTGGATATTCAGACAGAGAGCAGAGTAAGAAAGCAATATGCTCTGGTGCAGCGTTGTCACAAGTATAGCCACGTTCCTATGGCTGTTATTGCAGCGTTGATTCTATCCTGGAGATGGCTTCGATATTCCCATCATCTATGGAGTCAGGGTTATAGAGATACATCATGATTCCAATTCCTGCCTAATTCATGATTGCAAAGTAGCTAGTAGTAGTATGGACTTGATCTTACGAGTGCCATCTTAGAATTGACCGGAACCATCCACTGAGGCTTAGTCAGGATGACGTTGATTCGACAGAGAAGCGAAGTAAGGATCTGCATTCAACTAAGCCACATTTGGAGAACTCCAACCTTCGGGCCGACTAAAAGACCGACGGCAAGAGGCAACAGCCTCTCAACTTGGTCAGGTGGTGATGACGGAAATCTGACTGCAGTCGGGCTGTCAGCGACAAGTCGCCTGTTTCCTGCTTCTCTCTTAAGAGCACTTTTGGGCTGTGCTATCACTACCTACCTACATAAACCTTCTATATTCTCGTTGTGGCACGTTCCAACAAGCGTGTCTTTGGTCTTCGTTTGGGGCTGAACCGGCTGACTTTCTATCGCTACCCCTCGCCCCCCGCCGCAATCTTCCACACATCCTACGAGGTGGGAATGAGTCTATAAGCCGCTCACGCTCATCATTTCGGGCTTGTCAACGCGAAAGGTGCACAGTGGCTGTTGAGGAAGTTTGATCTTTCGTGAATATATCAAGGTGTCCTGTTTAGGGATACCCAACGTGTTGCGATATTTGACCTCAAGAGCGAATACTACGCTCTTCTCTCCTTCCGATACATCCGATTTTGCAAAACAGCCTACAGTCTATATGTATAGCCTCAGAAATTCTATCGCAAACAACATTATTACTCTTACACGGCAGGAACTCAAACAGACGTCTTCTCCTCTCAAGGCTCAATACCGCCAGAAGTGCATGTGCAACCTTTATATGAACTCCCGGATCTCGAAGTAATAATCAACAATGTACCCAAAGATTTTTCCTGTCGAGGATGTCCTCGTCGCCTCACATTAGGTGAATACCTCCATTCACTCTTGTGCTTCGCTATGGAACCCCCCCGGATTTTCGGAGGCCTTCGAAGCCATTTATTCTCGAATCGAAAACACCCCGGCTATTCTTTGTTGAATAAAGAAGTCAATCTCCCCACCTTGTCTTTCAGGCAGTACAAGTGGGGCTTTTCTCTCTGATAATAACCTGTCTTTTGTATTTTATAATTGGCAGTATTCTTGGATTCAGGACAGCAGATTGCCAAAATGGCCACGAAAAGTATGAACAAAAAGTCCTGGGAGTCTATGTCTTCAACATTTTCGACCCTTGAAATCTCCCTTTCTCAGGACAGCTGTTATGCATCGGATGAGGTCTCTGTCACATCAACCAACCCAACATCTATGACTACGTCGGTTGCTTCGTCTTTGATACCTGCCATACAGGCTCCGCTCCGCCCGCTTTTGAAACCAATTCTGAAGAGATCTTATGCTGAAATCGAAGAAGACGAAGAATCAGAATCTGGCTATGCATCTGATGATGTATCCGAATATGAACACGACGCTTTTATTGATGAAATCGATGACGACATTTGCTATGTTACCGCTTGGGATGACGAATCTGACGCCATGTCTGACTCCTGCGAAGACGACGACGACTCGTTCGATGGCTCATTTATCTCGTTTGAGTCTAACAGTGTTCGGTTTGACTCCAAGGTGATTTACATAGAGGCTCCAGAGGCCCCAGAGGCCCAAGAAGATGAAATTTCCGATAGCGGGATGACCTGCCACGAAATTATGGAGCTTGCACGGGCGTCCGGAAATTTTCAACCCCAGAAGGACAAATATGCGGGCGTTGATTTGAACGATGGGGACAATGACAATGGTGACATTTGTGACTCCATCAAGCAGCTGCCCGAAGAGCATACCAGTGATGTGGTCGACCTGGATAAGCGTCTCTTTATTGCCTACATTAATGGCATTAAGGGGATCGCGGATCCCGAATATAAGGCACGGCTTCGTGCGCGGACCAACGATATGAAAACGGGCCGTGCGCACTCTCCATACATGGAATCTGATAGTGCCAATGGCGTCTATATCGACCATGCATTAAACCACGTCATTGGAATTTTCCGCAACATTGTTGCCAAGGAAGAGTTCGATGAACTCATCGGTCTTAGTGACCAAAAGGAGGCAGCAAAGCAACGGCCGGAAATTACGGAAGTTCTTGGTCAAGGTCTTTTGGAAAAGATAGAAGGCCTGCTCTCAGAGAGACTGGCCAATGGTGACGTCGGAATTGGACCAGATGAACTGAGCTTCTTCGCTGGCGGTGTTGCATATGCGATTGACCACTGGAGGCCTTATATTTGTCACTAAGATGGGATTAGGCATTTGTCCAAGGAAGTGGGTATAGATAGGCCACAGAAAAGCCGAAAGTGGTCGGTCACAAGGCGAGCTTCCTCTTTGATATGTGTTATTTTTCTGTGAAAAGCATTTGTAAAAGCTCAGCGAAAGTCAATGAAACTTGCATGTCTATTTCTGATTAGTGTCTTGAACAATTATATAAATATCAGATCAATTCAAGCGCCAAAGCCAACAACATCCTAGTACCTCTCAGAGTGCCTAATCTAGCCATAACACCAATAATACCAAGAAACGCCCACAGTAACAGATCTCGAAATGAGCACCATTGCACAGACATTGAGTCTTTCTTGTCTCATCCGAAACGAGAGCTTGTTTCGTGTTTCTCCCGTGCTCCACGGAGTGTCATGGAATCATACGTAGCTTATGACTAGTGTCATTACCATATCCTGTAACATGGACAAGACGCCAGAGTGGAGAGTCCACGGAAGAAAAAATAAACCTGGTAGAAGTCCGAAGCATGCGTGGATCCTGATATCCAGTTGGATAGGATAGGCGGTTGACAGAAATTGGAAAAGTGTAGGACAGTTGATGGATGATAATTTTCTTTGGAGGATCTGGATTATGGGATAGTATGTATAGATCTGTATATTACTAATAATATTAACGTTCTTTAAGGATACTGGTCAGTATAGTAGGATTGGTTATTATGGCTCTATTCAGCCTATCTATAGGGCTTAGATGGGGCTTCTGAGTGGATTATTTGAACAAAGACAAAGATTGTCCGGGATGGTTGAGACAGGTAAGATACCTAACCAGCAGATACTCCATAGCACGCCAACAAATCCATAGTATACTATTTCAGCTGAAAGTGGATCAATCATGAAATGATTTGGTCTGGACAGAGAATAGATTGTCCATTATATGGAGTAAGGCTCCGTAGTAATACTTTAAGCCTTGAACCAAAATATCCTCCGTATAAATTTCATGTAGAGTATGCAGGAAACCTAGAATCTGGAATCTTCTCTATTCCATGATAGGATACCCTTGCGTCGCGATGATAATAACAGTACGAATTATGGAGTATACTGTTTCATATAATGCAACATTCATCTGACACGGGAACAAATTATTACCCCTCCCTGATCATCCCACCCGTAAACAGCCGATCTAATCCATATCAGCTGAGAATTAGGATGTCGTCCAGTCAGCAAGTATCTACTGTGTACTTGCATAGTACTTCGTATAATCTGGATCTGGCCCAACCCAGTTAACTACCAATTAGTAGACTGACCGATCGGAGACGTTACCTTAATTTATTTAAACTTTTTAACATAAATTTCTTGTTTAGCAGACATCCTTGATTTATTCATTGGCGCATGTAGCCACTGGAACCATGGTTACGCTCAGTGCCCTCTGTTGGACCAGATCCGAATGAACCACCAAGCCTGAGGTATAGACCAGTATAGACCAGCTACCTGACAGGGTGATTGGCTCTCAGCCGTTGGTATCCTGACTCTGATTCTGGATCGATTGGATCAGAGATCACCTTGGAAGTACCCACCAACTGATTTATAACGATGCGTTGTGCGAATAATATGTTGTTATTGAATGAGAGAGGGGGATGTATTGGGACTAGGTAGAGACTGGAATCTCAGATGTGGCTGGAGCCTTATTAATTAATTTTAAGCTAACTTCACGGAACAGGGAGCAGATATGTTGCATAAGGTGAACATCTCCGCTTTGTTACGGGGGATTTGGCCAGCTGAATAGGAGATGTTGTTGGCCTTGTCTCCCGTGTGATTCTCCCGTTATTTATCGGCTCTTCATACGGAGTAGTTCGTATGTCATGGGGACAGAGGTGAGTGTATCGCCGATGATCCTGATCGACCGTGACAGTGGGAGATCCGACGGGTCTGATCGATTGCAGGCCTTTTTTGAAATTGGAATATTTTTGGTTACCGTTTATTCGGGTTTGTCAAGAGAGTGGTAGAAAAATAAAAATAAACTCGAAATTCTCTCTTCTGGTCATGTCATCCAAAACAGAACAACACGTCAAACAACATCTCGGAAGCAATTAAAGTGATTCTCGAAGGCAGAGCGTGCATGTCTGGTGGATCGGCTCGCGTATACCAGTTTAGTAGCCTATCCAAGGCAGCGATTGGATCCAATAGTTGCGAACAGAGTTTGATCGGTCTGATGGAGCCTCTGAGGACACCAAATCCGAGGGGCGGAGAGTCAGAAGTTTGGTACACGGGAAATAAATCAAAACCAGCCCTCTTTTGCAAACTGATCAATTCCGGATCCCCATGGTTCGTCTGACATAATCACGCCCAACAGAGGATGCGTATTTCAATGGTCCAAGCATCTGGCCCGTTTCAAGTTCTGGCCCCAGCACTGGGAAAGAGAGAGAGTTCCATCTACAAATCATGCATTAATTTATTTACTCCGGAAGGATTCATTTACAGACTGATGGAGAACTGGTCGGTCGGCACATCCTAGCCCCTTTCCCTCCCCTGACACTTAGTGACTTAGTGCACGCCTGTTAGGGTTTGCCGCTCTTTGGCCAAGTGGGTCTTGCGTCGTTAGTCTGCAGTGGGAGATCAGTGGACTGCGGGCGTTTTTTTTTTCTTTTCTTTTCTTTTCTTTTTTTTACTTTTCTCTCTCTCTTTTCTATATAATGGGTTCTATCACTGGGTTGTACCTTTTGAACTTGATATTCAGTAGATCCCTTGGAACGGTACACTATCGGTTTTCTGGCCATGGATGAATGGAACCAGGTCCTCGGAAAGGCCGTCGTCACTTAAGGCCAGGCCAATGTCGATCAGGAGTACCTCGTGCTGAAACCTCCGAACTCTCGACTTTCGTAGTGGTGCTCTGCACCTCCAGTACGTGGCCTACTCTAGCCAAGCCAGGATGTAGGAGTAAATGCTTTGTAGGTGCTTCCCACACTGCTCTCAATTGGACACGCAGCTTCTTGTTTCCCAAAGGACCCCGTATATCTTCCGGACCCATCAATCCCCACCACCGAATAGGTTTCATTTGTTGTCGCCCATGTCTCCATGATGCCCACTCTCCGGAAATGGGGTGCATTACCTGGTATCCGGTCTCCACTTGTCTCCTGATTCTGCAAGTCACTAGTGAGTTAGTGAGCTTCTTAGTATGTGGTACTGGAAGACTGAGGCAGGAAAAAGAGAAATAATTGAAAAATAAAACAAAATTGCCATTCACATTACATTTTACTACTGTGTACTCCGTATTCATGCATTGACTATTTACAGTGTAGTGCTCTCCCCAGCTCCCTCCTGAACCATCCTTCCTCCACATAATTATTAGTATTACTCTTACTCTTACGATTATCCTTTCGTCTTATGATCCTCTTCTTGCTGGGGTCAGCTTGAAAATAATAAGATTCCCTAGTCCAGGATTAGTCTTTTCTTTTATTCCTTCGTTCTTTTGTTCCTCCATTTATTCATCCATTCATCCATCCTACTATTCATTCTCTTGGTCCTCCACTGTCCTCTGCTGAAGTTCTCTATCGATCTTGGGCCCATTCCCGCGGTACTGGCACCGTGACGAAATCATGCAATTCTGCTAGGCTGTAGGCTGTCACGACGTTGAGTGCATTCCTTTGAATGTTACACCGGTATGCCTCTTTTTTTTTTTGTCACCTATCGCCGCCACTTCCAACTCCTGTCCTGCATAGTCATCTGTCCACCGTGACTTGCTTTTTCTTCTTTTTCTGTCCCTCTCGCTCGTTTGGGTATGGCCTGAATGCGGTCTTATGGAAAACGTCAGATCAGACTGGGGCAGAAAAACTACTTGCATGCGTTAGAGCAAAAGCGCCCCCAAACGGGCTGTGTCATTTGAATTTCAGGCTGACGAAGAACCCCATTATTCTTTTGACTTTAGAATGACCTAGACGTGCTTTGATTTTTATTTAGAATTCGGTTTCAGCAAAATAAAAACACAACGAAAACGAAAGGACGAGAAGTTCGATATTCTACATCTTGACGGCTGGAAACCACGTTGTCGCTGCATGTGATCTCTTATATGGCGATGATGCAGCCTAGCAAAGGGCCTGAATCTCCCGACCTGGGGAGGACGGTCTCGCGCTCGCGCTCGCGTAGCAACAGCATCTCCAGCGATTCCCAGCTCCCTCGACTTCATCTCCTTGTTCCACCTCCAGTCAATCCAGCTCCATGTTTCATCGCATCGTCCGCAGCAGCTCAGATCGTCACCGCCGACCAGGAGTTCAATGCTGCAGATTTCGTGGCCGATGATAATGACGACAACTCCCGTGCCAGTGCCTTCGTCACTTCCGAAGCTCTGTCCGCCCTGAATGGTTTCCTTGATCATCTCCTTTTCAATATCCTGGCCGTCTCCAAGTCGACCCAATTGGCATACATTCGACCCGCTGTGGCGGAAGTACTCAAGCCCCGACTCGCGAAAGAAGTGGTTACAGCGGCCGACGAGGAACTGAGCGAGTACATAGGAGGCCCGGAAGACGAACAGTTTGGTGGTCAACCCACCGGCGGCGAGTTTGACCTCATCCGGTCATGGAAACTGACCCGCTTGCGATGTATGGTGTATACAAGATTAGGGGACATGGAAGAGGAGGATGAGGAGGAATATATCGCACAGGACGGGCTCAGTGAGGATGAGAATATGCCCCGGAGATTTTCTAGCCACGTCGGCTATATCACCCCCGCCGCGGCTATCTTCCTCGCGTCCATCATTGAATATATCGGCGAACAGGCTTTGGTGATCGCGGGGGAGACGGCTCGATCTCGCCTGTCGAGCAAACTAGATGACGACGGAGAGAGAGGATCTGGCGCGGAGCGAGGAACCATGGACCGGCTGGTTGTGGGAGATCTTGATGTGGAGAGGTTGGCCTTAAACCCGACCCTGGGAAGACTCTGGCGCACCTGGAGGAAGCGTACGCGAAATCCCAACTTAGCTCGAGCGACTTCCCGGGAATCCATTCGACGCCGCGGAACGGTTGGACATTTGGCAACGAGAAGGAGCAGCAGTGTTGCTACCGACGAACGTTCGTCCCGTTCACTACCGCCTCCAATTCTCCAGATTCCCACCGAAGTCGACCCGGCTTCTATCGCGCTTCCGATGAGCGAGTACGACGTCCAGGAAATCGAGCAACCCGACTTTACGTCCGATGTGGAAGGTGATGTTGGCCAGACTATGCAGGCTGTACTGGCCCACAAAGTGCGGCCCAAGAGTCTAATGGTGCTCTCTTTGCCCTCCCCCCGATCCTCGACGTCCAGCAGTAGCTCTCCGGTTTCACCAAGGCCACAGAGTCTAAAATCTCCTCGTCATGTCCGGTCGCGTTCGCTACCTGATGCCTCCCACCCTCAAGAGGCCACGACCACCAAGGTTAACCAGGTCGCAGATAGACCGTCTCCGACATTGTCCGAGGAGAGGCACCAACTGGAGACTATGTATGAGCATGATGAAGATGGTGAGCCTGTTGCCGAAAAGAAGTCATCTATTGTTGAATCCTTGGTGCAGCCTCGCCCCGAAGACCAATCGCCAACGAAGAGGAGTGAGACGGACAGTTTGCCCGAAGAACCGACAGGGCAGGATACAGCTGCAACCTCGTCCCTCTCAGCTGCGTCAGTTGAAATTGTTATCAGTCAGACCAATAGCACCCGAGCCTCTTCTTTAAGTGATCGGATCCCGCCTGACTCAGAGTCTGAGGTCATTGAAGGACAAGGGGTGTGTGAAAAACCGAAATTGGCCTCTGTGCAGCGGCGGAAGCGAAAATCATGCGGGGAGCCCACCGATGGTTCTAACGTTGCTGACGGGCGCAGCAACGATCAAGTAGTGCCGACAGAAGCTCCACCACAGACGCAAGGAGACTCCGCCACGGCGCAGTCAACCGTCAGCCCTGATGCGCCGAAGAAATCTGACACAGCTCAATCCTCCGCGGAATCATTTACCCCTCAAACTCGCACTTCGACCGACAACGCGAGTCTGGAGAAAACCCCCCGACCGGCTTCGTCTTCTGCTGAGAGCGCAAATTCCGAGCGTTCGCGGGCCCGGCACAAACCCAGCCCGCTGTCCCTGGGAGGTGGAAGCCATCATCGCTACGGGTGCTCGAGCCCACCAGTATCGTCCAGCAGCTCAGCAACTGAGCGGGCCGCAGTTCAGCGACTATCAGGGCGACCGTCAACCTCCGCAGCCTCGTCGAGCTATCCCAAGCCTCGCCGCTCAGACAGCGTCAGCAGCAGCCGCGATAGGCGGCCGGTTACCGCTGGCTCTACGACATCCCAGGTTTCAACCAAATTGAAAGGCCTAATCGTTCGACAAGGAGAGTCTGGCTCTGGTTCTGTTCGCGTGCGTAGTTCCTCGGAAACTAGCCGAGAGTCGGGCGTTACAGGAGACACGTTCTTTGGCGAGAAAACGGGCCTGGATGAATTGATTCGCAGCGAGGAAACCCTCCACTACACCTTGACACCAAGAAGCATGCGGGAAATTGAGGTAGGCTGCACTAAAACTTGGGTTATTTTTAAGGTTTAGTTTCGGCGCTCTGTGGCTGACTGCTTTATAAGGAACCTGATTCTCCTCGGTGGCGAACTAAAAGGTCTAGCACCGCGGAGCTGGCCGACTTTTTGAGGAATACTGCTCCCCCGGGCGATGAACTTGCGCGGACGCGAGTGGCCAACACATCGGCCCTCCCAAGGTCCAAATCTTCTGAGCTGCCAAAGCACAAACCGATTCAAACGCTGAATATGAATCTTCCGCAAAAACCAAGTGTGAAACCGTCCCGCGATGCGAAGCCAAGTACTGGGTCGACTGGCGATTTCGCCAACCTGATAAAATCCGGTGGACCATCAAGTCCCGTCAACATGAAATCTCGGATCCACCGGCTGTCTGATGCCACCGAGATCTCCAAGAAGTTCCCATGGCCCCAGAGTTCTCTTTCGAATAACACACAGAGCAACACTTCTCCTACAACTGCTTCTCGACTACAGGCCCGGCCTGCCGTAGCTCCTAAGGGAGACCAAAGCTCGGATTTGATCGATTTCATCCGCGAGGGCCCGCCCAGTGCTGGAGGTCGTCGCATCCCACGTGCTGTGGCACCTTTCCGGGATACAATAGACGAAGACGATTTGCAATTTCTGGAGCTTGGCAACTCCGAGTACAAAACGCCCTCAATTAGTAGCACTCAAGATGAGTCCATAGCAAGGAAGTCTATAACTTCGGTGGGCTCTCGCACGGGGCTTTTGGAATCGACAGGTCGGCCAACCACCCAATCGAGTGCTATGAAGCAAGCTCCCAAGTCGGCTCCGGATGTTGCAGGCCCTTCAGATAACGTTCGTCCTATGAGGAAACAGCGTCGGGTACCCGACCCTTATGCGATCGATTCTGATGACGATGATGATCTCGAGTTCTTGGAAGGTCCCAAGCCGAAGCGCGAGGAAGAATCTTTGATAGACTTCTTGCGCAATGTCCCTCCTCCCTCAGAGACAGAGACTACCCCACAGTCTTTTACAACACATATGGCCTCTGTGCAAAGTCCTGGCCTCGGAGGCATGTCCTCTATGAAAGCACGACTTCGTGAGAAAATACCCTCTGCTAAACCTTCGGGATCTTCGCTGCGCCAACAGCCTGAAGCTAGTCATGCTGTGGGCTCATCAAACTACTCGGCCAGAGTTGGTATGGAGCGAAACGGTTCATATCATAGCTATAGCCTGCCCTCCTTTTCGGAACGGCAAACAGAAACCAGTGCATTGGCCGACTTCCTTAGAAGTACTGGTCCTATCGAGTCCCCTGCAGCTCACAGCCCGTCCTCCCCTCAGGAGAATAGGGGAAAAGATTCGACCTCGAATAGCTTCTCCCGCCTTTTCGTGCGCCGGAAGAAGGTTGAAGTTTAATATGACCTCCGAAACCCCCGCCTCAAATTATCCTTTGCTTTTCTTCTTCTTTTCTTTTTTCCTCCCCGCTATCTCCTTTTGACTCGATCTTTTGAGACTGCACTGTTTTATTTTGGTCTGTTGCAAACATGAAATTGCTATATGTTTGGCGATGATATGTATCTTTTGAAAGCGTTCTGAGCCGTATGACGATCTACTACTGTTTGTGTTACCCCCATTTTGATACTTCCTTTCTATACTACTAATCCTCCGAATATCCAACCATCTCTTGTGTTTGTTGTTTCCTTACAAATCTATCTTCTACGCTCGGGTTATATTCCCTTGATTCCCACTCGTTTGTCAATTTCGTCTTTTATTCCCTTTCCGCTCATTATTTCATTTTACATCCTGCGTTCCCACTTTAGAGCGTTCTTAGACCCAATCGGGGTTCTGGGATAAAAGAGTATGGATCGAGCATGAATGTGTTTGCTTTGACAGCCATGTGGTAAATTGGTGGCCTTCTGTTGAACTCTTCAGATTCGTTGCTCTATTTTCTTATTGCCGGATTTGGCTTGGATAGACTAGCGTATCTTCCTGCAATGAAATGAATCTCTTTAACCCTGATGATAATCCTTCTTCAATTATATCCTCAAATCTCATTCTGCCGTAAAAATATCAATTGTAAAGATGTGGCCAGATAAGTACACAGTATATGTTTACAGTGGACAAGCTGGTTGAAAACGCGTGGAGCATATCACACGGAACATCAATCTTCCGAGTGCATCCGTCTGCGTGGCGTGGCTTCAATGGGAGCAACCAGTCCGTTCCGCTGCCAATCTCCCAGAACCTCGGTGTTGACCATAGTGACAATCACCATCGACAATGGTGTCTTCTCGGCTTACACTGAGGTCCATCCTCGGCCTTCTTTTCCTATGTTTTGTCCAGGTCTCCTCCGCGCTGAAGTTCGACCTCTCTGCCATAAGCGGGAAGAATGAGCGATGTATACGGAACTTCGCCCACAGGGATCAGCTGGTCGTGGTGACTGCTATTGTGAGCGGCACTAAGGGGGATGGCCAGGAAGTCAACATGCATGTATGTGAGAGTCTGCTGTTTTTATAAGATTTTGTGTGGATTTGATGGGATCAATCCACATGGATTATTCCCGGAACTGGAGTACAGCTTCTATCGGGCCCTTCGCTAATTTTCTCATGTGTGGTTTAGATCAAAGATTCATTGGGTAATGGACATGGTGCCCCGAGGAATATTGTGGGAGAGACTCGTCAGACGTTTACTCCTCCGGAGGATACTTCGTTCGATGTTTGCTTTGAGAATCTGCTTGTTACTCGACGTGCGTTACCTGATTTTGATTCATATTGACAGACATATTCCTATATACACATTTGATGTCCTGATTATACTCGGACGTTTCCTTCCCCCCACTGATTGTGCTAATGATTATCACAGAGGCCCTTGCAAACCCTTTCCGGTCCATCGAACTCGACGTGGACATCGGCGCTGATGCCCGCGATTGGTCTAGCATCCAAAGCCACGAGAAGCTCAAGCCTATCGAGACTGACCTCCGTCGAATGGAAGAAATGGTGGGAGAGATTGTTAACGAGATGGAATACCTACGTGCTCGTGAACAGAAGCTGCGGGACACCAACGAGAGCACTAACGAGCGCGTGAAATGGTTCGCATTTGGCACTATGGGCATGTTGATTGGATTGGGTGCTTGGCAGGTTGTGTATCTGAGAGCTTATTTCCGGTATGTCTTGCTCTGTTTGTTTATGGCAGATGTTCGTCTCTTTGCTAACTTGTTTGATTGCTTGCAGATCCAAGCACCTTATTTAGGTAATATTTCATTGGGTTGGTGGCTCGAGGAAGACGGCGGCGTGGTGTTGTTGCTTCTTTATATCGTCATTACAAAATATGGAGTTTTCAATGCATTTGCTGAGTGTCTTCGATCGGATGTAGTCTCGGATCTACGTCATGCCACACTGTTTGAATACTTATGATCATATGAATGCTGTATAACTCGAATTTTATGGAGAGGTTTATTGCAATTGGGATGTTATTGTAATCCCCCTTATTTGTAGCTGGATTGCCAATTCTAAGGTCCCTTACTGTAGTTCTTTTGGCTGGCTTGATTCACTATATTGAATTGACAGAGCGACTCAACTAATAGATAGCCCTTGGTAATGGGGATGAATAAATAGATCGTGGTTTAGGACCTGAATCTCCTGTACTTGTCGGTCGCTAGCTGTCCAAGCTGTTGGACATATGCATATCTCGGTTGGCGTTAAAGGTGTTTGGCACATGCAAACACCACAAACATAACTACTTCCATGCCGGATGATGTCAATCGATCCCGTAATCATCCATCGCGACTGACCAACCTCCCCTTCCCCATATATTTCAGACCTAAACATTCCGCGAGACAAGTCATCATGTCTGCCTCGCAACTGATGCACCGCATTTTGCGATCGTCCGCATCACCGATTTCTCTCACGACAACATTTGCCCGTCGCTCGTTCGGCAGCTCCGCAATTCGCGCCAAAGATGACAGCAAGCAACCGGAGACGTTGAATTCGTACTCGGGAAGGGTCGAACACTTCACCGGAGGTAGACAGGAGTTTGGGGCACAGAAACCGGAGCTGGGAGTTGGAGAGATGGAGGGCATTACGTTCAAGGTTGAGCCGTTGAGACGGACGGGGGAGGATTTGGCTACGATGCGGGCCCGGTTGTTATGTTCGTTCTTACCCAGCTCCCTCCCAGCTTATGACTGTGAGGGACCAGAGACCAGATAATACGAGGCTAACATGGATCGGATTACAGATCAGAGTAGAAAGAGAGGAATTCTAGAATCTGACCTGCTGCTCTCGACATTCGCCGACGCCTACCTGGCTGATATGAACAAGACACAGCTAGAGGAGTACGACCGATTCCTCGACGAGAATGACTGGGACATCTACTACTGGGCGACGCAGGACTCCCCCGAAGAAACCGGAGCGGACGTCTCGTCCGTCGCTTCAGACACCCCAACGGAAACCTGGAAGCGTACCGGGGCCAAGAGCGGTGAATGGTCACAAACTATCGGCGCCTTCAAGGCCGCATACCGACCTGTTCCGACACGATGGGCCGATTCGGAGATTCTGAACCTCTTGAGGAATCATGTGCGTGATAACAGTGCTACTGGCTTCCATGCTGCGAAGAGTAAGAAGACTGGTGGTAGTGGACTTGGAAGAATGCCTAATATTCAGGTGTTTGACTCCTGAATGTGTAGTGGTATTCCGGCATGATTCTTGGTGGCATGGAATTGCATTTGTGTATTCTTTGGCATTGTACTATATGTTTTGGATTGGTTGATTCGTGGATGTTCTAGATACTTTCTTCTCTTCTGGCCGCTTTGAAGGATGTATGTGACGTAGCGTGCTTGTTTACGGCGAGCCATCTGCCATTGTCGATATATGGAGGGATAGATACAAACTGGTGAATGTGAAGATGATATTTAATTATTTTAGTAGCCTGTTAGTATTTGCCCATCAACGTTTGTTTTCATGTATGGCATCTATAGACCACGTGACTCGCTTGTTAGGGCTCGTGACACGTGATTCCACAACAAGATGCGGCCCACTGGATTAGGGCTTAGGCGTTGTGCTCCTCCATCCTCGACGCTGCGATTTTATCCCCAGCCCAGAGTCAACGACATTTGCTCCGCCCGCGTTCATCCTCCTCTCCTCTCGCGGTCCCCTTCCATCGTCTCCCAGACTCCGATCATGGCTGAGCAGCTGGTCCTTCGCGGCACCCTTGAGGGTCACAATGGCTGGGTTACTTGCCTGGCTACCTCTTTGGAGAAGTAAGGGAAAACTCCGGAATATGCAAATTTGATGAATCCATGCAGAGAGGAAAAAATAGAAAATCTCTGATGGGTTGGATTTGGTTCAAAAATTTTTTTTTTTTGTGATCGGTTTCTAACTTGATTCTTTTCTTCTTTCGACTCTAGCCCCAACATGCTGCTTTCTGGCAGTCGCGACAAGACCCTGATCATCTGGAACCTTACCCGCGACGACCAGGCCTACGGTTACCCTAAGCGCAGCCTCGAGGGTCATTCCCACATCGTCTCGGACTGTGTATGTTTACGAAGTCTCCCTGCGTTGCGACGAGGACGGGGATAAAGGGAACGAAAAAAAAAAAAAGGGAAGATCTGGCTGACCGTGGGTTCATCGTGTACAGGTCATCTCCTCCGACGGTGCCTACGCTCTGTCTTCCTCCTGGGACAAGTCCCTCCGCCTGTGGGAGCTCTCTACTGGCGAGACCACCCGTACCTTCGTTGGCCACACCAACGATGTCCTCTCCGTTTCCTTCTCCGCCGACAACCGCCAGATTGTCTCTGGTTCCCGTGACCGCTCCATCAAGCTCTGGAACACGCTGGGTGACTGCAAGTACACTATCACTGACAAGGGTCACACCGACTGGGTTTCCTGTGTGCGCTTCAGCCCCAACCCCCAGAACCCCGTCATCGTCTCCGCTGGCTGGGACAAGCTTGTGAAGGTATGCATATCAATTTTCTTTTTTTTATATTTCCATGCTTCAACGGGATCGACCCGTTTTTTCTTCCAAAGGATGTATGCATATTTTACGTATTTGCTACTTCAGAGCCTTATGGCCATGAGACAAAAATTCACCACATGCCTGATGGACAACATTCGATTTGTTTTTTTCTCTTCATTTGAACTCCGTGAAACAAGAGAAAGAGTATTCGAGGCTAACCTCGCATCCTCATTAGGTTTGGGAGCTCGCTTCCTGCCGCCTCCAGACCGACCACATCGGTCACACCGGCTATATCAACGCCGTCACCATCTCTCCCGATGGATCCCTCTGCGCCTCCGGTGGCAAGGACGGTACCACCATGCTTTGGGATCTCAATGAGTCCAAGCACCTCTACTCTCTCCACGCTGGCGATGAGATCCACGCCCTCGTCTTCTCCCCCAACCGTTACTGGCTGTGCGCTGCCACCACGTCCAGCATCACCATCTTCGACCTCGAGAAGAAGAGCAAGGTCGACGAGCTCAAGCCCGAGTACATTGAGAAGGGCAAGAAGAGCCGTGAGCCCGAGTGTGTCAGCTTGGCCTGGAGCGCCGATGGCCAGACTCTGTTCGCTGGCTACACTGATAACAAGATCCGTGCCTGGGGTGTCATGTCGAGGGCATAGATGAGGAAGCCGTGAGCTGTCGGTGAAATAGGGAGGGGATATGAGAGGAAGATAACTATTATGTTTTTTATTTTTCCTTAAAAAAAGGGCAGGCATTGGTTGGGATGTATGAGCCATGAGCAATGAAGCACCTTCGGGTCCCTAACGGGACTCTGGGTTATTCTGACATGTCTAGCTTACTCGATTCGTCATAAAATCCGAATGTCTGGAATCTTGTGAAGGAAGACATGCGATGTTCTAATACCATTTAAAAGACATAAAAAAATTCCTTTTAAAATCATTGCTGTGCCCAAACCTATTCGTTCTCCGTACTGAGGTTGAACAGGAACAGGCGTCTGGAGGGTATATATCAATGAACGCACTTTGTAACTGTATATTACTTTGCTCTTATCTAGATATGAAAGAGATACTACTCCATCCCTCGTTGCATTTCTAAGTATGTAATGTACATGTAGGAGTCGAGTGGATTCTCAGCATGAAAGAAATAAAATCCCTTCATTTCATTTTGTAGTCACTCTTTTCAGAGCATTGTCCGCCATGGCGATGCCTTCTTCAAAACTCAGCCCCAGCGCCAGGGACTTAGCTTCTGCGTAATACCTCTCGGCTTCTTTCGTCTTGTTTTGAAGTTCTGCTAATTCGCCGAGATTATACGTGGCGGCCACACAGGATGAATCGCAGTCCTGGTCTCGGATTGGCGGCTGGATCCTAGCAGCCACATCGATGGACTTCTGAGCCCACTGTCGCGCAGCGTCGATAATCTGGCCTCGCGCGATGTCCGGGTCTGGGGCCCGAATGGGTTTCTGTACCTGTCCGGCCATGGCACTGGCGACGTCGTTGAGCAGCACAACCTGTTTGCATGTCGGGGAGTCTCCCTCGTCAACACGGAGGAGATCCAGAGCGCGTAGATACAGAGGCATGGCGAGATCATACTTCTCCTGATCGGTGTAGGTGGAGGCAAGGTCAGAGAGAGCGGTGGCGATCTCTGTCAGATTCAACCAGGAGTCATTGTCATTTGAACCTTCGCCAACCGGGAGACCCAAGGACTGACGTCGGTTCAACTCCTTCAAACATAGCTCTACCGCGGCAACCTGCGCAGACTCGGCCTTCTTCTCGTCTTGGATGTAGTCACTCGAGTACAGCTCTGCCAGCTTCATCTCGATCCCGACTGCCTTTTTCAGCGCTTTATCGCGCAGCTTGTCTTCGAATTCCTCGATCTCCTTCATCTTTTGACGGGCCTCGAGGACTTCCGGATCCATGGTATCTACTGCCGCATCGACCGGCTCCTCCTTCATCTGAATAGCCTTCCTCTTTCTCCCGTCTTCAATCCAATTCAGTGTCTCTGTCTTCGTGCGCTCTAACACCTCCACCGCTGGCTTAACCAGTCCCGCCTTCTCTAACATCATCGCCACCTGCAACTTAATCCCCAACATCTCATCCGAGAACGGATGCATGCCCATCTCGATCGCAATTCGCAGCGCTTCCTTATACGCCTGCAACGCCTTGGGCGGATTGAGATCCACCTCAGTGTAATACACAGCTGTCCGCAACGACTCCGCCACGGGCGGCGGGAACTTATGATACTGCGGTCCGACGCGCGTGTACTCGACGTAGGCGATGTAGGCGAATAATACCGTAGCTCCAACGGCGGACGCAATCGCCAATGGCAGGAGGACGGGGTTCTTTCGCCAGATTCCTTTCGAGGCTTCACGGAAGCCGAGTCTCATGCGCTGCGCGAAGGAGAGGTGTCGGGTTTGGGTTTGCTGGTTGGGGTGGTGGTATCGAGGGAGGATCGGACGATGTGCTTGTGACGATGTGTATGCATTGTTGGGTTTGGAATGGGCGAGGGATATCGAGCGTGTGGGTGGTTGGTGGGGGATTGGGGATTTGCGAGTCAGGGCGCAGGCACGCCGTGATGTCGCAGAGAACATGTTGACTAGAGTGTTCTGTATTAGTGGATGGACATAGAGCAAGAGTATCGGTCTATATAAAGAGATAATGATTCTAAGAAAGTGAGTGGTGAGAACCCGAGTAATGGACAGTCCAATCCGTTTGCAGGTGAAGGGAAGAGAAAGAAGAACCAAACAAAGTCAGTCCGGAACTGCTTAGTGACCCAAGCTTTCCGTCTCTCCGTATGACGTCGCATAAGGGTAAATGTCCCGTCGCACTCACATCTCATAGTCCTGGGACATTGTGTTAGGCTGCTTTCTCTCTCGCTTATAAATAATACATGCCATCGTGATTTCCTTTATTTCTACGACTGTCTAAATGTGCGGACGATATGCATTGGGTGTGGTACGTCCCCTCCCCCTACATCGTACGTGAATATCCCACTGAGACTAGACTCTAGCGTATGAGCTTTATCCGCTATCGTATGCAAGAACAAGGTATGCGAGTCGATGACGCCCCTCCAGATGAGGACATAAGAGAAACGTTCAATTTCGCACCTGGCAACTTCGGTGCTGTATACCGTGCCGACAGCCCGTCTCACCACCCCCGCAGTGAAGACGAGCAGCAGCGTCCCTCTTCCCCAGAGCAGGAAGACAAGGATAGAGAGGAACAGAAGGGACGAACCAACGTGCAAGGAGCTTGCTTTAGCCCCGACAGCACCAAGTATAAGCTCCAAAGCATGAAATGGGGTCTGGTGCCGTTCTGGACGAAGAGACAACCGGATTACGGATCGCTCATGCGCACGATCAATTGCCGGGATGATTCCCTGATCGATGATCGGGGGATGTGGACGTCCATGAAGCGGAAGAAGCGGTGCGTCGTGGTGTGTCAGGGGTTTTATGAATGGTTGAAGAAAGGGCCTGGTGGGAAGGAAAAGATCCCGCACTTTACGAAACGGAAGGATGGGGATTTGATGTATTTTGCGGGGTTATGGGATTGTGTTTCATATGATGGTGAGGGTGGTTTTGTTATTTCCAGCTATCTAATTCCTATCTGATGGTGAACTGACAGAATAATCATAGGCTCCGAGGAACCACTGTTTACCTACACGGTCATTACGACGTCGTCGAACCCGTACTTGAAGTTCCTTCATGACCGCATGCCTGTGATCCTAGAACCGAATAGCGAGGCCATGAGGATTTGGCTGGATCCAAATCGGACGACATGGTCGAAGGATCTACAGTCTGTGCTAAAGCCCTATGAAGGGGAGCTGGAGTGTTATCCTGTACCGAAGGAAGTCGGAAAGGTGGGTAATAATTCTCCGGACTTTATAGTTCCCGTAAGTAGCAAGGAGAATAAGAGCAACATTGCGAATTTCTTTGCGAACGTGAAGCAGAGGAAGGCCGAACCGGCGGAAGGACTGAAACTCGTGAAAGATGAAGATGGTCGATCAACCAAGGACACTGAATGGAGCGAGGAGAACGCCCCTAAACAGACATCTGGAGTCAAGAGAGAGCACCCGGAACAAGACCTTGGAGACGGCACAGACAAGAAATCAAAGATTGAGGAGCGTACTTCGTCACCGACAAAGGCCCGACAGCCATCGAAACACCAGGCCTTGCATTCCGGGAGAAAGACCCGGAGTGCCACAGTTAATCAGAAGCCGCTGAAGAAGACGACTGCGAAAAAGCCAACGGACAGATCGCAACGCATCACTAATTTCTTTGGTAAATGAGCGGAGTGATGTCTATGTAATGCACCTTGAATTGTTATGTAGCGTGGGGTCTAGGGCTGGACCCAAAATAGTGATCAATTTCCAGGAGATGGATGGTTTTTAATACACTGCCCGGCAGTGGAATATATGCAGAAAATCAAGATAATACAATTCAAATTGTTGTACAGATCAGACGGTGCTATTGACTCTCCTTCTCGCGCAATTTCTGAACCAACTTCTCTCTTAAAAATGGGCTCAAACCGAAGCTATTGACAGTCAATATAGCCCCGGATGTTAAGGGAACGTTCAAACCTACAATCCGTCTCGCGTCACAACCCGGTAGGTGCCTATACCAGTCAGCTCGTACACAGAGAGATTAAAGATTGCGCATCGACATCATACCACTACGCTGATAATTCCCATTGCCTCCCACGAAGCTACCTTCTCCATCAACCTCGAGACTTCCGAAGATATCCTCAGGCCTGCATCGAATCGTCAAAAGAGTTTCCTCGCATCCAATAGATGACAGAATTACCATGCAATCCGTCCATACTCGGGTGGTCTTCTGTTATCAGATAGGTGTATCCAGCCTCCTCTCCCAGCAGACCCGACACCACCTTGGCCGCTAGCCCCGCCGCTTGAATCTGCTTCGCCGTGACGTCTTCTGGCGCGCGCCCCTGTCAATAGGACACCCCCCGAGCTCAGGTTAGCACCGGCGGTAGACGCCATGACCTGAGCCTGAGAGACAGCATCGGGATCTTGGTGCCCATGCTCGGAGAGTACTTCTTGCAGGATCGTGAGGAACTTCGGGTTCTCTCTGAACGAGTCCGGGGTAGGCGGCAGTTTGGAGGTTACTCCGATAGACAGGTCGGGGTTTGTTGGTTCCGAAGGCAGCAAGGACAGAATATAAGCTCCATTAGAAGGGAATGTATACTACGGAAGAATGTTAGCGTAGAGAACTAGCCGGGGCATTAAGCGTCGCTTGACCAGAAACTTACCACGTGAGGATGGCCTTCCAGGGTAGATACCGAACGGAGCTGTATCCATCGAGAAGATGATGGCGTGTGGCGTACGAGAGATCTTAGAGCCAGCATACTGAACTGTCAATTGCTCCTGGGGCTGCAGGGAATCCGTTGAAGTGATTGTCCTTGCAATCTGCACCACCAGTTTGGCGATGACGACGAAGACAAACAGGACAAACTCATGTGACTGCGCGTTTTCGGCGAGGATTCAATGTTGCGGACCGACAATTGGCGACGTCAGGTGCTGTGGAATGCCATTCAGTCTTTACCTGTCTTTTCTTCCTCCTCCATTGTATCTGTATTTCTTCCAGCGATGTATTGGGTGTTATTCTGAATAGCCCCGCCGATTGTGTGGCTGTCACCGTCTTAGGGATTTGCTGATTTGGCTCTCAGTCGGTGACGAAATTATGCGGACTTATGGGAATGCAAATACATGAGGCTGCGTCTTGATTGATTGATTTCTTTGCTATATGTGCGATACCCTTACGGCCATCTCAGTTTAAATCTTCTTCATTTTGTTCCGTTTATATCATCAACCACCATGGCGACCCCGTCATCGAAGCCGAACCCAGGCGCAACACCCACCCATCTCACCTCGTCTCCTCGGCATTCTGGACCCATGACTAGGCCTATATCTCATAAATCACCGGCTACGCGGACGCCATCAGCCTCGGGACACGGTCACAATTACCAGCCGACTTCGTCGTCGCATCAGTATGCCACACCTCTTGCCGCAACTACCGGAACCGACGATCCTGTTACGTTCAGCTCCCCGTCGGCACTTCTAGCGCTCGGTGGCTATAACGGGATTAGCCAATCTCCGGCAGGTCACGATGGCTTGGTTGCTTCTGGCATGAATGAGAGTGACATCCAGGCCTTGGGGATGCAAGGTCTTAAGCTCGGAAATGCGCGAGACAGTGACGAAGAGCGGAGAAGACACATTGAAGATGTCGTCCAACTTTTACGGACTCGAGTCGCAGGGAGAGGGGTATGCAGAGAGGGGGTTGAACGATTAGGCCAACTTGAAGGGTTCGAGTCTATTTGGCAGGAGGACAGTCTCAACATTGCAGGCAACTTTGTCGACCTTGAAATCGAGTTTCACCGGGGTCAGAATACAGTGAAAGATGTGAGCTTGAAATATGCGACTCCCGATGCCGCGGACGGTGAACGTCGAGAAGAGGCTACGGCTGTTTTAACGCGTGAACTGATTCAGTCTCCTGAGGAAGGCGAACGAGGCTCCTGGAAGTCTTTAGCAGGATTTCATGAGAATCTACAATGGCTTGCCAAACATGACCGACTCAGCCAAGAAGTGAACTGTTTTGAGGCAATCGAGGGCCTCTATGAAAGCCTGAGGCGGGTATGGGACGAAGAAGGGAACCGTCGTCAATTTTCCGGGGTTTATGGTCATATCTGCAGTGGTTGGGTCGGCCGTCCTTGTCTGCACAAGAAAGGGCGCATCGGTCTCAGCTTGGACTACTGGGTGCAACAAGCGCAGGTTCAGGATGCAAAGAAAGACAAGCCATCTGCTGATGACATGATGGTCGATCAACCATCCGCACAGCCCCTTGATGAAGCATCTACCAACCAGAATGGTAGATGGAGTATTATTGTTGAGTGCGAGGAGGGCTATCCGTCTCTGCGGGTGTCGAAGGAATGGGTGGGCGCAGAAGCTATGACAGTTGTTAACAATACCACGAATGGGCCGTCATCAATAGAGGCCGCTGCATCCGATGTTATAGTCGTGAATTGGGCCGACCCACCTGAAACCTTCAGCTCCGTGACTCAGAATCATTCTGATGCGATGGCTCTGGATGCTGGTATGTTAGGTTCCTCTCAGCCTAATCGCCGGTTTGTTGCCCGTATGGAGCCTCCTCTTGATCTCCCGATTCTTGCAGCTTCAGACATATACAGACACCTGGGCCTCCAAATGCCTCAGGAATTTAAAATGGTCACCTACGATGGGTTATTGGCTCCGGGATGGTCACCTTTGTCGGCAGCAGGAGCTATGGGCCTTGGTCCCGAGGAGGCATCTCAGCTTAGTCGGAAGAAGCGCACGATGTCCGTTCAGGCAGTTGACATGCAAGGCAAGCCAAGTGCTAAACAGCACAGCTACACTTTCCAGCCGTTTGAGTCTGTTGCTGGTCGGACAATACGTGACATTCCTTTTGCCCACCCTCGCCAACTTGCAGACATTCTTCCTGTAAGTCAGATGCGTGTCGTTTTGATGTACTGCGAAGTTCTAACCTGGGAAATTCCCTTGCTCCCTAGATTTTGCGCCAATATGCGTTCCTTGCAAATATGATTCGTAATATCTTCAATCCCCCATCAAAGAATGACTACAACGGGAAGAATTCTCAAGCAGATGCGCCGGCTACTACGTCCATTGATCAACTGCAATTTCCCAAGCCAGGCAAGTCAGGAGGAAAAGGACGCCTTATCATCTTGAGCAACGAAGATCCCAATGAAATGAAGCTTGATTTGTTATTGAAAGGATCTGGTAAGGCAAATGGCTCCATGAATAATAGCAAGGGAAAGGGTCCGCAGGCGCAATTTAACTCTACCGGGGACAATTCTGTACCCGACGACGAAGTTAATGTGGATGTAACGCTGCGAACACAGCTTGGGCAAGCGCCTGTTATTATGCTACTTTTCACAGTCGATAACACGAGGCCGGACATGCCCGTGTCGCCTATTAGAAGGCCTGTGCTGTGCAAGGTGTCGATCAGTCTGGAGATTGGGTTAAACGGCCGCGTATCGGTGGTGGATATGACAGGGTTGTTGGATGACGAGACCCCTGTACCTGCAGATGGCATGGAGATGGAAGGCCCAAAGAACGAAGTGTCTGAGCTGCAGACCAAAATAGCCAAGGTGTTGGAGGCCTCTCAGGACATTGGCATATTGGTCGAATGGATCCTACGATGGGTACGACAACGAAACAGCCGATGATATCTCTCCCCTGGTAGGGGTTGATTTGATGTTGGATGCGTCTGAGTGGAGAGCATCTTGATTAAATTGTCGGTCGATAGCCGATGAAAGTGGTCTATCGATTAGTAACGCCAACCTGCAGATAGGTCCGGTCAGCAGACACTACATCTTATGATTCAGTTCTCAGGGTTGGGCCAAGTTTCAATAGTCTCAGCACCTGCAGAGTTATTTTGCTTGGTTCTTGTGTCACAGCGCATATTGTGCATGCCACCATCCTAGCATTGAGGCCTACGTGATGAAAAGCTAGAAATGGCCGGTCGAATATCTATCGGGGCGTGTGATGCAGGTGAAACCGGATGGAAATCAGGGCATATATCAACTGCTGTAGTCTAGGATCAAAAAGGTCACCAAATCTAGCTCTATTTGCCTAAAGACAATCTACATGGAATTTGATATCCCGATGAAAATATACAAAGTAGACAGCATAAACAGAATATTAAAGTTACCGATCTACCACCGATGACAATGGTGTTTACTAAGGTACCAAAAGTAATAAGTTTCATTCTACCTGTTACCAGGAATGTGAGGGATTATTCAAACACGTATGAATTCACATGACGCAAGGAGTAATGTTGCCTACCTCATCTGACTTCATACCCATTTAAGCGCTCTAAATATGTTTGTATTTTATTTCCAGTATTTTATTTCGAATATGCCTCATACTGCCCAATATCAACAGTCTCTAGGTCGGATTGTTACCTAAATTGGTATCAACTGCGCGATTTACTTTCCTCCCGACGACACGTCGCACAGACTATTGAGGATTGGAAGGGGATGGCTTGCGCAGGATGGATGGATGGATTATACGAGGTATTTTTTTTTATAAAAATTAAATATGTAATTAGCATTTACCTAATTCGAGGTACGAAGAAATTGAAAAATTAAATTATGCAAGCTGTAAGACATGCATACCTATGTCTACCGTATTAATACCATCATACTCTGTAGTTGGATCCTGGTACAATATTGTTTTGTGAATACCTGGTTCCCTCGTAGTTTGATCTAAATTAATTCAATGGATTTAGGATGAATTATGGTTGTTCTTCCAGCAATTTTATATCATTTGTGTTTGGTATAAAGTGAGCTTATTTCCTACCTGCTCAATGCTTATTCTTCTTGGGAATAAATTCGACGTTCTTCTGTATTGCCAGTTAATGAGCAGAGATATTCCATATAATAGAACTGTGCCTGGAAAAAGAATAGCGATCAACCAAGTCTTATTCCAGGTGCTTTCACTTGAACAATATATTTTGTTCTGATTCGGTACTTGCCGCATTTAAACATTCAAGAACTTAAGAGATAGGGTTTTAAATACCCTGTATAATTACTTAGGAATATATTATTAGAGACTTATAAAAGAATTGTTTTGCCCCTGTGCATGGCTATCTTAGATGTTTTGTACTGGATAGACCTGGGTTTGGATTTAGGAGCTTCGCAGATACCTTAATCCCACTGTCATTATCATAATAAAAACTTTGTTATGAGGGACTCTGATATTAGGAAAATTTGGTACCTGATTGATTTTCGTAAAATTCCTCCATAGAACTCCAGTATAGGGCTTGTATCCATCACCGACATTAATAGCAGTACTATAAGCTGTGGAGATTGAGCCTGATATAACATTCGGAAAACCTTTTCTTCTTATTGAATCTGGAATTGCATTGCTGAGCTAGGATCCCACAAGATTAGTTGAGATCTCCTACAGCCATCGGTGCCAGTGGATCGAAACATGTCTTCGGATATTTTCTTATGGAGTAAGCCAGAATTAGCCGTCTGATACCTTATCGATGGATATCTTCTCCGAGGGCAGATTTCAAGCTCCGTTCACCTTTCTATGTATGATCTTGGTAATTAGTCCTGTCCGTTCTCCTAGAAGGCAATCAGAAGATCCTTATATTTGAGGAGACGAGCTACTGGAACAGGTGTCTCCTGAGGGATGAAGTCTTTTGCACCTACTATCTGCTAGGTTTGGGGAACATTGTACTGTAGTATGTACTGTTGTTGGATTGCTCATGTTTGAGCTACCTATTTATATATTAGTTTCGCGGGGAATAGATCCACTATATCAAGCCCTTGGAATGCAGAGATACTTGTGAAGATGCATACAATAGACGAGGTAGTTTTGATATAGGAAAACAAGTTGCTGAAAGTTCTTCACCATCATAAGATAGGCTTTTTGAAAGGTATTGAGGCATAATATGCATCACTCATGGTCTATTACTCCGTACCGCTGTGCCAGCGTACTTGCCTAACACCAATCTCTGCGCGTTTTACACCAATTCTGGCTCTTCGTAGATTTGCTTCAGTTAGGTATCATAACTTACCACCTTACTGCACCTCGATGGAAGCAGTAAACAGATACTATGGGAGGGATCAGACTCAATTTCTCCAGCATTTGATTCGGCCCGATACAAGTCAGCGCAGTGTGTCATGGTACCTAGTCAAGAGCCAATCAGCGTGCCGCGATAAGACGACTCGGTCGGAGGGGAGGGTAGCGGGGGTTCCAAGGGCCAGGAAGAATTGTGGTTGGCAGTTGGATGATGCTGGGCCATTGAATTGTAGGGGTCATCGTTGCCTGGATCCTAACAAACGCGAACGCAAACGAGGTATTAATCTTTTTTGGCGCACAAATCACGCCCTTTGACCAGCCATGGATGATCAGCGGTGAGGGATATTCGTGAATGTTAATTTCCTGAAGGTACAGTGCATACATACATGGATGTAAGTTGGATGTAGACGGTGGTAAGGGGCTCCCGAGGAGAAGTAAATATCGCATGCCTATCCTGGATTCTGGTTGCCTTTCTTTTGAGCTTTTTCACTTATCTTGGCGCTTCTTGGCAGGTTGCTGGCATACTTGCACGTTCAGGAAGAAGTCGTACAAATCTCTAGGATTGCGCTAATCCAAACCTGGCTAGAGGTGTTGGCAGCGCCACGATCTATTATTATTACCAACTCCTCCATACACGGAGACTGATAAGGCGATAACGAATACTTGTACTTGATCTAATGGCTATTTTTACCTCTTTCCAGTGTCCACAGCAGATGTCTTACAATGATACTGTAAAAAGAACATGCGAGGAAAATTAGGTATAACTCGGTAGAAGTCATCCACAGGGCTGAACTCAAAGGCCGACATTAAATCATAGGCTGCTGATTCCTGAATCACCCGACTCAACCTCTTTATGATTTGTTGCGGTAGTCTTAACCCGACAGCCGCGGAACATGGGGATGATGATCCAAGCAGATCGGAAACTACCTAACAAGCAGCGAGCCACTGGACTTTGAGTCTCTGGAGAACCCTTGTTCGGTCTCATGTGAGTCCTTTTCCGGCGTACCAGAATGACCAAAACTCAAGAATGAATCTGACTAACTCCGGTTTCGGGGGCCGCGGCTCTCCCGCCTTTTCGAGAATGTTTTGCCACGCCCCACATCCACGGTCAACACTTAGGTAATGTGCAGGGCTGGTCGTATCGTGAATACCGGGTGGTACTATTTCCGATTCGGGAAGATGGGTCCGATCCTGGGGCTCTGATATTATGTCTTGGCTTCAATGTTGCAAGTTATAACTTCCTAGATATTCTGTGGGTGGTTAATACGGGTGGGATGGACATGATTTACTTTCCTTTCTCTTTTTGCGAAAGCAAGAGAGGAAGTTGAGAAGAAAAGAAAGGGAAAAAAAATAAGAAATGAAAAAAAATATCGGCAGGCGCGCGTGGCCCCACCCACGCGACATTGGGGGGATTTTCTGAGGGGCAGTCATTGATAAGAGCTGTACCTGTGGGATTTTGGTACGTCGCAGGTACCTGTGTTTGATGGGATACTGTACATACAATATTGTACTTTTTTACACAAATAGTGGTATTGGCGTCCGAGTCAGTCACTGTCTTCACTGCGAAGTGTATTATTCAGGAATATGGAAGCGAACAGCATGGTAAGTCTAGAGGGATCTCTAAAGAAGGTACCATGGAGGATTTCTAGCCAGATGATTGCTCGAAGCCACACAATTAGGACGCCAATAGAAGCATGATTTACGAAATTAGGTGCATACAACGTTTGAACTACTCGGGTCCTGCAGCTGATATGCACAGGCCCCTGTCGCTGGTTGATAATACCGCTTAGCAACATTTTTGTGTCGCTATCTCTGGGCTCCCACCAGGATCAGACAATACCATCATTGCTTTTTAACACATCTCTTGTAATTCGATGCCTATCGGTCCCTGCAGCTGTCAGTGCGCGCGCATCAGAACAATGTGATGAGGGTTGGTCCCAGATCACCGTAGCGTGGGGTGGGCTTATCCGGGGAAATCCCAGGAGATGCTGAGCCATCAATCACTGTCTGGGTTAGTATCCCCCTCCATTTGTACCGACTAGGCTGGAAACAACTACAGAGTAGAATTGCTGCGCTTGTTATCGAAAGATACATAGGTAGTACATACACTATGTACATGCCGTGGCTGGCTAGGCTGTGCCATCAAAGGAAGAAATCCATCTCTCCGCTGGGGAGAACCATCTAGATATTACTTCCTGGAGATACAGAAAGTTGTAGCGTCCCATTGTAACCCTGGTCAGGCCTGCAGCCTTGCTGCACCGCCATCTACATGGACGCATCTGCCTCAAGTAGGTACTGTATTGTACTTTGGGGTGTACATGTGCGCGCTATTTTCTCTCGCTTGAAACCAGCTCAACGAAGTCCCAAGAATGGAACGCACTAAAAGCAAAACAGAAAAAAAAGAAGAAAAAAAAGAAAGGAAGAGCACATTCTTGCAGATCTGCCGAAATAGAGGCCAGATGGGTTTGGGTCTGGCAGCAATAACTGCACCTCGCGGATCATAGGCCACCTCCTAGGTATCGAAACTGATGGTGCCAAGCAACCGAAGACAGCGCCCAGCGATACCGTAATTTTCAACCGCGTATTCAACTATTCCATTTCTGGCACTCAATTTGCCCCCCTTCCAACCAAAAAAAGCTACAAACCAGACCCTTTCCTTCTCTGAAATTTAAAAAGCATCGCCCCCCCACCCAAACTCTCACTTTGACTCGTATCTCCATTCTCCATATTTTATCCCGGCTACCCTCTCTTCCTTTCCTTATTCCTCCATCTTCCCTCTCCTCTCTCTCTCTTTCTCTCTTGCTACATATATCAATCGCTCGATTGTTCTGCTTTGTCTGTTCTCTTTTGTGCAAGAACGGTTTCATTGGATTTATCGATTGGAGACTCGGATTCGCTCTGTATCTGCAAGCTGAAATACTCGAAAACTAACAAAGTTTCTGTTTTCCCTACTTCACATCAAATTCGTCATGGTACGATAATGCTCAATCTTCAAAGGGACTGTCGCTCCTGAAGAACGGACTGATGGACTGACTGTGACTCATCTAGCCTGAATCAACACCCACCGTCTCCAACACGGAGAATGTGCGTTAATTCTCTCTTTGATACCTGCAATTTCTTCAGCCGCATTGTGGTCTTGAGGAAACAGTCAGACTAACTTTGGTGCGCTGGAAACAGCTCATGAAGTACATGACCCTCGACCAGCGAGGAAGCGTCCAGGCTGAGTACATTTGGATCGACGCCGTCGGTGGCTGCCGCAGCAAGACCAAGGTATGCAAATCCTCAACAATGTTTCAGCCCCAATATTGCATAATCCGTTGTGGGAATCGAGAATAGGCAGAGCTGGGTCTCGGATACAGTGGGTGGCATATGTGCGGATGTGGGACTAGTTTGAGAGACAGCGAAGATAAGCGCTGTTATCTCAACTTGCTCCCTGCGATAAGGACTGTGCGCGGGTGCTGCACGCCATGGCTTGCCACTGCATCTACCCCTGCATCTACCCGCCACACGTGACCAACTCTGGATAGATTGCTTTGTCCTATGGAATTGCCCGCTAACTCTCCTCGCTATCTAGACTCTTTCTAAGACCGTCAAGTCTGTCGATGAGCTCCCCGAATGGAACTTCGATGGTTCCTCCACCGGCCAGGCACCCGGTGATAACTCTGACGTCTACCTGCGTCCCGTCGCTATCTTCCCCGACCCCTTTCGCCTCGGTGACAACATTCTCGTTCTCTGCGAGACCTGGGATTCGGATGGTACTCCCAACAAATTCAACTACCGACACGAGTGTAACCGCCTAATGGAGGCCAATGCCAAGGAGGAATTCTGGTTCGGTCTGGAGCAAGAGTACACTCTCCTCGGTACCGATGGCTGGCCTTACGGATGGCCCAAGGGTGGTTTCCCTGGAGCTCAGGGCCCCTACTACTGTGGTGTCGGAACCGGCAAGGTCTACTGCCGTGATATTGTCGAGGCTCACTTCCGTGCTTGCCTGTTTGCTGGCATCAAGATCTCAGGTATCAACGCCGAGGTCATGCCTTCTCAGTGGGAGTACCAGGTTGGTCCTTGCGACGGTATTGAAAGTGAGTGTTTCGATCTACTTCTGCTTGCTAGGTACATATACTAATCTTAACACAGTGGGTGACCACCTCTGGATGTCGCGTTACATTCTCCACCGTGTCGCTGAAGAGTTCGGTGTCAAGATTTCCTTCGATCCCAAGCCGATCAAGGGTGACTGGAACGGAGCTGGTCTCCACACCAACGTCTCCTCTGCCTCTATGCGTGCCGAGGGTGGTATGAAGGTTATCGAGGCTGCTATGAAGAAGCTGGAAGCCCGCCACGAGGAGCACATTGCTGTCTATGGTGAGGGCAACGAGGAGCGTCTCACTGGCCGCCACGAGACTGGCAGCATCGACAAGTTCAGCTATGGTGTCGCCGACCGTGGTGGCAGTATTCGTATCCCCCGCCAGGTTGCCAAGGATGGCAAGGGTTACTTCGAAGATCGTCGCCCTGCCAGCAATGCTTGCCCTTACCAAATTACTGGTATCATCGTTGAGACTGTGAGTGGACCCTGGACATCCCGATAATGACGATGTAGCTAACAGAATCATAGCTCTGCGGTGGCCTCTAAACTTCCTTCTTAAGCACTTCTAATACCCTCCGGCGTCAGTGGGGGCGGAGCTAGGAGAGCAACCTGGCATTGAAAGGAGCAAACTAGATTTTCTTATTTTTTTGTTGTCAACATGACGGTATTTTGGGGTTTCTTTCTTTACTCCTAGATGCCAGGGCTTTTCCATCTGCAATCATTTCCCCATGTCGCTTTGCGTTTGCTCTTTTTAATTAGTGTCATGTGTTACGGCAACATAGAAGACCTCTTCAGAGAGGTGAAATGGACAGTCCTAGGAATCAATATGGCGGAGCCTAAAAGGCAAAAGACACCGAAAACAAAAAAACAAAAAAAAAAAAAAAAAAAGCTGACACAGCTTGTGATAGTAGCATAGTGTATCCAATAAATATCACTCATTATAATGCATAATTTACTGAACTACTATGGAATTATAAACGAAGATCTGAAGCACTAACATTTGTTTTAGGCTACTAAGTAGTGTTCTGTAGATCTTCTGTTGATATAATGTGCATTGGTCATTTATATCTGCTCTAAGATCTTAGAATATTGTATACATGTCTGTGTTAGACGTTTATTTTCTGTTTTCAGTTGGTTAAATGTATCTTAATAGACAATAGTAATTAAGAGGGGTATTGAGCCTTGATCTTGGTTTTGATTTTTTATTATAATTCTGATTCTATCTTTTATACACTTACTATTTATTAGTTACACTTGATTGTTTCGTGATGCCTACTTAGCCTGTCAAGTTGGTTAATCGATTATCAAGTAGATTTTGAATTTTAAATTCCATGAATGTGTGTCATGCACTGTTATAATAAATACAGATATAGATATTATCTATTAAGTAGATCCCGCAATATATACTATCTATCAAGAGCAACAGCATATATATGATAAAACAATATACCATAAAGATATACCCTAAAATAAACAAGGTATATTCCCAGATGTAAATATGTAAATTTACTTCCCCCCTGTTGAACCCCCGGACACGAAACAAACCATCCAACCCCCTCTGACGAGCCTCGCGTCTCGCGGCGCCGTCAACGATCTTGGCCCCATCGTCACCGTCATCGCTGCTATTGGTGTCAGATGGTTTCCGACCGTTCACGACCCGGAGCAGCGTCTCCATTGTCACGGAGGCGAGGATGCTCCCGCACAGAATCCCCACCATGACCAGGTTACTTTTGCGGTATTTGGCGCGGCCTTTGGCCTCGTAGTCGCTCGGCCAGCCGGCATACAGGGCGTAGGTAGTGAGGATGGAGCCCAGGTTGCCCAGGCCGGAGACAATGGCCGAGGCAGCGGCGACGCCGACTTCGCCGTGGCGAGGTTGGAAGATCTCCGTCGTCCAGGTCATGGTGATGGGGACGGTGGGGCCAAGTCCGAAGCCGACGATGAGGAGTCCACCGTATCGGGGCCAGGGGTTCGAGTCAGTTCCCGCGTACGTGGTTAGGAGGAGTCCTAGGATCTGGAAACAGACGGGGATGGAGAAGAAGATGGCGCGGTGGCGGTGGAATCGATCGGATAAGGGAGTGACGAGGAGGATGGCGATCAGGTCCATCTTATTTTTCGAGAGAGTTAGGTACTGAACAGGGGCGGAAAAAAAATGAAGACGGAGGGACTTACGATCCAGATCGGGGCAGAGAGAAGACTGAGATCGATCCCACTAAGACTCGGGTTGATGGCTTTGATGATCACGGTGCTGTAGCTCTGCACGCCGATGCCCACACCCACTACGCCAAAGTACATGATCAACAAGGGCCAGATCCGCCAGTCTAAGAGCACGCGCATGAGATCGCGGACACTCCACTGAGGGCGGTGATATACACGCCTCAGGTCATGGTAATGAATCTCGGCATCGCGGCCCGTCAGCGCTGGGGGACTGCGTGGAATCCACCAGAGGTATTTCCGCTTCGGGGGCTCCTCACCCGGAGGCGTGGGTCGGTCGGGCAGCCACCAGAGGAGAATGATGCCGACGGTTATGGTGATGACGCCGTAGACGAGGAACATCCATTGGAAGCCTACGAGCCCACGCTCGCCGTCCATCTTCTGAAACCCGGCCGAGACCAGGCCCACGACGGCGGCAGAGACCTGGGCGGCGGTGAAGTATTGACCGATCCGTTTCCCGGTTCGAGAGGGTGGGTAAAATAGGGTGAGGTAGTAGGCCATTCCGGGCCACATGCCTGCAATGACAATACCCAGGAGAAGACGAAGAAGACTGGGTTGAGATCATTAGCGACCGGTGCCTTGGAAGTCATCCTAGGGAAAGCGAGCGTATAGGGGGGAATACTAAAGACTCCATGCGGCTTTCATTGCCGCCATGCAGCTACCAATAATACCGACACTGACCACAATGCGACTCATCCAGACGTGGGGGCTCAACCGGGTCATGATCAAGTTTGACGGCAGATCAAATACCACGTAGCACACGTAGAACAAGGCCAGACCGGTCGAGATCTGGTGTGGCGTCAGGTGCAGCACGGAACCGAGATCATGTCCGACGTTGGCATTCATGGTCTGGGCCAAACCGACATTGGACCGAATGGCCGAACAAAGGAAATAGAGCACCCAGAATGCGGGGATGATGCGGAAATCCAATTTCCTGGGTAACAAACAAATCAGCTTAGTTTCTCCCTCCTCGCCCGGGGTATGACACTAACCGGTAAATGCGCTCGATGCTGGCGATATCCGGCTCATCCCCAGATTCGAGATCATCGCGACTGTCCTGATATCCCTCTATTTCCGGGGCCGGTTGCTTGTCTAGGTCATCGACTAGGGTACTGGGCTGGGCCAAAGACATGATGGCGCCTAGACTAAAACAGCCCGTCAGATTTTAAGTCGCTTGGAAGTTTGTCATTGGACGCCAAATCAAGAACTTACCAGAGCCGTTGCTGCTGATGCTTCTGCAGAGACTGAAGAGAGGGAGAGACGTGCAGGTGAAGAAACGAAGAAGAAGAAAAAGAGCTCGTCGTCACCACAAGACTTGCAAGAAGAACCTCGAAGGTCGACCCCGCACACGTTGACTGGGACGAGGCACTGTCGATCCACCTTAGTAACTGCGTTGTGGCTGTCACTATCAACGACCATAGTGATTTTATTAGCTTCTGGATTGTTCTTTTTTCTTTCTTTTTCTTTCGCACAAGGGAGGCATTCCATCCACTCAAATCATGATTGTGTAACTTCCCGGTCATCTGTCCTCTTGGGATGATGCTGGATCAACGCAACTCTTGGAGGGGGAACATACCTGCGACGAGTGAGACATAACACAACGATAACCAAGTCGATAAAAAGGAATGATGGACGCGATATTTCCAGCAAAAAAGAGGATATCAACTGTTAGTTATCTAGTAGACGGATCGACGAACTGATTGATTAAAATGATAGAATGTAGATACCCGAGGATTGCCTCCGCTTAGATTCGGAGACTAGCCAACCTCGCGAACCTCTTTTTCTGCGCGTCCTTCTTCCAATGCAGAGGAGATAATAGTACCAGACGAGGGATGAGAAGGAGAAGAAGGAAGAAAATCCTAGTCGAGGAGCTCGAAGCGATCTAAAGAAATGAAAGAAAAGTTGGAAGCCGACCGTCGGCCGGACTCCCCTGTAGCCAATGACATGCCGCGATGGCGCTCTCTCAGAAAAAAACTCCCAAATTTCAGACTTCGCAGCCATGGACGCAGACGATGCGAAGAGAGATGACAGGCTTGGTTCTGTGGTTACCTTTCGATTATCTCTGTCCTCGTTGGATGAGTTATTTAGATTTCTTTTGTGTTACTGAGCTTACTTACTGGTACTGACTTCCTAGTTGCCACAACGCAGAGGTTCCTCGTTGCATATCGTGGCTAAGAAGACAAGATGAATGGAAGAATGGATATCTATACCTGCTCAGGTACCGTCAATCCGATGTCTAACGTTCCCGATCGACACGCCACATTCCTCAGATCTCTGTCTTCCGAATGCGGTCGGATCCTATGTATCGGTGGGTTTGCCGGACATAGTAAGGGTGGTTCCGTCATGGTGGTAAGCTGGGTGTATACACCGTAGTTATTCGTAGTAGAGTAAGAAACTACTCTACGACCATGGAGAGATCTATGTGCGTAGGTTACTCCTGCTAGATGGCTGAAAAGGCGCGGTTAACGGCTTGGTGTCACCCGCTTTATGTAGATCCTACAACACACCGGAGACAATACTATGTAAGCCAATTGATTATAAGATTCACTTGGTATCTAATTACACAAAAAACAATCAGGGTATAAGGTCCACGCAGGGCAGCTGTCAAGAAGTCCCTGAATACATGCCCGAAGCAAGAGCAAGTTCCTTGGAGGCACAACGGTTTAGCAAAACATAGAAGAAAAAAACGTTTTGTATTATGCACCGAGGCCGGGTATTCATTCCTTCTCGGTGCTGACATTTTCGTCGCTGCTCTTCTCGATATCCTTGTGCTGGTGGTTCAGCACACTGGCCCGACGCACGGCTTCGTCCTCCACGTCATCCAAGGTGTGCAGCAGTTCACCACGCTTGCCGTACATGTGGGGCTCCTCATCAGCAACTCTCACCAAGGAGAAGATGCTCTTCGTTTTGCGGAAGATGCGGTCCATCTCTTCCAGAGAGCGGCGAGTGGTCTCGGGATAGAAGAAGTACACAACGGGGAAGATGGCAGCGTTACTATAGTAAGGTCAGTCAACATGGTCCGAATGCAACACACGACAAGTGGGACTCACATGACGGCAAAGATGATGTAGGTTTGGTACTTGATGTTCTCGAAGGCAACGGGGGTAATCATGACCACCATGAAGTTGAAGATCCAGTTGGAGGAGGTGGCCAGGGCGTTGGCTGGTGCACGGATTTTGAGGGGCACGATTTCAGCTGGGTAGAGCCAGGTCATTCCCAGCCAGCCAATGGCGAAGAAAGTATTGAACACAAAGAGGAAGACGGTACAAGCGACGTTGGCACCGCTGTTGTTCTCAATGCTGGCCGTGATGGCAAGAATCACCATGGAGATGGACATACCAGCCGCACCGAAGAGCATTAGAGTCCGACGACCAAAGATTTCAATAGTGAACACGGCGATCCAGGAAGCGATGAAGTACTCGGTGCCGTTGCACGCCGCAATAAGACGGGAGTTGATCAGGCTCATACCAAGCTGATTCTCCAAAACCACGGGGATGTAGTAGGTGATCAGATTGATACCGGAAATCTGTTGGAACATCTGGTTGACGTAGGCCAGCACCGTTCGGTGGAAGTGGCGGTTCTCGTCCATGGTGAACATGTCGCGGAAGGAGCCCTTGGCCATCTCCAGGACGGTGGCCTTGATGGCGGTGAATTCGGTCTGAAGGAGGATGGGGTCGGCTCCGTCGCCCAACAGAGCTCCGAGGACTTCCCTCGCTTCGTCCTCACGGCCCTTCAGCACGAGCCAGCGAGGGGATTCCGGAAGGAACATGACGAAAACCAGGATGATGAAAGCGAAGAATATCTGGAACGCTAGGGGGAATCTCCAGGCGACCTCGTTAGGGTCGGCAAAGAGGAGACCGAAATCGATCCAGTAACTGATGGTGATACCGCAAGTAATCATGGCGCCTTCAATCATGACCAGCTGACCACGGCGGTTAGATTTGCAGCACTCGGACTGCCAAGTGGGCACAGTCGAAGTGTTCATTCCGTTTCCTATCGATGTCAGGTTAGTTTGTGTGGACAAATCACCAGTTCGTACAGGGCCACTTACCGAATCCGGTGACCAGACGACCGACGATCAGCTGGGGCAAATGATAGGAGGTGCACTGTAGCAGAGCTCCGATACACATGATAAGTGAACCGACGAAGATAGTCTTGCGTCGACCTAACCAATTGCCAATCCAGATGGTAGGAATGGATCCCGCGAAACATCCCAAGTTGTACGCCGCAACCACAATACCTGTGGCATCCGGAGTGGTTAACTGCGAAAAATCCTATGGACGGGCAAAAGAAACACGTACCTTGACGAGTGGATTGAGTACTCCGTTCACTAAGGGTTAACTGTTCCCAGTACGGTCCGTTGGTAGCAATGGTGGGGAAATATTTAATGAAAGAATCGAGGGACAAGAGACCACCAGTGACACCCTGATCGTAGCCGAACAGCAGGAAGTCCATACCGGCAATGACGCCGATAGCAATTTGCAGCTTGCTGCCCTGGAGGCCAAGGTAGCTGCGCGCCATGGTGGAAGCTGTAGACTGGATCTCTCTGCAGCAGCTATCAAGATTCCTATAGACTGACTGAAGGACAAGGCAGACTCATGCGAAGGAAAGCTGAGAACGGAAGAGCTCTCAGGAGGGAGGAGGGTTAAAAATAGGGAATTGAAAAAAAAGAAAAGAGAAAAGAAGGATTCGAGAAAAGAGATCAGCGGAACGGTTGTACAGAGGGCATGGACGGGGTTTTTAAAACGTCAGAGCCGGGTGGGAGCTGTGCAGGATAGTAAGGTAATAGATATAGGTTGTGTTGACTGGGATGGGGAGGGAAGGAATCAGAGTGACTAAAAGGAAAAAAAAGATTATATAGGTAATAATTATAAATAATTGTACAAAGAATGAAATAATAAAGGAATAATAGTTACAGGAACTAATAATTATCTTCCACGGGAGGGGACAAACTCGACCGGTAGAGACAGACCAACGATAGACTGACACCGAGAGACTTTGCCCAAAGCAGGAAACTGGACAGTAACACCATCTGACAATCGCAAACGATTGAGTGGGAGATGATTGGACTCTGTGCCTGGGAAAAGAGAGCCAGTCCCCACCTCTCCAGTCGCAGACTCCGGATCGAGAGATGCGAGGTAGCAGTCCGTCACAGCAGCATCATTTCCCCCATCTTTTCGCTGGGGGTGTTCCGTGGCAGCCATTGGCTGTACTAGAAGCTAGAGAGGGAAGGGAATGGCAGCCTATTCCCCACATGGAGGCTTTTGTTACTGCCCCTGTTCGTCTAGGTCGGTAGGTCGGGGAGCTAACAATCTCTCTTTCTCTTCTCTCTCCCACCTTATGTCGAATGTCCGCCAGGGAATGACGACGGTGGTGCCGGGCCAGGTCTCCTCCGATGGGGATCGGCGGGGGCTGAATGGGGCGTGTGTTAGTCGAACCTGGAGATTCAATGGGGAGGGAAAAAACGATTGCAGGCTCCACCCTGTCCAATGCCGTGAGCGTTCGCTAACCGGTTTTGGACAAACCGAGTTGGTTGGTTTTTTTTTTTTTTTTTTTTTTTGGTACATCCGCATGGACCAATATCCATGTTCCAGTAAATTTTTGAATAATGACAATCCAACGTACTAGTCATTTGTTGCGGGAATCATTCTGCTGGTTGGTATTAGATATGATTACTTGGTATGATCTTAAATGTATATATTTTATTTTACAACAACCACCCATTTCTTCCAGAAGCTTGTGAAACCATGAATCATTATCTCGACAAGTTCTGGATTTGTCTCTCGCAGTATGTAGTTTTGTTAATCTCTCAGAGAGAGCCTCGCGTGGCTCTTCGCGTGGACGAAAAAAATAAAATAAAATAAGAATTATCGAGGGAGGAGGCGAGATCATCGTCATCGCCTTGCTCAGTTGACCTTTCTTCCCCCAGTGGCATGTCACCGTGCCATGCCAGCCTCTCCACCCGTGCCGACAAACCTGACTGATTATTCATGAATCCGGGGAGTTGGAGACTCCGGATTTCATCCAGGAGAAACAGAAAGGAGGGGCACTCTACTCGGCCTTATCCGCTGTCCGTGGGTGTGTGACGTCGCCCTTCTCCTTGCTCGTCAGATGAAGGCTTGATAGATTCTCTTACTTTGACGGTCATCATGATATTTACGATTGTTCTTGTTCAAATGTCATGGATCTTCCTTTCTGACTGTTCTTCGGTCCATACAATACACCAGAACTCTCCACCTGCATGTTTTTGTTCTGTAATTCCGTAATATTATCGTTGATGGGGAACACTTGGTCCCGTCTGCGCAGCTAGTACCCATCAGGCTGTCGGTTTGTTGCATCATAGCTGTTTCCATCCAGGTTCTCGGACTTTTTTCTTTTTCCTCATTCCATCTTATATCGATCTCCCCTGATCTGGTCGCTAATCCAATCATACCAGGAACTGATCCCCACTCCAATGGGCAAGGAAAAGAAGGATTTTTTTTAAAAAAAAACAAATGGCTGATAGTACAACTGAATCCTCGAGACAATGGCGACTAATCGGGGGAGGGCAAAATATACAAATTAGATGATTCTATCTACCATACGGCGCGGTTCTGGTTGGCCTCAACCCTGTATGTAAGTATATGCACCTGTATTTTCTTTTTTTTTTTTAATCCCGTGTGTTATACCGAAGCCTGCCGAGAGGGGCCAGCCTACACAAGTCTCGCGACCGGGCCGGATAAACCCTCTCCGACCGCTGCCCAGCCTTCGCCGAGAGACACTGAAGCATCGGTCCAAGCCACGGCTTGACAAGACAGGTTGTTCCTTGCTAACCACCAATCGTACTTCGGCATACCCTTTTTGCACTGCTTACAAGCAATCCCCAAGCAACTCCAAGAAATCCCTAAGCACTTCCAAGAAGCTTCTAAGTAGCAGACAAGACTTATTGGCATTATCTCCCAAGAAAAGAAAAGCTTAGTTAATAAAACTTTCTATTGACGACAAAGGGTTATGTAATTTAAACTCAGAAATGTCCATCAAGGCCAAGATGCCCATATGGGGTCGCATTTTGCCTCTTAGACACCAAACTTTGCCCCCATCGCTTCCCCATCGCCGGCCGGCGGCCTGCCAGGATGTTAACCCGCGCGTCTCACTGGACCGTTCGAACTTCGAAGTTGATCTGGTGGATGCAAGACCTCTGGAGCCATCCAGGTTGCCAGCCACTAATCCCAAAGCAGTTAGTCATGACACCGTACCACGCCTTTTTCGTACCCTCGGTGTCACCCATGAAACGTGTGCGGCGCCTCGGCTGAGTCCGAAAACCAGTGACTCCAGGCTTTTTGGTTTTCTCTGTGTTCTTTGATGGTTTGTATTTTAGGCTGATTAAGACGGATTGCCTGTTTTGGAGTTCCCGGATGACCGTGTTCCTCTTGCATGGATCCCACTAGAGTCAGATATACCACATTTCTCTGGTTTGATTTGATATGCACCCTAATTTCTTTTTTCTCTTTTATGGAGAATGATTACATTATTATTTTCTCCTTGCCTCCTACCATACTCTAATGTGGAGTACCCCGTAACTCATACTACGGAGTATATACGGAGGAGAGATATTAGGAGGAGTCTCTACCCCCGCTACAATATCGCTTCGTGGAGCGTTGACCACCTCCAGGTTTTCCGTTTGGAAACCATGGGGTTTGGTACCCCATGACAGAGGACGCCTGAACGACCTGACTCAGACACATGGACAACCCCGGATAACTAGATACTGTGGGAGGGATGCATCGACACCACGCGCCCGAAGATCAATTATCTCCGCACGTACTACGTATGAACACTCATATGATCGCTGAGACCTCTTACCCGAGCCAAGATCCAAGGGCTTAGCTATAACATCATGCGCCACTGGAGACAAATTGTCGGATCTGGCGTCTGGGTAGGGAAAATCAACGCATGACATGTATTATTTAATATTTATTTTATTTTCCTTCAACGGCGTCTATCCGAAGAACTGAATGAGTGCTTTATTTTCGCCCCTGGTTCCCAAACCAATCATCCGGACCGGCCGGAAAATATATTCCATAAACTATGAGCGAATTCGTGATGGTGGGGTTCGACTAAGCCTTGGAAAAGAGTTCCTTTTGCGCATCCTGGGTACTGTATTTAGCTTCCTACGGTTTTATTCATGGATACCATGCGGAGTACATAACTACTTCCATGGATCGGACTTGAAGTGGCCCGTATCCGTTCTGCGCATAGGGAGAACAAAGCACTATGGATTGAGTAGGAGATATCAAGAAAGGATCTATGATGCTTAAGATACTATCTAGGTAGGTTAATCTAAGAGCTCGAATTACCTACATAGGCAGTCCCTACGGAATGCCTACTTGGAATGTACCTATCTATACTAGTAGGTATAGTTTGACACGCAATGAATCATGATATTGGATCTGGATCCATACAGAGTACGTAGACGTAGATTGTGGCAAGATCACCGGAGAAAAGGATATCTCGTGCGAGAATAATAGATCGGGATATATCATGCGGAAGGCTTCAGCCTTACGGGATCCTTTTGAATCCCGAAAGTATGATGTAATTATAATAGATGTTGCTGTAGTTGGCATTCTGGACAGTAAATTCCCTAGTTAACTATACAATCTTAGTAAACACCGGAATCAACAAAATAGATATACAAGGAGGTCATGCGTGTATGATGTGATATAAGATAGAAATCATGCAAATCCCTTGCCTCAGCCGACTGCAATTTCCACGTATATAAGTCGTAAGCTTATTACGTCTTTGCAGTTGCATGTACATACAGTTGGATTATATCGAATGTCTAACTGCTGATAGTAATTTAGATCAATCTCTTCCATATTTAATAAAATACCCATTCCATCTGTACACTGTATACGTGTTTACCTGACTGAAGATGCACCTATAGCTGCATCGGCCCAAGCGAAACTAACTATACCACAGATACCTACAGAGTATACAAATCAAAATACATACCAATTCCAGTACCAACTACTACCTACATATAAGGATATCAATCTACATTCTGTATTACCTCGCACAAGATACAACTCTAAGAATGAACCTTTGGTAGTAGTAAGCCAAACCTGCTAAGATAGGCCTTGCATGCTGCAACCTGTTATGCAGTTGGTGGAGGCTTTACGTCTGTGGAGCACTTCTCGGTCTGGGCTCTAGGCCTGTCTATCTGTCTCTGCATCTGTTTAAGCTCTATTTGTTGGATGTACAAGGTTTAGAATGCTGTTTGCTATACGAATATTTCGATTTTATCTGGTTAAAGAACTGTAGCTTCAAGTATAGACCTAAACCAAATCTATATATACTGGATCCCTTTTAGATATTTTTGGATGCTTTCTGGGTTTTATCCAGCTACCATATTATATGATTAGATATATCCGATTTAAATCCAGCCTTGCCCATGCCACTTAGACTCCTAAGGAGAATGAATGGAGGTGTATACTTAACTTTAGCCTTCACCCAGTTAATACAAGGACTAGGAAGCTTCGCTTATCGGGCCCGCCTTCATAGTATGTCGTAATAGAGCACTCATGGCTAAAACTAGACCTCTATACGTACCGTACTGATACGGTGTAAAGCGGCGATTCTATCCAATTGACGGCCATCACCGAATACAGCCATGCTGCAACTCACTAACGTAGACATCAGACTACCTCTAAAGTAGTAAAAATATCACTCATCAAATATTTTGTCTATCGAATAATCATCCGATGTCTACACAACTACAAGTACGGTCTGCCTGTCGGTGGAGTTGCGTGGATTCATGAAATGATTGATGTGATCTGACCGATGCTACCAAACTGGCCGTGGATCCCTTCCACCGAGATCAAACGACTAGCTAGCCCTCTCATTTCTGTCATCCCGAAGACAACAAGAGTGGCCTGCCTTTCCCGAATATGTCCCGACCCGTGTGGGAAACTTCCCGGTCCCGCCGGGGCCAATTTGGCGAGTTACACTATGGAGAACAGGAAATGGAGGGGGAAAAGATTCGTCGGAACAGCACAACTCTACTACGAAGGTCCGTGTGGCCTATGACATCAGACATCGCCTCGAAACGATTACTCCGAGTCGTGCCATACTCTCAACCGATCATGTTCTGTGCCCCTACCTATCTAGCCCCACGTAGCCCCTTCAGACGCCCATCCGCCGCCTCCGGCTTGTGCCTCGCCCTTGGACTCTGTCCGGTCGACAGGCCAACCACCAGTAGTAAAGTCGTCGTTACTGTTATCCGTGGCCATTCCGTCCGGCTCTGCGGCGCTAGGGCAACGCTTGATGGTGTGACCCACTAATTGCTCGGCGTTAGCAACGACCTCAACACACGAGATGGAAGGTTCTGGATGTTGGACATACTCTCACCACAGTTGTTGCATTTAACCTTAGACCAATCTTTCTTTCGGGGGCAGTCACGACTGAAATGGCCGACTGATACAAATAGCATTAGCTCGTGGAAGATGGGATCGGGGGCATGATAGAAAGCCTTACCCTCGTCACAGTTACGGCATGTCACAGTTGAGACATCGCGTGGCTTGTCGCAATTCCTCGCCATGTGGTCCTCGGATCTTTTCCGTTAGCCCAGGATTCCCCTCAAAACCCAGTACTGGGACTTACCCGCAGTTGCGACAGGCTCTTGGAGCACTAGCCTGGGGACAGTCCTTTGCGAAGTGACCGACTAAGGCATCGTTAGCATGCAGCCGATTGATGCTTTAGGTTGGTGGGCTTGGAGTATGTTGTTACCTTCATTGCAACGTCTGCATTCAACGCCCTCTGCAGTGCGAGGGTTGGGACAGTCGGCAGCCTTATGCTCATTTGATCTTTGCGGCAATTAGCATGTTCCATCGTTCATTGAAGTGGCAAGGAAGTATGTACCCGCAGTTGCGGCAAGCATATGGATCACGACGTGTCTCAGTGCAATCACGAGCACGGTGTCCAACAGCATTGCAATTGACACATTTTACTTCGATACGTTCAACAAGAGCACGTTCTTCCTTGCAGCCGCGCGTAGTATGGCCCATTTCTATCGCGTATCAATCAATTATCCTCTTCGAAGGAACGAGTTTGCCTACCTCCGCAGTTCCCGCACTTGGGAATCTGGCGGTCGTAAGGAAGACCTGCATTTTCAAGACGTTCAAAGTTGTCCTCGACGGACTCTGGCCAACGCTCTCTGAGGTGCGCACGCTGGGGCTTGGGTCTGTAGAAAAACCCAACGACATACTTGCAGTTCAGCTTCCCCTGGAGATTGATAAGGCTAATGCACTCGTCCACTTGTTTGTCCTGCTCTCCGCATTATCAAATTATATTATGATCTAAATAGAGTGTTTGATGACAATAGGATTCTCACCATTGCAATAATGTAGAAGCAGAGGTTATCCTCACGCAGTTTCTTTTCGATATCAAGAAATGTCGCCTGGGGGACGGCCTTAGAATACATGTTGAGCGCCTATGTTTGTTAGTACGTCCACAGCATAACATATCAAGAGAAAAATACCTCACGGAAATCCTCAAGGTTTCTCTCGGCACTAGCTGCTTTGATGGCATTCCAGGCCTCGTCTGGAAGTTTATCAGGAATGTGGTTCATGTCGAACTTGCGATTAGATTTGCACTCCATGGTTAAGTGACCTTGTATCGGTAACTTAGTATGTTACTTCCTATGTAGGATTGAAACACTGCATACCTTCCATCTTGCAGTTCTTGCAAACACTAGCAGGCTTCTCAGGACATTCAGCAGCCGGATGTCCCTCTTGGTTGCAGATACGGCAAGAGCCCTTGAACACGCGAGGCTTGATGCACTTAGATTTAGTGTGACTAAAGTCTCTATCAGTTGACTCTATCAGTATCTCTCTCATTTAGTATTACTTACCCTTCCTCACCGCAGTTGAAGCAAGCCATACCCTTGCGAGGCTCAGGGCAGTTACGGGCGAAGTGGCCATCGTTTCCACAGCTACTAACAGTCAGCGGCCTGACGCAACAGTAAATACATAAGGGGTAACTTACTTGCGACATTTGTTGTCATCTTGCTCACCGGTGGGCTTCGAGTCGTTGCCATCAAAGTCATTACCAAAGTCATCACCACCGAAGTCCGGAGCGCCCTTGAAACTATTCGGGCTGACGTTCTCATTGTTTCGGAAGCCTGTCATCTATTTGTTAGAAGCATAACTTAATAATTCTATAAACAGTGGCAGCCAAGTTTAGGCATAGTAATTTGGGACAGCGAAAGCGTTGAAGTCATTAGACACTTACCAGAGTCGGAATGAACACCCCAGTCCCCCTCATCAGGAGTCCATCCGCTCATGTTGGCTGTTTTATACACTTGTCTCTGCCGGCGACGATAGGTAACTGTGGAGAAGCTTAAGGTATCAGTTGAAGGTTCATGTGCGAGGAGAGAGTATAGGAGCAGTGAATGTGCAGAGTAAAGGTTAAAGGTGCTTGGGAGGCAACAGGCAACAAAATATGATGATGATGAATTTGACCAGTAAATTTCTATCAACCACACACGACGAGAGATAAAAGCGAGGTATCTATCCTCTTGTAGAAGGAATAATACGCAGGTACGACTCACCTGAGTAGTCCTTGAAACTTCTTCTACCAAGAAGACTCGAAAAACAAAAGAGCTCACGAAAAGTGGAAGAGAAGGGGGAGGAGGAGAAGCTAGAAGGAGTAGAGAAAAAAGACGAAGAAAAAAAAAAAGGTAACAGACGAGGGCGAGGGACAAACAGCTAGGCCATTCACTGTTGGCATGTCTCATCGACAAACAACGCATCTCTGTATTAGCAGTCCCATAATTTAAGTACCCAGAAACCTAAACCTGGCCGTTTTATACCGTGTTTTGATCCAGGAATAGATATCGGACTGAAAAGCATATGATTCTATTGATTCCGGGGGTTGGTTGTCCTTTTGGACTTGAATTCTGGAAAAGTGTCAATAAGATAGGAACTACATCAAAACTAGTAGCTGTTATATGAGCATCTGAAGTTCAGAAGACTAATATAACGGGAAGAAATATGTTGAGCTTAGAAAAAGGCACTATTTAGATACAGTTCTGGATATAAATGCATAGTTATGGCATTAAAAAAAACAAAAAAAACGAACCATTGTTTCATTAGACACCGCCTCACTTTGCAAAGCCACCAGATATACAGATATCTGAGAAGGCTAACAATACATGAGGTATTCAAAGTAACAAAAGGGGTGGAAGGGGGTCAAAAAGAAAGAAAGAAAGAAAGAAAGAAAAAGATACAATATGTTAAATCTTCCTGAGCTGCCTTTGGGAGGGTTTTACTCAAGCTGCGTTCCTCAGTATCTTCAAGATTTCTTCAATTTGCGCATCTTTTCTGGCAATTTCTTCGTCCTTTTTGGGACATTCTTCACAAGGTTGTGCTTGATTCTCTTCTCCAGATGGCTCTGAACTTTTTGAGAGTAGCTGGTCCTGAAGTTTTGCTCTATCAGCCTGTAATGTCGCATTCTCAGTTTTGTATTCCTGGATGGATTTAATTTGAGCGGCGAGCTGCTCTTGCAGATAGGTATTTCTCTCTTTTTGCTCGTCAAGCTTCGCTTCCTTATCGGCATGCGATAAAGTGAGCTTTTTGATTTCGTTGTTCAGCTTCACAATCTCCTCTTCTTGTCTATCGGATCTCTCTTTTTCCCGTGGATATAGGGTGACAATATTGGTCAATCCGTTTAGCACCGATAATATTTCCGAGTACGCAAACTGGGGCTGGCTATTTTGTGCCCTAGAGAGCCTCTCAGGGCCTTCCTTCTGGTCAGGCATCTGCATTTTGTTGTGAGTCTGACCAGGGCTTGGAGTGGTTGCGATTGTTGACGCAGAGCTGCTGCTGTGAGGGGAATTTAAAGCAGATGCGTGGTTCTGATCAGAGGTCTCAGAATTCTCGGTCGAGTTGGGTCTCTCTATATGACCAGAGGATGCGATGGCAGCTTGCTTGTTTCTGTTGTTAACCTGAAGTTTCACAAGACCACGCGAATTGCACATTAGTAGTGATGGGCGCGCTCCCTCCCCACTGTTCTGGTAAGGCATGTTTCGCAGCTTGGAATAAGTTAGACAATAACCATGCTCTTGGTAGCATAGAGGGGGATCGACTTACAAAGTGCTGGGCTGTTCCGTCCGTCTGAATATCACCGCTATCATCAAGTTCTGGATCTGAGTCCGGATCCGAATCAGATGTCGAAGAACCTGAGGTTGTACCCGATACCCACTCGTCTTCCGTAGAATGATGCGAATGGCTCTCTGAAGTCCTGGGTTGTTTGTGGGCCATGTCTTCGGTACCATCCTTCGGCGCCGGGCGCTTGCTTGTCTTAGTGACCTTGCTCATTAAATTGCTGTCTTTGTGGTTGGTATTATTCGTCTGAAGAAGTAGAAATGGATTAGTATCGAGTTGCAATATCCTCATATATGTCAGGAATAGCACACCATTTCCCTTTTTTCCCGGCAACTCCCGTGGCGCTCTACTTTCAAGTCCTTTGTAATCGTCAACAAGCAGCGATCATATATAGCACGAGGGTTTTTGCTCACCGAATATACTTTTATGAGTGCATTCTTGCTTCGATCTGGGAAATATTCCTGTAGAGATCAGTATATAGTTGGAATACTAAACTGCTGACAGGAGCAACCAACCTCATGAATTTGATCCCAGGATAGTTTGTCCTTAAATCTCAGCTGATAGAGATATTCCCGGTCAGATTCATCCCACCGAACCTTTTTGCTAAACTGTCGTTTTCTTAGGTTGGCCGACATCAGGAAGATGGGAAGAAACAAATTTTCTTCAAGCAAATGGGAAAAGACATGAATAACTGGGAGGGAGCATCAAAGAGAGAAAGGAAGGGACAAACAGCCAAAGCTTGCTTTCACTTTATGTCTTGAATTAAGCGCTCAAATTTATTAGGGGGTCTGACATAACAAAAGAAAGGCTGGGGCTAGTGAATGTCTTGATGGAACGGCACAGCAATGAAAAATTTAACATGTTGCCTACCTGGTTCTCAAAGGCAGATTCACCAGTGCTTTCAGACCAGACCTGGCGCATGGAACTAGCAGGAAATCCGGGGGAATAAGAGGGGTAAAAACTGTGGTAACCTAGCACAAGTCAGACTAGGAAACCAATAAATGATCTTTAGGATAAAATATATAGTATATGGCTAGAGTGAATAAAACAGGCTTATAGACTATAGAAACCGCCTTATTATATAGTAAAATGCAACCATCTGCACCTAAATAGTTTTTTTTATTTCCCCATCAGCAGCTTCCCTCTCCGACACCTGTGTTGTTTACTGTTGTGGTACTTTTTCACTGCTATATTTGGGTGAGTTAAGACCAGGGTTTAAGATTTAGAAGGCTAAGCGCTGTGGCACAGGCAGTAGTTACAGGATAATAATTGTTGCCAGGAACAATTCATCTTCCTCTGAATCACAGCATTGATGAAGACATTTCTAAGCGAAGACCGCGCGAAATAATCCTGACAGTAGATGCAAATACATACAACATTGATCCTTATCGCCAAAAACAACCCATATCCCATCAGTCGGGCTGCTCACAGAAGATCAGCTTTGATACTATAAAAAACTTCTAGACTAATTCATGCATCATAAACTCCAATTCATACCTAGACATTTAATCTTCCTGAACTGAACCGAAAGTGGATCGATCTTCAAAGTGCCGCCTCTTAGTGGTCGTTCCCGGTAAGGACTAGCGCTTTCTTTCTACGTTGTTGATCCGATCTCCTCGCAACTATGTTCTACTTAATGCGTTTTCTACCCTATCTCACCACATATCATCACATTAAAGCAGGAAATAGAGTATTGATGTGCTCGGGTTAAACGCCTCGCTGTCTTCCAACCTAGGCATCGGCACTTCAATTGCATATATCAGCAATTATGGGTCTAGGAGTTGAAACGTCTCAAATGAATGCATAAGGTTCAACTAGTTACAAAAATGACAGTATACCAAACGAAGCTTTGATGAAAAGTCGGGTATGAAACAACTCCTTCGTCCTAAAAGGTTATCCATCATTCACCAACTGCCAGCTCAGCATGAATCCCAGCGAACAATGCCTCGCCAGTGATCCCCATGATTCTCTTCGCCAGAGACAAAGCCACTAGTTGGGCCACATTGATTGATGATAACCTGAGCACTATCGGCAACGTTGTTGAACCCGCCAAGGGTTTTTGGCGACGTGTTCTACGTTTAGTGAAGTATGTTAGTTCTGGGTATCCGAGCCAGAGTGATGCAAACACTTACATCATTGCGCCACCAGATAGCAGAGTTATAAGAACAGCTGACTCTTCCGCAGTTTCCAGGACCAGGGCCGTTGGTAGACCTACCACTGACGCCGCGTAAGTAAGTGATACCCTCTTGAATTCTTGTCCGGAGGGTCTTGGTATAGATGTTGCAGGTGACATCAAATCGCTTTCGTAGATGCGGAGTCCCGTCGTCGTTACTTATACTGGCTTCAGTTGCCCTGGCCGCGAAATCCAGATCATAAATCGGGTTGATTTCGATCAGTTCGGCATAGATCTCTTGTATTGTGCCATTGAGAGCCACTGTGGGACCCCCCGGCTTGGTCTCAACTTCCCAGGTGAACTCCTCAACACCGTACCCTGGGACAGGGGCCTCAAGTCCTTGGACCTATATTTACACCAGAAGCATGCAATAAGGCGAGATTTGCAATGAACGCACAAGATGGAAGGCCGCAAAGGCAGGAAGAATAGCAGATAGTTTCATTGTTCTTCGGGAGTCGACCTAAAGTGGTTCAGTACGAGAAGAAAGGACGAAGAGCGACTGATTGATGAGCTTGTTTGAGAAAAAACCAGACTCAACTGGAGGGGAAGAGAGGCATATTTATACCTTTTACTTGGTCATCTATTCGTCTCTTTCAGCATAAATGATGAAGGGGCCAGCGGAGAAACATCCTGAGCTCCCTGCTCGATGTTACATCCAAAAAGCTCGGAGCAAATTGGTGTTCCTAGATCAAAAGGCCTGCAGGGGAGTAGTCATGCATAGTTTAGTCCGGTTATTCTGGAACCAAGAAGTATTTGTCAGGTCATAGAGAGCATCCAGTGTAGGCAGCAAACCGACGAAGGTAAGGAAGGATAAAAATTAAATTGCAAGACATGTGATTTGGAATGATGCTAGGACGAATTCTTTCTACAACACCAATCCTCGCAGTGGCCTTCCGAACTTATAAGGATCCGGGTAAACTTCAAAAAGATGGTAAGGCAGCTGCACGGCATGGCTATCGGTAGCACAACAGCTCACATCTACAGACCGCATCCAGCTCCTGATTTACATTATTCGGCATCACCAGAGTTGTGGGGTAACTATTGATGGGCTCCAGCAAATCGCCAACTCCACCAGGATGACCGGGGTTTTGGATGAGATCTTTCGGGCACGACGGATGGAGAAAGGATCCAATGTGGTCAAAGTTGTCCAACACTCTTTCAAGAAGCGAGTAGATCCTAGGCTCTAAATCCTCGTTGCATATCTCTGTAAAATTTTCCTGTAACTTAAGGCCAACGAGCGTCGACCCAAGATGGGCCGTGGTATAGAAATTTCCCCATACGACTAGACAGTCCTCTGTCGTAAAGGCGGCATGCGGGCAGCTCGGTGGTAGGACTCTAGGAGGACAGTTAGATAAAGCATGTCTCCAGGGAGTATTACGGACAGAAGATCTCCGGCTCGTAGCTCTACACGAACCCAGCCGCCCCCATATCCCTTAGAATATTGCGAGCCCATGGTGGCTAGCCACTGGACTGCTCGAGTTGAGATCCTCCGAAGAAAATACCAGGTTTTTCAACCATGTAGAAACAAAATCCAGGTGAGTTGGCCAGCATTATCCACGGTCACCATCGACGGGCGCCCTGGAGAACACTCTTGAGCCGGAACCCCAGACTGAGTACATCTATATTAGAGGAAGGATGTTTGAAGACTCCGGGGGGCAGGAAGCCACAAGGCATGGAATGGAATCGAGGATGCAGGGAATAAAGCAGGTTGCACGGAGAGCTTCAGACACGGGACTCTTGGGGCCGAAGACGGGAGCACGGTTACAGGCGGGAGAGGTGATACCGGTGCTGCCACCTCCGGTCTTGAGAGATCACCCGCCGAACAAAGTTGCCGTGTCTGCTGTCATCCGCAGGCGAATACTGGAGAGCTGAAGCAATTCACACCCGTTTCTGAGAACCCATCGATCCGTCGGTCAGACCGCCATATACTGTAACCACGATAGCCGAGAACACTTCATCTAAAACAACCCATGATTGTGAGAACCCCAACGGTCATGGGGACAGTGAGAACAGTCACTCAGTGGATAAAGGTTATCCAACATTGACATCCAGCCCCATTCGCGAACCAAACGGAGATCTAACGAAGAGATGCAGTCGCTCGTTCGGGATTGATGCTTTGGCAGGATGCACTTCGGATGACACAACGAGCAAACATTCAAGGCCACCCCAGAGGCCCCCGGACGGCAGAATCCCACACACCTCTGGGGAAGCACAGGAGATTTTTGGCCGAGGAATTCTGCGCTTCCAACCCCACGGACCTCGGAATGTGTATGTCATCACATTTCTGCCGGATGCCTTTCAGCACCGATATGAGGTTTGCGTGTGCAGACGGGACGTAGAGGACGTTATCGAGCACTAGTCATTTCCTTCTGCCTCGTATATTGCACAAGATATTTACTGTTCCCAATCCTGAGGGAGTCGTTGAGGTATCGACACTCCTCAGTGGGGGTCCATGGGGGTCCATGGTACTTGGGTGGTCGAACAGGGTGAGGTTGCCTTCAACATCCTTTCCGAGAATGCTTTATTAACATCTTCTCCAGAGACCCTGGTCGCCGTGAAGGTGGGCTTCTTTGGATCCTTTGGGCCAGCGAAATCGTCATCATCAGTAGAAGGACGCCTCTTCAACAGCTTACGTGTGCTTGTGTGTGAGTTGCTTGGCTTTAATCTTCATACCCATTAGCGGGGTTGACCGTCTTGGCGCTTATAGATCTACGCCCAACCATAGGTATTGTTTATGAACGAACGGAGTGAGGTGGTTACAAAAACCACTCGAGTTGTTCTGCATTGTACTGTACCGGTAATACTATAGCCATCTAGATTGATTGATTACCTAGCTAAACCCTGACGCCCCTCTCCTTGCTATATTATGTTTATGGGTTTAGTGAAAGAAAGTAAACAGGGCGATCCTCCTAATCTATCGGCTTAAGGGGACTGCCCCTTAACCTAAGCGGCGTAAACGGGCCATCGGTACATAATCATCGGGTTTTCTCAGTATTCCATGACCTGGCCAGCCTGGTCTGGGAAATCTCTCCACCTTCACCTGGTTTCCGGGGTCGTGCAAAGTGCCCTCGAATTGTATGCCGTATGTTCTTTGCGCGGGGACACAACAGTAAAGCATCCTCTTCACTTTCGGGTCCGGAATGCCATCCAAGATTTGATGCAAGTCCGGGTCGCCGCAATGAAGGTCAGGTCCAGCTGCAATGACTGTTCCATCGACGACTGATTGATGGTCGATGAAGAGATAGGGAGGTTCGGTGTATAGGTGACGACTTGCGGTTCGCATCTCCAGCAGTTTGCGACACATATCTTCCAGGCCGCCGCCCTCTGCTTCGTTGATCTCCCATGGTATGAATCTATGGGTAGACGGAGGGGCTGGATCAATCTGACGCCGGTGTCCCCCTGTTTTCGACGTGTTCCATTCGTGTTCCCATTCTTGGTGGATTTGATTGCGGATTCTGCACCTCTCGCGAGACAGTTGATGGCGGAAGGGGTGTGTTTTCCTTAGGCCCACCGCCTCTTTAGCAAGACGGTCAGCTGTATCATTACCAAGGTCGTCGCAGTGGCCAGGGATCCAGCCAAGCATGCTTAATCTGGCATTTGGCGCGGCGGTCTAAGCCACATTACCCCCTAATCTCTTATTCTATTTGCCTTCCCCGCAATGTATTTTCATGCTATAAATAGATTACAAAAACATAGTCAGCTATATATACAATGCCAAGGATGATATGACTAACGTATCACCAATAGCATGCATCATTTACAATAGGGAAAGAAATGAAGAGAGACCTCGGGACATATAAAACGAATCAGCTGAAATGGCTGCCAACATGGGTCGGTGCGTTATGAAGATCATAAGGAAAGGAATATCCTAGAATCCGTCTGATATTGGGGCTTGGGGCCTGATGTGAGATTTGCTGTATCATTACTGGATATGGTGCTTTGCTGCGATCGTGGAGTCTATAACTTTTTCTCCGCCAACTCCGTTTGCACACTGCATAGCCTTCAATTCTATATTAAGCCTTGCAGAATAAGCTGCTCATTCATAATTTGAGCACTCTCAATCAGACCATTCATGTTTGACATCTATATAAAGGCCAGCAAGATCCTTTTTTAATAGGACCATCATCAGTGGATCAACAGACACACAACTTCTCCTTTAATCTTCTGTCACCAACCTGACCGGGAAAACATAAAGAAGAGCCCGCCAGAGCCTCCCGATTGGAATAGCTCTATTACTTGTACCTCAATCCACTATGCGTTCCGTCCTTATCAGTCTTACTGCAGCCTTGACGGCTTCTATTGTGGCTGCTATCCCATATCCTGACATCCCCAACACCGCGAAAGACATCCTGACCCGAAGAGGATCCCAATCTGGATTGATCACGCGTGATGATATACCGAACGAGGAGAAGATCGGGTACCTGATTTTCAGCCACGGCTGCTTCTCTTCAGGCAGTGGTTTTCCTCAATGCAGAGACCTGTACACTATGAAATGGGGGAAAGAAGGGGAATATAAGTCTTGCAATGATGACTCTGTGGATTCAGCTTTCGAAGAATTCTGCAGTATCAAGGTTTCAGATGAGATTAAAGTGGATACTCCTATGGGGGAGGGCATTTGGTGGCCAGACGCAGATCACTGCGGGAAGGGAGGGGGTCCAGAGGGCTTTATAATAATCGCCATGGACGATACTTCCGCGAGCGGGTACGAGTGTGTGAGGGACGACTATCAGTTCTCGGAGAATTGTGGATTTACCTGGGCCAGCCACTCAGTAATGAAGTGCACCTATAAAGGTGACTCCATTTGAGCATGAACGCTTCTAGCCCCGTATGTTTGGGTTTCTTTTTGTTTTCTTCCCCCTTCATCCATATTGTAATAATTGAATTTTCAATTTATTTTACTATTGAAATTCATGAATTCCCATAACGAATTTCAGAGAGTGATCGAAAGGGGACCTGGATGCGATGACGTATGACCTTGACCCTCAACGTTTTTAGCCAGCCCTTCTATCCAGGCAACTCGGCAGTAGAGCGGCTATAAATTGTCAATAATAGCGTACTGGATAATGATCCCGAGATTATGATGAATCAACTTTCTACACATCAAAAGTAGCCTGCACTCAGTGGGGTAGACTGTACCACTAAAGCTTCGCAGTGATGTTAACGCGCTGATTCCACGAAACTAGATGTAAGTCCATGCGGGTAAGGCCACCCGTCTATATCGTCCTGGCTACATAGCGCCCCAGCCTATATACTATATAGCCTAGGCTATATCCCATAGGTCGCTGATAATATTCGCCCTTGGTAGGAACCTCTGCAAAGAACTGTTTCCTCGGAGCATATCAATATATGCCGAACTCAGAGGCATAGCTTGGGTCAAGCCTATATCGTACCTTCTATCGAACAGCGCCAATTGGATATACAACCCAAATATGCCTAGACGCTCGTGGCCCCTCGGAAGTGACCGAGGGTTTTGCGCCGGCCATTCGTTGATCAGGTAGAGATTCAGACCCTTGTTAAGCTACTGCAATGAGTACATGGAGCAACTCGCTCACATTGCTCTAAAGGCTACTTAATATGGAGGTAGGTGTTCCACCACTTACCGACATTGCTCCCGATCAAGCCCATGAAATGGAGAACACCAGAGACACAGAATATAGTACCCCACCAGCACTATAATATCAATTGTGGGCTCAAGATGGCTTATGTGATTAATACAAGTGTTGTTTGCCATCTATCCTTCCTTGACGTTGGTACATCGATGGTAAATGCTAGATCGTTTCCTTGTTGGGTGAATATGCCTTGTCCAAAGGTGGTAAGGTAGTCCGGATGCGCTCAGCGCCGTGCTTGGGCTAGCTAATTGTTGGTTTTGGCCCCATGCACCTTCCTAGACCCTGGTTCAAACGATTGCAGGTGTGCGTTAGGCTCGACTCCGCCCAGGACGGAGCCGCCAGATGCTGGGAAGGACATCTCGTCGCGAGCTACGAACAGGCACCTAGGCGGCTACATGGGTACAGAGTAGGTAGATGGTCCACCCAATTGAAAAAATTCTGCCGCAATGCATGGGCAAGGGTCTTGGTATGGTGGCATCGCGCATCGGGCTCCCCGGAGCCTCCGCAAGTTCCTGGCTAGTGCTGTTTTTTAGTCGTCGGAGCAGTTAGCTTGGCTGTCAGCTCATGAGCCCACGAGAGCCGACAATGAGGCTGCAGCATGAGGTCACATCGTGAGAGGTGTAAGAGTCGGGAAGCACACCGTCTTCCTACTTGGGGGACTAGTTAGCTACTCCTATTTAATAGCTAACTAAGACGGGGCGCAACCGGAAGGAGACTTAATTCTAAGTCGACTAGATAGGCGGTAAGGACGCGGTTGTAAAAGCATATTCATACAGCTGGTCCCCTACCTATCCCGTTGCCTATCTTGATTGTCCATTTGGTCACCGAGCATTGCTTCTGGAGCTGAATCACATTGTAATCTTCCTGACAGTGTTGGTTGTATGGTGAACAGCGTATGTGGTGGCTAATGGTGCGCCGCAGTCACGGTGCATGCACTAGTCCTACCCGGGAGTAATATACTATAAAATATGAGAATACCTTTTGTCATTGTAAGATTTCATAACTAATTCATGATAGGATTTGGCCATACACCGTAGGATTAGATAATACGTTATTACAGGATATATTTATTAAAGGATTGATATATTGCAGTATTCTTAATATTCTGTAAAGAGCAATAACTATAGCAGTCTAGTAAAAAAGTACATAGCAACCAGCTGTATACAGTGAGTACCCGCCCAACTTGATATTTATTCACGTCTCAAACCACACGCTGAAAGTAATAAGTTAGATCTAATAAATTGCATTCATAGTTCATAATGATAATAACAATTGAATCAAAGTCTATAGAACCGTCCACCGCCTGCATACCCATTCAGGCAACAATGTCCACGTGACCTAAGGCCAAATAACCTGAGGATACAAGACAGAGATACACATAGACAGACAGATCAAGACCATAGACCACGCAATCGAGCTTTACTTGAAGATTCTGCCCAGCAGACCCCCAGCAATGTTATTCACAATTCCTCCCGAGAGAGCCCTGCTGGCGAAATTGGACGCTTGGCTGAAGCGATCGCACCGCGAGAAGGCAACCGTGTTTGTAATGGTCAGAATAAGTGCTATTACTATTGGGTTATCAGCGGCTGACTCGGAGCTATAATAGCATATGTGTATAATAGGAATTAGGTATGTAGGTACGTACCGACGAGACTCAACCAGATGACGCTGCTCAATCTGATGATAGCCAAGACCGCCAGACCGATCCAGAGTGCCGGTGCCACATATAGACTGAGCCAGAAGAACCGTTTGTCTGTGGCACTGATCGTGCGAGTGGTGGGGTCGGACGATTCAAAGACCCAGTGGGAGTCGCCGGTGCTGGTGTTGACTTCGTTCCACCAGCGGAGGCCGACCAGTCGACGGCCTGCAATGTTTTTTAAGTAGTAGAAGTCCGCGGCAAGGAGGAGCAGTGTGATGATGAAGACCAGAATGCTGTTGATTATGTTAGAGACATCGGACATGTGGTTCACGGGAGGAAGTGAAGATGATCGCTGAGATTCCACGAGGGCTCGGAAAATCAATCACATTGAACCAAAGTACTGTTATAAGGACATACAAATTCTTGATAAAGAGTACCCCAAAGAGGTACATCAGCAGTGCACTGACACGAAAGCCCAGGAAGCACAGGAGAGTAATTGGATGGGCACTAAGACGCCAGTTCAGCTCTCCCTGATTCGGTTGAAGAGGCTGGTTCTCCATGACGACAGGAATTTAGATAGGAGCAGGATTTGAGCTGCACAAAGGGTGATCAGCCACAAGGATAGGAGCAACCACGCTCGCTTTCTGACTTGGAGACAAGTGACTATGGGATCATCGCGATGATGTTGCGTGTCGCCAGTAGTGGGCGGTGGTGAGCGGCAGAATATTATCCGCCGCAAGACCCCCATGACACGATGGCTATATGCAACTAGTATAGAGCATCCTCTGGAATGGCTTCTTGTCGAGCATGCTGATGAGGGACCAACAGGCATTGCAAGTTATTATCGCAGACTACCCCATGGAGCATGAATTCTAGACATGCGCGGTTGTAGGGAAGTTGTTACTGAGCTCCTAATTTCTCGAGAAGCCTTTATGCAACATGCCGAGGGTACAGATGATTAGTGCATTCTCATCATCCGGAATGCAATAAGAGCGTTCTCCCCCCTGTTAATCAACTTAGTTACATCCTGGCCTTTCTACAACGACCAGTATCGCCAGAGCACGGCTTGCCTTTCCGCCATGGCAACAAGAAACGCTCTCCGTCGCTCCCTTTTCTACAGTACGTCCTGTTGATATCCGTCTTTCCCCGCCCACCTTAGCTAGCTACTTTACGTTCGTTTCCATGCCTCTGACCCAACCAAATCTAGTCCCGGGCTCGTCGCAGCGCTTCATTGACAAATCCCGCACACTCACAGCGGACTGTGTAGCCTACGACCTAGAGGACAGCGTGACTCCGTACAAGAAAGCGGAAGCCCGGAGGCTGGTGCGGAGAGCTCTCGACCAGTCCGCTCCGTCGGGTATTCGCGAACGCGCGGTTCGCATCAATTCAGTCGACAGCGGGTTGGCACTAGCCGACTTGACTGAAGTGGTAAGTTCCATGGGATCCCATACGTGATGGGATATCTCGTCTTACAGGCGTTGTTATACAGCTCCAATCCCCGAACCTGAGCACCATCGTCATCCCGAAAGTCAACTCGGCTTCTGATCTCACTTTCGTCACGGATGTTATCAAGCACAGTCTACCACAGCAGTCGCAGACGCACCAACAGGACGCAGCATCTCGTCCTCCGATCTCTCTGTTAGCGCTCGTTGAGTCAGCAAAATCATTGGCGAATTTGACTCAGATCTGTGCAGCCACTCCCCTCCTGCAAGGCCTTGTATTTGCAGCGGAGGATTTCGCTCTCGACCTAAGTCTCACACGGACTCCCTCTCTAACGGAATTTCTCTTCGCGCGGTCCATGATCGTCACTGCTGCTCGGGCCGCGAGTCTACCTTCCACTATTGACTTAGTCTGCACGACGTATAAGTCCCCAAAGGACGATGGATCGCCACCGGCTGCATTGGAGGAAGAATGTCGAGGCGGGAAGAGCCTAGGGTTCAATGGGAAACAATGTATTCATCCATCGCAGGTGTCAACGGTGCAGCAGATATTCAGTCCAGAGCCGGAAGAAGTTCAATGGGCTGTGCGCGTGACGATTGCTGATGAAAAGGCAGCAGTCGCTGGCAGGGGTGCCTGGACTTTGGATGGAAAGATGATCGATGTCCCTGTGGCGGAGAAAGCTCGTGCCATCGTGAAGAAGGCCGAGGCGTGCGACTTTAATGTTCGGGAACTGCGTGAGAAATGGCAGCATCAGGAACCGGAGTAAGAGGCTGGGGTTTGTGCCAATCGGTCTGAGGATATATTTCTTCATGTTGTTTTCGAAAGTGAAGCCTCTTCATGGTAGAATGTATATACTCAAAGTAGAAACGTTCGCGATGAAATTAAATCAAATAAGCATGCTAAATAATTACGAGCTATGCTAGCAACAGAAATATGATGTAGAAAATCTATCTCTCGTTCTCGAGGAAAGTGAAAGGCACTGGTAATTTTTCAGAGCATACTACGTCCCCTTGTGGTGAGAAAGGAGAAACATGCTAGTGAAGGGATATCTTATCGCTTCAAAAGACAAACTGTAGGAAATAGCAGCAATTCCCAAACCGAGCGGTTCGGTGTTTAGACTTGCTTTGACTCCAAGTCTTCGCGCTTCAACAATTGGATTTTGCTCGTCAGAACCGGCGGATTTAGCAGAACGTCGCCTTCCGCATTCGCATCGGCATTCTCCTGGAGACTTTTGGCCAGCGCCTTATCATAGCTCGTAGGGTCAATCCCCAGAATTCCACCCACGTACCCGCCTCTTTCTCCAGGGACGCTAAATTCACGAAATAAATACTTCCACTCATTCAGCCATGCCTTCACTGCCTTTCCGATCTTGTCCTTGCCGTTTTTAGAATGATGGCCGGTGCCCGTGATGGCGTAAACAACACGTCGACCTTCACGGGCGTGCTTGAGAAGAATCTTCTCTAAATATTCGATAGCCTCTTCGGGGTGTAATCCATGGAGGTCAATGTAGAGCTCTTCAGCAGAATCATCCAAGCCGACGCTAAGGAGATGTTTATTTCGCTCCTCGTATAATTGGCGCGCTGCTTCCCGATGACACTTCCGCATCGCTTCGTTCTCAGCTTGACCTCGTAGGGACAGAGCCTTTGCCGCTCGTGCATCGTTTCGATTCCAGGCTTGGGCCGCGCTGGGAAGCTGTTAGCTTGGGAATCCCCGATGGACTTTCGCGTCACTATCCTTACCTTTGGAGGAACTTATTTCTTACCGTCCCATGACGAATCGCTTCGGTACGGTATTTGATATATTGTTGATTAGCACGAGACCCCGTCTCGAGCCAGGGAATATTGTGCGGAGCAGGAATGGATTGAGCAGCGGCACTGTTCTCGCGGCCCTTGGACGTTTCTCTGTTGAGTTTGGATGTGGGCTTCCCCTTCCCGGCCGCCGGTGACGGGGACATCCGGACGACGTCAGCTAGGGAGGCCGGTAAGCTCTCTTTGCTGGAACTGTTTTCACGGTTCTGGGCGTTGCGCTTTCCGTGATGTTTCTTATTCTTGGCGCTCATGGCGGCAAGGGTCGGGAAAGCATCCGGATCATCCACCGAGGGCGCCGTTGGGTTGAGTTCACGGTTCTGATGCCTGCTGCTAGGCCGGGAGAGAGGCCGACTCATGCTCCCATTTCGTTTACCGGCAGCCAGTTGCATTGCCTGTGGGGCGTTCCTATTTCCCACCAGGCCCGACAAATGAGCTGGATACTGGCTTGCCCATTGGTCACTGCCCACTGGAGCAGCGGATTGCAACGGCGGGAAGGCGTCGGACGCGTTTTCTGCGTAGAATGGAGAACTCCCTGGCCCTGGACTTTGATGGCCACTGTCGTCGACGCTGAGATTCGCGACGAGTGCCGAAGGGTCATGCGAAAAAGGGCACCCGTTCCCTGCCAGACAATTGCCCATCACCCAATACCTGTACAGTTGAACCAAAGTCATCAGTATCACGAAGCAGCTTCCAGCTCGTACTATATAGGACCTTGCGATACTCACTTGCAGAGATGATTAGTTAGATCATGGCTAAATCGACAGTCGGCACGAAGACATTGGCCGGTGGACAACCAATATTTACAGACCACTGCACTACGGTGGCTTGGAGAGGGAGGTGGTTTTGGCGGATCCACCGACATGGACTTTCCTACAACCACGCGACCGTCGTCCGGCGGGAGTGGTAGTAATGCATCGCCATCGCTGGGTTGCGACAAGGATGCAATGGTCGCACCTAGATCGTAGCCGTTGGCCTCGAGAGCAGTCTCGATCTCGTCGTTGGATCTCCTATCTCCAAGCACAGTGCGCAGGATGTCATGAGGACTCATGTCCGGGACAAACTCCGGCGCTGTGGCACTCAGGCTCGCATTCATGCTTCCCGCCCCCAGAGACGAGGTTGTGCTATTGGCATCATCGGCCACCAGCCAATCCACATTGCTGTCGCTGCCAAAATCAACGTAGAAATCCGAGACATGACTATGGTGCGAGAACTCGTATGCGTTCAAATTGGGGGAGTGAGGGATCGGTTGAGCAAGAGCGAGTCGCGGCGACGGGCGCGGGGAGGTGAATGGCGATACGGTAGAGGACAGGGGGGGACGGGGTGGAAGTCCTCCTCGTGAACCGGGGAACCAGGAGGTACTCCCGGGACTGGTGCCTAAGTTCGAATGAGGAGACAGCGGTGTAGACGACCGCACCATCTGCCAGGGCGCGGGAGAAGAGCGACGGATCACAGTATGTCGTGGGGGAGGAGGGGAGGAGTCGGGCAACGTGCGGTTGCGATGGCGCCAAAGGACGTCGAGCACGGCATTCTCCAAGGAAGAACCCGACAACGAGGTCTTTTCGCGCAGAAACTCCTCGACCTTCTCTGCCTGTTCCTCTTCATCGAGAGCTTGATCCTGAAGAATTTGAAGGCAGCTCTCGAGGAGATCCTCTGCAATCATGCTGGATATCGGGGGATCAAAATCAAGAGAAGTTGGTTGGTTGCGGGAACGGACAAGAATAACACGGTGGAGGATGAGGGGTAAATGGAGCTGGAGTCGGTGATAAGGTTGATGGATCGATGGATAAACACAACAGTCGGGTGCAGAAAGAATAGCTCAAAACGCCAGGTCCATTGTCCTTGGGATCCGTGACAGAGGGAGAAAGAAAGTCAAAAGGGAGTGGTAGATGGACAGAATAAAACAACCGATTGCAAGTTCGGAGAGGTAATCATTACATTGTATCTGGTGATGGAACGCCCAATCGATAAGGGGAGGAAATTGTGAACAAGAAGGGATGAAAGAGAGTGGAGATCAGCCAAGGAATGCACGGGAAGACCCGAGAAACACAAAGGAAGGAGGTGCTGGAAAGGACGATAGAAGAATCAGAGACGAGAAGAGGAATTGAGAGGAGAGAAGAAGAGGGAAGAGGAGAGACAAGACGAGATGAGATGCATTGGGTATTTCGTTCAGAGCATCAATGGATCTATTTTCGGTACAATATAGCCAACAACACCAACCATCAATACCAGACAGTCCATGGTTTCTGTCTTCTCAGCGCCACCAGCCACACCGGTCAGGAAGACTCCAATGAAAATACTCGCATTCCGTACAGAGGACCATCTACTTCGTATAATCAATCGTTCTTGAATCTAGCCTGACTGATGCGAATCCTCGGCACGGAGATGGTCGATCTGCCGACAGATCGAGAGGATCTCCTAACCATCGATCAGCTCCTAATTACTCAAATTGTCAATGGTTCAACAATAGCTAGCGACCTCGTACATTTATCCTGGGCGAATTTCCCATCGTATTGACAAAGAAAGTGCTGTATATCTGGTATATGTACAATGGATAAGCACGAATGGGCGGGAGTATGTAAGCCCGCGGCTTCCTAGGCAGACATTCGTTCATCACAGCAAAAAAGCAAGATTCCCTTCGCCTCGTATTTGTCCTTCCCTTCCCCTGATCGCCCTATCTTTTGGGTTCTTCTTGACCATGTTCGCCTGATCTGACAGTCTTTCACTTGTTGATTCCTTTGTCTCTCATCTTCACTCTCCTCCCTCGACTCTCCGTTCCCTTATGATCCGACTCCTTTGTTATTACTAGAGCCTCAGCCAGCGAAACGCTGACTTGTGCAATCCCTCCCCGGGAATACAATCCTGCGGTTTAGATCTACAAATTTTCCATTCTTTCTCGGAATGCCGGCCGACTATACATCTACCGCCCGTGCTTTATCGCTTTCAACCTCTCCGCGACCACTCTCTCCATCGGCCGACGACTCCTATCCGCCATGGAGCCACCGTGGCCCCGGGGGGCGAAATGCCACGAATCTACCGAATAAAGAATCTCTTCGAAATCGAATTGTGAACCGAGCGTCCGAAACGTCGCGGCGTATGATGGCCGCATGGCGTAAGATGAACTTTTGGCAGAGAGTGGCGACCGCGTTAGCGGTTGTATTTATTAATCTTTTGGGGGTGGGCTTTCTAATCTTCACGGGGCAAATCTTTGTCTGGCTGCAGCCTGTAGCCGCAAAGTGGGAGCATTCCGCACTGGCGTTTTTCGTCCTCTGGTTGTGTGTGTTTTTCGTTGCTCTGCCGCCGTTGGTGGGGTGGTCTACATTTGGAACCATATCCGGGTATATCTTTGGTGTCTGGAAGGGGTACGCTGCCCCCCGCTTCTCTTCCCTGATGGGGTGCAATTGCTGTCGTGGGTCTATGCTGACAACCTCGACAGCTGGGCGCTTTACGCTACAGCGACAGTGCTAGGGTCGACGTGCTCCTTCATCGTATCCCGGACCGTCCTGTCTCGATTTGTCCACCGGTTGATGGAACGTGACAAGAGATTTGCCGCTCTTGCTCTGACCCTCAAGTACGATGGATTGAAATTACTGTGTATGATCCGTCTTTGCCCCTTGCCATACTCCGTGTGCAACGGCGCTGTTTCCACCTTCCCGACGGTCCACCCGCTGATGTATGGTCTTGCGACGGCGATCGTGACGCCAAAACTTCTGGTCCCGGCTTTTATTGGCAGCCGACTACGGTTGCTTGCGGAAAAAGGTGAGGAGATGAGTGCGGGCTCGAAAGCGGTGAATATCTGCAGCATCATTATTTCGATTGCCGTTGGCATTTTCACTGGTTGGTATATATATAGACGGTATGGATTTCGGTCGCGAAGGGATACTGTCCTTGGAAGCTGACTTTCCTCGATAGAACCTTGGCGCGAGCCAAAGAATTAGAAGCCCAGGAGAGAGCGGGGATTCGCCGTTCTCTCGAAATTGATCACGCTGCCCAACGTCCCCATCGCGCATTCTCGGAGGACCCAGAAGCCAACCTTGCTGCCACCACCCTTGCTCGTGACGAGGATGAGCGCCTTGGATTTCACGATTTCGACGATGATCACGTCGACCTATTCATCGACGAGGAGAGCGGCAGGGTGATGTCCCCCCGTCATATGAAGACGCGGTCCCAAGAACCGTACCATGACGAATTTACAGACAGTAACTCTGACGTCTTCAGGGATGGAGATGGCTCAGAGGGTGAGATGTACAGTCTACATACGCATGTGCGAGCGGATTCGGGCTCATAGACGTCTCTGTACTGGTACTGAGAAGTACAACTATCACGCGTTGATGCTACGTTCTATGTCCATGGATTTGGGCGGTAAATAGAGGCGTATTGGAGTGGTATCTGGATGGATGTTTAGATGGCTATCTCTTCCTTTGCTTCGAGAGTAACGGTCATCCTGTGACCGACAGTAACACCCTTCGTAGCCTTATTCGAATGGGGCCCTAGTACTAATAATACTCGTAGCAACCCTGTCCCATGCGACCCAGGGATTTTCCGGATCAAATAAAATGTTTGGCATGATGCATACTGTAGGGCTGCGATGGAGAAAGCGTGCAGAATGCTCGTTCGGACTGAAAAATACGCTGGGCCCGTTCCGTTCCGGGACCGTTTCGCTGCATTGCGACTCGAACTACGGAGTACTTCCTCTTCTCTCTCGCGCCAGGTCAAATGAGGGCGAAGTTTGCATCTCTCCAGGGACGATTTGTTTCGTATTTGGAGACTGTCGTGTCGCTCTCTCGGCTCCTCTGCTGGTGTTTCTTGTGTCGCTCCCAGTACTGGCCCAGCCGAGAGGACGAGCTGCTACTACCACAGTGAGTCCCACAGCTCCCTACATGCCAGCAAAAACGTGAATGTTTGTTTGGGGAGAAATTCTGTTCTGCTCGGTTCTACTCGATTCTGTTCTCCCTCTACATGTCCGTCCGGTCGATTTGGATCCCATCCTCCGTTGTAGGGTCGTCTGACATAATTTCAAGGATTCGCATACATCCGTCCAGCCTTTGCCTCCCCTGCCCACCAACGGCTTCCTGACGAGTGGACCCACCATGGCTGAGAACGCCGGGTTTTGATCTCTATTCTATCCCTACATCTCGTGCAATGGAACCGTTCACCGTGCTGACGACTCCATTTCATTTCAATGCCTCTGACTGAACTGTTGACAGACCGGTCTCTGATATATTATAACACCTGGTAGAAAAAAAAAGTAACAGGGTGCCACATTCAACCGGGGGGGTTCGGGATCCCAGAGAACCTTCCCCCTCGAGATGACACCATCCGGTCAAAATGGATCGACCAATACCATTTCCAATCATAGTGGGATGGGCTCGTTACTTTCATCCCGTCCAATGGACACGGGGGTGACTGATAAGCTGATCGGCTCCGACCTGGGCAATGGTGTGAGCCTTGATAACCATACAGATTCTGATCTTACTTCATCCAATAGCTTGATTGGGAGGTCCCAGGGGGCGACATCGACTCCAGATGGAGTCGATGCTGGCTCTCAGAGTACAGGGGACTTCTCGAGGGATATCGATGCTGATACGGCCCGCGGTACGCCGAACGATTCCGCCACCACCGCCTCATATGTATCGACGTCAAGCCAGAAAAAGTCAACTTCGCCGTTAACCGCTCTAAATGCACTTTCTTCCTTAGCATCCGCTGCAGGCTCCAAAGGGACTGATAGTAGATCCAATTCCCCCCAATACCGCCCAAAATCTTCCATCCCAGCAAGGCTCCCTGCTGGGGTGTATGCTCAGCAGTGCGTTGCGGCAGCATATGCGTCGCGGTTAAATCCCTATGCATTGCATAAAAAGGAACAGGAAGCCCTGCAGGACCACCTCTGCCATCTACATGTCACAGTGTACTTGAATATCCGAAATGGGATCCTGCGGCTGTGGACGCGGAATCCCATGGTGAGCGTCACGAAGGAGGAGGCTCTGGGCTGTGCAAAGGACTATCGCTGGATGAACCTGGCCTCGTTTGCGTATGAGTGGCTTATACGGAATGGATACATCAATTTTGGCTGCGTCGAGATTCCGACGGCTTTGGTGTCCACCGGGAAGAGTCGGCGGAAAGAAGGCCCTTTGATTGTCGTAATTGGGGCGGGAATGGCGGGTCTAGGCTGTGCGCGGCAATTAGAAGGTCTCTTTCACCATTATCACGATGTGTCCACATCACCCCGTGTTGTTATTCTAGAGGGAAGACGCAGGATTGGAGGCCGTATTTACTCCCACCCCCTACGGAGCCTTGAATCATCTACTTTGCCCCCCGGGCTTGTTCCCAAGGCTGAGATGGGCGCGCAAATTGTTGTGGGCTTCGACCATGGCAACCCATTAGATCAGATCATTCGGGGCCAGTTGGCTCTTTCGTACCATTTATTACGCGATATATCGACTATCTATGACATAGACGGCTCCCCGGTGGATGAGGTTCGGGATGCCATGGACGAGAGGCTTTATAATGATGTCCTAGACCGTTCAGGGCTGTACCGACATAAATCAGTTCTCATTCCTACAGCGGAGGGCGACCGGGAGTTAATCGACTCTGGTCGAGACCTGTCCGCGAGCGACGGTCTCACAGTAAGGCAGTATGAAGAAGCACGGGCATCTGGTACCATTGGGCTGTTGCTTCCATCCAAACGTGTCCGTCGAGGAGTAGGTCACAAGACCGCTGATATTAAAACAACCGGGTCTGCCGTGGTAGACCTTGATCACAGCGAAGAGCATCCAGCCGCTCTCGCTTGTCAGACCATGGGCTGCGAATTGAATCCAGGCGTCTCGGTAAATGATACTCTAAACCTCGATTCGGTTGCCAAGGCCTCGCCATTCCAGACCCTGGGCGCTGTGATGGACGAGGGCATCCGTCAGTACCAACGTCTGCTTCCGCTGACGTCAAAGGATATGCGATTGCTCAATTGGCACTTGGCCAATTTGGAATATGCAAACGCGGCCAATATCGGCAAGCTCAGTCTTTCCGGATGGGATCAAGATATAGGCAATGAATTCGAAGGCGCACACTCGCAGGTCGTGGGCGGCTACCAGCAAGTGCCGTTCGGGCTGTGGTCGTGGCCGACGAAACTGGACGTTCGCCCGAACAAGACTGTTTGTAAAATCACATATGACCCAACAGGACTAGGGAAGCAGAAAACAGTGATTCACTGCGAAGACGGGGATTCTTTCGTGGCAGACAGAGTGGTTCTAACCTGCCCTCTGGGTGTCCTAAAGCACCAGTCTATCCAGTTTTCGCCTCCTCTCCCCGACTGGAAACTGGGGGCTATCAATCGGCTGGGGTTTGGCGTGATGAACAAGGTAATCCTTGTGTTCGACAAACCATTTTGGGATACCGAGAGAGACATGTTTGGGCTCCTCCGAGAGCCCAAAATCTGGGACAGTATGACACAGGAAGACTTCGCGGCCAATCGGGGCCGGTTCTATCTATTCTGGAATTGCATGAAAACCACCGGGCTTCCAGTTCTAGTCGCTCTGATGGCTGGCGATGCAGCGCATCAAGCAGAGTGTACACCTGACGCCGAAATCATTGCCGAAGTCACCAGCCAGCTCCGCAATGTTTTCAAGCACACGGCCGTTCCTGACCCGCTAGAGACCATCATAACGCGGTGGCGCTCTGACAAGTTCACTCGAGGAAGCTACTCCTACGTAGCGGCGCAGGCACTCCCCGGCGACTACGATCTGATGGCCCAATCGATTGGAAATCTCCACTTTGCGGGCGAAGCCACCTGCGGCACCCATCCGGCCACCGTCCACGGAGCGTACCTATCGGGATTGCGAGCAGCGTCAGAAGTTATTGACACTATCCTAGGATCCATCGAACTCCCGCAACCGCTCGTCCCGGACAAGGGCAAAGTGGACATCCTTTCTTTCAGCACCCCACCAACAACCGGACAGAAAAGAAAGCAGCCATCTAATCCCGTCCCCCAAAACAACGAGGAAGCTCCCAAATCGCCGGAAACCCTACGCCGCGAGGCCTACGAACAAACCATGTGGGCCGCCGTGCATGCTGAGATAGGACCCCCAATCCCTCGACCTACCCGATCCGGTCTGAACCCTTTCCTCCTGTACCAGAAAGACACCTGGCCTAAATGTCGCATCCAATGCGACGAAGCCCGTCGCATAGCCACAAACGACCCCAACGCCAAAGCCGCGCGCGATGAGATCCGCCACGCGCTCGGCCTGATGTGGCGACAGGCCGGTGAGGATGAGAAACGGCCGTACATCGAACAGGCCGAGGTCAATCAGCAGACCAACGCGAAGCTGTGTGCTCGTTGGAGACAGAATATGGCTGATTGGGAGCGGAAAGCTTCCATTGTTAAGGAACGTTGGCGTACAGCCCATCCGTTTGAAACGTGGGATTCTTCTGATCATTAACTTACTACCCTTCTCCCTTTCTTGCTCCTTCCTTTCTACTCTTGTTTCATCGAACCGATACAATTATACCTTGTACCGTTTATCATATACTCTGTCCTAGGAGTATTCATTCTCTTTATCCATCCTGATAGGTGATATGATATGATCATATCCATCAGTGGAGACTTGAGAGTTTATTCTTGATTCGAACGACCAGTCGTACGTAGTGAATAACCAAATACAAAGTACTTTCAAGAAAACATACATGTCTCGAATCAGGACTGCGTTATTCTATACTTCTATTCTAAACGCATAGTGTAGCAAGCAAACCCATAGATGAAGATCAAGGAACAGAACCCCATCTATCTATCTGTCTTATCTATCCATCAGCAAAACCTGTATCATCAACCGAATCGAATCGAATATTCGAGACCTGAGAATCTAGAACCAGAAACGGGTTAAACAGGGGTACCTTTAAAAAATAAAAAAGGAAATTAACCGCTGAAACGAATAACCATCAAACCAACAAAAATAAAATTAAAAGAGAAATATGAATCCATCCAGAACATCATAAGATAGATAAGTCAGAGCTAAGCCTTGACTAAGGGACGGATATGCATGATCTAATTATGAATCTCTACTTTCATGATAGAAATTCATGAGATAAAAAGGAGAGATATTTCGCTAAAGAAGAGGGTTTGACTTGCGTTCTGCGACATCGGCCTTCTCGGTTTCAGTGACGGGGTTCTCCTTGTGGGATTCGGATTCGGCGATGAACTTCTCGGCTTCGAGAGCGGCGATGCAGCCGGATCCTGTATGTGGTTAGTTAGCTTATATATATATATAAAGGAATTTAAGTAAAGAGGGATAGACGTACCGGCACTGGTGATGGCCTGGCGGTATCGCTTGTCCTGAACGTCACCACAGGCGAATACACCCTCACGGCTGGTGTAGCTGGTGCTGGGTTTGGTCTGGATGTAACCCTCGTCGTCGAGATCGATCTGGCCCTTGACCAGGGTGGTGGCGGGGTCGTGACCCACGGCGTAGAAGAGACCGTTGGCGTCGACGACCTCTTCCTGGCCGGAGATGGTATCCTTGACGCGGAGGTGGGTCATCAGACCCATGGGCTTGTTCTCTCCCAGAACCTCGGTGGCCACGGTGTTGAAGCGAACGGTGACCTTGGGGTGGGCCAGGAGACGGCTGGCCATGGCCTTGCTGGCACGCAGCTTGTCGCGACGGACCAGGACGGTGACGCTGCTGCCGTACTTGGCCAGGAACATCGCCTCCTCGGCGGCTGAGTCCCCGCCACCGATGACGAACAGAGGCTTGTTGCGGAAGATGGGCACCGCTCCGTCACAGACGGCGCAGGCGCTGATTCCGTTCTGCCAGTAGGCCTCCTCGCCGGGCAGGTTCAGGCGACGGGCGTTGGCACCCGTGGCGATGATCACGGCGTCCGCGGTGCGAGCGGGCTCGTTGTCAGGGCCGTCATTCCATTCCGTCCACAACTTGAAGGGTCTCTGAGACAGGTCGACCTTCGATATGGTCTCGGTGATCACCTCGGTACCAAACCGGACCGACTGCTTGCGCATGCTTTCCATCAACTCCGTGCCATTCACGCCCTCAGGGAAACCGGGGAAGTTCTCGACGTCGGTGGTGGTGGTGAGCTGACCACCTGCGGCGGTGCCGTTGGCCAGCATACCCTCATAGAGGACGGGTTTCAGTTCCGCTCGCGAGAGATAGATCGCGGCGGTGTGCGCGGCGGGGCCAGAGCCGATAACTGTATAGGGTCAGTATCCTCCAGATGGGACTGGGAAAAATCGATGGGGATACTCACTAACTACTTTCGAGTGCACCATTCTGGATGAATTGACGCGCAGGGGCGTCGAGAACGGAGAGGATAAAACCGAGGCAGACGGAGAGGAATTCTGGTGCAGGGAGGAGGCAGCGGCAGCAGTCAACCCTAGTGAGGAGCGAAGGGAGGAGAAAGGGAAGCGGCGAAATGCGGAGGAGAACAGTTTGACGGCGTTGGAGGGAGTGATGGGGAAAAGAAGAGAAGGAGAGGGAAAGGCGAGGTTAAATGATTCTTGGTCTTTGGGAGAGGAGGGGCGGATTTCTGAGGGTGGGGACGAGAGTGGAAAATGGCGACTGATTAGCTAAGAAGGGGCACGAACAGGGCCTGAGGCAGAGGGACGGGAATATGCGATGACCAATGGCTTTGGGATACCGAAGGACCGGGGGGGGTAGATGGACGAGAATCGAATGGAATGGGCCAAAGACCAGACAAGAAACGATCGTGGGGCTTCTACTGAATATTGTTCAATAGATTGAACGAACTTCAATGAAGCATTAGGAATCATCTGCGGCTAGACCAGGTCACGTGAATGCTTAGGCAGCAAGGCCGCTGGCGGGCCGAGACCACCTTTGCTTACTAGAGAATGAAAGGTGACCGTCAGATAATTAAAACATCAATGGATGGTACGTGCCGGTTAATTCGGTAACCCCATCACATGACTTGTTTCGGTCCACCGTCGCATCGGAACACGCGTGTGAACTGACACCCGAGATAGAAGAGCTCTTTGAGCAGCCGCATGAAGAACTTGACTGCCGTTGACCACTGTAGCTAGGTGATATTAACACCACACTAGCCCTTTCAGTGTATTAATTATTAATCTGTCTGCTTCATCGACACCACGATCCGGGTTCCAGATAATAGCCATTCACCGAACACAACTATAGTGAATGCAAGAGGCGCACTCGGAATGCTCATCTCCATCCTCGCTTCCAGCATGTCGAATTACCTGATTTACTTTGTCAACCCATAATCATAATATGAGAAGGGGGGATGGTATCGACTCGAGATTTTGGGAGCCCTCACCTCCTCGATGGACCAGCACGACAGCCCTGGGGAGTGTCTCAAGGCTCGGGTAAAACCTGGCCAGCAGTCTAGCTCTGTAAAGACCGGGGTCGCCGGGAATGTCGTTTCTAGACTGGCCGTAACCTGCTTACCAGCTTTCGAAGAAGGCTGAAGGCCTAGTCCTGGAAAGTTGGTTGTACAGTCTTGCTTACCAGAACTTTCACGTATTGGTGGCCATGTAGCCACCGCTATAGATGTCATGTCCCCTTTTCCTTTATGCTGAGTTTCTGATTAAAACTTCAGTATTTTGTATACTATTTAGTACATTGTATTAAAATTAAGTTTTTATTCTTGGAGCATTATTAGATTAAGGGTATAGGAATCATACACAACCACCAAGTTGCGAATCTTTTTGCGGCGTCTTTTTGCGGCTCAAAGCTGTTCCATCCTAGGCACTATAAATTGGAGACTGGCTGTGAACTTTTTTTTTTTTGGAGGAGAGTGGGGGTCAGTTTCTCCAAAGCTAGAAACTGCATCTTTTCTTTGCGTAGTTATCATTTTAAACTAATATTCCACCTTTATCTAGTTTTTCCACTTTCTAATGCACTCCTAACACTTCTGCTACAATGTTAGAGGGTACAAAATCCAACTTCTTATGTGAACTTCACGCCATAATAACATCCCCCCCCCAGAGTCCATACAGCTTCACAGCTCTTAGTTAGGACCTTACGTCTTTAGTCTATTCAGATTAATCTTCCACACCTCACTTACTGGCCGCTCTAATAAAGAAGGCAAATAGCCACTAAAGTTGGAGGGGGAAAAAAAAAGTGGTCTCCTTGTTATGTCTCAACCAAACTATTAAGGATACATGTGCATCACACTCCTTGTTGCACCTACTGGCAAATTAACATAGACTGCGGGCGCTGCAACAACTGCAATTGATCAACTGCCTCCCTTTATTAAGCTGGAATAATCAGCTATTAGCTACTTTATATACTACCCTACGTACATAGCTCCTTAGATAGGCACTATACTTAAACTGCAATATACAAATAGAGTAATAGCCAAGTTTCATTCTGGGAGAAACAAACGGTGAATAATAGAAAAGCAATGATGACCAGATAGGCACGTAGAGAGTTAAAAAAATAAGTCTAGGAATTTACAGCCCCATTCCAAGACATATCAACATTCAAACCACGAGGAATACCCCCATTCCAAGCCATGTCAACATCCAAATCACGAGCAATGATTGCTTTTTTTCCAGCTTTTTCAACTAAAACCCCATTCCAAGCCATGTCGTTGTGTAAATCACGAGCAGCATTTTTGTCAGCTGCTGCATTTCCTGGTGCGATATACGTTAGGTCATAGACTAAGAAGGGAGTTGAGTAAAGGGCAAGGTGTGCCATTCAACAGACCACGTGTAGGTACTGCCTGTGCTGCGGTAACAAGTACCATCAGGCCAAAGAGATTCTGAATTTGCATCGTTCTTGGGAATGTAATATTGGGGGTTGAAAGTGGAGATATTGGATATTTAGGGTTAGATTGGAAAGCGACAAGGACGTGTAAAGCTTTCTTGAATGATTTTATTCTTCAGTGTCACTGCTACAAGGGAATTGAGATAGTTTATACGAATTTATGTCTAGTCATTCTGATGCAGCACATGCTTATTCAACTATGTCGGGCGATGTCGGTAGATGCAAGATAGCATATTTTATATTTACTGCTTAGAATGGGACAATCCTCAATCCGTAGAAAGGGATATGCCCGTACACCCATGACCATACGCAATCAAGCATTGCAGTAGTGTTACCTGAAAGCGTAGACTCGGCCTGAAAGACACCCGTCGCTCTTCTATTGGCATTTACCGAGACCTACGCAATGCTGACGGGGATTGACACAGTCTTCCAATTAGAAGTACTGAACGTACATACAAGATGGTATGTAGTTATGATGTGGCCATACATGTGCACTGTGCTAGTTGCTCGACCTCACTTCGAGCATTAACAATTGCATTTAAAGGACACTACATATAGTCGCAAGGGTATCCGAACTATCCTAAAGGCGGATGTATCAGAGTAAGGAGTGGTCGTCCTATCTTAAAGGATCTGCTAATAGTCGATCATATACAAGGAACACCATCGAAAATGTAATCCGGGTGATGCAATCTATACCCCAATTTGTATATTTATAGTAATACGCAGTTGACTTCTTAATCTATAGCTGAGTGTTGCCTGGCAGGTTAATAGTGCTGACTACACTCTGCATGATACAGTCAATATTCCAAGGTCGCTTGACCGCTACTGAGGAGTTCCAAGTTGCTGGGATCTACCAGCGTAAGTCACTTACCCCTTAGTATTAACAGTTAGCACCTCTGGTCAAGTTCTTTTTGCATTGTGTTGTCACCCTGAGCTCCCTGGTTATGCTTTTTCACTGCTGTGAACACTGCTCCCACCCCAGACCTCTATTGGGATCAACAAATCGCCGTTTGCTTCTTCCACAAAACCATCTGAAGATATGGAAAAATACACTCCATTAAACGATCATTGCGGTTCAACACCTCGAGCGAGCGTTTCTGAGGTTGATCCATTCCTCGATACGAGAGGCACACCCTACCCACGGAAACTATTTTATCAGCGGCATCTCAAGGCAGTCGTCGTACATCTACTCTTGTTCTCAGGAAATGGTTTACTGTTAGCTCTAGTCTTAAGATTCTACAAGGGCAACTGCTCTTATGGCATACATGGGCCGGACCTAGTATACAGTAAGTACGGCCAGCTTTATAGTTCTCCAAGACTGAGAAAAGTAATACATAACCAGCACCGATCAAAGACGCGCTAGAATATGAAGTTCAAAAATGGGACCATACGCCATTATTTTTTACCAATGGTTCTGTTAATCCCAATCGTCAAGCTAAAATGCTTGGACCTCCTTCATCAGAGACGGATGATGCTTGGGCTGAGCTCCTTCAGTGTAGGCCTTTCACTGGTAGCTCACAGTATGACATCTGATATCTCCAAATAGGGTTTAACATTCGTCTCTCCGAAGATGAACTCGGTGAATATCGTGATAACCCTGGCCTGGTGAAACTCTCCGATGGGACTGGATATGCCGGCAGTCTCTCTACGTACCACTCGCTGCACTGTCTCAAGCGTTTGCATCACTTGCTATATTTCGATGAGTATTACCCTGGCCGTACAGAGATGCAGGCGAATGAGATAAAATGGCACGGCGGTAGGTCTGATTACTATCTACTATGCTAACAATGCTGACTCTAGCATACCAGAGCACTGTTTAAAGATTCTCATTCAAACGGTAAAATGCAACCCCGACCTCAGTCTCTTTCCGTACCAATGGACTTCCGAGTAAGCTTTATGTCCCTTGATTATTTCACCTGTGTAAAGAACATAGATTGATAAGTCTCTGAATAGTGAGCGCATCCCAATTGCACTTGATGTTGGACATCACCAGTGCTATAATTGGAAGCGTATCGATGACTGGATGAAGAATCGAAGTTTTGATATCTACGCACCCGGTCTAGTGGTGCATCCTGTTTTAGGTATGTGGCGATGGCTGGTCTAACTGTCTTCCTACACTCTTATTGACGATAGCATTAGGCGTGGAGGCATATGATGAAAGCACGGCCAATGTAACAGGCATTGCATATGGCGACTTGCTGGCGGATGCAATTCGAAATGGGGAGATTGAAGTCTGACATAATATATTAAATGTAACAGATAGCAAAGTTGGCTTTCCTTAAAAGTAAAAACTCAATCTTCGGCTTTCATTAGTATAGATATGACTATATTGTTTCATTGAACCAATCTTAAAATAGCAGAAATAATAAGTATTAAAACCAAACATCTTCAGGTTCACAATCTTCCGCATACTAGCTGGTACGCACATCATCGCAGTCAGCAGCTATTAATACAAGACTAAAATAGCATAGCGGACATATAACAACTAGGTCAGACCCTAGTTTATGGAGACATTATTAAACTTCGGCAGAGAATGTTTAATACCACTGAACTATTACATCAGCAAACACCTCCAAAATAATGCTTTTCTTAACACTTCGAGTTGACTATTCGAGACCCCAGTAGTTCATATACAGCGTCTGTGCAGTTCGCATACTATATTCCATACCCATTGTGGTATCCTCGGGGAGATCCGCGAAATGACTGAGAAACGCAATATTGGTAGCGCTCTGAGGGATAACAAATGGACGATCCTCCTCACTGCGTGTTTGAAATGCTGCAGTTCCTAGGGGCTCTCCACAGGGAATTGTCGATGCTGTATCCTGAAATGGTTCATAGGGAATTGCGAGAAGGCAGAGGACCTCTGTGAAAATCTCTGCCAGAGCAGGCAAACATGGCCTTCTTGATGAAGTTGCCCTCGCTAGGGGGGTTCAAAGCATATCCCCACATGATGTTCACATAGTTTGACCGTGTAGCGATGACTGGCTGGTGTGGGATACTAATGGTGAGATCCCAGTTGCTATCCACCAGAGAGAGCATGACACCAGTTCCTGGGTGATTATGAGTGAGTTCCTCATAATACTTCATAAATATTTCTCCGCGGAGATTGGTCGTGAATGTTTTGATGTCTGATTCCAGAACTAAAATCATCACAAAGAAGGAAAAAAAAGAAAAAACCGAAGATCATCCCAATCCAAACCACTTGTTGCGTTTCGGAATCACCCGTCCACCAGTTTCTTCGTCCCGGACCATCGTCTCCGGCCGCATGCTGGCACTCTCATGAATATGATCCCGTCTGGGAGCTCGTGCATAGTCCTGTTGCCCATCGTAGTCTGCCTCGTCGTCAAACTCCTCCTCGCTCATCCCCATCTCTGCTTCGGTATCTCCTCCAGAGGGACCGTCCGCTTTCTTCCTGCGCACCCCCAGCCATTTCCTCCATCCTTTGGGCACAGGCGTCGCCGGAGGATCGTATTCGGTTCCATCGTATCGTAAAGCCGGTATGAGGATCTTATATGGCGTGCTGATTCCCGAAGGGTCCCGCGGGTTGAGTTCCAAATTCAATGTGATGGATAAGCCTCCCTCCAGGTTGACAAACCCACCAGCGCCATCTTCATACTGTTTCTTCTTGGCCCCCTTTTGACTGAGATTGGTAGGTCGGCGTAGGAATGGACCCGGCCTGAACTCCGCTGGTTGGGGAAAGTAGCTATCACCCGTTTCCGCTGGCGGGAATGGGCCATCCATACTCATCCGTCGTCCCGTATAGTTGCCTCCCAGGTTGAACTCTTTGGTTGGTGGTTTGCCTCGCTGCGAGAGTCGCCGCAGAAGACCTCCGCCGCCACCTCCCCCTTGGGGCCGGTCCCCGCGCGTTAAGGACAGGGTCCTTTGAAGTCTTCCGAGACGAGGCTCCTCGACTGGTAAGGGGGATTGAGGCTCTGGTGTTCCTGGTGGGGTAGAGCCTACATCCAGTCAGGTTGCAAGGTACATTAAGGAGGAAAACTAAAAGGGCACACTTACCAGGCTGATACTGACGGATGGAGCACCAGTTACGCCGGGGTAGTAGCCGTTTATTATTCCGCGGCTTGTTACTGACGTCGTGCGTGAAAATAGGGATCATATCTTCATCGGTATTAGTATCCAGGTGATGCACTCGGTTGTGCTTATTTAGTGTGTCGGAGATAATTTCAGTTTCAGGCATGTCGGCAATCGACGAAGAAATAATGTTGGGCATGTATCGATAATCCCTGTCCTTAGGGATGTTCAACTTAGGGTTCGAGTAGAACTCGCCGATGGCAGCCAGGTGCACATCGCCACTGTAACATTTGGCTGTCAGACACTCTTCCCCTCAAAAAGTATGAGAAGATCGCCTACCTCAGAATAGTCACCCGCACGGATTTGTCCGCTGCGAGGTCTTGAAGGTCTTCGATCAAATATGTCCGCTCGGACTTGTGATGCTTCGCTGTCCAATGGTCGTCGAAGATTTCGACCTTTCCGCCATTCTTGCTTACAAAACCGCCAAATACCCCGGCTTTGCCCAACGATTTCCTACTGTTCAGGATGTTTTTAACCATTGCCTAAGTGGACCGTTAGCAACCAATGCACATCACTTGTTGAAAATCGCAACGTACAACCCGAGGATATGCAAGCGGAATGCTCAACAGAACTAACAAGTGCTTGGTTTCTCCCCTAATAATCTCACGATGGCATCGGTCCCATATCAAATCGCATGTCTGCTCGCTGAGGATTTCATCACTCTGTGGCATAGTCAGCCTTGCGGGATTTTTCTTTTTCTTTTTTTTTTTTTTCACCGGTTGGGAAATGTAAAATCATCCTACCATTCGCTCCGTTCTGCAGTCTAGTCCCAGAAGTGCCATTCCATCGCCCAAGGACATGAACAGATTCCGGCTCCGTTGGTTGATATATGGCCCGGGCTGGGCTCCAAGTAGCCAGCTGGGCTCCTCTGCTTCGGTCTCTTCCGGGACACTGTGATGCTGGAAGAGCAAGTAGTATTTGAACGCAATGTTGCCCACTCCGGAGATCACAGGCGTTCCCATGAACTCATCGGGATAGGACCCGAACCCTTCAACGATCTCGTGGTCGTTCCACATATTGGTCGAGGGGATCTGCGAGCTCGCCAGCGAGTAGAGTCCTTGCGAGAACCACTCCGAGTAGTGTTCAAGGAAGGAGCTCTCCAACTCCGCCCTGAACTCGGGGCTGAATGGGACGTCATATTTCTCGTGCACATTCTTGATCTTGACCCATTCCTGGAAATGCGCGGACTCCGCAGTTACCTTATCGTTGAAGATCTGATCGCCACCGCCGATCATGGCGTGGAATGGGCGGGTCTGATGCTCATTGAGTACATCTCGCCACAACGGGTCAGGGCCACAGAATTTGTCGGAATCGACCCCCGGACTGAACCCGTTGCAAGTATGGAACATGATGTTCATTGACTGACCGCGGGCTGGCACCCAGAATCCAAGAGCCGGTCCCTGATTAAGACGATAGGCCACACGCTGCTGCGTCTGTCCTAGTTCCACTTCTAGATTAAACTTCCAAAAAGTGACATCTCTTCCTGGGTCAGCATAAAGACGAGACCCGGCAATTTCTTTGTAGGCTCCAGCTGTCTCCCCATCCCACTGGTGGAGTCTATTGGCAGAAGTCGGCTGCTTAACTCCCTCGCTGCTGTAATCGACCAGACTGGGGGACATCTCGTAAATTCCGTCGTCATTTTCAACAAATGATAGATCCACCTCTTCTTCGGTATGTTCCACCGGTTTAACGTAGAGTGCTCTGCCGTCTCGGCCTAATTTCATGAGCCCAGCTGTTGGGTCCACGTATTCAGGAGGGAGTTGAGCATTCTCGCCGCTCACTACAGGTGGAGGGGGTGGTAGAAGGTCCATCGGCTGCGCGAACACCCTTAGAGTGGGCGGTGGTTCATATGTAGAGCGGGAGTCTTTCGTCACGATCAATATACTGCCTCTCCATGTCTCCTTGTCAAATGGACCACTTGGTCCATCGATCCGAACCCGCTTCAGTCCTGCATAGCGAAGTAGCGGACCACACTTTAGAAATATAGGTGGCTGGAAGCGATTGGCTTTGGCTGTCCGGAATTACAAAGTTAGTCTCTAGATTCAAAAGCTGGAGCTAGAAATTGAGGAGTAAATTTGTTTCCTCATATGAAATACTCACGTGCTAGCTTCTGAGCTGGTGGCTTCTGATAGCTATTTGGCAGCGCTCTGCTCCTTCGGCGGTCGCTCCCTCCGCCTTCCCACCAGGCCTTGCTTCTGTCCATGTCAAAATGTTGGAAATCAAAATCAGAAGCTCCAAGTCGTGCAATCGGAGCGGTTCTCCATTCCGACAGAGGAGGAGGTGTCGGCGGCGGGACATTAAACGACACCGTTTGTTTTTTAGACCTCGGCTGCAGTTTCGTCTCATTATCGACATCTGGTAGTGCAATTGAGATGGGTTTATCCGTTACTTGATCAGAGGCAGGAACAGCCGATGGAGGTTCAGCCGTAGTCGTATTTTCAGTAGCAAGAGAGCTCATCGCGGAGAGATCGTTCTTCCTGATAGACTGTGTCGCAGGTTTACTTTGAGTAGCCACGGAATTCGGATATGGCTGCTGTGCCAACATCGGAGCACTTGCCTGTTCTGGATTGGCCATTTCCGAGGACTCGCGGGATGAAAAGGCTCGAGTGACAGGAGCATTGCTAGGAACTTCATCATCCCTATGAATAGGTTGATCTACTAGAGGTGGATCCATGCGATTATCACCAGCGCGGTGACTCACAGACACTGCCCGTCTGGGAGCGCTACCTGTTCTCATGACTGGGATGGATGTCAGCTTGCCATCAGAGTGCTGTGAATATTGAGGTGGTGGCCCTCTGCTGCGGGTAGGTTTTGTTCTTGTAGGTGGTCCTTGTCCAAGAGGGTCTATCCCTCCGATTCCTTCAGAAGCGAAGCGTCGATGATCTGGTCGCTTGACATTCTGGGCAATAGGTTGCTGTGGTGCGTTTTGCTGTTCAGGAGCCGCTCTCTGGGACATCTCGATTCCAGGCTCGTGGCTATTTGATGCTATCTTGCTTTGGGGTGCTTTTTGCACCATCTCCCGCTGCCGATTGTCGCCGCCAGATTTCTGCCGTGCCATTCGTTCTTTTAACCTTGTCTCGGCTTCCAAGACCCTAGCTCGTTTTTCTTCCTTGCTGATTCCGCTCAGAGTCACTTCAAGCTTTTGTAGGGGCGACCGATCGGAAGCCCAGTCACGTCGGTGTTCGGCTGTAGAGCGCACGGTATTTGATCGACTTAATAGTGGCGGTTGACTCTTTGAAGGGGGAGACACTTGGCGTATGTTTTCTTGCTTCAAAATATGTGGATCAGCGCCGTTGCCTCTCCATCCATCAGGCCTATTGGTTGAGACCGGAGGCTCTGGTGGTAACGGTTTATCTATCCAACTTGGATTCTCCTGTCGATGTAGATCTTTAGTTCTAGCAGAGAACGAACGGGATATATGCCGAGTTTGTGCTCCAGGTGGGTTGCCTCTGTTTGTTCTCGAACGTGTGTGAAGCGCTTCCGGGATTCTGGTATCGTATTCGCTGTTGCCTTCATGATCCATCTCGACAGGGTTGGTAGTGTCTTGATCTCGTCGAGTGTGCGCTGGTGTCTGCAGTGCATCATTGGGAGGAGTTTGTGGAGGAGACAAGGCATCCCCATTTAGAGGTGCCCGATAGGTTACTGCGGCCATTCTTCCAACTCCTTGATATCTGACACCTTCCAGGAGTCTCTAACACGCTGGTAGAGAGTAGCCTGGTGTATTTGGCATGCGATTGTTTTGTTCAAATCTAGACTACCGCAGTCAGCTTTATTCTCCTACAGAAAATCATTGTGGAATCGCGCAAGACAGATGAATGAAACTGTACAGAGATGAAGTTGAATTGATGGACGTACTAGGGATGCGAAGACGTTGTATGAATATGGTAGCAACCACTTTGGAGAGAATGGTTTACAGCCACCACGATTGCCAGAGAAGAATTAATTTCTATCCACGTGTAGTAATAAGAAATCGGAAGACAGTTAATAATAGTACATGAGGGAAATCACACTGATGGGCAGAGCCGCTCGATCTGACGCTGCGCAATGGTGGGGAATTTTGAGCGCAACTGTAGTATACGAGTCAGTCGCAGATGGATTGAACTATACCACCAGCCGTGACAGTTAAGAAGGAAGACAAGGAACAATGAGGATGAGAGGGAAGAAGATGTAAATACGACAACACAAGTCTCACCAAAAAAGAAAAATAAAAAGATGTGGTGCCCAACGGATCCAAAGGCAGAATATAAGCAGAGGATGAATCGCATCGAGATTAACCCGGTGGCTGGCGGCCCAGCCCTCTCGTGCTCATCACCATGGCGGGGCCCTTTTTTTCCCTCCTGCACGACAAGAAACTTCAAACTTGAACGGCCGCCTGGTTTCTCCCAAAAAGAATGATCCAGTTCGAAGTCCTTCGCAGCCCGACCATCCAATGAGGGTCCTGCGTGTGCGTCAGATACTACAGATTCGATGATTTCGATCCCATCGAAGATCTCCATCTCCACCTTTTGCAGGACTGACTAACAAGCGGTGTACTCTTTCTCTTCGCATCTGTCGCATTGATCGTGGTTTCGTATCCATGGTCTCGGAGAATTAAAAATTAAATACAAATAAAGAAAAAAAAAGCCGTGCATCCAGTATTGTATTTGAATTAAAGATATGTCTCGAAGATAGTATAGAGCACCCAACCTAGCTTTTTTTCCCCCTGCACCAACCTGCATCGTACGGGTATACTCTATATTTTTATAGGCTGCAGTCCAGAAGCATTCTGTAGAACCTCAAGAAGCATTCTACGTCCCAGTTCCATCACCATATGCCTGAAAGCGCTTTGTCTCTGCTACTTCGGGAAGTACAGAGTAACGATGCCGTGATCTATTGGCTTCATAGGTTTACGTGGGAATTGATGGCATACTGATGATTACCTGAGAATATTGCTACTGCCTAAGAATACGATCTTTCGACCATGCCCAGGGATGATCAACTCTAGCCTATTCTTGGAATCAGCATGTCACTTGTAGGTAAGAGTAGGAGGTCCCTGGATAGAGACTATAGAGCGTAATTCATATCCCCAAAGACTGATAATAGACTCTTGAAGACAGACCCGGAATTGGTTGACTAAATAGCCGAACTATTATTTTTCTTTCTTTTTTATTTTTTTTTTATTTCGTTCTCTGAATCTCCCTAGGGCCAACAGCATTTGCTGTGTGTTGCCCCCTGTAAGGAGTTACTTTTACGACACGAAGACGTGTCCTGTTGAGTCCTTCATCATTCGACTCCGAATAAAGAAAAGAAAAGAAAAGTCTCTCCGATTATCTATTCTCGCTCTGAAGAATAAAGAATTCCATCAGGTCTGCAGGCAGATACGACTGGTGAACCTGGACTAATTTTCCAACCTGTGGAGATCATTGGGCGGACAGCTCAGGAGTTCCCCGTGATTTTGTCCCTTCGGAGGAACGGGCTACCGCTTTTCTTCCGTCATCTATCATTCTTGGAGCTGTGCCCAGCAGCAACTGATCCAGCCCTTCCCTAATATCTAGTTCTATCGTGGGATTCTATTTTTCTTCTCGAATTTTAAAACAATCACCTCCTCCCATCCCTGGTCTGGTACCGTCTCCGTTCATGGCAATCGTCCAATCTATCCTGACCTCGCCTTCCTGCTGAAGGTGTCCTAACCATGCGTCTTCTTGACACGGTAGCCGTAGCATTTGGCTTACTCTGTGCTACCACTGCCTCTCTTCATCCTCATCGCTCCTACGAGACTCACGATTTCTTTGCGCTCCACCTCGATGACTCCGTCTCTCTACCGGATATTGCCCAGCGATTGGGCGCTCGCTACGAAGGTCAAATAGGCGAACTGACCGGTCACCACACATTTTCCGTGCCTCGCGAAGGGAATGAGAACGTTGAGATCTTACTAGAACGTGCGCGTGTCCGAAGGAAACTAAGGCGGCGCTCCGACGGTGGCGATCTCTCGTTGGATAGAGATGGGGAACTGGACGGCATACTATGGTCCCAGAAACTGGTTCCAAAGAAACGGTTGCACAAGAGGTTACCCCCGCCGGAGAACCTTCCACGGGTTTCTGCTAGAGCTAAGGAGAATGCATTGGCTGTTGAAATTCAGAGGGATATCGCCTCGGTACTCAAGATCACCGATCCGATTTTCAATGGACAATGGCATCTTTTCAATACTGTGCAAGTGGGACATGACATGAATGTGACGGGTGTCTGGCTGGAGGGTATCACGGGGCGTAACGTCACCACGGCGGTGGTTGACGATGGGCTAGATATGGATAGCGGTGACCTTGAGCCGAATTACTTTGCTAAGGGCTCTTACGATTTCAACGAGATGCGACCGGAACCGAAGCCCCTTCTAGATGACGACAATCATGGCACCCGGTGCGCCGGCGAGATTGCGGCCGCTAGGAATGACGTTTGCGGTGTGGGTATGGCATATGACAGTAAAGTTGCGGGCATCCGGATCCTGTCCAAAATCATTGATGATAAAGACGAGGCAGAAGCGATTAACTTTGGTTATCAAGACAACGATATCTACTCGTGCTCCTGGGGCCCTCCTGATGATGGTGCTACAATGGAAGCGCCTGGGATACTAATTAGAAAGGCCATGGTTAATGGCGTTCAACGGGGCCGAGGCGGGAAAGGCTCTATATTCGTCTTCGCCGCGGGTAATGGTGCCGTCTACGGCGACAATTGCAACTTCGACGGCTATACCAATAGTATATATAGTATTACTGTCGGTGCAATTGATCGGGAGGGGAACCACCCGAGTTACTCGGAGTCCTGCTCCGCCCAGTTGGTGGTGGCTTACAGCAGTGGACTTACCGATGCAATTCATACTACCGACGTTGGTGCCAACAAATGCTATTCATCTCACGGCGGAACCTCAGCCGCGGGCCCGTTGGCTGCGGGCGCTATTGCCCTTGCTCTTAGTGTGCGGCCAGATCTGACGTGGCGCGATGCACAGTACCTGATGGTAGAAACAGCGGTCCCTGTTAACGAGAACGATGGGAGCTGGCAGGTCACCAAGAGCGGGAAAAAGTTCAGCCACGATTGGGGGTTTGGGAAAGTAGATACCTATTCGCTGGTCCAGAAATCGAAGACTTGGGAACTCGTGAAGCCTCAGGCGTGGTTTCATTCGCCATGGCTCCGGGTGGAGCATGAAATCCCACAGGGCAACAAGGGTCTCGTCAGTTCGTACGAAGTGACCAAGGATACTATGAAGAAGGCGAACATGCAAAGGCTTGAACATGTAACTGTGACCATGAATGTCAACCACACACGCCGTGGAGATCTTAGTGTGGAACTGCGCAGCCCGGATGGCATCGTCAGTCATTTAAGTACCACGAGAAGGTCGGATAATGCAAACGTGGGCTACGTCGATTGGACATTTATGACCGTGGCGCACTGGTATGCCCTCTTTTTCCTGATCGCAGTCCCACATTTATGGGGGTCAATTTTTGACCTGCTAATTATGGCCTTTAGGGGAGAATCTGGAATCGGGAAGTGGACTGTCATAGTTAAGGACACGGTTGTCAATGGGGAGGTCGGCAAATTCGTTGACTGGCGACTTAATCTATGGGGGGAGGCCATCAACGGCGCTAAGCAGCCACTCCATCCTCTCCCTAGCGAACACGACGACGATCACAGCATCGAAGATGCGACCGTGGCAACTACCAGCGTTGACCTGGGCCCAACCAAGACAGATGCACCGAATACAGTCACCGATGGCGTGGATCGCCCTGTGAACGCAAAACCCAGCGCAACTCCTACAGAAGAAGCTCCCACTCCGGTAGCGACTCCTACTACAACAAGCGCCACTGAGGCACCATCTCCGACAACTACTTCGGACAGCTTCCTCCCCTCCTTTTTCCCCACATTCGGTGCGTCGAAACTGACTCAGGTATGGATCTACGCAGCGATAGGGTCGATTATCGTCTTCTGCATAGCACTGGGTGTCTACTTCCATGTTCAACGGCAAAAACGCTTGCGGAACGACCCGATGGATGACTACGACTTTGAGATGATCGAGGGTGATGACGAACTACATGCAGCGACTGGACAGACCTCTCGCACCCAACGTCGGGGCGGAGAACTCTATAACGCCTTCGCAGGGGAAAGCGACGAGGAGTCTCTATTTAGTGATGAAGAGGACGGACCTTATAGAGATCAGTCTGGCAGTGAGGATCAGACTGGACAGAGCAGTTCCCACTGAGAACATCATTGAAAGCGATTTTCGTTTGCATCTTTGTCTTTTTTTGTTTATTTTTTTTGGGGGGTATGCCTGTCTCTGGGAGCTTTTGAGATGCCATTTACATTATTGCACCACTTTGATTTCCGATGCCCTTGTCAATGACGTTCAATGAAGAGATGGAGAAGAGCATGTATGCATGTATATATACATATTCGGGCGGACTGAGATTCCAAAGAGAAATAAAAGATGCATAACTACGGATGAGGTACAGGTCGGGCGACCTCGATCAACTTTTGAACGATTCACAGGACCTGTAACCTGGGTAAATGCGGATGAGCTATGATAGATACCCGTCTTAGTCATCACAGTCTTGGCGCGATGACGCTGTTTCCGCTTCTCCAACTGAATTCATTGATTGCCTGGCCTGCTCCACTGCTTCCTCCGCACCTCTTCAATCAAAGCTACCCATCTGCCGCCCTGACACCCTGCCCCGGGGCTGTTTTCTAATTCGATCGGAATCATTTCCCCTTCGATTTGCTGTTGTTTCAATCGGTACTGGGGTCCAGCCGTAGTGACTGACACATTTCGGCAACCCCCTCAATGGATCACCACGACGACTTCGATAGCGTGTCATGGAGACATGACGCTGAGAGTGACGTCTCTGGCTCCCGTCCTACTACCTCGGGGACCGATGCACCCGAGTCACCGGGAATTCATCACGATGTCAATGGCAAGCGCAGGATGAGTTCGGCAGCCCACGAAACCCCTCAGATCGGATCGCTGGCCGATGCCGCCGATCTAGCGGGCATCGGGGATGGAGTGCTGGAATGTCAGGTGGATTCACCGTTGAAGGAGAATGACGGTACCAAGGATGCGTACATATCATATCTGGTCACTACACATGTGGGTTGCCTCATGTAGTTTCTACTTTCTGGCCGTCGCAGCCTGGTGATGGTATTGATGTGGACGGATCAAATCCAGCTGCCTAGCCAGACAGCCTGCCGTTCATTCCTGTGCTGACCAAATGACTTTCAACAGACCGATTTCAAATCCTTTCAGAAGCCGGAATTCACCGTAAGGAGACGATTTACCGATTTCTACTTTCTATACAAGACGCTGTATCGAGAGTATCCCGCCTGTGCGGTTCCGCCGCTGCCAGACAAGCATAAAATGGAATACGTGCGGGGGGATCGATTTGGCCCCGAGTTCACCACACGCCGAGCTTGGTCCTTACATCGGTTTCTTAAGCGGTTGGCATTGCACCCCGTTCTTCGTCGAGCGCCCTTGCTGGCCGTCTTTCTCGAGTCCCCCGATTGGAATGCGCATATGCGACTGCAGTCCTCTCGCAACTCGACGGGTACGTCAGACGGTAGCGGGGTCCCGGGAATCTTCGACAATTTCACAGACACCTTTGTGAACGCATTCACGAAAGTCCACAAGCCTGACCGCCGGTTCATTGAGGTTCGAGAGAAGGCGGACAAACTCGACGAAGACCTCAACCACGTGGAGAAGATCGTGGCCCGGGTAGCCCGTCGTGAGGGCGATTTGGAGACAGACTATAATGAGCTTGCGATGCAGTTCCGCAAGCTCGTTCCCTTGGAGCCGGACGTCGAGGTGCCGTTGCAAGTCTTCGCGGCATCGGTGGAGGAGACCGGGCGAGGCCTCAAAAATCTCAAAGACCACACCGACCAGAACTATTTAGGGTCGCTCCGTGACATGGAGGCGTACATTTTATCACTCAAGTCTCTTCTCAAGACCCGCGAGCAGAAGCAGCTCGACTTTGAGGCGTTGGTGGAATACCGCACCAAAGCGGTGGCCGAGCGGGACTCGCTTGCCACCAACCCGTCGTCGTACTACGCCTCCAATCCCCTCACCTCGTCCCCGGCCTCATTCATCCGGTCCAAGATGGAGGATATGCGCGGAGTCGATCATGAGCAGTCCCGCCGGGAGCGGGTTCGCAAACTAGAGCTTCGCATCGACGAGCTCACGCGCGAAGTCGAGTCGGCCAAAACCACGTCGGAAATGTTCGACGAAGAGGTTGTCCGCGAAGTGGCGGACTTTGAACGAATAAAGGCGGTGGAGTTCCGGGACACGCTGGGCGCTCTAGCGGAGAAGCAGATTGAGTTCTATCAAGGGGTGCTAAACACGTGGGAGCGATTCGTGGCGGAAATGGATGGTGATTTGGAGGACGCCCCTGGGGGAATTTACTTGCAGGATACCACCGTGGCGAGGTAGACGTTAATTTCGAAGATTGGGAGGGTAAGAATACGTGGTTCTCTGATTTGTTCTTAATTTCGGTACCTTCTTATTTATTCCTTACTCTCCCAGAAGATTGAACCTGTTCCAATTCAAGCCGTTCATATGATATTATCTTACATCCTTTCATAGGACCAGTAGCCACGCAAAGATAACCCAATATATATGTATAAATATAAATATATTATAAGAATCACCGCACCCTCTCCTTCCCTTGATACTCCGCCCACTCAAAATCAATGGCGCCCGGTTCTCCCTGCGGGTCTGAGATAGCAGGATCCAAAGCCCTCGACTTGCGTCGTCGAGCCCGTTCCTACACCCATTAGTAACTTTAAATTTCCCAGACAAAACAAAGAGCGTAAGAGATAGTACCTCGAGATATACCTGATTCGCTGTCTTGACAGATTCTCCCGCGCCGGCAGTCAATTGTAGAAAGACTTCATGGTCGTAGTCTATTGTAGAGGGGAGGAAGGACTTGGGTTTGGATTTGGAGGAGGAGGGATTGGCGAAATTGGCGCTTAGATGGAGGTCTGATTTATGGGATGATTTATGAGATGATTTTGTGGTGGTGGTAGTTGTTGGAGCCATTGGCAGTTTATTATATTGTATTATAGTAGTAGGTAGATGTTTGGTGGGCCAGAGGAATTAAGGACTAAAGATTGACGGATGATAATCCGGTCTTGATAATAATAGTACTAGGTATAAGAGTAGTAAAGTATTATAGTGAGACGACATAAAGTCAAGAGCAAAAATGGTTGTTCTTCTTCTCTTACCCTTTAATGATGGGCTGAGGGGTAAGTCGCGGTTATACTACATCGTACTAAGTAGGTTCTTATATTCATCCATGTTCATGTTCATGCTGTATGAACCCATCGTCCACCACGCCACTCATCATGAGCTGATGTGATACCTACATACTGACATACACCATCCTATCTGCATCTAAACATGGCCACCGGTGGCAATCTTCTACGAGGGTAGGGTAGTATAATAGGAGCCAAAGACAGAAGTAAACAGTAACCCACAACCAGACCAACTAGGTTATTAGTCCATAGAACTACTATCAGGCAGTATCGACCTCCCTACTCTGTACAGAGACTGGAATACTGGCGGGGTCCTGCTACGGCAGTGGCGGAGTGACCGCGTCATGCAGCTTTGGGGCAGTGTTGGGCTTTAGGGTGGTTGGTTGGTCTTGAAGCTTGCCCGGCATTGTATGTATGTAGGTCGAGATTGTTGAAGTATTTGTACTATAGATATCGTGGTGATAGAGTATATTAGTTATGTATATTGGTTCGAGTTTTGTTGACTGCAGATCTATACCACTGTTGCCATATTAAAACTACCTGGTATTGAACACACTGTACATGGGACAGGTACCTATTGAGGAAACTAACCTCAGCCCCATGGTTTCATCGCATAAGCCTGGAAAGAACCATCAACCTGTCTATTGGCTCGGGTCACTGATCAACATCCGTAAGGCCCGGTTACATCTCATCGGATTGCTGCATATCTATCAGCTACCTAAGGTAGGGCGGATTTTCACTCTAATATGGTTGGCTCTTCATGATCTTGCAGCGTGGTGGCAGTTGATAATCGGTGGCGAGTTTGAACGTTTGTGATCGAGTTTAGTATGTGATGTGATGCATGTGAAATTACTGAATGTCAGCTTTTTGTTCTAGAGGTATTGTTCCCAATCCTATCTGATGCGGTAACTATAGGATTAGGATAATAACGTAAGAGGAAAGTAATTAGATTGTCAATAAAGTATGAAACTGTTTGCCGTGTTTGCAACCATGGCCTCAGCCCTCAGGCCCTCATCTCGTCTCCCGAGTATCCGACAAACCATCTTCAACCAACTCACCATAATGCGCCCTATCTCTAGGTCGGCCCTTCGACCATACGTCTGTCCGTCCTGCCTATCCGGTCTGCCAGGGAGACGGTTTGCATCAAACTCCTCCCACGCCCCCGACATCTACGATGTAGTCTGTGTCGGAGGCGGTCCTGCCGGCCTTGGACTGGTAGCAGCTCTCCGTAAGCTTCCTGAAATCCGTTTGAATCACTATGGACGATGTTGACCTTTTTGCAAGGGGCTTCCCCTGCCACCTCGAAGCTCCGAGTCGCCCTCATCGAGTCCCAGGACCTTCAGAAAGCCCGCTCGTGGAACCTCGAATCGCACCAATTCTCCAACAGAGTCAGCAGTCTTACGCCCTCGTCCGTGTCTTTCTTGCAGAAGATTGGCGCATGGGATTTTTTGGATACCGAACGCGTCCAGAAATATCAGGAGATGCAGGTCTGGGATGGCGAAACAGGTTCTCGGATATCGTTTGATTGGACCATGGAGTCCTCCCCGTTTGAAGATCTCCGTACTATCGCGACAATGACGGAAAACGCCAATCTTGTCCGCGCGCTTCTCTCGCGCATCGCCGCGTCCGGGGATAAAAACCTTTCCATTTTCTCGAATTCGACCGTCTCGTCCATTGAGAATGGTTCCGATCATCCTGATGGGGCGGATTTATCGGCATGGCCTGTTCTTTCTATCTCTCCGACTGGCTCGGCACAGGCTCCAGGCTCGTCCAAGATCGCCGCGAGGCTATTAGTCGGTGCCGATGGTATTAATAGCCCTGTGCGCAAGTTCGCTAATATCTCGACGGAAGGCTGGGACTATAATAGACACGGCGTTGTCGCGACCCTCTCCCTCGCAGACCCCGATCCAGTTCCGTTCCCCATCGGAACGAGGACTGCGTATCAGCGTTTTCTGCCCTCGCTGGGGGGTCCCATTGCTTTACTTCCGCTCCCCAACAACCACGCAACCTTGGTGTGGTCAACCACGCCGGAGAATGCGGCATACCTCAAATCCCTATCCCCGAAGGCATTCATTGCCATGGTAAATTCCGCTTTCCGGCTCTCCATGACAGATCTCAAGTACATGATAGGCATGCAACGTCCAGCAACTTCAACTCTGGAGTATGAGGATCCGCATGAGAGTGAGTTGATCTGGCGCCTGCAGCACACTCCTCAGCCGTCTCACATCCCACCCATGACCATGGGAGTCCAGGAGGATAGCGTGGCCTCCTTCCCCCTCCGATTCCGACACTCCTCGACGTACATTTCTCCCCGTGTGGCTTTGGTTGGGGATGCTGCCCATGTCATCCACCCTCTGGGCGGACAAGGCCTCAACCTTGGTATGGGTGATGTGGCGTCTCTTTCCAGCACGATTGAGTACGCGATCAACCATGGAATGGATGTTGGAGATCTCCTCACTCTCGAACGGTATACTGCCGAGCGATGGGCAACCAACGTCAAAATTGGCGGCGCCTGTGATGTGCTGCACAAGCTTTATAATGTTCCTGGCCAGGGACCTGTCGCTTGGGGGCGCAGCCTAGGCCTAGATATCATTGACCGATTACCCTTCCTTAAGGGTCTGTTGATGAAGAATGCTGAGGGCTAAGCCGAAGCAAGGTGGAATAACTACGTTTAATAACTAGTTTAGTTACCCGATTGTTCTCACATGTGTAGGATACTATGGGTAGTTAGTGTATTAGCAGACATGTGCATGTATATTATCTGAAAATATCTTGTAAAAGTATTGAGTCTTGTGCTAGCTGTTCAGTTAGGGACGCACTTATAGAGTACAGTCACTTCCTTACACTAAAGCATGATGGTATGACTTGAGAAAGTCAATATGATAGATAAGCCACATTGGGTTATTCTGTTATCTCGCCATGCCTATCGAATACATTACTAAGTCAAGAAGCACTAGTTAGATTCCGAGCATCTCTCTGTCCATCCAATGATGATAGGGACTGATAATGCTAGTTCTATCAGATACTCAAAGCTGGCATTCCACAATCCCATAGACATACACATGCGGACATAGCACAGAGCAGACCACGCGGTAGTTACTCTGTGCGTAGCTATATAGTACCCATATCCTGGACCATACCTAATCCGGATCCTACATCCGTGCCCAAAATAGCCTGAATGGAAAGTGTCAGTTGAAAGATAACGACCAACCGGACAGCTGGAAGTTTAGGTTGCTCGTACTATTCTAAGGTGTTCTCGCGTGGAGGTAAATCAGAGCACATGTAAGGCCGCACCCACCCAGGGCCTCCGCTTATTGGCGGCCTGGCACGTTCCACATGAGGGGTGTGGCACTGGTGCGATGCTAGTTCTTTACAACTTAGGTCTGGCTGCAACCTCCGTGAGTACAACAGTAGACTGAGAATGAGACTGTATGGAAGCACTCTTAAACGCCTGTGCTCTTGGATGTGGACTAGATTGAAGTTGAGGTCCAATTATGTTAGTGTTTGTCTTTGGTAGGGTTTGTTGCCCGTCTCAATTGAAGTTTGTGGCTAGAAAGGAGTAATAAATAGTATTCTGCGGTCCTTGCTCGGATACATTTCCATCTGTTGTAGTCATGCTCCTACGAAGATTGCTTCTGATTGGATTCTCAGACAGGTAATGAAATTTATAATGAATGGTTCACTGATTGTGCTGGCAGGTACTGTACAGTTTTAAATTAACTGTACACGCTAGTATCTCGATGACAGGAAGGGAACCTCGAACAATGTGGGCACCGCAAAATTATCTGATTGGTCATAATTCGCCATTATCATCCCAGAGTTTCCACGTGGTTTGGCTCTAGTGTGATACCAAATACCACCCGATGTATGACATTGTACCCCGGTACGGGGGTATTTATAGAAATCACTGGCCTCCGACAACCAACATCATCTGAATAGCTCTGTGGGACTCGGACATTGATATCGAGACCGGAATGTCTGCAAGCCTATAACAGAAGGCTTAAACAGATCTTGTCTATTATTCCTGAGACATGGGGAACCCCAGACTAAGGTGCTTAAATTTAAATTACTTGTCGCCGACTCGTCGCCAAGAGAGACTATACAAAATCACGCATTCTTTGATCACGCCGCTTTCAGCCATAGCTGCACTTGAGCCAGAATCTCACACCGTCATCTTACCACCCAGCTATGCTGTTCTATGCAGAGGATCTATCAACATTATTGCCACTGAGTTTTGGCACTACATTACTGTTAATTCACTGCTAGACTCGATACCTTATCACCTCGCTGTCGTTGTACATGTACAATAACGCTGAGTTTCCACAAAGCCAAGCCATCGCCAATGGGCTGGCACCGAATCATACATCCTGCCGTTAGCCAGATGCATGCTCGATACAACGCTAGCCAGAATATAACACAGACTACTATTATTATTAGTCTTCGTAGGTTTCGTTTCATTTCGTTTCTTTTTGTTTTGTTTTTATTGGCCTCTTTCTTTTTCTTCCCTCTTACTCTGGCGTAGTCTTTCGGCCCCTCCATGTGCAGGCATGCTTTTTCCCTTCCCGTCTGACCTTACAAGGGTAAGGGTGGCTTCATACGTAGCTTGATGAGTTGGTAGCCAGGCCGGTACACTGTAAGGATGCCCTTTTGGGGGCTGTGGAACATATTGACCCATCACTTCTTCCGAGCTATCTTAAGGTGGTTAACTCGAAAGCATCGAAGTATATTTATTCAAATGGTACATAGGCTTCGGGCTTCCGAAAGGGCGTAAAAAAGAAACGAGATAGCGTGCTAAATCGACATATAGTATCACCGCCATCGAGTGGGGGGTGCTCCTCCACTTTCGGGGGTGGAGATAATTACCTCCTACCCCTGCTACAAAGCTGCCTAGCTCCAAACTCTTCTGGATTCGTTGTCCAGACTTACAGGGGTACTAGATTGTTGATGGAGGCGTAAGTAATCCCGGGGTAATACAGAGTGTGGTGCATACATTGGTCCATACATGGATACATGTTCCATGGCTTCCATGATCGAGTCCGACCCATGCATGGCCTTCTAGGGTCCGCGTGGGATACGTGAAATGCAGCCTTGAGGATAGAACACATAAATAAATAAAAATAAAACAAGGACGAAAATGAAATAGAGAAAGAAGTAGTAGAAATATATCCCATGACCTCCATTCTGGAATTCCTCCCCTCTTTCCCAACGGCCAATCCCACAGTTTATCCGCTCGGGCCCGCGCACTCCGTCATAGCAGGAACCGCCGCTGACTACGGAATACTAGTAACTAGTTAGTTAACGGGGAAAAGCGAGTAAGGTACTGCCAGCCAGTCAGCCTGTACTTGTATGTACCAACCAGTACTCCGTACAGAATTCGATCTAATGACTTTTTCCCCATCTTTACCCTCGTTCCTTCTCGCTTTCTTTCTCCCACCTTTCCTCCCCTCGACCGTCGCTCTCGTAATCGATCAACCGTTCGATCCCCTTCCTCGCTTTGTTCATTAGCATAGGCCTCGACCCTTGCTTCAATTCCCACGCGTCCCCACATTTCGATTCCGCCGCCCGTTCATATTCCGCCCCATTCCTCGCTCACCCAAGTGCCCTTCGTTCACTCGCTCTTTGATCCACGGCGCCTCGAAACCTTATGCCTAACACTCCGGCTGTTCCTTATCGCTTTCAATAACGGATAACTAACGCGTGTCGCTCCAATCTTTCAGTTTTCCCAAATTGTGTCCTCATTCAACTTCCTTACACCCTGCTGTTCTTCTCGTCGCATACTGGTTGTCCGTTTGCGCGTTGTCTGAACGACCCATTCTTGCCGCCTTCAGCGGCCGTGGTGTCGTCTTTTTTTTTTTTTCCAAATTCACAGATGAAGTTGGACGCCTCGAATCAAGGGACTAGGTGACTGTCATGGGGTCCTTTTTGAGGAGCTTTCGGAGAGATGTGGTAAGTTCTGGATGACCTCAGGGTGCTTCTTTATCTTTTCTTCTCTTTTCTTCAAGACTCTGCATTGTCTTCTGCTCCCCTTACAAGCCACAAAAAAGACTGTTCGGCCAGTTACTTGGTTCCAAATCGTCCCTGTAACGGAATGCTAATTCCGAACTGGTCCAGGGACCTCCCACGCCTTCGGTCGGCGCCACTCCCGCGAAGAAAGAACCTCCTGCGGCTCCAATGACCCCGCTAGAGAAGATGCTGAAGGATATGGGGCGAATCCGTGAGGATGGTAGTGATAAATTTTATGGGATGGAGAATGTGAGTCTTTGGTTACACTATGGTCTCCGAGGGGAACGTGTTCATGGGTGCTAATAACAGCCTGTTCTAGTACGGCAATACTTGGTGAGTTAGTTTGGTTCCCGTGTCGTACGAGGCACACGAAGACGCTTAATACTGATGGTTCATTCGGCAGTTATTGTAACTCAATATTACAATGTCTTTATTATTCTGTTCCTTTTCGGGAAGCCGTCATCAATTATCCGACGCGAACGCCCATCGAAAGCCTGGAGGCAGCATTGGCTGAGAATCTCCGCTATCAGGATCCTAACGCCAGTCTAGAATCCGAAGCACAGGCTGAGAAACAGAAAGTCGCCAACCAACAACGGCCTGGCGCGCCGCCGAATCAACCGCAGAAACCCGAGGATAAGGATTCACCTGAGTACAAGAAAAAGATGGCCCTCCAGACACTCCCGATATTGGAAACAAAGAACAACGCGGCCAGTTATGGAATGTCAGAGTCACTCTTTACTTCACTGAAGGATATCTTTGAGTCACTCGTGGCTAGCGAATCCCGAATCGGCATTATCCGACCACAACAGTTCTTGGATGTTCTCCGACGAGAGCATGAGATGTTCCGGTCAGCTATGCACCAGGATGCACATGAGTTTTTGAATCTCTTACTCAATGAAGTGGTTTCAAATGTGGAGGAAGAGGCCTTGAAACAGCCGGTACAGCGAAGCGTGCCGCCAGCGGAGAGTGTTGAATCGAGCGACTTGTCGACGGGTTCAGGGTCGAAAACACCAAATACAACTCGATGGGTGCATGAGCTGTTCGAAGGAACTTTGACGTCGGAAACACAGTGCCTCACCTGTGAGAAAGTCTCCCAGCGCGATGAGGTTTTCTTGGATCTCTCAGTGGACCTGGAGCAGCACTCATCGGTCACATCGTGCTTACGGAAGTTTTCTGCGGAGGAAATGCTCTGCGAAAGGAACAAGTTTCACTGCGACAACTGCGGAGGTCTGCAAGAGGCGGAGAAGAGGATGAAGATCAAGCGCTTGCCGCGGATTCTAGCCTTGCATCTCAAGCGGTTTAAATATACCGAGGATCTGCAACGGCTTCAGAAGTTGTTCCATAGGGTTGTCTATCCTTACCATCTGCGGCTCTTCAATACGACCGATGACGCGGAAGATCCGGACCGCTTGTACGAGCTGTATGCGGTAGTGGTACATATCGGTGGCGGACCTTATCATGGGCACTATGTTGCCATCATCAAGACACAGGACCGAGGGTGGTTACTGTTCGACGACGAGATGGTGGAGCCTGTCGACAAGAACTATGTCCGTAACTTCTTTGGCGATAAACCAGGGTTGGCCTGCGCCTATGTGCTATTCTATCAGGAGACTACTCTTGAGGCTGTATTGCGGGAACAGGAGCAGGAGAACATGGATTCGACTGCAGAGACGAACGAGTCGGTTTTCAAACAGAATAACACCGTCCTGACTCCGGCACTGGCCCATGTCCACAGTGCTTCCCAGATTCCCTCAGTAGATGATCCCACTCCATTCATGGGCCTCAAACGGGCCCCAACTGCGCCTCCTCAGCTGTCTACCCACCTTGAACATATTGATGCGGAGAGCGCCCATGTGAGCACACCCATTAGTCCACCTGTTCCGCCAATACCGGAAACGCCAGCTCTGCCTCTTAGCCCCAAGAAGAGCGATCTATTGTCCAAGAAAGAAAGGGCTAGGGAAGAGAAGGAACGAAGGGTAGCCGAGAAGGAGAGGGAGAAGCAGCGCCGGAAAGAAACAGAAGCAAGATTGAGGGAGAGCCAACGACGGGAAGACGCCGAAATGAAGGCCGCTCTGGAAGCGAGCAGAACATCCTTCAAGGCCGACGAGGACCGACGTAATGTCTCCGATTCCGGAAGGGATAGTGACTCGAAGATGTTTGGTGGCGGTCTAAGCCGTCTGAAACGAGGCAGTAAGAGCATCGGTCACCGATTAGGCAAAGACCGAGAAAGTCGGACTTCTTCATCCAGCTTCTCAACCACACCACCGATCACCGAGCATCAGTTCCCTATCCGAGGCACAGCGGAGCAGTCGCAACAACACTTCGTGCCGACTCCACCAGCTCAAACCGAGCAGTCGCAGACATCAGTCAACTCCAACAGAAATGCAAGTCACGACGAAGAGCGTGACACCCTCAAGGATCCCAAAAGCCATGGAAAATGGAGAAGCTTCACCAGTATCAGGAAGAAATCTTTCAGCATTCTTTCTTGAAGCTAAGGAGTCTAGTACTCTTGGCAGTTTTCTTGCTTCTTTGCACATAAGCGAATTTGGTTTTTACCGTATATATCCCTTTCGATGTACCATCACTTTTTCTCTTCGTCGCCGGCTCCAACCTTTCATCGTTGATACCTCTTCGTCAATTGCAGACTCTGTATTCGATATGGGACCCGGTTTCTGTCTTACTCCTTGCTTTATCACCCACTTTTTTCCCCGATCTTTTCGTTTTGCATAGGCCGCATTTCGTCTGCATAGTGCACGGTTTAGCTGATGTTCGCTTGTCACTTCCTTGATTTATTGATACTGTGATACCCGTGCCTGGGTCACATTTCTGGGCAATTGAGGCGTTGGGCGAATGGGCACAATTCTTTTCTGTTCATATTCTGGAGGACCGGAAGTTGTTCGAGCTTTAGGGAAGGCATGTGGATGCCAACCCCTAACAGAGCATTTCCACTTACTAGGGGACTGACTTGTTCCCGAATTATCATGCATATGGTGTATTATGACCTCACTGTCATGATGTGTTTAATATAGACGGACAGGGTGTGTCGCATACACGCAGTACATAGACATCCAATGAACATGTCTCCTAGAGGAATGCAAATTATATGATAATCCTGCTAACGGTTTTGGGTTGTTCCCCTGTCGCATGTTTATTAAATTCTAACGGAACGCTCTAGATGTATATGGACATAGGTTCGCGTAGTCACATTACAAGATACCAACCAGGTCAGATACATAAAAAAAAAAAAAAAGAACCACAACTCCATAACAATTATGCAAATCCATCAATCGGCGGTATAAATGGGTCCTCCGTAGGCGTAGTCTGTATGAACCGAAACAGCACATGATTCCATCCCATCCTTCCTGCTTGTTAACAGCCGGTTCGATACGACATCCGGCCGACTCGTACTAACAAACGGACATTTTGTATTTAATTTTCTTCGCGGTGGATACAAAAATTGATTCCAAGACATGATAGCAAATCACCCGAGAATCAACTCGTAAACGATAATAATAGTATTAATGACGATGAGAGGTACTACCATGAAACATGCATTAGATTCAATTCCACGTGTATTGTTCGAGTCAGGTGGGCAAATTAAAGAACACAATGCCACGCAGACAGACACGGTGACAGAACGGGGGAAAGAGAGAGGACATACTTCGCATCACGGTGCGCACACTTGCGATCAGATCTACCGATTTCGCCTTGACGCTGGTACTGTCGTATGTTGAGCCAAAAGAGGGGTCGGTTTGTGTGCGACCCCATCCGACTGCATTCATATTGGTATTAGCCTCTGGTCGCTTTGAATATGGACGTGGCGGTGGATGTGATGTGGATATTGGGGTGAAGAGTGAAGAAAGGGGACTGGGTTACGTACTCCTGGCGAGAAAGCGGTCTTCCGAAAGGACGGCGATGGCGTTGACCATGAGACAGAGGACGTAGACGAGGCGTCCGAAGAAAGCCATTTTGGTGTGGATATGATGTTGACAATGATGAGAGAGGGGAAAAGAGGGAATAGCAGAGAGAGACGTTGAAGCCGCCAGATGGCCGCAGCGATGTGGGGAAGCTTTCCCTCTCCAACCACCCGGTTGCTAATGTCTATCGCATCATGGGGCGAGAGGATGGTATGTATTCTTCCTATTGTTGGAGTATTCTACTGGATGATAGTATGAATTAATTAATTATTTACTGATACTGGATCTGTTCTAGCTATTCTCCTTTTCCTGTCCATCGCACTCCCCGCCCTCGTGGGCCTCCATCTGTTCGTCGCTCCCTACACCAAGGTAGAGGAGTCTTTCCATATCCAAGCCGTTCATGATCTTCTCGTCTTGGAGATTCCGACTCGTAATGTCTCCGATGTCCTTCGTGCGGAGTATGATCATTTCTCGTTTCCAGGAGCTGTGCCTCGAACGTTTGTCGGTGCGGTTCTGTTGTCCGGAATGGCGCGTCCGTTCCTCTGGGTGAAGGAGAGCATCGATGGACAAATCTTAGGTAGGTGACAATGATACTTCCAATGTAGTCTATCATCTTTCTAATGGTGGTTTCGTCAGTGCGAGGTATCCTCGGCGTGCTCAATGCCCTGTCCCTGCTATGGTTCGCCTCCGGAATGCGACGAACCTTCGGCAAGACCACGGCTATGTGGTATCTCCTCTTCCAGACCAGTCAATTCCATATCATCTACTATGCCTCACGGACCCTGTCGAACATGTTCGCCTTTTGTCTGTCCACCCTGGCGCTGCGCTTTCTTCTCCCCGATCCGGTAGCCTCCGACGTATACCGCAGACGATGTCGACTGGCGCTGTTCCTGCTGACCATGGCGGGGATTATCTTCCGCTCGGAGCTGGCGCTACTACTCGGCACAAACACCATCTTCCTCTTCCTTACAGGACGCATCAGCATCAGACAAGACATCATCCCCGCGGGGGCGCTCGGTCTCGTCCTCGGACTGGCCCTCACCGTCTCGGTGGACTCGTTCTTCTGGCAGCAATTCCCGCTATGGCCGGAACTCGCCGCGTTCAAATTCAACGTCGTCTCCGGCCATGCGTCGGCCTGGGGTACTCACTCCTGGCACTTCTACTTCACTAACGCTCTTCCGCGTCTTCTCCTCAATCCACTCAGCTACCTTGTCGGGGTTCCGTTGGCAGTATTACAGCACTCGACGCGCTCCGCCGCCATCTATCTCCTCATGCCCGCCCTGGCCTTCATCGCCATCTACAGTCTGCAACCGCACAAGGAATGGCGATTCATCGTCTACACCGTACCAACGTTCACGGCGACGTCTTCCCTGGGAGCGTCTTACCTCTGGACCCACCGGAGTAAATCCCTCTTCTACTGTCTTCTCTCCCTCGCCCTGATCGTATCGACTTTCATCTCCTTCCTCTGCGCGAATCTCGTCCTCCTCCCCGCTTCTTCGGCTAATTACCCTGGCGCTCAAGCCTTACACACTCTCCACCGCGTCGCGGACTCTACCCAACCAGTCATCTCCGTCCATCTAGGCAACCTCGCCTGCCAAACAGGCATCACGCGGTTCCAACAGATACCTGCTCCCACTTCCAGCCAAGACCAAGGCCAGCAATCCACATGGCACTACGATAAAACTGAGAACGAGACTGAAAAGACATCATCGACATTCTGGTCCCGGTTCGATTACGTCCTCATCGAGCCGGGAGAGGAAACGAGTCTGCGGTCTGTGTACCCGTCCTGGGAGGAGGCCGCGATCATCGACGGGTTCGCGGGAGTGCGACTCGTTCGGCCGGGGGATGTAGCTGTCGGCGTTGTGGAGGAGAGATTCTTCCGGTCGGTGCTGGGAGAGCAGGCGGTGGGGGTGTGGAATGCCATGAGGGATTATCTTCGGGGGTTAATGCGTGGTTGGTGGGTGGAGGTGAGGATGGAGCCGAGGATAAAGATATTGAAGAGATTGGATAACTTTAGTTAATTAAAATGTCTGTAGTGAATTCAGTCACTAGTTTGATGTTTCATGTCTGGTGTCTGATGCACCATTTCTGAAGTTTAATGTACAATGTAGGATGAATGAACTATGTTGATTATAATGTATGTGTAGAACGTACTATCCGACATACGAAAAATGTATAAAGGTATCATAACTAACTACGGGTATTGATTGTATTCAGTTCAACCGCTGTAATCTCATCTCCAGATCCCGCACCCAAGGTTCCACCAGTTCGACATTACTTTTAAGAGCCGCCTCACCCTCAGACATTTTCCTTTCCACGACATCGAGCCCCTCTCTCCACTGAACAATCTCACCTGCCATATCCGCCTGTCGGCGTTCCAGAACATCCAGAGATTCAGCGGCCTGCGCGGCACCGGCATGGATAGCACGGAGGGAGCGCAAGCGCTCCAAGACGCTGGGGAGGATAGGATGTAACGACTGGATAGTCGGGAGGGTTGCATACAGTGCCTGGATCTTGGTGACTTGTTCGTCGCGCTGAGAAGCAGTGGGGTCGATGACTTCTGTTGCGGATGATGATGACGACGACGCATTGGCGTGGTGGTGGAGCTTGTCGAGACCAAGCGCCGCGGCGTCGATGCGCGCATTCTGAGCGGCTTTGGCGGCTTCGACGGCATTTTTGCGCGCGGAAGCCAGGGCTTCCGTGTCGATGGTAAGTTTGCGGACTCGTGCCGAGAGGGATTCGAGATGCGGTGTGGATATGGTGGTGGATGGCGTGGAGCCGACGGAGCCGACAGCGGATACGGGGGCCGGACCAACGAGGAGGTTCGTCAGTGTGGTGAGTCGCGACGTGACGTGGTCTAAGTTGGGGAGAACAGGCTGTAGAGATGGCTCGGATATACCGTCGGTGACAAACGGGTTCGATGAGCTGGAGATGCCCATGGCGGCTTCGAGGAGAGCCAGCCGGCTGTCGAAGGCGGCGGCGTGGGATAGGATTCCTCCTTCTACTTCTTGTCCAGACGAAGGTATCTCGGGGGTGGTTGTTGGCGCATTGGTGGAGTCGGACGTGAGTCTCTGGGATAACACGGCCGCAGCCGAGTGATGTGTACTGGCCGGACGACGGGATGACGCGTAGAGTGTATCCAAGGCACGACTTAACTCCAGCACTCCATCATCTAGACTATCTTTGTTTTCAACATGAGATGGTTGAGAATCATCAAGTTGAGCAGCCATATCATGTTTCAATTCCTCGACCTCTCGACGCAGACGGTTGAGTTTTCGATTGAGGGTCTCATCTTCGCTATCACTAAGATCACCCACTTCCTCGAGACCGTTTTCATGTCTCCGTCGACGATGACTCCTCTTACTCCGGTAGGATTTCCGCTTGATATCGATGCTGTCGGAGAAGTTGACGTCGCGAGCGTCCACTGTGGCACCTAGGAAAAGGGCACGCGCCGCGTCGGGGTTCACCCCTTGTCTATCGATGTCGGAATTGTAGCCGATATCGTCGTCGACATTGGATGCGGTACGGACCGTAGTAGTCTGCGGAGTTAGAATGGCTCGAAGTATTGTTGGGTGGGAAGTGGTACCGGCACCGTGGATGCTTCATCTGTTAGATCGGGAGTTTCGTAGATATCAGGGGCAAGATCCTACAACTGTTAGTGGATGCGAAGACGGGGCAGATAAGGTTATACGGACCAGGTCTGGGAGACCTGCATATTTCTTGTTGAAAGCCATGAGATGGATGGATGGGATACATTGTTTATCTTGATACTAAAGTGAACGTCGTTGGTTTATGCTTAGTCATGATGACACGTGTTTATGCCTGAGGCATTAATACATTGCAATCCACAGCATCTTCATAATTAATTACAACTACCCTGAGTACAGAGTACAGAAGTGCAGAAGTAATAGTAACCTGCGCTATAAGCAACCTCGATAAAGGCAACAAGCTAAGTGGGCCCTGAAAGGCCAATAAAAGCAGTAGGTTTGGTGCTTTTATCCGTTATAAGCAACGTTTAGAAGTGTCCTCCTATCATATAACGTTGCTTATAACAAGAAAAAGTTGAGAAAAGTCACATGCACTGGACATTATTGGCTCATATATAAGCAATAACGCGATATAAGCAACCAAAATGCTAAATCTGCTGCTTATAGCGGGGGTTTACTGTAATATACATATTCTGAGGTAATCCTTCTAACTCCATACCAGCCATCTACAGAACACGGACACTACGTATCACCAGAGAAATGCCAAGAATACAATTACGGCAGACCAAGAAAATACTTGTCAAGCCAAGAAGGAACAGGGAGAAGCATGGAGTGCTGCATGGAATATCTGCTAGGACTAATGTGGCGATGCACATGCATGTGAAAGCCTCGGTGTGGTAGACACCACCAGAGCCCGATTAGGCAATTGTGGGGGGTGGGGAAAGGAGAAAGCACATGAATGAGACGTGCACGACGTACATCTATTTAACCCTTTTTCCTCCAGATTAATTTCTCTTCTTTCTTTTTCTTCCACGTCTCTCTCTATCTCTCTCTTTAACTTGATCTCTGTCGTATTTGCTCTCACCTCATCTCATCATGGCTGCCCCCGCTGATATCACCATCAAGAACCTCAGTGGAGAATGGACGATGGTAAGCATACATTCCCAGTATGTATTCCATATTGTTGACAGTGATTAGGATAAAACCATCTCCAATCCCACGGAACCAATTCTGGCCCTGGTATGTTACCTTCCATTCTACCAGGAACCCAAGAGGAGTAATCCAACTCATGTGATATATGTATGTAGCAAGGAATGGGCTTTTTGACCCGCAAAGCACTCAACCTCGCCACGATCACATTGCATGTGCATCAATACCCCGACGCCGAGGACTCCAAGGTCCGGCACCTCGACATTGACCAGATCGTCACCGGTGGCATCAAGGGCACCAGTGAGAGGCGTATCACGGACTGGACCAAGCGGGAGCACGAGGACCACATCTTCGGTAAGGTAGTGGGTCAATCACGATTCCTGCGCGGAATCGCAGGGGCCGATGGCAAAGTTCGGCCCAATGTGGATTTCCAGACTGAGACTACCGATGAGAAGGTGAAGAAGTTCCTGCGGGGAGAGATCCTCGTCGATGGGAGTGAGACGGAGGGATTCCTTGTCGAAGAGCAGGGCGAGGAGTACGGTGAGGGACAGGGTCTGTGGTTGCAGAATTTTGTAAGGAATGAGGAGAGCGGCTGGACTGCTGAGCAGGTATGTTATTCTATCTCTATCTCCTTGTCTGAGGGGAGTATGCTGATGGATGCAGATTTGGGGCTTTGAGACGGTCAATGGACAGCGGTACTATACCCGTCGAGTAGTCGTGGCTAAGGGAGATAAAGTCGAAATGGCCCGATTTGTTTATACGTTCATCAAGGCGAGGGAGTAATTCTGCTCGTGTATCTTGGATATACAGAAGTCTGATAGAATTATGATATCTCGACAGATACTATATATCTACATACGTACTTGATTTTCTAGACAGCTTCATGTCTTTCCCTTTCCGTTTTAGGGCTCACCTCTCGCCGCTTTTTGCTCACTGAGCAGATCTGAGCAAAGGGGTGAGTAGCCTGAGTAGGTAGCCTCAATAAAACGCACCACGCTAGTTTCACTAGTGACCATATTTTTCACCATTCCTCTTTATCCACTCAAACAAAACGATGGCATTATCAATAGAACGGGCAATTGTGGTCATCATTCCTTTTGCTCCAACTGCGAGGCAAAACTTCAAGTGGGGAGTAATCCGACTAATTTTTTCCCTCTAGTACCTATGCTCATCATTGCAGATTTGTGGGACAATGAGCATCTGGTGAAACCCATTAAGCTATGATATTAAATGTTTGCTGAAGAAATGGTATTGGGACAGATTCCTTCCTAGCGCCTTGGCTACGTACAACGTTGCCAACCACCTGAATCCTCTGTCCAAGTTGAATAACAGAGTGTGGCATCTAGATGAGACGGTGAATATATATCTAGTTGAATATATACGCTCCTTAGTAGGCTACATGCGTGTAGCTGGTATAGCTTCTCTGCCCTATTCCCCATTTCCCCTGTGCACCGTGGACCGCGTCAAGGTTTTAACAATGTTTAAATAGAGTATGATAAGTTGATCTCCTCTATTGGCAAGGATAACTTGATTAATCTATGCAGCTTTCCGGAGAAAATATTTCACTGCCCTTTACGGTTTCATCTCTTCCTAACGGTCGTGCCCCTGCTTGAACCACCAAGTATTAGCTATATTAATTCCTACGAATTTGCTTTGACCCGCATTGTCTAGGATAGGAGAACCAGGCAGTGAACCAGAATCAGCCCCAATTATCCCATTGAGCAAATCAGAGTGACTTGACAATATAGTGGACTGCATGTACTAACGGATGCGCGTGTGTCGGAGGATATCAATCTCTCCGCACACTTTGCGGTGTGGTTAGCGGGCCCAGAGAGTGGTTTTTTGAATGGGAGGTACGTCTGGGCAAATTGGGATGTGGATTAGTTGATGATGTTGGAGAGGTTGGCTGAGGATCGCAGTGTCTTGACGATTGGGTTGGTGGTGTAGGCTTGCTTAATGACACTGCACTTTGCTCATACCACGTCTGTATATTTGTGTGTTTGCGTGTTTGCAAGAAGATTGTTTAATTCGATATATCTATCTACCATTTATTCTGAAAAGTACATATGTTGTTGATATATATAAAACTTCTTCCTAGCGTAGTCTGCACCCACCCAACCCTCAAGCCTTGTTCCTAGGAACATACTTGCAAAATAGCCCAACAGGTAAACTCGGGGCCGCAGACTAGGCTGTCCATTTTCATCACATCCGCTCAACTCGTACATGGCAAGAGCGTACGCGAGAATGATGTTTAGCTGTATCTTGGCCCAGCGCATGCCCATGCAGGGATGCCGACCCTGACCCCAACCGACAACTACATCCCGTTAATCTCAGTATGTATGATTACAAATTGGAAAGTTTAAGCCACAACTTACAGCTATAAGCCTCTTTCTTGACTTCCTCACGACCTTCGCGGAACCGATCGGGGTCATACTTGTATGGATCTGGGTACAACTCTGGATTGAAGTGGACTTCGGTGGTGTTGTATGCGGCGAATGTGCCGGCGGGAATAACCTCATCAGTGTCGGGGATCGGGACCGAGTGCGGAGCCATGTTGAGACGGATCATTGGGAACGCCACCCACATCGAATGGCCTCTTTGAAACAGAGGTCGATCGAAGGGAAGAAGGTCTCCCACGCCTCCAGTGGGATCCAGTCGAGTTGGACCACTAATGGCGCGTTGGGATTCTTGGAATGCGTCTCGGCGACGGCTCTGATCTCGCTGTATATCTTGACTTGCCATTCTGGGTGGTGGGCGACAATGTTCAGCATAGCGCCGCACAGAGAACCCGCATTGGCGGAGGCAATGAACAGAATGCTAATAAAGAAGTTGATCATCCACTCTTGCGAATCACCACTATCAACCATATGCTGAACAACATCGTCCCTGCGGGGAGCGCCTTTCTGCAACCGTCGCTTTACGATCGGGGTTACAGTACAATGCTACTCAGCCCGTATCTTCCCCACCGGCGCTTCATCTTGGCAATTGAGGGCAGATACGGAAGCGCAACTGTGTGTATACTGCTGGTATGCATCAGCAGTGACAGGACGTTCTGGCACTTTTCGAGAAGCTTTGGACTGTTGGAGATCTCCGCTGCACACGACGCGACAAGCCTGCTGCACCACCAGCCGATAGCACGCATCGGTCGGGTTCATGACGCCAGAGGGGTTCTTGCCAAGGGCCTCAAAAGCCATTCGAGCATCTCTCGTCACGCCGGGCAGACGCTTGGCTAGCTGCTCCGACTTTTGCAGGTCAACCAAACGGCGCTGGAAGTAGCTTCTGCCGTTTTGATAGTTGTTGTGGAAGATCTCGTGAAGAGGAGGGACAAAGTCCGGTCCATGGCCAACGAGAGCAGCTCCGCGCACGAAATCGAAGTCACGATTATCGAGAAAGATCTTGCGGGCTGCTGCACCAGATACCCCCACGACGTGGTACTTCCCTCTTGGCCACACAGTCTTTCCAGAAGGCCCTACATGTTGCAATTAGCGCCCTCACTTCTCACAAGCGAGGCGAGGATGAATTCTTACCACTTTGGGGTGAAGAAACCCCAGGAGCCGACGAGGGGGACAGTATTGGGTGTGAATTCAGGCGACTTCTTGTCGACGCTTGGGGTATATGATAGGAAAATAATATAAGCCAAGAAGGCTACCACGGTCGCAACAAGACCCGTGAGCACGGTCTTCACTGGCGATCGGAAATTATCATCTGTGTAAAATAGATCCATTTTCAAGGGTTTGAAGGCAAGATGTGGTGGGTTAGTTCGAGCGGCTTATATACCCTTCAGCTGCATCTAACCTCGTACATAATCGAAATAGTGGGCCGAGGCTTGCCAGGTATAAATTGAGTCTCATCCAATGGCCGGGGGATCGGGGTGTTTACTTATATGCCCAATATTGGCTTCATCCAATCTCTTGGGAGTAAGACCGGGCTCCGGTATGCTTCGAATCCCCGATCACAATTGCCCGACCACCAATGAGATAAACCAAAATGGGAATTAATGCAGGAATCATACATGAGAAGGTCGAGAATAATATAAATACGTATCTCTGGCGCTTGTCATTCAATGTTCATCCAGACCAGCACTATGCCCTCCTATCTCATCACCGGCGCAAGTCGAGGGCTGGGCTACACCTAGCTCAAGCACCTCTCCTCGAATCCAGAAAATATTGTGATTGGCCTGGTACGCAATAAATCCGATACCCAAAAACGTCTGGTCACCGATAACTTCACCAATATACACCTTGTCTGTGCTGACATCACCGACGCCAAAACCCTTCGGACCGTTGCGAGCAAGTCGGCAACATCACTGGCGGAAGTTTAGACATCCTGAAAATACCGCGATCCTAACCCTAAGCAGTGCTTTCAACTCCCTTGTCGATCTGTCTCCCGAGGAGAACATCTTAGATTCATGCAGAACAAATGTCGTAGGGGTGGCACACACAATCAATGCCCTCCTGCCACTGATTCGAAAGGGGAGGCAGACCCCATATTCAATTTCCAAGGCTGCGGCCGAACTTCTCATGGCCAAGTACCACGCAGCGCTTGGGCTACGGAAGGGATCCTTTTCCTGGCGATTAGTCCTGGCGTCGTGTCGAAACCAGACACGACACCTACGGTAGAATAGGCAGAGGGAAGGCAGAAAATGGTCGGCAAATTGAAAGCGTACGCGCCACACTTCACAGGTCCGATTATCATGGAGGAGAGTGTGAGGATGCAGCTAGAGGTCATTGACAAAGCGACCGTGGAAACCTCTGGTGGAACTTTTGTCAGTCACTTTGGGAATAAACAATGGCTGTGACGGAGTCATCAGCACAGGATCAGTCGGTCTCTCGCCCAAGGAGACATACTGTTTCAACAAAAGGTTCTCGCGTTTATTGTAAACTGCTAGCTACTGAGAGACTCCGGTCCATAGGGTTCTATTACCGCAAAATACTCACTGTTTGGGTACACGGGGAGATCAAGTCTGCTTTATTGTGATCATGCCAGGTTCGGATTGAGGAAACAGGTCTAGTTATGTTAAGTTCGACATGCTCTTTTCAGTTCCGCGATGGTTAAGGTCTCCGGGGAGCACTGCTAATAAAGCAGAATCGCTGAAAGACAATCAATGTATGTATGTATGCTAGAAGCTCACCATCAGAATAAAAGAAGATGGGAAATCTACGCATTGCCTAGTCCTGAAAGGAAAAGTGCAAGGGAAATAAGGGCACGGCGTGCTTTAATTATTTGGTCAAATGTTCTACAGTTTACCGGGGCTATCTTGATCGTTATCCTTGAGTATTTATATAGAGGAATAAGGTGGTATTCCAGGGAGATTCATCAAAAAAAAGGACTGTGTTCACTACCACCTGCAAATGCTACACGTAGATCTATAAGCTCGCCAACCTCAGGCAGTTCGCTAGGGGTAAGCTGATAAATATGTATCTTTAGAGAGTATGTATATTCTCAAACGAAATGAACCAGGATTCATCAGTGATAGCTATTAATGATATTCCTTTAGTATTATGAACCTAATAGTCTTCCTTTTACGAGCTTTCGGGATATAAATCACCTACAAAAGTGCTACGAAGCCGGGATGTTGAGATTTCCCGAAGTAGAAATAAATGTCCCGGGGTGCAGCCACAAAGACCTCCGAGAGCCCGACTAGTGCTAAAAGAATCTCGTACCAGGAATTAAGACAAGCTGGTCTGATATGGATGAGTCCCGAAAATGGGATTTCCCATGATTTCCCATGATTTCCTGGGCTCCCGGACAGCCCATTTGCGCCCGTAAGGAAGGCCATACACATATATGGTTTGTAGTGTTCCTCACTGACGGCCTCATCCTGTAATTGGAAATCATAATCAAATCAGGTGTACAGAATGGTGTCAAATAAGTATCTTTCGCACGGGGATAAAGATGAATTTGATCCCCAAAGGTGGTCGTCAACGCCGAGCGAGCTCTCACAAGTGTATATTGGGTCTAGCGTTGTTCTTGTCGTCGGCCCTCTTTACAGTCAGTAGTGAAGAGAAGATAGTCTAGGAGCGGAATTTATGCGAACAATCTAAGTTGTCCTAACAAATTTGTATCGCTCACCACCGGGATACCAGTCATACAAAGAGTAATTTGTTGGAATAGATCTACCTACAATCGTATCAAATTAGCCATATGAATTGGTGCACATATATATGTATCTCCAAACTAACTCTCAATTTTAAGCAGTCAAGGAAAACAAAATCCCCTGGTTCACGCTATTTACCACCCACTGCTTCTGCGGTCTTCTCCTCTCCAGCCGGCCCATTATTCTCGGCATCGGGCTTTGGCTGTCCCTTCTTGATACTCTTCCACTCCAGAGTAGCCGCACCCAGTAGTGTCAGACATGAGATAATCAAACCGGCCTGAAACACCTTCTGTAGCGCTTCATTGTAAGAGCGAAGGACCGTGTTGTGCTGATCCGTAGGCATTGTATTCAGCAGCTTGGTGACACCCCCCGAAGTGACAAGACGGGGGTTGAACCCCGGCAGCCCGGAAAGTCTCTTCACAAGTTGATTAGCCAGGATATTCTCCCCAACGGAGACAAAGACGGCTGCCCCGATCAGCTGACCGAACAGCATCAGTGCTAGTCCAGATGACACGTCGGGCTTCGGAAGGACGGTCTGCGCTGCGAGATTGGGGACTTGGAAACACAAGCCCAGACCAAGTCCGTAGACAATCTGATAGCCGATCCACTTTCCCTCGCCGGTGTCTACCTGGAAAGTGGTGAGGAGACCGGCTCCGGCGGACATGATGCAGGACCCGATGATCGCTAGTGGGGTGTAGTATCCGACCTTGGAGTTTATGATTCCACCACCGATTGAGCCCACGACCATGGATATCATCATAGGTAGCAGGTGGATGCCGGATTCCACGGCGGAACTGCCCTTGATGGATTGGAACCAGATTGGGAGGAAGTACACTGTGATTGAAGTCAGTAACAGGGGACAATGCTGGATAGTGTGGCCTTATTACCAAATATATAGTTTCCGGAGCCGACGCAGAGTGTCTGCCAGAAGCCTGAAATGATGCTGCGCTGCGAAAAGATGCGCACTGGAAGTGTCGCCGTCTTTGGAAGGAAGACCTGGACGGCGACAAATGAAAGAAGTAAGACGCCCATGAGAACCAAGCAAGCCACGACGCGGCCACTGCCCCACTGCAAACTATCAGCTATGGTTGAAAATAATAGTGCACATGACTTACAGGATACGTCTGGGCGCCCCACTGAAGTGCCAATATAAGACAGACCACGCCAGACACCAGAGGTGTAGTACCAAATAAATCCAGTTGTAGCAGCTTCTCGGCCCAGGAGACCTTTGCTGTATCTTGCTTGGGGACCTTGAGACAGAAGGCAATGAAGACCATGGCGGCGCCACCAATTGGCAGATTGACATAAAAGCACCATCTCCATGTCACGTTGGATGCAAAGGCGCCGCCAATCAATGGGCCCACGACAGAGGCAACGCCAAAAAGGGCGCCGAACAGTCCCTGAATTTGTGGACGCTTCTGGAGAGGCACGGAATGGATGATGCACATTATCTGAGACGCATTTGTCAGTAATTCGTATACGGGCAGGGGGATGTACTGAACGTACAGTTCCAGCGAGGATACCAGCAGCGCCGACTCCACAGATCGCTCTTCCGACTATAAAGGCGACTGAATTCGGCGCAGCTCCACAGATAGCAGAGGCAACCTCAAAGACTAGAATACTGGCAAGGAAGACGATTCTGACGGAAAAGAGCTTGTACAACTTGCCAAACAAGAGTTGGAATGCGCAGCATGTCAACAAGTAGGCGCTTCCGTACCAGCCAACGTCGTCGAAGGAATTGAATTCATCGGTGATTTTGGGTATGGCCTATCAATCGCGTATAAATTAGCGCTAGAATTGGATTGACTTTAATGTAGGATGATCATACCGTCGAGATGATCGTTCTGTCCAGCGCGACCAGGAACATAGCAACGAAAGCTGAGACGATCAGACAGACAACCCTAAGCGTAGACTGGTTCTCGGGCGGGCCCGGCGGACCTGGAGGGCCTCCAGACTTGGCCGGTCCTTCGTCTTTGACTGATGTATCTGTAGTTATTTCGCTATGTTCGTTCGTCAACTCTGGAGCATCTATCGTAGCCAATTTGGTGCTGTCAGAGGTGGAAGTGCGTGGTGGAGGCATGGTGATTGTAGTATTCGTGGCTCCACTAACCAAGACGTGATTGATCGGTTATCAATGCACGAGATATAATATTCCAGAGCAGAATGAATAATGAGGAAACAGTCCATATTTAAAGGGGCCTAAGGGGCAAAACATGGTCGGTGATTTCGCGTTTTGCGAAAGTTGATCTACAAAATGGTCGGGGGTTAGAATGTGCGAGGGTTAGCAAGTGGTGTGGGTTTCGGATATCATAATACGGCAAGCCATTGATTGGGACAGAACGGAAATAACTAATTTTTGAAAATCCCATTTGGCATTCTGCCGGCAGAATAGTAAATATCTTGACACAATCAAATCATTTATAGCATCGTACTAGGGGATATTCTTATTCTGACTTCCTTAGCTTTATTTATAAAGTTACTAGTCCTGAGCACACGAAGAGGTGCAAGCCATTGCCAGGTAAAAACGCCAAACACCAAAAAGAAATACTTAAACAACCACAATAGCATTCTCTGGAAAAGAACCAGGTGCTAGCAGTGTATAATTATTAGAGGGATTAGCACCATCCGGAGGCGCCTGCTTTAATTTATTTTTACCTGGGTTATCCTCTACTCCTGCTCGTACGCAGCAGCGACGTGCGTGGTCGCGCTATTTATAGTTAGCGCATGCTTAGACCTCGGCGCGGCCGTCCCCCACAGATGTTAATCCACGGCTCCGCCGTGGATCCAATTTCCTCTCCACGCGGTCCCATTCGGGAGGGGAATCCCAAGGGAAAATCTCCTCCCAACGGCCAGCCTATTATAATATCACACTCAGGGGTTAAGGGATACGTAGACATAAGGAAGCGTTCGTCTGCGCTCATTCTCGAGGATAGATTAATATACTCACCATGCGATACTAGATCGCGCGATAGTTCCAATATACTATCTACTCACCGCTATCCTAACACCTCACAAGGTACCTTCCCTAGACACTTTAATACAATGTAGCTTACCTAGCAATTATAAATCCTTAACTTTAGAAGTGTTAATGGAGTAATTCTTTACTATAATCCTTAATTTAACCCTTTTCAAGCTCCTTTTAAAGCTCTTTAATCACAGAATCCACTTGTTGTTAAAGCAGTAATAGGGTTAAGCATACGACTTAATGACGGATATAGTTATTTGTCATCCCGGGGATGACTAAGACGTATAGTGCCTGACGAATATGGCTACAACACGTAGGCACTCCGAAGACAACATGATCCCATATCATACGATCCCACGGCAGTGTACTGGAAGACCTTGGTAGACACTAGGTTAAATAGTGGTCTGCTACTTAAGGTAGCAGACCGGAGAGAGAGAGGGGGACTCGTCAAGGATAGCCTAGGCAATACATTCCTTCACAAGACTCAATAGAATTCCCTCAGTCCTCCCCAGGCCCGCCATCAAGGCGGCCCCTGGGCCCTCCTTCCCATATTCGACTGTTCCTACAGCTTATAGCGTTATACTACCTCGCCCATTCCCCTACCTAACCGGCCGTGTGATGAGCGATACCTATTTAAGAGTCCTTGCTGTGATATTAAAGCCTTCTTGACTTAAAACATAAAGTAGATCCTTTCTTCAAGCCTAACTTGGAAGAAAAAGACTTTAATACATGTATAAAAAACAGTACTTAAACTTGCTGTACTGTACAATTTGCTTTTAAAATTCCTATGTGTGTAGGCGTGAGCTGATCTGATCGTACGTTGGGTAACCTTAATACCATACCGATCTAAAAGAAATTCTTGGAGAGTTGCTACCAACGAATTATTTCGAAATAATCCAACGATCTCAGCCCTTTGAGGCTCAAGATTGATGGAAGGACGTGGCATAGTTTTTGATTTTTTTATGTGTATACTCAAGATAAATGCTGATTGAGATAAAAAAAAAAGAGGAAGTTATATCTACACTGCTATTGTACTACTGATCATGGCCCAGGCGGAGCTATAGGCGGTATAGGGACTTTAGAAATTAGTTATTTTAGTTTTGTCCCAATGGCTTGCCATACATAAAACCCGATGTTCCCGTTCCCCTTCCTTCTTACCCCAACCAACCTGGGGCTTCGGGGTCCGGGCTCTATTAACAACGTTTCTGCCGCAACAGGACCGATAGTCTCATGCCATGGCGACACCGATCTCTCCATCTGAACAGTCAGTTACTGTCAAGGGCCGGCGCGTGCTGGCCTGCGTGCTGTGTCAGCAACGCAAGATCAAGTGTGATCGTATATTCCCTTGCGCCAACTGTGTACGTGCCGGCGAGCAGTGCGAGCAAGCAACCCGCCAGCGACGCCGGAGGTTTCCCGAGAGAGAGCTGCTGGCCCGCCTGCGACACTATGAGAGCCTGCTCCGCCAGCATAACGTCAAGTTCGATCCTCTCCACACGCCTACTACAGGGTGTAGGTCTCCTAGCAAGGATGAGCGAGATGAACTTCCAGAGGTTGTTCAGTTGGAAGGTACTATTCCTGATACGGGTTCTCGTCTGTTGAAAGAAAAGAAAACAGTCAAGTCTAAATCATTGTACGAGACTCTATCCTGTTCTTTTGAAACCCGTGCATACTTCGGGATGACTAATCACAAGTAGGAATCTTTGGCATGCCATGAGTCAAAAGGTACCACCGACTCTGCGAGTGATCGTGGGGCTCACTGACAATTGGGAAAGACCGTAGATCCCAAGGACGATGACGGAAATGACGGCGAAGACGATGAAAACGACACCGGGTTCCTGCACGAGAACGATGATGTGCGCCACGCCGTGATCAAGAACGCATGGAACCATATGTTTCAAGGCAAAAGTAACGACCACCTTTTATTCGGTTCACCGGTAGGGAACGTTGACGACCTTTCTGCTTTGCATCCGACCCATGTACAGATCTTCAGGCTCTGGCAAATCTACTTGGACAACATCAATCCTCTTTTAAAAGTCACGCATACACCCACTCTCCAAACACGTCTCATCGATGCTGCTAGTGATATCGCCAATATCAATCCTACAATGGAAGCATTAATGTTCAGTATATACTGTGTCTCCATTCTAAGTCTCTCAGAAGATCAATGCAGTGCCTTGTTCGGATCTCCCAAAAAGGATCTCTTGACGGCCTATCAGTCTGCATGCCAGCAAGCGTTACGGAATTGTTGTATTTTACGCTCTAGTGACCGGGAGTGCTTGACCGCATTGTATCTGTATCTAGTAGGTGTGTCCAACCGATCTATCCGCACTCACTGATTTTTGCAGGTGTCGATCAGACCTGACACGGACCCTGCGTCTCTCTCATCCATGCTCAGCGTTGCTATACGAATCGCACAGCGGATAGGTATTCATGATGAATCAATGTACGGTAAATGTTCTGCTCTGGAAGCGGAGATGCGTCGAAGACTGTGGTGGTCGCTCATCATCTTTGATAACCGCATCTGCGAAATGTCCGATTATAAGACCGCGTCGCTGGCTCCGACCTGGGACTGCCGCGTTCCGCTCAATGTGAGTGATTTCGAGCTTCAGCCGGAGATTAAAGCCCCACCCGCAGCAAACAACAGACCAACAGAGATGCTCTTTGCTATTATCCGCAGTGAGCTCGCCGACTTTGTCCGTCGCACCGCCTTCCACCTCAATTTCACCAATCCTTATTTGAACACGATCGCCCCTCGATCTACCACTATAGATGAGGCGGAGCAGCTTCTGGCGTTGGAGAAGATGGTAGAGGAGAAATACTTGGTATTATGCAATCCAGAGAACCCACTGCATTTCATGACGATCTGGACCACGCGGGGTTACCTAGCCAAGAATCGTCTCTTGCAACACTACTCCCAATACTTGACGGCCTCCGTGCAGCAGACAGATACGCGGCGCAACGTCGGTATTTTCCACGCGCTGCGTATGCTGGAGTGCGACACCAACCTCATGACGTCGCCTCTCACCAAAGGATACCTGTGGCTTGTTCACTTCCACTTCCCCTTTCCCGCGTATATTCACCTTCTGCAGGATTTGAAGAAGAGGCCCGTCGGGGAGCATGCAGACCAGGCGTGGGAGGCCATGAGCAACAACTATAAGGTCCGCATTATGGATGCCAAGGAGGACGACCGCCCCTTTTTTATCGTCTTCTCTCGGATTGTCTCTCAGGCCTGGGAGGCGCGTGAACAGATAGCCAGACAACAGGAGAGGCCCCTGGTGCCACCACGGATTGTGTCGGATATACGGAACAAAGTAATGCAGATGACGTTAAATTTCGGTCAGAATGCAGACACAGTGCAGCCTGGTGGTTCCCCGGGCGTCGACGTGGATAACCTGTCAATGCCTATGCAGATGGATTTCAATGTGCCAGGCATGGTGTATGGCGCTGGCGGGCAGGTGCCTACAAGTTTGGGACCGTGGGGATATCCTGAGATGCCTGGGCCGAGGGGCATGGACGTGGATGCGAATCAGTTTATTTTGTAAACAGCTGTTACGACTTCTACTTTGAGGCGAGAAATGATAAGTTCTGCCTTCCCGCTTGTTGATAACGAACCGAGTTTGTGAGACCAGGCAGTTCTTGTAACCCCCTATGGAGTTAGAACTACATAGCAAGTTAGATCTCTTCTTGCTTCTCTCTCTTCCTTTCCCTCCCCGGTCCGGTCCACTCCATAGTGAATGCACACGCTCTTCTCTCTATAGAGATCTGTTGTGTAGCACTCCCTAAACTATACCAGTCTGACCCGCGAAACCAGCAAAAGCATATTTCTGGCCCTAAAACTTCGTTTTTGTAAGCTCAATTATAAGACAAAGGGTGTCCCCAACTATCCCCCCTAGTCTAGGTACGATAGGATGAGTCAGACCATAAAGCCTGCTAGGTGGTGGTGGTGGTGGCGGTGGTAGTAGTAGTAGTAGTAGTAGTAGTAGTAGTAGTAGTAGTAGTAGTAGTATTCTTGACCTGTCCTAGCTTACATATGATTGTCGCCATGCAGGGTCGCGCTGACTCCTGAGGAAGGCCGCACCTGGCGGCTGGTCGCCAAGGAGTTCGTGAGACCACGATGTTGATCCCTCTAGACGAAAGGTGCTGCTTATGACATTGTCCCGTAATGTTGAAAAAGAGCAGAAAAGTATCAGCGTCATAGGACTGAAATGACGGAGGTCGCGCAAAACACCTGGAACGAACCGAGGAATGTATCCGCAATCTCATCTTCCTTACTTCTTCGTTACGCACTCTGTCTCTGCAGCTCTGGCCAGACCTCGAGGAACAGGAAAGGCGTAAGAAGGCAAAACCTCTTTCTGATCACTCACTCCGTGGTTGGAAATGGAGGTAGCTAAGATACCCCAAAATTATTTTGTCGTTATCCCATTGTGCCGCATCCAGGTGGGCCTCTTGGATTGACAGAATGGCATGATTCTGATACTCGACAGATTTGAGAGACATGGTTGGACACGTATCGAATTTCAGGCGATTAATGCCTACCTGGAAACACTGTCCCAATTGCATATACGCAAGTACCTTCGACAGGCTTGGGACTCCATTACATCCCATTACCTTGATGAATGGTTGCCTTCCCAAATATCAATTCAGCAGAATCAGACTGCACCTGGGCCACACCTAGAAGACATTGCGAATGAGGCAGCACCTATGCTTCTTTTTCAACCTAATACTTCAATGGACGAGGAGAATTTACACTACTTAGGCCAATCACAAGTAAGCCGCGACCTCACTGCATCTGCAACATATACGATAGACAGCGGCAATTATCAGTCGACCGAGTCAGAAGAAACACAAGCCCGAGCAGAATTGGGTAGAAGTCTTTTACCAAACACCAGATACCATTTTCCAACTACAGAAACACCTATTCTCAGAGCTTCACATGATAAAGGACCTTCGTTTCACTCAGATGAGAATATGCCCATAAATTTCGGCAACTCGACCCCTATCCGATCCTTGTGTTCCATCGCAAATTACCCGCCATGTCCTGCTGCAGAGTCTGTTGCAGAGTCTGTTTTGTTGTCCGCCACTACTTTCGTGACAAACACCTACACAGGAATTCCGACAGAGCTCTATCCCCTTGGGGACGCACCGACAGAGCTATATCTTCTTGAAGGAGAGCCAACCGAATTATATCCACTAGGCGAGGAGCCAATCGACTTGTACAACTTTGGAATACATGCCGAGACGATTTCGACTCCAAGCTCCAATCATTTAGAACCCAACCTTCCTCCCATTTCTGGCGGCAACTGAGACGAGCTTGGTCTCACAGTCAAGATTATGAGACAGTATGCACCATGACTGATGACAACACTTGCGCTTGTGATTCTTATAAATGTTCCAACTTTGAGATACGTGCCAGAGATGCTCGGATTCTTGTCCTGGTGGATTCGAAGTGGGTAAACATATGCGAGTCCTTGAGAGCTACCAAAGTAACCAGGTATAGAACCAGATATCCGAATTATGAAGCGACAAGACAATTTATCTGCAACCTGAGATTACGTTAACATAAAGTTGCGCTAGGAGTGAAAAGGCCAATTATCACTCATATCCATGCCTTGTCTTCGACATCAAGCTGATCTAGTAACTCTTGCAATTTGGTATCTAGTCTCTCATCTGTACAAAGCTTCCAGCTTTGTTCCTTCGAAACCTTGAATTCGGCGGTTACACCCACGCACCCACGCATGGACTATTTTTTCGGTCCCTTGTACTGTAACATTAAAATACTTAAAAAAAAGACACTATGGTTGTGGGAAAACCTTCAAAAGTAGTTTAGTGCTGCTTGCCATTACGGTCTGAGAAATAATCAAAGAATAAAGTTATACCATATGCCACATTCAAGGATTATAATATCTCAACAATGTATCGAGATGGCTTGAATTTTTTACATAAACTGATATAATGGACTATACATAGATAGTAAACCAAGAACTGTATAGTGTATGTTTCAGTATATTACAATGTAAGGATTTTAAATACAGTTGTATTGAAGCTAATTCTGTATAATAGACTAGGAATAACTTATAAAATTTAAATAAAAAAAAAGGAAACCATGTACTATATATATACAATATAGAACTTAGCTTCAGTACTATATTTCTAATAGTGGCTGAGATATTAGGGTCCAAAAAAACACGATTTAGTATGGCATACAGAGGTGTCTGGCTAACTTACATGTCCGGCTCGCTTACCAGTTACGTTAGAGGGTTAAAAGGTAAGGTAAAAGAAGACTTCCCTCTTTGTAGGGGGAAGGGTAAGCCGACCGGAGGATACCTCTTTCTTCAAGTACCATTGGTACCATTTCTAAATTAGCTACTTAGATTAATTGATTAATAGCATTATTATAAGCAGATTTTAGCTGGTTTATGCTCACATTCTTTGCCAAAGCGGCCATTCTTCATAACTGTGTTGGTGGAGGGGATGTATGGTAGGTGTAATAAGGGTTGTGGGTCAGGTGACTGCCAAGCGAATTTTGTCGGATAGTCGGCTAGTACCGAATAGGAAAGTTGACACTATCCTTAAAAAGGCGCTTAAATGATTATTTTAGATGGTTTCTTGAGTATACTGATGATCAACGTATGATCATTCTGTGATTATTATTATAGATAATTAGGTTGCTTCTTCTGCTAGGTGTAGGGGAGCTTGTTTTACCCCTCTTTTATGACATTGTTTACGTCACCATTTCCACCAGCTTATTTAACAGCAGGCCCTGAGCGCTCATTGAGCGGTGATCTGTTATGTGAAGTACTCACTGAGCAAGCCCCTGAGTACCTTCATTAAAGCAGCTGTATCCGAAAGGGGAAAGTCTCAGTGTCTCTAGAAAATCAAGTCCGTATAGTCACATATATATATGTTTGTCTTTGTCTTTGTATTTGCATTTGTATATCATATATTGTACATTGTATTGTACGTATAAGATCATCGATCTATCCTCACCAACTCCACCGAACTCGAGTCATCCCGCTGCGCACGCGAGCTATACTTAATCGAGTAAGACATAGTCTTAGCGATATGCCCATGTTTCGGCTCAGGGTAAGTATTACTCGGCGCATTACGCGTAGCGTAGGACTTCCGACCCGACGAACCGACCAGATCAGGCAGGAAATGATTAATCAAAGCACGGGTGGCGGGGAGACAAGCGCAGAGGACTGCGATCTGGACTTCAATGACGGACCAGTGTACGATGGGTTGGAGTTGCGCTATGTCCCTTAGATCAGTGGATCGATTTATGACAATGGAGGGAGGACCTACCGGTTTGGTTATTGGACCAGCGATTATTCCAGAAGACGACGACGCGGATGATGGCTACGATGGTGAGACTATACTATCAATTAGCATTAGCATTCGGAACATGAAGGATGAAGCGTACAGTAATCCCATAGCAAACATCAATCCCACGCCAACTTTCTTCCGCTTCGAGAGTTGCAATTTGGTGATCTCGTAAACGGGGGCCGCCACCATGGCTACGTCAACAAAGATATTCACCAGCGCATTTGTCAGGGTCACGGTGATGAAGTCGATGCATTGGCCGGACTCTTCGCCTGTCCATCCGGCCCAGGCTATATAAACGGGTATGCAGCGTAGCAAGTCGCATGTGAACCATGTTACAGCGATGGCGACGTTCAGGGCGATGACGACGTAGGTGACATAGCGGAAAAGACGGGAGGAGAAGATTCGGAGTAGGAAGAGACAGACGGAGATTTTGGCTAGGGAGATTTGGATTTTGTAGCAGAGGACGAAGGCGTAGAACAGCTGCAGACATTAGATAGATATATAGATCGGATGACAGATGACAAACCTTATAAACAGTAGTAATATTCTCAAACGGCACAATATCCCACATATCCTTCCCAAACCCATAATTGATCATAGACGCATTAATAATAAAGATAGCAAGAGCAATCCCATACGCAACGGTAATAGTCGAATCATCCCATCCCCAACCGCCCCCGAGATGAATGATTTTCGACACCACGCGACAGACGAAGACCAACGAGGCCAGAATCAGCGGAACCAGAGTAGCTGCCTCGACCGCAGGACGACCTCGATGTTCCGGAAAGCCACATTCGTCGGCGCGGAGTCGTTTGGTGACGAATTGCTCTTTGATGGTGCAATTGGCGACGATGCAATCTCCCAGGATCCCATCGAATAATCGGTTTGAACAGGCGCAGGTTGTATCCGAAGGTGAACAGTTGACTGTCTCTCCGCAGGATAGCTAGATTCGTCAGATGTATTAAGACAGAACTAGGGTTAAATACATACAGCGCATGCAGGGAAAGAATCGAGGTCGGGATCAGCGGCCGAACAGACGGCAATGCAGCAGCAAATGTAGAATAGATATTGAAAGTGCATGGCGATATACTCTATGACACATACAGAGGAAAAAAAAAAAAAAAAGAGAGAGAGAGCGAGCGAGAGAAAGAAAAAAAGAAAGAAAGAAAGGCGAACCAGAAGAGAAGAGAGGAATAGAAAAATAGCTACGTGATAAGGGTCTATCCCAAGACAGAGAGCCAGGAACTCGACTTCATCCTGATTCGTCTCCTTCGTCTCATATTGTGGATGATTCCGGCCGTGCGAGTCTAGTGGATGATGATCGTGTTTGATAAGGTCCTGTACTATTATTATAGTCTGTACTATTATTCTGTTGTACTATTATACTGTGTATTGTTGAATCAGATGTGTGTGATCATGACCATGTGTCCTATTCATTATTGTATAGCCTCATTTTCCTAATTACTGTCGGCAAGTTATCGTCACATTCCTGTCACCTTGCCCATGTCAGTCCTATCACTATTAGTAGAATCCATTCCACAGTAAAATTAATTTCATGGATCCACTCGAATCAAACTCTAACCATCCTCCAGGGGAAGTACTGCCGCACCAAGTTGATCATAACCGAGGCTTTCGTCATATCCCAGTACATCCATACAGAGTACACCCACAAACCACTACCCCCATACAAAGTACAATAAAACATACAAAGACTATCACCGGTCATCTAGTCATCAATAGTGAAAGAATCTGACATGCAGGAATAGAATTCTGCAGGATCTGACTGCCGAAATCTCGTCAAAGTCCACGGTAGAAAACTAGATTGAATCGGCTAAGTGGAGATGCCGAGAGATCCACATGCTCCACGGAGTATAATATATTAATTAATTAATTATGCAAATTATGATTCTATCATATTCTACGGAGTATATATATGTCTTATATTGTTAAAGACTATCTCATTCCAATATCAAGTTAAAACTACGAATACAAAGAACTTAGTAATCAATCACCGAGATCATATTCCAATCCTCAACTTAACCAAGTCAAGTCACAAGTAAAATCAGAATGTGTACATGCAAATTCGTAACAATTTCATCCCACGATAAAACAAAAAAAGAAAAATAAAATAAAATATTTCAAGTCAAAACCAAACGCCGCGCTCATCCAATTAGACCATACAGAATCCGTCCAGCCTCAGTCGCTTGCGCCCAGAAAACCAGCCAAAATCAGTCCCAGTCCCATACCATCCTCCGGATGCCGGCACAACGACATCCCTTTTGCCCATCCTCGTACGATCATCGTGAATCCGCCGTGGCGGCATACATATTCATACAATACATATCACGCAAAATAATGGTACAGATGAAAGGCTGCAGAGCCAGCAGATGTCATATCAGCCGAAAAAGAAAATAAAGAAAAGAAAAAGAAGTAAGGAAGAAAGCAATGAAACAGAGAAGGTCATCGAGAAAATTCGGTCCACACAGTGCTGAGCCATCCTGCCGGGATGCCCACCTCCGACGGCATCATCATTGCCCATTGTTCGTACTCGCATCCCTCCAGGAAGGCCAGAACGTCGTCACCACCAAGGCTGGTCGACCATAGCCCATTAGTGCTCACATTCTCCATGCCGTCCACCGTCACCGGTGGTGAGGCCCCGGGATGCCCGACGGCTCCGGGAGGCGGCAACAGGGGAAGATTATGTGAAGCCGTGGCACTGATTGGCGGGAGAGACTGGGAGTACGGCCCAGGCGGCGGTTGTGGTCGAGAGGTCAGCCACGAGTTGATGGGCTGAAGTCGATTGGACGGCGGCGGTGGAACGTATTGCGAGGAGGCTGGTCCGCCCGTCGTGGCCGGGGGATACGATCCGGTCTGCCCGATCGACGGAAGCGTGGGCGAGGAGTTGTTGTAAATGCCACCATCGGCATGGTGCTGCAGCGATGGAAGCGAGAAGGGAGATTGGGACTGCAAAGTCCGACCAGGAGGTAGCGGCAGGCTGGGTCGTCGTTCACCATCTGGCCCCGGCAATTGCATGCCGGGACTGTTGATCGGAACCCACGACTCACGGCGTCCACCGGCCCCGTCCATCGGCGGCTCTCCGGCGTCGCCAGTTTCACTGCGGACGGCGTTGCTGCCCGCATCGCTGAGGTTGGTTGCCCGATCGCTGGCAACTGCCGCGCCGTCCTCATCCGCAGCTCCGTCAGGCAACTGATCTTCAATGGCACCGAAATCAAGGAACAGCTTCTCAATGAGCTTGAACTCCTCTAGGCCGCCACCAGCGCCCCCTTCCCGCACCGGTCGCACGCCATTGGCATGAGCATCCGCCGCATCCGCCATCATATCCGACTTGCGCGAGTGACGGCGGAAGTCCCGCTTGACTTTGGTAAAATAACTGTGTAGTCGATTCAGCGTACGGAACCACCCCCGCGCCATCCGGAGACGGGCCCGCATGTCGCGCAGGATGTCGAGGGCCTTGCGAGCTTGAGCCTGGCCTTGGTGGTTCCGGTCGCCTGTCGGGGTCAGCTTTGGGGCCAGGATGCCCTCCGTGTCCATGTGGGGGAAATGCGCCGTGTAGACCCCTACAAAGGCGGCATTATAAACCGCAAACCCCACCAGAGGGTTCTCAATCAGCACGCCTCGGTCCTGGCAGATCACCACGAGATCCATCATCTGTCGAGCCGCCCGGACCAGCTCTCGAGCGCTCTCACGCCAAAATCCATCCGACGCGGGAGACCTCTCAGTAGGGAAGAGCGGCTCGTCCAGCGGGCCAACGGGCTCTGAACAGCGGACTGGGAGGAATGGAATATAAGCGCGGTGGAGAACGATCACCGAGAGGAAGTAAACCACGTGCATCATCGTATAGGGAGCTAGAGTGTTCTTGTACATGATGTGAGTGTCGGTGTTCCGCGGTGAATACTGCAGGTTGCGCGAGAGACTGTCCTGGAATTCCCCTAGCATCAGGCGGAGCTTTGCAAAGCGTGAGTCGGGGTGCCAGGGGGGAAACTGTTCAGTTCTGTAGGCCATTAGTTTTTCTGTCATCACACAACAGAGTGACGAAATATGAAGAACCCACCTTCTCCCACCAGCACAGGACCATTTCGCAATGCTTCCCCAAATGCGAATGATTCGGATAACGCGGCTCAACACTGCTTCTTCAGCTCCGATCTCCCACCGGTCAATCTCATCCTCGCTTGAGTCCTTCCGTCGGGAAATTGGGGACCACGATTTCGCATCCTGGGGTCCGTTGTTGGGCAGTTTATCGTCGTTGAAGCCGCCCAGACTCTGACGAATGCTGGGAATTTGGACGCCCTGTGCACCAAAACTTTGTGGACGACGTACAGTCGGGTCGCTGAGGCGCGAGGTGCGCACGCGTTCTCCAAAAGCAAAGGCATTGTCACTGGGAAGTTGAATACCGAGTTCCTTGACCCGAATCATTCGGGGCCGATACTTGCCGCTGCTGAGGCAGCGGTCCAGAAGGAAGCAGGCCCAAAAGGTGCGGCGCTTGGTCTCCTGTGCAATTATATCGTCGGACGTCTGTTCCTTGGGTTCAGTTGGTCGACGAGGGATCCCAAAGAGCTCAACTTCAGCCTTTAGGGGACCGTCGCGGGCAAAGGCATCATTCTCCAGCTCAAAGGGAAGACCCATTGCCTGGGACAGACGGATGGCCATGCCCACATATAGCCACGCACTCTTCCCACGACACATACCCCATTCATGGAGGGCTAGGATCAACAGCGCCTGCACTCGGGTCAGATCGGGGACTGCCAGACTGGCGCCGTCAACACCGGCCAGCCGGCTACGCAACGCCGTCGCATAGAACTCGGAGGCAGCCAGAGGGTTGGACGGGTTTCCTGGGGGGACCGGGGAGTGGTAGGCGACCAGTTGGGGGTGAAAACGAGCGGTGAGGGCCAGGACACCCAAGGGGAGTAATGGATTCGGATCCGGTTTCGGGAACGGCGGACTTTGTGCCGGATCGCGCGCATTTTCGGGGTTGGTCGAGGAAGCGGCTGCAGGGGCGGCGGTATGAGTTGGGGTAGGATGAACGGTGGAGTTGTGAGAGAGCTGTCGAATCTGACTCATGAAGGAGGCGGGATGCAGGAAAGGCAGGAGAGTCGCAAAATTGGACTGAAACAGGTCGAAGACAGCTTCCCAGACCTTGAGGGTCAGGACGGAGGAATCCAGCGCATCGAGGGAGGCCTTGGCTGCATCCTTGCTGGCGGACGAAGAAACTCCGACTGTCTTACGGGACCGCTGTCTCTTCGGGCTGTCCCAGTCGCCATTGCGATCCTCCCCGTCGCCCATCGCAGCGATGTCCCGTTTAGCGGCGCCACCCCCGGTGCCGATGGCCGGGGTAGGATAAACGCAATCTCGACCGGACGACTCGCAGGCGCGGCAGGTGGTATCGATACCGGCATTGACACATTTGATTTTGCTGCGACGGCAGCGAGCGCAAGCGATACTGGATCGCATGATGACGGAATGACACGGGTGCGAGAGACGGGGGACCCGTCTCTCCAGTCAATCTGAACGAAAATACGAAGCGGTTTATTCAGACGATAGGAGAAAGATAGGAGAGAGCAAGGAAGCAAGAAAGAGAGATAGGAAGAGAGGAATAGACGGAACGGGAGGGAGGGAAAGGGGGGGGGGAGGAGGGAGAGAGAGAGAGAGAGGAGAATGAAGGGGGAGGGACGAAGCCGCCTCAAGTGACCGACTGACTGCCGTCAGTTTGCTTTTCCACCCGCAGTATTTTCTCCGGTAATATTTCCCCGGGATTCCGGCCAAGCGTTGTTGCAGCAGTGGGCTTAGAGAAAGGGGGCGACGTGAGGTGGTAAAAGACCGACCTTGCCCGGCTTGGAGGGTTCGCGTGCGGTACGACAAGGTGCACGGGGTCACGCAGAGTCCGAGGACTCGTTTTTTTCTTGTGTCTCCTCCAGTCGGCAGCTGGGCAGCAAGGAGAGGCGAGAGAGAAAGAACCCGGGGTACAAGGGAGGGATAAAAATGAGTAGCTAATTAGAAAGTCGGAAAAAAAAAAAAAAAATGAAGAGAAGTAAAAGGGCCGGAAAAAGGAGTAAGGCAAGGGCTCAAGACAGGGCAACGAGGAGAGGAGGGGAATAGGAATAGTAATGGAGTAATAATAACACACAGAGGAAGCAGAGTATTAATGTCGGGGATCGGAACAGTGCGTGGGTACTCCTATGGTATGGAACGGAGACACGAAGGGAGAGAGAGAGAGAGAGAGACTGTGGAGAAGGCAAAAGAGCGAAGAAGCGGGAATAAGCGGAGTGTGGGGGAGAGACGAAATTCCATCAGGCCCAGAGTCGGGGCGCCGGACCGGCAACGCGACTGGACGAGAAGGACGAGAAGGAATGGATGGGATGGGGGGAGTCAAACGCCTTTCGGGTGGGGAGAATCCAATGAGAAAAAAGGATTGAAAAGCAGAATCGTTCCCAGACTATTAAGCGATCCATTTTATCTAATATTATTTTTTTTATTTCTTTCTTTTGCTTTTTGCGGAGGCCCAGCGTTAGTCCCCAGACAGTTGGCAAATGCAAGGACGCGACCGAGCCGGAGCTGCGGTGGAGCCTTTCCGAGTGCCGACGAATGTGATCGTGACCAGACCTAGGTACTGTCTACAGTTCTATCCCTACCTATCTTAGGGAGTAGGTAGGTAGGAAATAGTTCTCCCGTTGCAAAGCGTTCAGGTTGACTCCAGAGTCGGGTAAATTACACCCCGTACTGTTCTCCGAAGAGGCGGCTACCTGTAGTAATACGGTCGTAAACCGACCCGACGGTTTTTCCTCTAAGGAGGTCATCAAGAAGGACATTGCTTTAAGTATCAATTAGGTGCTCGTATATATAGGCCTAAAGATTAACTCCCGTGATTCTTTTCCCATCCCCTCAACTTCCAGAGTACTGTTCAGCGATCCAGATTGCTGCCGACGGTGGACCGACTGGGCGAATGCCGGATACCAGCAGCCGTGTGGAACGTCACTTGACCGCAAAGAATCTCTTACCTAACCGCTTCCGTCGGATCCATGAATCCTCATCCATGGATCCTTCATCTATCGTTCTTCATAAATACAAGATAAAAACTGCTATGGAACTACCGAGCGTACTGCTATAGGTATCCCGAGTACAAGTACAGCGAATAGACATGAACATGAGCCTCTAAACCAATGATCAAAATAGGGAGCCTCGAACCGATCACAATATTCACCGGACAATATATCTGACGAACCTCGGGTAAAGTTTACCCCAAAGACGACAATTTTCGTACCGGGTGCGTGCAGTTCAATGGATATTATAAGCCTAGGTTTACCGCTCTTTCTTTTTTATTTTATTAGTGTTTTTTTTTTGGCCGCCTTCCTCCCTGCGTCCGGCCTCCCCGCGGGGAAACAAGAGAACTTGGATCAGCCCTGGCCTGACTGGTTCTGTTCGTCCAGTTAGCCGTTGGAGAACAGAGATTGGCTGCGGGCAGCAGGGGTGAATCCCGATCGACACGGGACAGTGATTCTTGTATGGTAGGGAGTATGGAGTACTAACTATGGTATGCAGTACGGAGAACACCTGCCTTATACCATTCATCTCTTATAAATGATTCGTAGGATAGAAAGAACAAAGAAACGAGCTCAAATAATCAGATTCCCACCCTGACCTCCTCGTTGCTATGCTAGAAGACAGAACCCGACCCGACGAGAGATCGGAATTCCCAGACCGGCAACTCCCCGCCCATTCCAGTTTAACCGGCCGTCCCGTGGCTGCTGCTCGGGCTCAACCGGCGCCCCTGATTGGTTTCCATCGCCTTCCGAGGCACAAGCGAACCGACCCCGCAAATTCCTGGGTAGTGTGGTAACCATGAATAATAAGAATCGTGCCTGGTGTCGGAGGGGGCCGGAGGACCGAATTCAAGTCACTTGAACATTGATATCCCGAGGAAAATAAATAAATAAATAATCCAGATCGGGTAATAGAACGCGCACCAACGTCAGGTGGTCTGCGGTTTTCATCAAATTCTTTCATATATTGTTGAACAGTACAATTAATTACTGGTACCCTTACTCCATATTCAAGTATTCAGATATTCAGGACATCAATAGACAATAGGAAATGTGGTATCGTAGAAAATACTACTTACTACGGTAGTATCACTACGAAGGTCAGATGTGGTTCCGTTTCAACTCCTATCCTACCTAAGTCTGACTGACGACGTCTCCAACTCTACCCTAATCAAACCGAAAAAAAAAAAAAAAATGGCTCCATCGCAACCCACGCGAGAAGTCTCCACATTACTTGCCTTGGCCTGCCAAGTTCTATCCAAAAGGGTGCCCGTATTCTGGCTTGCTCTCATTTGTGGTCGAACGCCACAAAATGTTGCATCCAACCTATCTGGGCTAGTTCTGTCTACTTTAGTCTGGTCTCATCATATCGGCCGGAATATATCCTACCACTAAGTCTAACACTAACGCTGTTTGTTCTCGATCAGGCGGAACTGTTGGAATAAGTCCGGGGAATGTGGATTGGGCTGACCTATTATCATTTATCATTACCCTATACATATTCCCGGGGAACTGGCTACCAGGGCAAAGCGGGTACAAGGACGGTGTTATTCCGATTTTCGATGGACGGCGCTCCTTTGACCCGAGTTTTCTAGAACTTGGAAGGAAAAATCCCGAAATGAGATGGATGCGCCTTCCGACTGATACTGTCGTGTTGGACGGCTGTGCCGTGTTGGGTGGTGTGTATATTCGGAGATCTCCCCGTCTACTCCGTACTCGGTAACCTCATGATCAAACCATGTGCTCTTAGCCTTTATGGTGGAATCATGGTTGCTGACAGGGGTGTTATAGATGGTTGACCAATTGGGTGAGTCTACGGAGTAATATGTTGCCTGAATTCATCCATGTTTACTGAATCTCATACGAGGCTTTAATGATCATACCAAATGTGTCTCAGCACGCGAAACGTCCAAGAACCCTTGCGACAACATCCATAGACCCATATACTGCAGTCACTTGTGGACATGACCTCCCACACATGAAGCAAATGAATCCACTACGGAGCATAAGGTATACGGACCAGTGCTCTCCGACTCCAATATTTACCCGATGCTTGGACCGAGCTCGAATCCCGTTTTACTGTTCGGCCTGAATGATCGGATAAAGGGTTCCATAAATTTGATATCTAATATGGTACAGTATAACAAGAAGCATGGTCACCTTATTCCAACTAAATCCAACGCAGTACGGATAAATTATCAGCGTCGACTGCTATGCAACTTGCTTACCGTCCTGGGTGGGATAAAACCTTAGAAACCTGTTAGTCTGCCTTCTTCATCTAAAGACAGGGGACGTACCAAGACGCTAGAGCAATAATCAAGTACATCATCATCAGTAGAACGCCTTCCAGCCAATGTGACTTTCCGTCGGCAATCAGATAATTCACCTGTTCTGTTAGCTTGTCTCCTTTTTGTGTGGATGAATAAACAGACATACCAAGAGAACTGATACAAAGAGCAGAATCACTTGGAACGCATCAAAATAGAGAGTCTACAGAGTCAGTACCTAACTGGTTCATCATCTAGGAAACCATACCATTTCATCCTTCCCTAGAATCCAGTCAGTCAGCATATGCAACTCAACTAAAACCGATTCAACTCACCCATACACCATCCGAGCACAATAATCAGCGGCAACACCAATAACGCAATCTGCATGCTCGAACCCACCGCCACTCCGATCGCCAAGTCCATTTTATCCTTACAAGCCACAGTAACCGCAGTGGCATGTTCCGCCGCGTTTCCCACAATCGGCAACAGAATCAACCCAACAAAAGTCTCCGAGACGTTCCCTCGCTCCGTAAGAGCATGGATGGAATCGACCTACCCCAGCCTTCTATCAGTACTATACTTCCCATTCTCTCCGAAAGGTTGATATAAACAAACCATGAACTCCGCACACAACGCCACGAAAGCCGTGGAAATCCCCAGTGTCAGGAACGCCACCCAGATACTCAACTGCGGCTGTTCGGGCTCGTCCTCCGGGTCCTGCAGCTGCATCTGCTGCGCGTTCTGACCCGCCATCGTCGCGCTCATCTTTCCGATCTGCGCAATCCCCCGACTGGCGTCACCGCCGGTGATCTTCTGACGACGCTTTTCCACCTTCGGACTGGGTTGGTTGTACATCTCCGTGTGGGATTTTAGTTGGAAGAAGAGGTAACATCCGTAGACGACGAGGAGGATAACGCTGGTTCCTGGGATGTTCAGTTAATACTACAATTTATATACACATACATGTATATAAATATGTGATGGTGAACATACCTCGCGACAGCTGAGCGACTGCCGTACCACCCGCTATAATCTCATCAATACCCTGTCTAACTATATCCTGTACGTGGAGAACTCACCCTGTGACCATTGATGAAACGCAGTAGGAATAATCAAACTCGCCACAGCCAGCGCAAGAAGACTGGCCGCCGTCTGGGCGACAACTGGATTAAAATGCTGTTCGAGACGGTTGACACCGCCGAAGAAGAAACACATCCCCATGACGAGCAGCAGATTCGATAACATACTCCCGATCAGGGAGGTTCGGACGATATCGTACTCCTTATGCACGAGAGCGATGATCGCTACGATCAATTCGACGGCGTTTCTATCATGGCTTAGTTACGTGGTCTGAATCGTCAAGGAGACTTACCCGAAGCTAGCGTTTAGAAGACCACCGATGGTTTCTCCGGTTCTGAAATTATTAGATCGGTCGAGGGTAAATTGGAAGGGTATGCGTACCGCATGGCGATTTCTTCTGTTCCGTAGCTGAGCATCGCTGCGAGGGGACTAGATCTGTTAGCATAGATACCCTATCCTGTCTAGTTTGGATAGATACACACATTATAGCGATGAAATTCACCACGAAGACAGCCACCGGGTCGACATCCACATAATTCAACGCAACTAGGGAAGATCAGCACGTCTTCCATTGTTCAAGAGCCCCGGAACACTCACTTCCCACCGGAGCAGCCAAAATGAGCACATTCACCCAGGAATTGAACACCGTCGCCTTAAGCTGACCCACAAGAGTGAACTTCTGTCTATCGCGACCCTTGACCGAGTCGGACGAATCACTCGGCTCATCAGCCGCAGAATGCGCAAACCTACCCAGGAGGGTTCTCCTCTTTCGAGCGTTCCCATCCCCATCCTTGGGATTATCCGAGAACGAAACATTGATAGGTTCACTACTGTGCATGGACGGCTCGGGACCTGCTTTCTCCACGCTATCCACCTGGCCAAGATGGTCATCAGTCCCCGCTGACTCAGGGGGATACGTATCAGCATGGTCGGGACCCGTCAGTCCATCTGTCATGTCTCTGCGCCGACGACGGTCCTCAGATAGATGTACATCGCCCGCGGAACGGACGGGAGCGAGTCTGCTTTCGAGCTGGATCGAGTTCGACCGACGAGGTCGCGCCCGGAACTTCTTGAAGGGGTTGTGGTTGGATGGTTCACCTTCCGAGTCATACCAGGCTAGGTTTCTGGCCTGTCGGCGGTAGATATCTTGTCAAGATGCATGTTAGCTGGATAACCTGTCGATGAGAGACAGGGACAAGGACAAGGGGACAAAGGAGAAGACACACGCATTTCAAATACGAGCGGGGACGCTGTACTGCTTGCTCACTAAACGGGATTTGGATACTGTATAAGGATTAGGGTCCGACCTGCATAGATAATAAGTACGGAGTGTTGAAGTGCCAACGTGGACAGAGGACAAGGGGGAGAGGGGTCCGTAGATATGCCCCTTGCCAGCTTTAAAGAACCGGGCTGGCGGGCAGGACGTAATCCATTGGGCAAAGGAGACAACATACAGTGACGTGGTGGTTGGTCCCAATTGTGTATGCCTATACGGCTTACGGAGATGTGGCTGGAGCGATGGACCTCTGCGCCTCAGGGCCACAACATAAGATGTCTTGGATGGTGATAAGCTTCCTCGGCGAGGAAAGAGCAGAGTACAGAAATTGCCCAGGTTTTAAGAGACCAGATCAGAATAGTATTAAGTTAAAAACTTTGCGCCAAAGCTTAAAATATTTTAAAGGCAAATAAATCAAGAATGTGCAGTATCACCAACATGGGAGAGGCAAATGAGTGACGTGAAGGACACCAGTTAAAAAAAAAAAAAAAAAAAATAAAGGTTGTCACATACTGTACGAAGTACAAAAAGGGGCAGGATTAAGTTTCCGTCGGCATAATAATCAACACGCACATAAAATGAACTAGTAATCCGCGGTGCTCGATGTGATTTGGTGCAGTGCAGGTCAAGCATTGACACAGCCAAACTCCGTCGTCGTACATCTTGCTCCCTGCTCAATTAAATTCCTGGGATGAGCGGTCTGAAGCGACCGTAGTAGCCAATGACTCGTGGAAGAGAGGGTAATTCACTTTTGCTAGGGAATGATGGTGGCTTTCATTCTCATGTTCCGCTTCTTTGAGCTCCACTAGTCTCTGTACTAAATTGATTAGGGTTTGTGTCGTACGCGATCCAGGGTCTGCCACTAGATCATGTCCTCGGGTTTCTTCTGCCCGATCTTGGCGTCATCTGACTTTTGAGTTTTTGACTTTGACGTACGGAGGACAGAGTATGGAATATTGAGAGCTATTGAAAGCTGAGTAGATCGTGGCATTATGGCATGACGAGAACTTTGGTGGTTCACTCAAGGTGAAGCAGCCCCTGGCTGCGGCTAGTGGGTCAGAGCACAGACGCTACCATTGAAGATTCTGCATATTTTGTCTGTATTGGGAGTGCCCACTGTTGGCCAGCTCGTTGTGCAGTTTGTGCAGCGTTCAGAGGCTTGGTTCTCGTGGCTGGTGTCTGCGCCACAGTTACATTCTGAGGAGACCGTTACCAAGTCATAGGGAAAAAGGAATCTGTTGATATCATGGTGTATAGTGATGCCTATATCGAGGTCTGTCAAAGCACCTATAGACTAGAGATGTGACCAACCACCTGATTGGGTAACTAGGCGAGACTGTATGACATTGACATCAGACAGTCATTGGCGACTACAAGCCCTTACTGGATGGAGTCTCTATCCACTCTCAACGGAGCGTGTCCAAATGACAAGGGGATGATCTTCTGCGCTGTCTAACATATCCGGTATCCTCAACAGCCTAGCATCAGTTGCAACGTCCTATGACTATGGAAGGATGGAGGAGGGTTACATGGTGGGGTGAGGAATAAGACCTCCTTACTGGAACTGGATTCCATCCTGGACTGGACCGATGTCGGTTGAGTGATTAAGCTGTTACTCGAAATTGAAGACATAAAGAAGAGTAGCGAGAAAGAGATGTGATTTATAATATCAGATACCAAGGGTCCTAATTCTCCAGTCTCACACTATGCATTTTAATGTGTTTGTCGAGGTGCCTCACTGATTCCCCCTGATGTCTCTCCTATTCTGGTGGATCTGCTACGCTACGAACATGTATATTTCTCGAACCCACTCAATCATTTCTATGGCCAAGTAGTTGTTTCATTGCTACATTTCACTGAAGCCAAAGAGATTACAGTGATAGTAGTGGTCTCTGCTGTGACCTTTTGATGAACTGAAGGGTAAATTGAATATTCCGAGTGTTTCAGGTGTGGTGGACCCAGGCATCCAATGGTTGGCCTGGGGCGAGACACTGGGAAGATGTACTATACCGTCCTGCGTATAGGATTGCCACGGGGCCCACACTGCCACCAACACTGCCTCACTTCGAGGGGATCCTAATAAGAACGGAGGAATGTCTATACAACTCGACCAAGTCGCCATAGACACTTATAATTAACGTCAGTTCATGTGAGGTCCAGATCCTGCCGAGATCCACCGTCTCTTATACTCCTTACAGTATTCTGTACAGTACCTGTAGCGGTCGCGGTCGTGGACTGTACATCACAGGGACACAGAATGAGTCCAGATACGAGGACATCCAATTATATTTTAGACACGTTTTTGGGCATCCACTCTACAGGAAACGACAAGCAATGATTGGCAAAGCCAAGTACAAGACAAGCCCGGACACCTGTAATACCACTGCAATAATACCGACGGGGCCGAGGAGGCCAATCAGGAGAAAGAATCTTAGTGTCTCAGGGTCCTACCCACGGTTGGCGCATTATTCTTAGAACTATCCATACCAAGTTACCAACCTGCTGTTCTCCTGGATACAACGGCGTAGAAGACTTGGCAAACAACTGCGACCGATGATCGACTATCCCGCAGACGCTGTGAGAATATATCAATCAAAGAGGCCAGGGAGAATGGGAAGATGTCAATTGTAGAATAGATAACAAGGGCATCATCAGGAATTATCTCAACGCCAGCTTTCGATCGTCCCTTCTGATCAACAGGGTCCAATTCAGGATTACGTAGCTCTGTAATACAGGGGCCTGTTTGCCTTAGTCCCCAAATAGTCGCCCCTTCTCCTCCTTTTCCACTTCTCCCCTCTCTCCTCTCTTCGTACTTCTTCTCCCCATCACTCCCTTCCTTCGTTGCTTGTGCTTCGATTCTTCCATTTCATAGTCCACGGCTCAGTGTGTCTGCCGTCAGTCATTCGTTGTCTTTAATCAACTCTTTTCTTGCCTTCCTTACCACCTCCGGTGGATATCCCTGACCGATCACCAAATTCCATTCTTTCGTCTTCGTGAATAGCCGTTTCCCATCATGAAACTTTCTCTCGCCCTCGCTGGCGCTTCGCTCATGGGCAGTGCCCTGGCGGCCCTGCCTGCGATCGAATCCAAGGTACACAATATCAGCCTGTGCAGCCCAGTGCAACCTTGGGCGCATCACGTGTGCTAACTGAGCTGGTTGCGTAGGGAAAAAAGCTCTTCTTCTCCAACAATGGCACTGAGTTGTAAGTGGGTTTGGGGACACTGGGCATTGAGTAGATCACTGACTGGCCTCGACAGCTTCATTCGCGGTGTCGCCTATCAGCGTATGTGAACCGATCCAGAACTGCGGGGATTCCAACAGGGTTAGATAGACGCTAACAGTATCCTTCAGAGGAATATTCGGCCAATGGTAGCGCCAGTGACAACAAGAACTACAAGGATCCCCTTGTGGATTTGGCCAACTGCGAACGTGATATCCCGTACCTGCAGCAGCTGCGCACCAACGTCATCCGTACCTATGCCGTTGACCCCAAGGGAAACCATGACGACTGTATGAAGAAGTTGGATGAGGCTGGTATATACTTGATCACCGACCTGTCGTCCCCCTCGGAGTCCATCATCGACCAGGACCCCCAGTGGAATGTGGATCTCTTCGAACGGTACACCAGCGTGGTCGACGCCTTTGCCAAGTACAGCAACGTCATTGGTTTCTTCGCCGGCAACGAGGTCGCTCACAAGAAGAACTACACCAGCTCGATGGCGTTTGTCAAAGCCGCTGTCCGTGATATGAAGAAGTACATCCGGGCCAAGAACTACCGCGAGTCCTTGTTGATTGGTTACGCCACCGATGACAACGCCGACACCCGTGAGGACTTGTCTCAGTACATGGTGTGCGGTGAAGCGGATGCTCGCATTGACATGTTTGGTTACAACATCTACGAGTGGTGCGGAGACTCCAGCTTCGAGCGCTCTGGCTATGAGGCCCGTACCAAGGAGTTCCAGGACTATCCCGTTCCTGCATTCTTCTCCGAGTACGGATGTATTGAGCCCCGCCCCCGTAAGTTCAGCGACGTTCCTGTCCTGTTCGGTCCCAAGATGAACAACGTCTGGAGCGGCGGTATTGTCTACATGTACTTCCAGGAGGACAACAACTACGGTCTGGTGTCTGTCGACGGCAACAAAGTCAACACTCGCAGCGACTTCTCCTACCTCTCTTCACAGATGCAGAAGGTCACCGCTACCGGTGTGAAAAGCGCCGACTACGCCGTCAAGTCCGCTGCGCCATCGACTTGCCCCACGGTTGGCAAGGATTGGGAGGCCTCCGAGAAGCTCCCTCCTGCCCCCAACCCAGACCTGTGTGACTGCATGATGAAGTCCCTGTCCTGCAAGGTGAAGGACTCGGTCAAGGAGAAGGACTACAAGAAGCGGTTCGACTACATCTGCGCTCAGATTGATTGTGACGGCATTCAAGCGGACGCCACCAAGGGCAAATATGGCGCGTTCAGTGTTTGCGACGCCAAGCAGAAGCTCTCATACGTCATGGACCAGTACTACCAAGCCCAGTCCGACAAGAGCCAGGCCTGCGATTTTGACGGCAATGGCCAGACTCAGGACGCCAGCCATGACAAGGGCACTTGCTCTTCTATGTTGAAGGAAGCTGGCCCCAAGGGTACTGGCAGTGTCACTGCGTCGCCCACCGCTGGGGGTGGTAGCAACGCAGCCAGCACCAGTGGTGGCTCCTCCACCTCCGAGGGTGCTGCCGGAGTTACCTCGCCGATGGCCGTACACGTTGGCAATTGGCAGTTCGGCGCTTACGCTATGAGTGCACTGGTTGCCGGTGTTGGCATGGTCCTGCTTTAAGGGTGAGATGGTATTTCCACCACGTGACTCTGAAGGGTGCAGATGTATTATTGGAGAGTCCTGAGGGTTTAGGAGTACATAGTTATCTTATTCAAATGATATTCGTTCTTTGTTTCCTATGCGGGATAGTCTAGAGTCATAGGGGTAGCCAATGTAACGGTGTCTAAGCTCCACCTCGGCGAGGGTGACCGAGATGTTCGGTCCCACAACGTGATGCCGATATAGTATATTATGGAGTGAAGTAAGAAGATAGTCAGTTGTAGTCATTATGATCAGTATTCCTACCTTGATTGTTCCTCTCACCTCTCTTCCTTCTTCCTGCTTTCTTTCCCATCAATTTACAGCTCTCCCATCAACTTATATTATCCTCTATACCTAACTAATGGAGGATCTCGAATCCCAGCTCGCAACAACAACAATCACAACCACCAAACCCCTCCCAGATGGCTACTCTCTCCCCCTCTGGCGCAAAAACGCCATCCTCTTCATCGTCAGTTGGATGGCTCTAGCAGTCACCTTCTCCAGCACCTCCCTTCTCCCCGCAACTCCAGAGATCGCACATGATATCCACACCACGTCGGAGACCCTGAACGTCACGAACGCGGGCGTGCTATGCGTCATGGGCTTCTCGTGTCTCATCTGGGGCCCATTGAATCTACTCATCGGTCGACGATTTTCGTACAATATCGCCATTTTGTTCCTGTGTGCTTGTTCGGTCGGCACTGCTGTCGCTGTTGATATGCATATGTTTACGGCCTTTAGAGTGCTGGGTGGTTTGACGGGCACTTCGTTTCTGATTTCGGGACAGACGATTTTGGCGGATATTTTTGAGCCCGTATGTCCCTTTCTTTCCCTCCATATCTGGTTTTGTGTGTATAGTGTGTAATTGATCGATGGCTGATTGTTGATTGAGTAGGTTGTTCGTGGTACTGCGGTGGGATTTTTCATGATAGGAACGGTGACGGGACCGGCTGTCGGTTTGTTCTTCTCTTCTTCTTTCTCTTCGTCTCATGGAATCGAGTAGAACTAACTAATAGGAAGGCCCGTGTATCGGCGGTGTCATTGTCACTTATGCCAGCTGGCGCATCATCTACTGGTTGCAAGCCGGCATGACGGGCTTCGCTTTCATTCTGTCTGTTCTCTTCGTGCCGGATATTAACCAGGAGAGAGGGTCTACCTCTACGGTTGAGAAAGTTGATCCTTCTCCACGACGTGGAATTGCTGAAATTATTCGGATGTTTAATCCAGTCCATATCATGAGATTGTTAATCTATCCGAATATTCTATTGGCGGTAAGTTCCATTCCATTTTATCTACTGTACATGTGTCATGGATAGGAGACTAATAATGATAGGATCTCACGTGTGGTCTTCTCTCAACGTTCCAGTACGCGATTCTCACGTCCGCTCGATCAATATTCAACCCTCGATTCCATCTCACCACCGCCCTGGTCAGCGGTCTCTTCTACCTTGCTCCCGGGGCCGGGTTCCTCATAGGAAGTATCGTTGGTGGAAAACTCTCTGATCGGACGGTGCGCAGCTGGACCGTCAAGCGAAACGGTGTGCGCCTACCGCAGGATCGGCTGAATAGCGGATTAATCACTTTACTGGGCATGTTGCCCGTCGCGGCCCTGGTGTACGGATGGACCTTGCAGAAGGAGATAGGTGGTATGGTCGTGCCGATTGTAGCGGCGTTTTTTGGGGGTTTGGCGTTGATGGGGTCATTTAATAGTTTGAATACTTATTGTGCTGGTTTGTCTCTTTCCCCTCACTTCCTCCTTTGCTTCTTTTCTCAATTGCGTATGGCTAATGGAAGTAGAAGCTCTTCCGGAACAGCGAAGGGAAGTTATCAGCGGAAAATACATCATTCAATATATATTTGCCGCGGGAAGTAGTGCCCTGGTGGATCCAGTTATTGATCGTATCGGGGTGGGTTGGACATTTACAATCTGTAAGTCGTGAAGATAACGTCCCTTTCGATCGGGTCACTGATGAGATATAGGTGTCGCGTTCTCGATTATCGGAGGCTCCTTGGTCTTTCTTATCACCCGCTGGGGACTGGATATGCAGCGGTGGGTTGAGAGGAGGGTTTCTATTGATCCGAAGGAGTGAACATATTTTTTAATGTTATAATGACTGACAATGATAGACTGATAGACTGATGTTAGAATAATAATAGACTGATAATAGAGTGATGATAGAGTCATAATAAAGTTATGATAGAGTGATGCTAGAGCGATGCTAGAGTTATAGAGAAGTAGAGTTATATTCTCTGACTCGTATAAAAGCTATCCTCATTCAGAAACGTATCCACCGGATGCAACAATCCCAAGTCGAAATCTGACTGTGCCAGGAAATCTTGCATCGTGGGTTCGAGAAATGTTATTGCTGTCGTGAAACCTGGTACCGCAGCTGTGCCGGTGCCCATCGACAAAGGGTAGGGTTCGTCTTCTGGGGTTAAAATGGATGGGTTTGGGACAGCTGTACCTGTGGAAACTGCTGGGATAGGGGTAGATTCCACCGAGGGAATACGTGCGTGAGTGGGATTGGAGGTACTGGTGTGAGGGTTGGTGGTCGTCATCCCCCGATACCGATCCAGACATTCCTTGACCTGTTCAAGGTTCATGTAGAATTCCGCAGCGGCGAGATTCCCATTCTCGCTCATGTAGCGCAGCACCTCGACGCTGGTTTCGAAAGCCCCGAGGTCGGATGGACTGCCGATGGGGAGGAAGCTGGCCATGGCAAGCACCAAGGCGAGCGAGAAAAGATAGTGTGCGTGGAAGTAGCCGAAGACCGGCAACGACGCATTGATCCATTTGGTGAGAATAATCGAGTACGAGTGGCGCGCGGCGTGGATGCACGCTTCGCCTAGTGTGAGGACGGGCTGGGAAATGTCGCTGGTGCGGTTGGACTCGCTGAGTTTGATCAGGAGGTGAAGCAGAATCGGTCGAGTGGCGAGGATAACGCACTGATTGGGTTCAGTTTATAAACGTTCAACGTTCACCATGGGGAGGCATGGGATACCTACCTGATTGAATGCCAAATGTAACGAACTGATCGGCTTCCGATTCAACTCCAAGTCTTCCTCATTCAGTCGCAGATGCTCTGGCAGCGTTTCCACCCAGTTCTTCAATGCCTTCAACAGTTTCTGCACACGCTGTAGGAATGTTTCGCTGTACTTGCGTCGACTATATAGCTTGGCGGTGGTCTCGCCCACGATGCGCGCCAATTCGATATTAGCCTTGAGATAATCAGTATCGGAGAACTGGTCCCCGTGCAGTTGCGCCGGGCTGACGTTGGATGGCATGTCAAGATGGATGTCCTCGTCGAGGATTTGCGACGGCTGTCCCATCTTGGACGCCCACATGCGGTCGAAAACGTAGATAGTCCACCATATACGCACCCGATGCTGTCGCTCTACCGGGTCGATGAGCTGTGTCTCCGGAATGTTGTGGTTTAGCCCGATGGAGAGACCAAGACGCATGGCTGTCCCGATCAACACTAGGGCCGAATGGCGCCGGTTGAGGTAGTATGAAAAGAGGCTCTGATTCCATCAGTCACGGCCGGAGTTGAAGTCGAGGGAAACAGACTAGTAGCAGCAAAGTCTCAAGATGCGTAATACTCGTCCGTTCCGGCGGCACCTGCACCAGACTCAAGGAGCGAGCGAAATACGCCGTTCCTGGCACCCTGGACCCAGCGGACAGCTCGGCTCGCATGGCGTACGCTTCTCCGAATGCAAACAGCGCAAAGAACTTGCACTTGTTGACCGTACATTCAAAGTCTTCAGTTCGGTAGATCTCCTCGAGCTTTTCTAGCGTCGATTTGTGCAGCACGAGATGGTAAATGTAGCCAACCTGTCGCAACGCAATTTTGACCAGTAACCTCGCCTGCTGCAGGCTCGGCCATTGAATATTGGCCGTGCTGGCCTCCGCGATGCTTTCGTCCTCGACATACTGCGTACGCGGTATATGCGCGGTTGCATTGTTCCCTGTCAGAAAGCGACGGAAACGAGTAGCAAACGCTGTGCAGGCTGCCTCACCGACGTAGATAGGCGGCGCGGAAGGATCATAGCGATGAAACCAGGCACGATCCCCGATAAGCGGGTTGCGCACGCTGGTGTTACTTTCGTCGGGCGCGTCGGCAGGTTGTGGCGGTATGGCTTCCGGATCCTCGCGATCTGCTTCGGTCTGGGTGGCCAAGGCCGATTGCTCTCTCAACCGTCGGTTTTCTAATACAAGTTCGTCCAAGTAGCTTGATTGGTGGATTAGATCGTAACCCGGATATCGACCAAACGATGCGTAATAGTTACCTTTCGCTCACCCTGACCTGTCGGTCTCGACGGGTGTATTCGCATTCGTCGGCGCAGCCCACCTGTTGACACTTGATGCAGGGTTGATCTCCTGAGCATTTGATTTTGTGTTCGTGACAGCGCTGGCAACTAGAAGATGTAATCTATGAGTACAAAGAATTTGATATGTTAGGCAGTGAGTACGCACGCCACAAACGTCCTTCGCTTTGACGGCTCCTCCCTAAAAGGGCCGGAGACTCTGCTGTATCGCCTACGGTTCATTAGTCGGGTTAACTGCGTGCCTGATAGTCATCCAAAGGGTAGCGATGCATGCGGACCGATGGGTCTTGATGATGAAAAGACAAGCCTCGGTGGAGAAGTGCCAAAACCGAGACTCGGCCCAGGTCGCCGACGGAGGATGTAGGTAATAGGCACGTGCTAGTTAGTTTACTAACCAGGATCTGCTAAGACCGGAAAAGGACAGTGCTCAAGGGCGCGACCTCGGCGAAGTCCATGTTTTCCTTTTGTCTTTCTAACTACGCACCTACTGTATCCTCCATCATACTATATGCCGTTGTTTTATGGCTTCCCTTTAGTTCAGTTAGTCAACCTAATTGAATTGCTCGTTTGACACTTCTTCGATTACGCATAGAATCGGCACAATACTTTGTGTATAAACGGACATTACACTCTCTGTATTTCCATGGAGAGGCCTGATATACTCAATTACATAGAGTTTCCGGCAATAATTGTCTAGACTTCTGTGAGAGATCAAGATAGTAAGCCTGCTCCTCTAGTTGAGCTCTTCTTAGCCATTGGACTCTAGGACATCTTTGCTAATTTTTACTGTGACAAATACCTAATACCACTTGACCACAAAAAGCACCATGGGCTCCAGTATTATATATCATAAAACTGAGTGTCAACTATTTTTAATGGATCCGCCCCTGGGTCCGAGTCTGAATCAAGGTCTCGGTGACATCCGTTGTACCACTGATAGCAGTTGTTAGATTTAAATATGGTTTTAAAACCCACACCGCATATCAAGCGATTCAAGAGAGGACTAGGAAGGCTCTAAGAGACTCGATAAGTATTGTACCTTTGTTCAATGTTTCTGGGCTAGTTGTTCATGGGTGAATAGAGGCTTGTGAGCTGGCTATGCATGGCAGTCTTGAAATTCCAACATCAGATAGCGACTTGAAAAATTCTTTACGCAATTTTCGAGTACAGAGTCAAACGTACTGCGGTATGCATTGAAGATCTGAGACACAGTCTAGAGAAGTCAGGCGGCAAAAAGATTGTTCCGTTGCAGATGTACTGTGATATTTGCTATCTATATGCATTCTCCGCAGAAGTACAGCAGAAATAATGGGTACATAGCTATATATTAGTTATTTGTAGTTAGTATTAAATAGCATAATTAGTGCTGTACTAGACTTTATAGAGGTATCTTAAAATTCTAATGCTATTTATTGTCCAGAGTCTGATTGTCGCTAATCCTGTACAGCAAGGCGTCACCAGTGCCAAGAGCATAGGCAGAAACCGCTAGTCATGGGCAAACACTAAACATTCTAGGATACATAAATAACTTTATATATCACGGCTTCATGTCTTAAATGCCTGGTCTAGATCAACTGTTCTTCCACCCTACTTCACACCATGAATGTCAAATTCTCCAACTTCCAGTCCCAAAGCCCCCTCTTCTCTATTCTCCCCGCCGAACTCCGCACCCAAGTCTTCAGTTACGTCCTTTCCGACTCCCTGGATATCACTCATCCCTACAGCAAAGACACCTTCTACACGCGACCGGGATACACTGCCCCTATACTCTCACACACTTCCCTACTCCGCACATGTAAGCGTGCCTACCATGAAGCATGGTTCATCCCCTTCGTTTGCGCAGAACACACCTTCTATCTGAGCTCGGAGGTTCGATCACCGGGGCGTCTAGCCCCGAAGGACCTCCAGCAAACGCTCGATACCATGCATGAGCAGCATGGGAAAGTAGAGGTCAACCGCATCCGCGTATTCGCGCAGCTCTACGCACTTGAACCCGGCAACAGACTACAAAGTATCCTCGACATGGACCACTTCTATCCCAGACACGTGACGCTGACCATTCGCTACACGGACTTCTGGTACTGGGAGAATTGCGAACCGCTCTATATCAAAGCAGCATGGGTGAATAGGGTGCGGTTCCCGGACAGCGTGACTCGCTTCACGATGGAGTTTGAGAGCATAGAGCGTCGGAAGAATGAAATTAACTATATCGCGTCCGAAGCTGTGGGGCGGTGGTTCTTCACTCGACGGGATGGACGCGTCCTCACGGCCAAGAAGGAGGACATGACGGTTTCGAAATGGACGGGTAGCTCCACGCTAAGTGAGCAGCGGTGGCTGCGCGACGAAGTCCATCCGGGTCAGTTGGATTATCACGTTGTCACAGTGAGGTGGAGAGTGGCGAGTGATGACGAGGCTAGCAAAGTCGATCGCGATACGCCTAGGAAGGATCTGGCGGTGCCGGAGGGGTTTCTTCAGCCACCACCCAGTTTTACCACGATGGTTTCTGTGTGGCAGAAGGATCTGGAAAGGGCGAACGTCCCTGCGGATCTGCCCGCGGAGGAGGTTGTCAGGGTGATTGATGAGCTGCATGCGGCGGATCAATTGAGAGTTCGACAAAGGCGGAGTATCCGGACGCCGAGGATTCGTTAGTCCTTAGGGTTGCAACAGTACGTAATGGATTGGTTATGTTCGCCACCTTGGATACATATTTCCTTGTAATAGTGGGAATAGGGTTATATATAGCAATTGGATAAAATATCGGTTCGACTGAGTGTTCAATTGAGTTGAATGTTCTCATTTCTACAACCAGATAATCATACATTTAATGGAAATCAATGTATCTTCTATAGAAAAGGGTACCTTATAAGCAACATAAATTCCACATGAGATCCACCAACAGGTTATGCGTGATTTCTTCCCTTGTTCTACAGTTCTAGGAACCGCCCCAAACTGGTCGACAAGAATTGCTCCATCTGGACCGACCTGGAAGTTTCTCACTAGTTCAAAGCTGCATACTCTACTTCGACTGGTGGGAATGACGCAAAGCATACAGGGATACGAAGTGGCTAGACTATTCTATGGGGTCAGGACGTCTATAGCCTATGCACATATAGTACGACGTGTGCATTATATGCCCTTGATGGCTTGCAGCAGTTCGACTTCATCAGGATAGGGGGCAATTTATTGATGCAACTCCAGAGAATGCCAGTGTGACATGATCGAATGCGTTCTTGCTAAAAGTACCTCACGTCTTAGAAGAATTAGCTAATGGTTTGCTCCATGACATGCAGGAAAGAATCTATCCCTGCGTCCAGATGGGTATAAAGCTTACCCTCTTCCGTTTCAATGGGCTTCAATGGACTTCAATCTAAACCAAATTAATCTTCTGGATAGTTTATTCTCCACAAAGTTTGTGGTCTCATTGCGATAGATCATGTTCTCCCTCAAGACCGTCCTCGCTCTGGCCAGCACCATGGCATTGGCCACTGCCTCCCAGGAAGCCAACATCATTGTATTTTCCTTTCCCTCCCGAACTGGATTCAAATATTGCAGAGACTAATCTCATCAGGGGAACCGACACCCCGATGCTGGTTGCTTGACTTTCATCTATCAGCCTGTATATAGTGGCGAGTGTATTAGCACCGGCGGTCGTGGGTAAGATAAGACAAGATAGAATATGTGGGAAGAGGAGACTCTAACTGGTGTCTTAATTAGTGCCATTAACTTTGTGGATGGGGTTGCTTGCCATTCCTATAAGTATGCATTTTCTATCCAACGGGTGAACTTCCACGAGACATGGAAACCGGCTGACAGATTTCCACAGGGAGCCCAACTGCGCCGGAGTTGAATATTCCATCTTTGATACTCCAGGGTGCTTTAAGTTGGAGAGCGCTGGTCAAGGCTCTATGAAATGTTCTGTTTTGGTATGATCGCGGTGGAACAGAGCTAGTTGAGCTGGATGAAACCAGGGCTTTGCGCTGTTGGGGTGTTTGATCTTGTTGCCGGCCTTGTTTCCTAGAGAGGGTTGCCCGGATTGGAGTTGGGCTGGTGAGGGGATTGGTGATAAAAGCAAATATGTTTAACGTCACGATTCTGGGGCAAATTGACTTCTCTCGTCTAGTCGGGCATGGGAGAGACATGATTTAAATTAGGTAGCGGAATTCTAGTATGGCTGAACGATATCGTTTTCTTCCACCTGAGTGTACAGTCAGTAGTTTCCCAGGCTTTTTATAGAGTATACCTCTAGCATAGTATTTATTGTGGCGTTGAGGGTAGAAAGTTATAGGACCATGAAAGATAGTATTTACAGTTCCAGCCTGTAGCCAGTTGGTAATGCTTTCTAGACATAACAGTAAGTTGCATACGTAACTTTACATAATTCCACGCCTAGGCCTCATCTTAACACGACCACGCGGAACTCGTCTGAGAACACGAGACAGGACACATCCCAAAGTGCTCTCTGTATAGAATCCTAAAAAATGGATGTAGATTAATAAGCCCAAGGATTGTGCTTTCTAAGCGGGCTAACCAACCATGGTTCCCGTCAGCTGACCCCTCCGCTTCCCCAGATTTCCCCCCACCAGTCACTTCACTCCATCCCTTATCCCCTCCAGTTCCTTGTTCCTTGATTATGCCTTGATTGAGCGCGACGACGCCGTTGACGGTCCCGAGAATGAGTTTTAGCAGGAAACGTGTGGCGTTGGCCTGTAATTTCTGTCGTAGTCGGTGAGCAACAGCGTCATAACCCCTATCTGGCCAGACTGGTCGACTCGGCCAAATGCTAAGCGCTGAGTAGGAAACGAAGATGCGATGCTCAAAAGCCATCATGCTCTACCTGTTCGGAATTAGAAGTCGAATGCCACTATGATGACTTGCCATCCCAAAGGTGCGTTAATGGCGACTCCGCCGGTGACACACGCGTACCCGTACTCACATCGACCCTACAGAATCGACACTTCAGGGGGCACCCGAGAGATCCTCGGCCGCCTGCGTGATATTGAGACACTCCTCGAGAACCAGTCGGAGAAAATCGCTGCGATTTCCAACACATCGAATGGGGCATTTCATCACGCTCATAGTGTGACGACACCACAAAGTCAATCTTCCGTTCCGGTGTCCGGCATCCAGTCTGCATCATGGCCGTTTCTAGGACTCGATGTTCAATCAGACATAGCCAAATTGCCGCCTTTGACGATCCCAGTCAAACACAAGACATCCTCCAGCTACCTGCTGAGGCTGCCGTCCATGAGGGCCTTGGTCGGAGAATATCCCCCGGACCTGTTTTTCTCGCTAGAATCTCGAAGCTATTTACCGCCAGAGCTCTCGCTTGATAGCTGGGCAATGCCTCAGTCTCAAGCCGACATTCGTCGGGACGTTGCCGACCAATTGGTGTCGACGTTCTTCTCACTGGCTCACCCCAATCATCCAATCTTGGAGCAAACCGAGTTTCAGGAGATATACGCTCGATTTCTAGAAAACGGGCCTGATTCAAGTGTAGCCTCTGCCCTCTGTATGGTCGTCCTGGCTCTTGGGGCTGTGGCTGACTCGCCGCTGAAAGCGGCTGACTTCAAAAATTCGCCACCTGGCATGCAATACATGCAACACGCTCTGCCAACCCTCATTTCTCAGTCATCATGGTCATTTTCATATAGCCTGTTGCTGCCGCAGGCTTTGGTACTGGCCAGTGTTTATTTTGCGTATATCGTGCGACCTCTCCAGAGCTGGCGGCTGGTCTATTCGGCATCTACTATACTCCAATTCAAGCTTTCTGGGTATGTTTGCACGAGCCTCAGAAGTAGGACAGGTTCTGACAAGGCCGTAGGATGGATGCGCAGGAAGAAGGCCCCAACTGGCGGGAGAGTATCATTCGCCTCTTCTGGTCCTGCTTTCTTGTAGAATGTGATCGACTTGCGGAGTTGGAGCTGCCCCGAAGCGGATTACAACAACTGACCGACGAAATTAGTCTTCCTAAGTGTTCAAACCTTGATCTCACGCAGTCAACCAGTTATCTGGCCGAGATTTCCGTTCGCAGACTGCTAAATCGTATCCATAACTCACTCTATCCCAGCAAAGCGCACCCCTTGACACTTTCATCGACTACCCTCGTGGCACCGGAGGAGTTTTCCATTGATGATGTCTCCTCCATGATGAATGTGTCTGATGAATTATACTCCCAGCTGAAACTATGGCATTCGTCGATACCAGAGGCTTCCCGGCCAGTTCTCGGGCTCGGGATTCCCCCGAGCAAAGCAAATCCCCGTGAGGCAATCCTACGGATTCGGTATTTTGCCGCTCGACATATCATCTACCGACCATTTGTGCTTTACATTGCTACACATGGAGTGAAGCGGATACCCGAGGCTATGATTGAGAAGGCCGGCATTTGCATTGAGAGCTGTCGGTACCATCTCCATAATACCTCTAAAGTTTTGACTCAACCAAGTCAATACACGTGGACGTTTTCCCTGTCGTATGTGCCAGACACCGTTCAAAGACGTAAAAATCTCACTGACGTCGGGAAATAGAACGCTGGGGGCAATTGTAGTACTTACCCTGGCTTCATTAAGTCCCAACCTGCGACACTTCGTGCCGGACATTGATGAGCTTCAACAACTAGCCATCAACAATATACGGCCTTGGGCTTTCTCAAGCCTCGAAGCCGTTGTTGCAATCCTAGAGGATATACAAAGGAAGCAAAGATTGCTTTCGCGCGTTTAATTCATGTGCTAAAACATGCTTTCTGGGTGCTAACCTAGGTTAAGGGGAATAGTAAGTGACCGAAAACAGCCTACGCAGAACGCCATGCATGCAGAACATCATCTATAACTCTCCTCCGGTGGGTTGCGCAATTATTTCCAGCCCAATGTCACTTCTCCAGAAACTACCAGTGGGATATGTGTATTTTTTCAGCGCCTCTTGGGTGTATCCTGTCGAGTAGCCGGGAGCGAGAGGGGTGACATAATGCGCATTCTCAACCTTGGAAGGATGCCGCAGGTTCTCCCGGTGGCTGTCCGCGTTCTCTAACATCGTCTTGCGCCCACTGATAGCGATGTAATCGATCGTGCTCAGGTGCGAAGTCAATTCAGTTAAACCCATGGCACCATTGTGAGGCACGCATGGGACGTCGAATTTGAGCGCCATGAGCATGACAGCCTAGATAATTGGTCAACGCACGTATTCCAGTAATTGTGACGCCCACTTACCAGACACTCGTTGACACTACCCAGTCGGACGGCATCAATCTGGCAAACGTCGGTGGCTTCGGCTTGCAGGAGTTGTTTGAAGGTCACACGGTTCTGGGCGGCTTCGCCGGTGGCTACGCCGACTCCATACGGCTTGAGGGCCTTGCGAATAGCGGCATGACCGAGAATGTCGTCGGGATTAGTGGGTTCCTCGATGAATATAGGCTTGAATTCAACGAGCTGCTTCATGTATTCAATGGCTTCGGGGACACTCCACACCTTGAGCAATGTTAGGCTAAACGACGACTGGCTGTGTGATTGCAACATACCTGATTGGCATCGATCATTATTTGATGCCCCTTGTCATATCCTAGCACTTCCCTCACGGCCGACAGTCTCGCCCGATCCACTTCGACGCTAGTTCCCACCTTGAACTTGAAGACTGTGTACCCAGCGGCAATAGTGTTCTCCAGTACTTCTCGCATACGTTCACCGGAGAAGGCCATCCAACCGGGTGATGTAGTATACGCGGGTACCGCTCGATTCTCGAAAGCTTCCTGCATGCGGGACTCCTTTCCCACGTGTGTCTTCTCGAGCATCTTGATACTCTCCTCGGGCGTGATCACGTCAGTGATGTATCGGAAGTCGATGCACCTCACAATCTCCTCCGGGCTCATGTCGCAGACAATCTTCCAGACCGGCTTTTCCAGGATTTTCCCCCATAGGTCCCACACCGCATTTAGTACTCCCGCCACTGCCAGATGAGTGATGCTTTTCTCGGGACCCACCCAGCGGTATTGGGAGTCGGAGACCATGTATCGCCAAGTCTTACCCATATTCCGGGTGAGCTCGTGCATTGTTTTACCTACAACGCGCCTAGCGAAAATGTCAAGTGCCATACAGATTAATTCACTTCCTCGCCCATTGCTGAATGCCTAGAGAGCCCTTTGTTAGCTTCCCTTGAGCAAGGCACGAGCCAAGAGAGCTCACTCACAATCCCCTCTCCGACCAAGCCGCCCTGGTTCGTCATGAGCCGAATGTACGGATGCGAGCCATTTGTGCCCACGTGCATTGCATCCGAACCAACTCCGTCCAGACTCGTGGGAAATCGCAGATCTACGATCTCAAACGAGGTTATCGTAATGTCATGCTCAGTAACTGAGTATGAGCCCATGTTGGAATGTTCGGGCGTAGCTGCTGGACGGTGACCAGGCGGGAGAAAGAAGTAAGAGGAACCTGAGCAGAACCGGTTTTTAAAAGGATCGGGAAATTAAACAGCGTGCCTTCCACCCCCGTGTGGAGAGCCATCGCATCGCCTGACTGCAAAATGTTCCACAATGCCCGGACCAAGATGCGCCCCACATGGCGCACGGTCGCGTTCCGCTGTGGGACTGCCGCCTATCCCCGCTGCATGACAGAAGGCTATCTACCAGGATATATCGACAATCTGAAGCCCAAGCAACCATTCAGAGGCATGCTGTCTTGATCACATCACTAAGGCTGCGAGTGTGTCACTAAGGCTGCGAGCGTGACTAACGAGAGATACGGTGAATTCAGTCTACGATGCAGGACGATAGACACAAGACGTGCAATAATCAATGACTGTAACTAGTCAATCAAAGATCCCCATATAATTTGTCGTGATGCTGTCGAGATGGACCACTGCAGGGTTAAAATGGGTTAGGAGAAGTAGACTGGTATAGAGGTGAACAACGAATACTGATAGTGCCTCTGCACAATGCACTAGGAGATTGTTCAAGGATAGATATCGAGATGGAATCGGCAGTGGACTTGTGGCTTGAGAAAAAAAAAAAAAAAAAAAATGTAGTAAAATTTGATGACATGGTTTCTAGACTTAGCGAGGCCTACTAGTTCATTGTCTGATTCTTAGTCCATTTACCCCGTCTGGGACGACTGGCTCATCGAGATCGCTTGTGCAACCAAGTCCCGTACCGTTTCTCTAAATGGTCGATACGTATACCCCAGCTCCTTGGCAGCTGTCTCGCCATCCAATCCATAGCCATCATCCAGCGTCTGATCTTCCTGCACGACCTTATCCTGGAGAGCCGGGAACTCCTCCGTCATAATCTTCGCTGCCAATCCATATGTAAAGCGCTCCGGGGATGCAGGCACATACCGATTCCCCCCGACCTCCTGATTCAACAATGCCTCGACATGCGCGACTGCCAGATCACGCACATCTATCCAAAACGGCACCCGCGAAACAGGGAGCGGGTTCGCTCCGCTGGCAATGTTCCACAACATGGCATTGGACTCGTTCAGGCTGTCCACTCTAGGTACAGGATGTACCACCGGCCCAAACGTCATCGGCGGACATAAAACAACAAGATCAAAAGATGGTTTCTGTTCCTTCACGTACCTCCATGCTTCGAGCTCGGCGAATTTCTTTGACCCGCGATACGCCACTACGGCGCTTGTAGATGGATCTACGGATTCCTCATAAGTCAGTGGATTCCAGTCAGTCCCCGTATAGGTGAAATATGGTGGGCTCTTGCGGCTGACGTCAAGAACGGACGCGAAAGAAGAGGTCAGGACGATGCGTTTGACTTGTTGGTTTGTGGCGGCAGCTTCAACGATCGCCCGTACGCCATTGATCGCGGGTCGCATAAGTTCTCTCTCATTTTCGGTTGTATCGTAGGTAAAGGGCTAAGCGAATAGGGGCAGATCAGCTTCTCCACTGGCTTGGCTTCCATATCAAATGGAAGAGACGATAGAATTGGTGGCCGTGGTTACTCACGCTGGCGGTATGGATCACCCCATCCACTCCCTGCACGGCCTCGACTAAACCGCCTGGTTTCTCAAAGTCGTCTATCAGTACAAACTCCAGCTGACCGGCGTATTGCGGTCGTGCTTGAATCATGGCGTCGCCCTTAGCCCGCGAGCGAGTTGCGCCGCGCACCCGCAAGCCACGGGCTAGCAGGGCGTCGACGATGTTGGCGCCAATAAAGCCGGTTGCACCGGTGACTAGAACCTGTCTGGTCATTGTAGACAGTTGAGATTATCTGACGGGATATGTGCATGGAGTGGGATGTCAACCGTATCAATCCATATACTCCATGGTATGCCGCCTATCCGCGGAACGGCGGGTGGATCTGCCGCTTTTCCCCCGCGGAGATCACGGGACCAGACGCTAAATCAGGAAGGGATAGCTTCTCTTTCCCCTCAGCAGTTTACCCCAGAGCCAGGCAAGCATCAATTCATTGCATTATCTATATTCATCGATTATTTCATTGAACGGGCACGCTACCCTGACTCGCTGTACCGGTCGTTGCAATTGACCCCCTCCAGAAATTTGTAATATATATATTGTGCAGGGGAGTCCTCTTGCCACGCCTACCCCCGGCCCACTCGGATGAGACGGAATCCACACCTCATTGGAGACCACTTGGCTCGCAAATGGCTCGATTCGAGCTCTCAACTCGTCTAAGTGGAAGATGGCTGGTGAGCGTGGTCACGGTTGCAAATGCTTGGTATGTGTTAATGACGTCTTTTGAATCAGCCCTGGGGAGATCCTTGCCGCCGCGTGCTGACAGATACATGGCACTAATGTAGTTCGATGGCATGGTTTGGTTATGATCAGGGGGTATTTTCTGGGGTGTTAATCTCGGCAGACTTCAAGAAACATTTCCCCGAGACCAACGATGCCGACATCTCCGGCATCACTTCCAGCTGCTTCTCCGTGAGCTACCTTGGACCCGCCAACAACTGTTCCCGCCGAGAATATATGAGTTGATTTGCTGATATTGGATGGGGGCTGCAGCTCGGGGCGTTCTTTGGGGCTATATTTGCCTTTACTCTTGGGGATAAGCTTGGTCGGAAACGGGCCGTGGGTCTCGGCGTCGTTTGCAATGTCGTTGGTGCGGTGCTGCAAGTTGTGGCATGGCATCTGCCGCAGATGATCATAGGGCGTATTATCAATGGCTTCGGGATGGGCTTGACTTCGTCGACCTGCCCTGTCTACCAGGCTGAGTGCTCCAAGCCGAATATTCGTGGCAAGCTGGTGGTGGTAGGCTCGTTGTGCAACACGGCGGCCTTCTGTCTGGCAAACTGGATGAACTATGGCCTATACTTCCAAGGCAAAGCATTACAATGGCGCTTTCCTCTCGGATTTCAGCTCATATTCCCCATTTTCGTGGTAATTGCGCTGTTATTGATTCCCGAGTCTCCGCGATGGCTCGTGTTGCAGGACCGGCCCAACGAGGCGCTCCAAGTCCTAGCTCGTCTAGAGGGCAAGGGTAAAGATATACACCATCCCGACGTCACTGCACAATTTCTATCCATCCAGTCGACGCTACAGATAGAGCGTAAGGACCGGGTGCCGATTAAGGATGTGTTGCTGTGCCGTGACAAAACGCAGAATCTCCGCCGACTGCTGCTGTCCTGTGGCACACAGTTCATGCAGCAATTCAGCGGCGTCAACGCCCTCGGATACTACCTGCCTACGCTTCTGCAACAGAGCGTGGGTTTGGGCGAACAGGAGAGTCGCTTGATGACTGCGATCAATGGTACTATTTATCTCTTTGCAGCATTCTGCTGTCTACTAATCATCGACCGTTTCGGTCGCCGGAAGTAAGACCCCTCCCCCCTCCCATACCGTCTCTACCTCACGGGTGTGTAAATAAACAACTCACAATTTACCTAGGATGATGCTCTACGGCTCCTTAACCATGGGCGCATGCTATCTCATCGCAGCTATCTGTCTTAAAGTTGCCGAAGACGACCCCTCACGCAAGAGTCTCGTAAGTTATTCTTATTTCCCCCACTCCCTCCCATCCCCCCCCTCTGACTAATAAACCAAAACAGCTGGGACGCGTCACCACGGCCATGTTCTTCCTCTACTACTTCTTCTACGGCACTAGTTTCGCCAAAGTACCCTGGGTCTACAACTCAGAGATCAACTCGCTGGGCTGGCGAACCCGCGGCGCTGCAGCCGCCACGGCAACCAACTGGATGGGCGGATTCATCGTGACTCAATTCACAAAAGTAGGAGTGGATAATATCAAATGGCGGTTCTATCTAAGTAAGACTTCTCTTTTATAAAATATCCTTTGTAATTGAAAAAAAAAAAAAAACTAACAAAACCAGTGTTCGCCATTATTGTATGGGCTTACTTCCCTGTTGTCTTAGTTTTGTATCCAGAAACCTCGCGACGCACACTGGAAGACATGGATGAGATCTTCATCCGAAATAAGTCGTTAATCGTGTGCGGGAAGAGTTCATTGACACAGCGCGAGCGACCTCATGAGTTTGTCGATGCAGAGATGCATCGTATTAAGACGATGGATGCGGTTGTGGTGGGTGATGAGGTTAAAGATGGGCGGGCTCTATATCATGAGGGTTTGAAGGTTTAATATAGTATATTTTCTGTGTGCTCATTATATTTGCTATATATACTGAAGATTATATAAATACATACATAGATACTGTTAATAAAAACATGTTGACTTACTGGTCATATCATCCTTCTATTTAATAAACACCGTTGAATATAGTTCTACTTCTAACTATTATCCACCAGCTAGATAAACGGGAACATGGTTCCAACTTGATATCACCTTCGAGAATGTGCTAAATAAACAGCTGAATTCTGATTTGCATATAGCACTAACAACATTACTAGTATTCACCTATTAAGCGCTACATTATCTAATAGGCCCATACTCGCCTTATCAGTCAATCTGCCCAGGTAATCACGGACATCCAATGGGTTTTATGTACCACCTCTAGGTTCGTTCGTATCCACCTCTTAGCCTTGCTAATCTGTAGCTCCCACAGGTTGTTAGATGCAGCATACCGCGTGGAGATATAGACAACAGCAAGGACATTGAGATACGGAGTGTTAATCTGTCATAACGGATGAAGAAGCCGCCAGACACTCATGAAGCCTCCCTTGGATGCCATCACTGAATTCTGCCACTAGGAGACTCTGCGTATCTGACAAATTCGATATCCCCGTTTGCTTCCTGTAGATAAAGAATATTTGATAGAGTGAGATTGGGTCCAGATCCAGAGGGGTTCATGTTACTTTCTTTATCCTGGTCACAAAAGAACCATGAAGCGCCAAGGTCCTCGTCGTCGGAATTTTGGTCAACGGCACGTAGAAACCGTAAAGAGCTATATCTAGTGATGTTGTCCTCGCCATCGATAAAAAGACAGAATCCCATGGCCTCATCATACTCGTCAGGCTCATCAGAACCATCATACTAATCAAAATATCTAATCATTAAACCCCTCCTCTTCGCAAGAGAAAGTGACGCCTCAGGATCCTATCCTAGACCATGGCTGACTGCTACGTAGCTGGTCCATTTGCTTGGGATCGACCATTCTGACAGCTTTCTTCTGGCTCTTCATCCCCCTCTGACTCCCAGGTTCTGATTCCTTTTCTTGTTCCTCTTCTGGTTCCTCTTCTGTCTCTTCTTCTGTCCCTTCATCGGGCCCTTCATAAGATGCCTCTTGTTCTTCTGCAGGTTCTGGTTCCTCTCTTGTGTCGTCTTCCAGTGTCTCTTCTGCCTCTGATTCTTCCCCTACTTCTTCTTCCGGATTGGCTTTGTAATCTTGAAGAGTACGACTATCTAGATCATTCCTAGGGCTATTGCTTTCTTTACTAGCGTCTTCGGCATTGGCTTCATAACTCTCTTCTAGACCGTCCCTTTCTGCTCTCTCTTTGTCTTGGTCTCACATCTGTGATCTCCTCATTGTCTTCCATCTCATGTTCAAGGTCCTTATCTTGATTACTACCTGGATCCTCCTGCTTATCTTCGTCTTCATTTCATCTAGATCCTCGCCTTGCTCGTCTTCTTCTTCCTCGTTTGATCCTGATCCTCGACTTCATTCTCGTCTTGGTCTTCTTGGTCTTCATTTTCAATCAAGAGCTTCGCAGAAGCCTCTTCACACCTTGAGCAGAAAAAGGTCCCAGGATGAGAAGGAGGTCATAGATCACTGCTTAGGCTGAGGTTAAGCTCAGTCTATCTTGATCGTGCTACTACGATGATCAGCTCAATTGAAATTTGTCTGGCCAGAGAGAACGGATCCTAAAAAAACATGAAGGATGGGCTGGGGGGATATGAATGCACATGGAAGTGAAAATTTCATCAACTCTGGCAGATTAGACTGTCGGCTTCGATTCGAATTTGGATGAATCCTTTTTATGTGGAAAATTGTAACTTGGGGCATGGTTCTCAAGAGACTTTTGTGCTGTATAATCCTAGGGCCTCTTGCTTATCTTTATCATCTACTTCTTCAAGTAACCAGTATGTACATTTTTCATGCTTACTATTTACCATAACGGTCACTAATGTGCTGGTAACTCTGCAGGTCTCACTGTCCCCGAGTCCAACTCGTTGGCTGCTTCCCTAGCCTGCAACTCCAACAATCTTGCGGGTTTATGCATAGTCAAGTACTTGCTGTTCGTATTTTTCACAATCGCACCTTGTCGTCGCCTCTGGCGGAACAATACATATGTAATCGCGATTAAAATCAGAGCCCCTACTCCCACACCAACGCCAATTCCCGCTTTAGATCCAGTAGAGAGAGACGAGGATGTCTCAGTCGTCGCATGAGATGTTGACATCGTCTGATCTGCGGATATAGTTGCTCCTGGAGACGATCGGGAAGTGCTAGTCGCTGTGGGAGTCGATGCGAAATCTGTGCTCTGCCATCGAATGGAGATACCGAATGCGTTCAATCCCTTCACCGCAGTCGAGGTACCCGTCGTCCATCCCCCGTCGGTTGACGATGTCCATGGCCATGTTTCTGCGAATGATGCACCATAGGTACACGGTTGGGTCGAGTACCAAGGCCAACTTTTTCGGTCTGGCAGATTAAGCCGCTGCTGGAGTTAGATACATAGAAATAATTACTGGGCTGAGAAAGTAACGGAAGATACCTACCTAGGGCAACATGTGGCTCTTGTTTCTGATAGCGTCCCAATATTGGCCACCGTGGAACATGCGATCGAATATCCCGAGGGACATACTCCCGGCGAAAAGTAGGACTGAGGTGAGGAATTGAATCCCGATGGGAGGCAGGCACTGGTGCTTGGAGGCCCGAGACTGTTGAACCGACATGTCTGTGTGGCTTCTCCCACGATACAGTTTAACCCCTGTGTGTTGTTCCATATGTAGATGTCACTGAAGCAGGTTGGAGCGGGCGTAAATGTAGTGGTTAATGGAGGAGGGGTTGTCTGCATTGTGTTGATCGATGGAATTCGAAGGACATGATCTGATCTGCAAATGCTATTAAAAAGGAGGGGAACATAAGAAAAAAAAGCTGATAGCAGAAGAAAATAGCCCCTTACAGGGTTAAAATGATTTCTAATCGAGTTGAGACGCAGCAAGCGAATCCCAAGCAAGTAATCTGCATGCATTCCGAAGCCCAAGCGACGCTCAGTGCCATTTATTAAAAATGTTACATATTTTAACTTTAATTATTTAACGGTCAAACAATACTATCAAAATAAATTAGCGTTTTTATTCCTTCCTGAGTAGCAAAAGTGTCCTTTTAGTAATATTTGCACTAGCACCAGGTATGGCACTAGCAGGTGTTGTTGCTGCTGCATAAATAGCTTGCTTTTGTTTGTGATGATTTGGTTGCCTCTGCGCTAGTAGAATTAAAACCATTTGACCATAAAATGGTATAAGACGACTGATCTGCCAATCAGTCGCGTCTGATGCCCTATAATAGGTAACGAGGGCATCCTTACTGGCTACTCTGGGTTAACCCTTGACACACTAAGGATTATAGTAGCAAAGAATTTAATTTATATACTACTGCACCATTGCAGCGGTAAGAGATATATAAGTATTATTTAGTAAAATAATCCATAGAATTAATGCTTCTTCTTGTTCAGCATTTAATGCCCTGTTGGTACCAGTGTTAATTAGAATAAAAATTAAACAAAGGAGGTAATCGAAGCAATATAATAAACGAATAAGACAGGTGTGAAGGATAGGTCGAGAATCGGCCAAGCTCGGGTACTGAATCCTTATCGATAAGTTGAGTATACAGTGATGCAAAGCTATGGTAGTATCTTATCTTAATGACGCGTTGATGTATTGTCATGATCTCATTAACTGTATCGTTATCTTATCTATGGGCGTTCTATATATTATCTTGATCTATACAAAGAAAAAGAGATCAAGGATTTGTTTTTTAATATATCTTGATATAAGATATAGTGATATTCTCTTCTACTATCTTACCTAGCTGACCGGTTAATCTACCCAGCCTAGTAGTAGATTCATCACAAAAGGATAAAATCGATACGATGACCACTCTAGTCTTAATATGCTATGCTTTGGTATCTACCTGATTATAGTATTCTTCACAAAATATGGATAGAATAATAGTAATAAATATAAAACAAGTAATATTTTAGTGTTGTTCTTATAAAAGAATTCTATATACAGTCATGGTCACCGTGCTGATAAGGCTTGATTTTGCACCAGAATTTCCTTACTTTCGAATTGTAAATCACGTGTTAATAACTGTAAGTTGCACCAGCCTTTCCTGTTTAGTTCTTAATCACATGCACCAGCGGGACATCACCATTCCAGCAAGCTACAATTAATCAACAAACAAATGTCATCCCTTTCTTTGCCATGAACCCCAATCAAACCAACCAAGATGGGATGGCTGCACCAGCTGATTCCAACATAAACCGCTCTTTAGGCCTCCAATACTGGAATGATGTACCCGCGACCGTTGGTGGCATGACCGGGGGGTTTCCGGTGTCGCGCATTGACCTGCGAGGATCTAAGAGCTTTCTCACGAAGGTTCGTCGACTACGAGGGAACGACGTCGAAAAAAAGCTTCGGCTTGGGGTCGACTGCGGCGCGGGGATCGGACGCGTGACGAACGGGGTTCTCAGCCAAGTGTGCGAGGTTGTCGACGCCGTTGAGCCGGTAGAGAAATTTGCTCAGGTTCTACGCGATACACGACTGAACTCAAACGGTGTTGGTGGAGACATCTACAATGTTGGTTTGGAGGATTGGCATCCAGAGAAACGATACGATCTGATCTGGGTGCAGTGGTGTGTCGGGCATCTGACAGATCGGCAGTTGGTCGAGTTTATGATACGATGTCGAGACTGTTTGACTGAAGATGGGCTTGTCGTTTTCAAAGAGAATAATACAAGTAAGGGATTTGTTGAGGATATCTACGATGAGGAGGATAGCGCGGTAACGAGAACGCATGAGAAGTTCTTGACGCTGTTCGCGGAGGCAGGGATGGACTTGATTGCGACGGAACTTCAGTCGGGTTTTCCGAAACGATTGGAACTCTTGCCGGTTCGATTTTACGCTTTACGACCTATGAGTTAATTACGATGGCCTGCAAGCGAGCAGTGATGAGGTCTCTTGCCAACCGACCTTATGGACCAGATATGAACTCGGTATTTTAAGGTACAAACTTACTGAAATGATCATTATTGATCAATGTCAGTTAATGATGGACTTGTGGGACGGATGGAGGCGTTGTGCCAAAAGATGGATGAATAGACCTGATTAGCGACATAAACGTGGACAAAGACAATGATCTAACCAGCGCCATGCATGCAATGTACACCCATAGCTAAACATCCCCACCCAGCACATCCTCCCAGTTCAGCACCATCCCCAACGACCTTGGCGCCGAATAATCAAACCCATTGCGGAGATACAACTTCCGACCCGGCTCGTCCGCCATCAAGTTCACATACGGAAGAAACCGCTCATCATCAGCATCCACCAGTCCATCTTTCAGGCCTTTCACCCCAGGAGCAACCGATCGGATTCTATCCAAGAGATTCTTCAAAATCACGTCGCCGAGACCCTTCCGTTGGTGGTCGGGTAAAACCGCCATGTCGGCGATATGGAAATACCATCCTCCGTCGCCGACGATGCGTCCCATTCCAATCGCCACCTCATCCGCAGTGTCTTTGTCGGCGTAGGTGATGTAGCATCCGTACCAGCTGCCCGCTATTGAAGCGGCTGCTTGGGGTTCATTTCGTGGACTGAGACCCGACGCGGCGCGGAGATGGAGATAGCTGGCTACGGAGGGGTAGCCTTCACGGAGGGTGTATCCAGGGGGAAGTGGACTCATCTGAACAGAATGTATTCAGGAATTGGTCAGGAGAACTTGTCAGCTCGAAGAATCTTCGTAAGATGATGGCGGGGGCTTAGTCATTCTCTAGTGCCTCGCTAACTAGTACACAACACCAGACTCTCAACTCAAACTGCCGAGAAAGGAATGCGGCTGTCTTCTCTTACAACTCCAGCTCAAACCCCGAAGAGAGTACGGCAGCCATATCGGTATGACAACACCGTGTCGCGACCTCTAATGGTGTCACTCCATGCACATCTTCCACATCCGCCTCGACCTTCCATTCCGGATTTGACAAAAAGAGATGAGCGACACTCTCGTGCCCATAGAGCGCAGCCATGGACAAATTGGAGCGTCCGTTCACATCCTGTGCATTAGGATCCGCCCCATGATCTAGTAGGAGCTGGATCACGTTGGCCTGACCCCGACGCACGGCCAGCATTAAAACTGACTGATTGAAAATATCATGTGAATTGACGTCGACACCAGGTTGTTGCACCAGGAGCTCTACCACCGCTGCCTGACCGTTCCATGCAGCCAGTGCCAACGGAGTTAGCCCATGAGCATCTCTAGCGTGTGCGTTGATGCCCTGAACGCGAAGAAGCACCTGTACGATCTGCTCGTGGCCGTACCACGCAGCTAGCGACAAGGGGCCGCGATCGTACATGTCACCGGAGTTGGGATCCACGCCATCCTGGGCGAGTAGGAGCCTCACGATTTCGATGTGCCCATGCTGCGCGGCCAGCGACAATGCGGACTGTCCCGCTCTGTCTTTGGACTCGAGACTAATACGGTTTTTGTGTTGATCGAGCAAGATCTTGACTACGCTGGTGTATCCAAATATGGAGGCGTATCCCAGAATGCTTCTATGGTAGAAATGGTGTTCCCAGTTCGGTTCCACCTCAGTATTGTCTAGTAGGAGCTGCACTATTCGGGAGTGTCCGGTGCAAGTCGCGAGAAACAGTGGTGTATTCCCGTCAGCATCAGGGGAATTGGCGTCTGCTCCAGCTTGCAAGGAGGCTTTGGCGGTCTGCAATTGGCCTTTCTCGGAAGCCCAGAGCAGAGCGGACGATTTGAAGAAGTGGACGTCGTGGCGGTAGAGACGGTCGTTAAAGAGTCCGTACAGACGCCGGTTGGTGCGGACTAGTGAATTAATGTCCTCGAGCGAGGTTAAATTGTCGGTGATGAGTTCTAGTAGCTCTAGTGGCAGTGTAAGGAGGGCCATGATGAAAAATAAAATAAAATAGAAAATAGAGGGGTTGTGTCGAGTAGATCCAGAACAGTTTGCAGAAATGTAGTCAACATAATGAGCGTCCTCACTGGGCTGTTTCAAATTTGCAACATTAAAACGATAAATATAGATCATATGGGCGGCAATCAGGCAAAAGATAAAACAATCAATGATATACCGGCATAATTTCACTCAAGCAAGATACTATAAACTTTATCTGCCTCAAGAGCACCTAGACCATTAAGGAAACCTAATTTATCCCCCTACTTATCCTGAAGCAAGCCTAATATTACACTAAGTGAAGATCTTTACTTCGAACTAAGAATATTAGGAATATTATTGGTTAGATTCTATCTATTTCAACTTTATATGCTCACAAAATGCATTACGCTTTCGATTATGAGGTCCACCTACTGCCCAATTAGGAAATAGTCAAATGAATACCCAATCATTCTTGACTGGATCTATATGAGTATTTTTAATCTGATTTACCTCTGAGCAGCAAAGCTAACTTGACATAGCTTCTTTTACTCTAGCTTTCAATACCATGCTGATATACATATTTATGACTACCATTTCTAAGAATTAAATGCTGTCTATACCCATTTATCATCTCAAATATATACAAAACCAAACAGTAATATTATAGCTAGATACCAAGAATCAAAAATATTTACCTAATGGCAGAAACTATCTGCCATTATCACCAAAATCTGTACACTATGTTCTGCTTAATAGATATGGCTAAACATATGCTGCTGTATTGATCAGAAATAAAACCACGAGAACTTCACCTACTCCCACACAGAAGAATAAATATGTACCTAGCTAGTCGTCGCACTGTGAACAAAATTTCCCTCAGGAAAAGGAAAAACGTCTCCTGCGCTGGACGCGTATAGTTTCTGCGGCTATCCAGCCCGGGACAGTAGAACCATTTATGGTCAAGATGGCAGTGGTATGCGAGTAATCAGGAGGATGTGCAACCGCCAGCCCGACGGTGGAACGAGTAAGATATGCGGATCCATTCGGGTGGAACATAAAGTCGTCCAGGGAATTGGAAGAGTTGAATAAAACTTCGATCTCACCTTGGACGCTCCATTCGATTGGTCGATTGGTGAACGTCCAAAATACATCTGAGACGTATTCGTGAAATACAGATATCCGTTGTCCACTTTGATGCCGTCAATGCCTTCTCCGAGGGCTGGAGTTCTTCTCAGCTGCGCGCTGTTGTATACTATCTTTGATATCTTCTCATATGGGTTGATCACGAGGATGTCTAAGCCTTCCACTACCTCCAGTGTCATTCGCTCTGAGCTCAGCATGGTGTCCCATGTCCCAGTCGGAAGGCTATTGAACAAACGTCGGAAATTCCAGACCGCCCTAATGCCACAACTCCAACTGTCTTTCTGCGGTGGAGTGGGCTTTGATTATTAGTCTTCAGGCCGGTGTTGGTGGAAGCTAGAGACCACTACGTACGGCTTCCTGGTAGGGAATTTCGGACCACCAAATTCCTCCTTGACTAATGGTGACATCCGCGTCTCTTTAACGCAATGGATGGTATCAGACTCAGCCATTGGATCATAGTGGCGTATCGCTCGTTCTCGTTCGTTTATCTCGAGTAACGTAAAGTGATTGCTATTACGATATATTAGGCAGAAATATACCAAAGGAACCACATTCCCAAAGTTTTCTTTGGCCCCTAGTCGATGCTAGGCAATCTTTAGGGCCCAATCTGTCAGTGGCTGTTTGATCGGTCGTCTCTGATTGTTACTCCGATCTTATCTAATGGGATGCTTAGATCATGCTTGACAAATGCCGGCTTGTCGGGTAGCGCATGAAAGCTATAATAGTCCATAACCATCTCACTAGCAACGGCAACGATCGCTCCCTTGTTTGTCGCGTGACAATTCCCGCCTCTGGAAGATTGCAGAAATCTAACTTCCTGGTTGACGGGCAAGTCGCTGGCTAGATTCTTGCCAGAGGGTGGTTAGAAGTGTCCCGAGGCTGACAGCCTTACTGTATGGCAGTAGACTTGACCCCCATACGGCAATTGATTCCACGAAGCCTTCAGCTCATATTTCCAGTACTTAATAGTGGCATCTTCGTGGCTTGGAACAAACCGTCTCTACCTATCACACATGGTCATATAATGCCTTCTGAGGTCCTGCTCTGCTGTTTCATGTCGCCCGAAGCTGTTGGCACAGCCGGGAGGCTTCCCCTGCTGAAGGTCGCTCTTGAAGTCCGAAACCAGTCAACTAATGGCTAGGAGTGTGAAGTGCCGTTAACTGTTCATGTAAACTCATAATATATAATGCAGTTTGCTTCATGCCAGAGTGGGACAATATTACACAGTATTCAGCAGCCGCTGGGTCCGACTTTACTCCATTTTTTTCACCTTTTTATTCAGTTCTCCTAGATAGATAGCTCGAGACCTTACTTTTCAATGAAGACCCATTATTATTCATAAAATTGATGATACTAGCTCAGACGCGTATTCAGCTGGCCGACACTTAACTACGTAGCGAGGAATAGGATACAGCCACGATTGTTCTCATGGCTGACCGCCTACGCACGTTCTTAACGAGTATTCCAATCTAATTGGATAGGACAACGAGCGAGCGGGGACACAATGCCTGGTGGCCTAGTTAGGCTCGGATTGCTGCCTGATGTAACTGGGACTATTTGGAGTCGCCGAAAGTCGCCGAAGGCGAAGAAGAGGGAAAGAACAAAAAGAAAGAAACAATTCCTTGAAAATGACAGACAATATCAGCATCAAAGGATCCTGTCTCTGCAAGGCAGTTCGATATGAACTGCGCGGAGACCCCTTCAACAAAGTGCTATGCTTCTGCAACCATTGCCGCAAGGCGTCAGGTACGCTCAGTATGGCAAACAGCTGGTACAAGAAAGATGTATGATCACCGTTATCTACTATTATCGTATCTAGTCTCATTTTGTTTTCTTGGTCATATCTCATTCGATATACAGGCCTTGACAATTACAAAGGGTGACACCCTCCGATCATATCAAGCTACTTCATCGGATTCCCCAGCGACGCTGGAACGCTCGTTCTGTGGCCAGTGTGGGTCGCCTATCATGCTGCAGAATCAAACAGAGTACCCTGACCTGGTTGTTATTACCACGGGCACGATGGATGGGGGGTCAGTTCAAGAGTGGAAGCCGCAGATGGAGCTCTACTGTAGACGTAAACCTGGTTGGTTACAGACTCCGGATGAGACCAAGAAGTTTCAGGGGGGATTGGGGCAAGAGTGATCTTCGATTCTTCTTTACTTGAGAAGGACTATGCATTATCGATGCGGCTTTATCATGTACAGTAGAAATTTTCACCTGCGGGCCGGTCTTAGCTCACTGATAAAAGTACAAACTAGTTTCTGTCAAACTATTTGCAGCAGGATAACTCCTTGTCAACTTGTGCAGCATCGTCTGTTGCATATTAATGTCTTGCTTATTTAATCGTGTGGGCGATACTATTAGTGCGTTGTGAGAGATGCTGCACTCCTCAAAGTATGCGTCTGTTTACCGAATGTTCCCGTGTACCAGGCGTATTCGGCGGTGCATGCGCCAACTGGAAATAGCTGGATCTGGCTGCCCATTGCACCATACGGATGAGCACTGGCGGCCCGTAGTATACCCAACGGGTGGGCTACAAAGGAGGGCTCTTGGCCTGAGTACTGAAGAAGGGCATCAGCAGGCAATTGGTTCCTCTTAGCAGCATCCAATTAATTTAGACGCTGAAGAAGGTGAACAGGAGAATCCGATTACTCTAATGGACGACGGTGAGGGGGAGGAGGGGGATGAAGATCATCCTATTCTTCTATAGGTACGTATTACTTTTTACGTACATACACAAGCACCGGCACTTGTACCAGCATGCCTAGTTGTACGGGTCCTGTGTATAACGCATAAGCATGACTTGCACCTCTACGTGGTGCTTAGGACTAGTAGCAATTTATATGCTGAAACAGGCAAGTCACAGGGGACAGTTCTTCCGGCAGAAGATATAAAAAGTTTTCAGGGTGGCCTTAATGGCTTGCGATAAGAACGGAGAACGGTTTGTTAGCAATTCCGGAGAGAATTTGTGTAAACTGGAATCAGTTCCACTAATTTTAACAAGCTTGGTATTATAAAATCCAATTGAGTGAATTGGTGTGCCCGTTGGCTCAACATTGCCTTTTCCAAGTCTTGTATGTTCTCCTTATAGTGTGCACGTTGCTTTTCGGCCCTTTTCCTTGGAATCTCCTCGCTGAAATTACATGTATTGACTGTCCTCATTTTGGCCATTGGGATAACTTGGATAGACACAGTAGACTTTGAGGTGGGCAAGATCTATTGCTTATAATTAAAGTTGGGAAATGGTCTGAGCATGCTTTGTTATGATTATTCGCTCAAGGGAAGGAATGGTGCGCAGAAGAACACTGTACCAGCTGCACTCTAGTAGCCTACTTTAGGGTCTCTTTCACGATAGTAACAACAATCAACTATTTCGACTACCATGGTAGAGGCGCTCTCTCCTATCTAAAGAAATGGAAACTATTCAGGGGCGACGCTGAGCGCTCGCCAAGGTGCTAGGAGTTATTGGATCCCGAATCCCGATATTTATTATAATTGGACTCTCACTCACATAAAATTTTACATTGAGGGAGTGATATACTTTCTAATTGTGCACAGAAACGAGTTTATAGTAGATACTGGTCCAATGAGGTTTTTCTTATCTGGCTCCTTATAGCGTGAGTCAAACTTCTAAAAAGACAACTAAATATATTGTGTATGGCAGAATATTCAGTGTTTTCTTCCTGAGGCCATTCGATGGTAACTATGCCCCTGTGGCTACGTTCGCAGAACTTGGGAACGATTTTTTCGATTAAGCTTTTGTAATAAACCCTGCTATCGTGATAACCTTTCAAGCTTAATCGTCACCCCGATCTTAGTAAAATGCCGCGCAGTACCTAATATAAGAGAGGCTAATAACAATGCCACGGACCTAACTTTTCGCCCCATCTGCCAGAGCAATATGCACCGTATTAAACTGCCATAAGTATGGAAATGCCGCTCTCGTAATTAGCAAAGTAAGAAATAGAGAGATTCACACAGCTTATTAATAAGAGCTGGCAGAATAGATGTATCTCCTGTAAAATCTGTCGAAATTCTTTGAGACGCAAAAAAACATCACATGTCGTGTCGCTAAATGAAGCACTAGACCCGAATAACGCTGGCATTGCTAGGGTCTCCTAGCTCGTCTCGGAAGACGAGCCGTATTAGCTGAGTGATATCTCCGGCTTGGGGTTTGTGGAGAGGGAATTCACGATTCCTGTGCAATAACTTGTAGAGGCATATATCACACTATTCCTTTAGCTCGTATTGAACGGCAAAATGGTTGAGATGGACATGGGCAAGTAGAGTCTCACTGTGGTCCCATTTATAGGAATAGTGATATTTGCCTCCATTAGACGGAAGAGAGGGCTGCGGATCTATTCCCCTTACAATATAATCTGAAAGCTGTTGGACAGATTGCAAACTTTTAAACATATTTCCCTTTAAATGGACACCATTGTCAGATTCAGTAAACCGTGGGCTCCTTTCATTGAAGCACGGAAGGGCAAAGTCGCGTGGTGAGGGGACGGAATAATCCCCATGTAGAGATATTCACAGACATAGGCAAAGATGTCCTCAACGGACTCTTGATCCATATCGCTTTCTCAGCCGAGTCGTTATTGGTGCATTCCGCGTTCTGGTTATAGCCTCGGAAAGCCCGGCGAGTTTCAACAGTCCAGAGTGGAGGGACCGAAGATCACCAGCCAGCCACTGGACATGGTAAGGTAATCTTGGCCCAGTAGTTCCGCTATGTCCGTTGGATGCATAGGACATGAGATGAAGCAATTAAAAGCAGTGAAGCGGAGCAATATAAAGAAAAATACATGATTGCAAAGGGTGTAAATTCTACAGGTATTTCACGGAATCTAAGACATAATCTTTATCTGTGGGTTGATAGCTAAAATAGGGGACAAAAGGTATCAATAAAATTCCACTGGGCTAAAAATGAGGCCCGTTAGCGCAGATCGGTATTCGATGTACTGGTCGACGAAGTGTTGGCACAGAGTGATAGCCTCCTAGATATTTATAGGAAGCTCTGGTTCCTCGGTGGCTCGATCACGATCATGGGTAGACCATATCACCAGTTACCGTGTTAAGACCTACGTTGTATCCTCTTGATGAGCTCGTTCATTGGGCCCGATGAACGCAGTTTGATTTACTGGATATCCTCGTATAGCAGAGAACATGGCGTATCGTCAGGTAATTGCACAGTATTCAAGCCAATTACTGACCCTCTCACTGACGTCCATCCATCCTGAAGATGGCGATGTGATTAACCTTGTCGATAGCCTCTCCGTAAGGAATTGTCGGCAAGGAGTGTTTTGGAGGAAATACAGCGATGAAACGGAGAATACTAATACCCGAAAACGGAGAAGAATCCTCCTAAGATTCTCACATACGAGCCTGCCATCCGATAAAGAGCTGTTCTTATTGCTAGAACCATTGTTTCGACGCGACTGTTGTCCGAAGCTTCCTCTCGTTATGCAGAACCACAAATCTCATTAATTCGCAGGCTGTCTGGAGAAAGTGCTTGGACAGATTAAGAGAGACAGATATGCTCTGATATCTAAGTTGACTGATAATTTATGTTAGGTCGTTGGTGTAGATAATAGAAAATAGAGAGTAGGGCTCAGACAGGCGATATTGTATGATAAGGATGTAAAATAGATACTGGTCAAGGCATATCTAATAGTTAGTTGTAGTAGTGAAGTTCATCCATCAGTGATGGGGAGCAGTGATAAATGACAATCCTCAAACCATTCTATTACGTTTCCAGATATCCTACGCGGTTAATGGGGGTATCTTCGCTAATGCAGAAGACGCTAAAAGCCACCAACAGGTATACCCTATTTATTGAATGATTTATATCTTTCATTCATCACCATTAATTCCTATTCCAAGGCTCTTATCATTCGCTGATCTTTGACTCTATTCTGTCGACTCTATTCTGTCGCCTTTTGATGAAGCAAACACAATCACGAGTCCTGCCTTTATTCATTGACTTAAATACAGCGCAGTTGAATAAACTTCTTCCTACTTCTTCATCTATCCCCTCCCTGGTCAGAAAACTGGAATCTATCATATTTATGCGCATTCTGTCATTTTAAGCCCACTGGCTCCTCTAAGTTGATTCTATTATTCTTTTCCCTTTCATCGTTATTCAACATATCCCGTTTCTTCGCTTGTAAAAATCTCCCGCCTCCTTCATCCTCTCTTTCTTCCATAAGCCAAGTCTAATATCCCTCCCCGCTTGAAGCTATCAACTATGTCAATATCTCATCACAAGCGTTGTCGAACTATTCCTAGAATGAACTCCACAGACACCAACCTTACAGGTGTGCGCCTCGCACCACGCAACTGAGAACCAAAGTCAATTCATAAATGCCTCCTACGAGAAGGAGGCGTATTTAGCCATCATCTTATTATTCCTGTCAGCAATCTAATGGATTTTATTAGATAAATGCGGGCGCTGCTGATTTCGTGCGACGAAATACTCCTTACACTTCACAAGAAATCGATCTCCTAATTTGCACCTATAACTGTACTAAAGATGTCTTCACGATGACTTTGACCTTTTACGTCCTTGCCGACATTTGTATATTCTACATCGTCGAGATGCCCCATTACCCACATATGTCATGTTGCTTTCATAGTTGCCAATATTTCAGAGATGTACATATATTGACTACCAAGACCTTCTTCAGTCTTGAAAAGTTTTCCTTCTTGCAAGGAAGTTTTATGCGACAGCTTGAGGATCAATGGGGTGCAGCAAACAATGTCACATAAATGTTTAGATAGTATGAGGTTCAACAACGTAATAGGCTGTAGTATACCTCGTCTTCTCCTAACTAGTGAACCTCTCATGGCAAAAGCTAGCAGCAAAGAATAAGAGGCGAGGGAAGGTCTTACGAGCCATAATACTGAATGAAACAACTGGTTGTCTTCCAGGCGCAAGCACAGTTTAAACTCCTCAATTCGCACTTCGTATGGGATCCTCTCAGGACGATCTCTCACTCTCCTCCTGCGGAATGTCAAATGTCTCAAGAGGGGATTTGGAACAGTGAAACGTCCAACGGTCAAGTCGCCTGCCTAGTCACCTAGTGACCCCAGTCTTTTCGATGAGAAGACATGCCGTGGCTTGTTACTCGCCAGCTGCACGCCCACATGGTAGAACAGTCTGCTAGGTAGAGCACTGCTACCTTGATGAAATACTGAAACTGGACTATCCGCAACGCACGTTGCGCTTCCACAACAGGACCGGGTAACGGTACTTAAGTCATCTAGACTCTTGAGAAGGTGCCCACCCCAATCTACTGAGCAACTGAGTTCCAGTCGGGTGTGGGTGCAGCCAACAAGTCGAGGTTTATGTGACTTCCTTCAGAAATCTCCCCTCGGATTCAAATAGCAACCAAAAGGAGAGCTTTAATTTCATCTGCTAATGTTCTTTATACGAAGCACAGTTTAAAATATTCTTTAAATCATCTCTATAACGCCTACTACTGCCAACCAGTCTATCATGATGGAAATTGATACGGCGTCATGGACCGCGGCACGGAAGACCACGCCTACCCAGGAGCCCACGGAATCATTTCAAACAGTGTACAGCGACGAAGTTGTTGGCCGCCGCTCCTTCAGATACAATGCCTGTCGAAGAGCGCACGGCGATGGAAGAGGTGCAGACGTTGTCCACTGCTGTTTCGCCGGATACCAGCCCTGTTGACGAGTATACTGTGACGGAAGAAGTTCAGAAGGTGCCCGCCGCTGCGGAAAGGGCAGCTGCGGATAGGTTTGAAGACTGATCCGTTGAATGGGGGAATTTTTAAGTGTAAATCCCGAATCCGTTGCGCTTTCTTGTTCATACATTTCTTCCACAGATCACGTTTACTACCGTCTGGTCAATGTCTGCCATTCTCTACTATGCCATTGCTTCTACAGATCCGACGGACTGCGTGACGTGTATTGGAGATCAAATTCAATTTATTTTGTTTTAGTTTAAAGTTAGCGTGGGCACTTGGCGCCCAATTGGTCTTGTGGCGACCATCTACTGCACGCTCCGTACTCAACATGCTCGTAGTGCCTAGCACGGCATTTAAACCATACGGCGTGTGTATCCCCACGGTTAACAAAATTACTACTCCGTAGATTATCCTTCTTGCATAGGTAGTCCCTAGTCTAATAGCCTTCCACGCAGTTGTGTGCAGGCAGTTGGGTTGGAATGCATCCTATGTAGCCATAGTATTGACAATTATAGCATTAACACAAACATGCAGCGAAGCCATACGGAACTAATTATAGCACCGTGGAGTCCATGAACGTATGCAAATAAATTGCAGTATATGCGAATCCATAATTGCAGAGCGTTTCTTGCCTATTCATCTCCATTTTCACCTCCTTTTTCTATACTTGTTTAAGTACTTATATTATTATTTTTATTTTATATGTTTACTGTAAGAGGGGCTGGTCTATCCCTTATAAGTTTACATAACTGAGAATTAAGTTATCTTAAGTATCTGGTCAGAGCTAACATTAGAGAGCAGCTAGTGGGTTGGCCATGCCAACTCCTAAGGAAGTTCATATATATCCACTGCAAAATATCTGAATTGAACAGATTGCCCTGTGTTGCAGTACACTCCTAAACTGAACCCTTCTTTATCAACAACTGGCCCCCCATTGCTTAGCAAATAGAGCCAGAACTGGTGGAATGACCTTGAGACATCCTGACCAAAGTCGGGAGTGATCTGGACATGTGGTGTTTGATCAAACGGTTTCTTGAAAGTAAACCGCGTGGGTCTTCCGTCGTGATACCGAGTAATACGCCCCATGCCTGATTCAACGTTTGAGACCACGCCATGCTCAGCACCCCAGACTTAACCTGAACTTTTGTAAGACAAGTATTAACGAAACAAACGCTACGCACCTTGAGCGCTCATATTTTAGCAAGCTTCAAACTTAATAGGTCCTTAGTCCCGGGAAGGCAGAAGGATATAATAATTACTGAATTTGCAAATTAGCCAAGGATCCACGTGTCAAAATATTTGCAGCTCACATAAGTATGCTTTGTAGATGAATTACCTGGGCAGTATCGTACAGCTGACTAATTCTGATTGTTAATGTACGAAATATAGGGCGACTTAACTGAACGTCTGGGTAGGAAGCCTAGTTATATATGCTAGGCTTTACTGTTCTACGGTGTCCATATATGGGTGCGCTAATCCGGAATATGACGACATGGGCTGTTATTTATCAGCCTGACAACGTAATTAGGTAGCTCCCTGGATTTCATGGATACTGATTTCTTATAGTCAGTAGTGAGGTCATTCTGTTGCATTTGAACGGGCTGCTTGGCAAGTGAAGAGGTCATTAGTACATACGTGTTAACGTTAGCGTTGGTCCTGGCCTATTTGTGTTGAGACTCCGGGTAAGTTTAGGGCTTACACATTTTTGCGCGAGACTGTTTTAATTGAGTTTGAGGGACCAGGCCCTTAATGCCCAGTCATGATTTAAACCTTCTTCTTGCTTCATTTTCCATATATTTGTACCTTGGTCCAGGGTAGCATCTACCCCTCTCATTTGTAATACAATAGTTGTCAATAACAATTCAATCTTCCTCTAAAGTAGAACACTATTAATTAACTTGCTAAAGAGTATAAGATAGTGCTGTAATTCAGAGGAAGCTTGTTTGTTATTCATATTCTTATCTATAGACTTAGGGTTTTATATACAAGCTAGACATCAGATTGATCGAAAATCAATTTGATATTAAATATATTCCGTATATGAAGCTCCATCGTTTGCTTGATCGAGCCTCAATTTACAACAGAGAGTTATAGAGAATGTATTGCTTGCAAATTATAAACAGCAAATACGCGCACACAGCACTTATATTAAGCAAGAATATAATAATAAGTATTTGATAGTCCTAGGTGGGATTCTAGCTGCAGAGAGGGGCTAAAGACATAGCTAGGAGGCTATTAAATTAGATATTACAGTGGAGATACGTGCAAAAGTATATACCTCTGCGGTGTACGTTCAAGCGGTGGATTCTGCAGCGACGGGGTCACGAAACAGGCGCCGGAAGTGGCGGCCGTTGCCAGAAGAACATTCACACCAGTGTACGAGGGTCCAGGTCACCTACGACCACCGAGAAGATAAATCAATCGTACGGAATCGCGGCGACTAGCGTGAAGGGAGGGATCCTGGGCCGGTGAACACGGGAGGTGCCCAGAAAGCCGTGTAGAGGGAGTACTACGTACGGTGAGGCAAGAGGTGCCGTCAGGGTTTGCGTAGTGCTCACTTGGTGATGACGTTTGCAGTGGTGACTATTATTTTAGCGTGTTGAAATGACCTAGTTGTCGATATCGGTAATGGCTGGTTCCCTCGATCCCATATGCTCAAAATCCTACCCAGCAATTAAGCTCAACCAGTAAATATTCCACTTTGGGCACTAATCTGGGAAGGAAATTAATTTGTTTGTAGTCTAGCGCGTCGCTACTCTGCCTCGTTCTTCTCAGACCAACCTTGTATCTTTGTAGGTTTGAGGTTAGTTTGACATCAGGATCAAATGCGGTAGACGCAACCCCCCGGCTGTGGCCGGGGAGATAGCCTACCAACTGAATAACTGACCTGTCAATCGACCTACGCCTTGTTTTTTTTTTTTTGTGCCAACTATCTGTATACCAACCATCTCTATACAGTATAGATAAGCTTAGAAATTCTCAGTTTCACATAGTTTTCTATGAGACTATATAATTTTGACTATATGGAGTATATTATCCATCCGTAAGCCCTCTAGCGAAAGAAGGTCTAATAAGTAGCCATAGACGTGGGTTTCTCTAGCTGTGACAGATAATGCATGTGGGCAGAGATTGTAGGAAATACTGACATGGACACAAGTATGTAATCCCTTTAGTGGACGAGTGGGAGTTTAGATATGGAAATGAATTAAATGTTTACCCATAAATAGTGCTAAAGGAGCAACGTGAGTATAATAGAGCATTAGCACCTAGGCATTAGTAAAAAGTGACGCAGGCCGTGAACAACTGGAAGAGAAGTGGAGCCCTGCGTATTGTTGCGGTCATCCAGCGGAAACGAATGGCTCGCTAAGGGCCGCAGCAAGTGGGACCAACATTCTGTGGATGCTATTAAGGGAGCTCCAACTAATTAAGTACGTAGATGGTGCATTTTTCAAGAGAAGTTCAGTGAGGCATTCGGGGGAGTGTATGACTAGTCCTTGCATAACGCTAACTTTACCTATGTACTAATTACTCAAGATTTTTAGGCAATGAACCTTCTTGGCCTTCTTAGAGACTAATGGAATGTTAAGCATGAAACTGGGCCAGGTCTTCTACGTAATATAGGATAAAAATATGTTTCACGTCATATAGTTGTCACCGATATGATATCACGTAGGATTAATGAGGCCAAGGAGTTTTGGACGTTCCTATATCTAGTTGGTTATGTCTTCCCTCTGTCTTCAAGTGAGTTTTAGCTAGAGCACTCCAGCATCCTGTTTCTCAATATCTTCCCAACATCATTTACCTGCAAGCCCAGCAGACCCAACATGTATTTTTTCAAGGCCTTGACGCTTCTGATCCTTCCCTCTGCCATGGCGGTGGCTCAGACTATTGTATGAGTTTTCAATATATTCACGAGCAAATGCTGTTGGAGAAAGACCTAATTAAAACCAGGGATTCGGCTGTCACGATGAAAACTGTCGCGAAATTATCCAGCCCTTCAGAAATGGGCAATGCTTTAACACCAATGTTGTACGGTATGGACAGACGTTCTACTTTATTATCCCCATACCGGTATTTTACTAACGTACGCATGCTAGATCTCTCTATCTCCATAAGGGCAGTACCTGCGTTTTCTATAAGTATGAAGGTGACTGCTGGGGCCCTTCAACCCCCAATACATTAGGAAAAGGATGCCACCCCTTGCGTGACCCGGAAAGACCTAGATCCATCAAATGTTACGCGGAGTAAGATTCTCATGGGTTTCAATATGCTATCTGAATAGAACAGTCACAATACTCGTGGATCATAATTGTCTCGATACGAAATCCTCAGGAGTATATGTGCGGAAAGCCAAAAAAAAAAATCCTTTTAGCTTTAATGGTGTTTTCATGATCTCTTTATGTTTTACACTTGTTACTGCAAGATATGCCTTGGTATAGGTTTTCCCTATCAGTCGTAGGTTTTCCTATGCTGTAATGCAAATGCAGAGGTTATAGTTAAAAGTTATTATTTTATTTTCAGTTGTATGTCTCTGTAGCTTCCAATATATGAAACTATGGCTGACATTACGTAGCCACCACTGTATCTAGTTGTATGGCCTGACATGCTTATATGCAGAGTAGCAAGAACCTTTTAGAAGTTTAACCTTGAATAATATATGGTTAGTAAATGGATGTCTCAATGACGATTCACAAATACAGTGCAAGAATCAGGCTTGCCTGTTATTACATGCGAACTACAGATCGATTTCCTCCAAGTGCCAACACGAAAAAACAGAGGACTGGACAAATAAGTACAGTCGGCTATAACAACAAGATTACGCAAAAAAAAAAAAAAAAAGAATCTGCCTCAGTATATGATTCCGATAAAATACTCCCGTCTAAAATTTCTACACGTTGTTTGAGCTATTTAGTTATGTCGCTAACAAAACGCCGTGCTATGTTTTTGATAAAGAAGTCTGAGCGTTAACTACTATTGTAGACCTACTCAGGATCGAGACCGTTTTCTAGAGCCACATTGCATACTTTTTAAGAGTTCCTTTAAGAATATCATCGGTAATATTCGCCTCCTGCCACTTACCATAAGTCTTGACTGCCTCGTCTCGAAGGCCAGGAAACTTAAGGCAATTAGGACTATAGCTATTAGAAGGCAACGGCATGGCTACTACTATAATTACTTCTATTGAAGTATAAAAAGACTGTGTAGTTAAAGGATTAATATTTATAGGGAGGGATTGTTAGTTGTTAAAGGATTACTATCTCGCCATTTCTACTTTACGAGCCTTACCTGCTCCTTAGCATAGATTCCTTCATAAATTATATTATAAACATCATCATAAGACTTAAGTGCACCACCCCCATTCATATATTTAACAAGGCTCATTAGATAATACAATGTAAGTTTATAGTATTTTTTTTTTTTTTTCTTTAAAAATCCTTCCACCAGAACTCCCCTACACTATATAAAGGCAAGGAACAACACATATATATCCCTCCACGCTGAATGTCAGCCAGATATACATTCAGTATCAAAGTGAGTCTCTTGGTCGGCAAGTATTCTCTAAGTCACTAATATAGCACCTCGTTTTTCTTCTAGATAGAGATAAGTGGCTGTCCCTAATATAGTTTAAGAAAATATTTGACCTGGATTCTATGGACAGCATGAATAACGATTGGGAACAAATTGCTCCTTACCACCTACAAAATCTCAATTCATTAAGGCTTGGTTATCACATCTTCTTCATCGGGCTATAAAGCACGGCCTCTATCTTAATGAGAAGCTAACTTTAACGCGCCTTTTAAAATTTCCATTATATGCCACCAAACTTCCGCAGCGAAGCCACTGGATTATATCAATTTTGCTCTATGCTTGGTATGTGAAGGATACCTAGACAACTTTATGTATTATAGCTAACCACTACGGGACCATGTCGCTCATCACCGAAAATATGCTCATAAAGCTTTGAGAAGGAGCCCAGGCGAAATCTTCCGATGAATAGGCCGCAGTTAAACTTTGGACGAAGAATTAGGTTGTTACCCAGAAAACTCCAAAGGGATGTGGCCGTTCGACGAAGCCGTAGGAATTTTGAACATACTTGAGAATGCAGTAGTGATTAGCCCAGCGTTTATAACATGCCTCTCCGCAACTCACCGAATTTCGCGCATAGTATATGTTCCATTCAGGTGGATTGGTTCAATGATGTTTCTCTAGAGCATTATTATGTGGATTAATGATGCAATCCAGTCGAGTATCAATCACGGTGACAGGAATAACAATAAAGTGTATTAAATGCCACAATAGACTACAGCTCATTCTTCCATTATCCTAAAAAATGATATTCGCTTTTCTTTGATGCGCCGTCTACCTTTCTGAGTTGTATCATCATCTCGAGGCTCCCATCTTTCCTGGTCGTTGCATTAAAGAGCTGAAGTAGTTCCAAAGCTGGAAGTTGCACGATGTTTGTGCTCATTATCTGAGTATACCAAAGAAATAGAACTCAGCAACGAGACAAGTTTATTAGCATTTAACTAAATGTATGTTCGTGATAAGGGAGCGCTCCCTAATATATTATCCGCTACTTTACCCGAGTCCTGGTCAAAGGAGGCTGCTCCGTAGTATTGCGGTCTATTATGGCTCGCCGCTTTCCCGTAACAACGCCATACTTTAATATTTAATCTTCTAAATCAGCCTTTGATATACCGGCAATCCTTCTCCGGATTACCTGGTTTTTCCCTTGCCCCACCAGAAGAAGGCGTTTTTTAAGCACTCAGTCGCCCATATCGTCAATCTTTGGGGATAGTATTTTATCCTCCCCAAGAATGAGAAAGTAGTAATTTCGGGCAGGATCGTTGATAGTTAGTCGCATCACCAGTTGTTCTTCGGTATAGAACTTGTAGTATTGTCTCGAATTGAAAAGAAAGAAGACAACATGATTAAGAGTCCCTGATCGATAACATACAGGGAACATTTTACCGATTGCGCCGTAATAGACGGCAATTAGGGTTCTTTTATTTAGACACTTGGGCCTTGTAAATCTCATCTTTAAAACTAGCTGCCATTGGAACAGATTCAACATCATGCATCTCGCGGCCGTGTAAACCTAAAGGGTACGGCTGGAGCCAGATCGAAGGAGTGGGCGGCCGGGAAGACAGTCGAGAAGGATTCTTTTCTCCCTCCACAGCTGAACGGACCTTTGAGATGTTGTCTTGTTATCTAAGTGTGCCCAACATAGTTCTCTCCGCCTAGGAAACTGAAACCCTGGCGATGAAGGAGGGATCTGTTCAATCACTTGCTGCAACCCTGGAGATCCAGGTAGATTCTGCTTATCAGCAGGGTTGAAAAGGGGCTCTCTACTGAAAAAGGAGAACACATCGCGCATCACTGCGAATGAGCTGGGATAGAGCAAGCCATTTTGATCTGAGCCATAGATTTGTTGGAGGAAGAAATAGGCACGATCCCTAACATACTCTTGCCTGAGTGGTGGTCCTGCGCGATAACTGGGTTTCAGGGTATCTGGATCTACCGACAACACCAGAGACCTTCGAGACTGATTGCTCGCAGGCCCACTGAAGATTTCTTGAAATCTCTTCGCTATATAAGCGGTCTTTGAAGCGCTGTTAATCTTAATTTCTTTTCCAGAACCCTCGAAGAGGGTCTCAAGCACGCAGCGAAGTGCAGGTACGACCGAGTTACCATCGATGGGCTTGCCCTCCAGAATACGAAAACCCACCTTGTTCGCTGCTTTCGCAAGTTCTGGTTCCCCACGCAGGCTGAATAAAGGCTGGACGCTTTTTCGGGACTTTTGTGGGCCAATCCGAGGGCCAACGAAGAGCCGAAAAGCCATCAACCAGAGCTGCGAAAAGCTGGACCATGCGATTGCCCCCTCTACCTCCTGTGGCGGGAGTTTGGCATTCGTAGGATCTCCTGGTGCTCAGTTTCAGACACCTGGACAACCTGATTATCGATGCGGCCATCCCAGCACCTGAAAATAGTGTCAAAACCAGACAGTTTTCACGCTACGACGGAAAAGTTTCTGTAGGCTTTCGACGGACCGGCGAAGTACCTGGCATCCTCAAAGAACTCGTGACGCGGGCTGTCGCACACTGTGTTCCTGAAACCAAAACCAAACGAGAAAATGGTGGAAAGTTACATAGAAATTCTAAAAGTAATCAGAAGGAGGTGCGAGGAAAACTGAGAAGTCGCAATAGGTAACGGGACCTATTAGCGGACCCATTATGTCTTAATACTCGTTGGATATAAAGAAGCCTTGAGAGAGGGGATCTAACTGAGCAAGAATATTTCGCTGTGGCAGGGTTTAGTGAGTGCTGGCCGATCCGAAATCGTGCCAGTCTCTTATCAGCGCTGACACCGCAGCTGTCTGAATCTCTGCTTGACTGGGGTGAAGAGCACTAGAACTATTTTGTGGTAGTAGCCGGCGAGGGGTACGAAGCTAGTGTCAGTGGTTACATAGGAGGCGGGAGCGCTTCTTAGGGTGGTTAAAGGGCTCAGGAGAGTTTTGAAGGTAATTAAATAAATTTAGGGGATAAAGCCCGATAAAGCTCGATACAGGTTAGCGGCCGACGTAGTATGATGCATCCGGCTCTCGGGACGTTGCAGGGCTTTGAATAATGTTGTGGAATTCAGGGGAAGTGATGCGAAGGGAGCTTTTCTATCAGCTACAGGCCAACTTCCAGCCTAAATAGGAAGTAGATGTCATTCAGTGGAAACACTACGAATCGCTGAATCTCAACCAACTGAGCCTTCTAAGCGGTTCCCTATATTCTCATTGAGGTGTTCAACTAAGGATTCAGGGGTTGAATCGATCGTCGGATACTCCGCACTGCCAAGTCGGGCGGACTATAGTGTTTCCGTAACAAACAAGTATTAAAAATAGTTAAAATTGGGTAGTACAGCACCCTTAACCTCTGAGAACTAAGTAGCTAGGGAGGATTGAAATTATTAGTGGGAGCAGGTAGAGTATATAACAATACTACTGTAAAAAGGCTCTACCTTATTGCAGAGTGATATTCAGAGCAGCGGCGGGTATACCTCGCGGTATATACTTAAAGTGTATTGGTGCATCAGAGCAATAGGGTTTGCGAAGTGGAGAGACATAGTGGGTGGCCAAGTAATAGACTAACCAATAGAAGACAACGGAAAGCCGGAAAGCCGTATGAACGAGCGGAAGCCAATAGTAAAACGAAAAAGTGCAATAAGTAAGAGGATACAAAATGGTACACTAAACCCAAAATAGAATCAATGATGAATAAATCAATACCAAACCAAAAGTGGCTAGCAAATCGGAATGATGCCAGTAAAGCAACAAATAAGAGCGAGGCTTGGCACACACTTGGCAGTGAACCAGGAAGAGCAGATGTAAGAGATAATGAGAAGGTTCCAAGGTTGACATGGTTTTTATAACGTTATATGTCAGTGGCTGGAGATGAATTGATCCCATATTAAATGCGTTATATCTGGGCATCGCAAACTGAACTGGATTTTGCGGCCCGAGTCGCTTTATCCTTATGATACACACCTTTTATGGCATCTGTTAAATGATGTGAGATTTCTTAAAATACTACTGCGTCTAACTATCATGACATTACGAAACGTTGTTTTCGGCAGGTAGGGATCAGGCAACATTTGATTTCCTGTCTGAATTTGGGCACTCGGTTATATCCCTGCCTATAAACAATTAGATCATTTCCACTTGCGGATAAAATGAGAGGCAACGTACCTTTCGATAGGCCTAGATTTATGTAATATCATAGACTTTCTCGATCCGGGAACTACATTCTTCTGGTTTATACTTCAAGCTCACTCCTTGTCCCCATCTCATTCAAATGCACAATTCGTAAAACACCTCAGCTACAGCTACAAAGTCTACTGTTCGCAACTTGTTGCATATTATAATCCTTCGGAGGTGATACATATCTTTGTCCCATGCATGGCAGCACTATGGTATTGTCCCTAACATTCAAACCGTGGGAAAGGCTCTTGGTCGAGAATACACTCAGCTCTCTGCCCTCTTGATTCATGACCGTGTCATTAAAGGGCTAAAGGAGGACAGCGGAATATTGCTTCACTCACAAACCTAGCAGGCTCAGCCACTAACATGCCTGGTAGCACTCCCTACTCCGCGTCACATTTAAAAAAAAAAAAAAAAAAAAAAAAAAATAACGTGGTGGAGAATGTTCGCAGTATAGGTAAAGGCCTTGGGGAACAACTTCAAGCGCAGGGAGTGTTTTAGTCGGTGGAGATCGTAAAGGATAAAGCGACTAAGATTTTACTCATCGGGCTGAGTATAAATCTATGTGCAAGGACTAGAAAAGTGCTATGACATTTGCATCTTCAGTGCTATTGGGACTGCCAATGGTTGGAGTGGCGACAAAGTCCTTCTCGCACCACCGTACATCGTTCAAAAGGAGGATGTGGATGAAATTGCGAAGTGTGTGTCAAGGTGATGGACAGTGCATGGAAGAAGATCGAGCCTGTTGTAAGAGGCCGCCTTAGTTGGTGACATGGTAGTAATACCAAGATATCTCAAGGCATTACAACATGCAAAAGTTAAGATCTTTTTTAAAGCATTCTTTATTCTCCGGTTTGATTCATTTTGCCATGCCTAGTTCCCATAACCCAAAACACATCTAGCCATGGCCACGGGCTGCGCTTTGGCCTACGCTCTAGATTATAAGTGGTAGCATATGTCAAGGTCGACTTGGTCTTCTGCAGACACTTTTTTTCTCCTTTTGATCGTTTCAGGACCACAGCGTCACCAGTGCCCTGAAACGAACGAAGTGAGAGGAAGAGAGGGGGCTTCGGCAGTACAGCGCCACGTGAGCCGCCCGCGAAATGTGCAGGGAAAATTGACCTATGAACGCCATTGTAGTGTGCCTCACCTTGGAACGGTTTAAAGGCAATCTGGATTTAGGTTATCTGCTGGTGGCGACGGAGCCGGCATCGGAGACGGGGGTGGTCGGAGAAGTGCCCCTATCGCCACTCCAGAACAGCAGGCTATTTGAGCATATGCTACTTCACTACCTTATCCGCCATTTGACTTCTTTGCACCTTCTCGATCGTTTCTTTACTTCCACATTTTGAATACTCTTGATCTAATGTTAGAGGGAGTATACTGCTCACGATGTCACGTACCTACCCTTCAGATGATCCAACAACCCCATTGCTGCAATCGGCAAGGGCGCCGAGAGAAGCTACATATAAGATACCAGAATCCTCGAGATATGTTGACGGTGAACTGGGTGAATCAGAGCTGGTCTTAGAAAAGTGGAATAAGCCTGATGTCAATAAATGGCGGGTTCTTGCAACCTTCTTCAGCTTCATCGTTGTTGGCGCAAATGATGGAACGTATGGTGTATGTTTCCCGGAAGATCCCAACGCTGTTTAGAAGCCTGCTAATACGTCCACCTTCCAGGCATTAGTCCCTTATGTATGTGAGCCCCTATAAAAGTCTGCCTCGATCTAGCATCTGGCAAAAACTAACTTACCGGTAAGCTTTGTAATTACTACGAACTAGACTATGCCACGGTATCCATAGTCTTTCTTTCCCCTTGTCTCGGGTATGCTATTGCTGCTCTAGTGAGCAATTGGGTACATGCACGCTTTGGACAGCGGGGCGTTGCATTTCTGGGATCTGGGTTTCATATAATTGCCTATGCCTCCTCTGCACAGCATCCGCCCTACCCCGTGCTTATCCTTATCTTTGTATTGGCTGGACTAGGTAATGGCCTTCTTGATGCGGCATGGAATGCTTGGATTGGAGCTATGGCAAACAGCAGCAGATTGATGGGTATCCTACATGGCTTCTATGGCCTTGGTGCGGCATTGGCACCGTTGATTGCTACGTCTCTGATCACCACTCGCGGATGGCACTGGTATCAGTACTACTATCTCATGGCGGGTGGCGCAACAATTGAGATCTTAACGCTAGTTACTGCATTCTGGTCGGCGCGAGGTAGGTTGGTCAAGGAAGAGTACCAAGGCAACATTCACGGAGCTCACACCAAGAGCTCTTGGAAGGAAACATTGTTCAACAGCCTCACTATACAATCCTTGGCATATCCCACCACATGGATAATATATTTATTCATTTTCATCTATGCCGGGGTCGAAACCACTGTTGGAGGTTGGATTTTTACGTTCCTCGTCCGCCAACGAGGCATGCCCGAATTCACAGCCGGTATTGCAACATTTATTTACTGGGGAGGGCTCACTCTGGGCCGTGTTCTCCTCGGATTCGTGACCTCATATCTTCAAATTAACAAATATACGGTGGCTACATCCGTTTTAATATGCTTAGCTGCCCATATTCTGTTCTGTTTGGTGGAGGAGATCAACATGTCCGTCATTGCAACTGCTCTCTTAGGATTTTTCCTCGGTCCGTTGTTGCCTGAGGCAGTCATTGCTTTGGCCAACCTTTTACCAAAGCATTTGCATATTGCAGGTATTGGAATTGCCGTTGCTCTAGGAAGTGCTGGTGGGTGTGTGTTCCCATTCCTAACAGGGGCCGTTGCAGATGCTGTAGGTATCCAAATCTTCCAGCCAGTGATTCTACTGATGCTCTCCCTTTGCTTATTATGTTGGATTGTCTATATATTAATGTCACGGCGGGAAACAGTCTGGTGAGCTTTACCGGATATGTTATGTACTGTGCCATTTATCTATGCTTTGGGAGTTATTGACGGCTGTGTTCTTTTTAAGGGGGTCTGCACATATGATATTTTAGTACAGAAGGGCTCTTGTTCCTGTTTAGATTAAGCTACTTTAGACACTCATCTGCATTCTTCATGGAATCATGACAGCAACGCCTACATCAGCACGTAAAATTTTCTAGATATTTAAATATCCTCTACCTTCATCCTACACCTCTAGGTAACAAAGGCTCCGTCTCTCGGGTCTAGTACCATCAGCCAAAAATATCATTGGTACATACAAGTTATACCCATACAAGTTATACCCCAGCCGCTGAACCAGCGTGGAATGTCTTTACCTCCTTAATAAGATAGGATTTATCTGTTCTGCGATACGTTAGCATCTGATATCATCCACCACAGTGACAGGTATCGATCGGTCAGACTATTTGGCTCCCTGTAATAGTAAACATCCTACCCCTACTTTACACTACCTAGCTTAGGAACGTCTCTCTGGTCTTAATCTCCACATCGATAACTGTCAGATATACCACTACACCATAAAAAGTAGTGCTGTTTCAATCTATATAATAATGGTATATCTGCCTATTCTGGCAATAACTCCGCTATCCCCAGGTCCGAAATATGGCGTATCATCACCCCAGATATGAATACCTGGAATCACACGAGAGGCGCCCATCGTAGTATCGCGGCAGGGAAGGACATACTCTTGTCCTTGAACTCTAAATACATCCTCAGCGACGCAATCACCCCTCCTGATACTTCCAAATCCGTCTCCTATTCCGCAAGCCTCTCAATTATTTCCAGTGACGCTAGATGCGCCAATACAAGAGAAACTAATTGGTTTGCCCAGGCGAAGATATCGGCATCGGCCATTTGGCTAAATACTTATCCATATTTATTATATGCGTGAGGATATGCTGATCCACCCCATCATCTATTCTTGTCTTCCCTTTATTCTGCTTTATATCCGCCCTTCAAATACCGGGTCAATTTGACTATTATAACGAGCAATATAATGCTCAAGCAGAGGCTGAAACTGAGCCAGATTCACCTGGTCGAATACTTCTGGATTCATTAAACACCTCATCAGCCTCAGGGGGTAGGGATGCGCCTGAAAGTGTTGAAGACGTACGAAAACGTCGACCTAGAAAGGAGGTGGATTAAGATGTTACATACTAGGTTCTATCAACATCGTGTAAACCATATGCCAGGTACGGTGATGGGCAAGGATAGGCAGCTACATACGGCCGTAACCAGACCTCGCCAGGAACCGCGAGTGAGCCTCCACCCTCAGGTCCTTACGTCTTACTTTAAAAGTAATTGCAAAGAATTAAAATAATTAAATATATAATACAAAATAAAAATCTTTCGTAGATGATTTAGTGATGAGTTTTGCGGATATTGTCCGTACTGTACCGACCCTGTGAAGAACGAATTTTTTTCCCTCCTTGCTTCCCCTGTACACCCCAGCAATTTCTTGTATTTGCTCTCATTGCACCAATTAATCAAACCCTAAGCCCCAATCAAATCACAGAGGATTTGGTCCGGAGAAGCTGAAAAACTCTCAATCATCCGACACAGGTCCTCCAACAAGGAAGAAATTTGCCCTTCCGAAGCAACATGAGATCTCACGTAAACGCGCAACTGCAGGTGCTACTTCTCGGGGATCGAGATAATCCATAGCGTGTCCAACAGGTCAAATTCATTCTCGCCCCCCATTCCAGACTTCGCCGTCCCGAGTGAGAGGTTGATGTTATTGTCGATGTTCTGATGTTGATAGATGTAACCGAACTGGGTGCCCGAGGCCCACTCCGTGCTTTTTTCGACAATATCTCGAAGCTCGACAGAGTCGTAGCGAGCAGTCTGAGCCTTCTGATCGCGGACATAATAAAGGAGATCTGTTACAGACCAGTTTGGCTCCAAATTCAGTCGCATAGGATGAAATAAGGCATGGCCCTATAATCTGATCGATGTTAGCTAGTGGCAGCTGCGGGCGTTGACAGTTTGGCCGAGCACAGGGTTGGCTGTGTGGGCCTTAGACAGGGCAGCGCCACTGATGCCATGATTAAAGTCGCGTCTGTAATCTGGTGGTGGCGAGAGGGAACGATCTCGAATTTGCATGAGTATGCGTCCTGACGGATCCTCCATCGAGGCGGGCGGCAGTCATGATGGCATCAAGGTATGTTCTCCAGAAGTCGAGGCTTCTTTGTTAACCTGCTGACGGCGGTAGTACAGAATGAGGAAAAGTCGGTCTCCGGCGGGGCGGACGCAAATTTCGTTAGATCGTTATACGCAGCTTGGATCTGGTCGCATAGCAAGCGTAGACAAACCCCATCATACTGTGCATGGGAGATGCGAATGCTGAAGATATGCTGCGACTGAGGAAGGTTGGACAAAAGAGTGTATCTCAACGGCAGTCCCACCTCTGTGATGTGCCTGCCCGCACCTTGGTCATACAGAGCTTTCGTGGCAGTGGTCAGGTCCTCGACGTCCGCGGTATGATGGAATGGACATTGGATATCCCGCAGAATGACTTGAACAAGGGTATCCCGATATGAGATGAACAGCGTCCTTAGAATTTCATGCTTTGCGAATACGGAGGCACAGGCCTGCTCGAGACGACCGACGTCGATGTTACCGACGAAATAGAACGTGAAATTAGCAGAGGCCACCGTGTAAAATATGCCTGGCTCTCTGTCAATGGCAACACGTCCGCAATCCGACAGCCACGAGGGACCAGACCGATTCGCACAAGGCTTGACAGAAGAGCATTTCCGCTTTCTCCCACTTCGACCAGGGAAAATGGAGTCGCGTTAATACTGAACAGTGACGTGCTCCGAGTCCGAGCCGCCTGTTTATTTAAAGCAGAATTATCGAAGATATCTGCGACAGTCAAAGCGAGCCCCTGGGATCGGGCCATCGCAGCCAGCGTCATTGCGCTGATCAAGTCACCTCCCAGGCCGAAAAAATCGTCGTCGACTCCAATTACCTTTGCGGGCAAGGAAAGGATGCGGGCCCAAATTCCCTGCAGAATTTCTTCGGTTTTCGTCGTCACCTTGCCCATACTGCCACGGGTGACGCGGTACAGCAGGATGTCCTCTCGGGACAATCTAGAAGCCTCTTCTCGCAGCAATCGGCGATTCATTTTACCTGTTGCCGTTTTAGGCATTTCGTGGACGGGTATGAACAGAGATGGCACCATATAACGCGGGATCACCTCGTGGAGACGGGTTTCCACCACCGCAGCGCTCTCTCGGAAAGCCTTAATAGGTTTCTTAAAGAGTGGACGATCGTCTGACACAGCATCCTCGTCTCCCTCTTCGTCGTAGTTGCGATGTTCGTGGATAAATACGACCAGAGAGGCGTTTCCTACGAATGATTCAGCAACGATAACCTCTGCCGGCATCAACTCTTCCTGGCCATGAACGGTAAATCCAGGTCTCGACCTCCCCAAGCTCAATGCGTTGACCGCGTAACTTGGTCTGAGTGTCTTTGCGACCAATATAGCGGATTGTTCCATCGGCATTGTATTGCACCAGGTCTCCGGGCCGGTACAGCCGAGACTGGGTTCTGTCGCCCTGGCGAAACCTACAAAGCCATGTCGGTAGAGAAGCCCCCTTCAGGAAACTAGCCCTCGTTCTCTCCCTGTCGTTAAGGTATCCGCGACTCACAACCGCACCCTCAATGACGAGTTCCCCTATTGTTCCAACTGGCGCGAGTTGAGAAGCATTGGATGGTACGCAGACCCAACCAACTCCTCCAACCATTGAGCCGATTGTGCCAGGGATCCAGCCCACCGGTGGGATCCGGCCCACCGTGCAGGCAGTTGCTTCAGCCGGGCCATACAAATTGACCAGCATTACTTTACTGGCCCAGACCTCGACATTCTCTTGCTTGACGGCTTCACCGCTAAGAACCAGTGTCTCTAGGCAGGAAACGTCCTCTGGTCGCATGAAACTGGCTGTAGATGGGGTAAGAATGGCCTAATTTATTCGCTGGGCGACGATGAATTCAGAGAGGCCGTTCATCCGTTGACTCTCGGATAGGATGCAAAGACAACCTCCGCAGGACAGGACATTGAAGACCTCATATATGCTGATATCGAAAGCATATGCTGCGAAATGCAGGCCTCGGCTCTCGCCACTGATATTCATCCCAGAGCGATGGTCTCGGATGCTCGTGCAGAGATTACGATGCTCCAGCACCAACGCTTTGGGGGTCCCCGTGCTGCCAGAAGTGAAAAGGACAAATAAGGCACAGGAAGAAGAGTCAGACGGCAAACAAAACTTATCCTCGCGAGGTAAGCTTTGCATGAACATGTCAGTGATAAGAGTCACCGGTGTGTCCAGGTCACTAACAAGACCGTTCTGTGTTTCCGTGGCTAGGACTATCTTGGGCATTGATCTCCTGATCATCTCTTCGACTCGACCACGGGGAAGACCAGGGTCAAGCATGACACAGGCACCACCAGCCCGTAACACAGCCAGCAAAACCACGGTCGCCCATCTGGACTTTTCCAGGCAAACACCGACCAGGTCGCCTATTTCGATACCGCGTTCCATCAACAGTCGAGCCAAATTGGCAGAGACATCATCAATTTCGAGATACGAAAGCCCGCCGTCCCAGGTACTAACCGCCGGCTTATCAGGTTGGCAGCCCCGGAACTTCAGCACCATTTCATGAAGAGTGGTTTCATGCGCCGGGGGTATTGCTGCATTCCACCTGGCCAACTGCTTCCAGTCATTAGGGCTGACGAGATCGATCTCGCTCAGGGTCGCCTTCGGACTGCAACACACCTGTCGAAGTACAAACTCTAGAAGTCCAAGGAGCTGTAACACCTTCTCATGGCTGAGGACTCTCTCGTCGAAATGAACAATAAAGTTGAGATCATTACTAGCATCGTTGGTATGACAGAAGATAAACAATGCATAGATGGCATGGGTGGTATATCCTCTACATTGGTCTGGGCTATCCCAAGCCGGATACATGAGACCCATTTTGTTTACTGTATTGGGTGGTTGGATAATAAGATACATTTAAAAATCGCAGGCTGCTGCGCACTCGCGGCTGTATCGCCGAATGTTTTGCAAACCGGTTTGCTTATATAGGACCAGCTCTGTGATATTGTCTTGCAGCATGTATAGGCAGGTCTCAATGGTTGTACTTGTATCCAGCCTGACGCGGAGTGGAAATGTGGCAATAGTTGGCCCGGCCATTCGCTCGATCCCCGGAACCAGTGCCTGCGGCCGTTGACTGTTACCCCGAAGACGACATCATCTGAACCCGTGTGCTGGGTAAGCATGATAGACTAGGCCAGTTGGATCATGCGGGCTATAGTGTGCTCCGCAGCCTCTCGCTGTAGGGCATATATATAATAGCTTAAGTGGCTGTTTACAGTAGGTATATATCTACCCGCTGGTAGAGTCGGGAAGATGGCTGCATTGAGGTTGGCAAATTGGGACTGCCAGAATTCTTGCTTCCTATCCACTTTGGACAAATAGTGAAGAAATGCGCTGAAGGGTGGACCAGGGGCTAAAGTCTCACCGTGATAGGCAGCCTCAACCTGATCAAAGAATAATCGCATAGAGACTCCATCGTACAGAGCATGATGCATGGTTATCACTAGCTGAAAACTGTGTCGTTTATTTAGAATCATCCCAAACCGAACCAGCGGCGCACCAAATTCCATGGGCATCCGGGCATCCTCGGCCAAATAATCCGCTGTTGAATTGCCGGTCAACCATTTAATATTCCTGCGAATAACCACCTGGTACAGTCCCCTACTTCCCACCTGGACGATCCGCGTTCTCCAAATGGCATTGGCTGCGACTACCGCTTCCATGGCATGCTGCAACCGTGATAGATCTACCCCATATTGAAGATCCAGCACACTCTGGATAATGTAACGCTCTGGCTCTCTGATTAAAATCGACACGAATCCCTCTTGGAGAGCCGTGCAAGGCAAAATATCCTCCACAAGCTTATTAGGGACATGACATTGCTCGCAAGCGGCGCGCTAAGCTTCAGCACGAGTCTTAGCACTGCCCAAGAGGCAGAAGGCGGAAGGAGATGCGTCAGAGAGTTCGTCTTTAGACAAAACACGCGCAACCTGTGCGAGCTCGGACAATATACGATGGTTGAATATATCTGCGACTGTAAGAGTAAGGCCTGCTTCTCTAGCCAGCCCAACCATCTTCATTGAATCACCTCCCAGATGGAAAAAGCTGTCTGCGGGCCCAATATGCGACGGAGAGAGGCCCAATAGGGTTAACTACATGCTTTGTAACGTGCGTTCTATCTCTGTCCGCGGAGCAAGTTTTGTACCGGAAACAAATCGGTAGTTGACCGGCGTCTCCTCTGGCCAATTGGCCACCTCAGCACGAAGTACCTGGCGATCGGTCACTTATAGTGCGAGGAATGCGTCCCAAAGGAATAAATAAAGTGGGAACCATGTAGTCTGGCAGGCGCTGCCGCAGCTTGGTCTTGATATCCATTGCCATCTGCTTTTCACGATCTCTGGAGATGACTTTGCTAACTTCCTCTACAATAAAGATTGGCCTCTTGCCAACGAATACTTCTCCTCCTATTGTTAATTCCGTCTGCCCTTGTTCCAGTCGACTAGACTTCGAGCAGTATACTACTGGGTCATTCACTTGAACCCCGGCGAAATGCAGCAGCGGTGAGATAAGGATGTTTTCGTAGCGCGATAGTATAATAGCCGCGGCAGTCATAAGCAAGAGGGAAATGGCGTGGTCGGCAGTCAGAAGAGATTTCCTGCACAACATGGATCTAGCACATTGGGAGTCCACTTGGAAGTCTGCTTGATGATCCGCCTCGTGACGTTTTAAGTAAAAGAGAAGCGAAGGCCTACCTAGTACGCGTCTCCGACACGGGAGCCCAAGGACGACTCGTTACGCCTCCATGCGAAGTTTCCTAACACTATCTAATAAAGAGAGATCCTTATCTCGGACAGAGTATAAACATAGTGATATCCGAAGAACTGCCTCTCTTTTGACAATCCGTTGAAGCTCACACTGCGCCTCGTTGTGCTATCATGCTCACCCACGGCACACGCAAAACAGTTATGGCAGGCACCCATACCCTTGGCTCTGAAAATGGCTACAATCAGAATTTCAAAAAGTCTGACGTATGTATAGCGGTGGAAGCATTGAAACAACATCTTGTTAGCACGTTCAATACATGGCATTTCAACTAATATACAGCTAGATTGGCTATCGGTGCTTGAAAAACATGATCCCGGGAACCGTCTACAGCATCTCATCTAATACAGTCCCGGTCGCGTCGTCTTGGACCTAGGTAGTGGGTGAGTAGGCTTTCGATTTCAGTCAATGGTAACCAGAGTGTCTCTCATGTCCATGTGTCTTTAGAAATGCGCCCAAGGTTCGAGGATTGCTAGACAGATTCGTAGAACTGCAGACAGACGTTTTCTACTTGCCCTTGACCTATCTCGACATGAGCTTGAGCGAGTCATACGATCCCCTGCAACCCAATATCGCTTTGTCAAAGGCTTTCGCATTTGTGGTACTTTTGAAGACGCCCGTTTGTAGTCACTCAAGATAGGCCAGGAAGTGCTTTCTCTCTCGGGGCGCTACCTTTTGGCAATGACATGCGCAGTGTGGCGTCAGCGAATCTTGAATCATGGGCAAATGTGTTGAGCTCTGATGACTACATGATCATTGGCATGAATGGGACCTAAAGACGAGTCCAAGATCTTCCGTGCCTATAACGATGATCAGGGTATCTGGCATAGCTTTATCAGCGGGGCTTTGCCAATTCAAATGAAGTTCTTCAACACAGTTAGTACCATAATCAAGACTGCGACAGGTTGGAGAGATTTAGCAGGGGCCTACACGTCATGAGTTCAGTCTCTGTGCGCTTCATGATATAGACTGTTCTGAATTGGGTATCCGGTTTAAAGCGATGAGCAAATAAGAACGTATACAAGCTTTAAATACGACACAGGGGAGAAGTGTGCACAGTACAAGCGTGCTGGAATGGTTGTTAATCCTATCCACCAATCGCCAATTCTGTATGTGCTTGAGGTTGTGGGCTGTTGGCCCAATTTGTCCCTACTGCAGAGTCCATTCCCACTACTAAGTCTGTTCCTACTCCTGTACTGAGTCGATCTGAATATAGAAATTGCTTACTCTGCATTTTCCCAGGGTCGGCTCATATTGCTGGTTAGCTAGGAATTGCATGGTAGTTTCTCTGCTTAATTACAGGTAATTATACACTTTCTTGTGTCCTAGCGTAATTTTAGAAGTTGCTTGAAGGATCGTCTATAGTTGCTGCTGCGTTCCCATGTTACAGAAATTATAACCTCTAGCGGCTGATTTACCAGACATAATAAAACAATCTTATATCCTACTATGGAACTCCAAATCTTTGGATGCAGCTTTAGGTAGTTAATTTATTGTAGCATTGCTATTAAAATAATATATTCTTACGAAAAATTATTAAAGCAGTTTATTAACTGGGGCCAGGATGTATTTAGTCGGATAATTTATACTAGTTTAGAACCCAATACAACAATAATAAACATTGTCTATTGCTCGCAAAGTGGACCTCGATTGTAAAGCCAGAGGCCTTTTCTATTCTGTGTCTATCAATTCAAAGGTGTGGGCTTGGCTCTGCGCGTTTTAGTTGGCTTGCTGCTCGAAGGAACCCGATCGCGAAAGAAGAAAATGATCCTGAATATACATTTAGCATATGCAGAATTCTCTTCTTCAGTTCTTGGCACCCGCAACACGTAAGTTATGCCACTTTTCGCTCCACCACTAACATCGCCATAAACATACTGAATGTCTGTATTTATACTTCTAACTTGGGTTATTCTGAAGCATCTGAGGTTATTAGTATTATTATGATTTGAGTGCCCCTTAATCTCATGTTTCATGGAATAACACCAAAAATGCATGTCCGACGCGTTGTAAATTAAAAAGAGAGATCAATTAACTTGATTGGGTTATATTGAGATCAAATTTATCCCTTCACATCCAATGCTACCACATGTAAATCCTACTATTATTTATATATGTACGCGTTATATGTAGACAAGTTTCTAGTGGAATGAAATTTTTAACGCTATAAGTTAAAATTTGACCCCCCAAAAAGTGGCACAACTTTTCGCGTAGGAGGTGCCAAGAACTGAAGACAATTCTGCAAACACTAAATCATGTGCACTGCATAATAGCGTACTACGTGCTTTTGCAATTAGAATAACGCAACAGACTCCGTAACGCCGAATCCATAGCGAGAATCTACCCTCTCCTCCCAAATCATGGTTGGAGATGCTTAAATATCTACTAAGAGATAGCTTTATCACAGCCGCAGCAAAAGAAATTCAGGAACTTGATAAAAGGTGTACTGCAACGGTGGTGGAATAGTTAGAGGGGCGAGGAAAGGAGATTAGTCCGTTAAAATGGGTTTTTACCGATAAATTTAATAAAGATGGTTATTTTATGAAGTGCCAGGCACGCATTTGTGTAGGTGGAGATTTTCAAGCCATTTCAGATAGAGATATTAGAGTGTATATTCTATATCATGGCGCCTAAGTTGGGATAATCAAAATGGTACTGCAGAAAAGTCATCTTGTGTTGTTAGTCAGGCGATTTATAAGCATATATATATTTCTTTCCTTCTTATTCTTTCTTTCTTTCTTTCTTTTTTTTCACAGGTCCGTCGACGCACCCGGGCTGTTGTCAACCGGTGGATATCTGAGGCGATGATATTCATTAAACCGCGAACGGTTGCTTTTCGTTTTGAGTCAGTGGTTGGTGGGAGGACACCCCTCCATGTTTTTAATTGTGGGTATCTTTCTTCCAGATACTCTAACGCGGCCAGTGACGGTCATACTATGGTGGGCTTGCTGGCTTTCTGGTCTGAGAGAGTGCTTCTTGCAGAACTAATGTTGGGATTGAGCCTGACGGGTTTATTAATTTGTAGGCAGCTGCTCTTTGGTCGTCGACTGCCACGTATTCATAGCTGATGTCCGTGAGTTGGAGCGCAAGACGTAAACGTGCTAGTCAGGATACTATTTGGCGTAGATAATTACTTGAGAAGACATGGAGAGTCCGAAGACAAAGATGAGGTTGGAATTAGGTGGACTTTACTTAGATACTGACCCCTCGTACTGTGTGCTGCATCGATCTCATTACTGCGCTTCGCAGCATTCAAAAGGTTACCTAGTATGTACACCAGCAATAGGTTGACGAAAAGGAAGATGCCCTGCTATTTGAACAAAACTTATCTTGTTGTTCCAGTATGCCTCTGCCATATGGTCAACCAACGGGGAATTCACATAAGAGTACTAGCGGTGTGCTGAGATATAATTCTAAGAAAGATCTGCCCAAGGTATGATAGCCTTCTGGTCGAGTTGCCTAGACTTAGCGAAACCTCAACAGGGTGTATATTCAGGACTACGGACGTCGCAAAGCCAAAGTACCTAATCAAGAAGAGGAATCATCCGATCATATTCATGTTTCTACATAAATAAACAAAATAAAAACAAGCCATTACAACCTCTGCATTCGCATTACAGAATGGGGAAAACAAAAAAGACAAAAACCCATTCTGAGGTCAATGACGCATCCCAGCACAACGGAGCAATTTACAACAAGAGGAAGAAACTACCAACGGAATGTTAGCTATCCAATAGTAGCAAATAAATTTCAAACGAGTAAATGTCTTACGTTTTCTCTCTCTTGCCAGCCGACGAGTACAGCTTTAATCCCCAAGCACTACACTGAACATAACAGCCTCGTTAATAGCAGCATCTGCTCCCCACCAGGGCCCCTCTTGCTGGTAGTTCAGGTTGACCGCGTATACCCCCGCAGGTATCTTGGGCTTGAATATGTAGATATCCTTCTTGGCAGGACCATCGTTCCAATCTTTACCAGAGTCAAAGTCCCGAGTGCCCCCAACCGTGCCCTTGGTTTGCCATACGAGCTTATGACTCTTGCCTGTATACCAAGCACCGCCCCAGTAATACCACGGGTTCCGCTGCTCCTGCGAGAGGATGGTTCCGTCGGCCTGCTGTCGGAAACACCATTGTAATTCCGTATATGTCCACCTGTCTCTCCCGTAGAAATTATACCAGGGGCTGCACTCTGGAGATGTAACAACTTTGGCTGCTTTAACGGTACCATTCAGGGCACTTGGGGGCCTAGAGTCGGGAGGGGGAGGACTGCCAGCCTTGGTAGGGGAGTGTGTGGAATGAGCTGGTACTATGCTGTTGAGACCAGTGGGCACGGCGCAGGAGAGGAGGGCTGCGGGAAGAAGCAGAACTAGCTTGCGGAGCAACATCTTGCTTGTGAAGTTTCTGTAACTTGGTAGAGGAAAAAAGATGGGCAATTGGTAAGAGCAACTCTGATGGGGATTTCAGATGAATGACCCCTATTTATAGGGTTATACTCCGTATCCCATGGTGATTCATCATATGACAATTTCCATCTTCCTTTCCTCCGGTCTCGCTGGCTCCTTTGCTGGCTAACATGCAAAGTGACTGATAGTGTTCCGAGTCACATTGCATACTATGTACCCACTGTAAATAAAGAGGTGTATAAGTGACTCAGTCGGCTTAGAGCAGTGCTATCCTTGGGATAGTACTAGCTGAATGGGCCTACTATTGAATCTAGTTTTATATTCTAAATAACAACCAATATACACGGTGATTGGATATTTATACAGTATTAAATAGGAGACTACCGTAGATATTTGTTAGTTATACAGGACACAGTAATTTTTTTTTAAAAAAAAAAAAATATAAATAAATAAAAAAAATGGCTATATACAATTAGCTCTATGGTGATGAAATATAAGAAAGACAGTCCAGGGAGTTCATTTATTTACTTGCTTTTGGGGTTCAGCTACGCGTATAAGCGGAATACCTATAGTGCATGCTTACTTTTATCTACTAGCCCTACTAGCCAGCCATGGCAGGACTGGGCCTAAACAATATGCAGATCTAGAACCAGCAAGTCTCAATCACGGTATCCACAGTGACGGTAAGATTCTTAAGCTAGTTTATTTAATAGTTAATTTGCACAGTCGGTAGCGGTCTGCTTATACCTAGTTAATTCCCTGATCGTCATATTTATGTCCCTATATGCAGGGTTGTAGAGCTGGGCCCGGCTGAGTTGAATCCGCAATCCTACTAGTAGCTTTATCCCTGCAGGGAAAACAAGGGTATTTTTCTCTCCACTGCTGTGATCCGATGCATGTGGCGATAGTGCATGCCGCATTGCTGATCCTCTCAGCTATTGTCGATCCTTGCATACAGAATGTGCGTTCATCAATCCGGCGAACACAAGTCGGTCGGAATCTAATCTGCGCCCTTCTGGTTGTATACTCTTAGCCTTTGTCTAAGTTTACTTGGGCTTTGATCCCGGTTGGCTGCGAGGCTAATTACTTGACTCAGCCTTGTATCTGCAAATGACATTTGATATTAGTCGGTAAGTTATCACTCCCTACTGAGTGTCTATCTGGTTAGATACTGATGTGATTAGGCTCTTATGACTGGAGCTAACAACTGCAACATTGCCTTTCTGCATTTCGATGCTTTCTGCAGCTAGAAGGGTTCACCAGCTCAGCTGCCACTTTTTTACAGGAATAAAGTTGCGAGATAATATTCATTGGTAGTGTTGAAAATCAGGATGCCTAAGGCACCTTCGGGTATCCTAGTCCTGCGGCCATCTGATATATCACATTCAGGGGCTAAGGGACACGTAGACATAAGGAAGCGTTTGTCTACGTTCCTAGATAGAAGAATATACTCACCATGCGATACTAGATCGCACCGATAATTTTAATATACTATCCAGTCACTGTTATCCTAGCACCTCACGACATAGCTTCTTCCCCGAGATTCTCAACAGGTAGCATTGTATTACATTCATTTGCTCTTTACATGTCTCTACCACATCTATAACTGTACTTGTATTACATAGAATAGAGAAGAGTAGGTCTTAGCTAAGAGCATTAAACAATAACTACCTTAAGTAATATTCTTAGGGCTAGATACAGCCTGATCGGGTTAGTTTTTCTAGTGAGGAAAATTTAGTCGCTCTCCCGGCGAAGCCCGTTATGTGGCTTAGCAATTGATCGATAAGGCATCCAGCTCAGTCAGATTTAATATACTGTTTAACATATATGCAATAATGAACACCAATTAGAGTACCTAAAAAAATCACATAGCAATCACTATCCTGTAAAGAAAATCATAATACTCCATAAATTCCTAAATCCTAATCCATAATAAAGTAAGCCACCCAGTTAGTCAATACCTTCTAGCCTGGAATTCTACTTATAATTCCCTGGTGGCGGTCCCGCCGGCGGAGAATACACTCCCTCCCGGGCGTACGCATTCGGTGGCTGTTGCAATCCATACTCCTGGGGACCTGGATACCCTTGATTATATCCTTGATTCTGTCCAAAATATCCCTGATTCTGCCCGTAATTGGCCGGGTACGACTGTGGTGGCGGTTGCTGCGGTTGATATCCTGGAGGTGCAGGGGGCGCTTGATTCGGATACTGCTGTGGCTGTTGCCACTGCGCACCTGTATTCGGAGCGATCCATCCAGTGCCGTACATGGGTTTCTGCCCGTGTCGACGACGTTTGCGAGCAGAGGCACATCTGCCAACAGTCAGGAGAGTGTATTGGGGTGATTTTGACGAGGAAGAGGGATACTGACGCGAAGAGGAAGAATGCGACTACTCCCACGAAAATAATAATACCGAGTAGGACCCATCTGCCCCAGTTAGACCATGATGAACGGCATCGGTACAGGTTGCCAAATCGGTCTCGACAGCTAGTAGGGTTGATTAGTGGTTGATCAGAGGATAAGAAGAGGACAGGAAGAGACAATAGATCCTGAATAGACTGGGGTCCTTACTATGCCATGATGTGAAGGTTTACAAGGATAAGAAAGATAGTTGAAGAAAAGATCGAGAGACATTGCGTCAGATTTGACTCAACCTGTGGTTGTGGCTGTGGTTGCTTGGCTTGTCTGCATTCGGTAAGTCGGCCTTGGTTAAGGTTGGCTGACGTCATAATATGGGATCAGCCAATGGGGGATACCTGGTTTCTGGCGGCCTTTTCTTGGCGGCAAGCGGAGGAATTCCTGATCACGTGGAGGCGCACAAAATAGGAAGGAAGTGAATACCTCTTTAGATCCAGTTCTCTTGTTATTACACATACTCCGTACTCCGGATGGAACCATCTCACGCTTTCCCTTGTCTGCGCTTGGCCCAATTTAGATTTCATTTCTTCCAGTCTTGTTTATCTGTTACTCCGTCTCCGTCCCCTGATGATTGAAGCTTGCCATATCTAGCTTGTTTGTGACTCTATACTGAGAACCCTGGGTTTCTTCTACCTTGCAGGGACCATTGATAGCAAGGCATGCACACAAACTTTGGGTAGTGGTATTTCCCAGCGATGTTCTGTGAAGACATACTGTGGATGCACACACTACCGCCCGACTGGGTCATTAGTCTATACTATACACATGGTCGAAATAGTCCAGTCCAGTACTCAGGGAGAAACACCAACCAACAAGAGCACTCTGAACCGGTCGACAGGTGACTTCGATTGGCGTCTGATGGAAATGGGCTTAATAAATAAAGCATTCCATTTTCTGGTTGGCACACCGGAGGCAAATTCCAGTTAGAGGTGCCACGGCTGTATGCGTCCTGCGGCTTCATGCACCCTTAATTACACCAGTACACCGTGAAAGGAAAGAACGAACCTCCTGGGTTGCATTGCAACCTTGGTATCTACCTTTGGTTTGGTTGATGCTTACTTCACACGACATCTTATCTCATCAGAGTCAGGCACCGTTGACTTCCGGTAACGCATGCCCTTCAGGTTCAATAGTGGATATGACTCTTACTTACCCTCTTTGGTCTTTGGTAAATATTCCTTTCACCAACCATCTGCGCTGTCTGCGCTTGGTCAGCATGATCAGCGGCTTACCAATTGCGGAGGCAGCATTTATACTGCGTTTCTTCTCCTGCAACCTGGCGTTGATGAACAATTTCCCTAGACTCATCATCCGTGGCATCGGTAACTACTGAGACTCCCACAAGAATGGTCAGCGGCAGAAGTATGCAGCAGCTGCAGAGGAACTTCTCCAGACTACGGACGTGGCGGATGTTAAAGATACCCCGGAGCCAAGATGGGTTATGCATGAAGATTAGTTGGGACTCATTTCATTTTATGTTGTAGGTTCTTCAAGTCAATGTTCTTCGAAATCAATCTTACCTAACGGTAATAACATGCTTTTAGTGAAGATGGTCGTCGAAGATGTGGTGTATGTACAACACCAGGTAAAGGAATGGTTTTGATCTCTCCAAGAAGGCACGAACCTAATTCCCATCTCGTTCTAACATTACAGTAGCATTACATTCTGACTCTCTTTAGAACACGAGGAACGCGAACACCGTGAGGTCCTCAACTGGGTTACCCCAGTTGACTACGGACCTCAGTACAGCGACATCCTTACGGAGAGGCATTGTGATATAGGGCAATGGCTCCTAGACTCGCCAGAGTACCAGGCCTGGTTAGAGGGCAAAAAGCGGACCTTATTCTGCCATGGGATTCACGGAGCTGGGATGACTGTTCTCTCCGCAATTGTGATTCGCGATGTCTATAGCAGGTTTCAAAATGTTTCTAACATCGGCATCGCGTACATATTTTGCAATGTTCAACGGCATGGTGAACAGACGTTAGAGCACTTGCTTATGAGTCTCCTAAAGCAGTTCGTCCAGCGACAGGATTATATTCCCGGAAATGTAAAGGCTTTTATGCAAGCACAAGAATAACACATCACGACCCCCGATAAACGACGTGATGATCTCACTTAGAACCATCGCCGTTTATTCCAAATTTTTCATTCTTATCGATGCTCTTGACGAATACCAAACGGGATCCGAACACCGAATGGCTTTCTATCAAAAACCTTGGCCTTCAGGCCAATGCTGAAGTGAATCTCTTCGCAACTTCGCGGTTCATTCAGGATATCGGAAGACAATTCCAAGGAAGTATAAGACTTGAAATCCAGAAATACCTATATGAGAAGTTGCAAAATTTACGATAATTGGTTTGGAAGGATCTCCAGGGCGGCAGATGGAATGTAGGTAGCATTCCATATAAGCGAACATGTCAACTGATATTTGCCAGGTTTCTGCTTACACAGCTCTATGTCGATTCTCTAGCCTGTAAGACAACGTGTAAGGAAATAAGGAAGACACTAGAAGATATGGAAGTAGATTCTGAGGCACCAAATGATAGCACGAAATCCAAAGCATTAGATCTCGCCTATATGCAAGTTATGGCACGATTTAATATTCAAGCACCAGAGCTCCAAGACCTTGCCAGATGTGTCCTATCATGGATCACCTGTGCCAAAAAAAGCCTTTAAGCTCTTCAGAGCTCCAACACGCTTTAGCTATCGAGGAAGGTGAGCCTGAATTTGACACATAGAATATCCAGGGTTGGATATAGTCTCTGTGTGTGCCGGCTTAGTTATTATAGATAAGAAGAGTGATATCGTCCGGTTAATCCACTATACAACTCAGAAATACATCGAGCGGACAAGGGGGTCTTGGTTCCCGGATGCGCAGATTAATATTACAAAACGATTCGTTACCTATCTGTCATTAACACTTTTTGCGCAGGGTCCTGCCCAACAGATGACGAATTTAACGCGAGGATAAAGTCACATATTTGTACGATTATGCCGCTAAAAACTGGGGACACGATGCCCGCGTGTCTTCGATTGAGGACGTGAATCAACTGATTCTGAACCTTCTTGAGGACGAAGCTAAGGCATCTGCTTGTAGCAACGCAGTGATGGTACCTGGCAGCTACCCGGGCTATAGTCAAAGGGTCCCACGGCAGATGACAGGACTGCATCTTGCAGTATTCGTTGGACTGGAGGAGTCCACTACAGCCTTACTTGACAAGGGTGCTGACCCAGGCCTTAAGGATACATTTGGTCGCACACCGTTGCACTGTGCCACACTAATTGGGCAGGAGGGAGTAATAAAGTTGCTGCTTAATAAGGATGCCAATCTAAATCTTAAGGGTCAGCTTGACGGGACGGCGCTACGTATGGCTGTGAGGAACAGACATGAGGCGGTGGTGAAGCTGCTTCTCGACAAATCTGATGCTGACCTGGACACTAGGGATCAATACGGTCGGACGCCGCTACGCTTGGCCGCGATGGGCAAGAATGAGGCGCTAGTAAAGCTGCTACTTGTCAGGGGTGTTGATCTAAATTCCAAGTATCGAGTAGGTCAGACGCCGCTACACTGGGCTATGCTAAACGGGAATGAGGATGTGGTGGAGCTGCTGGCAGGAACAAGACAGTGAAGCAGCTTCAGCTCGAATCCGGCCCAGGCATTGGTATCAACACCCATTGTGAACTGGACGTTAAGGACAGATGAGGTGTGCCTGAAGTGCATAGGTTGCTTAGTGGAATATATATTGGTTGGCGTAATATACAGCTCTGATCCGGCCTGGAATTTGTTTGTTAGGTTGCGTAGCTAAATCTACACCTCTTATATTTTCTAAACCCCATAAAACGCGAGCCTAAGATGACTATTGAGTGAATCTAGTGCCTTGTATTCCTATATCGAGGAGAATGATGATAAATTTCTGGTAGATTCTATACCTGAAGTATTACGTGACGATTTGATGCCATTAACCACAATCTTTAGAGTAATGGATAATGTTGGCTGATAGCAGTGGTGGCGCTCTGTTCTAACTGTTACTATATATTAGTTAGAAGAATTTCCACAGCTTTCCTCTATCTTCCATTGCTTTATCTCTTATTGGGACAGAACTCATCTCTTGGGGGCTTTCAAGGCACAGATTGTCTTAAGAAAAATGGAATCTCACCTCATTTCACTGACCTGGGGTCCAGAAGACCCTGAAAATGGTTGACTAAAGAAAGGATGTTTATCACACCTATTCCTGGCACAATAGTGTTAGCTTCTGATTAGAAGATTGTGAATGGCTTCTTGCCTATAGAGACATAAGTCCCTCCCATCAGTTAGACTACGCATACTTCACTTCATTGGAGATAGGATAGTGCAGGGATATATCAGGATAAGAAGTAAATTACTATAGTATATATAGATTAACAAAAACAGGCAGGCGCCGACTCCGGGATAGATATAAACATATAATGGAATATCGCTTGAAGCATGTATATAGGTATATAGATATGTAGACATAAGTATAGGCATAGAGGTATACGCATAGGTATAGGTATAGGTTCATGATATACATTACACTAGAGTGGCACCGCCGACAACGCCATCCATCCGTTCATTATCTCCTCTGTCGACGCATCCTGGTATGGATCCAACCAGGCAAGACCGCCATTCTCCGGTGGACATACCTGCGCAGGCTGGTTGCCATCTCGCGCTTGAGCAGGATAGAACGTCGACACAGGCATCGTGGTAGGCGCCGGTCCCGGCACGGGGACAGCAGACACTCGTTGCTGCTGCGTAGGTGTTGGCGCCGGAGGTAGCCCATCCGGCTGAGTGAGACAATAATTCCGATCGAACCACTCGTGGATGTGGCAGAGCCATTGCTCGTAGTGAGAGTACACGTCTTGTTCGCCGGTCTCGTCCACGTTCCGATTGGACAGCGCCTGCATGCGCCTCCTGCAGTTCTGCAGAACTAGTGGCATGTTCAGCGCGTCGCATAGGGGTCCCACCCGTTCGTGACGATATAACAATGGGTCCGAGGCCGTGACGGCTAGCTTGGCCGATATCGCAAGGATAAATCCAATTTGCACCCATTGCATGTAGCTGATGTTGTCTTCGACGCCCACGGGCCAGGTCAACACCGAGTCAAAGTAGCGTTCCGCAGCTGCTAGTCCACGGCAGAGAGAATCGATCCGGAACGTCATGGAGCTGGGGAGCATGGATGGCTCTCGCTGTCGTCGCGGGTAGAATGAAGGGGGTGCCTCGGGATGGGTGGCGTTTGACGGAGAGATATAGTGGTGTGGTGGAATAGCATGGAATTTGTCGAATAGGCTGACCTGCGTCAAATACAATTCTATGGTATGGCACTGCAGGGCGATAATCACTACAACAACGTTAGGCGGGAAATGAGGATTCTTGATGTCTCTCACGTACAACAGTTCGTTCTCGTATAGGAGAGCTGGTTCTTCATGTCTTCTAGCTCCTGTCGAAAGGCAAAAATGTGGCGCTCCATCTCGGCCATCCGGCCTTGCATGTCCGGAGGGTGACTGATCGAGACCTCATCGATCCGCTCAAGGAGATGTTGGAGTCGGACCAGATGGATCGTATACTGGTCACTAGGATATTCAGGCTCCTGGGCCAATTCCAGCGCGAATCTTTCTAGGTGAGGGGTCCAAGGAAACGTGCATTTTTTCTGCATGATGATAGAGACACTGGGATTTCCAATTAGCGTGGTGGTTCTGGACGCCGTCATCGGCGCGCACTAACCAGGACGAGATTACAAAACATCCAAGTACAGCCCTCTTTTCGTCACGCGCGACCGATGCAAGCTTGGCGTGTGTCATTGTCCTGATTTCCGACCGAGGGATGGAAGTTCGTAGCTCCGCCGGTCGATCTAGCCACAAGTCAACTACAATAGTAAGGGCGAGGTGGAAATAGGTCGTGAATTGGCGCGGTTGGTATAGATACTGGGACCTGAAAATATCCATTATTCGTTCTGTCCGGATGGGAACGACAACCGGAGAAAGAGAGGCCTACCATCCAAGGCTTACAAGCAACCCCTGTAGAACTTCGAACGGAGATTCGGCTAGTCCGAACACCATACATTCCCGAACGGCATTTCGGAATTCCTCGAGGAGCACACGCCGCAGCGGCATATTCTCGTACAAAGACACCGTAAGGATCGCTAGGAGTAGAAACGGCTTCTGTTCTCGTAGTTCCTGCAATGTCGTCTCCTCTGGTATGATAACGAAGGGAAAGTGTGGCATCATGCTCCTACGGAATTGATCAAACAGGGAGCAGGCATCGTCGAAACTGATGATTCCTTTCGCGATGACATCTGGCGCCGGCGGTTTCTCGCTCGGTGTGCGCTTCGTTGTCGACCCCTTTCGAGTAGTCCCCACGGCAGGGTTTATCGACGACGACTCCTCCTGAGGTGATTCGCTCTTGATTTGTCCCAGGAGCTGGTTGACTTTACCTTCGAGGGCTTCAATCCGTCTGGGCCGTGGAAAAGGGGTCTAATGAGCCTTGATTCTTCCAACACAGATAGGAGAGGGAAGGGGAAAAGGCCTTACGTCTCCCTTTTCGCGGGATTGTAGCGTGACCGAGCAGGTCGGAAGTAGCATTGTTTGTTCAATCGACGACAGCTGAGACGAGGTTGGTCAGCGGTATACAGGCTGTGGGCGCGCGGCTAACTGACCGGTCGCAAATCGGAGAACCTGGACTTCGCAGACATCGGATCTTCGCTCTCACACAGGTCTCGCATGTCTTCACCAAAGGCGGACCCGACGCGCCTGGCAGATTTGAGGCTGGTAACACCATCACATCAAAGGTATCCATCCACGTGGCGGAGCCGGACAAGGACGCGGACAGGGGAGCCGGGGTGCAGGTAGGTAGGTAGAAGTTTATATGGAGTTGGCGGACAATCGGACCCCGACTCCGTATCAGTGGGGACTGGCTTAGGTAAGAAGCCCTATTTTTCGTCCTGGATCCCTCAGGATTGCGATCCTGGTGGTTCAGGCGTCCATCGGAGGTTTGGGTCTTTGGGTCGGTGTTGGGAATCCCCACCCGCAGGAAATCGTCAGATCACTATTTGAAGTTCTTTCCGCCACTTCCCGCCTAGTCAAATGCTTAATGCCTAAATGACGACTCAGGGGGGAAGCGATTAATCCTCAGGATTCTCTCTCAATCACCTGGGTAGTTGAGAGCGATTGCGTTGTTTTCGGAGATGTGAATCAGCTGAGGGGCGTCCTTTTTGTGTTCCAAGTGAGAATACGGGGCGCCACGGATGTCGATCTTGGCACGACTTTTTGTTTCTGCAGCGGCTTAGCACGTACCACGGTTCGTTCATCACCTGCAAGGCAACGCATTGCATCACCACTTGGTCTCTATACGTCAAGACACGATTCTTCTCGGGAGTGAGGTAGTGATTATCTTGCCACCAGACAAATGGAGAGCATATTAAATGACATGAATAAATTCCAGTAAGACAGTAATCGGTTGTACTCCGTACTGTCGCTGCGGCATCTACGGTACCGTCCTCTCTCTCGACTTTCCGTACTTAATTAGCTAATATTTCCTGGATGTGAGCGATCAACTATCCCTCTAGACTGCGTTGAATGGGCTTATCAGTTGTCCTACGTCAGAGATTACTAAATCCTAGCTATTGACCGTCATTGACGGCGGCTTGAACCCAAGGTTCTCAGCCATACTCTATTACGTCGGCTCACATGATAGGCTCCTACTCGGCCATTCTAGATCAATCTCCTATTAATAGTACGTATTAACTAAAAGGAAGCCCCCTATTCCACGCCACGATAACAAGAAGTATCACACAATGGCCTGATGCCTGACGGAGCGGGTCTGAGTGCAGAAGAGGCTCATACAATCGTGATCAGAGACATATGTATATATACCCCGTCCCATTGCGAATCGAACGACTGATGCACTGCGTAAAGCTGCAGCCGCCCTTGAGTCTATCTGATGAATCGTGTCCAGAAACCTCGTTCGAGCGAGAGTGCACCGTACCTCCAGCCATTCTGAATAGGATCGTGTTTCCATCTGCTCCTTATATCCATGGATCGCGATCAATAGATCATTCTTCTATTTCAGTCCAGTTCTGGAAATGATTATCCGTGCAACTCCTCAAATGGCTGGAGAGGGGAACCCAACTTACTCTCTCCATTGACGTCCATGAATGAGAGTAGGCTTTGCGATGTAGTCCACCAATGGCAACGACCCAGCATCTTGAATACACGATGGGATAATTATCGATGTCCTGATTGAAAGAGCTACCCAATCAAATCTCAGGAATGCAACCCTGTCCTTAACCTGAGAATATATAGCACCTGAGTTATTTGGAATTGAGAGCCATTTCAAATAAACATATTCCGAGACTTCGCTCAACGGACCATATCACTCTCGTGCCAAAATATTATATCAAATACTTTGTATGGGGGGGATGTTGTATCACAGTCTCGGCATATGGACCTATGCTTATTTCGTACGTGGATTCGCGGGAAGATAATCAGGAGGAAACGGACACGGACACGGAAAGCAGGGGTTCATGTCCGACTTGGCGGGTCCTGGATGAGACGCTACTGCGGCATGTATCATCCCTGCTAGATCGTAAGCCAACTAGTTATATTAGTGTGCAGGCACCCCCAACACCACAATCATTCCCTTATTGGCCTAATCCTGTGTCGTCCCTATTGGTGAACGGTTTGTTGCTATGTCGGGGAGGTAGGGAGTAAGTTCAGTTTAAACTAACCAGACACAGAGACGAAAGTCAGATATATCCTATCGACACGTTCAAGGGTGGACCGAACAGTAATCGGAGGTACCCTGGGGGCATCCTATGTTATTGAAGAATTATATCGCAATTCCAAGTGCTTGTCTTCAAACTAAGGTGAACGGTTGGTAATGCTAGTTTATCCCCCCTGCCCCATAGCCCTGTCGTCAGCGTCTTGCGTGGTTTGTTTATATTGATTAGTAATAAATTAGTCAGCCCATTGAGTCAGCCTGGGGCATTCATTACCCATGCACCAGCTATATTATGTTATATCATTATATGGAATAAAACTTTTAGTATGAAGTACACTACTAATAGCAACCTTATTGCAATGTATTATGATGGCATAGAATTGTGCTGTGCAAGGCATTGTTTGAGCAGGTATATAACCTGTCCAGGAGATGGGAAATACTCATACAGGAAAGCTCCCGATGGTTTCTACGGGCTGCCTTGAGCTATTCCCATGTCGTAGGGGGCACGCCTCTCACTCATAGGGCTAACTTTAGATTTATATACTTTAAAGAATTCTCAGTTGGCTAAGCAATTCCTACCTAGACTTTGGTGGTATATTATTAGTAGATTAAAACTACAGTCACTGCAGTAAATTTCCAGAATCCAATGTGCCACGGTCATGGTCAGTAGAGTTAATCGGGACTATATTTTGTAATTTTTACAGTATTAGGAATTATGCTATATATCTAAGAAATAGTAATCAAATACTAGCTAGTGGCTATAGAACTAGTTGTGACTGTGTCATGGGTTAAACCCACTATGGTGCTCAGACTAAGGCCTTTGCTACTATATAGGGAGCTAGATGTGACTGATGGAAGACCAGTCATCTTGTACGTTCTATATGGTCAAGTGGTTTTATCTCTACCAGCGCAGAGACAACCAAACCATCACAGAACGGCTGAATAATGATATCAAAAATTTACCAAGGACAGGGACTGTCGCTAGAATATTATTATATTATTATTCATTCATCACTAAGCTGGTGAAAGTGTGATGACTTTTGATTTATTGGTAATCATGAGCTCAATATTCGCTTAGATCTTGTTGTCTTCTCAGTATCTAATTCGATCCACGATTCCGTCCTATCGACAGATCAGAAGATAAAGATATACCTGGGTTATCTAGGGAAGGTATCCTTTGTAGTCTTGTGGAATTTTATTGATACGCTAAATTCATTTCAGGTTGGTTTGGCCAATCCCAGGCAATAGTCATTCTAACATAACATAAAAAACCAAGCCACTGTCATGGAGCTATCTCTCTCTTTTCTCCTCAAGCACAAGCATCAGCTGGCTTCCATTGTTATCTAAACTAAGTAGGGAATATCTATCAACTATGTAGTTATTTTTTGTAGGGATAAAGCCTCTTAAAGAGAATAAAGTCCAATTTAATTAGTTATCTCTCTATTCTCACTTTAATGCTCCAGTTGCTTGGTAGCTGAGTGATGAGTCTTTCCTTTAAAGACAATGCATGGCGGTAGTGCCCATCCTATAGAGTTATGATTGGACAACTTGCGGAAGAAGTATAGAGATACTTTACAAAGAATCCTCATCTCCCCTCGGGATGATCATCTCAACAAGGAGAAAGGTTTATTCAAGAAATTCATGAGTTAAAAAAATATCACCACTATCCTAACTTGATATAGTGAAGCTACTGACAGATAATGATGCAATCTTATTTCAAAGATGAGATTTGCTACGTGGACGCGGGTTACTATTGGCGAGTGTTGCCAGTCCAGGCACTGAGGAAGCACGAACGAGAGTCTTAAACGTGGATTTGAAATGTCCTAAGGCCGAGGCCATGCTTCCACGGGACAATGGCAAGAATCCAGACATATTGGCAAGGGACCTTACCACTAACTACACGGAACGCTTCACATGACCTGAGGGAGTATTCAACGTCCTTCTCAGCAAGTGGTTTGAGTTGCGACCCCCAATGAGCCTTAAATATACACGTGAAGCTTATTCTTATTGACTGCGTCACACCTTCCTAAGTCACTGCCTAGGCACTTGTTGCAAACTGGCTTGTTAAAATTCTTTGGTAGCTGCAAAGAGCCGAGACACGACCGCGAGTCCGCTTCTCTAACGTGATACACAATCAAGAAAGTGCCAAGGATTGTAAAGGACATACGCCACTGTTGTTCGCAGCTCGACTAGGTTATGAAACACTTCCAAAATCCTTTCTCCAGTGAGGTGCTGACCCAGATATTTCGGATAGGCAAGGGGAACAGCACTGTTAACAACTTTAGCCAACGGCTATTGGAAGTCACTCATTAAATGTCTCCATGAAAAATGATGTCTTCATAAGCCACAAGGATTAACAAGGTCAAACATAACTATGTCTCTCAGCCTTCGGTAGCCTTGAGACAATGACCAAACACCTGTTTGAAAACAGTACTAACTGGAATTGGGAGGTTAGAATAATTTACACTACTCTCATTAGCGGAAGTGTACGACAATGAAGGGGCAGTATGATAATTCTCCAGAGGCGCTGATCCAACCTCTAGGAGAAGCGGTAGTTACATACTCCATTATTGGTGGCAGCTACGATGGGCCGCTATGCAGCGGTCAAGCTCTCAGCTTCAGCATTACAGCCCGACTTGTAAGATATTATCCGGCCGAAATCCTATCCCCGATGTGCCCAGAGAGACGCTTCCCTAGTAAGGAGAGAAATCAGCGAAGAGTGTGCACAGCAGACTTCCCTGATAATGCCGAGTGGGAACAGCTTGGTGATCATCGTCGTGAACAAGAAGGCCATGCAAACATCTCGGTCGCATTTATTCATGCCACTGACCATTTCGAGAGGCCGGTGGATCTGCTGCTGCTGCACAACATTTGCAGCACCCCAGGAAATTACCTGCCCGACTCTACTGTACTTCGTCAGCTCTCTCATGAAGGAAAAACAGTTTGTCCCGGTACATGAGGCCGAAAGAACTTGATCTCTCCCGCACGTCCTTCTAGTTCAGCCGGAATTTTTATCCTTGCCAATGGGAGCGCGCAACAACTCCTTCACTCTCAACCGATCTTCCACTTCGCAACTCTCGTCGCTTTTCTGCCCATCGACACCTGATACTGTATCTGTTAAGACGAGTTTGTCTAGCTCGGGTCTTCGTGACCCTAATAAAGATCATGACTATTGCTCATTCATCAAGCAGGCTGTCTTCTTTTCATCCGAGCTTCGAAAAATAATACAGGTCTTGGTGCCGTTTAAGTTCCGTATGAAAGCATCTTAGATACTACAGTCGCGAGTTCTAACCATGGAGATCCGATGGGCATTTATCAAATTTCATGTTAAATAACAAGACGACACTGGCAATAACTGGAAGGCAAGGATCGGATAAATTTCGGTCGGCAAGCACCTTCCCTCCAGCGCTTTGAAACCAGAATCAACGTCCATAACCGGTGGCTTTTAGTTACCAGCCTGTCTCGAGCGACAATATCGCCTAGCTCACCCTCAGCTGCATACTATGGAGCTATGCCCTGCTTCCCGCAGTCATTTTCTCGGAAATAGTACTTTTCTCCTCCCTGTACAGTCACGGAGTAGTTAAAAAAAAAAAAAAATTACCTTCAGGGATTAAAACATCTGCAATATCTGCAGATGGTAAGTGTCAGTGCAGGTTGATGAACCTGTTCTCACGATTTCATAACTAGAAACAGAACAATGAGTGCAAAATACATTGTCTCGTTGCCGTCTTCAAATATCATTGCATGCCCTTGGTCCCGGATTTTGGAAAGCGTGTATTGAGTCCTGATCAAGGTCACCTGTTTGTACCACAGATTAACCTGCTTACAGAGGGATCTCCATGTTCTTATAACCCTGTCATGAATACAACATGGTTAATTTATGTATCCATTTTATACGTCGATACATTGGAACCACCGTTGACACAGCACCCCAGCAATTTCCCCTACCCTCTTTTAACGGAAACGATTCCATGCTGAGGCTGTTCCTTTTTTTCCTCAATTATTCGAATTTTGGGTGTATTGAACGAGGTACCCCCTTCCATGTCCGTGCTAGTGTTCGTTTTTTATCTGGTATCAAGCTCCCGAAGGTACTCTGGTTCCAACCCCGAGCCGGTGATTTCTTTAGCATTGTGTCCTTTTCAACAGGATAAAAGCCACTCGCTCATCATGGCGGAGATTGTCGGCGTGGTCGAAGGACGGGGATGCTAATGGCCATACCAAGGGATGGTATCGCTTGAGACGCAACCATCAGAACCCTAACGTTAGGGCGAGTCGAGGTGGGAAGCAGATGCGACGAAAGGATACGTGCCGAACACTGTACACTCCCCAAGTTAGTGAATGATGATACTTCTGACTTTCCGGAGCATTTACTCAGAGGTTGGGGATCGGAGCCAGCAGTATGTCTTTCAGATACTTCTCAATACGGACCTTCAACGCTGCTCGAGGCACCTCCAAACAGTTGATGCCATGTCGCATTAGTCAGGGAGGAGAGAGGATACACCGCGTTCCTGCGTGTGTGTAACTCCCAGTCCTTAGGGAGGGGAATGTTCGCATTTCAAAGCTCGATGTTATGGATCCTCCCACGGCTCTGTTGGAGCAGTTATTTCGTCTTGTTGGAAGTCTGTCAGTACTAGGAACCTGCGGTGGGTTTCGGGAATCTTCGATGGTGTTGATCCGCTCTGCACAACGGAATCTGTCAAATATGGATGTTCAGAGGCATGCTCATTTCCTGCGCCCCTAACAGCAAGACCGACCAAAAAGAACCTGCATGGATGGGACGACCACGAAACCGACCTAATCCATGGGATGGCTCCCCAGATGTTTCGCCGGCAACGTCTCCTCTTTGTGTCTTTTTTTTGGTTTTCCCACATCCCTATGACGCCTTCTGTTACGCTGTTTATTGCCTGCTCCACCCGAACGTTTCTGCACCCTGGAGCCTCTACTTACAAAGCGAGGCCCAACAATTATATAATACAGGGCTGGCTGTATCGAGGATTACATACTCGGAAGTACCCGATTTCCCGCTTGTGTCTTTAAGGTCGGCGGCTGTCATATCCAGCCTACCACGGCTCGCCTGGCTGCGATCCGTCTCTTGACCAACACGGCCGGTTTTATATGTTTGCCCACTGTTACCTGGCACCAGTCAAAAACGAATAAGAAAAAAAAAAATAAAAAAAAATATATATCAAGGCTGTAGCTGGGTATTTTGCGTGCCTGTGGTCGCTGTCGATCTCTAGTTTGCTTCGGGTCAGGCTAGCCAGTCTGTTGGTTGCTAGTCCTTGTCCAAAGTTGTTTGCACTATCCTGGGTAGGGAAGACGGATGAAAGGAAGTGACAACATCTTCGACTGTGACAATGGCCGATCCGAATCGTCCTCCTTCCTTTCATTATCGTCCCTACCCTTTGTCAGCAGAGGTTCAGCAAAGTAAACCCACTCCTTTTTACGACAGATTGGCCCGCCGCTACTCGCAACCGTCTTTCGGGCCTCCGAGTAGCTCTGAGGCGGTGCCTAACCATACTGAATCGCCTACAGCTGTCTCACGGATGGGTTTCAATGATCGATCTCTCAACTCGAAAGTGGCAATTCCTCGGTCAGCGAACCCAAGTAACTGGACGACCAGCGGACGAGTCAGTCGGGCGTGCGAAAATTGCCGAAAGCAAAAGGCTAAATGTAATGGACATCGTCCAACCTGCCAACGATGCCAGGAATCTGGTATTCTTTGCTCATACGGGGATCGGAAGCGAGAGAAGATGGACAAGTGCGTTATGTGATGACTTTTGGACCGCTACCTAGATTTCTGACGGTAGGTACCAGGCTACTCAGTGATCTGACAAGTAAAGTTCAGGTGTATGAGGCCCTACTGGGAGATATTTGTCCCAAGGTGGACTCTTGCTCGGCCCAATATATTAAGCAGCTACTCGATAAAGTAAGGCGGTCTCTCCCCTTGTGCTACACTGCAACTTCCCTTTTTTTTTTTTTTTTTTGCTTTAGCTCCTTTCTTTATGCTGTGACGGCTACCTGTCTACCCTCCTGACTGTCTTAACTAGCCCAGTCTGATTAGAAATTTATAGCAGGCCGTCCATCCTGAACAAGTGTTTGATCGCAAACCTTCGGTATCATCACAGTCATCTAAATTTGCTGACTCTGCTGTGCTTCTGAGCCCTGTTCCGACGTCCCTATTGGGAGGTCTCGACTACACCAACGAGGATTTCAACCGCGATGAGAAGGTCCAAGCGATAGGGTTTGTAGGGGAACATTCGGAAATAGCCTGGCTATACAGATTGCGGCGAATGCTTGATCGCTCCAATCCGACCTTTCCCAAGGAACAACCGAATCGATATTCTGTTGCTTCTGTGAATTTCTTTCTAGACAACGCTAAGATCCCAGTTATTGACAATGCTAATACGGAGAAATGGCCTTCGCAGACGATGGCCGATCAGCTGGTGGATAACTACTTCCAAGTTGTCCATCACTCCTTTCCTATCATAGGGAAAGTTATCTTTTTAAGGCAGTATAAGTCTTTCTACAACACTCCTTATGTGCGACCGGGAAAAAGATGGCTGGCGATCCTTAACTTGGTGTTCGCCATTGCGGCGAGATATTCTCGGCAGATACTAACGGATTCCCAGGGTGCGCCAGATGACGATCGCGTGTACTTTTCTCGGGCGTGGAAGCTTAACATGAGTGAAGTTGCGCTGCTAGATCACCCAAATCTACAACAGGTTCAGGTGGAAGGACTGACTTCGTTTTACCTTTCATCCGTGGGACAGGTCAACAGGTACGCCCCTTGCTCCTTCTCCTCTTGCTCTTTTATTACTTGATTTATGTCTAACTCGGCATATGTGCTTTGTAGGTCGTGGAGGATATGTGGGATAGCTATACGGTCAGCCGTCACTATGGGGCTTAACCTCCGAAGCGAAAGCAATTCAATTGTTCATACATCCAAGGAATCACGTTACCGAGTGTGGTGGTCCCTTTACATGCTGGACATTTCTCTTTCTGTGATGACTGGTCGCCCACCTAGTTGCAGTCATGATTTCTGCACCACTCCTCTGCCAGTGCCGTTCAGAGAGGAGGAGTTTTTGGATGAAAACGTCATTCAGCTTATTACAGATAATGAGTCTCGCAGTATGTTCATGGAGAGGCTTGCCTTTAGCCACTCGAGGTCTTTTCTGATGGACAACGCAACGCCCGGCATTCATGGGCACACGCTCGCCATCCCAGGTAAACAATGTGAGCAAATCGTATCCAATGCTGTCGAAACACTCACACCGAATTCCTCGCTCTACTTTCTGTATCTCGTCGACCTAGGTCTTATTATGCGGAACACTGTTGACACATTATACGCTGCAGGAGCTGCTAGGAAATCGTGGCGTGAGGTAGAAATGGCAATATCCACATTGAATGGGAGGATAGACGCTTGGCTCGAAAGGCTCCCCCCCGCTTTCCACTTCACGCTAGGAACACTAGAATTTGAACGACAGCGGTTAAGCCTGGCATTTCTCTTTTACAGTGCTAAGATCATCATTACGCAACCCTGTTTGAGTCGCCTGACTCGACAGATCTCGGGAACAGAAGCAGGAAGCTTTTGTGATGCAACGGCGACCATGTGTGTCGACCTTGCAATCCAGATGCTTGATCTCTTGCCGGACTTACAGGACACTTCCTGGGTCTACCGTGTGTCTCCTTGGTGGCACATGTTACACATGATAATGCAACCGACCACGATCCTCTTGACGCAATTGCTGTTCCTCGTAAACCCGGGAACTACCAAATACAGGAAAATACATGAGAGCATTTCCAAAGCGATTTACTGGATAGGGGAGACGTCGATAAAGGATCCCACATTCATTCGAGCCTGTCGCGTATGTAAAGATCTCATTGCTGAACATGTTCCAGAGCATGGAATGGGTACGCGCGCAGATCGGGAGAAGCGCTGACTGCTCGCCAAAGTCCCGAATTTTGTCTTCACAATGCATATGAAGCCGGGATAGCTTGCCTCCTCCATCGAGTCTGCATTGTGCCCTTGCGGCTATACCTTGCTCGACCACATCCGTAGGTTCAGCCTTGGAAAAGTGACACACTGAACCCAACTGTCTCGGCAGATCTTCTACGTTTACTTCTTTTTATATTTCCTCGAATATTTTTCCAAAATATTCCGTACACGCAGCCATCCTCATACATACCGTATTCTGTGGATTTATCCAGGCTTGGTGAGTGCAATTGATGTGATAGTGCTTTCTATAGCACCCACGACGAGGTTTTCGCGTGTTAGATCGACGGGACGCAGGAGCTGCACATGTCGTATTTCTGTTCCTCCAAGTACTCTTATGCAGAACGGGGGAATGTGTCAGCTCCACTGTGACTGAGACATGAAAAGAACAGGTGGGAAGCTCGGACCTGCTATTGATTTATGGTAGCGGATAGCTTCTTCTAGTCGGGCAGCCTATTGACTAGACTTCTGGTTATACACAGTACCGTCCCTGGCTAAAATTATATTTCCTCCTTAACTCTTGGGGCTCCCACACACATGCCGGATGCTACCCATCCTTTTCCATTCCATGGCTGTGGACTGTGTCAAATACCTTGTAACTGGGATCCAATTCTTTCTGCCATTTAAAGACACTCAAAATGCTTCATACTGTGTCACACTGGTGAAGGCAGAGTATTATCGGTGGACTCAACAACAATGGAGCTAGTTGTGTATAGAAGCAGCCTACTCTGGAGTATGCCACAAACATGAAAAGAGCGGGGGTAAATGGCGGGTACAGGACCTAGTATGTACCTACTCTCAATATGTCTACTTATGTTGCTGGTTGGAATCAGGAGTTCCTATCGGCATCCTCCGGAAAGTGGCATAGGTTAAATCTTAATACGGGGTAAATCAGGTCAGAAACAAAACTAAACAAAACACGTATTTGGAATTTCTGCAGTGAGTTGAGCAGATTTGGCATAGCCAGTGTAATAACTATCTCGAAATAGTTTAGATTTTTCATGTCTTTGCTCTGAGAGTTACCTATCTCCTCCCTCATGTGGTGCTTGCCCACAATGGATTTCGAAGGTCTCTTCATCATAACGCCATTCTGGCCTGATCGTTTCAGGGGCCATGGGCTGAAAGCAAATGTCCGACAAGAATTTGATATATATCTAACTGAGTCGTTGAGAGGTCCGAGGGTAAAGTTGACCATAAACTGCGATTTTGACACCGTTAGTGGATCTAACCCATAATCAAACCAAATCTTATTCCTAAAGTAACATACATACAAACAACCTGTACGATAGACCCACCGTATATTAGGCATAGAATCAGCAGTTCCTCACTTTTTAGTAGTTAAGTTCAGCCACTACAGACCCCGGATAGTTTCAAACACTAATGATATTTATACTACCTATCAGCCCAAATCTTCCAATAAAGGTGGTTCTTGCTACTACCACCCTATATATTAATACTATTACAGGTTAGCTCGATGTTTATATACCTACATTAGGGAGTAGCGGGTTGGTTAATCAATTGGTTATTGACATTGAAAAGAGCATAATTTCGTACCTGTATAACCCTTTACAACCTCAGCTTGTTGTATAGACTAGGTGTCAGAATAGTCAGATTCTCCAAATACTAGTTACCAAAGTTCCCAGTGGACCCCTTATAGGCTATAGCCTATATTGAGAGGACCACGGCTTCTGCCTCAGGCATCACCTGAAATAGAATTCTACGCCACACTTGGAAAACCACGTGACACGGGAGCTATGACACCGCCTGCTATTTCCAGCGGCCTGTAATATGTGGGGATCCCCATCGATCTGGAGCTATTTCGTTGATAACCTCCAATTGATGCGATCCGTCTACAGAGCGATTGGTTGGAAACAGTCAGAGTTGCTCTAAAATGCAAATTCAATCACGAGGGTAGAGAATGTCTATACGCGGGCCTATGAAGCGCTCACACCTAAGACAGGTGAGCGCAGCTAGTCTAGATACTCTCTCCACATCTCGCTCCTTGGGAGCACTCTCGCATGATAGCCCCAGTGATCACCCCTCGACGCCAGATGAAAGGACTGTCCGTTTATCCTCTACTATCTTGGACCGACGACAATGTTCTCTTTGGGTCCATGATGAAGCCTTCGCCAAAGAGGAAATCTTATTCAATCCGGCCGCCTTCGGTGACACGGAGGTGAACGTCGGCGATGTCGTCGAGATTCTGCCTGTTCGGCATCACGGGGATGGCGCGCAGCCTAAGACAGATATCGGTTCAAGATCATTGCGTGATAGCCATGTCGACTCGAGCTCAACGCTCCATTCGGATTCGATGTCGAAGTTCAAAACTCCGCTCCAGAACCGTTGTCTGTTTGTGGTCAAATCTCTCCCGCATGATATCAAAACGCGACACCCGAAGCTGGAAATATCGGTGACTACCAGTATCGCCAACACATTTGGATTTAAAAACAGATCCACGGTTCATATCTCTATTGTGGATCGTACCCAGTGCGCTGCCTCTCATGTGGACATTGCTTTCCGAGATCAGTTCATGGTCCGCTCTGACATGTGGAGATTGGTTATGTCGGAACTGGCAGAGAAGATCGTTTACAAGGGACAGAAAATTGTATTCATGGGTAGTATCAAGGCCACTGTAAAGAGCATCTTCATTCGAGGCAAGAAGGTTCTCTCAGGCTATTTCTCTCCCCAGACCATCCCGGTATTCCGCAGCGAATCGGCAAAATATGTCTTGTTCATCCAAATGTCTAGAGAGATGTGGAATTTCGACTCAGAAGGAACGGGCGACATACTCTTTAGCCGTGTGATAAATGGGTTTTTACCAGAGCTTTTTAAGCGATGGGCGAATTCAGACGTGAGGCATCTGGTTACCATTGTGCTATTTACCCGAGTTGAGTACGATACCTCAGCCATAGGACCCTCTTCCACACTCAGCTCGGAGAATTTAAAAAACATGGCCAACCCGAATAACGTCCCTACGCGAGATTTTTATCGAGTAGTAGTCAATGATATGGCAAGCGGACATTGGACTACGATCTTGGACGAGTTGAAAAAGGATTTTAGGACATTCCTGAGGGATGTTTCAATTCTCAGGCCGAATGATACTGATACAATCACAATCCCCGGGTTGAAGGCTTCCAAACAGGATCAGCCCCCAACTATTGCAGGGCGACCAAGTACGGCTCTTCGTGGCAATATTCTAGAGGCAATCCACTTAGCATCTTCTCACCTAGCCTATGACCATATCGACCGAGACATGGTACATACCGGCACCTCGATCATCGTCATAACTCCGGGAAGCGGTGTTTTCGAGGTATCTTATGAGTCGTTAGCATCTACCACGGAGGCACTCACAAATCGCGGTATTGCTATTGACTTAGTTTGTCTCAGCCCTATGCCGCTCCATTCCGTGCCTTTGTTCAAGTACCGAGAGCCAGTTCGAAGGCCGTCGAGCTCCTCATTTGTTGAGATTCAGAATGGAGGATTCTCTCCTGAGATGCGTCACTCGTTCGCAAGCTTTGCGAATCGGTCATCTCATATTTCCCCCAAATCTACTATACACGAGGGGTTGGGCTTCAGGGGACATTGGCAATCAGGTTCTCGTGACTGGAGTTACGGAATTCCTCATTGGTTAGACATATCTTATTGGAATCCCGAAACCTACAGAGAGTCTCGACGAATACTGAAGAAAGACCCCAACGCCCCAATCCCATTCACTGTAACAAAAAAGTCCAAAATTTTCGTACCCAGGGTTCGCATGTATGAAATCCAGATGAATGGGATCATGGAGAGTGAACAATCCAACATTTCAATTCCTTACCTTTTCGAAGGGCAGAAAGGCACCCAACGTTCCAGCTCTGGAGTTAGCTTGAACCCGGCCAGTTTGGCTCCAACTAAAACCCCTTTTATTCGCAACTCCCCCTTCAGGTACCAGCTAGGCGACAGCTTACGACCAGATCCGTTTCTTCAGAACATGGGGAATCCCAAGGACATGATGTTGGCAAAGTCAAGGAAGGCTTCCTCAAATTCATCACTTGCATGGATGGACAATTACGATGACAGCGTGTTCATACCGCTTCCGAAGCGACGCCAACGCCGGAAACCTTCAAAAGCGAAACGGCCTAGTGAGCCTGATGTCCTGGTTTCCAGTGCGCACGATCGAATATCTGCTAGATCCATCTCACATCTACGAAAGCATGAAACTTTTTCCAACGAGCGCGATCATCCCACAAGCTCGGAGCCTCGAAAAGTCGATGCATCTTTGGTTGTCCCCAAGAGCCCTGTCTCTATTAAAAGTGCTTCTCCCAAAAAGCCAGCTTTGAAGGCCCCATCGGCTGTGAAATTACCGCGCATATCACGTACAATCAGCTTTGCACTTCGCGGGCTAAGCTCTGCTCCGCCTAGAGCCCAGGCGAGCACTGAGATCAATGTGGAACACGCCAGAGGCTTACCAACATCAAATCAAAAAAGAATCACAGGGATGTTTGCTGATACTAAAAGTGTTGATTCCGCCAGCATTTCTGACGCTGCATCAACGTCAACAGTGATTGACATATCGGCTCCGCCTGCAACACCTCAAAAGCCCATAGAGAGCTCCTCCATAACGCCGTCTCAGCCTATATCTATCAAAGCGCCTCCGAAGCAGCCTTCCGAAGACCTGGAGCAGCCAGAACGCCCTGAGATCACGGAATCATTTTCCACTACTGGCACTGAGATTCCTCTAAATGAGGATGTCCTTCATGAGCCTCAAGAGAAAAAGCGTGGCCCCAAATTCGAGTTAACAGTAAATGGTGGCCTACGTGGGACATCATCCAAATCCTCACATAACAAAGCACTGGCCCCTTGGGTTCGTTCGATTAATCCATGCAATACACCCAAAGATGTCTTGCGGGATACCTCTTGGTTTGGGCGATGGCAACATGCCTATCCAAGACCGCCTCATGTCGCTGTGGTCAAATGGAAGAGTTTGAAGTCCCCTGCTATCCTACCTCTTACAACAGAAGAATTTCCATCCGCGACTGAGCTTTCCTCAGATTATTTGCAAACGCCTTATCGTGTTTTCCCGAACGACGACCCCGAAGGCATTGAAGTCCCAAAAACTAGGGGTGCGCTTCTGCGTGAAATGATATCCTTACGTCTTTCTCACGGATTCCAGATTGTGGTCGGGAAGACTGTAGTTGAGGTATCCGGACAGCACTCGCTGCAATCGCCAAATGTTTTTGACACTCAAGAGCTGGAAAAAGACGGTGCTACTGTTTTCTTGTCTAAAGGCAACTCTATCCATAGGTTGATCTGCATTGGTGGCGCGGAGATTGAGGTCACACGGTTCACCCATAGAATATCCTCGACTCTAACGTCTGAGAAGAGAGACCACTTCGGCACAAATTATTCGCCTGCAATGCGGACAATCCTGAGCCCTGAATATAAAATCAAAAACATAAGACTCGATTCGACGGTGGAAGAGTACAATTGGAACTATGCAGATAACTACGTGGCTGGACATCGTGATTATTTATTTAACCCAGCCCAGCAGCTACAATTTTGGCGTGTACGCTACGTGCTCATACCAATGCAACTGCATGTCCACTCCCGGCGTCACATCCAACCTTTCAACGAAGATAACGAAGAGGAGATCCATTTACTCGGAATTAACCAACTCACACATATATGGCAACGTCACAAATATGTTCCTCCAGAAGAGAAGAGATTCGAGAGCTCCAACAAAAAGAGGGAACAAAATCCCCTTAACATTATGTACCAGACTCGAAATCCACCAGAAGTGGTAGCAGCAGAGTTAGATCGGATCTTGCTTACCGATCCCGGACTAGACAATTCCCCGGCGCAGTTGTTACCGGAATCAGAGTTACTTGAGCGGTCCAATATCAGCTTGTCATCATTGGCACAGATAGTCCAGGGTGATAAGGGTGTTCGGATGATGGACCGAAGGTGGCACTGGCGACTTCATTACAACTGCTTTATTGGTTTCGAGCTCACCACCTGGCTTCTTCAGAATTTCCGCGACATTGACACCCGAGAGGAAGCCGTTGAATTTGGTAACGAGCTGATGAAGCACGGTCTATTTCAACACGTGCAGAAGCGACACAATTTCCGGGATGGTAACTACTTCTATCAAATCTCAAGCGAGTATCGAGTCTCTCGCCCAGAGTCCCGCGGGAGCTGGTTCCCTCAGATACTATCCGATAGATCAGTTCCATCTACCCCTGCAGGCGAGCGTCCGAGAGACTCCATCGCCAGTGGTCAATCCCGGACCAACAGTATAGATGACACCGTACCGCAAACACCAAATACCCCGTCCAAATCGAAGAACAAAGCTACCATTATGCTATCCAAGTCGATGAAATACGATGTCGACCCCCGCAAAAGGTCAAACCGGCCTGAGGTTATTGACCTCCACTACGATCGACTGCATAATCCAGATAATTGCTTTCACATTGAGCTGAGCTGGATGAACACCACTGCGAAATTAATTGAAGATACTGTGCTCTCATGGGCAGCCACGGCGGAAAAGTTCGGGCTCAAACTTGTTCAAGTTCCTATTGCTGAGGCCTGCGCTATTGACGAGACGCAACCGTTTCGAAAGCCACATGTGGTCCAACTCAGAATTCCCCCTCCGAGGCCTCCTGCTCCTACCATATTCAACCAAGGATCATTCTCGCAGCAGGGCACACCGGATCGTCATTTCTTTCATAGGGCCCTCCTGCGAAAATTTGAATTCATCCTGGACTTTGAAGCCGGATCTGCGTTCCCTGCCGACGTCGAAGTGACTTACTCCTGGGGAATACCAGAATACCGTTACCCACAATTTATCCATCGAACCGGTAGCATTTTGGCCCAGATTACCGAAAATGGGGACTTTCTCTTCCTGGCCAATCGGCTCGTTAGCACAAGAGGTGCCGCTAGTCGGGAAATGCCCAGACACGACAGAACTGATCAATACCGAGCACGGTCGAGTACTTATGACCCGATGGATCGTATATCGCCTCGACTGTGTCCCATTGTCCGCCCGACTCACGATGTGAGCAGCCCCATCAGCCCTCAGAATCAGAGCAGCTTAGACTCGGCCAACCTCTATCGTGCCCCCGAACTTATTCTTAACGCGTTTGCGGACTTCTGCAACGATCAGGCTAAGCTCGAACAATTCTACAGCGAATTCTTCGTTCGTCCAGCATCAACCAAAGTCGAACCCACCGTCACCTCACTTATGGATGCCTCCATTCCTTCGCTTGAACTGCCGGCGAGTGTCGTCAGCCATCATATCTCGCCTCCACCTATGCTATCAAGAAATGCCCAGAATTCGACGCTATCATCAATTGACCCTATACAACACGCCCGAGATGATGCCAAGGGGCCCCGAGGGAGTCCACGAAGTGCAGTCTTACGGCCACTTAAACTGGGTTAACGAATCAATTCGTTGAAAGATACTGGAATGTGTTATGATGGGAGATGTCGATTGTATATATGACATGAGCAAATCTTAATTCCTTGGTCTTGTAGTTATATATTTTCTATTTATTTTTTTTGGAACTCCTACCATCTCCAAGGCTTTAGTATTCCATTGATAGTGATAGCCTATGGCCAACCGCGTCACATGAAGCTCAGGTCACGGAAAGGAATCCTGATTAACCGTTCAGGCTGAATAGCCTCAATCAATCCTAACTTCGCATCTCCACGATTGGTTGGGAGTCCTCAAGGACGGAGAAATTGCGTCAACCCCTATCAGACAACTGAGGGGAAATAATGGACTGAGCAGTCAGACACTGACTTCGAGCACGGACTTTAGCCCTTTACGGATATGGTTCTTACAAGCAACTACTATGCCAACAGTGGCGTTTATCCAGCTCTGGGTTCTAGTCGCCGATATTTAAGACCCGACCGATGTGGGATCTTCAGAATCAACTCTCTACCATCTCATCGACCCTCTTCGAGTAGAGCTAATCACTTTTCTGATAGTCCAAAATGACGTTCACCGAGGGAATGTGGCATCTTTGAGTGAAGGGATCCTAGGTCTGAAGGCCGTACTTGTCGAGTACGAGTGGCTGACACTCTTTCGCAGGAAGGTATCCGGATTGACTGGATGAACAATGTCAAGAGATTGAGCATTGAGGATGAGACCGTTGACCTCTTGTTGAATAAATTCCAGAGACATCGTGGAGATACGCTAAACTCCGGTTTGTCGTCTTGGTAATGAATTCTACCTGTAGAATGGGAGCTAATCAACTTCTTGATTCGCAACGATTTCAGCCCATGCTAGTTCCCCATTGGGAGGCGTGATTAGAGTTAGATTTGTCCATTGGCACGTGGTCTCAGCTCTAAGGGTCCTAAAATATGCCAACATATTTCGCATCATAGGGCAGGCCAAATGAAAAATGCTCCTCACTACAAGCGGCACTCTTCCACCGGTCATACCAAAATCCGTTACGAAAAGAACAAGAAACTGCAATACAGCAGTGGCCCGTTAGAACTGACCATTAAAATGGAACCCAATGAGCTAGACTTTGCTTTCACGTGCTAAGGGCGATATCACTGGACATTCGTCGCGATCTATCGGATACGTCGGTGACCAAACGACAGGAAACTCCCGTTGGGATGATGGAAACTTCTTTGAACGTCAAGGGTACACGCTCGCAGCTTTAGATCTCGGCATGGGAGAGAAGATACATGACCTTGGAGAGAGGTTCGGTCACTTGGTTAAAAACAGCCAGAGCGTCGATATCAAGAATGAAGACGGTGGGACATCGTCCGAACTAGCCTACAAAAACATCCCACTCTACATTAGTTCAAAAGGATGGTGTTTTTATAAACAATCTAGGAAAAGTCAGTCTCGAATTACAATCAGAACGAACCACCAGATTCAATGTGTCGATCGCCAGCGAGGAACTAGAATACTTCATCATTTACGGAAACACGCCCAAGGATATTCTGGCCAGGTATACGGTCTTGACTGGACGTCCCAGCCTGGTGCCTTCCTGGAGTTACAATTTGTGGCTAACTACCAGTGCGTGCTTTTCTCCTCTTTTATTATCTATATTCCCCTGTTACTGCTCAGATGCTGATTACATCCTGTGTTTAAGCTTCATGACCAACTATAACTGGCAAACTGTCACCAGTTTCCTGAATGGCTTCCGGGATCGTGACATCCTCTTAGGCTTCTTCCACTTTGACGGTTTCTGGATGAAGTCTTACCAGTGGTGCGACCTTGAGTTTGACTCCGAAATGTTCCCCGACGCTGCTAACTGCCTCAGGCGCCTTAAAGACCGAGCCCTACTCATCAGTGTATGGATCAACCCATAAGTTGGACAGGCATCTCCACTCCTCCAAGAGGGCAAAAAGAACGGTTACTTCATCAAAGTGATCACTCTAATCCCCGTCCCGCAACTCTCGCACAGCGCACAGATGGCTCCGTCTGGCAGTGGGACTACTGGCAAACCGGCATGGCCATCGTCGACTTCACCAACCTAGACGCCTGCGGCTGGTTTTCATCTCACCTCCGACGACTCATGGACATGGGTGTAGCTTCGCAGAGCGCATCCCATACCGAAACATCCAATACGACAACGGCTTCGACCCTGTCCGCATGCACAACTACTATTCACTCCTGTTCAACAGAGTCGTCTACGAGACTATCATCGACTGCTACAGACCCTATAAAAGCCTCCTATTTGCTCGCAGCACTGGCCCGGGCGGCCAAGCCTTTCCCATCCACTGGGGCGGCGACTGCGAAAGCGCCTACCAAGCCGTGGCGGAGGCTTTCCCCGGTGGTCTAAGTCTCATGCTATCTGGGTACATCTTCTGGGCGTCGGACATCGGTGATTTTGAAGGAACGCCTCCCCCGCCTTTATACAAACGCTAGGTCCAATTCGGTCTCCTCTCATCCCATTCACGGCTCCACAGGTTCTCTTCGTTGCGGGTCCCCTGGATCTATGGTGAAGACTGTGTCGTGCTCCTCGACGCCGTCAACCGGAAAAATCCTCCTCATGCCGTACATCCTCACAGAGGCGCTTCTGGCCTATTCCCAGGGAAACGAGCTCATGAGACCCATGTTCCTGGAATTTCCAGAGGACCTGAACACCTACCCACTTGACACGCAGTACATGTTCGGCAGGGATCTGCTCGTGGCTCCTGTCTTCTTGGACGAAGGCACCGTGACGTTCTATGTCGCCCCGCACTCCGGAGGAAGACGGGGCTGGAAATGTCGGGAAATGGGTCTCGTGGTTCGATCATTCCAAGACATACGAGTCTGGTCGCTGGTATACCGAGACTCGTGGGATTGATACTTTGCTGATCCTGATTTGGCCTGGATCCGTGACGCCGATTAATTCGAAACTGAAGGCGCCGCAGGACGATGCGCTGGATGGCCTCGAGCTCCTAGTTAATGAGAGCCTCACTGCGGAGGCTATATGGTCGATCCTAGTAATACACAGGATATGTTGAACGTCGTGAAAGTTGCACACAGGGCTGGCTCGGTTTTCGCCGACGATGCCAATGTGAAGGTCACTTGGGTGGGTTATTAGAGTTTCGTGATATACAGGGAAGAACAGGCAAAGCTATCATGCCCTAGTGTAAGTGAATGTCTCTCGTGGCCAGTTTCCTAAGGGCAGTAACCAGGGGTACATCTAAGCTTAGTCTCAGCTCCGTCTACATTCAGGTTATGATCTTCACCTCCTAGAACAATTAATTCAATATTCGAATATTAATGTAAGCAAATATAGTAGAACGGCTGCCATGACTCTCCAGTCCCCAGTCATGCTCATAATCATGAGTCAGTCATAATACATGAAGTGACAAATCAAAACATATGGGTATCATGGTGATTCAGAAGGGAAAAGAAGAAAAATTTCAAATCAAAAAAGGTCAGTTAAGAAAGAGGATAACCGCCAAACTGTCCAGTTACCCAGTGGTCACATCCAGTTTCTGGAAAATATACGGATAAAGAGACAGGGGGTTTCAAAAGAAGTAAAAGCAAGAAAGAGGGGCCAAACTTGGATACACAACCATTCAAGGTTGCTATTCATTGCAAAGCAAATTACCAAGCCTCTTCAACATCAAGAAGCCATTTACGGACTCCCTCTCTCAATGTATTGTCAGGCCCAGCCAACGAGCGCTTGCGCTCTCGATCAGCTAGACCGAGTTCTCCATCAACATCCTCTCGACAGTGTTCTGCAGTCACGCTGCGGACAACCTCCTCCAGAGCTCCCAGTACTAGCTTGCGACATTCTGTACGGGGCACCTCCAAAGGAGGTACTTCATCGCGAGTTGTAGCCTCTGCGGTTGGCTTATCCTCTCCCTTGCGAGCCCGGGATGGCGATGGAGCACGGGAATGTGCCAGCGAAGAAGGACCACTTTGGGCAAGGACTCGTTCCAATGCATCAACCAAGGTGCCATCTAGGTCCATGACTGGCTCCTCAACGAAAACCTCTTCAACCTCACTGGGCTCGTACACATCCATAAATGAATGCGGAGATGCTCTACTAGAGCCTGTCGCAGGTGAAAAGGAATTCGTGAGCTGCGATGCAGACGTCGAGCCCACTGAGATGTGCCTAGGGGTGCTTGGCTGCGAGGGCACTGGGAGTGAATTTGCACTCCGCCAGTAAGCACTTCCCACAACTTTGCGTCTCAGACGTAGTCGCTTAACCGTGAAAGTCCTAACATCTGCAATCAATGTTGTCGCAACGTCAACCCACTTTTCCGATCCATCAACGTCACCAAAGGCTGAAGTTGGTGTAGGTTCGGATTTCATTGTACGCTTGATGTCAGCCTCCAAGCTGGGATATGGTCGGACCGCTTGAAGCAAGAAGTCCTCATGGAAGCTCTTCAACCAGCCAGCAACATTCACGTTAGGCCCTTCGCTGTCCCTAAGCGGGGCGTGGAATCCGGAACCGCTGCTATGTGTCGATGCCAGAGCATCCACGCTGGTTACCGATGTCCGCGTTTTCTTTGGGGAAGATACAGTGGAATCTCCGGACGAAGAAAGAGAAACAAATCCAGGCAGCGGGAGATCGACATCTACGATTCCGTCGTCCCCGCGGACAGACAGTTTTAGAAAGGATTCTCTAGCGTGCTCGATCGTAGATGAAAAGTCTGGAGCGTCCTCTCCAAGGCTTTGAGCGTTAGAAGAGTGAGGAATCGAGATATTGCCACTCGCAGACACCTCGGGAATATCATATTTGTGTTCTGGGGACACTTCCTTGACCATTTGGGACAGAGTACGGTGGGGCCGCTTTGGAGGAGCGGTATGGACAGAGATGGAGCGTCTTCGGGCCTCGATTTGTGAGACTGAACCGCTGTCCATAGCAGAGAGCTGGCGAGAGGGCCACAAACCGGAGAGCAAGGTACCCCATCGGCCACCAATAGATGGAACACTACCGTCGGTATTAATTGCAGAACTCTCACTCCTCTGCAGATTCTTCAACAGATTCTCGGATGCTAAACTATCACTTCCGTCGGCCACGGTGCGATCCAACCTCTCGCGTTCTGCTTGACTCTGCGAAGCAAAATGGGGGACCGGAACAGTAGTGCTCGGGGTGGCGGTGGAGGTCGTAGCTAAGCCAGTGTTCTTATTCATACGCACATCCTTCACATGCATGGGGACACCTATGGTGCGGATGGAGCGCGCATCAGACCCTCTGCGACGAGAGCTAGCGTCAATCGGCACTGTGGAGTCGGCATCGTCCGCCGAACGGTGTGCAGTCTCAGAGGACGAAACGCTCACAGACCGATGGTGTTGTTCTCGGTCAGATAGGTTGAGACGCTGCGCACGAGACCGGCGTTCGATAGTTCTTCGAAGTGAACTTTGCCTCGTGATGGGCATAAAAGGTGGACTTTGAGAGATAGCGCGTGCGGATGCCGAGGTACCTGGCCGGATGGGGGAAGGAAGCGGCTCGAAGCGCTGTTTGGGAGGAAGAAAGGCTGAAAGCAAGAAAATGAGACGGCGGGCCGTCATCTTGTCCGGAGAAATGATCACTGTGCGGTTTGCGAGGATCGGGTCCAACTCCTGCTGCTGGGCTTTCTGTTGAAGATAGTGCCGGCGACGGTACCAGTCTGGGCCCAGTGTATTAAGCCATTCGGTGTGGTTCCCCAAAAACGCCGTAATGAGGACCAGGAAAAAGAAACTGTGCTCTTTGTCCCCAAGACCGCGAACAATCGAACGTCCTTCTTCACGCCAAACACCCCAGCGACTCTGTCCCGTCACCACGTGCGGAGTTTGAAGGGCAGTGCTGATTCGGCGGGTACTCCGAACAGCCTCCTCTTTCAGTTTCGAGTTCACAGCCAGGATGTTGGCCGGTAAATGAATAATAGTTTGGTTCGTACGCTGCATATTTGGGGCCTTTACGGGCTTCGGATGCACTCCCGACGACGAATCCACTCTCTTCAAGAGGAAAAGAATTTCCTTGCGAGAAAGTCTCTCCAAGTGAGAAACAGCACGGTTGATAACATCCCACTGATCCACGAGTAAATCAATGCGTTCATCCAAACTAGCCGGTGGAGATGCCATCGGCAAACTATCGTCGAGGAATCCAGGGCGCCAACGATAGGCCGAGTCCAACGAACAGGAAATTCCAGGCTTTGGGGAATCCGGACTTTGGGTACTGAACCGAGAAACGGGCCTTCCAGCATTACGGCCCAGGAGCGGAATCTGAATAGTGATCGCCACAGCATACATTGGGGTCTTCTTCTCTTTGATCTTTTTGCGCTTTGTGACATCGGGGAAGGGGAAGCCCGATTCAGGAGGCGATTCTTGATATACTGACGAGGAGATATCTGGTCTGCCTGGGGAGGTTTCGCCTGTCTCTGGTAGGTTGACGCTGAACATCCTAGTTATGAGAATAGTCACTTTCGATGGCGGTTTGCTATCGCTCGACTGGCTGGAATGTGTAAACCCTGAAGAGCTTCCAGTAGTGTGTGCTCGAGCGAAATGATGGCGGGACGTCGTGTTTGTGCCCGAAGTCTTATCAGGCTCCTCATCGGCGGAAATTATATGCATTTTTGTTGACGAGCCTCGGTAGCTGAAAGCACTGCTGCCAAATATACAGTTTAGTAGACTAGAATCATTCGAGTCTGCCGAGTGGCGTGAGTGGCCGGCATCATAAAAACCTCCACCAGGAGCCAGGGTAGAGCTACGGCCACGAGCTCGCAAAAAGGCACCAGACGAAACGGGAGGAGACCGACGAGCTTCCGCAGCAATCGAAAAAGGGCCTGGTTCTGCCGCCGAAGACTGAGGTAAATATCCTCGACGAGCCCCTCTGGAAATAGTCGAGACCGTGCGTGCATGTCGTGCGTTCGATCCATCCAGCGCCTGAGACTCTATTCCCAGCCCATGAGAAGCCGGGTCCGCTGCGCGGGTATCCAATAAAACACAAGCATCCTTGTCTCCCAATGCATTCTGAGCAATGATCACACGAAAATCCTTGATGGGGTCCAAGTCCACTCCGACGCCTCGATCATCATAAGCACCCGCCGTAGAGGCATTCGGGGAACTAACGGTTGTGTGGAGAGGGTAGGCATGGGTACTCGAATGTCGAAGAAGGCTCGCATCTGGGAACAGTAGACCCGACGTATGTTCTTCTTCAGTTACGGATTCAAGTTGGTGTGCATTCTTTGCAGAATAAGTCGCCGGACTGAACGTGGAGGCAGCTGTACTTAACAACCGGCCCAACATATTGACAGAAGTAGGAAGACCACGTAATAAACCACTAAAGAAAACGGACAGAAAACAGCAAAACAGCTATATCAGAAGACACTGCGGTTCCCCATCCTTCAACCCTGCCGGACAATAACCATGGTCGGAGGATTAGTGACAATGGGAGGGAGTATTGGATAGCCGAAATGGTGGGAGTTGAAAGCAATTGAGGGGTAATTGACGGTGGAAGTGGGACCTAACACCGTGGAGTCAGGGTTTAAGACCATAAAATGTGTGGCCGAGAAATGCAAGCCGTGAGGAATAGTGACCAAGACGTGGAGAGAGGGGTGAAGAAGGACGAAGAAGTCGGGATGGAATGAAAGGGCGGTGAGGAAGCCATGCACATGATCTCAGCCTCATCGCATGCAGTGGCACGCATTGGGTGCACAACCACCTCATCTTGCAGATGACAAGCGCCGTATTCCAGGGAGCCTTTGCAGGAATTTCAATAGAAGTCGCTCGTATTACAGGGAACAGGGATGGTGGGGAAGAATGACTCAGAAATAAGTTGTATCTCAATTTCAGTTGAATGTAAGCATTCTAGCCACAGCACGATGCAAGTACATGAAAATAGTAACAAGTAGGTATCCTAAACATCATATAAGCTGTTTCTCCACTACTTCTTCTGTGATTTCTGCTTCACTTTATCCACCAAGCTCTTCAGATCTTCATTACCCTCCTTGAGAGTATTCTTCTTATGCTTCTTTTTCGTCATCTTGTCATGCCTATTGGCCTCATCTTCGTCCCCACGCTCATCACGATCCCTTCGCCGCTTCCGTCCTTCATCCAACAGCGCTTTCATGCCTGACGTACCCTTAAACCTGGGATTAGTCGGATCAATCGCAAACTCATGGCTGTCAAATAGGCGGGAAAATCGAGGATCGCTGACATCCATCTGGAAGTCATCTTGAATTTCAGGAGGCGGTTTGCCTTTACCCTTGCCTTTCTTCTTCTTTGCGGCTTGTTTCTCTGCCTTCTGGATCGCATTCATGTCAAAATGCTGGACCCCTTTGTTGTCATCGTCCATCATTAGCAGCTCTAACTCGGCACGCTTGGCCGCTTCGGCCGCTTCTTCGGCTGCACGTTCTGCCCGCTTCTTTCTCCTCTCCTCCTTACGACGAGCTGTGGTAGTTGCCTTCTCGCTAGGGTCGTCAAAGAAGGGATCGTTGAAGCCCAGATCTTCTTTCTCTTCCCCTGTTACACCCTGATCTTCCGCTTCGTCATCGACGCAACCATCGCCCTCATTATCGGCATCGCCCCGTTTGGCGGCCTTCAGTTTCTCCTTTCTCCGTTTCTTCCTCTCACGCTCTTTGCGCACATACCTTTCAAGCGTAGATTCTTCCTTTTCGGGCTCATTCTCGAAGATGCTATCTCCTTTGCGACCCCCCGCAAGACCGGAAGTAAAAGTGACCTCCATTTCACCAACAGGCCCATCAGATTTAGCGGACTGTGATGGCTCCGAGCTTAACCCTAGGAGAGCGCGCATGCGCTGCCTCTCGTCATCCTTCCTAGAGACCTTTGACCTGGTCTCATTCCCCTTTGTAGCATCAATGACTTCCACAGTCTCATCACCCCCATCCTCGTCGTCATCGGAGCTGTCGCTAGCGAGATAAGCTTTCAGGTCGTTTTCGTCGATTTCTTTTCGGCTGCCACGAAAAGCGCGAGCCTGGGCTTCCTTGCGCGACTTGTCCTCCATGTCCCATGTTAGTTTAACTTTACTATGCTGTAACGCGTCGGTGACGAATTCGTTGGGCTGATAGCCATCCGGAATCCGAGTGCATTCATCGCGGGGTTTGTCATCGGAAAAGTCAGTATCTTCAGGCACAAATCGGAGGTCGAAAAAGTTGGCACTCGATAGATATTCTGCACCATCCACTAGGTCATATACATGCTTTGCAACTTCTTTGGACGAGAACGTGAGAATAGCATAGAAGTAGCGGAGACGCTCCAGTTGATACTTCCGTAGCTGTGTAGAGTTGAATTCCTCGCCCTTGTCCTCCTTGAGCATAGACTTTTTAATATTTTCTTCTTCTTCTTCGGAGTCAAATTCTTCCTCAACTTCATCACTAGTCTCGTCACCTTCGCCTGAGGCAAAAATCTCCCGAGGGGGACCCTCCGTTTCTTCCCGCTCCATTCGCTCCTTTCCAAACTCGCTGGGAAAGACGGAGACCTTCAGTACACGGCCAGCCGCAGGGGCAAAACTGGAAAACACTGCCATCAAGTCCGCTGCCCGGATATTATCCCAGTCGAGGTTCACCACAGCAATGCGATCCGTCACGCCACCCGTGGGTACGCTGGCCTGTTGCTTGTCGGGGAACTCCAGCTCATCCCCAGCTTCAAGCTCTGCTTCGTCTTCATCTTCATCCCCGTCGTCGTCATCACTGGTCTCCTCCTCTGATGAAGAGGACGAGAACCCTCCATCCCGTGCAGGATCGTAAGAATCAGCCTTTTTTAATTCCTTGAGGACCTCCTCGTCATCATCACCGCTGACTTCTTGGTTTTCATCCTCATCTTGATCCTCCAGTCGGTAGAATCTTTCCAGTTGCTTTTTCGTATCATCGTGAGCAAGCTTGCGTCCGTACCGGTCAACTGCAGCGTTCCGAGAAAAGTCTTTATCACGCAGCATGTGCGCGAAACGTTTGTCGAGTTTCACATGGGTTTGGCGCTTGCTAGGGAGACGATACCGAGGGTCAGTTTGGATATTGGCAAATCGAGGATCCCCTATGAGAGTGAACGAAAAAAAGTTAGTTCGTGCATGGCTCAAACAAAATGGAAAAGACGTACTGATCACCGAGTCGGCCTGGCTTTTGGCACCGCCGCCCTTTTTCGACTTCTTTTGATCAGGCATTGTGGCTAGTCCACAAGCGAAAGGAAAACGAAACCTATTTCACTGGTAGAGCAAATAGAAAGGTCACAATAAAACCTGCGAATTTACCGGACAGCAGCTAATAAAAGTGGCTGATTAAAATGCGATAAGGATAATTTTCTTAGCGCCCGAACCAAAGATTCTACTTGGTATATGGTCCGTGCGCACACGGAGCGACGCCGACTCGTGAAAGTCTCTTTGGCACGTATATAATTATTTGTCAGAATAGGCAGATATACTACTGAGTACTACGTGCAAATTGTAGCAGCGCTACTTTTTGTGGTGTGGTGTTATATCTGACAATATTCAAAATTTCCTATATACGAGACTATATTGCATAACTGTATGCACAATATAAACACCAATCATATCAGACATACCAAGCTCATCCTTCAACTGTTCAACAACCAAAATATCTCTTCTCCATCCATCGAGGTTCTTGCTCCTCCTCGATCCGTCCAACAATGACCTTGACCTGGGGATATACTGTAGTCAATCGCTTAAGCCCAATTTTCCCTGCTGCACATGTCACAAACACAATTCTTTGCTCCTCTACTCCATGGTCAATCAAAATACGGACTGCCATCAAGGCAGCTCCTCCGCTGGACATTTGAGGGTCCAGCAGCATGACCGTGGCATGTTGTTCAATACCAGGAGGCAGCTTTAGGTAGTGCAGCTCGGGCTCTTCATTCCGGGCATTGGTCTGAATAAGCACTCGACCAGTAATACAATCAGGAATGGTTCGCTTAAGAGCTGTCTCAAGACAGGAACCCCCTCGTAAGATTGCGACAGCAGACATTACTCCTGATGGGTTTAACCCACTGTATGTCGTCCCCTGAGGTGTTTGCACCGTCGATGGGGTATACAAGGTATTGTCCAAAGCCCTATCAAAAGGATATCAACTGGGGTGACCAGTATGTGCGTTTGTAGGCGAGTGACTTACTTCTCAATCAACAAGGAAGCAATTCGGTCAAAATAGAACACAAAGTCAACCTGTTCAGTTTCCGGGTTCTGGAGGATTGTGTTCATCGCAATAAACTGGGACGTTTCAGGCATCACTATCACATTCGAAGAAAGTTGCAATTCTGAGGCAATCAATCCCAGTTTGCGTAACTCTGCACTGTGTTTTTCTGATTTCTCCTCAAGTTTTCGTTGAATGTGCTTTACCACCATATCTGTATTATTCAGTCAACAGCCCAAAAAGAGGAGAGTGGATGCTATTTCCTACCAATAGCCGTTTTGTTCTCGATACCACGAGGGATTATAATGTCTAGAACTTCCTATCAGTCAGGAAATTAAAATACTCACATGACCAGCTTACCAGAGACAGACCGCTGAGGCTCTACATAGTACTTGTAGGACGGTTTGACGTAGTTAAACCATTGTTTGATGATTCCGTCAATGTCCCTTCCTCTCTCCCGGACGTCGCGCATGACTAGCTTCGTTTTCTATTAGAGGACCTCCCTTGTGAAGGCTATGAGAGCACCCACTTCTGCGTCCCAGACAGACATCCATGTCTGCTTCTACAAAGATCTGAAAAACGCTAATCAGCATAGTGGACAAGTTAATGGGCAGGGCAGATCGTACCTTGACATCCAAAAGGTCATTGATCCTGGGGTCATGTAAAGCCAAGATACCCTCCAATATTAACACTCTAGGAGAATAAAGAGTGGTCGTCTGGGGCTGACGCTGATGCTGGGCGAATGAATAAACGGGGATATCTGCCTTCCTCCTTATTATGGGTGGAGGTGTTGTTAGCTACCTTACAAACCACCCGAGTTACGATGTGGGCTGTGTAAGGTACCCTTGTTTTAAGTCCTTTAAGGTTTGCACCAAGACATCGAAGTCCAAGGCATCGGGGCAGTCAAAGTCATATTCATTCCTATGCGCTTTGGCATGTTGCTCCGGGGTCAAGCTCTTGTAAAATGAGTCCTGTAGCAACCAATGTTAGAAGCTGCAGACTCCTTCCATATTCGTGTTCTCATTGAGTGTGAAGTAAACAAAGATAATACCATTACGAGGATGACCACCCATGGCAGGTTCAGTGACTTCACGATTTCCATAGCCACAGAGGTCTTGCCGGAACCGGAGCTACCAGCGATGCCAATAATACTCAAATCTGCCCATGGTGGAGAGTAGCTGTTCTCAGTAGCAGTCGAATACACAGGCGGAGTCGATTCCATGCTTCTTTTCGGACCTGTCGATACGGGCAATTCAGGCCCTTTGCCACATAGCACACACAAAGTGGCCGATAAGAAGGTTTCGATTACTACTTCTGTGTAGACGCTGAAGTGGAGGTCGGCTTAGTCCCAACGCGGCTAGTGCCGGCGGCTGCACCATTTGGGCTTAGCATTGACCCGTGACTTTCGCTTGCAGAAAAAACGTGACCAACAGCACCTGCTACATTTCTTTCGATTTTCATTTCCTCTTCTCTTCTTCTCTCTCTCTCAGCATCCTCATGGCTCCCGTCTGCGAAGCTCTCCATCTTCACAGACGGCCTGAATTCAACTCACAGGGCATTTAATTGTCCTAGCATTGTCTTCCACAACCGTACCATGTCTTCTGCTAATTACGTATGCTTCCCGGCGTGTTGTACGTGCGTGGATGCTTTGTTTTAACGGGAAACAAGCAGATGTCTCCCACTTCCTCAACAACAACGCCAACATGGCATCAGTTCGAGCGGAAGGTTGACGAGGTCAAACCATCCAAGACGTGAGTTTCCTCTTAGCCGCTTGCTTTCACAGTTCTACCTTGCATGATGTATCTTCAAATCAAGTTGGGAATCTCTCTGAATACCCTTGAGGAGAAACACATTAACTTGTCCTTCTGAATCACCTTCTTTCTACCAAGTGCCTTGGTCCATTCCAGTTCGCGTCTATACGCAGCGACTAATGTGGTCTATTCAGTGACATCAATGACTTGGTTATGGACTACCTCATCACCAATGGCTATCCCGCTGCTGCGAAGAAATTTGCAGTTGAAGCCAATATCCAGCCTAAAATGGATGTTGATTCTATCCAAGAAAGAGTAGCGATTCGGACTGCGATCCACTCTGGTAATATACAGGCTGCGATCGAGAAAATAAACGAGCTCAACCCTCAGGTATGTACTTCCACACTATATCCACGTTTCCTTTCCGTTTGCTAGGATTATACCTTGTTTCATGCACCACTCGTAAAACTTCTTTGAGGTTTGACGAAAAACAAACATCTTCAGTCCTCAGTATGAATAGCAACTTTGCATACAACATATGATCACGCATACATAGTGTCTTGGTCGAAGCAATTACTGACCGTTTTTGACCATAGATCCTGGATGAAAACCAGTCGTTGCATTTCGCATTGCTACGTCTGCAGCTCGTGGAGTTGATACGCACATGCACATCTAAACCTGATGGGGACATCAGTCCTGCCCTTGAGTTCGCGACTTTGCAACTTGCTCCCCGGGCACCCACCAATCCTCAGTTCCTAGAAGATCTCGAGCGAACCCTTGCTCTCTTGATCTTCCCGCCTGAAAATCTCACCCCATCTCTTGCCCCACTTCTCCACCCAGACCTACGTAAGGAGATCGCCACCAGCGTCAATGAGGCCATACTACAAAGCCAAGGTGCCCGTAAAGAGGCCCGGCTGCGAAACCTCGTCAAATTGCGCACTTGGGCCGAGCAGAAAGCTCGCGAAGCTAAGAAGGACATCCCCGAAAAGCTGGACTTTGGGCTTGGTGATAACAGCAATAGTGACCAAGACGCCACGAAGGCCAGTCGAAATGGCACCTCTAATGACACTGTAATGACCAATAGCGGAGACGTTGATCCGATGATCTCGTGATATGATGCCCTATTATGCTCTATTCGCTCAGCCAGCACTTCCCAGGAGTCCGCACCCAGTAATTATAGCGAGGTGTTTTGGCGCAGGTTTATCTGCTATTTTTTGTAACATGATCCCTTACTACAAATACCAAGTCAATTTTGCTAGACCATTTGATATTACATTGTAAATTTTACTGTAAATGAAGTAAATGAAGCATTGAATGGAAGGGGTAAAGGCTTATACTACAAACCTGATGGTAGTGCGAAGTAATTACACTGTTGAGGTACCCTATGTCTATGCGACTCAACCAAAAGGCTATGCATATTAGCTTTTAATGATCTTTAGGATTATACTCAACATACCCTACACTGCCTAGGCAGATTGCTTCAAAGTTGGCGGAACAATACATAAAACCTGTTAACAACTTCATCCCAAACGACACGCAGGCATTCAACAGATATAAATTAAATTACATATATTTACACATCCGATATTTAAATCCAATCCGGATAGGGGCACATATGTCCAGCTATTGTCATGAACGCTGAGTAGGTATAGTTTTTATTTGTCGATTAAACAACATAATAGATTATCATATACGTGCTATATAGAATTATGAGATTGATATAAGTGTACAGGGCTATGCAAAGGCCTCCCAATACAACAGATTATCCAAACCATTTTAAGTCGACAGATATACGAGAACATCATTGAGCTATGATAAATGTAATGCATATTTTTGTTTAGAAACTCATCAGATCTGGAGAGATATATTAGCCACGGAAAGGAATATGGATACCAAGAAATAACAAAGGACAAGACAGGACAGGACGAGAACCAACCTCTTCCGAAAAGTGATCGTTTGGCCCAGTCCATCGCAAGCATAACTCGGGTGCGAAGGCTGACACTCTGCGCGAAGTAGATGCTACGCCAGAGATACATGGCCAGCACACCACCGCTGAAGTTATGGCCACCGAAATCAAATATAGCAGCGTTGCTGATATAGGCTAGACTACCGAGGTGTCGGTACTTGAAGGCCTTATAGACTGTTTCGTCCAAATCGCCGTAGTCCATCTCGTTGGCTCTCATACCGGGAAGAGCGGCGGCAATCTTGGCCAACTTTCGGCCTAGATACTCGCCCTGCTGGTTGGCGCGCTGGGCGGTGGCGGGCAAAGAGGTGAGCTTGGTGTCAATTTGGTGAAGGAGCTCGGACAGCTCGTTGAATTCAAGAGTCCCGGAGCGGTCCGTGTCATACTCTTCAAACAGTTTGTCTAGTCGACGGAGATGATTGGAGGCCTGCGGGAAACGCTTCTTGATCCGCAAGGCAATTTCTTGCCATTCCCTGAATGTAAGGTGCATTTTCTCAGGGTCCTTGCCTCTCTCCCAGGCGATCGTTCGTAGGGCTGACATGACATGGTCGGCGACTTTGTTCTGCACGGTGGAGCAGTCGCCAATGGCGTACACGTCGCCCAGAGGGGCACCGATGAGGCGGAGGTGAGAGTCTGTCTCAAGCGCATGCCTGTTGTTCTGGCTTGCTAACTTGTCTGAAAGCTTTCGGCAAAGTTCGGCTCGAGCTATAGGGTCCGTTAAGCCACGTGAAGCAACACAAGGAAGCTATTCAATTCACCTACAGACACCAGTGGACCACAGGCAGAAGCCCATTGGGATCTCTTTCGTAACAGTCTTCCCATCCTCCTCTTGAGTGAACACGACTTTATCATCGCGGACTTCTTTGACACGAGAATTCGTCAGGACGTCGACATGGTCACGCGCGAAGCGGGTCTACCAAAGTTAGTTTTGGAATTCGTCCTCGCTGGGGATGTAAAGGCAATGTTATATACTTCAGCATATTGAGAGAGGGCTTCATCGTAGGTGTTGAGGATATGAGACCGGCTCTGAATGATGTGGACGGAGATTTCGTTCCTCAGGATCTTGGGGAAGGCATGCAGCAGATCTTCATTGAGCAGGTCATACAGCTCAGCTGCAAATTCCACGCCAGTCGGACCTCCGCCACAGATGACGAACGAGAGTAGTCGCCTGCGCTCCTCGTCGGAGGTTGTTGGCAGACAGGCCAGCTCCATGTTTTCGAGGACCTGATTCTTGATCTGACGAGCATCGTCAATGGTCTTCAAGAAATGGCAATTCTCTAAACCCTTGACACCGTGTGGGTTCGTTACACATCCTGGACCACACAGTTAGGTGAGATTCTCGGAACACAGCTCCCCAAAGAACGGCACTTACCAACGCCAATGACAAGCTTGTCGTATGGAAGATAGAAGTTCTGTCTCTGCCCATTGGCATCAACCTGGGACACTTCCACCAATTTCTCCGAGAAATTAACATCCATCGCTTCTCCCTTCAAGAAATGACCGTGAACTCGTTGGATAATGCGTCTCACAGGTTCAACGAGAGACCTCAGCCCGAGCGTGCCGACCGTGGCCGAAGGCAACATGGGCGTGAACAGGAAATAGTTTGTGGGCGAGACAACTGTGACATGGTAATCGCCTGGGCGAAGTTGTTTCAGAAGCGCAACGCTTCCCCAACCAGTACCAAGGATCACCAATCTCGGCTTGTCCTTTTGTTCCTGCATCTGTTCAGAGTCATAATCCCCCACCAAGGACTCGGCGATGGGCAGGTTCTTAGGACCTCCGCGTCGGGGATTCAGCGCCAATTCGGAGACCGGAATGTCTTCGGCACTAGGTTGTTCACGGTACGTAGTCGCATCGTAGATGAAGAATCCCAGCACCACAGCACCACTCATGACAATGAAAAAGCCACAGTACGTAAATGTTTTGACGAAGGCATTGATGACAGTCGATGTTCGCCGGGCCTCGGGTGAGTCCGCTGTTGTTGACTTGTGTCGAGACGATATACGACTATTGAAAAAGGTACGCGACGCTAGATATTGAGGCACTAGGCTGCGACGGGGGCACAATACTTGGGCAGCAGAACACCTGGAGGAAGAGGGCGACTTTGAGGTATAGAATCGACCTGGCAACAGCAATACCCTCCTCAACGCCGTAGTCTCCAGCCGACTCCGGAGCAACGCTGCGCTCATGGCTTGTTGGGAAGGGGTTGGTGTCTGGAGGCGGGAGGGAGAACAGGCCAGTCAAGAGGGACACAGTCAATTAATTGAGTATCTCAAGAATGAGTACGGTCATGAACAGCGACGAAGAATGGGTGATGGACCAGAAATAAGCGGAATTAGTCTTGCACGAACAGAGAGAGTCAGGAAGCCAGCGAAACGAAGAACCACGAAGCGAAAGGGAACTGGCGGCGTACGTCATGGGCCAAGGCTCTCTGGACCCGCCCGGCTTGGTTGCCGGCTTGGCGGTCAGTGTTTAAATAATCTAAAGAAAGAAGTTGGCTCTATGGAACAACTAATTCTTTCGCTAAGAATGATTTTGGAAGATATACACTGGAGGAGTGAGTATACGGCCCCGGGCCTATCAGCAGTATAGATGTCATGGGTAGCATGGCAACGGATGGTCCTTCCACATGCGCCGTCACCAGTTGAATAACGTGCTCCGAAGATAGGGACTGAATGGGAAGGTGAATAAGAAAGAAGAAACAAGGCATAAATAAAGGGAATCCTCCCACCCCATCAGACGCAAATGAAGATGTCGCAAAATAATAGAAAGCTCCCCAGATATCCCAAACTCCAGTATCCTGTCCCATATGCGGCCTCTATGAGATAAGCTGTCAAAGTACAAAAGTTGACTATTCTTAGTCGAATCAACAAGGCTGGATGGACGTGCTCCCTCTCAGTGCCAGTCCAACTCCCCGTCAGGCTCCATGCTGGCCCGTTTCTTTCCACTTCCAGGCTTCCTGCCCCGGGGTCGCTTGACGGGATTCTGCCCTGGAATGGAGTTCTTTCGCTTTGCCGGACGCTGTCCACTGACCGGTCCTCCTGCAGTGCCGGTGCCAGGGTCTTCAAGGTCATCAAAGCTATCTCCATCCACATCCTCTTCTTCCCCGACTTTGAATTCGTCATCGATGGCAAGCAATGTGGCGAATTCGCGGCACTTGTTGAGCATGTTTTCCTCGCTGTCCAATATTGCCATGTTTCGTTGGATAGCATCCCAGAATTTATCACCGGTCACTCCATGGACCTTTGTAGCTGACTTGTTAAGATCTTTCACACCCTTGCTCCCCTTATCTCGCGTATGGGCAGTCACTCCATAAAGGCGGCGAAGGTAGGTTCGCGCTTCCCAGAGCATTGACAGAGCTGCAGCTGCGGTGGCCAGTAGCCGTAATGTTTCCGGGCTGACCTGCTGCAAGGGCGCCACAGCACCGGGACCTTCTGCTACGGGCATAGAGAATCCATCCGGCTGTGGAGGCTCGACTTTGCCGGGAAAGAGCTCAGTTTCAATCGAGTGGGCTACAACCGTACCAGTCGCAGAGACGATGCGCTCCATACAGCCAATCGTTGGTACAAGTTCAGTGTGCTGCGCGTAGTCAAAGAATGCGAGATTCTGGGACACAAATCGGGCAAGCAAAAGGTGCTCTGGAGGGTTGCAGGTAGCATCGAGTTTTTTCAGTTCAAAATCGACCTTTGCGCAAAGGTTTGCGAGAAACTTCTTCTGATACCGACTGTTGCTAATTTTAACGATTTCAAACAACGGCGCAAGCTTCGCAACAAATGGGCGGCTGAGAGCACCGCTGGAGTCGCCTACCACGTCACGCTGATAATAGAAAGCCTCCTGGACAGCGCGCATATATTCTCTTTCAAACATGGATTCATACTGCTGGTGAAGCATCTTGTGGGTTTCAAACGCAACCTTCGCGATAGCAGGAACAGTTGACGTTTCCAAAGAAACCAGAACGCCGGCACACTCCTTTGGATGCACAAGGCCTTGGCGGTTGATACTAGCAATTAACTCAATAGCAGTTAGAGCATACGAATCCTGTCGTGATTGTGCAACGCGAAGCATGCTCTGTAGAAAATGCTGGGCAATCAATGCAGCCGCCCCATCATTGTCGCTAGCCTTCATCGACCCTCCTAATCTTGTAAAATTTTCTTGATCTGCAACTTCTGCAGCTGGCATGACGGACTTCTCAGTCCGACCTTCGTGCATCGCGAAGAAATCTGCGAATGCCCTCAATACAATGTTTTGAAGGCTCGGGTTGTCCTCCTTGAACACCATGGACAAGATCTTTCTTGGCTCTTCTCGGCTGAACTGGGCTGGCCAGGATTGGCAGATTGAGCCTAAGCTTTCGAGGGCCATCACCCTCAGTTCAAGAGGTTGATGGGGAAGAGTAAAAGGCATAATGGCGTCTACCATCAAACCAGCGACGGAGCCACCTTTCCAAGAGGGAAAAGCGTTCTTGAAGTGCGGTTCGTATTTTTCTAGGTCACAATGCCGTCCAACACAGCCTGCAATTCGTATATAGCTTTTGGCCCGGGCTAAGACGGCAGTATTGGCATTGTCGGAAAGCTCAATGTTTCTGTAATGTTGTATAGGCTTGAGCACAGAGATCGTTAGCTTTACGAGTCTGTCCGTGTTATTCAAAACTCCGTTAATGGTCCAAAGACAGGCCATAACTTCGTTAAGTTCCGAACGAGCAAGTTTGGCAACGCTTTTGAAGAGATCATTTTGAACTTCCTTGAGAAGGGTGTGATGAGTGGACGACAGGAATGGCAAGACGCAACGGTATATCACGACGACAGATCGGAACAAAAAGAGATCCTCTGCTGTCGCAAGATGCCCAATGTACGGGTGAAGAGTTTCCAGCTGGTCAGGACGGAACAGCTTAGCGTTTGACTTCGCGAACACAGTAATCGTATGCAACAGTGCCTGCTGAAATTCTTTGCCTGAACAATCATTGTCTTCAACCAACTTCTCAAACATCGTGGATACCAGCGCCTTGCACACCTTGAAGTTCAAGGCTGAAGACCGGGATTTATCAGATAAGATCTTTTTAAGACAAACACCGAGGGTCTCAAGAGCTGTTTCACTGCGCTGCACCAAACTGACAATCAGCGTCACTCGCTCAGTTAAGCCAACATTCAACTTTGAGCCATCTTGCGTGGAATCGATAAGGTCGTAGAAAGGTGCTAGCCATATCTCCTCGAATGTCTGACAAGCCAATGAAACCACGCTTTCTTCCGGATCACCCGTCCGCTGGAGAAAACTGTCCAGAATCGCTAGTTTTAACTCAGCGCGAGACGTTTTAAGGTAAACATCTTTAAGTAAGCCGATGCACCTCTTCCTCACACCCGCGGTTGCGTCCGCAGCGCAGGTCAAAATGCTGCGGCAACCATCCTCTTCAAGCTTCGGCTTCAAGGTAATGCATTTGGCAATCAAAGATAGCGCGGAATCACGCACCATGGGAGATGCATCAGTTGCGCACCGAAGAATCACACGCATGACTGACGTATCCCTATCGAGAAGACTCGGGTCCTTCTCGAGCATGTAAATTACACTCTTCAGGCTGCGGCTTCGGACCTTGGCCTGGTCACTAGTAATTGAGTTGAGAAGAACTTTCAGAATCGTGTCGAAAGCTTTACAAAAGCTTGAATTTAAGACCGTCAGGATATATGCGAATCTTCCATGTGCGGAGGATACACTGTCGAAATGCCTGGACAGGAACTGTTAGCTTCGGCTCCATAATGGGATGTCCATGTCCTATGTTCTTACTTGTGGGTCTCCAACCACAGCGGGTCAGATAGGAGCTTGGAAAAAAGCTCGGTCAAATCTTCGCTGTCGTCGTCGTACGTCACCTCGTCCTTATCTTCAGGATTGTAATATACAGAGCAAAAAGTCTTCGCCCACTGCGCCAGAAAATATCCCCGTGCACTAGCGAGCTGCCAGGTGTCAGAGTTACGGTCTTGTATAAAATACTCGAGAGTCATCCGATAAGGCCCCTCTGCAACCACAAGATCTTGAGGATGTAAGGCACGGTTCGAATAATCATCGAATAATTGTCTTAGATAATCGGTGAGATTACTGTCAGACTCTTCCATTGCCGGAACTAAGTGTTGGGCAGTGACAATTAGGTCAGATATGGCAGAACCCATCCATCCGAGCAATTCAAGGGCCATGCTCTTTGTAGTAGCAGGACTCTTGTCTTGGTCAGCTATACCAACCATATGAGAGGCCATGATACGAAGAAGTAATTCGGCCGCAGGCCAATCTGTGGATCCCAGTACGCCGATCAAGTCTTCAGTAAAGAGATCGAGGATGTTTCGGTACGGCTGGTCGCCAGTTTTTGTCGACGCCATTGCTCGCTGCACAATGAACTTGACGATGTACTGGGCACTGCGAACTGCATTATCATAGAGGCGATTAACTTTCGTAGCAAGTTGCTCTAGTGACATTTCTGATTCTTCATCGTTATCCACCCCATTTCCATCCCCAAGGCCGTCGTCATCTTCATCACCGGCTTTCGCTGCTAGCTTCCTCTTTGCTGACCTAAAGGAAGGTACTTCCAAGGCAGTTGTCTGCACAAGTTGCATAACCAATGCTGTAAGAAGTTGGATATTCTTGCCATCGGAAAGTTTAAACTGCCTGGCACTTTGTCGGGTCGATGGAAGTTTCTCTAGTGATACTAAGATCTCGTCAAGAATGAAGGGTCGCTGATTTGGGTACTTGGAAAATATCTTTGCGAGAACATCCATTGCGCCACGACGGACGGACTCGTACTTTTGAAACCCAACTGCGGAGTCCTTTTCTGTGTGAGCATTTTCCACGAATATCAACTTAGCAGCAAAGAACTCCGTTGCGGTCACCGTTCCCTCAGAGACATCGATCCGTGCTAGAAAATCAGCAAAAACTGTAAGAACTTTTTTGCTTTGCTGAATAACCCCCCCAGTGACACGTCTCTGAGAGGAAAAGAACTCAAAATACTTGGCTTCTTTTCCGCCGGGGCGTGATTCAACAGCAGGGATAATGCAATGATCGAAGACCTGGTTAAGGACATTCGGTATGGCTTCAATCAGATCCTCAGGGCAAAGATCACGTTCGCTCTGCGAGCCGGACATTGTCTGCAGCAGTGTACCCACGGCAAGAAGGGCATTGTGTATATCGTCCAACTTCTTTAGCCAATCCTGAGTTCCGCCTTCATTTGAAGGATTGTCCAGTCTCAAATCTGGTGATTGCGCGGCAATAATGGGCTTTTCACATAGTTTCTGGATTCTGTTCAGGTATTCTGACGGAATGTCCTGAAGCCTTTTGAAACCCACAACCTTTCGGATAGCTTTCTGAAGGCGACTATGGGCATCTGAAGTGAGAATAAGCCCACTAGCATCGAGAGCATGAGGGGTGGTGAAAATAGAATTCGGCTGTTCAGAGACTATATTGGATGACGTCCCTGGATCAAGTTGGTCTTCTGATTCGAAGATTTCGTGAAGAAGGTCCTGTAGTTTCACCAAAGCAGCGTCTGCTTCCTCCTTTTGGTCTTTTAAACGTATTGTGGCCAGAGTGTCCTCTCCTTGAGCATTAAGCTTTCTCCTCTTCGTTGCACCACGGTTATCTCCGTGCGACGGTATCGGCTTTACAGGAATGATAACGGACAGTTGACTTGACTGGGGCCCCTGCTGATTATAGGACGCAGACGTTTGCTTGTTTGCGGCATGGGCTTTTTGATTCCAAGAACTTGCTTTTTGTGGTATTTTTCCAGCTTCTGTCTGGGGTACGGTTGGATCTACATCTCGTTAGCTATCATACCGTAAATATGTAGTCCAAAATAAGCTTACAGCGAAACGCTATATCCGTGGAGTCCAGCATCATTCTTGCAAACGAGCCAAGACTTTCGCGACCAGGGACTTGGTCTGACGGAGGGGGCGCGCGTTGGGTCTTGCCAACCCCTACCGGCAACTTAAACTTACTGTAAACGTGGGTGAGCAAGATATCTCATCAGGTTGAGGCACATATCATCCTTACAATTCGGTCAGCCTGTCACCATCCAATACTTGTTGCAGGTATTCCCGGGACGTCTCTAGACGATTGGACTCATCACGTCCGGACTGGATCTCGCCGTTAAGATCACTCAAGGCCGTTCTACCGGACTGGAGGACATAATTAATTGAAGTCGTGGTTGGAGGTCGACCAACGTCAGGGCGAATGATGCAATCTAAGAAACAAACGAGTATCAGTTCACGTTCACATCTAACTCAAAGGGCCATAACTATCCCACCTAGGCCAAACACGGGAGAGCTAGACATAGGAGAGTATTGCAACGCTTCCTCTACAGACAGCGGCCTGTCCTGACGCTGTGAAAGCCCACCAGAATTGTGAGCCTGCGCCTGATTGATGACGACCTGAACGGCCGGACGCCAGTTTTGGTCCATAGCTGCTGGATTGCCCCTAAGAGAGGATAGAAGTGGAAAGACAAGGAATTTTAGGGGAGAAAAGGAGACATGATCTGCCCCAAGACATGGCTACCAGGCAAGAGAGCAGAATCCCATACCCAACGGCAGACGGCCCATTCCTTTGCTTTTGAGATCAAACGATGTAATAATTAATGCCCTGCACACGGCGCTCCTACCGCTGCCGCCGCTGACCGCCCGGCACTAATTTTTGGCGCTGGGAGGCTCGTGCGCAGAAAACTTTCCAGCAAAAATTAGTCCATCGTAGTCAGCGTAACTACTATTTTTCTCCTTGGTTTTCCGGTCGTCAGCCTTCTTTCCCGGACAGTCCGATCAATATGTCTGCCATTGGCTCTCTAATCTTCTGCAATGACTGTGGAAACCTGTTGGACGAGTCCTCGGGCGATCCCACCAAGATCATTGTCTGCAGCGTCTGCGGGACTCGCAATAAAGGTGCGTTGAACTTCACTTGTGAGAGTGATCTCTGCTTTCGAGACATCGTATTGACTTCCTTTGGGTTCAGATGTTGTTCCCAAAACCATCGTTTCCGAGTCGAAGCCAAGCGCATTCCCATCAGCCCTCCGAGCCAAAAGATCTGCGGTCCAGACGTTGACTGCAGAGGATAAACGAACAGAAGCGCTCACCCAACATACTTGCGCGAAATGTGGACGGAAGGAGATGTACTATACGACGGTACAGCTGCGCAGTGCAGATGAAGGAAGCACGGTTTTCCTGCGCTGTGTTTGCGGTCACAAGTATGGCTATATTCGCTACGTATTTCAAAGGCTCTACAATGCTAACCAATTGGCTATAGGGAAACCCAGAACAACTAAGCAAAAACAGCCAAAACTCTATTTTGTTTTAAACTTACATCTATGAAGCAAGCATATCATTAATCAGCGATACTGTAATCCTTCCTTTTCTCGTGAGAATCGCTCAAGCAGCAGGTACAGCTGAGCCCGGCAGCAAGGCGTACTCGACCTCTCCATTCTTCTCATGTTCCGCCATATCCAGAGCCACAATGATACTGTCCCTCACCACTTGCTCCGGATCATTCAGAAATTTCTTCAACGTCTCCTCCACACCTTCGACGTCACCCAAACTACCCAGAGCTTCGGCGGCTTCGTGCCGCACCATACCGGCCTCTGCTTGGTTGCTGAGGGTCTCTGTGAGGCTCGGGACGGAGGCGGGATGGCAGAGCTGGCCGAAAACGAATGCAACCTCGTGACGGAACAGCGCAGAGGGGTCCTTGAGTCCCTTGGCCAGGGCTTCAACTGCCCCGACCGCGGTAGGGAGGTCTGGAGGCGACGCAAGATCGCGGAGGGCAAACATGGCGCGATATCTTTGGAACAAGGGGAGTTTCGTATCGAGCAGGGTCTTTTCCAGGTCGCGGATGGAAGGTTGGCTAGATGCCATTGGAAGCGGTGGAGCAGGGTCGATGGAAGTAAAGTCACTAGATTGGAAAGGAATCACAATTAGCGGCTTGTTATTCCCGCGAGAAAATGAGATCCACATGAAATATGCAAGAAGAAAACAAATCCACGGAGATCCTCATAGTTAAAAGAAAAGACAACCCTCACCTTGGCTTCAGCTTCTCAGCTTGTCTCTCCTCGGAGTTCTCCCATAGAATCCTGTCCACAGCAATATCGCAAGTCTCCCGAACAACATCGAGTTCTTTCTCATCATCTCTCAGAGTCTTGAGAATCTCTAGACTATCTTCGTAACCTAGAGCCCCCAGGGCTTCTGCGGCCTCGTGACGGCACATCGCATCTTCTTGGGTATCCTTCACAACATGCTGCAAGTACTCCACTGAGTCGGGGTTCCGGGTCTGACCCAGACAATAGGCAAGTTCATGCTTCAGCAGAGCAGACTGCGAAGTGAAAGCGGCCGCGATGGCCTGGATCGCAGGGAGGGTCTTCTCGGTGGGAGGCTGCAGACAGGCCAGATGTTTCAGGGAGAAAAGGGCGCGGAATCGACGAGCGAGGGGTTCACTCTCCGAAGTGAGCACTTTGCGAAGGGTGAGGATGGTCTCATCCACACCGTCCCCTGCGCCAGATACCACTGGGGCCATGGTTTCTCAGGTAGAATTAATAGATGATAATTTATGCTCGAAATTTATAGAAAAGAATGACACGAAGATCGTTGGTACTGGAAGTATGTAAATGCGGGAGATTTTTTTTTTTTCCCTTTTTCTTCTCGCTTTGATCTTATCACCGAAAGATAAATTTTAGGTGGGGTGGCGGGGTCGGATGGTGGCTAGGCGCCTTCTTTGCTTGAAAATCCTATGTTGATCTCACGAACTTAGGATTTACATTCTTTCACGTCGAATGCATCGATCATGCAGGTACCAGGCCCTCTAGGTAGGCATAGAAAAATTACAGATTATCTGAAGACACGTGCTCAATACATATTAACTTCCACTGCAGTCCGAAGAGGCGTCATACTTAAGGTAGACTCGAGTACCCACCATCGGGATGTAATAATGCATTATGCTAACATTGTATCCAGTGACAGCGACCTGAAGATTGAAAAAACCTAGTCTAAGCAAGAACAGCGGACATCAAATCCTGTGTGAAATTCCACAGTGGACCGGCGTGTTGTGAAAGGAACGCTGCTCCAGTGTACCAGGTGTTTCTGTGTCCTTGCAACGCTTGAAGCTCGCGATAAAAGCCGGCTCCGATGTCTTCAGTTGGTACAGTAAAGTGCATCGGGGTATGGCTTTTGTAGGCTAAGAAGCGAATCTCATGATTATCATCTTGAGTATTATTTGACCTTCTGAGAGCTTTACGCAGACGATTAATACTTGCAGATATCTCTGCTTTAACATCAGCCTCTGAAGTAGCCTTGAGACCCCCATACCAGGTGGAGAATATTCCATCCACAACCGTGGGATTGAGGTTGTATAATGCAGGGAGCGTGGGAATGCGGAATGTCCTATTACTGTCACCAGTATTGAAGAACTGATAGCCAGATGGGAGGCCAGTTTCTGTGACGAGAGCGACGTAAGAAGCACTACTATTAAACCTCCCAAATCGGCTTTCTTCGTGGTCATCGAGACTAAACGGTCTCATGTTCTCAAGAGTAGGCGGAATGCTGACAAGCGCTTTTGACGCGATAATGAGCTTTATACCATGAGGGGTTTGCACAATAAGTCTAACACCATCTATTGATCGCTGAGATTCAATAACCGTAGATGACACAAGAGCGTCGGGGCCCAGTTCTTCCAGAGCCTTGTCATATATCTCGGAATTATCATGGTGTGCGGTGACTAGGGTACCTTCCCTTAGCCCTCTAATGCACGGGGCACCAAATGACTTGAGAATGTAAACTGTTGGTTGGCTTAGGATATTACCAGAGCCTCTTGACCTGGTCCAAATGGTATACGCTACATCCTGGAGTGAGTACTTTGTGATGAATTCTCCAAAAGGTAGTAGCAGATCCTCCGGGACGGGGTCAGGCAAGTCCCAGCTAGTGAGAAGATACGGATATTTCTCTACCTGAGCACTGTAGGCCTCTAAGTTGAAGCCAGGCTCAAAATCTGTGAAGACCTCACCCGTCTCAAAATCGGCGTATACCGTCGCATTGGCATTAAGCGAGAACCTCGTCAAGGGGATCTTGAAACGGCCAAAGAAATCCCTAACAACCGAGGAGTTTAGGTACGATTGTACTCCATAATCGATCTTCGTGCCAGTTTTGGGCTCGGTGTAGACAATAGTATGGCCTCCCAACCTGGGCTCTTGTTCCACCATAACTATTCTTTGGCCCAAGTCAAGGAGACTGAGGGCTGCAAATGTTCCAGTGGATCCACCTCCAACAATTACGATGTCCCGAATTATCACATCATCCTTAACGTAATTGGCAGCATCGAACTTGTCGGATCCGGTGAGAGCGAGACTGTAGCCCCATAGCAATGCTGAGAGGATTCTCATGGTGAATTATATCTCTTTTTAATACCCTGGCAATGGCTCTATACTCTTTAAACACTTAGCTTGCGTGACCTCCATAAGTATTTACTCTCTGTCCTTACCCAAATAATTAATAACGGTAGGGTATGTTGCCGCTCAACAAGATAAGTATATCACCTTGTTAAGGACATATTCAACTTTGGGTGCTCCAAAAGAGCAAAGGAGAAGGACTTTGCTTGAACACTGTGGTGCCTTCCAAACACAAATTGACAAGGATCGCATTTGCCCTGAAACATAGTGTAAATGACCCAATTTGAACAAGCATGACAGTGCTTGGCTACGTATTGTGTTAAATTGAAACCGAAATTGTATTCCTCAAAACGTATGTTGCGGCTTGCTGTTATTTAGATCTCCATACATAAGACAATAGTATTTTATATGCAGTGGGACGGAAATACGGGGAAGGAGGAGGGGATTCACTGATATAATATTGCTCCACCTGCACCACTCATTCCCTTAGTGTTTCGTATAGCACACAAGCTCGAGAATAGTTACTAAAGGACCATCTTTCTCCACTTCCACGTCAACAAGTAAGGGAATCCTTTGATATCAAGAATGAATATATTATTGGCGTGGGAATTGACGGGGAATAAGGCATAAGTATAGTGTGCTGCTTTCTGTTCTTTGCAGGCAACTTCATTTTTTACTATAAAGTATGTAAGATAGGATGGCGTTTTACCAACCAATTTAAGGAGGGAATGTCTCCTGAATCCTGAACAATAAACGCATAATCGCAAGTAGCTCTCCTTGCTGTATTTATTAGCCTGATCTCCATACCATACCCACATTTAAACCCCGGACCTTCGTCCAGCAACATCCCATCAGATGCTGCTTTGCCTTGTCCAACAATAATCTCTCCCACAGTCACAAATCCCAATTTTTCATCCGGACCCCGACAGTATTGAGTTCCAGCTTCAAGATAGATAGGCAGATCCTTCTTCGCAGCAACTGCCCGATAATGCCTTATGATTGCTAAACACAATCCTTTGCCGCGTTCGTCTTCTGCTGACCCCCAAATAAAATGTAGTAAAGTACTAGTCTTGTTCCCCCAGGACTGACCTCGTGCAGAGACCTTTGGTAGATGAAATATCTAGATTATCCCCCTGCGAGTTTTTTGTCACTGCATTAGAGAGGGTTGTCATGCCATATGCGTAAGAATCTACCAAGTAATTGTCGAGTCCAGAAGATGATAGCATCACTTTCACACCTGGGGACTTTCTGGGAGAAGCTATCTGTGTTTCAACTTTAGGTGGTGCAATTACTCCACAAGAACGAAATCTATCAGTTTCTTCAATGGTCGTATTGTTTGAGAGTGCTGATACCGGAAGTAGACTGATGAATCCCATATGGTATTCTTGACATTTTTCTAAGCTCAGAGGACCCAGACAATAGCTGATGGACGGATCATCCCGAAACGTATCAGCAAGCAGCTGCGACGCAATACCCACTCGGTCGCGATCAATTATGGCGCCCAATTCATCCGATAGGATTGGCAAACAGCCACACCTTCATTTCCAGTTGTAACCTGCGGCATCACTGCTGTAGAGAGGATAAGAGGCAGGCTGTAGGTACTATAGGATCGGGGAAATCCTGGCACTGATCTGATCTAGCTGCCTAAAAATACTAAATTATGTGACTATCACACAATTCCATCGAAGGAGGAAGCTTCGATTTGTATACGAAAGCAGATTCTCTCAGAGCGTCGGTAGAGGTATTGTCAATTATCAGCACAGATTTTGACTTTGGCCATCTGCAGCGCCGAAGAAGCTTAATGATGACATCCTCGAAGACAATGGCATCGACTCCACGATGGCTTCGAAAGACTAAAGCGTTAAACAAATCAACATGTCACAACACCCAGATCTTGACTGGAACTATATAAAGCTGCGTGACTGCATAATTTCACAAAACCCCCTCCCGGTTAATATACTGACATTCACCAATTCTGTATTCAATGCCGTTAATTAATTTACAGTCACTGGGTTGGGTAAACATATAAATCCCAATATTCCCAGCCCAAGCAAATACATTCCCGATAATTGACTTGTTAATATCTAGTACTTTAAACCATCGTGTAAAACTCCTTCCTGTCTAGAGTCTTCTGTTACTAATATGTTAAATTCACTGCCCAGAATCCTTGTTTTCCCTTATTATATAACCCTCCTTCTCTTCCCCCTTTCTCTCTACACTTCCCATCTTCTCTTTATCACATATACTTCTTCTCACTTGTCTATATATACAGGCTTCAATACTTCTAGCTGCGTCTTCCGTGAATAATAAACCGATGAAGCTGGAATGTCCGTATGCGCATCCTAGATACGGACCGCTTTCATGATCTTCCCCAGTCTCTTAGCCAGTCGCCCCTCGCAAAAGAGCTTTCAAATCCCAGATTTACCTGGCTAAATAAGGAAACAATACTTATTACTTATGATTAGGCCATTTCGCATTCAGGCATATCTACAATATCACATCTCCAAGTTGTCACTCCTAGACTACACGTATATGCAAAAGTGCTTTTAAGTGAACTTTGTGTTGAAAGGCTCCCATTGCGGCAATAAAGGCATTTTTCTTTACCTTACATCCTGGTCTTCAAGTATAGAGTAACCATGGATGTGGAGTAGAAGATTGCATGCTTTTAGCTCCTTGACTATAATCAAGTTAGCAGATTTATCACAGAACAATCAAGATATAGATAGCATATAATTCCGAAGCATAGCCACTTTTCACCGACTTCATCCAATGTACATGTCTCAGCCATGGCGATTGATAGAAATTGAATAGTCATTCTAAATCCCGTCCATGTGGCCTATGAAAAGGATTGGGTTTCCATAGCTGTTCTAAAGCTTGCTCCTGTTTGAGATAGCCACTGGGTGTGGGGATATCCTATGAGCCACTAGGTTACAGAATGTGCAGCGATTCGGCCACTTAGAATACCACAAAGAGGTGTAGTAGATCCAAAACAAGACGGGAAGAAAAGGTAGAGGTGCTAAGCCGATACTAAAAAGCAGGGTTGGATGCTCGCGACGGTATCTAGTAAGCCCTGCAGAAGGCTTGTATCAAGCTGGGACATCCGTAAAACTCAGATCATTTTTTAGATTAGAGTGATGCTTGGTAATCGGGCTTATGGTTGTCATTTCTTCATGGACCATTATTTGAATCTAAATTGAAGCGGCATCAATTAGCTGATTTTGAAACGAAGAACCGCCCTGATTATTGAATCTTTTAAGCCAAATTGATCTTGTTAGGTCAATAACATAGGTCCAAGTTCAGCAAATATCCTAGCTAACCAGGAGCTACTAAATTCCAGGATGTTCCATTTCTAATATGAAATATCTCGATTAAGGAAGAATCTAATCAGCCTATAGTTCTAGAAACTGCGCTTCGAGTTTATGAAAAAGGGGGATACAGAGGGAATTGAAACGAAATATGGTCATTTAACATCTGAAGTAAACTCGAATAGCAAAAGCCTGCGACTATGTACATAATACATTTTGAATAGCCGATTATTTCGTCTTGATATGCTTGAGCTTTTTCGGTTCGTGGACAAAGTTGTTGGCGTAGTTCTTAGGGACAAATCGGCGCTCATTTGGCTCCTGGACGAAATATTCATATCCCTGCTTCTGCGCAAACATTATGGCATCCTCCTTCGACTTAAAGTTCAAGTGAGTGCCTTGCATGAAATCAGCAGACGACTGCCACCCCATCAGGGGGTTTTCCCAACGATGTCCCTTTTGCAAAATATCCCAATCCATTCTCCAGTGGTGAGCGTGCCAAGTTCCGGACTGTGTTGCGGACTTGGTGGGACGGTAAATCCTGGATGACACGATTAGCCACGGTATAGGACTCTGAAATACCCAGTACCTACCGGACAGTACGAGCCTGAAGGTCAGTGGGGGCTCCAGAGAGGACTGCTGCAGGAACTGTCTCGCCAGGCTCGCTGCCATCCATCACTCGCTTCGGCACAGGTGAGAATAGTCTATGTTCATGTCAGTCCTGCTTTTCCGGGACGTCGCGTAATACCAAGGGTTGGGTTGCATACGATGTTCCATGGTCAATGGTCGCCTCATAATCAGGCTGATGGCGGGCCATTGCTTCAGAAGGGCTCTCCTTCCGGATCAAGGAACTGTCCTTGGGACGGACGGTCGGCGCGTCAGAAGTGTCGGTTTTGACGAAAGGGTCGCCACGACCAGTGTTGGTAGACACGAAACGTGCATTAGCAGGGGCAATGAGCCTTCCAGCCCGGAAGCAAGCAGCGGCTCCTGCTCTCATGAGCGACATGATGACAATTGGATCCGGCGTGTGGTGGACAAAACAAGGTGATGCGGTCGTGCATTTGAAGGTGAGGTATGCGGCGAGTGCTGTCGTTAATGCAAATCCTAATATGGTTTAGCGCGATAATGAGGCTCCCTGCGTTAGGAACCGCTCATCCGACAACCCGCTTTCTCACTGGCACTTCCCTTCCCTCCGATATTATCCTTCCTCCAGGTTCACTTGCTCCTATCAAGGTAAGGGCAATATTCTCAGACCTGTGCTTATTTTCGGTTACGCAATTGATGTGATTCTAAAAGTTTCTGACTCGACTTAGCCCACACAAGATGAGTTACATCACTCGCCGAGGTCTCTCGACCTTGATCCCTCCCAAGGTAAGTACCAACACACAGCAGCAAAGGGAGCCGAGCCCTCGAATGGACGAATACTAATTTTTTATTAGATTGCTTCCCCCAATGTAAGATTCCCTCGGACCCAGTGTGATTCCCATCCGACGGCGTCTTAATACATGACCGGAACAACCTTTTCTTCACTGCGACTCCTAGACATCGTGATGCTTGTTCCATTTTCCTACGCTCAGATAAAACTAACTTGTACAAAGGCTATCGGTGCTGCTAAGGATGCTGCCCGTATGGATCGTGTGGTGAACTTCTACGCCAAACTTCCCCGCGGCAACGCCCCTGAAGTCAAGCCCACCGGTCTCATCGGTCGTTACCAGGCTCGCTACTTCGGCAAGAACCCTTCTGCTGCTCGTAAGTGATCCCACCTCTATGTTCAGATTCCTCCGCCATTTACTAATGCTTAATCTCTAACTAGCTCTTGCCCACGCCATCGGTGGCATTCTCATCCTGGGATACAGCATGGAATACTACTTCCACTTGCGTACGTTCATCCTCTGCCAGTATAATTACAAGAAGACTATGACTAACAGTATACCAGGTCACCACAAGAACCACCCTCACTAAACGTTGCGCGAACAGTTTGTGGGTGCGGAGGATTTATGTATATACCGCAGACCTTAGGCTAAGAGCAATGTAAAAGAATATGTTAGGAAGTGGTGCCTTTTTTTTTTTTTTTGTATCCTCCCTCCTCATGCTTTTCCTTTGTCGCACTTGCACAAGTAGAATTATTTGAAGAATTCCTGGGTATTATTGTGGTCCTTTGGAAAGGGTTCCTAGGATCCTCCCACCTGCCGAACATGGATAGAACAAACCACAGTAAACTTGGGGGGATCAGCATGATGATAACTATTAAAAAAAAGAAAAACAAAATATCTATCGATGCTGAGTATTATCCTAAGGCTAGAGAGGCGTAAATTTGTGACGGTTCCAGCCACAGAGTTTGGTCTTCACCTGCCAACCTGTCCCACGCTAACCTAAAACAGCCACCTAGTCTCAACCCGCTGAGCCGTCCACCCATCCATGACCGCAGCCATCATCCGATCATCAACTTGAGAAGAACCACTACTCTATCACCTCCCTTTCGGGACTTCCTAGGCCGCCGCGTCTACTCTTCTCTAGAACCCCTCGGCCTACTCGTCCGTTCTGGAGTCCAACCCCTATCTCTCTTACTTGTAGGACCTTCATCATCCTCTGGGTCCTTCGGAGCTTTTACGACTCAAACACCCGAGCTAGCAGAGTGACCGTGGCGATACTTAATCCCTGACAAGAGGTACTTCTCAGACCATTTCTCCATGTCTATCCACGAGTTCAGGATTATAGTCGCCTCTTATTCCCAAATCTGCAATTTTTAGAACGCTTGTCTAACAAATGTCGCAACCTGTTCTCACAGACTCGAGAATTGTTATGGCAGAGCAGAGCAGCCACGATGTGGTAAATCAAACCCTGTCGGGCGGCGACCCTTCGCCTTCCGACGTTCCTGCGAGCACTAACGACAAGCAACCTGCCGGAGGGGACGTGGGGGAGATAAAGCACACCGCTACAACAATAGAAACCGAGACGACATCGAGCACTACACAAGGTGAACGGAGATCGGATCCTGATTTGTCAGTACAGAAGAACGAGCCTGGAACGGACACTGAACGGCTATCGACTGTGAGTCTTGACGACACACGAAGTCCGGGGTAGTTACTGAACCAGACATAGGAAATCTCGAGGCACGGCCCTGGGCCTGTACCGACCAGAGTCCTTGAAATGAATGGCGTCGCTTCTGCATCAGATGGTGGTGAGGATACAGCCTCACTGGGTGGTTCAGAATCCGATGCCAGTCGAACGGATTCGAAGCTTAACTCACGAGCATCATCGACGAAACGGCCAACGTCATTCAAGCCCGTCACTTTTGCCAAATTCTCAGTTCCAAAGGCACCCGGCACACCTCCCACGGCGAAGGTACCAGATAAAGGTATAAACTAACCCGCCCCCTCAGAAACATGTGCGACATGGGCCTCTAACAGATGACAGCCCCCTTATCTTCGTCAACTCCGCTAGGCCTACCACCGCAAAGTTCACGACCTCGCTTGGTCGCCAAGACGACTAGTAGCTTACGCGATTCATTATCAAAGTCGGGATCAAGTGCGGCTAAAGCAGGTGGAAGTGGACCCGATCCTAATCAAGTTTGGAATAGGAATCAGCGTAAGATACGGCGTTTTCTACCTCTAGAAGCTCTACTCATCTAACAATTTCATGGTTATAGCTGCTCAGCAAACACCCCCGAAGCACTTGACCGACGAAGAACTGAAACAACAATATGGTATCCACATGACATCTCGCATTCAAGAAGATGGAGGCGGGACTGAGGCAAAATGGGCTGATATCGACGACGACGAAGACGACTGGGCTCCAGAGACAATTGAATGGACTGATGGGACAAAGACTAATCTTACTCATCCTGAACCTGCGCCTGTGAGTGCCACGGAACACCAGGCACCCACTGAGAACAGGGACGAGCCATTGCCCCCTGAGCAAGTCGCTACTGCCAAAGATGCTCTTAGGTTCGTTCCCAAGCCAACAACCTCGATTGGACCCAATCCGACAGTCCTCAGACTTGGGGCAAATGCGGAACGGCAAGCAAAGAACGCAAGTATATTGTCTAGGGGTCCAAACGAAAGGTTTCCCTCGCTGTCCACAAGTCCGGCTCCTCCGCCGACCAAGTCACCGTGGGCCCCCTTACCACCCGTCGAGAAGATATCACCTGTCATCCCCCCCGTCCAACCCCAACAACAATTTGTGCGGCCTTCCACCAGAGAGCAACCAAGTGTGCCAGATGGTTTTAGTGGAAGCGTACAACCGAAAGAAATCGCAGCAGACGATTTCAATCGGTCTTGGAGAGAAATGCAGTCTGGTGGTACTCGAGAGCTCTACAATTCTAGGTCAGGTCGCTATGAGCCCGTACCCGAAACCAGGAAAGGAAACTGGCGTTCTGAGCAAAGCTTGCGTGCCCCGTCTCTGCTTCAAAGGCCAACCCCGGGTGAGCCAGCGGGCCCTGCAGAGCCTTCCCCAGCTTTCCAAACTCATCGAACAGGTGCTCAGGATGGCACTCATTGGGCCCGGCGTCGAACATCGTCGAATGTAAGTGGAGGAAGTGGCAGCTTTGGGCGCCGGATGTCTATTGGTAGACCCGATGTTGCACAAAGATCTTTTGAAACTAGAAGAGGGTCACAGGTGAATGGAATGGTCGAATCGCCATTAATAAGTCGAGACCTACCACCTCCAAAAGAACCTTTACCAGAGACTGCTCCCTCTCAGCCTGGTCACGGTCTTCCTCGGTCTCCGCGTGGCTCGGCAGCCACTGTACATGACAGAGTCCTAGCCTCATCCAGTGCTACTGCTCATCCTCCCGAGCCCCATGTTGGTGAAGAGACTGCAGCTTCGCGGGTGCCTCAGGAAGATCCAGTTGCTATGCAGCAGCGTATCATGAAGGAAAAGAGGATGGAAGCTCGGCAGCGAAGACTGGAACAAGAAGAAAAAGAGGAGGCTGCAAAACGAGAACGGATTCGACAGAAGCTTGAGGCTCTTGGTCCGCCACCTGAGAAGGCCAAACCGCGTCGCAAGGAGTCTCTGGAGAGTAATAAGGCTGAGAGCAATGCATCCCCATCAACTGCGCAGATCACGCATTCGCCGCCTAAACCTCCTGTACCTGAGCCGACAGGGGAGCCGAAACAGTACGGAATGATGAAGGTCCACCACCCCGATAACGTGAAAAAGTTTATTGGGAAAGATCGTGCGGCTGACAAAGGTGCTCCAATGGCCACCACTCGACGCATCCCTTCACCAGTCCATGAGCCGAAGGCCGATACTACCGTTACAAATGGTCTCCAATCACCTGGTGATTCGCAGGCTCATCTTCCTGAGAGCTTTCCAGACTCCAAACTTGAAGAGCAAGGCCCTCAGTGGAGAAGCGGTCTTAATGCGCCTAGCTCTTATTCGCCGTGGGCGCCGAACAACAAACTTGTGACAACACCTGCTATGACAAATCCTTGGAAGCCTCTCAGTAGCGACAAAACTTTGGGTAATGGCATATTTGACCAAGGCCTCGGTGGCTTTCCTGCAAGAGATATTTCTCTACGTGGTCATCTTGGCTTGGATCAGTCGTCAGTAACCCCAGTATCACAGCCATTCTCTGCACCTTCGCGGTCGCCACAAGAAAGTGCATCGATATCCCCCTTGCCGTCTCCCGAAGTCCGACATACATCCTACGAACCCATCAATCCTATTGCGCGTCCTGGACCAATTGGGCCTCCGAGCTCACAACATCCTTGGCAACATGAAAATCGCGTGGCTGGAACTGCAGCGTGGAACAACTTCCATGCTGTTGCTGCAAAGCGTGAGGCAGAAGAAAACGAAAAGCTCCGCGGTGAGATGAATGCTATCCGTGAAGCACCATCTTCGTTACCGGTTGCATTTAATGAAACTTGGAGGCAGGTCCGGACTGGAGATCAAGCCGGTCGGAGACAAGTTGTGGGAATTTCTCGGTCAACAGAGAACAACAACACCGCGCCAATGTCGAGCCCTCTTCCTGGGTTGGATCACCCTGTTAGCACTCTACCTTTTGCTGAGAGCTCTGCGCGGCCATTCGGCAGCGTTGCAGTTCGCAGTTCACGGTTCTTCCCTCAGGTGCCAATAGAGCATCCGAAGAAGCCAGTGTTTGAAGGCGATGATTTCCGAAGACCATCGCCCCCTCCTCCAGAAGATATGTCGAATCACCCGGTGTACACTGGTGACATGAACAAGCCTCTTGTTCACCTTCCTGCGCCAAAGCCAATCGTCAAACTTCCTCCGAAAGTTGTCACTACTTCTCAGCATCCTCCCACATTCGCCTCTATGGTCGCTGCATCGCCACGCTCTGCACCAGTGTCCACTGCAGCATCATGGCAGGAGAAGATCAACTGCCTTTTTGGTAAAAAAACAGTGCCTGAGAAGAAGAATGCTCTCGCAGTTACCTCGGCTTCTAAAGAACCTCTAGACGTTCAGCTGCATATCGCTGCTGTTTCTGTCTTGCTTCCTCAGAATGATGAATTTCCAACCGGTGACGGTGATATCACTGCCCGGCAGGTCGAAGAGGCTGAGGAAATGTTCGAGGATCGTGAAGTAGGTTCACTGCCTGTAGTACGGGTGCCTACCATGGCTCCTGCAGCAGCTTGGCAGGCAGCGCCAGCTCCCTCGCAATCTCGGCTACGTTTAAAGAATTTAAAACCAATGCAGGTTCACAGTATTGAGCCGTTTTCATTTGGGTTCCACGATAAGGACACCTCTGGGAATCAGCGAGTCTCGATACGCTTCCCGGGAGCGGTTCTGGCTAAAACCATTGTGCTTTCTAAGAGATCAGGAAACCAAAACCCCCTGCGACCTCGCGGCTCTTCGAGTTACAAGCCTCGGAAAAACACAAAGCTTCGCGAAGGAGCTGGCAGTTCAAGTTCCAAAAGATCAGCATCGTCTCAACATGGAACAGGCAACAGCTCTCCGCGACATCAGTCACGAAATGGATCCTGGGGACCTCGTACATTCAGCGGGTCTCGTTAGGATTATTTCGTTGCGAGTGATGTTCTTTATTCATTGAATTGTTTTCGTTTTTCTTTCGCACCGGGTTTAAGAGATTCGTTGGGCGTCTATTTCGGTCTTGATGAGCTACGCCTGTGGAGGAGATCCGAAGGGTCTGATTTTTGAGCTCTTAGTACTCTTATTAATGTCCTCTTTTCTTTACCCTTTCCATATATTATTCCCTCCTTGTTCTACTGCCTTGATAGTACACGCTTTAAAGGTACATTTCTCTCTCATGCTAAGTGGATTGGAAACGAACATGCAGACTGATTCCGATAAACCACCGACTCTTGTGGCCTGTTCAGTTGAAAGATTACAACATGTTGGTGATACAAGTATCGTTGTTTTCTTCAAATTATCATCTCGAAACTGATGCATATCTTCCTCTGGTCAAATCAAACGTCGTCTTGTCATTCCGAACCTCTAAATCCCTCCCCCCTTTATCTCCATTGCCCATCGCCTCCTCTCTCCGAGATCCATTGTACTTACCCATAGGATTGATGGCTTTAAAAGCTACGTCTATTTTTGTTTTGTATATTCACTATCAGAATCCAAATGGAACTGATCAATGGAAAGAGTGATGGAGAGACCAGGTGCTATGCAGTGAATGGACGGGGGGTGTTTAAAGCGTCCTCATGCATGTATCTAGCCTTTGTGCCAGTATATGCATTCAATGGTTTTCTTGCTATTCAATTTTATTACATGTGCAAACTTTATGTAACTGTAGAAGTCAATATGAGTATTTTGCTCTTTATAATTCACTATTATACAGTTTGGACTTGTCTGAGATACATGATCTAAGATTGATAATAGAGTAAAGGTCCTAACCTGATGGGTACTCTCTAATTTATAGAGAAAGAGGATAAAGGGAAAAAGCATCATATAAACAAAGCACCGCCTCCCAATCCTTACGCTGAATCACATACGACAAGCACTCATCCAATACTCACGTCCTAAACAACAATACCACCCAAGAAAATACAGAAAATAAATAACCAGGACTCCAGTATCTTGGGTATCAAACGCCCTGAACCATTGACTCATTCACATTTAACACCCTCATCGCTCACCAGTTCCATGTCCGACTTGATGCGGTGAAAACAGGCGGTTTCCATTGCAGACGCGCCGGGTCGATCTTACGAAAGCCTTTGGTTCTCTCCTTATCGAGGCGTTTCTTGTGTTCCTCGACGACGTTGTCGGTAAGGACGATGACCCAGTTTCCTTTCTATAGGGTAAAATAGTTAGCACATATTTTGTTTGACGGTGGGAAATAAAGGGAGATCCGAGGGTGTAAACAGTACATGGTATCGGAGCATATTGAGAACAACCAGGGTTTCATGGACGTCTTTCTCGGTCATTGATGTCAGGACTGCGAGATCGTTTTCGCTAATAGACTCTCGGCCGGGTTCAAGGAGCAGATCTACCAGCGTTTCCCGCCAATATTGTCGATATCCCAGCAAGCCCAGATCACTCAGAGGCTTCTCGGGCGAGCCAAGTTTGCCTTCTCGTTTGCTGAGCTCGTAGCTAAAGGAGATGAGAAGCCGGCCAAAACCGCGGCGTTGGTATTGAGGCAGGGTCATGATACAAGCAAGGTTGTAGCCCTCGGCCGAATCTTTTTCTTTAGAAAAGTACCCTACCAAATGGCAACCTGTTTCGTCTCGAGTGCACATACAGTAGAACAAGAACGGATCCACGTCGTAGTAAAGCGTCTTGTGGTCGAGGAAAAGCTTGCTCAGAAGGCAAAGGTTCCGACACCAGGTCCGCTGACGTCGGCCATCTACCTCGAAGAATGAGATGTAGTCATCGCGGTAGATTTCGTTTCCGGGAGGATGTACAAGTGTGCATTTGGTACGATGACGCTCAAATGCGCGTTTGTTGTCGAAATAACTCAGACAAAATTCATCGATGTAGACCATATCTACATCAGAGAATTCGGCAGGATAAGGCGAGAAATACCAAGGTTCGATATCAAATTTGCCCATTTGTAGGCGATTCAAGTTACGCACGCGATGGATTTCCGTTGGATTCTGCGTCATACTACCGCTTGTCCGCAAGCGTTCAATTTCATCTTCTCGCGACTTCTTGCCTTGTTCCTCTTTCATGTCTGAGAACCCGACATCGATCATGTCGACATCATCAGAGTCCAGCTTGGGAGTCCCGTCTGCAGAGACAACTTCGGACCCCAGAATCGACATATTGGCCGGTGTCTCATCGCCCCTGTTCTCCTTGCCCCCAGCCTTGGACGGACGTGGAGCTTTACCAACATTCACATTTTTGCCCGACAGAAGATCCGGTGTCGCTGAAACTTCCCGACTCTCTGCCCTGGCGCGCTTCTGCGCATTCTTGCTTGGTGCTTTCTGCCCGGGGCCAGTCTTCTTTTTCTCCGGTTTCTCCGGCTGTGGCCATTCAACCTCTTGGGATAGGTCAAGCCTTGCGGCATCCACCCATTCTAGAATAAATGTAAGCATTAAATTCACGGCATGCATATAAAGCACTTACCGTCCAAACGCTTATTGAAATCAACATAGTGGACACTGTGCCCTCCGTAAGCACCAAATACTAACAGGCAACGTGGGGAAAAGAACTCACTAGAAGCTCGGGCCATCTTTACGCTGCCTAATAGACAATATCTCTGCTTTTCTTAATTCCCCATCCTATACGCACAATCTATCAGCCATCTCTCCTTTGCCAGGTACGGATCTGGATCACGTGATCCTATATAAAATGTGTAGAAGAAACTGACCTTCTGGACTATAACCTTGACACCGATCCTATGTTCATAATTAGCATATCCGACCGACAAAATACATGTTTAAGATCCCAAAATAACAATCTGAGGAATTTTCTCACGACATACCGGATGGTGTTGAGGGTGGCAAACCCCTTCTCTACGGACTCTGGCGTTCCTGTGGCCTCCCCATGAGAATCTTGGACGCCCATGGTGTATGGCAGGTGATTCTCAGGGTATCCGAGGAAATTATCGAGATGAAAAGCACTGTAGTGGATGAATTAGGCGATGGAAGCGAAGGGAGAAGCCTCACTTGGGGGAGATGGAGGATTGAATGAATTTGCACCAGTGACGCCGAGACCGCCTTTCTTGACTTCCGTTTTGGGACGCTTTCGGTAATTTGCAACCTTACGTATCTTCCAGCTCACATCTATAATATAGTACGTCGTGCACAAGAGTCTCGGTGCTTTACAATAGTATAGTACAAGCATCAATATTTGTGGATACATAGCATTCAAGGTAGATAACAACGCCTAGACAAATCACCATGTCAAGGGCAAGAACATGTAGAAAAAGAGGTCCCAGAACAAGATTACAGCCAAAGAATACAGAAGCAAAGGCTACCTAGACTATGGCGCTCAGTGCCATCCATTAACCATTCCTCCAGTGCCCGCAATCAAGTCATCCAGTTCATTTTTTCTGGTACGGTAAACTTCCTGAGCTTCACGCTCTCTCCTCATAGTAAATGCCACCTCGTCTCGCAGCCTCTCAAGTCTGCGGGCAAGCGCTGATTCCTCGGAAATCTGCAAGTTACGGAATGCATCTAGCTCATCCTTCGATTTCTCCAAGGCGGTGCTGGCTTCCAAGATCTTGGTTCGAAGCATTTTGGCCCGGTTCTGATACCCACCATAATGCAGCGCAAGCTTCTTCTCCAGCTTGTTCCCTTGCTCCGCCGTGGCAAGAAGAGAATTTTGTACACTGTCAAATGCGCTTATCATCCGCTGCTCTTGTTGGTAATTATCTTCCTCTTCGTCAGCGTAATTGGAGAGGCCGGGGATAGTATTAGAATGGGTCGAGGACCACTGGTTGTCGAATCCCTCCAGCCAGTTTTGCTGTTGTCCAGACGAGGCGGCTTCAGCGCTGATGGCCGAGCGGGCTGCTGCGACGAATTCATCATCGAGTCGTTCCAGCTTTCGCGGCTTGCCCTCTACCTTGGCACCTGGAACAGGAAATTTACGAGCATCATGTGCAATGAGAAGGGCAGCTTCTTTAGCGATCATAGCGCCAATAGGATCAGCCACATGCGAAGCTCGCTCAAACAAAGAATCTATGTCAAGAACACTCGGCCGAGGCATTGCTCGCTGATAGACCTGTGACTGACGCTTCAGCTCTACCAGGGCGGCCTTCTCCTGCGCTTCCCTTTCTCTCCTGTCGCGTTCTGCTGCATCCTCTTCTGTAAGTTCTTCTGTTACAGTTGGCTCTGCTGATTCCGACGGAAGTTCTTCCAATTCCCATTCGGTTTCTTTTGGCTTGGGGAGCGCTGCCAGTTTGCTACGAATGCTTTGACGAGCTAGATTCTCATGCATCTTGATGTCGCGAGGGGTACTCGAAACAAGCTGTCCGCCTTCCATCTCCTGGTTCAGGGCAAAATGATCACGGGGAGTTCGCAATGGAGTTGCCCCGGGGCCGATCCCTCCTCGAATAGGTGTTGCGCTGACACCAGCAGCCTGACGGAAAGGAGTTGCCATTGGATTAGGCGTGACAATCTGTTGACGTCGAGGTGCGATACCATCAAAACCGGTCGAAGACCCTCCTTCGTGCAAAGGGGTGTTCTCTCCACCAAGCAGTGACGACTGTGTCTCAGTCAATGCTCTGATATTCCGGATTTCGTTGGCGATGTGATCCTCCTCTGGAGGAGCCCGGGGAGTTCTGATTGGTGTCCCTCCAACGATAGCAGAATAGTTTCCGATTAAGCCCCGAGTAGTCTCTTCATCTCCAGCCAGTTTACTAGCCCTATCGCCTGCCATGCCCATCTTGATTATTTCCTCCATTTCTCCCTCACTGACCTGAGGACTAGGGAGAACGAGGGCCCTTCTTTTGCTGCTTTGCTCCGCCTCACGGATCTTTTGCATTTGACCGGCCCGAGCGGCGGCAGCCGATGCAGCCGACGTGCTGTTTTTATCATTTTTCCTCTTCTTTCGTTCTGCCTCGTCATCCTGGTCCCCTTTCCGTTTATTGGCAAGCTGTTGTTTCCGTGGGTCAAACATTTCCCGCTGTCTTTCATTCCGAACCTGCTCGTCCATAGTATCGTAGAAACCAGGTGCAGCCGGCTTTTCAAACGGGATGTCGGCGTTATAATCCATCTCTCCCTTCTTTCGAGTAACGACCTTTATATTAATGCCGGCATTCTTGAGTTCCCGACGCTTCTGTAGAACCGCAAGCCTTCGAGATTCCTCTAGCTGACGTTCTCTAGCCTTACGCTTTGCCTTCTTTCCTTGTGTGTTTGCCAAACGAGCACGAGCCTCGCTCAACATTTCCTTTTCATCCTCGTCGAGGTCGATCGTATCAGGCCGAGCAGGTTTCGATTCCGGATCAGGATCCAACTCACCCGGTCTATATGGAATTAGTAAGACCAATGTAGCAGCATACTCGCAATGACGACTATCATACCGTAGGCGGCGCACGTCGTCAGCGCTTGGGGCCGCGGATTCTGCACCGGGGCCTCCCAAGCCCAGCTCATCATTCTCACGGGCTTCTGCCTCGTCCAGCAATTTCTGATAACGCTCCAGACATTGCGTTGCCGTGCGACCCACAATTGGTGCAATTGTGCGCCACTGTGTTGGCATCAATTTGGCCAAGTGCAACAGCTTCTCGTCCTCCTCCCTCGACCACTCAACTTTGCGAATGCCGGGGTCCAACCATTCTACCCATCGCGCCTTACATTGCTTGGGAGTCTTCCGTGCTAACAGTGACGAAACTCGCGCCCACTGGTTGAGACCATACTTGGAGACCTGTGAGAGATACTATCAGTATCCATTTCAAGATATTCAATCCTCGTCTTTTTAATATCCTCTCAGACGGGCAGTTTTAACTTACGGCTGCCCGAAGCACCTCATCTTCGATATTGGTCCTAAAGATGGATTAGCAGGTCAATAGTAAAAAGAGTTTAAATCGCCGCAATTCTTACCAAACACCTCCTTTGACAACTGGCATGGCTGCTAATGCTCAACGAGCCTTTTCAATGATGCCAGCAATGCTGACGAAGCAGAATTCGCTGGTTAAATATTATGGACCAGTTAACAACAGTCAGGTCCCTGGACTCCTTCGTGGTTGCCGGTTAGGGCCGATAATGAACCTCTTACGAGGGTGAAAACCGAGTTCAGTCTAACCTGCCCGTGATGGCCGCGCCAAGTTTTAGCGCGGCAGCCGCACGAGTCAGCTTCGCCCCGCGCGATTTATGTAAGCAGGTCCAGATTTTTGGCCGCAATATTCATCTATCCTTAAAAAAAAATAAAAAAGAACCAACTTCGCAATCACTCAGGGCCTTCACAATGTCGACTTCCATTGAAGCACCTAGGCAGTACAGCCAACCTTCCCGTAAGGGCAAGAAGGCTTGGAGAAAAAATGTGGATGTTACGGAGGTGCAGGAAGGTCTGCGAGTGTTGAAGGAAGAAGAAATCAAAGGGTAAAAAACACTCAGTACTCTGTCGCACTAAATTTATTTGCTAATGCATTACTTTTTTTTTTTTAGAGGTATTCTAGCAGAGAAGCCATCCGATGAATTGTTTACTATCGATACCACCGGCTCATCAGAAATCCGCAAGTTGGTTGAGAAACAACACAAGCCACTGAGATCAGACGAGATCATTGCTCAACGGTCTGCGATTCCAGGAGTAGACACTCGGAAACGCCAAAATTCCAAGGTCACAGATGGAGTCATCGAGCCGAAGTCCAAGAAGCAGAAGAGCGACTGGGTCAGCCGAAAGGATTGGTTGCGCCTAAAGCAGGTGGCCAAGGAAGGAAACCCTGCCAACAAGGTCGAACAAATTGATTTGTATGATCCTTGGGCTGATAATGAAGATTCAACACCACTGGATGACCCGAAATTTGATTTCCTGGAAAAGCCGAAGCAAAAAGTTGCTCCTTCTACGATTACGCACGCCCCAATTTCGCTCGCTGCAAATGGGAAGCCTATCCCCGCCGTCCGCGCTCCCAAGGCTGGCACTAGTTATAATCCGTCGTTTGAAGAGTGGGATCAACTCCTACAAGAGCAGGGAGAGAAGCAGGTGGAGATTGAGAAGAAGCGCTTGGAGGAGGAACATAAGGAGCAAGAAAGACAGCGCTTGATTGCCGAAGCCAAGGACGATGACGGTGAGGTGAAGTCTGATGACGAGAGCGCTTGGGAAGGATTTGAAAGCGAATACGAGAAGCCAGACTGGCTGAAGAAGAAACGCCCTGAGCGAAAGACGAAAGCAGAGAGAAACAGGATTAAGCGGCGGAAGGAGGCGGAGCGGAAGGCAAAGTGGGAGGAGAAGATGAAGCAGAAAGAAGAGCAAGTTGCACAGGCGAAAAGTATCGCACAAAAACTGCAGAACCGGCCTCTCCAGCTGAAGAAGGATTCCGATGCTGATTCTTCGAGCGAGGGCGATGACACTGCTCTCCGGCGCAGGCCTTTGGGGAAGACACGGTATGTCACCTTCACTTACATTCCGTTCCATTCGGTTACTGACTGTAGTGTCAGAGCACCCGAAAAGAATCTGGAAGTGGTTCTGCCAGATGAACTGCAGGATTCCCTACGCCTGCTCAAGCCCGAAGGCAATCTTCTAGACGATCGATTCCGGACGCTGATCGTTCAAGGGAAGCTGGAATCGCGAAAACCGGTGTCGCAACCCAAGAGGGCAAAGAGAGAGGTGACAGAGAAGTGGACCTACAAGGATTTCAAAGTCCCAGGTGCAGAGACGTGATTTATTCTCATATTCTGTTGCTGCCGTATAGACGTATAATATCCATCTAGAATATCAAAAGTTCTTTGTTATCAGCGCCCATTGAACGAAGAGATGATTCCCCCGGAGGCCTTTCCAATTCCTAGCATTATAACTCTACGATGTAAAATAAATAAAAATATGGATACTGCTGTCATAATTCCCAGATGGTCCAGATTTTGCTGTGGGCCCGCAGAGCATCCGAAATTTTAGCCTTTTAGCCCCAGCGCCGGAAATCGATGGACTCTCCGCATCGACATCCTTCCCTCCTTCTTTCTTTTCGTTCCTCCTAACCAACCCAGATCAATATGCAATAATCCCCTTGCGTCATTGGTATGGACCTGAAAAATCTCTCCAGCAATTGGAAGAAGCTCCAGGAGACGCTGAAAAAGGACTCCGTCTCGTCCCCCGCCAAGCGCAAGACATTGGACCGCGACGTCCAATATGGTATGGTGAAAAAGCAGAAAACCGAAGCAGTAGATGGGAAAAAGAAGTTTGAAGCGACTCGCATATCAAAACGGAGGAAAAGAATGGCCCACGGGGATGAAAATGGTGTGCAAGAGACCGGCGTAAAATCCGTGTCGCGGACAGATTCCACTGCTGCGGACTCGAAGATTGCTAAAGTTAATGAAGGCCGTTCACCGACGTAAGTTCAGCCTTTTTCTACAGAACGCTCGGCTGCATTGAGTTGGATCTAACCTGACCGCCTCAGCGCCGAAATAGGGAAATATGTCGCGATGGACTGCGAAATGGTGGGAGTTGGCCCCAATCCTGACAATGACTCCGCTCTGGCCCGCGTCAGTATTGTCAACTACAACGGCGACCAGGTCTACGACTCCTACGTACGGCCGAAGGAGATGGTCACGGATTGGCGCACACATGTAAGCGGTATCGCTCCGAAACATATGGCAGAAGCCCGTTCCCTCGAGCAGGTTCAGAAAGAGGTTGCAAGCATCCTGGATGGACGAATACTTGTGGGACATGCAGTGAGCAATGATTTCTACGCCCTGCTTCTGAGCCACCCCAAGCGTGACGTCAGAGACACAAGCAAGCATCCCCCATATCGGAAGGTCGCTGGAGGAGGTTCACCGCGCTTGAAGATGTTGGCCTCGGAGTTTCTGGGTCTAGATATCCAAGCAGGTGCACATTCTAGTGTGGAGGATGCCAGGGCTACGATGCTTTTGTATCGACGGGACAAAGATGAATTTGAGCGGGAGCATTTGAAGAAGTGGCCGGTGCGGGTTGTGGCAGAGAAAGGGGATGGGGAGGATAAGAAGAAGAAGAAGAAGAAGAAGAAGACGCGTAAGAGGTGAAAATTGTTCGTTATGTCTTGATATACCCCCAATTCATGCATGAAGTTGGAAAGTGTCTGCTCTCCTTCGAATATAGAACATAGACAATGAGATAGAGACTTCAGGATCCTTTTCAATCCGAATCATCGTGCATATGCAATACTATTTTCCCGATCGTGAGAGAAATAAGTGAATTGATCAATACTACCTGACAACTTCTCTCAGACGAAGAGTGGAATGGGCAATTTCCCGTTGAGCGTTAATTCCACTTAACGCGGTTGGCGCGTCGCGTCTCCCTCCGTCCCAGATTTAGACATCTCTCACTCAGTGACAAAACACATGAACTTCTTTATTTTGATGCACTTTACTCCACGGTTTACGAATAACTCTCCACTCCAAAGATTACCTCATTAAATCCTAAATATGTTTGCCATTCAATCTCCACAGCAATCCTCCAGATCTGAAACAGAAAAGACAACAGATAACTGCACACCCAACATTCTACCCTGTCGCATTCATCATGATGGCCCTACCGGCTCGATCAGCCGTTATTGGACTCCCGTGTCTGACGAAAATGGTAGGCGTTACAGCGGCCCATTTTCTAAGGGGCGCATACTGACAAGCACAGATAAAAACACACAAACTGCCTTCTTCCGTGGCCGCAGACTCCGGGGGCGACGTGTTGCCATCCCAGAAGGATACCAAGGTGAGACGATCCTGCCAGGGTATACAAATGTCATACAGCCATGGCTAACTTGCTAATTAGGAATCGTAGCCATGCCCACAGAGCGTCTTCTACCGTCAACTCAGAATAAGAGTGCGAATGAAGAAGTTGAACAGGATGACCCGGTCAAGGTCCTGGAGAAGCAGGCTACGTTCGATGAGATTGTAGTATGGGGGCATGAAGCCGTACCTGCATCCGACGACACTTTCGTCAAAGGAGTGGAGGAGTGGGCGAAGATGGCTAAGGTGGTAGGTGGATATCTCGCGATTGATCTACCTATTGTTTTATTTCATACGCTGATGATGGGTTAGATGCATTCACTGCCTAGCAATGAGAGAGCATCCCAGTGAACAATGCTTGTCGGGTGACCATGACCGTCCCTATGACAACGACCGGTTATTGATGAGATGTCATTTCGATTCTGAGCCCCCTTACTAGGATTCGAATTCTATCAAGATGTGATAAGCCCTAGCTAGGGGATATCGTCTGGCCGATCCAATGGTCAGGCCAGCCTCCTTGGCCTGCCTGCAGAGGCTACCGGATGAGGTAGCAATATGAGCCAAGGGCAGATCCAGCATGAACCCTGGGCTAACCTGTAGATCTCAGCGAATCAACAATGCTATTGTTGTGAATATTTAAGCCCATGGGACATATCAATGGACTCTGGGACTACAGTCCCTCCTTATATGATAGCTAGGGACTATACATCAAACTAGGTTACAACCATAAATCTGACGAAACAATTTTATTACTCACATTGTGCATACTATTCATACTTGTTGAATTGTTGAACTTCAAATTGTCATACAAATTACTGTAGGCAAGCAAATTTAATAAATAAGAATGTATTCGACTGATATGGTTAGGAAATGTAACTGAAACAAAATGTTCCAACTACAATACTACCTCGGGGTTCTTATCCGCCTCGTCCAACAGCTCCTGCACATTCCGGAAGTTAATATCCTTGAAATATTTCCCTCTCTGCGCCTCGACCTTAACTGTATCAAAGTTCGCAGCATTGCTCACCGAGAAAATGCTATACTCGGCATAAAATCGAGCCTCGTCGGTGGTTGCTTCACAAACCGCAGTGATTAGCTGCGTCAAACTGATATACTGAACCTCAAACTGAATATGCGGGTATTTCACCCGCACTTGCTCCGCCACCTGTCGCCAAGTTGTTTTCTCACCAGAGACATACGTAAAAGGCTCCCAGCTGCCAGCTGGAGCCTGTAGCAGGGCGACAATAGCCCTAGTCATATCCCTAGCGGCTGTGATCGTGACCAGTTCCTTCCCAGACCCTGGAATCACCATTCTCTTCTCAGCAAGGTTAACAGGGAAGGCGTCTCCAATATCCTTGAGATAGCGGTTTTTCAACGGTACAATATAATCAACCAACCAGCCGCAGCATAGTAGAGTCCATTCCAGGATGTTCTGCTCACGGAGCATTTGCCGGATGGGCTCGTGGTTGGCGAGATAAAAGCCCGGTTGATCAGGATAATCTTGCACGTCACCGCCATATTCGGACGGGATGAAGCGTCTGCATTTCGGACTCTGCTGGCATGCGGTCACGAGGTTCTTGTGGGCATCGGCGAAGGCCATTGTGTAATCGAGGATGGTAGATACCAAAGCGACGGTGTCGTCACCCAGGGCTGCTACCAGGGAGGGTACAGACGTGAAATCCACAACCTTCTGGGTGACACCCGGTATATCAAACTCCGGCTTCGTGCGGCGGCATAGAATCACCACTGGAAGGCCTGCCCGACACAGTTCTTCCGAGAGGTAACGGGCGACGTCGCCTGAACCGGCAATGGCAATACTCATATTTGATGATTATCAGGGTATAGAGGGAAATGGTAAATGAGAAAGACGCTATAGCGTGATAACAACCCTGTCATGATAGTTTTATACTTGACAGTTACAATGCTTCTCTACAGGTCAACAAGACAGCTAGATGCTAGATTGATAATCAGCCGCTTGGAGTTAGTAATTCACTGGTCCATAAAAACGTAACTAATCGAAGAAGGTAGAAGCCATCTCTCGTATTCGGTGTCCGCGGGCTCTTCGTTATTCCTATCAACCGTTCTGTAGAAGGTCTCTAGCTAACGAGAATCAGCATGGAGTGAAGGCCTTCTAACTTCCTAATTTAATCGATTCCAGGTTTTTATAGGAATTGCCTTTCTACCATATGGCTATTCTCAGTTGTATGGGTTTGTATACACATGTCATCAACATAACCAGGAGGGTGGTTTTACAGGTATACTCTTTTCAAATATAGACTTGGACAAAGCCGATTCAATCTATTATTCCTCGCATTTCCAGAAAAGATGAAGTTATTCCCAAATATTTGGGATAAATCCCTTCTTTACTTTGTTGATATTATCTATAGAATAAAATACTCACTAACCATATTATAGAATAGCTCCGTCTTGGTATTACCGTTCGTAAACTAACCTGTAGGCTCACTTGATAAGCCCTGACCGCCAGGATTCTGCCATCTGCTGGTCAACAGTTCTGATTTCTCGAGATTAGGCTCGAATACATCCCTTCCTTACAGCCAATTCGACAAGCTGGCCCATCATGCAGGCTACCGATGGTAAAGTTGCCCCAGAGGCACTAATTCCAAAGTTCAAAATTAGCCGATTACTCAAGCAAGGTGCGTACCATGTACCGTCCCCCATGGATTCCGTCAACATACCATACGTGGATAACAAAGTACACAGTAAGAACATACACTGATCAGCTTCCCTCCCAGATCAGAATGGCCGCCGCATCGCCCTCCTAGGATCCATCGAAGGAAAGCCAGGAATCCTCACTGCCGAACGAGCCGCCTTTGCTACTGAATCCGTCGAGGTCCTGAAAGCGTTCCACGCAGCCATTACCCAAGTCAGCAACCTAGGCGACAACGACATCTACCGCTGGTACATGGCTTCCTCCGGTAATGGATCAAAGGGATCTCAATCCGCCGATCTCAAGCTCAATCTCATCTGGCCCTGCACGGAACAGCATATCAAAAAGTACTCGGACCAGGTTCTCCGCATGGTGACTGAGACTCCGGAGATCTACCGCGAGTATATCCGGCCGTACATGAGCACCAAACGCGAGGAAGGAAGACTGAACTGGGTGTTCAATATCCTGGAAGGACGTACAGAGCAGGAGGATGTTATCCTGCGGGATTCTGGCCACGGACCTGAAGATGGGTTCTTGATGCTTCCGGATTTAAATTGGGATCGTACAACTATGGGGTCCTTGCACCTGCTGGCTTTGGTGCAGCGGCGTGATATTTGGAGTCTGCGCGATTTGAAAAAGAAACATATTCCGTGGTTGCGGTACCTGCGGCAGAGATTACTGGAGGGAACAGTGAAGATGTATCCGGCTTTGGGGCCGGATCAGCTGAAGCTTTATGTGCACTGTAGGTTGTCCATGCTGTGTTGTTGATTTCATTCTTGAGACTGATGTGGGAATGATCTCGCAGATCAACCGACGTATTATCATTTCCATATCCACGTTGTCAATGTCATGCTGGAAGCCGGGTGTACGCAAGCGACGGGGAAGGCGTTTGGACTGGAGAACATCATTTCCCAGCTGGAAATGATATCCGGTGATGATGAGGCCAGTATGGCGGATGTCAGTTTAACATACTTCCTTGGGGAGGCCAGTGAGCTTTGGAGCAATATCTACGAGCCAATTAAGCGAGGGGAGAAGCCCACTTAGAAGCTTGGTTTTATATTAGATAGAGCATGCTAGACCAGATATCCATGATAATGATAGAACGAAGCTGATGACCATGCAATGGACTGTTATTATTGCTTTCAGTTATTGATCCTGCCCACATCCACTAGTCCCGAGGCGGAGAGGCAAGAAATCCACCCCGAACCCCTCATCCTTCTTTCCTCTCACCCTTTCACCCTCTCTTGTATCTATCCTCCATAACACCCGTCAAGCTCTTGATCCCATCCTCTTGCAAGATGGCCGACCAAGTAGATGTTCCAACCCCAAACAAGGCCTTCGTGCCACTAGGTAAACCAGTTCACCACAACCCCAACTTAACCCGGAGAGACCGAGCCAACTAACCCGATCCAAATAGAAAACAACCCTGAAGTGATGTCCCATCTAATCCACCAGCTCGGACTGCCTCCCTCTATCGGATTCACAGACGTCTACTCCATCGACGAGCCAGATCTCCTCGCCTTTGTGCCACGACCCTCCTACGCTCTCCTCCTCGTCTTCCCTGTCTCATCCACTTACGAAGCCTCCCGCGTCTCTGAAGATACCCATCGCTCTGAATACGCTAGTTCCGGGGCCTCGGAGCCCGTCATGTGGTTTAAGCAGACTATCCGCAACGCGTGCGGTCTCATCGGTTTGCTACATGCTGTCTCCAACGGTGAGGCGAGAAAACATATCCTCCCGGGGTCGGACCTGGAGACTCTGCTTCGGGATGCGGAGCCGAGAGATCCCATAGCGAGAGCCGATCTGCTATATGAGAGTAAGGCGTTGGAAAGCGCACATGCCGATGCTGCGAAGTTGGGTGACACCGCAGCGCCTCAGGCAGAAGATAACGTTGACTTGCATTTTGTGGCGTTTGTGAAGGGACAGGATGGACGGTTGTGGGAGTTGGATGGACGTAGGAAAGGTCCTCTGGAGCGCGGACAGCTGGCTGATGATGAAGATGCCTTGAGTGAGAAGGCGCTACACCTGGGCGTGCGTCGGTTCTTGGGCGTTGAAGCTGCGGGGGGTAATCCGGACTTGAGGTTTAGTCTTGTCAGCCTGGGTCCGGTTTTTGATTAAACTGTCCTTGTGTATTCTTCTCTCGCCACTTAGCTGGGTTTTCAATATGTATAAAGTTGGGCGTTCGGCGTCACTCGGGTGGTTAGATAGATAATTTGCATGACCCAGAAGGGTTAGAAAGGCTTTCCTGCGAGTTATCGTGGATTATTGATGAGCTTCCACCATACCCTCAGATTTATAACCATATACAGATATAGAGAGTCCAACTCAAGCAACGGACTCGTCCACCCACCACTCTCGGGCATTGAACTTCAGCACCTCATCCCCGCAAGCCCACCAACCAGCCGTCAGATTGCGCGCAAACACCTCCAAAGCAGTATACGGAATCCCAGAGCTACCGCCGTAGAACACTCTCTCAAAGATCTCCCTCAAGTTCGGCTTCCGGGAATGAACATCCGGAACGGCAGCGATGGTCCTTCTAACAGGGGAACAGCGATTTCCATCACTGGGGTTGATCCTCTCCCCAATGATTAGAATCTCGTATGGTTTCCGCCAGAGACCGTCCACCGGGGTGATTGGTTCACCCGAAGTAGTAGTTTTAATCCATACCCATTCCTCATAGAAGGAGAGACCAGCTCCCTCCAGGGCGTCATAGGCGGTTTTCCGTGATTTAGAAGAATTGGTGGTCCAAATCGCCACAATAGATCTTGCTGTTCTGTCGGTTTTGGGATTCACGGTGTGGTGGTTCTGCAGATGAATTGAAATAATATCCTGGAGATGTCGAGTGAGGCTGCTACCTTCAAAGTATGACTGGGTACGGTAATGTCCACTACGACGAACAGACCGGTTGTTCCATGGAGGGTCAAGAAGAATCAGATCAAATTTCCGGTCTCGAGACAAGCCGGGAATAGGATCCGATGGAGGGTCTTGAGGTGATTGCGCTATTGGCAATTTACAGAATAAAAAGTTGGATAGCGGAGGCACGGTGAACATGTGATGATGCTGGCTTTCAGCTTCAATTGTATCGGACACGTTCTCTGTGCCTTCAGCGCAGCAGATTCTCAGACCCACCATTTCAGGCGAGGTGTTTCGAACCACGACCCAACGCAGCTCATCGATGGACGCGAACATATTCATCCCCGACGAAGATAGAATCAAGGGAGGATGTGAACCACCATCTGAATTTTCCCGTACATCCTGATCTGGAGTGGGAATCCTTTCAGCAAAGTGACAGTCGTCAGGAGAACACGCCATCATCATAGAACTACTTTGACCACGTCTCCTTTTCCCCAGATGTGTTGCACCAAGAGGGCTATCTTTAACGACTTTCCGTGCAAGACACCAGTCAAATCGACCTTGAACTCCCTGTCTGATCTCTTCCAGTCCAGTTCGCACCAAAGGTTCGATGACTTCGGCATGGAAGACCCGCTCGGGGCCTGAGATTCTTTCTAGAACCTTTGCCCGTGCGACATCTGTCTTGGGTTCTGCAGAACAGACGTATGGTTCTGTTAGGGGGGAGGACGAGAAAATGTGTCTCTTCTTGGATTCAGATCTTTTTTTAACATCTGGTGGAGAGTATTGCTGTCGTGGTTGGATCTCCTGTGCGAGGGAAATTGACAAAGGGATGTCAATTAAAAATACCGTGTCGCTGGGGTTGTGATAGAGGATTGCAGATTGAGACATGTCGATTTGAATGGATGTCAGGAACGGACGAATGCTTTCTTTGCGTTGAGACGGGAGATTCGGCAGATTAGTTCGACCGCACTACAACAGGCAAAAAACAGATACACCTAAGGAACTGACTGACGGGCATACAAAGAGTACGAAGTACAAAGAAACTAAGCTTTTAAGAATAAAGGTAGTTGATTTATTCCTCCCTTTCCATTTCCCTTATTCTATCCAAGCATGGATCATAGCGCCAGAAGTCATCGCAGGAGACAAGAACGACCTCGTGGGGTTGTCCAAGGAAATTCGTCACATAGTAAGTAGTAATAGAAGTTCTAACCTCACATGAATGGCCTTTAAACATATGGGATACATGAAGCTCAACAAGCAAAACTAGTAACAATTGTCAATAAGAATTTTTTCTTGAATCCAACGGAGCCATCACAGTCATGGGCTTAAATCCTCCGGAACGCTTATTGACGAAATGAAACACCCCCATAATGCTCTTGTGAATAAACAAAACAACACTTTTTCCTCGGTTCATTCCTTTACCCTTTTCCAAGACGATCCAGCGTCGTTCTAGGTGCTGATAAGGGTTATTTCAGGCACGCCTCCATACCGTTGTTTCCTGAATCAATAGAGAAATGGGGAGAGAACAACAAAAAAAGAATAGAATAAGAGGAGAAGAAAAGGGCAAAAAGAAAGAAGAAAAAAAGACTTTATACATAAAGGGCAAGTCAAACGTGAATGGGGTTTTCGCCCATTCGCCTCACCGCTAAAGCCCCATTAGCTTCCTCAATGAACCAACACCTCAAGTATAGGCGGGATGGCTTGCACGTCCACGCCGTCCCCCAGCCGGCTGACCTGGGGCTGGCTGGGCCTGGTAACTGAACTGGGGGGGATACTGATACATTTGGGCTGTTCCCATGACTGGACTAAACTGCTGAGGAGCATACCCAGGCTGATTCAGCATGGAGCCCGGAGCACCCGACAAAGGAGCTCCTGGGGCTTGCACCCCGCGAAGGCTATCCACCGCGGGCGAACCAGCAGAGTATCCAAAGCCGGTGCTACCCAATGCCGGGTACAGGCCACCAGGCGAGACTCCCCTGGGCTGCGAAGCCAAAAAAGTCGGGTACTGCATTTGTGGCTGAGTCAATGGCATCAGCGGATCTTGGCCAAAGCCGGCCCCGTTTATGCCGCCAATCCCATTCAAGGAGTTAATAGCGCCGGCAGATCCAAGGCTATTCACTCCATCCGCTGCATAGGGATCAAACGGTGAAGTCGGCTGTTCCGACACCATGGGCCTAGCACTGTCCAAATTCTGCGCGAGTATGCTTGGGGCGAAATGTCCATTGTACTGCCTCTCCATGGCGGGTTGCTGAGAATAGTTGGAGGCTGTCTGCCGTGAGGTGGGACGGTGTTGCTTCTCCGAGTTGGTTCCATGGTCACGTCCATGATGATTGTCTCGAGCGCCTCCGCGAGACGATAGCCCAACTTCGTCCATCAAACGTTTGTAACCTTGGTTGGGAGTGGCCTTCAATTTGGTAAGAACCTTCGATATGATTTTGACAACCTCTGCGCGCATTGACTCGTCGAAGAATGGTGTGGTCAAGACTTTAAAGATCAGAGTTGCTCCAGATGTTTGGTCACTTAGTATCTTCTCCAATACCTCATCACCCGGGCTGAAGAACAGAGCCTTCAATACAACTTCGCGGGCATCAGGCTCGTTACGCTGATTGATGACCTTCAGTACGGTCAAATAGGCAACCTTATGAGTGCAGAGATGCACCAAATGAGGTACCAGCCTTGGCGCAAGAACAGTTCGACGGTGTGGGAAAGTGCATGTGTCCAAAAACCAAGTTAGTAGCAAGGCGCCATTAGCATTTGTCGCGAGCTGCACACTGTGAAGGGCAATAGCAGCTGCAAGCATGCGCTGCTGGTCTTTAGTAGAATGGTGGCTCTCCAAGCAAGCCCTCATTGCTCGAGCCCCAAACCGTCCTTGAGAAACCTCCCACATTCTACTTAACATGGTCTCGAAAATAAAGTCATTGAATGCAGGACCAAACCGCAGGCAGCACTGCAAAACGTAATTTCCGTACTGGTCAAGAAATAGGGGAACGGTATATGGCCTAAGAGCATCAATGATCATCTTCTTCTGTGTTGGTGTCTGAGCAACATCAATTATCTTTTGAGCGGCCCAAGTGCCATTTTTATGAACGCCGATCTCAGCAAGATGAGGTGCAATGGGCACGAGCATCTGCTCCTTCGTTGGCTCTGAGCAATACTCGAAGAGCTTCTGGACAACAGTGTTGCCTAGGTAGTCCGAAGAGAGTTCTGCAATTTCAGGAAGCATTGCGATTGCCGTCTCCTCGATTTCCTGAATTGAACATGCCCCATTATCGATTCTTTTCCGAATATCGCGGAGACGCGGAGCATCAAACATTCTGCTCTGGCTGGGCTCTGGGATCGGAGGGATTTCATCTTCAAAGGCCTGGAATGCAATGGCTTGCTGAATACTAGCATTGATATTCAACGAATCTTCGTCGGTAGCACCAAATTCCTTGACAATCTGAGCCATCTCCGGCTGGAGCTCCGAGAGGGGAGAAATTTGAGGAACGCTGGCCCCGTCCTCAGATCTTTCCATCCCATCGATGGCAGTCAACTTGGTGTTAGGGTCTGGGGAAGGACAAGACTGGAGACCATTTGCCCCTGGGTTACCGGACGCAGAGGTACCAGGAACTTTCGCGTACCCAATCCGAACCGGACCTGCACCTGGGAAAATTTCGGTACCGTTGAGCATCGACTTTGCCTGGATAGCACTTTCAATGCGCTCGAAATTGACAAACCCGCAGTTCTTGTGAGTCAACACACGAGTGGACTCAATCTTACCATACCGGCTGAAGATAGCTGCCAATGAAGTAATAGTAGTAGAAACTGGGATACTTCCGATCCACAATGCGCGTGTCGGTCCATCCTGATTGTTCTCATCGCTAACATCCGCACCTGGCCGCATTCCTAGGTCTGAAACACCACCTCCACCAAGGGAAATCATTTGTATGCCTGTCGAAAGGTCCTCGTATTCGCCACTTTCTGCGATATTCAGATCCGCAGCACTGAAGCTGTTCTCAAGGCGCGAAGGGGTAGCAAGATAGTTCCGAATCGATGATCGCTGAGGCGGTGCCTCCAAAATACCAGCTGTCCTAGCCCGAGGCCGATTGACAGACGCGTGGTTCGCAAATGCCTGAACGGCTAGATTGTGCTGATGAATCTGCGCCTGGGTAGCAGCAAGCTGAGCTGCTGCTGCTGCTGCGGACGGCGTGACAGTGCCAGAGGGAGCTTGCGAGTAGCGGCTTTCATATTCGAGTTCCTCGTCATCTGCGTACTTCTCTTTAGCATTCACCGAATACGATCGAATTCTATTATTTTTATTTATCATCGCTAGTTCTGCAAGTAACGGCGGTAATGTGGATGCTTGTTGCTGCTGTTGTTGTTGCTGCTGCTGCTGGTGCTGGAGAAGAACATCCATCGACGGTCGCACAAGATTGGCACGTGCTTGTTGCGGGGTCTCGGCAAGGCCCAGATAGTCCAAAGTCTTCACATCTGTATCCGCAAGACCGTCTCTAGAAAAGGAAGAGTGGCTTGGAGAAGCGGGTCCTTCAGAAGATCGAATGCTTGTGAGGGTTGTTGCTCGGTCGCGGCCAGTGGCCGCCCAGCTCGTGGAGAATAAGGACGGCCCGAATGGGCTAGCAGATCCCAAATAATTAGTCCTTTGTGGCATGGAGCCAGCTCGAAGACGTGATAAAGATCCCGTGCCCCGTGGGCCAGCTGTGGCTGCATTTGTTACCACCGTGTCAACTCCAGATACGCCGGAAGGACGAAAAGGGCTAGTAGATGGTGTGGATCGCGAGGTTTGGGGTATGAAGGATTGCTGAAGGTTCGCCTCATTGAGCGCACCAACAGGCGAAAACCTGGATGGGACAGTACCAGCTCTAGCTCTGCGGGCAGGGCTGTTAATTCCACCGCCCGAAGTCGGCACCAGATCGGGAAACCCTTCTTGACTTGGAGATTCAGGAATGTTTTCACGTAGCGGGGTGGAATGGCCACTAGTGGGAGGGCCCCAGATGCTTGGGGAAACACCTTCTTCTGCTTGGATCTCTCGCGCCCTAGTATAGTGTTTCAAACATCAGTCACCGTCCAATTAAAATAAGAGCTGCGTCAGTGACATGTCCCTTACCTCTTCGAGTATAAGCGAGCACCAAGGTCATGAGAAGGGGAGCCAGCCCCTAGCCTTGCGCTTCCAATTGACCCTGCGGCGCCATTTAGTCCGGTTGAAGACCCAAAAGAGGACTTCACAGCAGACGAAGACAAATCGCTGGGGGAACTGCGCCCCGTAGACGTCCCAGACATTGACTGAGTCGTCGGGATATAATTGAGGTTCATATGACCCTCAGGTCTTGACACTGGCAGCATTATAGATTATATCCTTTTGCCTTCGAGTAGGCAACCCCCTTTTTCCCAGATATAATTTCACACGAACGACGTAAGACTGAAATGGTCGGTCTAAGACAGATAAAGACTCCAGCTCAGTCGGGGGGTCCGATTCGAGGGGTTCATACGTTAATCGTCCAACCCTTTGAAAAGAAAACTGTCTTCTGCCGCTATCAGCAGCCAGCTAATATCGCACACAACCCGACAATTCACTAATTGATATGTGGGGATGGAGGTGATGTCCTAATCCACGAAGATGTGGAAGGTGTTTGTGGCGGGGCCAAACAGAGACTCCAAAGGAATACGTAAGCTCGAACGGAGCCCCAGGCTTGAGCCAGTATAGACAGCTCTCTGAACGCCGGGAGTAATTATATTGTACTTTGTATTGACGACTGCAACTGGGAGGGAATGATGATCGTGATCAGTGCCCAGATTCAACCGCCACGATCCACCGGAATAATATCTTAATACCAAGATTAAATCACGTAAGTCAGAGAGATCCGACCGAAAGGACTGTAAAGACACGAGCGAGTCGTCTTAAATGAAGAGATCGAGCCACTAGGAGAGAGGGGGGGTGGAAGAGACAATAACTAATCGACACGGATCCGAAAGGGTGGTGGACTCGAGGTGGCTGGAAATTAGCTGCGCAGACTCCGAGTAATAAAAAGATACACAGGCGGGAAAGGAAGAAAAAATAAAATAAAGACCGAAGACAAGGGCGTCACTAAAAGGTGAGGGAGGAGAAAGATATTCTAATTGGAATTAGAAAAAAGAGTATAAAAATAGAAAAAGGTAAGAGAACAGATTGTTGAAATCGGGGTTGAGAGTGAAGACAGAGGGGAGGAAAAGAAGATAAAAGGAGGAGGCCGACTGTGATGGAAATGGAGTGATGGCAGAGAAAGAAGAGAGAGCTCAAAGTTGGTCGGATGCCGGGGGAAGGAAGAACAGTCAGCACGTTGCTGGTTGGTAGCCGCTGCCAGGCACATACTGCCGGGTACTGTTCATGTACTAGGACCAGCCAGCGCCGCGTAGTGGCGCCCTCCACCTGGGCACTCAATACCTCCGGCAGACAACATGGGCAGACAGAACATAAGGACAGTAATCACGAGGGCTGTCATTAGGATTATAATAATTATTAATATTACTAGGCATTACGACTGTTTTTCCTAGGATCCTACTAAGGACATGGAAATATAGGGACTGTTTTGTTTTGCTTTGTCTCCGATGCTTCGGATTGATTAGTGACAACGACAGTGCTTACCATCTCTTAGGAAGTCAGGTTGCTTGGTTGAAATAGCTCCTTTCTTTTCGGTTCCTGTCAGATTCAAATTGAAAGAAAGTCTACCAGACCCAACATGTCATGCTTGTTTCCGGAGCAGATCCGTTCCAACAAGACGTGATCAAGAGATCGGGTCCGATGGATCCGGAACTTTCTCGTTTAACACTTTATTCGTCCATGAATGAGTTTCTGAATTTCTGGAAGTTGTGTCAGACCCTAGGTACTTTAGTTACCTCCTTTCTTCCCCAGATGTATTTATTACACGAAAAAGAAAAGCGCAAAAGAAATGTAAAACCCAGGGTGTAGACCCTTCAGTCCCTTGCTCTATCCTACATCATGAGATTGGACAACCTTCATCTTCTGCTCCAGGTCATTTCATTCGGTTCCCGGATGCGTACACCAATAAATGGCATGCGACTGATACCAAAAGCTGAAACAAGAGAGATTAGTGGGATGATTGACAATTCGAAACGACCTAACCCCCGCATTCCAGCGGTCCGTCATGCGTTTTGACTTTGACATGATTGCAATGATGGTAATTCTATCCTTAAACTACGTAACTAGGAGGAGTCACAAAACTTGGTATTTTGATCTCCAGGTACATCAACAAGAACAGAGGGTCGGGGCCAATCTTCTGTACAAAGTAGCAAAGGCACAAAACATCTAATAGATAATAAATAAAGTTGGCAGATGCTCAGTTCCCCTGGGAGATATTACGAAAACTGACGCAAGGGATAAGGTCCTTTTCTCAAAGTTTTGGGCCTACCCAGTCAGACAAATCACCTCCTTGGGCCTCAATTTGGTGCATAAAAAATATTCCTATGTCTTTGTGATTGGCTTTAGCTCAATATATCAAAGACGTTCCCCTGTCTGTGGCTAACTAAGCAGAGATTACTTGCATATGACAGAGGCAGGTACAGGCAGTATTTTGACATATCTTTTCAGTATAGCCGATTTCTGCAAGCATCATAAAGTAAATTAGTGGTGGTTGATGACCTCATGTGTCACACGCACATGGTAAAAAGCATCCTGTAATTGTTAAAAAAGACTGCTATTATACTCAGCTAGCTTCAAGGAAACACTACAATGTGTTGTTTGGTCATGACTTATGCTTTATACTTGATACATTAGTTTTTTTTTTTAAAAAAAAAAAAAAAGAAAATATAAAAAAAGAAATAAAGAAAAAGACAAAGAAAAGAGCAAAATAAAGACTCAAAAAATATGATAATATATATGGTAAATATTTCTTTTAATCAGCAGAAGTCAATGTTAGTATCGCTTTCTTGTCACTCTTGTTCGGCATGTTTGATAAAATCTAAAAGCCTTTGTGCTACAATGTCAGGTATCTCACAATCTTTTAATGCACCCCCTTGGACATTACTTGCCAGATTCTGCGCCAGCCGAGTCATATTTGCTCCAGCGAAAAGTGATCCTCCCAGAGCTAACACCAGCAGTTCAATGGGCTTCTTCACAAATTCAATATTCTGTTTCGCAGTGTTACCGACAGCGCAGTAGAATTCAAAGCCACGGCTCATTACTCCTGGGCGCGCATAACTCTGAATATAGGGCTGCAGTCTTCCCTGAGGGAATTTTCCGGGTGCAAAGCTTTCAGGTTAAAAAACTAAGTGAGCAGCTCGCGTTCTCGGGGCTCCGTAAGGAGTTCGGGGAGTTCTAGAAGCTCGTTGAAAGAAAGCTGCCAAAGATGCAAGTTTTTCGTGTGGTAGTGGACACTGTAGAGAAGATGCGAGGCTTGCGCCGCTGCGTCCAGAATACTGAGACTTTTGACCCTTGAAGGGAACTGCGCGACCCATGGGTAGACGATATATCCTCCGACATCGTGGCCAACCAGACATCGTTTTTAAATGTCGTCTTGTAGATATTCTGCCAGCATCTTGCTGATAGTCATGGTGTCGCAACTATTTGCTAACGGTTGCGATTCACCGAGTGCTGGCGGATCCAAAGCAAAAAATCAATAATGCTTAGAAAGTGGTTCAAAGATGTCACTATATGCTTCAACTGCCTGAGGTCATCCTGGAACAAGCACTAATGGTAAACCTTGCCCTAAAATAGCATGGATGCCCTGAGGAGATAGCTATCTAGATGCCAAGGTGCATTAACACTGTGATAGTATTTGATGATCCGAGCTTTTGTTATGATCCAGAAGGAAGGTACAAAGATAAATGCTTCCTTTGGCAGTACATATTAGTCCTCATGTTCAAAATGTTGGTATTTATATTCACAATGGTGGCCTATAGTACCGAATTTAACAGTCATAACATTAGTAGACTAGATAGAGAGATGGAGATAGTCCTTCAATCCATATTACATACATAGCCTCACCTTCGGTCTTGACTAGTAGCAATAAACCCGAGAAAGAAGATCGAGACCAACATTTCCTCTTATTCCAGATATTGAGTCCCAACCAACGACGCACCATAGTCTATATCGACGTAAATTGACTCACATCACAACAAACCCACGTACCAACAGACATAGATAGTAAGTTGTTAGTCCTTACATTTCCTCATTCCAATTTTACTCAATGGCTGTATTTCCTTAGCAATATACATTTTATTAATAATTTGACCACAGGGTGGTTATTCCAGCGTTTCCGATTAGCAATAAAACATAGTGCTGTGATCACACTAGTCTTTTAAAATAACAATATAGAACCCAAAAGAAAGTTCGGGTATATCTGACCCTCACTATCTGTTATAGATGATTGTGGCCCCCTAAGCGTTCCAGGAATTGATGGTGAAGAGCCCATATATGACATTTTGGACAGCAATGAAGTTGTCAAAATGTGCATGTAGACGGCATATAAATCAGGAAAGATTTAGATGAGGACAGATACAAAAACAGATAGGATAACTTCTGACAAGAAACAAACCTGTCCTATCTGGTTAAACCCACAATTATAAAGATGAAATAAATACTCTGCTACCTAGAGTCAATGGACAGGTAAACAAGGTTGTTGGTGCCTGAGGCCTTAATATCTACCTGGCCACCGAATTCTGCCAAGATTTTCCGCACCAGACCAGAGTCGCAGCGGTCGATCCTCGCATGATTTGTCGCAGTTCTTTCTTTTATTTTCTTCTTTTCTCTATATATCTTATTTCCCTTCTATTTATCCCCAGAGTATATATTTTACCCTTACTCGTACTCCCTAGTGATCCAACATATCTATCGGTTGTCACAACCCGAGACCAAACTCACGTTCTCACCCGATTTGTACCGTTTCTTTCGCTTGTGAGCTCGCAATCGGCTCCTAATAGATAGCTTATGTCGACACGGATTCCCGCGTCAGGGTGATATTCTATATTTACGCGTATCATGGCGGATGATAGTGAAGTCCAGTACTCTGCAGAAGATGAAGCTCCCGTGGAGTCGCTTATCAAGGGACGCGCCAAACGAAGTACAGCCGGCCGTCTTATGTCCTCCCTTCTCGATGCCGAAGCAGACGATGACCTCGCCCTTTTATTCGAAGAAGTAGACGATGATAACGAATTCGATGTGGGTGCAGATCAAGAATGGGGGGAGGAGGAGGATATGGGACTAGATTCTTCATCGGATGATGACGACGACCAAGGCCCAAATGCGCGGGACGATTATGAAGGGGAGAAACAAATTGAAAAGGAAGAAAAGGCTGAAAAGAGAAAACGACGGGCTCAGCAGGACCTCCGCATCAAGATTGCAAGCAAAAAGGTCAAAATTGATCCCACCGCTGTTCCAGCTGTAACTGCTTCTCGACCGAAAAAGAAATCGGAACGGATCTCATGGATTCCTACGCCTGAGGATGGCCCTACACGGTCGTCTTCCCGCCGGCAGACGATGCAGAACAAAGAACTCACACATGCCCGGCTCAAGGATAGCGAAGAGAAGCGGGTTCGGCTAATCGCCACCATGGAGGAGGCTGCCAAACGGAAAGCGCAGTTCAAGCCAAAAGAGATGACGCAAGCTGAGCGACTCGCAGAGGCCGAGCGAGTCGAAACGCTCAACAGCAAAAGTCTCAATCGATGGGAGGAGATGGAGAAGAGGAAAGCAGAAGAAAGGCGCGCTAAGATCGAAGCCCTTCAGAACCGTCGCCTTGAAGGGCCCGTCATGTCTTATTGGAGTGGCGTTGCTACTTGGATTAATGGTCGCTTAATGCGCCTTGGCAAAGTCGATGTCACACCCAAACTAGAGAAAGAAGATAGTGGTCGCAGGAAAAGCAAGAAGTTGGAAAAGGAAGAGAAAAATGTGACAGAGCAAAAATCTATCGAGAAATCCGTTACGGCTGGGTCTGCCACGTCGCAAACTGCCCCTCCCACGAGCTCGGGGCCTCTTGCAAATCCGGCACCACCTGCTGAAGAGGGACCTGCGAAGCAAAATCAGGATAGTTCCGAAAGTCAACAAGCCGACAGTACCCATGCAAAGGAGGGTGGCGAAAGTGCAGGTGATATTACTACCATGTACCCCACTACTCCTGCTCCGTCAGTCGCTCCAGGCCACTCTTCTACCCCTGCAGCAAATGATGCCCCAGCTGCCGACACGAGTCAAGAGATCCGGGCGCCAAAAATCGCGATAGAGCAGCAAAAAGAGACTACCCCACCTAAAGCAACTGCTGAAAGCTCGAGCAATGAGAAGGAAGTAACAATCGACGTAAGTGGAAAAACAGAGGAGCCAACAAAAGAACTAGTCCGAGAGCCAACACAGGCACCAAACAAGACTGTGCCTAATTCTGAGAAGTTGGACATCCCAGAAGTGCCGCCTGCAGAAGGAAAGATGGATGATGTATCAAATGGATTGATCCCAGAGCCTTCTGTATCAGTTGACGCTACCTCTGAAGACGTTACCGCGTCTCAAGTTGTTTCTCCTGCTGCTGCTGCTCCGGATACCATGCCGGCTACTGCACAACCTAACCAAGAAGGAAAATCGTCTTCTCCTACACAGAAAAAACAGGAGTCACCTACGATACACGTAGACCCATCGACAGCCGCAAATGTGGATGCGCCAGAGCTGGAAACCCCTCAGCCTCCACCGGTCATCGAGCACATGGGACGAAACCTAACGGTACTGGAGAATTTCGATGACAAAACTGCTCAGAGTCGTGAATTTAGTATCTATTTCAACGCAAAGAAGCCCCCTCGGCTTACCAGTAAGTGAAAGCCCACTCTTCAGTTACCCCCTCGGGAGCAAACATACCTTTGACTCTTATTCCACCTCCTTTAACGCTGCTTCATATAGAGATATCCTCGTCACTCTGTGTTATCACATCCCTTCCATCACGGTACCGAGACCCCGAAACTTCTCTGCCATTCGCCAACGCTTATGCATATCATGAAATTCGACATACCGTTGCCCAAAAGTACGCTTGGAGCCCTATGCTCGGATGCTATGTGGGACCTACTGGGGTCGCGGCGCGTGGAGTCCCGGAACGGTTTCTAGGTGGTCCGCAGGCTAGGGCTGAGACCGAGGATGGAGAGAAGAAAGTAAGCTATCACGACAGTGAATCTACTGGGGCAGAAACGGATAAGGAAGGTAAGACAAAATCTTCTGGTGGTGCTTCCAACACGCTCACGCCGGCGCCTCCTGCGACACCAACAGCTGTCGTAGACGATGCAGGTGATCCAATGGAAGTCGACAATCCCTGAGCACAGGCAGTCTAGACAAAGCTGTGGGTGGTTGTAGGAAAGGATTGCATCTAGTCATGTACCATATCGTTGTCTATGATACCCAATAGAAATTTTTTGTTTGTTTGCTATTGGAGTGCACAGGGCTGAGGATCTTGCCATTTGGATATGGGGTGGTCATTTCAAGGAGCTTGGGCCGCTTGTATGCCCCGACTAATAAATTCCAGTCTTTGGTGGCGACAAGGAGCCTAACCACCGACATTCTATAACCAATCCATTATTTTCCTTGCAGACAGCAGACCTACTCCGTCCGACGCCCGTTCCACAACGCGCTCCGCGTAGGGATGTTCCTGCAGCTGCCACCTAGTGGGATTTGACCATCCAATTCGCTCAGACAGTGGATTGGAGCCCATTTGTCTGCATCATCATCGTCACTAACTCACCTTCCAAGCTGCGTCATTATTATCCAATAGCTAGCTACATAGTACTCTGCTGTTGCCTCCGGATCCAGTCTGTAGATGTCTTAACGTTTCACCTGAGGTCGTCAACTCCGTACTGACGGAGGGAATTGTAAATTCGGCGTCAGGACAAGGTTCAACCTTGAATTTTTTTTTTTTTTTTTTTACCCGGGAGGATTCGATGGCGGTGGCTATTGCCTTGAACACGGAAGGTGACGGGAGCCCTGTCTAGTGGTGGAACGGAACGTGGAACATAGCACAACAAAGTTTAAGTTGTTTTAAAGGAAAAAATAATAATAATAAAATTTGGAAGTCGGTTCAACTTCGAAGAGGGGTTGCGTTGGCATAAATTATGGTTATGGTACCTATCTATTGAATTTATATCTAGTATGAATCACTGAGGAGGATAGAACAAGAGCATCCACGCAGAGGAGCCAATACAGATATCCCAGTAAGGCAATGCAACATGTGTACGTAGGTCTCAAGACGGTCTATAAACCCTCATAGGATTATGACGTAATGTAATGTGGTGAGAAGGCTGCTTTTGCTTTTTTGTCTTCTCTCGTGTCTCCAGCTCGTTTACCCCTCTCTGCTATCCAGTGATAACATGGCTTACACTTCTGCCAGGTCAGCATCATTCCCTGGGTACCTGCAAGCCCTGCAATCATCCCGATGCATGATAGCATTGCGTTGGAAGTCTTAGGTGCAGTAGAGTGAGACTTGCACGGTCCTCCGATGGATCCATGTTATGCTGAAACTGGTGTATGAAGGACCACAGGAAACCCGACGGAAGAAAACAATAACGGGGCTCGGATTCACAGGGCAAATCTTATTTGAAATCTACTTGAAATCAAAGGAAAGGAGGACCTTGGGACGCCATTCATCGAAGAGGAAGTGGTTCCACACATGAATCTAGGACTTATCATATTACTGCAGTAATAGACGATTGTTCTATGCACATCTTAACCCCACCATTGTTGCCCCTCTCTCGGGTGATCGATGGCACTGAATTGGGCTTCCCTGTCGTTAGCGATAACAATGATAATGTTGACGCTACCTGTGAGGGTTCTTTCCGGTGGAAATGCGTGCAATTGTTTCCCTTCCCATAGTAATCCATCCAGTTGGATTGGCTTCCCCAACAGTCCAGACCAGCCAGAATATGTCCCGAGGTAGGTACCTTGGTACTGCGCGTCCATTCGCCGCCTTGGTCTGTTTTGAGCGCCGGGTTTATTTACCACAAATTTAACGGAGGCGTTCATGGCGTCATACTCGAACCACTGAGGATTTTTCTTGTTGACGGTCGACCAGGGTTGATGGTCAATAGTTGAGATAATATCATATCGAAGCTGGCACTATCATTGGATCTGAAGACTGTGGATCCTACCGCACGGATTCTAAGGAAACTGCAGAACACCCACATGGATACATGTGCGTCACATAGTGGTCGTTTCCTTGCCTTTCTGTTGGTGGGTTACAATCTAGGCAATACTGTCTAGACTCTAGCCTCAAGATTCATGGGAGGACGAGGGTGGAGCTCCCGAGGAATTCTCGAGCTGACGATGACTACTCCTCCTCGCACGATATTCTAAATGGATGCCCGACTGGCTGAGCCCCGCGTTCGAGATTCAACAGAAGCCAAGACGACATGTCATCCCAGGCCGCAATCTGATTGGAGTCCACTCGTCACATTTTCATTCGGTGGCCCGATAAGCGTGGTTCGGTCGGTTATGGGAAAATAGGAATCGGAAACAAAGGTCGGAGAGGAAAGGAAGGGAGCATTAGGCCTGGGAACAATGTGTATAAGAATCAGTTAACGTTCTCTACCAGGCTAACTGCCCTCTTGGTGCCCAGTCTCCACCAGAACCAGAACCCAGACATAGAGACATCTCACTAAATATAGAATGAATGATGAAAGGATGAGAGTGATGAATGCCCATTGATTATTCTTAGGTCATCTGACCGTGGTGAGGTAAGCAGACCCTCTTTCCAGGTTGAATTCTTGTTACATAAAATGGGAGGATTGCGTGTGCTGCTTGCTAGCTAGCCTTAGGCACCAGCACAGTCTAGACCGTCGCCTTCCTGCTCGGGGTTGACGTGCTCAGGGTCACCCCAACAATCAGCCCTGAAAGTTCAGGCCAGCTAACAGTTGTCCATCATGCTTTCTTCATTCAGGTCGAACTCTCTGGTTCCAGGATCTCTGCTGGAGTTTTCCAGTCTAATTTTCCAATTCTCCTGCTCTTCCTCGGGTGTCTCAGAGGGTGCATATATATTTAACCACCTCGTCACCTCCATTTATCCGCATTGGGATTAAATCGGTTTGGACCAATTCTATTCTTATACATTGCATACCCCATTGTCGCCTCCTTCAGTCAGTTGACTTCCGTATCCCTTTCTCATACCTGCTTTCTGCATTGGTTTAAATTTTTGAGCGATTTTTGTCCTGTCCACCGCTTGATATCAACTATTACTGCAGTTCAATAATCCCGCACACTAGTACTCCGTACTCGGTAGTACAGAGTTCCATTTCTACTACATCAATCGCACGTGCAAGACAAGGGGAAAATAAAAAGAAGAGGAAGAAGTTCGCAGAAACAAGAAAACATGTATGTTTATCTTTTCTTCATTGCCCGATTTCCCTGTGATTGCCCCCTTATCTCCCCACTTTGGAAGTCCATGATAACAGAGCCAAACATGTCCACTAGCATTTCGTCCCACCAATATTTCTGACCTATCTGACCATTATTGTGTTACGGTAGATACACCCAGGAAAAGCTTATCAGCGGTCTCGGTTTTTCTTTTACTATCTGGTTTTATTACCGCACGAAGAATCCTGGAGAGATTTGCCTCCTGCCTGGGCTGCATAAAATCTCTCAGATTTGTATTCGCTCAGCATTCTTTCTACTCACCAGTGCACATCCATTTCCCGAAAAGCGAGATATTACAAGAGAAAAAATAACGAGGCAAATAGTATTGCGAGGGTGCAACCCTGGTGCCACAATTCGCAATACTTCCGCTGCCTGAGACAATTGCTCCAACCAGTCACCCTGTCAACCCTGTCGGCAAATCCCTCACTCTCATAGCCTCAGGGGAAACCCTGGTGCTCCACAGCTGGGAACAGCGTCTTTTTTGTGCAAGGTACCCATTAGTTTATTTGACTTGTTTATACATATAGCCTCACCGCCATCCATGACTCAAGGGCATTATAATCCTCAACATCGGCGCACCCTCTCGGGTTCTAATGCTCCCAAGCCGAGAACCGCACGGCCAGGACTACTTCGGAAAGGCACGTCGTTTGTGAATCACTCCATCTCCAAGCTAGGCTCAAGGTACGTCCGGCGTTGCGAATTGGACGACGACTGCCAGCCTGAGATGGCGGCCAGCTTCCTCAACTTTTGGTATGTACAATCTTGTTGTCCCGTTCCAGTAGGGATCTATACTATCCCTCCCGTGTTCTATTCCTCTGCTCTTGTCGTGGGCCCCCCTTGCAGATCGGTCACTTTGCTTATCTTCAGTGTCAGAGCTAACCGAATCCTGCAGTGCCATGTGTGAGAGACAGATTACGGTACCAGATAACTCTCGTCTCTATTGTAGTGAAAGGTATGGTAATTTGCCTTATCATTGTACAATCCCAAGTTGCCTAGTAGCTCCTCCCTTCATGATTTAAATCCAGAGCCCCTCCCAGCTTTTCATCTGTCATAGTGCCTCACTCGAGTAATATTCTCACGCTTGTCCTATTTATAGCTGTCGCCGAAAAGATACTTATAAACCGCTCTTGGCTTCCTTGCCGTCCAACCGCTCCATACCATCTTCCACGACGCCTCCAACTTCTCCTCCCATATCTCCCCGTGTTATAGTGGCACCAATGACGCCCACGAAAGCACCGGCTATGTCAACACCAGCGATCCGGATACCAGGCAAATTCAATGACGCCAAGACGGAAGAGGACCCGTCCGAATGGAAGCCAGTAATATCTATGGGCTCAAGCAGCCCTTCCGCTCTGGGATCCTCGGAGGCCTGGCATTACTTGTCTCAGTTCCATGGTCGCGAGGCTCCGCTCTTGCGTCGTCCCAAAACCAACCGTCACAGTTCGTCCAGTTTGTCCACGCTGATCAGTGCCACGGGACCTCTTCCGTCCCTTGCTCATACTCCGTCCACGGTGGCGTCGTCGATTAGCAGTTGTGCATCCGACATAAGCTATGTTCCAGATTCGTCTCATCGCCCATTACCTCCTCGCCATAATCCCTGTTTCTCTAGCAGCGCGAGCGCCACGAAGGGTGTTGAGCTCGTTGTACCCCATGTGGAAACCCGAGTCAAGGAAATCTATGTGGATCCTACCAGGGGCTCCATATTTCCAGCAACAAGTTCCATTTGGAATGACCACGCTGGTGAAATGACCCCGGTGGCGGCTACAGATATAAGTGTTTCCACAAATGGAGCGTCTTCTGGCTGCGGGGGTCTTCGGGTTAACTAAAGTCGGGTCTGGGCTTCCGATCCTGTTAGCTGACTAATCTGAATTTCTTTTTTGTTTCCATGTCCACAGATGTGCAAGCGATTTGTGAGGGGCATTTGAACTTGAGTGCATGAAGAGATGACTTTATGGGTGGAAAAGGTAACGGGCTCCTTTCCTTTCTCCCGAACTTCTTTGCGTCGGATAGATTTATAATAGCTCGTATTCTGGGAATGAATGGCGATTAGGAGTGGTATAGACACTTTTATTGAGCGAGAATCTACCTATATTACTTTGATGCATCGAGGAGTATTAAAATCTTGTTTCTTATGAAAATTTAATAAATTGTCAGTATATGTTTATTAGTCAGCTTCCTCGATGGTCTAACGGTCATGATTTCCGCTTGTCACTCAGTTGAGAACGAGCGCGGGAGACCTGGGTTCGACTCCCAGTCGGGGAGATCTTTTTGTTTGATTTTTTTCCCCTCTCCCACCTATTTCAATGAAATGGTAATTTTCACTCTTGTCTTATAGTTTTGAAATCAGAAGGAGCCAAAAATTTCTGTATGATACTTTGATGATTTTTCTTTTCGAGCTACAAACCACAAAAGGACCCTCTACAATGGAAATTTCCTTAGATTTAGAGGATGGGGATTTTACTGATCCGAACTCAGATCTATTTTAGGCTACTCCTTACATGGTATGGAGTAAAAAGAAAATGCTTAAGTTCTCGGTCCTAACTACCCCACACTGTGTTTGAATGTTAAATGCCACGTCACATTTTTAAGATGTAAGATCTTATCAATATGAAAAAAATACTGTTGAGCAACAAAAGGACTAAAGGACAATGGGCTTTGTGAGTTTGAATTTGCTTGTGTCTTTTGACAGATCTTCTTAAGAATTCTTCCAAGTACCCGGTCTCTGGAACTAGGCTACCTTGTTTCATGAGGGTAAATGCTGGAATCTGGGTTCTTCTTGCTTATGTGTATCAGGATTTCAATAAAATGTATTTGCTTTCTATTATGATCTTTCCTTAAGGGTTAATGAGTTAGTGGTGGAGTTATGCAGTGTTTTTCAGATGCCATGAATGTGGTGTTATTGCAAAAGTCGAAGGGTCTTGCAATGCAGGTATGTTGTCCAGAGAACTCTGGTTCATAGTAGCAGTTTGATTTCAATTAATCTTGTAGAGGTTATTCAAATGCTCCATGTGAGCTTGGTCCCATGTACTACTTACTTCCATTGGACTGCCGTGTGTACTGCTGCTTCGCCTTGTTTTTTGAAGTTATAGATCTTGGCTTCACCCCTGATGCAAGACCATTCAATAGTATAATCTGACTTAAATTGAGTAGCCTGACACTGTTAATATTTTTTGGCATCTAGGTTTGTCAACCAATAGACATGCAAAATTCAAATTCGTAGTTGTTTCTCTAGTTGGGAGATCGCCGACGAATCTTGCTGACAAGACTTTTCCGAGTGTGGCAAACGGCCGTAGCCAACCTCCTTCTGGCCCAGGAGCCCGTTGCGTATTGTAGATTCCGACTGAGATGCACGGACTTAGGTATGTTCGAAACTCGGCCTCACGGTACCGTTTGACCAGTATATGGATGGAATTCAATTATTAGAATAGGGAGAATAGTAGGCCAAATTTGGATGACGACCCAGCCGGAGACAACCCAGATTTTGCTGCGAACTTGAGTTGGTCGACATACACCGGTAAACAAACTACGACATATGCGATGCAGCGCTTTGATAGTACAAGGACACATATTGACTATCAGCTCGGACAATCCTGATATAAATCCTGAGGCTAGGACCATTAAACCGTGATAGAAGTGTCCAGCACAGATGACGGGTAGAGTCGCAGACGGAGCCGAATACGGCAGTGTTGGATACGGCTGATATGATTTCCTGGGGACAATAAGAGTTACTGTAACGTCAAAGCGGCATTGAATTATCGGATTATGCATCGCATAACTTGAATAATGAAGCGACATTATGGAGACTGCTCGGAGCGTCTATGAGGTGAGGGAGGATTACTCTGTACTTCCTCAATGTATTAGGGCTGGGCTAATTCCATTGCATTATCGGTCTAGCAGGCCAAAGTTACAGAATCGCGCATCAAGGCTCCATATGATGAATGATAATGTTTTCATATTCTAGAGCCAAAAATCAGATATTTTGACTGCTCTATAGAGAATGAAAAGCCCTCTACTCGACCGAGAACGGCGCAGTTGCATGAATTCAGTCTCAGATGGCAGACGGTGTTGGGACCTGACCCCGGTTATGCACAACTACTAGCAGTGGATGGTGTATTGTCAGCAACATCAGGTTCTCTTTGTAAAAGGGTACGTGCGTTTTCAATTGCAGACATTGCATTAAGGATATCACGCATTAAAGGCAACCAACTACAACCTGTTGCATTTCGTTCAGGCTATGGCATGTTAGGGCTATGCGAGACTTGACACAGATAAACGTCCGTCACAGGGCTCAACACCATTTCGTCCGAGCTAGTTCAGTCTCTCTATCGAGTACACTGACTACAACTTCGATTATAATGGTATGCGCTCCCAAAAGATAGTGCTTAATTTAGACCAGGAAACGAGCTCCCGCTTGACGACAGAAACGTCAGGTTTGAATGGTATTCGACCCAATACAACTATATGTGAAGAAACTTGAAGCCATCGACCAATAATTTCAGAACGTGGGGAAACCATTTCCACCCTATTATTCTCTGGCCCACAACTCGGCTTGCGCCACCAACGGAAGTTCAAACAAGAGACAAACAATATGCAGCAGACATCATATTCAAGCCTTGAATTTGGTGAGAAAAAAATCATCTGGGACCGCGTCATCGGGCATTTGTTTCTCAAATTTATCCAGATGATCATCGTTAAAGCAGCAGACAAAGCATCCCTTGTCTTTCTTGAACTAATCGCAGCAAACAAAACTATTAGAACAACCACGTCACCTCAGAGGCTCTAAAATTTGCGAACTCACCACTACATCACCAGCACATGATAGGTGTTTCGCGTTGGACACGCATTGACCTAGGCATATAGTATTACCCGAGTCTATTCCTTGGGGAGGACCGATCCCGTAGGTCTCCGAGTTTCGCCCAGAAGCATGAATTCCCGAGACCAAGAGACACAGTAAAGAAACGTAACGAATGGACAGATACATTGTTGTGGTGTAGTGTTTGGTCGAATCTATATGCAACGTGTTATATGACGTATATTGTTTGAAGCCGGGACCGAATAAAGTGGAAGAGAACTGCAACAGGATATTTTAGGATGCGAGAGACTCAATCAAAATCTACCGGATGATATCCCTCTCTTAAGCTGATTTTTTGTTTGTTTGGATGAAAATGCAAGGGGGGCTCTGGGATTACTGTAGACGATTAGATAACTAACTTAACATAACTGACTAACGAGGCTTTCCGGCGCCTAACTGGTGCCACAGTGATTCAGGAATGTCTGGTTAATATTGGATCGAGGGGGAAAATTCCAGCGTGGAGGGAATGGTATGTTTCAGAGTCGATATCCCATTATAGGCCCGGACACTGATTGTTTACATGGTCAAGTATTCATGCAAGGCCTGTCCGTCTACTCTTAGTAGGCTCGGGTTATTTTTATCCAGAACCTTCGAGAGGTAGCTGATCTTTATTCTGTATATCAACGGTTGAATCCACGCCGTCTGATATGCAACTCAGCCTTAAATGATCCCTAATCAAAGATACCGGGCACATCAAGGGATAATACAAATAAATAACAATAGCGCTCGCTACCAGAGGATATAAACAAAAATACGAATGCCTGGAGCATGCATATTAGCCTCTACCTGGGGAGCAGGTGCTCTGCTTGAGGGATTCTACAGCAGTCTACTATCTAGAGAAGAATTGAGACACTAGGCACTTATTTCAGATAAATGAACGCAACTTTGCATACACAACACATACCATTCTTGAAGAGAACTGGGTTCTGAAGTATTGTATGCTATATAAACCATATGATTGAGTAGACTTCGAACAAATTTTTAGTACATCAGTTAGGTGGTTAGAGGAAAGTTGGACTTGATTCGGAGGAACTTAGATCATCCCATTTATTTTCCTTTTTGCTTTTGGGATCCTGAGCCATGATTGGATGGTTGCATGTGTACCTCCTGTCATACACCTCAGATACCTAGCAAGCGCTTCGCTTTCGATGCATGTGCCAGGTTCATGGCAATGTATACTTCCATGTACCGGATAAACAAGAAATATGCAAGGCAATGGCATGAGAGCTGGTGGACGAAGTCAGTAAGGGACTGCGAAAACAAGATAGCAGAGTATCTTCACTGCGGTGGGAAACCATTTCCAAGCGAGCAGATCAATGGCACGTTTTAAAGGCACATTGAATTAACTACTTTCACTTCATCATTATAATCAAGGGCTAGTTGCCTATTGCTTTCACTTTAAGTAGATGACTGGGAAAGGGAGACGTATAATTTTGTTTAATCTGTCCTTTTCTTGGCATTATAAGGCCATTATCCATATGATCCCGAAAGTCATCAGCTGCAGTGTATCGATACCTTCTCCGCTGTGTAATGACAAAAATACCCGTTTGATTCACTTCAGAAAAGCATCCCATGGCCTAAGTACAAAGCTTCATATGACAACCAGGTTGCAAAGGGCCCTGATTGAACAGTATTGTGAACGCTGTACCTTGGCTTGCTTCCGTGGATATACATAGCAGACCCGTAAGTCTGGGTATTAACCCCCTGACTGGGGCCAGCATACTGACAACTGGAGAGGGAAGCGCCGGTCTATTGGTGTAGTTAGCCGCTGACGTTGTGGCAGTTAAAAATCGGCGGTCCACCGCATCTTGACCAGGCCAGAGCGCGCTCTCGAACGTGTCGATTTGGCATCTGCCCCCATACATGTATCTGGGGAGGCCTATAACCCAGGGTTCATCGCACTCGGGAGGCAGTAGGAGTCGAGTGGGGATCCAATAGAGTCTCCAGGATCTATTTTCCTTCAGCAGTGAGGACTCCGATTGGTGCCACACAACGCCAGGCGGCTCTCGCCGTCGCCTGCTTCTTTGCCGTGCACTTCGTCTCATTTTCCTTTCGAAGGCAAATATCGCCACACTCTGACGCTCCTTGGAAGAAGCCGACTCCTTTGCATAACGAGTGAATGACAGTGCGTCCTAAGAGCCCAGCAGGATAGTTGTTTTGCTCGACCGGGAAACTAAGTTGACCTTGACTCAGGCCATGACCCTTCCTATCCCACAAATCTGCATACTTTAATCCTCATTTATAAAGTTCCAATCTGGGATTTAATTATGGCACTGTCCCTCTCATTTTTACTCACGTGTCGACATTGGAGCTCTCAATAACTAGCAAAACTCATACCCCTGGCTGTGACAAGGGCTTCGGATTTTGAGTGATGCCGACGGCCGTGAAAACCCATGCGTGTAGAGCATGAAGATGACAAGCAAACGCAAACCTCACAGCTGAACCGTCTATTGGTTCTGACATCGGCGAAACTCCATGATTGTATACTCAAGGCGTGAGTTAGCTAACTTCACGACATCACATCTAGTCAAACGAAAAAAGTGACCGACTTCCAGAACTTACGTCTCCGCTCATCCACTCGAAAGAACAGATACCAGTTGTTGCAAATAACAAAAAGCCAAGCTCATACAGCATTTAATGCATCCACAGGGGAAAATATTCAGCTTTTATTCACAGTTGATATGTCGCTTGCTCCCCACAATGTTCAAGGGCACTAATATCCTCGGATGTGGTGCAACACCCGTCCATCCGTCCATCCGGTAATTCGTGCATTTATTATTAATTATGCGTCACTTTTGGGAGGAACATTTGACTCGTAGATCATGTCAGGACCCTTGTGCTTTTAACGTGCATATAATTGCCCCATGAGCGAGATTGAAAAGGGCCACTTGCAAACTGGGTGTATCACTAGACATACAATCGTTATTTAATCTGAGAAAGTATCTTTGACGAAAAGTGGTCAGCAACGGGGATCACCAGCTCGTCACGCCCCGGGGAGTACGCGGCTTAACATATATACTGAGCAGCTCCAGCGGCAGTATAACACGCATCGACATTGCATTGGTGCGCGACGTCTGGAGAACACGTGGAAGATTGACACTGGAAGGAATCGGAAAATTTTTATTATATTTTATTCTTTGGAAACCCGTCAACCATATATATGCACGACTGAATTTGACAAAAAAACCGACTTATCCTTGAGAAAGAAAACCTACTCCGGGCTTCGCATACACCAACGAAGGAACCTCTATGTTTCCTCCCGCGCATGTACCACCAGTGCCGGTATAGATACCATCCTAAAGTCTTTTCTTGGTGATCGGTAGGAAAGGGCCTTCTAGCAACGTATATTTTTTCAGCAAAAGAAGTATGTTTTCTTAACGGATTGTTCCAGCGCTTGATCTCCAAGATAAATCGGCTTGTCAAGCTCGGGTTCCGGAGGGCAAGATCAAAAATATGCATCTGCCAAAAGGGGAGGCTTTTGATTAGAAGCATCTAGACGAAAGCTCGAATAGCAGCAACGAATGACGTACCTGATATCCTGTTCGTCAGGCTGAAGAAGGATACACTACCCAAGTTGCAGATTGATTCAGTGTCCAAATGTCCGCCAAAGTCTAATTCCTTCTTCTGCGTTCAAAAGGGCAAGCAATCGGTTTATATTCAATTCTGATAAACAGTGTGCGAGGGCCAGCTTGTTGGAGTCTGTCTACCTACAGACTGGTAACTCCTATAGCGAAATGCGAGCTCTGTGGATATTTTGGGGAGCAGCAATTGAGGGCTCGTATACGCCCACACATGACGCTCTATTCCTAAGGAGATATTTATTTTCATCGGGAACAGTATGTCATGATTTGCCGGAAATGAATCAATATGGAGAGGTTTCTAAGGGGGCTTCGGTTCGACGTATAAACAGAATAAGGAGGCAGATCGTCGCAATTAAGGCAGGGAGGAGCATCCACCAGTCCGAATCTTCAGTTAGCATCCGATCTCAGTTACTAAAGGCGGAGAAGCGGTTGAAAGATGCTTGCCCTGCATCGTTAGCAAACTTAAATTCGGTTATGGTGAATTTTCAGCTCTTCGCGTCCATATTAGCGGTAAGTAGTCCTGGCGGATTCCATGTGTTCATTCACACAGCGCACCGACTTGACCAAAATCGGTTTCAGCAAGGAGAAGAGAACACGCAATCAGATACCATTGATAAAAAAGAGGAAAAAGAATCCAGGTTGTAGAACCAGCCGTACGTCAGAACGTTGGCTCTTACGCAACAAGTGATGCTTCCCGTGACGGTGGCGGAAACGCAGCGTGCCAAGGGATTGGCTGGCAGTTTTCTCAGAGCCCATAACTATACCGGTAGTACCAGCGATTCCACTATCAAGGAACGGTGGACTATCTCCTGGAAGACAAGTGTTTGGCATTGCTCCTTTTACGGATTTGTACCAGTTCCAATTTTGCTTGGTGCCACAAAGGGGAGGTAGGTTGTATGCAGGGTGATTTGGTGGCCAATTCCATGGGAGCAAGTCCTACCCGCGTCGTTCAATCATTGGCGTACGCCCGACCTTCCTGGTTTAAGTGGCTATTATTTTTGGGCATGAGCTTTAGCAGGGAGTTTTCCCATGGAGACTCAACTGCCAGCTATGATTCGACGATGTGCTCCCTCGCGGATTAGGCCAGTTTAGGCCAAAACTCCCCTCCTTCCAAATTGAATGACGCTTCTTTTGCCTGCCATTATTTCGCTTCCCTCAATCCAACCACGGCGACGAGGAGTGAAGGAATCTCTTTTGGCTGGATGACCGTACATTACTTGCAAGTGCGTGGCGAAACGGCGATTATTCCAGCCTATTATTACTGACGTGTATGCACCAAGGAGGGACTTACATCGTCGCAGATATCGTACCTTTGCACAGGCACAGCAATCAACACATGCGCATCCTTCGGACTGTGTGGATTTCTCCCAATATAAGTTTGAAGCTGGTCACCATCTTGAGGTTTCCCCTACCCTACCCCCAGGCACGTACGGAAAGCATATGATACACTTGATCGGTGACCGCGGTGCTCGACGAGATTCCCGAGAGCTGTACAATCACAGACAAAGAAAAAGCTAGCTGAAACCGTACGGTGAGACAATGGAACAGCAGAACCAGGATCCGTCACACAACTCGGGGCAAAGGTAGGCACCTGCTTTCCTGATATGCCCTCTTTTCTGTTCTTTTTTATTTTGTGACTCAAACTCTTGGTATGTAAGAAGTTGTACGGCTGACGGAGCTATAGTCCTAGTCATATTCTTCGTGAGAACCATTCCCAGAACACGGGTGAAGACCGAAACGGCACCTCTTCAATTCCTGAAAGATATACTGAAGACCCCGACTACTACAAAAACTTCCTCGATCAACTTCTAAGCTTGGTTTGCAATAGGGACCAAGCTACTGTATCGCGAATGGTCTCTATCATCCGTTCTGGTGCCTCACACCTGGAGATTCTTGCAGCCATGTCTCAAATGCAAGTAGAGAACAACCATACTGGCCAGGATGGACATGCAGGGGTCTATGATCAAAACAAGGATGATAGGTAGTGGATGAAACCGCCTAGTGCCATGTTCAGCTTGATCCTTGAGATACCTATTATGTCAACTCATTTGCATCTTATCTGGCCTCTCAGATGGATCGTCGTCTAGGAAACTCGCGACTGTCGATCGACTGTTGATGAGAAGCTGCGATAGAATAGGACTATGAACGCAAACCCGTATGCTAGTGACGAGATACCCAATCCCAAATAGAGGATCACCACACTTTCTGTTTGCTAGTCTGTCTAGATGATTCTTTTCAGAATTCTTTCTCCGTTTCAGAGAAATGACTTTGAATGGCGTATGCGACGTGGTCCATCTACTTCTTGCAAATGACAGGAAACCCGAGTTCATTGTTGATAATCTTCACATTTCTAGGAAGAGCACTTAGTCAGTGTGAATAAATTCGAAATTACCGCTCTAGTGCATATGAGTATAAGTTATGATAACCTAGAGTACATGGTGGAAAAGCGACTGGAGATGCACTGCGTGCATTTTTAGATCAATACTGGAAAGAGATTCCACATGGCCTGGATGTCGCTGGTTTGAATCGGATTCCGCTTAGATAAGATGGTGCTCGATTAACTAACAACAAGGCCGGTTCTGTGGACAATGCTGGTTCTTATAACTAGTAGTAGTTTGTTCCAGGAAGGGCAGCGTACTTCGGAAGCAGCTATTGAACAGGCTGTTTACCTTGCTCACAACTTTCACTAGTAAGTGGTGATGATGACGCTGTAATATTCCATTCAGGAACAGATGTCCTAATATGCCCTACCACTGAAGGAAGTTTTATAAAAGAGACGCTTACTCCAGTCTGGATGCATGCAGGATTCAAGTCTTGGGAAGCCTGGAGAACAGTGGAATCTGCTGACCCAAAGGGAAGTCGCGTGATCCTACCTACCTAGGTAGTCACCATGCTGCATTTATTACTGTAGCCAGGTTTTGCACCATCCCCATTATTTACTGAGTACAACTACAACTCTGCCCCTATTAGCAGTGCGGGCTGAAGCAGAGACAATGCCCTGAAATCACAATGTTCTGTAGTTGTTTTTTCTGAGCAGATTTTAGGAGAAGCATCCAAACTGCTAACTTTTATCCAGGACGCTGTTTCTATCGCGACTCAACGGATTCTATAGTGGAAAAAAAAACACCTTCCTTCTGCGTAGCTTCTCTCGATAGCTCAAAGACTGAAGCGAAACCTAGGGTCGTCATCCCCGAGATTTTTTAAGACGCTTTCGCCAAGTTGGAGCATGTAATCACGTTTCCCCTGATCCCTTTTCTTGTTTTCGATGACCAGTCCAACAGCGAAGATTGTGCTCATAATTCCGCAGAATACCATCATTGCTAGCGAGACACTATAACCAACCGTGTACCGGGGGAACTCACTGGCGCTATCTCTTTTGAAGATATTGCTCGCGACAATGCCGCCAATATTTCCGAATCCGACTTGAATAGCAAGTCCAATAGCGCGTTTATAATGTCCGCTTAAGTTATTTGCGAACCACACAATTGCCACCGGCTGGACGATGTAGCAGCCTGCGGTCACGAAAAACACTGCCATATAACGAACGTTTATGTCCAGGCCTAAACCTGCCGACATTGGTCCTTGGCACAGCAGAATAACATACCCAATGGAAGAAAGGACAACCCCAAATACCACAAAGCCATAGCGATGTTGTAGACGATCCGTCAGGTATGACACAATCACCGTGACCACTGCAGCTACAGCCCAAACTGGGATGGTCATTATTTGGGTCCCGATAGCTGAGTACCCTAGTGAATTCACAATAGAAGGAATGAACAATGCTGTTGCATACCCTGAAACTGTGATACCGAGATAAATCAGGCTACCCACATAGATCTTCCAATCTAACAGTATTCGTTTCCATGCCGCGCCATCTAGTCGATCCATTCTGGCCCCTTCACCGGTATCCCGGGAGTTGCGTTCCTTCAAGAGATCCTTCTCCTCCTCGTTCAGGAATTTTGCTTGCTCAGGCCAATCCGCAATGATGAGCTTAGCGGGGATGGCCGAGGCGATAGATAGAAGGCCTTCAATGATGAAAATCCAGCGCCAACCAGAATAGCCACCCAATCCATGCATATGATAAAGGGCATACGCTAAGAGACCTCCAAAGGCTCCGGCCACCAAACCGGCAACCCATAAAAGGGAGAAGCGCTTTTGGAAGTCGTGCCGTTTGTAGTACATGGACATAAGATATGCACAACCCGGCACGAATCCTGCCTCGAAGAGACCCATGAAGAAACGACATGCGATCAACCCAGAAGTATTTTTTACAAGGCCTTGACACATGCATGCGATGCCTATCTGAAATGTTAAAGGCCATGGTAAAGGCAAGGTAGAAGGTCGCTCTATACTCACCCCAAAAGAAGGTCAGGATGCTAATCCATGTTGATGGTGCAAATTTCTTAAGAATAATATTGCTCGGTATATCCGCCACAATATACGGGGCAAAGAAAACCTGCATCGCAATAGCCACGTCGTTGTCTGTCATCCTGAGCTCCCGACGAATGCCCAAGACAATGACATTGCCCAAGTTGATGCGATCCAAGAAACCAAAGACGAAAACAATCCAAAGGGGAACCATCAGATGCAAATCAATCTTCCTCAAGAGCGCGTGCTCTCGTTTTTTGTCAACCTGAGGGCATCCTCCTTCAGGGCTGCACTCGGGCTCGGCCTTGCTAATGTCATGTCCCGGTTGTTTCTCCATACTGCTTGAGATCATATTCGATGAGGATGTGTACCCTGGTATTGTTGGAATTTGAACTTCTATAAGAATTAACACGGAAGAGGCGTGTGTTACTGGCAACTTTTTTTAACGTAACAGGAATGAGGGACTAGCGAAATATTTAATAACATGCGAGCCTGCGATGCAACATTATATCCTGGACTATCATGAATCCCTGCAATGTTGCGGAGGACGCTAAACTAGCTTTCTTAAGAGCTTCTCATGCCCAGTGCTCACAACAACTGTATATACGTAGCCATGCTCTTCACGATGGTTGGGACAAATCAGCGCTTGCTAGAACATTTACTAGAAATCACTTACACAGTCTCCCACTCTCTTCTTTGTCTTTTTTTTTTTTTTTTTTTTTTTTCCTTTCCCGGGAACCCTATGGTTGCAAGTACAGTATCTGCAATATGGCCTAGTAGTGGTACGCAACGGCCCCTGCTAGCTTCCTTAACAACAGCAGTCTAACTAGGATGCGACCGAACCACCTAACGATTTATGTCCTACATGCAGGCAAGATGCTATGGCCTACTGAGATCAACAGACGCGAGGGGAAGGTCCAGAGTATGCCGTGTCATACCACTTAGTACGGGGATTATGTCTTTCCGAGGAAATTAAACCGTTCCCCTCTACTCCGTATAGCCAGTCCTATTATACCATCTATCAAGGAAGGACATCAAAGCATCCGCCTAGGGCTAGGTTGTCTAAGTCCTTTTCCAAAATAATAATAATAAAAATAAAATAAAACAAAATTAAAAAAATGAAGACCTCAGCAAGGGGGAACAACACCGCAGAAATACACTAGGAGTACGTCCTATATGCTGTCTTTGAAAAAGGCGCACGCACTTTCAGGGTCCAATATGCACCAAAAGCATCGGTTAGCCCTATCCTGGAAACTCTTCCCTGTACATACCTGGCGCGTCACTCATAAAAACTGTCCTTTCCTTGTAGTCTGTTCAGCGCAATGTACACATCGATCTCCAACTCTCTAGGCATTGTATCTGGGCACTGGGAATGTGTCGTCACCCGTACGCTTAACATACGATGCCGCTGTTTAGCTACTATGGCGATATACCAGACAGCTCCGCTGCCCTGTCATATCCATCGCTCGTTTTCGCCATTCTCACACCAATTGTTGTGGCTGCAAGACTGCTAGGCCGACACTATCTTTCTGGTCGACTTGGTCCGGATGATTGGATGATACTGGTTTCCTGTGTAAATTCATGATATAGAGAACTTTTGCAACCACTGAGCTGACATATCATTGCCAGGCCTTTACAGAAACAGTCTCAATCCAGATGATAATTGGCAAGTCCAAAATAAGCTGCAGCCATGGGGCTTCGTATCCTTCGTTGCTAATGACCACCAGTATGCAAATGGGCATTCGGTAAGCACGAACATGATGTCCCTCAGGAGTTACTTATTCAAACACTGAAGGTCTGTCTATCCCTGTTTATGGCATTAGCCAATATCGAACAAAGTTAACGGTCGCAAAAACGCCCCCAGCTCTATTTCGTGGCCCAAATCCTATACAAGATCAACATCGGCCTCACCAAAATCAGTATCCTGCTGCTATATATCCGACTCTTCATCCAGCGGTGGTTCTTCATAACTTGTTTGACGTGGGTTGCTATTATCTCCTCGTTTACCCTCAGCACTGTGATCTCCAGCATACTTCAATGCTCACCGGTCCAATATGCTTTCAACAAGTCCATTCGCAGTGGTGGTTCATGTTTCAATCTGACCGCATTCTGGTACGCCAATGCCGTCTTCAACATTTTTAGCGACCTGGTTCTTGTCGCCCTGCCAGTCCCCGTCATCTGTAAACTGCATTTACCACTGAAATCAAAGCTTGTGCTCTGCAGCATCTTCGCCGTCGGTATATTGTAAGAGTCCGCATATTCAACCATGTCTGCCTGCCTTCCTAGCTGACTCAAACGACATCTAGCGTCTGCATCACGTCCATCCTCCGCATCACAACCCTGGATATCGCAACCTCACACCTCGACATCACCTGGAACAGCATCGGTTCCTCCATGTGGACTGTCATCGAATCAAATCTGGGCATTATTTGCGCCTGTCTCCCTGCTCTCCGTCGTCCCCTCGCCTTCGTTTGCCCGCGTCTCTTTGGAAAATTAGACCGCAGTGCTTTTCACGTCGTTAGAAGATATGAGCCACCGCAGCGTGGGAGTCGGTCCAAGACCATTGATTCCGGTCCCAATAAATCCACTGGTTGGAGCTTGTTGGATGAATTGACTACTCGTTCCACAGTCCGCGAGGGCGAGCAGGGAGGTGTTGGAGCTAGTCAAAAGGAGACTGTCTCGGATCCGGGCGTTGAGAATCAGACGAATCGGATTCGGATGTCAACATACGTGTCCGTTCGATATGATCAGTTCCACGACAAAGAGGACGTTGTTGAGATGAACGATCTGACAGCGGGTATTCCTAATGTATGCGTACATTGATTGTTTTGGTACCTATTGTGTAAATAGCTTATGTGTACTAAATACATGGATAGTGGGGAATAAAGCTTGGTATAAGCGACGTTTTGGAAACAGTAATCCTTTGCTTCTGCTTCTAGGTAGTCTACAGTTCTTATAACAGTCGAAGTACATGCTTCGAGGACAAACAGGCACTGAAAACTAAGCCCAAGCTGAAAAAAACAAAAACCTATATCTCATCCCTCCAATATAAAGGGAAAAGAGAAATACAAATGAAAAAAGTCTTAGCATATCATGGAATCTTGAATAAAATTCTATCAACTTATCTGCCCAGACGACCAATCAAGGCGTGCAACGTCCCGTGAAACGAGGATACAAACTGCAATCCCTCACAGTGTACCGACCACACATCCAAGCAAGGAAACGTTCTAGACCAAGACCATATCCACCGTGAGGAGAGGTTCCATACCTGAGACGAAACTAAGTTAGCATACATACAACAAAGCGAAAAATCAAGGGCGGATGAGAAAGAAGAAGGAACTTACTTCCGCTGGTCGGTATACCAGTAGTATGGAGAGGGATCCATACCCTCGTGCTTATAGGCGGCCATCAGCTCGTCCCAGTCGTCCATTCTCATACTACCTCCAACGATCTCGCCGACACCGGGCATGAGCACATCCACACTTTCAGTGACCCGACGATCTTCAGGGTCCTTCTTCATGTAGAAGGCCTTGATCTCGGCGGGGAAGTGGGTAAGGAAGATAGGCTGGTTGATGATGTCGGTCATCTTGCGCTCCGCGGCCTCGGCGATGTCGTCACCAAATTCGTGCGGCTTGCCCTCCTCGTTGGGGATATCGTGCTCGCGCAGCCATTGGATGGCGTCGGAGTATTTCATCCGGAGGAAGGGGCGGCTGGGAGCCTTGAAATCTGGGTTGAGCTTCTGGACGTAGCCGGCGATTTCGGGTTCAGCCATCATCACGTCGATAACACGGCAAATCACCTCCTCGATATGGTCGAGCAGGTCGGTGAAGGAGATGAAATCGAGCTCCGCCTCAATGTGCGTGTACTCAGACAGGTGACGACGGGTGAGGGACTTCTCAGCGCGGAAGGACGGGCACACGCAGAAGACATCTCCTAGGGAGGGAAGGCAAGTTTCCAAATACAGCTGAGACGACTGGGTCAGGTAGGAGTCCTCCCCGTAGTAGTCAAACTTGAACAGGGTGCTGCCACCTTCGACCTGCGTCTGCACCATGGCTGGTGGGGTCACCTCCAGCAGGCGGTTCTCCTCGAAGGCCTTACGGAATGCCTTCAATGTGGTAGCGCGCACCTTCATGACAGACGAGACGGTTTCTCCACGAAGAACCAGGTGCCGGTTGTCATAGAGGGTTTGGGGATCCGCATCCGGAGCAACTCGGGTGGTGATAGCGTCCTTGTCGCCGGCCGCACGACCGATGACAGTGAAAAAGTCCGCATGGAGTTCACGGTCGTTGGGCGCGTGCTGTTTGGGAGGAACCGCACGTATCTCACCGTGGATTGCCATGGAGGTTTGGGGTGTGAGAGTCATGATATCGTAGGTCTTAGCCAGATCACCGGTCAAAATGCACTGTAGGTAGCCATAGCCGTCGGTCAATGTGAGGAAAACTACATCTTTCTGCGCACGCAGACGATGAACTCGGCCCAAGACACGGACTCTGGTTCCTGGGGTATCTGACTCGGGCTTGCCCAAGGTAACGATGGCCGGGTCGGTCACATCAAGACGGATCTTGACTGGCTTGGGAAGAGAAGGATCCTCCTTGATGACAATCTTCTTGGCATCCTCCAGAACAGCCTGACGCTTCTCTGCTTCCTGCTTCTCGCGAATGGCCAGCTCCTGTTCCTTGGCTGCTTTTCTTTTTCGTTGCTCATAGAGATTGGTGGCCTTCTTCATTGCCGACTTGGTAGCGGGCTTCCACTCCAGTTTGGACGCAGGATCAGCACCCTCACCCGTGGGCTCAGTTTGGGATTTGCGTGTCAAATATTGGGTGCCATCGCTAGGGCTTTGCTGCAGGAGGGCATGAAGGAGCGTCTTGTAAGGGGCTGATTCAGACCCGGTCGCTGTCGAATCGTCTCTGCCGACGTCTTCGTCAATATAGACGGATGTCATTTTCGCTGACTATTTAAAGATAACACGTCAAAAAGGGGTTCTTCAATTTTTTAAAGCAATTTTTTTGGCAAATCAACCACGCGCGGGGCATAGAAGAATGTTGGAGATATCAGGTGAGTCACAGGCTAATTTATCAAGGGCTGAGACCAAAACTATAAAGCAAGAAGTAGGCAGTAGAGGGGCGTTGACAACTTACGAAATATACGACTCAATTCAAGCAAGGAGAACTCGCAGCAAGTCCCACGGGAAAGAAGTGAGTCGCACTGTGCGAGGCTTTCTCGATCGCTGGAGGGGTAAATTTCTGGATTCGGATTGGGATGTGGATGCCTGCAGTCATCCCACTTCTGCCTCAGGCATAATACTTAATGCCTTAATGCCTTGGCGCCTTAGTGCCTTCTTGCACTGGTCCCTGATTACCTAGCGCTGGATCTCTAGTCGGGGCATGTCTATATGGGAAGTCAACAAGCCAAGCACAATAGTCTGACAACTATTGCTGTTGTTCTTGTTGTTGACGATGATTATAGATATATATTCATTGGAAGATAGCCCGTATACAGATACTAACTATCCTGTCTCCCAGATCCTGCGCATCTATTCGGTTTCCACTCCGTATAGCCAACAGAGACGCTGGACCATGATGACTACTAAGTACAATGAAGCAAACATTGCTAAGGACTCAGGAAACGTCGATCGATCGGAGCCATAACTATGGGAACCTGCAAGGAAGCAACGAGAATCATCAAGTAACCAAAGCATATCTGACCTGTCTGCAGCCGGCCCGGATCAACTCCGTTCCGCTCAGAAAGAGCCGCTTCTTTCCCCTTTCCGGGTGCGAGAGAATCGAATCGCTACTAATTCTCCCCCACCAAGGACCACCTCCACTAGTCCCGATCTGCCCGAACGGACGACAAGATTGAGAGTAAACAAGAATGATGGAATGAAAGACCAACAGAAGGGCAGGTCCATCCATTCATGACACTTCAGATCTGGGCGACCGACTAATTCTCCGTATCTTAGTCCATTCCTCTTCCTGCCTGCCTTTCTAAAATACCCGAGAAGATCGCGGATCATCTAGAAGATTGTCAATAATATTTCTCAAGGAGGCTGATCCAACGGGACGTTGAACTAGCAGATCTTTTTTATCCATCCTGCTAGAAAGACTGACAGGTTCCGCTGGTGAAGGGGATGGAGAGATTTGCCCTCATTATTGTGGTACGCTAAAAGACGTCCTCAGTCAGGAACCACTCAGTACTTATTCCATATCTTCTCTCTCTCCACAAGGCATGGATGACTGTGAGTAGGTTGGCTACAATTACTATTATTATTCGCCAGACTAAACTAGTCGATTTCCCTACGACGACAATGTTTGGTTCATTGCAAACTCCCCCTTTTTTGCCCTCCTATTAATTAATGCATCACTTTATTCGTTCCTTGCTTACCTGATATTCTCTCGCGGATTGTTTTGTCTTTTCTTATTTGGTTTTATTATCTGGAATATTTTTATTACTTCTCCACGTTCCTAACTGTAAGGAACTGTGTTGACAGTTGGTTGTTTAACTTATGGTTCCTTTGATTACCACTTAAATCATTTTGCCTTCTCTATGCTCTCAGTTATTCAATTCTAAATATCGTTGTATTTATTTATTTATATTTTTTATTTCGCCAGCAGGGGAGGGGGAAGTCCAAAACAAAGCCCCTCTTGTCATCTGAGATTGTTATTACATATTTTTTTTTGGTTTTACTCTCTTTTATTCCGCACCCCCTTTTCTCTCTTTCTCTCTCTCTTTTGATTTCTCCTATCTTGGGGCCTTTTTTTTTTTTTTTTTTTTTTATTCCTCCCTTGTTGATCTTGGACTCTCTTTAGAGATCATCTTACTCTAACTAATTTCTCTTTTTGTCATTCCACACTTATCCATTTCCAGTTTCTTGGACTCCATTCAAGCACTTCTGATTGGGGTCGTTGTCTTCACTGGAGATTAATCGTGATAGACGTGTTGTTGTTGTTGTCGCGGTGGTAATAACTAGCACCAGCAGCAGCAGTTGGCATTCCCGCAGCCCCTAAACCCATCCCCAACTAGGAAGAGGTTTGTCCCCGTTCCACCAACCATCTCTCAGGCACATTCCACTGACCTTCCGTCTAGACACGTCTTGGTTATTGTCTTTCTTCTGCTTCGTTTCTGCTCATTCCTCTCCTCTCTCTACCCTTTGCTGTTGTTCCATTTCGTTTCGTCTCTTTATTTTTGATTCTCTATTGTTACTATTTTTCTTCTTCTTTGTCTTTTTTGACATCTCTAGTTTTACCCTTCTTATTCAATTCTTCTTATTCAATTCCTTTTTATTTATTTATTTATTATTATTATTTCTCTCTTTTCCCCTACCTCGTTTCGGGGGTGATCTTCAATCCGGCAACCTTTTTCCCTTTGATGGTCTCCTGGCTATTTCCTACTACTGTGTCAATTGCTCCATCTTTCTCATTTCCCCCTTTCGTTAGTGATAACGATCAATTCACGTCGACTACGGTTGACCCCGTTTTTTGCTTTCCTTACCTAGGGACTGTCGCGTCCTTCTCGTTCGTTCCCGCTCACTCGCCATGCAAACCTCCGATGCCTCCAATCTTCCGAGTCGTTTGATTCCTTCCAAGTTTTCTCATCTCAACACGGACAATACGGGTTTCTCCCACGGGGCGTATAACTCGAACAGCGTCCCACTGCAGGGTTTGCAGGATAGGAACGCTCGCCGAGCTAACATCCCTGCTATTAACACCACGGCCGGTCACGGCATCCCCGACGCCATGGCTACCTCCGGCACTTTCGACATGAACTTCACCCCCCTCCTTCCGTCTCAGCTCCTTCTCGGCAGCCCCTTTCAGCCTGGTACCCCCTCTGCATTTGCCTCGCCTCAATTTGCCAATTTTAGCGGCTTTTCCCAAGCCAATGGCCCCGCACATGCACAGAACCCTCAGAATCACTTGGGAAGCCCGACACAGCCCTCGCAGAATGCTGGACTTTATTCAGGAATGATACCCACTGATAGTATGGGGAACTCACAGATGCTAGGAGGACCCCAATCCCCCGTCGGTGGTATGGGTGGTTTGAGTAATGCGGCGTTCGGAAGTGCTGCCGCACCAGTAACCCCTGGTCTCCTCTCAGGCACCAGCCGGACCGTATATTTGGGTAACATCCCCGCGGAAACGTCCGCCGAAGAGGTCTTGAACCACGTCCGCAGCGGACAGATTGAATCGGTTCGGTTACTTCCTGATAAGAACTGTGCCTTTATCTCGTTCTTGGATAGTAATTCCGCCACGCATTTCCACTCAGACGCCATTCTTAAGAAGCTCGCCATCAAGGGAAATGACATCAAAGTCGGATGGGGCAAACCATCTCAGGTGCCCACCTCCGTCGCTCTGGCGGTGCAACAGTCTGGCGCATCCCGGAACGTGTATCTGGGAAACCTGCCCGAGGAGATGTCGGAAGACGAACTACGGGAAGAACTTGGGAAGTTCGGCCCTATCGACACCGTGAAGGTCGTGAAGGAGAAGGCCATTGGCTTTGTACACTTCTTATCTATTAGCAACGCCATGAAGGCCGTGGCGCAACTGCCCCAGGAGGCGAAATGGCAAGCCCCCAAGCGCGTATTCTACGGCAAGGACCGATGTGCCTACGTTTCCAAGACGCAGCAGCAGAATGCGGCCCAGTTTCTGGGAATTGCCCCGGGGTATGCGCACATCCTCAATTCTGCGGATCGCGACCTGATCACCAACGCGCTGGCCCAGCAATCTGTTGCGGCTGCAGCCGTGGCCACCACCGCCGGTGGTGTCAACAACCTGGGCAATCGGACCGTTTACCTTGGCAACATCCATCCCGAAACTACCATCGAGGAGATCTGCAACGTTGTGCGTGGTGGTCTTCTGCATCATATTCGCTATATCCCGGACAAGCATATCTGTTTCGTCACGTTCATTGACCCCACTTCGGCCGCTTCCTTCTATGCCTTAAGTAACCTACAAGGTCTGATGATTCACAATCGTCGCCTGAAGATTGGCTGGGGTAAGCACTCCGGCCCTCTGCCTCCTGCCATTGCCTTGGCCGTGAGTGGCGGTGCCTCGCGCAATGTTTACGTGGGCAACCTTGACGAGTCCTGGGCGGAGGAGCGCCTTCGTCAGGACTTTTCCGAGTACGGTGAAATCGAGCTTGTCAATACATTGCGTGAGAAGAGCTGTGCCTTTGTTAACTTCACCAATATTGCCAACGCCATCAAAGCAATTGAGGGCATGCGGAACCGGGAGGAATATAAGCGCTTTAAGATCAACTTCGGCAAGGATCGCTGTGGAAACCCTCCACGCCAGACCGGCAATGGTGGACAGCAAGGTCGTAACGGGTCGGGGCTTGAAGGACCGCACTCGCCCTCACCGGCCCTCAATGGCTACCAGCAGAACTTGAGCCAATCTGACTCCAGCCCAACCCGATCCGCCCTGTCTCCTGCGCCTGGCTCTACGGGTTCTCAGTCTCAGAACGGCCAGCAGAACCGACACCCCCTCCAAACAGTGCCGTCTCCATCAGGGGTTCTGAACGTGGGAGCCAATAATCCTTTGACCATGTATCTCAATCAGATGTCCGCCCAGCAGGCTCAGGAACAAGAGAACCGGTTGAGCGATCCCATGGCCCTTGCCGCCCTGCAGTCCCAACCTCAGCCACCCCAGCAACAGGCCCTGTATAACGGCGCCAACCCCAGCGAACTCAGTAACGGAAATATCGACGCACCTCTGCACCAGCATAAGCCCTCTAGCAATAACTTCCTCAGTGTTGCAAATGGCTCTACAGGATCTAGCCATCATGCCACCGCAAGCACCAGCAGCTTGAATGTGCCACGGGCACAACATTCGCGTGCTGTCAGCCTGCCGTCATTTTCGCAGGAGCCGTTTGGGCCTGTCTCAAGTCAGCCTGGTCATGGCCGTTCTGGTGTGGCCCATCAGCCCCAGAGCAGCTTCTCAAGCTTCACTTCTGCCCTCGGCGGACTCAACCATGCCGGTTTTGGGTTGGCTATCCAGAATGAAAGTTCGTTGCCCGGCTGGGCTGAGGAAGAGATTGGAGCAAAATAATTGATTCCGCATATTTTGAAGCGCGATTTGTTTGGATTTATCGCCCTTTAATTCTCTGGGTATAGCTCATTGTCCTTCCAAAAATTTTTAACGTCTATCTCTCTGGAATTCCATTCTATTCCCTTGTCACCATCCTGATTTCTTCTTTGTACTGCCTTGATATATTGTGTGGTTTCTCTATTTTTTCTGTGCAAATTCCGTTCTCTGCCAACCCACCTTACAACCTTTTAATCATTCTTTTATCACCCTTGTATTGCTAGTTAGGTATGACCTTTATTCCTTTTCACGCCCTTTATTTTCTAAACATTTAATTCTTCTCTTCTTGTTTTGATTATTTACATTTTCTCTTATTTCTTTTTGGATTTCCAGTTGTCTATGAAGGCGGGTGAGATCTCGGCTATATCCTAGACCAGTTGGCTCTGGTCTGTTCTTTAATGTTCATCCTGCGCATTTGCATTTGTGATGCCATTTTTGACGGAATCAACCCCGAGTGTTCAGCGCCTTGTTACATTTTGGGACGATGGACAAGGGTTTTATTACATAGCTGTGGAGGTAATAAGCTCGGCATGGGTGATGGCAACAAGGCCAGTGAAAGAACTATAGCGAAAGACGAATAAACAAAAATATAAAATGTAATCGACCTGTGAAAGTTGCCATGTAGATTGGATTTTGTCCATGTTACTGTTATATTTCCCCATTCGGTGAAATAACAACAGGGCGTGCCCCACGTGACCAATGTCGCGCTAACCGCGTACGGCCCATGGAACGTGAAGAAGAACAGCATGGGCTCAATTCAATCTTCATCATTTCATCGTCCGGCGCTGGCTCGTCAGTGACCAGTTGCAGCTCTGATCTTGCCTGATCTCGCTATGGCTCTGCCTCCAGAACAGATTAACATCAAGCGCCGACGAGAGGAGGAGCCCGTGGATACGTTATGTAAGAATTCTATCCTAGCTAGTTACCTCCCCGAAATCTTTTGCTGGAGTGAGGAGAATGTTGTATATGTGACGAGAAGAAAAACAAAACAAAAAAAGAAACCCATTTTTTCCCTTCAGGAGCTAACCTTGTATCATAGATATACAGTCTGAATTACACCAGACCAAGCGTCGCTTCACGGACTTCGTCTTTCAACGAGTCCAAATCAAAGGCGATGGTGGCAGCAGCGGCTCCCCATCACCAGCAAAGGGGGCTCTCCGCAGTCCGCGCTCGGTGAGCAGTGTCAATTTCCCAACGACCGCGCATTCTCGCCCTGCTTGGACGGGGAGTGTAGGAGGAGTCCCGTTGGTGAGAGCCACGACGCCGGGGGCGGAGATTCGTGAAGCCAAGCGCCTCGCGACCATCCGGAAAGAGAAGGAAGAGAAGCTGTACAGGGCTTTGCGTTCATCACCGACGGCACCGGAAACCCGCCATGCTCACGATAATGGAGCAGGTGATGATGAACTGGCCTCGGTGCCTACGACGTCCAGCGGCAGAGCGAGCCCTGCACCATCAGCGTCTCCGGTTGTGCGACGATTTCAAATCTCTCGGTCCAAGAGCCTCCTACGAGGTACGTCGGGAGGCGGTGTACAGAAACGGAAGGGAGACGGCGCAGTTGCGGTGCTGGTGGAAAAGTTGCGACGCAAACCACATTCCAGGCAAGCGTCCATGGTTGCGGATGCTGTAGTCCAAGCGGAAGGAGATACAGGAAGGTACGAAATTGCTTCTACAAAAATTACCGATCTGCGGGACAACTTGGCCCAACACGAGGAAGAAGCTCCGACTCCGCAGCGGAAGCGACCTGTAGTGAACAAGGCAGAAAGAGAGTGGAGAGAGGAGCGTAAGACGGCAATCAGTGCAGCCAAACAGCACATCACACAGGTGTTGGAGAAGGAGGCCCAAGCTCAACATCAAACCAACTGGGACGATGAATCGGATCGACTAGCCCAAGAATTTCAGCAGATTGCACTGGAGATAGAGAGGGAAGTAGAAGAGGACACGGACGAGGACACGGAGATATTAGCCACGCGGTCGACACAGGCCCGTTCTCATCCGAGGATGCCCAAAGCACCGTTGAAATATCCCCCCCGCACGCCCAATAAGCTTCGAGCTAGGCCTGCAGAATCGCCGCAAGGGTGTGAAGTGCTGGTCAAGGCTGCTGTCATAGCTACTCCTACCACTAATACGACAGCTCCAGCTGCCGCCGCAGCCACGGCAACTACCCCTCAGGCGGCACCAGATGTGGAACACGAGGACGACAGCGATGGAGAATACGTCTACGATACGTATATCCGAAAACCCCTCCCAGAGATTGAAGAAGGAGGAGGAGGCCTGCTTACGAACCCCCTGGTGGATTTGCAACTGGACCAGGAAGCCTGGCTTCGACAGAATGGCATCGATACGACCCGTGCCGACATTGGAGTGATAGTTATCACGCAAGAGGACGAAGAGTATTGGGAAAGTTTTGTGGAGGAGGAAGACGATGAAGAGCGATGGGATAGTGAGGATGGGGATTCCAATGGTCAGTGGTGATTGATCTAAAGAGACTGGGGTAGGAGGCTAACCCCTTTCCCTGCTCTAGCTGAAAATAATCCCGCCAATGAGTACCCTGACGAAGAGCTGTCCTGGGACGACGAAGACGACGATCGACTGGCCATCTATCACAAATACCGCCGCCACGCGGTGTCAGACGATGAGGAATTCGACTCAGACGAGTCGGCCAATGAGAGGTGGTTTGGCCCTTCTGGGCGTCGGTCGCACGTGGAGTCCGATGACGAGAGCTGGTGACAAGCGCGAAGGACGGGTGGCTGCATTATGCTGGCCTGGAGCTCTTCAGTCTCTGTGTGTCTTTTCAACTCTCATCAAGACGCATGCGCATCGTCTTTCACCGCAACTCAACCGACATGACCACAAAAAAGGACCCAACATCTCTGTACACAGAGCAATCACAATCACCCCCAAACCGCCTGCAACGCAACCATCTGCCTCGCAAATCAGGACTCAGGTCACCCTCGGACGATGAGATCACACGTCAGAACTAACAACATGATATTTGTTCGACGAGCGGGGTTGATTCCAAATTCGCCTGGAAGCCATTCATTCATTCCATTTCCTTTGTCCTTGATGAAAGATTATTGGGATCTAACGGACTTTCCATTTCGCTAGATGATAATCAATCTACGACTTCACTGCATCAGCACAGTATCAATCTGTATGTATCTGTAATGGCATAATCGTATCCAAAGGTCCAATACTATCAACTATATAAGGCAACCAAAGCAAGAAGAGCTGAACACGTCTGACCTACCTCCACCGTAGTCAATCAGTCAGTTAAAGAAATAAACACACAGCTGATCCACCTACCCAGCACCCGATGTAGAATCCTCCAACCGGAAAGGCAAGGCTAGAGAATTGGCCGAGCCAGAACAATTAAATAAGTTAATTAAAAAAGTTCTCCGAAGCTCTCCCACAGGATAAACAATGGAAGGAAAGGAAAGGAAAGGATGAGGGGGACGAACAGGAAGGATTCCCATCCTTCAATCAACAGTTGCAGAAAACTGCATGGCAAAAAGAATGTGTGTCAGAAACGTCCTAGTAAGTGCTCCAGTAGACCACGGAGTATAAACTAACGTGTTTAGTTGACGATGTACGCAAGCCTCCTCTTCCTTTCCCCATCCCATTCCATGTGTTCAATTGATGATGAGACAAGGTAGTGGACCCGTGGGCCAGTGGACCCCCCCGTGTGTTTTGATTGTTTTATTTTATTTTCGGGACTAGCAAAAAGAAGAATGTGAAGTATGTCTGTGGATTTGGGGGCCTTTTTTTTCTTTTTTTCCTTTTTTTGGTCCAACAGATCCCTCATCCCACACCCCGACAAGGGTCCCGGTTGATTAGATGAGTCCGACCTTTGCGTCATGGGTCATATCGGCGATTGTATTGATGAGGTCGTTCTTGTTATTGGTGTACATAGGAGTACATTTTATGTTGTACTCCAGTGCTTACAGAGTACAATCCAGTCCATGATAAGAGAGAGTGTGTGTACCTAATTGTTTGCATGTCGGTACGCCCAAGTGCAGAGGTATGTAATGAATGATCTGTACTGTATTGTACTGTACCATATAGTCGATACGAGAGGAAGTGGATACGAGCAGCGAAGTATAGGTAGAAGCAAACAATCAATTCAACAGATTTCCCAACCCCGTGATCTCACGGTCAAAACAATGCATGCATGCTAAAGTCAGAGAGCCTCCCAGTATAAGTGGTCACAGAATAAACACAGCTAATATGAAAGACAGACAAGAAAGGTGGAAGTCCATGTAGAACATCAATCCAGGTATGTCGGAGGAACAGGAATAGTGGTAATAGTAGTAGCAGTAATAAGAATAATAATAATAAAAAGACAAACTCAGGTATCTTGCAGCGGCCGTAAAGAGTGGTCAGAATCGACGGATTTTTGGAAAATGAAAAAATAAAAGCCGTCTTATGATGAGAGCCGTAGGCTGTTGACTTGCTCTTTGTTCTCACGCATCCATGGATACCAGACACCCACCCATTCGATCACTCCGTACTTCGGGGCCGATGAATCAACTAGTCCCGAGCCCTCACGAAGGAACTCGCCATCACGCATGCGTCGCTGCTCTCGCAGTGTTGGACACTTTTTCTCCTTGATGAATCGGTAAAATTTGCACTGGATCCCCTGGAATCCGCGTCGTTGTCGATTGGGGAACTGTCGGTTGAAACTTTCTCGCACCTCCTTCCACTCCTGGCAGAGATCCACGCGGTGGTACCAAATGAAGTACATCTCCTCCTCCTCGTACTTGGGGCGAGGAGGTCGCCGTCGCTCGGCGGCATTACTGGAGCTGCTGGAGACCGAATCATAGCGGTCCCGCGAGTACGCACCTGGTGAAGACTCGGCAGACCGTGACGGATAGGGCGGATAGGACGGTTCTTGAGATGAGCTGGAGAGATCACGGTAGGACCGGCTGTCCGCAAAGGAGTAGATGTAGTGATTGGGACTAGGTGGATAGATAGGCGAGAATTGTGGACTGGGGACGTAATGAAGTTTAGAAGAGGAAGAGTCATTCTCCGCCGACGGGTTCAGTAGAGAATCAATGGCCATGCGGCTCCGACGAGACGATGGCATGTAGCTAGATGGAGCATGTTCGTGGAAGGCAGTCATCGTGTAGCTGGGTTGGTAGGCAATTCCCCCCATCAATATAATCTAGAAACAAATGGATGTTGAGGAAGAGTCGACAGTGGACCGGCGTCGATTGAAGGATAGGCGAAATGCAAAGGTATGGTAAACTTTTTTCCTGGAGGGGGTATGTGAAACCGTTGAAAGCACGATTAGGCCAAGATATTGAGAAGTGGAAAGAGGAAGGGGAAGAACTGGTTGAGGAGAAACCAGGCAATTCTTAAAAAGTAAATCAGAGGGTGAGTGACGACGGAGTTAAGATTCGGGGAAAAGAGTTCGATAATAATAAAAAAAAAGAAAAAAAGAAAGAAAGGGCCAAGAGGATTGACGTCTTCTCTGTCACTCTGCCCCAAGCACCTTTTTTTAAAATAAGAAATGTCGGAGTGGAAGGAATAATGGGTCAGGCGGAGACAAGTGCTCTTGATAAATGATTGAAATTCCGAGGCTTCTCTTCGTACACCCCCAAACAGCGCACTAGACACTCGGTTGGATTCTTAAAATGGGAGAGAGTAATAGCTGGCCAGGGTCCGGTTAGTTGTGCTTAATCCATGCAGCGTACCGGCTCCTTGGATCTCGCTGGCCTGTGGTAGAGAGGGACGCTGACTGCGCCCCTGTCCGGACGTGGAGAGATTGCCTCGACGGCGGGTACACGATGCCCTCTGAAATGATCCGTAGCGCCGCCAGCAGGGGGAGAAGTGGAGGGAGGAAACGAGGGTCGTATGTTGGTCGGTAGGAGAAGGAGGTGGATGTGAAGTACCAGACAGATAGGTGAACTAGGTAGGCACCTAGTAGTAGTAGTCTTAATACACCAGCAGGTAGTAGCACCAGCGCTGTAACCACAACAATGATGGTAAATACCCCTGTGTTTTTATTTTTATTTTTATAGGGAAGGAAGTGAATGGAATCAATCAATGATCCTGGCGATCTCCTCTAGAAAGAGTCAAGAGTAGTGAATGTTATATCCTTCGGGATTTCCGATATACAATGTAAAGTATGTATATAGTAAGTAGTAATGGGGGGAAAGGAAAAATAAACCAGAAAATCAAAATCCAAAATCCTTCCCGCCGAAAATTAAATAACAGACAGATCCTTGACTTAATATATGCAAGGATGGTGGGAATGCAACACGCTGATATACCAGAATATTTCGCCACTGTTCTTCTGATACACATGATGGGTCCAGTCCCCACGAACGAAGGATATTCAAACGTTGAACAGCAGCAGAACAAGTGGAGATCTCGAATCCCAAAGGTCACGTTGGCAGACTGTCGAGCAGCAATGATAATGGGGATGGAGATTCTGCTCACCGTTGGATCGGGTAATTAATATGCTAGTTATTATTATTATTGTTTTTGTTGTTTTTATTTTGTATTTTCACTTTTTTTTTTTTTTTTTTTTTTTTTTTTTTTTTTTTTTTTTTTTTTTTTTTTTTGGAGGGGGGGGTCTTTCAAAATCAAATTTAAAAAAATGAAAATAATAGAGGCAAAAATAAAAAAAAAGCAAGAGTTTCAGTTCCCCCCGTAATCGGTAATCCCTACCCTGTAGTACGGAATCTAAGCCTTATTACTTTCTGTTATTATTCTGATGGTTGCTATTATTCTTATTAAATACTACGATTTTCATCAGACAGACTCTGTATAGGTATTGTATTTTATCTATTGATTTTAAAATCTCATCCCCCTCATTGTCCCCCTCCCCCCCTTCCGCTTCCTCTTCCGCTCCAAAAAATCTCCCCAGAGAAAAAGGATCCACCCAGCAAGCAACAACGGAAAGAGGGGAAATGTCGAGGTCTAGTTCATGCACTATGCGGCAAGGATATCAGAACCGACGACTGGAAAAGGAGCCGCAACGAAGAGTTGAGGCAAGTTTGGGTCTGGTTCGGGGGTTCCTTAGGGTGGATGATGTTAATTAGAAATTGACCGGACGGTTCCAAGGGAACAGTGTCCTGGCCACGTTGGAATCGTCGGACTTTGTTTGCGAGGTTGGCCGGATTGATCTGGCAGCGATTGAAAAAAAAAAAAAAAAAAAAAAAAGGAAGGTTTATTCTTGTGGTTCCAAAGTCTGTCCTCCTCGGGGTTGACAGCAACTTAGCCACGCGGGGAAAAACGGCATTTCCTTGCCTGAAAATAAAGAACTAAAGTTACAGAATTGCCGTGCACACAAAGAAACATTGGTCGATCACCGATTATCCATCTGCTCCAATAAGTACAAGAGTAAACCCCGAAGGAACGAAGCCTCGTGAACCACTTCTCCAGAATCTCGTATACTTGGGATGAGTCCATCGCCTCCGGAAGAGGATCAGATACGGTCTTGATTTGGACTTCTCCGTAGACAGGTAGTCGGTATTATGAAGAAGACGTGCGATTGGTGACCTCGTCTATGTACGTAAGGGGAGCCGTTTCTTCGGCCACTAGAAGCCTCCGTTCAGAAGGAATGGAACAAAATAGCCATGATTTTTAATCTATTTTCGCATGTGGATGATCGCCATCAGCATCATATTAATATACATATTAATATGATTGTTTATTATCCATCATTTATTCTGATTAACTGTTGGTGATTGTTTGATTGATGATGGATATTTGGGTTCCCAGCAGAATCCAGTAGAATCCACCCCATTTTCCTAGATGGAAAAAAGAAGAGCCGTGTTTAAGGTATGAGTTGAATATCAACACTGTATTCTAGGGTTCGCCCCCGCCCTCCCCTACCTAACGTATGTATGTCTGTATGTATGTATAAGCTGCAGCCCTGCCACTGCATGAGAAAGATTCGGTTTCCCGGACCTGATAGGTTCTTCCAGCGCTGCAAGACGGGTCGACCCAAACGACATTATAGCGGCGTTTCAACCACAGTGGGCAGGCGGGAACATCAGACGACGCCCAGACAGCTATTTGCCAGAGGGAGTTAGAGTATTTGTAGCATCTTTATCGTCAACCTTCTCAGAGTATGTACTACGGAGTATGCCTAGGGGAAACTAGGTGGAGCTGTGGGATGTTTAACCCTCTGATAAGTCTGTTCGTTCTGACACCTACTTCAGAGTAGATTTAATCACTATCTCTGGGGATTTTCCCCTTGGTCTCGACCCATTGTAGAACAAGGGTAATTTTAGATTGAGGATCATGGGTCATGTTTATCACCGATCTCTTCGAGATTATTACTTATAGTCTTGTCAATAATTGATGTCCATCGACACTCATAGCTACCCTATAGCAACACCAAGACAGAGGCAAAGCAACCGAAGAAATTGTTGGTGGGAGATCTGAAGTAAGGTGAAGAAGGAAAAAAAAAAAAAAAAAAAAAAAAAAAAAAAAAAAAAAAAAGGATAGAAGCTCTCGTTGTCGGTCCAACTTCGTACGCCGCACGGAGCATCCCTGTCTTAAGCAGACTGGTAAAAACAGACAGGGAACGAGGAGGAGGGGGATTAAGAACCAACAGGAAAGAGCGCATTTCATTGGTGTATGGAAGAAACAGAGTCAGCAACCTAACCTGCAGTGGCTTGTTGGGTGAACCGTGGTACTGGGACCAATTCACGAATAGGAGTGCGGCTCTAATGCTGTCTACCTCGCTCGTCTCAGAATATTACACACAGCCATTACTGCTGAAGGACAAGGCGACGTGACAGCCAAGCCGCAGACACGATGTGAGTGGGTACCCCGCCTTGGGATGGGGCATACGGAGTTACTCGTCCCCCAAAGGGGTTATTGATTTTCTATGGATGAGAAGGTGTGTTATTTTTTTTTTTTTTTTAAAAAAAGGCCTGGTTCAGGTATTGTTTAGGCAACTTTCATCTTCCCACTTCCCATCCACCCGTGACACCCCCCAAATCCCCCTTCCTAACCACCCCATACCCTAACATAAGGTCCAATGTATGTGCCCAGCAGTCATCTGGAACAGGACCATGCAGGCTAGATAACAATCTGCAGAACCTGCCAACACATCTCTGCATAAGTGAGACGATCGTCTTTTTTTCTTTTTTCTTTTTCCTTTTTAGTATTTCTTTTTATATTCTTTTTCTTTTTGTTTTGTTTTCACAGCTTATGATTTCATCGGCTTACTACGAGATTTCCTGGTCGAGTATCTGAGAGTTGCACACCATTGACAGACAGGGTATCTAACCGGATTTTGGACTTCTTCTGATTGTCAACCTGCAAATCCCGATGGACCTTTCCAAAACACATTACGTTTCCGTAAAGGGTACCACACTACGAATCAGATGAACTCTGAATTCGGGATTCAAACTTCAGCACTGTGTGTGGGTGCCTGCCTCGAGTGCCAATTTACTTGTGCCTTCCAGAAATGGAAAGCTACTCGGCTGAGTAATAAAATAAAACAAACCAAAAACATCTGAGGTCATCGAAAACATCAGACACCCACAGTAATAATAATAATAATAATAAATAAAAACCAGAGACAGGAGGATTGAGGAAATCGTCATCAGACTAGTGCATCCGAACGAACCTGTCAAAGTAGGCATAATCAGAAGGGAGTGGGCTCCTGGGGCCTAAGACGTGTTAGATCCATTCATAGTCAACAGTAGGTAGTTTAGTCAAAGACGGATTTGGCAGAAGAAAAGCATCGGGTATCGGGCGATGATCCGGCATAGACAAGAGAGCAGTGACGGTATGGTAAAATGTCTGTCCACGATGAAACAAAGTCGGAGTACGGCACACGTTAAGCGTAAAAAGGCAAACAGATTACCTTTTTCACTAAACATGTATGCTGCATAAACAGCGACTACGGAATCTCCCACCATTGCATATCTGTGGGATGGGATGCTTGAGATGAATACAATTCCTGCTAATACCAAGCAGATCCCGTTTATGTCCTGCAAGGAATGGCTCAATACGTAAATAAAACACTTCCTACACCCCCACATTCAATCTTCATCGAAATGATGAAGAAAAAAAAATAAATAAAATAAATCAGAGAAAGAAAGGCGATCCATTTGTCACACCGATATCGCACCCACCTGACGAAAAGAAAATCCTTGAAGGAATTCGTATCCTATCCTTCGGACCGTCGTCTTTTCACTACTAGCATCCTTCGACGACTTATTCCGACTCATTGACGAGTTTGAGCGCGAGCTGATTGGATTGCAAGGGCTGAAGGAGATAGGGGCATGAACGTCAGCTATTTTTACTCCTGTATTAAAATTTTTTTTTTTTTAAAAAAAAAGGGAAAAAAAAAAAAGAAAACAATATGTATAAAAATAAAATAAGAGAAAGACTGTAGGGAGGCTCGGACGCTTATCAGGACCGAGCTATTAGAGAAAAGCTATAGAGAGAACAAAGAAAACCAAGTCTGTTTTCCCAACTCGGAAGGTCAACGACCAAGTACAATTAAAAATAGTCGAGTCATTATTGTACTACGAAGTACTGCTATTAATAATAATGAAAGTCGGCGTACATCCTGCCTAGGCGCTGCTGGTAATATTGCATTTGCATCCCTTTGCCTCAGAACAATGATGGAACATTGGCTGGGAAATTGCGGCGCAGTGAAATTGCGCAAGCTCGAATCCAGCTGGCGGAGCCAATAGCACAAGCCAGCTTTCGTGAAACTAAAACCATCGAACGATCAGGAACGGACGTTACCCATATGGTGACAGTCGGGTTCATCATTCCCATTTTGCATAGATAGAGAGAGGGGTGCTTCAGCTGCCACCTACACACACACCAGAAGCATATCTCACATCCGGGTCCTCAGGAAAACATTTCCCTTCGTATCCTCTCTCATAACTGGAAATGGACCCACTGAATGATTTGAAGGGACGCACGCGGCAATGTACCTACTGTGTGTATGATCGCCCACTTTCAATGCGTCTACTATAGATCTCACACACTCTTGGGGGGTTGTCACGGATTCATTTTAGGTCCGCGTCTACGCCCGCCCAACTTAACTCGCTAGCCTCGTGCGTTCAAACTGGTAAAGTTGGCCATCATCGTAGTTTACTCGAGCTAGCGAATCACCATCTATCCTCGCTCAATCCTCCTACGCCAGGATCCATAGCTTTAACCCGCTTGGACCAGAAATGCCCAACGTTATCGATCCCCAGCCTCTAACCATGCCCACCATCCCCGTTCTTGCTTCTAACCAGCCTCCTTCCTCCCTTCTCGTCACACGAGTACCCGCAGCTGCTGTCAGTCACGTGACAACCTGCGGAGCAGCTCAATTTCCTCCACTAATCAGATATAGTGGGCCCGAGAACAAGAATTGTTATTGGCAAAAAACTCCCCTCTACGGGAGGAAATGGTGGGTACGCATCGTGAACGAAGACCATCGACAGGGATTCTTTCAGCGATTAAGGCAATGGCGGCTTGACACTGACTCATGGTTGCATAGGATCTCCTTGAGAGATCGTGACCTTCTGTTACATTCAACTCCAGCAGGGCCTGCTATTTTGTGGATATCGGATGTTCTTCTGAACCCGTTCCCTTTGTTAACCATGTGTAACCTCTCGTCTCCCACCTCCTCTGGGGTAGACGGTACCTACCTGGTGTCATACCTACCTTAACTTGTCCATGTGGAAACGGACAAGGAATGATTGCCTGCAAGTGACGAATTTAATATTCCAGTCAGACGTAGATTGATTGCTGAATTCTGAGAAAGAAACCGGTTTGAGGCTCAACTCCGTCCGGAACGAACGAAGTTTTGCCGCGAAGCTACTATACTGGTCTAAAATGGCTGCCTCCACCGACGATACTACCAACCCATATGCAAGCGAGCTTAAGTGCAAGACTACTTAGCTCTAGTCCCGGACGACTGCCTAGTTGCTTGTTGCTTTCCACAGTGATTCCACTACACTCGGACGCCTCGGGCTCTCAACTCTATCCTGTAGAGTGGTTCGAGATTCCAGACATTATTGCTCGATCCGGCTCTCCACTGGTCTTGCATATAACGCTGAGATATCATCTCACCATGCAGTACGGAGTAATGTATGTGTTAAGTAGTGCTATATGCGGATATCCGGAGTAATTACGAGACCACAGCCGGAGTTCCAGAAAGATACTTCCGATCCTTTGCATGATGGCTTCCGCCACCAATTTGGGGCGGTCCTAGCTGTATATCCATAGCCTGTGATGGAACCGGATCCTGATTCGCATGGCGAACCAGCGAGGATCCCAGTGTTCTCCATATTAAAGACGAACAAAGGGGTAGAAGGATGGCAGAGCAAATTAAATCAATCTCCAGACCAGGTTGGTAAATAATAATAACGACAAAAAAAAGGAGGATAGAAGAAACAAAAGCGTCAGTGCCTGACTCGGAACGGACGGGATCTCCCCGTCCGTCGGTTACGTGTATACGCAAGAAATATAATACAATACAGAGCATGTCAATCGCACTCTCTCCACTTGGTGATGGGTCATCGCTCATCAGGGAGTCAACGGCGTTGCAATTGCCATGGGGTGTGTAAGTCTTACATGCCGCTGGGGTTACATTCCCTAATGTAGACAGTAGTACTAAGTAGGTATACCAAGAAGCAGGAGGGACTGTCTCTGACCCCGAAACAAGCTAGCAAAATGGGGATATGACAGTCGAGCACAAAATTACCCTGCTTGCTGCACCGTACATCCAGTACCGTACCTACATTGTTGCTGCAGAAAGATCCATGCGGAGGCGAGGTAGACAAGCAAACATATCTGTATGGATATCGACGAGGCGTCTAGATCTTGATGCGCGGTAGAGACAGGTTGCCTCGCTAAAAAAAGGGGAACAGCGCTTCCAGCGTCCAATGGGGTCTCTTCCAGCTGCGATCAACTTTTGGGTCTTGATCCGTCAAATGTCAATATCTTACCTGTGCGCTGCATTGTAGCTCCGTTCCTGTTTAGGCAACTTTATACTTTCTTTGTTCAAATGGCATGGCTTTGTCCAATTATATACTCTGTGGTTACTTATTCCAAATATTTTTGCTATCTGGATAACTTTCTTTCGTACAACGGAAATCATGACCAAAATCAACCTCCAAAGTAGATGAAAGGCTGTCCAGCCAACTCCTCCATACAGAGTACAGAACCGTGATTGGTTTTGAGTGGCGTCAGAGCTAGTCACATTAAGATTAGCACTTACTAAGGTGCTGAAATGCGTCTTCAACGAGGCTGTCATCGGCCAAGTTATCTTGCTAGTAACTCTGTACTAGGTCCTGACTCTGTACTTTGTTTCCTTTATTGTTATTATTGTTACTGAAAAGACCACGCCAAAAAAATTTCTAGTAGCAAGATTAAAAAAGTTAACTCCCAATCAGAGCAGCTGTCATCTGGGTAATATTAAACGTACAGCTCCTTACTAGGTACATACTACCTTTCAGCTCCACTGGCGCTAATGATAGTCATTTCAGTCTCAGATGTACAGATCATCATGTAGGATGATCCAACACCGCCTAGCCTTACCTCGGAGTTTCTGGGCCACACATGTGTTGCCTACTACCAAAAGGGAAACATGACAGCTAAGTACTAACTGTTGGTGTATTGAGCATGGCTCTCATGATCCGCCACGAACGCAGGATTATTATTCTTAGATTACCCGAGTAGTGGGAAGATCAGAAATGGGGATGTCGATTTACTCTGCTGCCTGCTTTTTTTTTTAAATTTAGAATTTAGAATTTTTTTTTCCCCTTTCATCCCTGGCCGACGCCGTCTCGTCTTGTCCCCTGATCTTCAGCATAACGCTGTGGAATAACTAGTATTACGGAGCAGCGATGTAGGGCTAAATCGGTCTTGGCTCGGCCGAGCCACTCTTCGACTAGGTACTTACCTACTCCGTCTTAATATTTCCCATGATGATCTGATGATTTCAAATCAACATTAGTTACATGGGTTGTTGCATGTGCATGTGCATTTTCCTAAATCAACAAAGAGCATTTGACGGGAGCAGGGAACCATGGGTACTGTCAACTTTATTGGAGCTATGGTGCTCAGTCCCTTGCGAGGGGTTACATACCTCCTAGGTATGTTTGACGATCTTGCAAGCGCACAAGTCCATTTCCCACATACTTAGGTGGCACTTGGTATAGTACTTATGGTGTTGTTTTTGCGTACTTATTTTATACTTCTGGGGCGTTAAACTCGACGATAAGAAGCTTGAAAATTTAAGATTAGATGTGTTACCTCGTCGTACGGCATTGTCGGATTGCAGCGAGAGGTAAAGTATTCCACCGATTTTCGCATGGCCGTCGATGATTGGAGATTTGTCCAGGGTGGAGGGGAAAAGTGAATAAATTACAGGCCAATCGTTGGTGACCTGACGGAGGGAAAATTTCTCCATCCCTAGATTTTCTTTGTGAGTGGTAAGATTAATATCAACTTATTTTTTCCCGGGCGATTCTTATTCTACCATTTTTTATTTTTTTATTTTTTTTTAACAAACACTAAATGCCCGTCCCAGCTCTTGACACTTTTGTCTTTTTTAGCCCCTGCGCCCAACACGTGGGGCAAATCTCCTCAAACTCAGTTATCTAGTAAGCCAGTGTGAGATGACAGAGTCCACGACAAAAGTCTCATAACTAAAGTCAGTGCTCGTCATGTCAATTTACTTCCTACAAAATATGAATGCGACGCTACGAGGCCTTTTTTTTTTTTTTTCCCCTAGTTCTGACATTACATTGCCCTAAGGGTTTAGAGAGGGGTTCAGTGACTTTAACCATAACCAACACATATAGACCAGTGTTTGTAATAGGGTGCCCATGGATCCAATCATCGGCCATTCGGGCAAATGTCGATTGGCATTTGGTCTACTGCGTTGGGCTGCGGCACAGTCTCCATACATATCGGCGGCGCTATGCACTTGCAAATTGGAAGGGTGCGGAGCTAAGTTCGGAAAATCCGGCCATGTAATTTAATATGCCTGCCTAAGTGGCTGCGGATTGTAATTATAACTATATTGTTCTTAGAATAATAATAGTACTACTAATAAGAATGGCCACGTACTATTTCTACGGCAGCGCTCAGGATTGTGCCTTGCGTAGTATCTAGCAGACAAAGCTTAGATTTCACACCAGTTTTGCTGCCAATGAATGCAATGCCCAGATCACACAATACAGTACATACCTAAGTTGGTACGGTATTGTCATGAAATGACATCTCTCTTCAGGCCGTTTCGATCGACAATAATTCGGCAGGGAAAATAATCACAATGTGAGATTTGATTCTGCTCTGTTGGACTTAGGTTCTTATTTAGGGCAAAAAGGGGAGAGGGTCTACGATTGGTCTGATATTATCGTTATTGGTGTTGATTCGAATGTTCATTCGCTGTGTTTTTTTTTTTTTTGAATTTTTGAATTTTTGAATTTTCTCACTTAGCCTTTTTTCCCTTTTCTTTCTTTTCTTTCTTCTTTATTTATATTTAGTATGTTTTCCGATAGGGCTGTCGTATACACTCGCACTTTGTATACTATTTTTTAAGTTGGATGGAAGATTGGATGGAAGAAACGTAACCATGGAGCCAAAATCATATCATTCATATCCACCTTCCCCTCTCTCCCTTCTGCCTTGCTCTCTGTTCACCCTGTCCATCGGTTACCGGATTGGAGATGCCGCAGCGGCAAACTGGACCAGGGGGGCTCAGCTGGACGGAACCTGCTCAAGGTTGGATACTAATGCCCAACTATCACACCTTCATCCAAACTGTCGGGACCATGGTGGTATCGGCCATGCAATAATCAGACGGTGGAGGAACACCGAAGAGGGGGTCGCGCCGTCTTCCGGAGTACTCGGTCGACTAACTGGAGCGATGCGATGCTCCTCTTTTTTTTTTCCCTTTTTGTCGGGTTCGGAGGGGTATATCGCTTTCGAATTATTAATATCGAATCCTGGAGTGTGCCTAAATACGTGCATACGTGCATACGACTGTATGTATATGTAGATGGTTCCAGGAGGAGTAGGTAGTGCTAGGCGGGTTTATGCGGTAGGCATTGCGTACTTTCTACTTCCTGTACGGATTCTCTACTTTCAAGATACACGGGATATGGATGACGGTTTAACCTGATCCAGCAATGCTTAGCGGTTTGGATTTAACTTCCGTTGGACTTCGGACCTGCGCCGTCGGATTCACGAGGCTTGAGATCAAATGATCCCAAGCTTTTTGATGGTCTGAGATAGAACTTACGAGGAACAGAATGCCTACCAGGGCACCTGTCTCCTGTCTACATTTTAGGTAAGGAGACCAAGCCTTTCGGCCGTATGTATACCAGCGGACTTGACGCGTGCCTCTCAAGTCCTCAACCATGGTAGAAACCCGGCGCTATTTCCATGATTCGGTGAGGTGCCAGACGTTTCCCCTACCCTTGGATCAATTTTGGATTTCTTAAAGGCACAAAAAGGTTGAATGAATGAAGGAAATAAAAAAGTCTTCCGGCCATACAACTGTCATTTCATTCTTCATCGGCGACCTCCGTTTCTTAGTAACACATTCAGTCGCGCGTCTAGACATCCTCCGCAATTGGAGAAGAATTGTCTTTCAGCAAGGAGATGATGATGATGATGATGCAATTTTTATTTTATTTTTTTTCCTTTTCTGGTCTTGTTCTGCTCACCGCATATGCTCAGCCCCAGGTGGAGATGATTGTTTCATCACTTCGCGGATGACTGACGAATGGTTATTACTGGTCATTTGGCAGACTTATGGCATACGATGGACAAGAGTATAGGGGGGAAAAAAAGTAATTCAAACTCACTGCCTGATGATCCCCATCTGAGTTAGTAGTACAGAGTAGGTATCCATGTATATAGATAGAACAGTTGATACTGGATCCTCCATCCTGTGCGACTCGGTTCCCCACCGATCCCAGACCCCCATTCTTCAACGGGATGTGAATCGTAACTTCACAACTGCTAGAGAAAAGAGTTGGTAGTTCAAGTCGGAGGCTCCGTTCTCCGACCCTCCACATGTCCGCGTCGGCTGTAATTTCCTTCCCCGCCTTCCCTTTGTGTCTCGGACATTGGCAACCCCGTACTCTGTATCCAGTATCCAGTATCCAATGTTCTGCCTGAAGTTAAAACTTACTTACTCTAAGTAAGAAATCGAATGACAAACAGACCCCTACATCTATCTTCCGGGGACCGATCCGTGGTATCGTCTGGACTTTGTGCAGGTACCGGACGACATCCGAAGTGTTAATCAGTAAGTTAGACATGGAACCTGTCCGAGACTCACATGGAGGTTCTCCGTCCGGAGCCCATACATCGTTAGCCACTCTATATCTAGAAGATGAATGAAAATGGAACTCATAGACCGGACCTGGAGATCACATAGACTCCGTCCGTGCCCGCTCCAGCTCCAGTACCAACCAACTTTACCTTCCCTTAACCAACTTTGTGCAATTACTCTATCGAGTCAGGTCGAGTGGGATGGTCAATTGCTGAACCAAGGTATGAGCTCGAGTGTACGTACGTACCTACTTACTCTCCGTATCTGCGGAGTAGGTAAGTTAGGTAGGTTAAGGCTCCGCTTTTCGCTTATTTGTTTAGTTGTCTCACTTTCGCCGAGCAGCGCCGTTACAACTTACGAGATATGGAGTCTACAATAATACATGGAGTACAGGAACCTTCTCAATCCAGTTCCTTTCCTTGGCCACTGTTTTTTCTTTTTTTTACTTTCTCTGACTATGGATAGAATGGGCCCTCGTATACGCTCTTCATCAGGTTGGTCACCTACCGACCTGTCCCGTGCGTGCCGAGAGATTGAATTGCCTGTTTAAGGAGTACCTTGGTGGGAGATGTATTGCTGCTTTGGGATTAGCGGGAGGTCAGTCGTATCCGATGTCGGTATAGTATGGTATGGTACTGTATTACAGTATAGATGGTGTAAGTGGTAAATGCGATGCTTAGGTCGAGAACTATTGCCTTATGCCTTGTCTGGAGACTGCATACTGTCTTCGTTGTGCTGTGTTGATCTCATTCAAAGGCTATGGGCCCATACATACCAATGTAAATCTGGAATCTAAGAGCTATATCATCCATGCAAGGGTACTTAATCTCAAGAACACAAAGGCTACTTGAAAGCAAGATCATAGAGATGAAGCAATATGCTACTATTGTACGTGATAAACTATCGGCTGTACATACATAACCTCATCCATCTCATCTGACTGTCCATCCTCCATCTTGACTCCTGTATCGGTTACCGATCTATCATGCGACGTAAATTGCAGATAGACAGCTTAGTCCACGTGGACACCAGCAGCAGCGTCACAACTACATCATAATCAGCCATCCTATCTACTATCAGGCAGGAATACTCACGGATCAGTGGTGTACTGCACATTACACTGCTCCCATTCGATATTGCGAATAATCGCGGCGCGGAAACGCACAGCATCCTCGATGCTACAGAAACGGAAAGTGACGGTTCTCGGCTACCAGAATCAGTACAGGAGTCAAGAGGCTACTCTAGGAACTTACGACGTCAGGGACATAGTAGTCCAGGATCTTCTCAACCTTTCTGTTCTGGGAAGAAGCCAACTGAGCCAGCTGGGCCATGGTGATATCCATGTCAACGCCGACAGCACAGACGACGCGGGTGGCTCCAACAGACAGGTTGAACGAGAGCTGGGAGCTGACCACGTTGACATCCTTGCCCATTTCCACGAACACGGTGAGCTTGCGGCTCTTGTCAAGGTCAATGCCATTTGGGTACTTATCGTAGAAAGCCTGGCATGCATCAGGATCGCAGAACCGAATGAGGGCGGTGCCGGAGGAAGAAACAGAGATGTTCTCGATCGCGCCCCCATAGATGAAGGGCAGCACCTTGGCAGGACTAGCCCAGGCAGATGGCAACCCCTTGATTATGATGGTTCGCACACGAGCAGCTGGTCAAAGAGTGATTCAGTCAGTCACTCGCCGATAAGGGGATGTCGCGATGTCGTAGGACTTACCAGGCTTGTCACGAGCGACCGGCCTTCCCCAGGTCTCAAAAGTCGTCAGATGCTCACGATACCCTTCTTCTCCAGCAGACTCTCTCAATGCACCAGCATCCGCGGCGAAAGAGACAGCATCGTTCGAAACCCCAACAGTCTTCTGCTTGGTGGTGTCTGCTACCGACGGTGTGTCAATGTTGGCTGGGACCAGCTTGAGCTCAAAGGCATTCGAGGACAGGGGGAACTTACGAGAGGAACGCATCTTATTGGAGGCAGACACGGAGATAACATCCGCTGCATCAGGTAACACACCAGTAGATTCTTCAGGAGCCTTCCAAGTTTCAACCTGCTCGTTGGAGTCTTCCTGGGCAATGGGAGTGACAGGGGAAGTGTAGCTAGCCGGGTTCAGCTTGAAGGCCCTAGCCGCTGCCATAAAGCCAGCAGTATCGTCTACGTTCGCGACAGGAGGCATCTTGGTAGACCTCTCGGTGTCGGATACGTGACTGAGAGGGGATGTGTGATCAATGGGATGATGAGAAAGCGAGGTGGAAGCAAATGACAAGGAAGGATTCTTCTGTTCACCAGAAGTCTTTTTGTTTGACGTCACTCAGTCAGTTCAGTGAAAGAAAAGCAAGGGAAGAAACGAAGACCCACGCAGGGGAAAGGGAAGAGGAGGGTGGAAGGAGAGAGGAGAAGGGAGAAAAGAGAAGAGAGAAGAAGAGAAGAGAAAGAAGAGAAAAGAAAGACAGAGAGAAGACGAAGGGCAACGAAACAGGGGCAACGCACCTTGAAGGGGGTCGACCTCTGGCTCCCTCCCATCTTGGGGGCATGGCGGCTTTCCTCCAGACCGTAGGACTTTCGGTCCATCAGGGCCTCAAATGCCGCATGGAAGATGCCGTTGATTAATTCCATGACTTCATACATTGCTGATGAGAAACAAGGAGAAGAGGACTAGTGCATCAACAGAAGGAAGGAGGAGGAAGAGAAGAAGGACGATGGGCAAGAGGTAAAAGCAGGTCTCTGACATCAGGCAGCGGGACAACCAGACGTTTATCTATCTACATTTGCCAAGGGGGGAAGAACGGCTTGGTTAGGATAGGATTCGGACATCTCCGCGATACCGATGCTTCATTATAGAAACTCATATTGGAGAGAACTATAGAAGATGAAGCCAAAGGGAAATACTACATACAACAATGGGCTTGACAGCTCAGGCTGGCAATGGGATGCTCTCCCATGCAGCCTGACCTTCTTCGCGATTTTCGACAATCACCTGGAGCCCTGGACGTCCACAATAACCGCCCTTGTCGACGATCTGTTCCACCGTCTCGAAGGAGCCGCCATATTCTTCGTTGCCGTTGGGAACCCAAACGCTGCGCTCGACTCTTTGGCCAGGGATTTCTGCTCGGCGAGGATTAAACCGAGGGAGACCAACCAGGTGGTTCCCAATATTGTGGATGAGTCTGTAGAGTCTCTCAACCCGACGCGTGGTCCATAGCCAGGACAGAGTGCGAGAACCGTATGCCACTCGAACAAAGGGGTTGAGATAGATCCCCGAGTCCACCACCTCATTCACATTCAAATGACCCGGTTGGATGTCGGCATGGATGAGACAGCATTCAGATGCCTCCCAGAACAGTTCTTGCGGAGCGCGAAAGCGAGCTGGTGGGTTATCCCATCGATTCTCCGGGCCCGCTGTATCCAGTTTCAAGGCTCCTTCCCCTGTCGTTGGCGACGTGCTGTGCTGGAAGTATTGCGCATCAAATGCCACCGCACCTCCCCAGCAGCTCCGGACCCGAACAGCATCTGTTCCCGCCAGCACATCCTTCCGACTCTGTCCCTCTCCCGCCGTAGTGAACCAGGGGAAAAAAGGCAGGCCCATGCTGTATCCCTGGAGATCACGGGTCGCATACGTGTCGTAAAACTTGAACGGGTTTTCGAAATCAATAGCACAAGCGGCGCGATAGCGGGTGACGCCATCGCCGCCAAGATTGGTCGAGAAGAGCAGATGAAGGATATCAACAGGGTCGAACATAACGTCATTCAGAAAGAGAAGTTTGTCGTAGCGTATCGCGGGGCTTTCATCTAAGGGTCGTAAGGCTCGGTTGCGGACCTCAGCCAAGTACTCCACGCGGACAACCCGATGCGATCCTCCGGGAATGATCACTCGGGGAAAGTCATGTAAATCCAGGTGTTCTTCGAACACGATGGACTTATTGCATGAAACCTGTCTCTCCAGGTCTCGCAGCGCATTTTCACCCTCCGACCCGCTGTCGTTTTCGTAGACACTCAAGAAGACATTTTCTTCCCCGAGCAAATCGATCAATTGGAGCAACTGCGACCCCCATTGTCCCCGCGCCAGTCCTCCATCACGGTCATACAAACTAACAGCGATAAAGATCCGCTCTTGGCGCAGATTGCCCCGACCGGAAGCCTTCGACTGCGATATAGCCTCCCGGAGCGCCGCATAATGCGGGGGTGGACGGGTGTAAGACGGCTGGAAAATCGCGGTGAAGATCAGAAGGGCAAGAATAATGCCTGCGACAGCGCGTATGTAGAAGAATATGTGTCGCAGTAGACGGCGACGACAGCGATGGGGTGGTGACTTCGAAAGAAATGGCCTGGAAGACTGGAGGCGGTGGTATCCCCAGTATGCGGGTGAGACCAGTCGCGAGACAAGAGGCACTCTGTGCAAGAGTCGTCGATGCCTTGGAGGTCTTTGCGACTCAAAGTCCGCTTCATCTAGATTGAACGTCCCTTGCGAGTCGATCGATGAACAACTAGCAAGCTCATACCCATCGGGATAATGAAGACGCGGGGACATGACTGACAATCATCACTGACAAATTGGAATCCAGTCGCCCGACCTATCCCTGAGAAGAGATTTACCGGACGAGATTCAACGGGCAGCGCATAGACCAGACAACCCCTGAGCAGGCAAGGAAATCTCTCCAGGCATCGCCATTCGACAATTTCCAAATCGGTTAAGCTCCACACCCTTCAGGTTACGTCAGCGCGCGATGCCAAGGCGTTGAGAGATCAGATCAGCGAGTCGGCGAGTCGGCGAGAGACGAAAGAAGTCGAGAAGGCGAACGGGACTATGAAGACCATCCTCATTGCGTCCAATGTGCCCCTTGTCAAGAGCACGAAGATTTGTCGGCAAACGAAACAAGGGAGACCAACACATGCGGAGGACTCTCAACCCCGCCAAAACCTCCCGACCAACCCCGCTGCAATGGAGTCATCACTGTCATAGGGTACCAGTCGTCTGAGGATGGTGGAGCTTCCACTTTCAAGTGACGTACCTAGGTCGCCCATTCATTCATTCTCTTGGTCCTCTCCCTTCTCCTGACTGAATTTTGTGCTGCTGAACAAACTCTTGATCATTGCAATTTCTATTTTATTCGTCCCTCTCCAAGCTTCCCAGGGTCTTGCGCAAACCCCGTCAGCACACACTATTGCCACCCGATTTGACTCAACAATCATCATGGCCGAGTACAAATTTGCCAATTCATCACAAGAAGTCCCCAGGAATAGCCTGGGGAACCTTCCCACCCTATTCCCGATCCAAACGGACCCGGATACAGACGTGTGGAGCAAACCATCGTTAGAGGAAGCGTTCAACGCGCCGATATTATATCGAACCATGCCTTTGAAATCGTTCAAGCGAGCGAGGGTCGCCTTCAGTGCCAACTGGAAGCATACCTACGATCAGGGGGGACTTATTCTGGTCCTCAACAAGACCGACGGGACCCGGAAATGGGTCAAAACCGGCATCGAGTATACACACGGCCGGCCCCATCTCAGCACAGTCGCCAAGGATCGGTGGGCAGATTGGAGTCTGCAGGGAGTGCCTTCAGGTGGTGGGGCTGCCACCTTGGAACTCGTCAAAGAAGACAGCAACTTATGGATTTACTTGGTTGAGGGCATCCAGAGGGTCCCCCTCCGGGAGGTGACCTGGGTCTTCGAGGACCTGGATGTTGAGGATCTCTGGGTGGGCGTCTATGCAGCGAAGCCTAGTAAGGAGGGAGGCAGATTGGAGGTGAACTTTGGCCATCTGGTAATCGATACAAGTGATTGAATGTGGGAGAAGTGTGGCTGGATACTGGCCAGTGCAATCTCTCAGTTTGGGCCCAGTTAGACAACATTATGTATGGCAGCTCAGACTGTTTTGGTTGCTGTATGTTTAATGCGAGCAGCTTATATGGACGTGCCTTTTGCACTAGATCTGGATATTTCAATCATAACATCATTTAATGAGACTTACCCACGGCTATATTAAGTACCACCAGAGCCCATGAATTATCCTCTCGGTCCAAGTCATGTACCCCGCTTTTATTCTCATGTTCGCATGGTATTGCATTCCAATGCCAACCAATTCCATTGCATTGCAGATGATAAGGATATTGGTACTGCTTATTGATTCTATGATGTAGTATAGACACAGAGATGTCATCAAATCAGCAGATTACTGTACCTATATACAATGGATCTTGCGGGGGTCTACTGCTAAAGGATATCAGGTTACATAGAGTTAGTTGATTCTGTATGAGAGTTCAAATGGGCTACGAAGTAGTAGCTGCCTCCCACAATTTGAATTACAGACAAGTTTCCCTTGATTTTTGTATTTGTCTGTTCTAGACGAATACGTCGCGTCCATTGAAAATGTTCCTTGGGGGGAGATAGTTATAACCAAAATTAGCACACTAGCTTGCTATACAAGTACACAAATAGAACCAGATCCATGTAACCAGTATTTTGTTGCAAGAATGCCTTTAGGAGAAAATCTGACTACTTGTAACTAACGTAGCTACTATAATTAAAATATTTAGCTTTATTATGCTGGCTCAAACTCAAATGGCCTAGAAAAGCAGTGTCTTCGGCAGATTATTTATATATATACAAACTACGAGCAATCCTGGCATTATTCCGACAGGCTACCAAAATTATTTTTTATTTTTATTTTTATTTTTTTTTGGCTTTAACTATCCAGAATAAAACGTGATCAACAGTATCTACATAGTACGCACTAGAACCACCCCCTGTAAATAAGTGGTTGCGACGGTATATCTCCCACGTGGAACATGAGTCAACCCTCGAGTCTCAAGAGGCGGGATATGTCTCTTATTGTCTCACTGTGTGGGTCAATACGTCACGAGATAATTTAATCAATATCCTCCGTCCTTGACAGCGAGAGAGACTTGAATGGATGATGGATTATCTTGGCGGGATGTAGGAACCCACCAGGCCAAGGGAGACTATGTCTACATTTATTCCACAAGGAGCGGTGACGCGAATGAGGGACCACTGTCGTAGTTGGGTATCTACAGAATAACTGTCGATAGGTGGTCGGACGAGAACAAAATCCATGTATGTAGTCAGAAATTGGAACAACGACGAATAACGAATATTTTTGACTGGCGGTTCTCGCGGTTTTGTTCTTAAACTGGGTTAATGGAGGGTCACAGGCAGCAGCAGAGACGAGGCACTCTGACTCATCTCAATCCCCGAGGAACACGAATACTTGTCTGAGCTGAGCTGAGTGGGTGATGGAGCGGTACTACCCGAAGTTTCCTCGATCATGCGACTTTTTCTGTAAACTGTGAGTTAGTGTGCTGTGTGGACAGGCCGTGGAATCATCAAAAAGAACTTAGCATTCTTTTAGGGATTATCATCTGCGGTAGACTGACTTTCCGACTGCAAGGGGCAGGAGAAGATTAATGAACGTTTATTCTTCACCTAAGTAATAATTACTTATATGTACATAGAATGAACACCGCGTAGATAAAAAGTAAAGCTATTCTCCCCTCCACCATCACCTTGTTGCCGAGGATTGCTGCATCCAGCCATGCCGTTCGGCCCGACCGCCCAGGTGATCTTATCATATCTGATGCTCTTCCAGCGTGACACACTCTGATCCATTGTTTTGCCACTCTCTCCCCACAATTTTTCCTCTCTTCGTCAACAACATCTCCCCTGGTCACCCCAGCCAAACCATACTACCACCACCTAGGAGGCTATTCGGCCTCTACCTCGATGGTTGATCAGGGAACTCGTTTTTGTTCCTCGTTCAGGTCTCTTTTCTCCTGGCCTCGAGTTCAAAAGAGGCATTCGATGTACCCACACTTGAAGGATCAGTCTCGCAACGAACCTCCCTGCCAAAGCGAGGAGTTAGCGATTGATTAGATAGGTAGATATACTCTGGTGTGCAATACGGGCGCATTTCACCCAGCTCGTCGGTGCACAGGCTACAACGCTACCATTTTGGGCCTCGGGGGTTAAGCCCATAGGCTAAAGTTGTGGCTCCTCCTAAGTGCAGTCCGTCCATCGTTATCAATTGGTTCGCAGCAAGCTGAGGTTCGAGTCCAAGGACTCGAATCTCTGCTTCCTTTGTACGACAGATCTAAGGATCCGCGTCCGTCTGTGTATCGGATTCGGTTACCTAAAGCTCAACTCCGACAGCCGGCGGGAGGCCTGACGTCTCACCTCTGTCTTCCAGCTCATATATTTTTTTCTTCTTTTTCGGTTTTCTTTCCTTTTTTAGCCCCCTTCTTTTCTTTTCCTCCTGATATACCCCCTCCCCCCCCGGGGCCATACGTCACACTTTTTCACTTGACTGATCTGGATGGCTCAGATCATTCCTTCCACATCCGCTTACATATCTGCCATACACCATTTCGTTTTAGACACTCGGCTCTTAAATTCAACACACCCTTGTCCCAACCTACAATTTATACGGTCGATCTCGATAAATGGACATTGCTCAAAGTAGAGCCATCCAGCCCGGTTCGTCATCGACTTTTCCGGCACAGCCGCAATGCCCTTGCTTGATACCCATTCAGGACCTTCTTATGGAACCATCAGTCAAATGGAGAATCACGGCGAGGAAGGAGACCGTCTCCTTCACGAGGGTTACGAGAGTGAAGGAAATGGCAGCACGACAACATCGTCGGAGGACTCAGTCCAGGAAGGTGTTCGGAAGATTGAAGCAATTAACTTGACATGGACTACGAAGTCTTTGGTCATTGCTTATATAAGGTTTACACGTGCACGATACAATGGATGGTACAATATACTAACCGGCTGAAGCATTTTTCTCATGGCATTTTGCACATCACTAGAGGGCCAGACAACTATGTCACTCTCGGCTTATGCAACCAGTGCATTTAGCAAGCACTCGTTGATTTCAACAGTCCTTGTTGTCCAGAATGTAGTCAATGGTGGGTGCTCAGCTTTATGCATGGCGTAGATCATTGTTGCCCGGACAAACTGACAACCTCTCAGCCGTCATTAAGCCCCCTATGGCTAAAATAGCCGATGTCTTCGGTCGCTTTGAAGCGTTCTGTATCTGTATCCTTATCTACACTCTTGGATATATTCAGATGGCTGCCTCGAATAGTGTTCAGGCTTATGCGTCGGCTCAGATCTTTTATTCCGCCGGTTCGACAGGGTTGCAAATACTTCAGCAGGTGTTCATTGCGGACAGCAGCAGCCTCCTCAATAGGGCCCTCCTCACTCTTTTACCGGAGTTTCCGTTTCTTGTTACGGTCTGGATTGGACCGATGATCGCTGATGCAATTCTCGAAAATTTGTCGTGGCGCTGGGGATACGGGATATGGTCGATTATATTGCCAGCATCGTTTCTTCCCTTGGCGCTCTCGCTGTTACTGAACCAGCGCAAAGCTAGGAGACTAAATCTCATTAAACCTAGACATAGGCGCCGACCTGGGTTCGGCGCTGCTGTCCGACGTACGTGGTATGATCTGGATATGTTTGGCTTGATTCTACTTTCGGCGGCAGTTACATTGATTTTGGTACCCCTGACTCTTGCTGCCAACGCTAAGAATGGTTGGAAGAACAACAGTATTATGGCAATGATTGGGGTTGGCGTTGTATGCCTGCTGGTGCTGCCCCTGTGGGAAACTTCCAAGAGGTTCGTCCCCAAGCCCGTATTATCCCTGCATCTTCTCAAGCAGCGCACTGTCCTCGCTGGCTGCGCCTTGGCGTTTTGGTACTTCAGTATGTATCCTTCGATAAGCCTTGGAAAGACGCATTCCTGACAGAAGCCAGTGGCCTTTTACTTTTCTGTGCAGCCATACCTTTACTCTTACCTTCAGGTTGTCCAAGGATACGCGGTCTCGACAGCAGGTCGTGTTACCCAGATTTTTGCATTCACGTCCACTATTGCTGCGTTTGGGGTGTCAATATTGATCAAGTTAACTCGACGGTACCGCGTCTTCGTTGTCATCGGATGCGTAGTGTATAGCTCGGGCATTGTGTTGATGATGCTCTATCGCAAAGAAGGAAGCTCGTGGATCCAGATCTTGGGAACGCAAATCGTGATCGGGATAGGAGGTGGGCTACTGAACGTCCCTGTTCAGCTCGGGGTTCAGGCGTCGGCTAGCCACCAGGAAGTCGCTGCCGCTACGGCGATGTTCCTTACGTCTATGGAGCTAGGCGGTGCGGTGGGTGCGGCGATCTCGGGTGCCGTTTGGACCCATAACCTGCCCCAGAAACTTCAGCTGTATCTGCCAGATGAGGACAAATCGAACGCAAAGGCGATTTTCGGGAAATTGACCAAGGCGCTGGAGTACCCGATGGGATCGCCGGCTAGAGTCGCCATCAACAGGGCATACCAAGAGACTATGAATAAGTTGTTGATACTGGCGTTTCTTGTTACCATCCCCCTGATCCCCCTAAGCCTTTTGATGGAGAACTATAAGCTTGACAAGGTAAAATCTCCGGCCGACGACTCTAGTGAAGGCGCCTAACAGAAGCAGATGAATCCATCCGACCGGAAACCAGTGTCCCCAGATGTTGAAGCCGAATCCGAGCCCGAAGGACACGTGAAACGAACTTGACATGAAGTGAGGGTTCACACGCTGTGAGTTCCTAATGCTGCGATTCGACCACCGACAGGAAGCATATGGAGCAGGTCTCCGGTCTTTGTTGGTTGTAGTGTCTGAGTACCCCACTGTGCGCTATTGCCGCTGCTTTAGCAGGCGAATTGAAGATAATAATGGGCAGAATTAAATGTGGCAGATAACGGCTGAAAGCGATTGACTACGATTGGATGGTAAACCGATGGCTGTCTCAAACGATTGGAAGCCGTCGTTCCCTTACCTGACATCATCGTATATCAACGTTTACAGAGCTTTCTTTTCTTGGGTTATCCATGTATACTGGCATCTCATCAAATTACAGTAGCGGTAGGGAGCCGCTTAGAGGAGGACTTCACCTCGGGGTGTACATGAAACGGAGTTATGTTGACGATTGGAATAGATGAAATGATTTATGGCATGCTATATATATATTAGCAATGATTAGCAATACACGAATGGCAGATTTTTTGCACATTTTTCGCCTCCACAAGGCCCTTGTATTGATCAATCATCATCAAAGCCGTAAGGAGAGTTTCGGGGAATACGGGCCTCGCGGTGATGAAACTTAGCCGGCGGTCTTTTATTGGGGTACTAGCACTTTGTACTTTACCAGTATGGCTAACTAACTAGTTATTGCCGTATTAAATATAGAATGTGAAGATATCACCGGAAATCAGAGGGAGGAGCCAACAAGGCGATTCTGAGCCTCTGTCATTCGACCGGCGACGGCGTGACTACCTACCTAGTACTCTATTAGGTGACTTGACTGATAGGTTGACTGGAAGACCGCCCGCATCTAGTCGAGGCATTGATTGGATCCATTCTGTTGTTTGGCGTAACGTCGGTGACCTTTCTGCCTAAGGTTCTAAGGCTCTTTCTCTCTTCTAACTGATCTTCTGGTCTTCCTTGCCTATACAAACTTGCTCTCCTTCCTCTCCCCATTTATCCAACCTTTCTTCATCTGCCCTCCATCCATCGCTCTCCTTTGCATCCTGAGATTTTGATCGATCGACCGTTTTCGATCCCTACATACCCTCTCGTCTCATCCGTAAAAGCGAGGCAATCGGACTGCCGCGGCCCCTCCCCCCTCTTTTCGAGAACCAACCAGTTCGTTGTCTATTCATCACCCATTCTATTGAAGGGAAAGAGGGTCAGAAAAAAAAAAAAAAAAAAATAAAAAAAAATAAAGAAAGAAAAGAATAAGAAAAAGGCGAAAGAACAATCGAAGGGATACGATATATTTATACTAAATATAAGAATACGAAATAATTACGAAGAGAGAGTCAATTTCTAGAACCAATCAACCAGGTTCATCTTAGAGTTGATCAGCTGTGATTTGTTTACTGATTGACATTACCTTCATACCTTCATTTTAAAAGAGAGAATACGGTTCGTCCTTGTCGTTTTTATTATTGTTTTTATTTTTAAAGGGGTTGTCTCTGCATACTCTGCTTGCTGCCTTTTGGGCAATCTTGTCTCGACTGGAGATGGAACTCCAGTAACGTGCTAGTCGCAAAAGCGTCTAGACAAATAGACCGACATGAGCTAACGGTGCGGGTTGCCCCATCCATTACAGCTTTCTTTCTTCCTTCGTACTCTCTGGCTAGTCCTATCGCCCTCCACCTCTGCCTCCCACATTGGCTGGCCTCACCAACTCTTCACTGTCGACATTCACCGCACACCAACAACCACTGTGACTGCTAGCTGCCACTTCCATCAAACGCCTCTCCATCCTTTTGTTTCCTCCTTTCTATCTCTCTCGGGAATCGATCATCCCCTAACAGTCTCGCTTTCCCTTCGTTCACCGAATCTTCCTCCTTTTCCTCTCTTTTTGTCCTGGGTCTAGACGGACGGCTTCGAACAAACGATAATCTGCACATTCCCTCTGCAGAGCCCCAGGTAGCTCCCCAAGTTTCCAACATGGTTGTCGCCACTATTAAGTATGGATTATCTTTTTCTATCCCCTATTGCCTAGATGCCTCTCCACTCCCCTTTCCCCCGCGGCCGATTCCCCCCCTTTCTCACCGACTTGCATGATCGGCCCTCTTATCTATTAGCAGATTGCTAACCACCGTCGGTCCTATTCAGGTGTGTTGTCGTCGGGGACGGTGCTGTGGGCAAGACGTGTCTTCTGATATCTTACACAACGAACAAATTTCCCCTCCGAATATGTTCCCACTGTCTTTGATAATTATGCCGTTACTGTTATGTAAGTTGAAGCCTGAGCTCGTCGAAACGCGGATCCGCATTGCAACGCCTCCCCCTTGCGAGCTCTGTCCTGCGGTTTATTCCCAATGATATTTCCATCACATGTGATTGGGCTTATTCATGAACCTATTACGATGCACCGGCCTCCGTGTATACCTGACTGATTTGGGTTCGTCGTAGGATTGGCGATGAGCCATATACACTGGGACTTTTCGATACCGCTGGACAAGAGGATTATGATCGCCTCCGCCCTCTTTCATACCCCCAGACCGATGTCTTCTTGGTTTGCTTCTCCGTGACCTCCCCCGCCTCCTTCGAGAACGTCCGCGAAAAGTGGTTCCCCGAGGTCCACCACCATTGCCCGGGTGTCCCTTGCCTCATCGTCGGCACCCAAACCGATCTTCGCGACGATGCCACCGTCCGCGAAAAACTGGCCCGTCAAAAGATGCAGCCGATTCGCAAAGAAGACGGAGATCGCATGGCTAAGGAGCTAGGAGCCGTAAAGTACGTCGAATGCTCTGCTTTGACCCAGTACAAGCTAAAGGATGTCTTCGATGAGGTGAGTCTGGGATACACTCCGCCGCTTGGGGTTGTATATTGATGGGAATGAATAGGCAATTGTCGCCGCTCTTGAGCCTGCTCCTAAGAAAAAATCGAAGTGTCTCGTGCTGTAAAAGCGCATGCACCGTCGCAGAGCAGGTCAGCATACATCTTCTGGCCATTCTCAGTCCACGTGATTGACGCATTGTAGATATGTCATGTACTGGGGAGGAGATTGAAAGTGTCCGAAGCCCATCGGCTTAAAGTGTCGGAAGTCCTAAAAGTTTTGCGCACGGGATACAACTCATGATCATGGACTGACATCGGACACCCTGAATAATTGCCATCTTCGTGACCCTTTGATCCCTCCCAACCATGGCATTCATTGACTGATACCCTAAACGTTCCAAATCCTTGTCGCGCAGATGCTATATTGATGAATCCCCTTTACCTTGATCTTCCAGCCGGCTTATCTTTGATACATTTCTATTTCTCTTTGCTCCTCACTGCCTTTACCCTTCTCGTTCCGTTCCGTTCCCCCCGTCTATTTCCCAATCCTTTTTTTCTTTCCTCATCGTCTCTACCGGCGTTGGAAGTCGAGGCGTCGTGTTTTGGCTGGCTGATGGTATTGATCTGTTTCTTCATATTTTCTATTTGTTGTCATGTCTACATCTGCCACAATTGCTGAATCGCCTCGTTATTGTCACGCTTCGACCGGAAGCTAGATAGCACAGATACAACCAGTGATGACCACGTTACCTCGCATTGTCTCCCACGGTCGCTACTGGCGACTAGACTTTGTTTACATCCGGCTGCTGACTTGGATAGCAATGCTTGCAGTAGTTGAAATAATAATATGGTCGGATTCCGCTTGTGCCTATTCTGCAGTTGTTCCCTCCCCATGGTAAATTAGACGGCTATTTTCTGTGAGAAGGCGCTGGGGCACTCGTACAGGGAGGATGAGGTGCAAGAGGATAACTATCATCATTTCAATATAGAGTGTGAGTCGAATTCATTACATAACATCATATCTCATCTACAGTTCGTCTTTCTCGATCGTATTCTCCTTCACTTTCTCTCCCGCCACCGTCTCCATCCGCCCATACCATCCGCCCAACTCCTCTCCCGCCCCCGACTTCACCATACTGGTGATGATCTCATAGGCCACCTGGGCCGCCGCTAGGGCGGTAGTTTCTCCCACGTTGTCATAGCTGGGAGACACCTCGACAATGTCCGCCCCGACGATGTTCAGTTTCTCGATGCCCCGCATGATGCGGATGAACTCCCGGGTCGTCCAGCCACCGGGTTCGGGTGTGCCCGTTCCAGGTGCCGTGGCGGGATCTAGCACGTCGATATCGACGGAGAGGTAAACGGGCTGCTCCGCGCCCAGGCCGATGCGCTGGATGATGCGATCTACCACGCCCATGGGGCCCAAATCGTCGATATCATCCGCATGGATGCGCAGGAACCCTTGCTCCGGGCCCGGGTTCGTGTAATCACTGTCGGTGGTGCCGGTCAACCGGGTGCGCAGACCGGCATGAGCCGATGTCGAATTGCAGATCAGACCCTCGCGACTGGCCTTGTGGAAGAAACTGCCGTGGTTGAACGCCGCCTGCTCCGACGTCCAATACGCCGAGTACCGTACGGGATTCCAGGTGTCCAGGTGCGCATCGAAGTGCAGAACTGTGATGGGCTTCTGGTAGATCTGATACAAGGCCCGCAGTGCCGGTAATGCGACACTGTGGTCTCCACCCAGAGTGACCAGCTTGGGTTTGCCCGCTGATATTCCCTTGGTGCCATACTGCGAGTCGGCCGCGGTGATGGCCGGACGGGACCCAAGCTCCAGGAATGCTTCGTACATCTGACGCTCGGCCAGGCCGTTGTCGAACGGAGTGATCGGGATGTCTCCACAGTCCTTGACCGTGGCCCAGGAACTGTACGGATTGATGCCCGCACGGGTGTTGTAGCTGGTGCCGGCCATCTGTCGGGCGCTGGCGGCGCGGATGGCACGAGGACCAAAACGAGCCCCTGTAGAATGAGCATTGTATTATTGTAAAAAGAATAGGACTGATAATAAACTCACCGGGTCGGTAGCTGACGGCGGTATCGAAGGGAGCTCCAATGATAGCGATATCGTAACGCTCATCGAGTTCTACTAAGCATTTGACGGGCTTCAAATGCGCAAAGCTAGTGATGCCCGAGAACGACCACTGGATTGGGGATTAGTCGGAGGAATAGAACCGAACGTTAGAGTGAACTCAACTGCATACCTCCTGGTCCCATTTCTTCCGCAACTCCTCGCGCACATGGTCGGGAATAGACTCGTTATGATCGTGATGGGCATGAGCGCCCACAGTGACGGTCAGCGCCAGCAGCCCGAGAGGGAATTTCATCCTGACTCCAAAGAGGACAACGAGCTGTAATAATGCGATAGAAACAGAAAATAATTAAAACCGAGGTTATCCATCGGCTTTATATCTTGACCATCCTCTCGAGGCGATGTGGGCCTTGTGGCCTCAGGCTGCCATTTTGTCGTGCGGAGTTTCCCTTCTGGGCAATCGTTTTCCACTTTTCTTCTTCGTATACAACTGTTTCTCTCTGTCTCTATCTCTAGTTTCTCTATCGGCTTCTCTATTCATAGTTCAGATCTAAGTCAAACGAGCTCTTCTTCTTATTCCCTAATCCCTCTTGTCCTACTCCAGCCCATCCTCAGGATGCCATGCGTCGCGTTGTCGTTACCGGTCTAGGAGCTGTCACACCCCTAGGGGTTGGTAAGTGCCCTTCGATTGGACTGGATTTGCTCTCTTGCATCTGAACCTCATCATCATCATCATCATCACCATCATCTCTCTCTCCCTCTCTTTCTCAGACTCTGTTGCAACTTCCAGTCGCCAATCCTGGGTGGTTCTACGTACCCACTTCCGTCCAGAAAGGGAAGGTTTTGGAAATTCCCCAGGATCGGAGATGCCCAGGAAGGGCAGTTGGAGACGATGCTTCCCCCCCCAATTCATTCCTCTGCAGACCCGATTCGCTAAGTCCGGTCCTAGGAATTCGTCGGACATGGAGACGTCTGCTGGATGGTCACTGTGGCATTGTTAATGTTCGCCATCGCGATGCCAGGTTCGCCGATTTGCCATGTCAGATAGCTGGCGTGGTGCCGCCTGGAAAGATGCAAGATGGAGGCTGGACTGCTTTGGAATGGTTAAGTAGAGATGTAAATTCTGGAACCCCATCCATCGTTCATGACAATCAGGACTGATGATGACAATGATGGCAGGAGGAGCGTAAAATGGCACGTTTCGTCCAGTATGCTCTGGCTGCGTCGCAAGAAGCTCTAGAGGATGCGGGCTGGAAGCCCACTGCCTTTGAGCAAAGAGAAGCTACCGTACGTGTCTATCCAACGTCAAATATCGACCGGACTTTCTGATCTTCTCTTCAGGGCATCTGTCTTGGGTCCGGGATCGGGAACTTTGATGAGATCTATGACACCGTCATCTCTTACGACAAAGGAGTCAGTCCATGAGAATAGATTCTACGGTAAACATTTCTGTTGACTCTTCCCCCCAGGGCTACAAAAAGGTGTCCCCCTTATTTGTCCCGAAGCTTTTGATTAATCTCGGTGCGGGCCATATCTCCATGAAATATGGGTTTATGGTAGGCAGCTTTCCATCTTGCCAGCCAAACCAACGACGGAGGAACTAATTTTCGCAGGGTCCTAATCATGCGGCGACCACGGCATGTACTACTGGAGCGCATTCCATCGGCGATGCGGCTCGCTTTATCGCATGCGGGGACGCGGACGTCATGGTCGCAGGTGGGGCGGAGTCGTGCATCCATCCCTTAGCTATTGGGGGGGTTTTCCCGAGCACGGAGCCTTGCAACCGGCTATAACGATGCCCCCGAGAAGGCATCGAGACCCTTTGATGCAGATCGTGAAGGGTTCGTGGTCGGCGAGGGTGCGGCCATGGTGGTCTTAGAGGTATTTTCGCCTATTGGAATGTGCACATGTAGCCGAGGACCTGACGGTGTTTCTAGGAGCTGGAGCATGCCAGAACGCGCGGGGCCCAGATCTACGCAGAGTTGAAGGGATACGGCTGTTCTGGCGATGCGCACCACATGACGGCGCCCAAGGAGAACGGCGAAGGCGCACTCATGGCAATGAGGAGGGCGCTGAGGAACGCCCAACTCCAGCCGGCTCTGGTTGACTATGTCAATGCCCATGCCACGTCGACTGTGGTCGGGGACGCTGCAGAAAATGCAGCGATCAAATCCCTTCTTCTCGGGCCAGAGGGAAAGCGACACGCCGCGGATGTAAATATTAGCAGCACTAAGGGTGCCATTGGTCATTTACTCGGTGGTGCAGGCGCTGTGGAGGCTGTATTTACTATTCTCGCTATTCAACAGGTTTGTGCGATTACATTTTGTACTGAGCAACGTAATGCTAACGTACTGGGCTAGAATGTCATGCCCCCCCGACCATCAACTTAGAACGAGTTGTCGACGGGTTCGACTGCAACTATGCCCCAGAAAAAGCGCAAGAACGCCGGATTGACGTGGCTCTGACCAACAGCTTTGGATTCGGGGGGACAAACAGCAGCCTGTGTTTCTCCCGTCTGTCGTAATTGGGGCTGAATCGGTCGGGTCCGATTATTTGGCACGTGCCTGTATAACTCATTCCCCTGTAAAATAGCTACTGTAATGTCCCGTAGATCAATACAAAGTCATGACCTGGATCGACGTTGGTGGTGTCCTCGGTTTGGGCACTGTAGCACAATTCGGATATCGAGTGGAGTATTGATTGCCATTTGTCTGCGGGTTCTGGCTATTGTCTGGATTGCTGCAGCAGCACATGGACAATTCCAGAATGGGAAAAAGAACCAACAGAGTCTACTACGTACTGTCCATTCTGTACAGTGTATTCACAGCCAGAGACTGGGAGTCATTCTCCTTTCGCATCCGTTCCTATACACCGTATTGAACCCCCGATCGGGATGCCTGATTGTTTCCTTATAGACACCACGTGACGCCCCGATGCGGAGCGCCCCGGACTTCCTACTATTAATGATCGGGTAGATCGATCACTACTCTCTCTTCATCTCAACATCGTCGATCCTCCTAGCAATTCCATTCTTTTATTCTTTTATTCTTTTTGTCATTTTTCTCTTGTGTAGTCGGTCTTCCTGGTTGCATGATCTCATTGTTAAAGCTGGCAAGAGAAGTCTCCCCAGGTCGACTGTGGTAATCATGGCTACGAACGGTAGTATCGCCAAAGGTATGCATCCCAACGCCCAGTCACCGTGTTTGGATCTGTGTGGCTTGTACTTCGGTCCGACGATGGTCAAATCGAATGCTGATTTGTGTCGGTAGCTCTGGTGGCGAGTAGCTTGGTTGATGCCTCGGGGTATAAGTATTCTGAAAAGGATACAAAACCCACCAAGATTAAGGTGAAGAAGTCAGCGAAATTGGGCAAGAAGAAGGTTGACGGTAGGATTCGCTTTTTGTCCTTTTTGCTAGGAGGGAAAATGAAAGAAAGAACTATATGAGTTCTGTAGAGAAGCACAAGCTAACAAATTGAACAATAAGAAGACCCCCCCGCTTCTCCTGGCTCATCACCCATTCTCCCCGAAATAGACGAGAAGACCATGGCTGCGTTCCCGACGGGTAAGCCGCGCGAAGAGGATCATCTGGAAACGGTGGTTTGCAAAACCTGCAAGAGGCCGGTCCTCAAGCAGAATGCGGCAGAGCATATTCGCGGCTGCATCAAGGCGAAGCAGGAGAAGGCCCGACGCAAGAAAGAGGCACGCGACGCGGCCAATCGGGCCAAGGAGAAGGGCGATAAGGAGGGAGAGGAAGAGGCCGCGGGCGGCGAGGGAGAGGATTCGATGAAGGGCCAGAAGAGCGCCAAGAAGAGTGCCGTCAAGGGGATGGCGGAGGATGGTACGAAAAAGGGTAAGAAACGCAAGACAGAGGGCGAGGATGATAAGGACAAGGAGCCGAAGAAGAAGAAGAAAAGGGAAGAGCCGAAGCCCAAGGCCCCCAAGCCCAAGGGCCCCGTCGATGTCGAGAAACAATGTGGTGTGACGTTGCCGAATGGCGCTCAGTGTGCGCGCTCTTTGACCTGCAAGAGTCACTCCATGGGTGCGAAGCGCGCGGTTCCTGGCCGTTCGTTGCCGTATGATATGCTCCTTCAGGCGTATCAGAAGAAGAACCAGGCTCGTCAGCAGAGTGAGTATCTGGGTTCTTCTCCATGCATTTGGACTGAACTGACCCTGGTTTGCGCATTTTAGAGGCTGCAATTGATGCCAATGCCCCGCTCCAGGATGATCTGGAAAACAATGGGCCTGTAGACTCGGACGAGGAGAAGGACGCCGTGATGGCGGCTATCGCTCGGTCCAATCCCCAACCGCTCATCACGCATACACTGATCTCCACCAAGAAGAAATACCAGTACGTGCGGATCAAGGAGATGCTCTCGCATGCCTTGGGTGGCGCACGAGGCGGTGGCCTTTTTTCGACTGGAGAGACAAATGATAACAACCACACTACCGCTTCCGCCATGGATGTAAACCTGTTCCAGTCCGTGGATGATCTACCCTCGAAGACGCCTCCCATGTCTGCGCATGCGACAGATAATCCCGAAGCAGGGAAGACTCCGGTCCCGGTTGCGAAGAAAGTCCCGGTGGCAACGAGCTCGTAGAGCACCAGCACTGTTGTCTCGCAGGGGAAAAAAGAAGAAAACGAATGACGATGGCCTTTATGCATTCTTTCTACTACAATTGGGTTCCGTTGTGGCGTTCGTGAAAGCTTCTATGAACAGGAGTCTGGTTCCGATTATTTGTGATGATACGATGATACCCCGAGTCTTGCTACTGGAGGAAGTTTGTAAATTTTAGTACATATCTTGGACACAAATTTTTTTTCTCTGTCTTTTTTTTTTTTTTTTTTTTTTTGCCCAATGGATCTTGTATGTATAGAGAGACAAGAGATTAGAAGAATAGCAACGTTTAATCCAGCGTATATATGCCTCAGGCACCATCGCCAAGCAACCGCGCCCAAAGTGCCAATCGGACCATCATCAAGACTTCAACAAAGAACTCGCTCAACCACTTGCCACGCTTCCTCGTCTCAAGTGGCTCTCATCCACCCCCCGGTGGAAGTGTATCGCTTCTGCGCCTGCGGGCGAGAACGCTCCTAATTCTCCTGGTCTCGCTGTATTCTGTTATCTATCCATTCAATCGCTCCCTTGAGCTTGGCTGGCGGACTCTACTTCTCTTTCTTTCCCTCTCTCTCCAGATCCTCTCGAGTGTCATCCCTTCACGATGAGCAATTCCGTGCCAGACCTCGACGCCGTCGGCATCAAAGCAGGTCCCGAATTGGCCAATCAATTCCGTCGCGAGGTCGCATCCCTCCTCGGCCGCAGCAACCTCAGTTTCCCCGGCGCACAACCGGTTAGCTTCTCTGGTCGACACCTCACCGAGCTTCAACGGGAAGACTACTACGTCTGCGAGAAAACGGACGGTATCCGCTGTCTGATGTACTTTGCGCGCGGAGACCCAGACTCGGAGACCCCCGAAATCCACTACCTGATCGATCGCAAAAACGAGTACCGCTACGTGCCGGGCCTCCATTTCCCGATGCCCAATGACGACACCTTCCAGTCGTTTCACATCGACACTTTGGTGGACGGCGAGCTGGTGAATGACACCTACGACGATGGGACGCAGCAGCTGAAATACTTGGTCTTCGACTGCCTGGTGCTGGACGGACAGAGCCTGATGCACCGCACGCTGGACAAGCGACTGGCGTATTTTAAGGAGAAGGTGCTCAAACCCTACAACGCGCTGTACCAGCGCTTTCCTGAGGAGAAAAAACATCGCCTGTTCGCCGTCGAGGATAAGTCCACGCAGTTCAGCTACGGCATCGAGATGATGTTCCGCGAGATCATCCCCAAGGTCAAGAAAATCCACGGCAATGACGGTCTCATCTTCACCTGTCGCAGCACCCCCTACCGCATCGGAACCGACGAACACATTCTCAAATGGAAGCCCCCCGCCGAGAACACCATCGACTTCCGTCTGCGCCTGGAGTTCCCCGTCCTCGAGCCCGACTCCGAAGACGAAGCGGATGGCGTCACCGAGCCGTACCCCGACTACGACTCCATGCCCGTCTTCCACCTGTTTGTGGGCCTCAATTCCAACGAGTACCGGCCCTTCGGCGAGATGTTCGTGACCCCCTCGGAATGGGAAGATATGAAAGCCCTGCAGCAGCCGCTCGACGACTCCATTGTCGAATGCTCCAAGGACAATCAGGGCCGGTGGCGATTTCACCGTCTCCGCGACGACAAGGCGGATGCAAACCACATCTCGACCGTGGAGAAAGTCCTAGAAAGTATCCAGGACCGCGTCACCGAGGAGGATCTGATCCGCGTGGCACCATCTATCAAGACTGCGTGGAAGAAACGCCAGGCGCAGATGATGGCCGAAGAAGAGGAACGAAAACGAAAGGCTCGACCGGCTCCATCGTCCCATGTGAATGGGAACGGAGTGAAGCGGAAATTCGAGGAATCGTAATCTCCCTCCCTTCCTCTGTTCTCTCATTCTTTCTCCCTTTCCCCATTTTTGCAGGGATCTTGGCTCAAGATATAAGATAAAGATCCGATTTCTCTTTCGATTTGTCTACCCCACGGTTCGGGGATTTGCGCGGCGTCCGGCGTCATTTACCTTTGGGTTCTTTCTTGGATGCAGAAGGGGGCGGAAACCGGCTGGAATGGAGTGAGTGGAGTGGGAGGGGATGTATGTACAATGTTCTCTGTATTTTACGATGCGATGAGGTGTTCTTCGTTTCTTTCTTTCTTTCTTCCCTTCATCGTTATATTCATTTGCATTGACGTTCTCCTATGGTTTTAGTATTTGTTTAGAGGTATTTTGGAACGTGAGATAAGACAGTATCTACCGATACAATACGACAGACATATGGATCGGTTCCGATGCAATTTTCCCATGTCTAGGTATATGATAAACTATAAAAACAAAGAGAGAGATCGAATACAACACAATGATACATGAACATATATCTCGGATCTACCGCTTTTTGATGCTCACGTCAATGTTGCCCACAGCCCATGCGGCCACGAAAACCGTCAACAGGCCCGCAGTGATGGTGACTGGTTTGCGCATTCCATCCCAGAAGGAATAGTCATAGGTTACCTGCATCATGGTAAGCATTTTCAAATCATATTTATATACATATATAATAGAGTTCAGGATGATAGTAAGGGACTCACCACTAGCTGAGAATCGCGGGCCTCGTCGGACAGATTCTCCACCGTCAAGGTCAATGCGGTGCGACCCAAGGTATCCATGAACGTCTTATGGCTGGACACGTGGGACTGGATCTGGTCGGCGGCAGGGAGACCATTACTGGCAGCTCCGTCGATCACCTCGTAGCGTACATTCCGGGCGCCCTCGGGGAGAATGACGCGGACAACGGCCTTTTCGTACTGTACGCCCTCGGGCGCCTTGGGTCCTTCGATGAAAGGGACCTTGAGGACGTACGTGTCGGCACTGGAAACGGCACGGCGCAGGAAGGTCGACAGCTCGTTGTTCCAGCCAATGCGGAAGGTGTAGTTCCAGCCGCCGAATACCGGATAGCGAGGACGCAGCTCCAAGGAACCGTCGCGGTTGGCCTTACCAGGGCGGTAGTGGCTGGTGGAGACGTTGCCAATGTCGTCGATAAAGTAGGGGTCGACGGAGCCCGGTTTCAAGGGGTACTTCAGCTCGCGGATGGACGAGGACGGCAGCTGCTGGAAGTTGCTGAGGGTCCATTCCACGCGGGAGAACCAGTTCTGGAGCTGGGAGCCATTGTTGCGCAACCAGTACCGCTCCTCGGTCGCCAAATTGCCGCCCCAGTGGGACACTTCCAGATCCCGTTCCAGTAGCGACGCCGTGATGACTGGCTTGGTGAATTCGTAGCGGACGCTGACGGGGTACGTGGTGTCGGGCGCAACGTTGGCCGTCGAGTATGGTCCGTAGGTGTAAGTAGTGCCCTGGCGTTCGGGGTCCGCGCCGGACTTAAGACCCTCGGTCAAGGTGTGGTCGGGAACATTGGTACTCGGTAGCTTCAGCTTGGTCTTCTGGGTGACGGTGGGATAGACTGAGGGGACGTAGGCTGAGAAGGTGTGAACGAGATATTGCCGGTCAGATTGACCGATGGTAGCTGGACGAGGATGGAGAGTCGAGAGTACGTAGTAGGAGATCCCCAGGGTGATCTGGGACTTGGGGGCGAGAGGCTCGGGCAGCTGGATCATATAGTACTGGAAATCACTGCGTCTGTTAGATACCTTTGATCCCAATGGCATTGGCTGTTTTGTATACAGATCGCCGGATTGAGATCCTCACCTGGATGAACTCGTCTCGACGGCTTTCACCGCGAACCGTCCTTTCTCTGGGGACTGCTTATCCCGGACTTCCAAGCCACCCAGCTTGTTAACGAGATCCGCGGCCAGAGGGAGATAGTACTTGTAATGAGGACGCTGGTCGACATTCTCCACGACGACGTTGATGGTTTCCCGGAGGTAGCCTTTCTCCAGATTGGTATTGCGCACCAGATTCACATTCTTGAAGACGGAGGGAAAGGACTGAGCCCAGGCCGGTAGCCCGCAGACAAGCAGCAGAGCAAACAGGGCAAGCATGGTGGCAGCTCCGTCGATGGAAGAATCCAAGTCGTTCGTCTTCTTTCTCTTGTTTCTCACGATGAGGCCACGCTGGCGCTGACTAAGCTCCGTCTCTCATCATCTACAGTTAACTAGTTACAGAGTATTTATTCTGTCTCTCTCTCTTCATCTTCATCCTCGTCTCTCCCAATTCATCAGAATAACCATCTCAAAAGCTTGATTTTTCTTACTATGCCCTCCCTCCTTCCTGACCCTCCTTCGTCCTCCATTCCGTCCATTCCATCCATCTTCTCTACTCCGGAGTAGTCAGGACCCACTCAAGCTAATACTGACTAGACGCTTCTCCGCTTCCTTCTCTCTCCTTTCATCTATCTCCCTCCCTCCTTCACTCACCATGTTACCCTCACGGACTGCGGTGCGTCTCGGTGCCAGATCGACATCAGTCCGATTGGAGCCTCCACGACGCTTCAGGCACCGCCTTGTCCCGAGCAAATTTCTCTCCGTCTCCGAGGAGGTTCGTCATGCAGTTGCCACGGGGAAGCCCGTCGTAGCTCTGGAATCGACCATTTACACGCATGGTACGGCCTTGTGGGCCCTAGTCCTTCGTACGTGTGGCATTGATCTAACTCCCTGCTAGGATTCCCGTATCCCGAGAGCGTCGCTCTGGCCCAGCTGCTCGAATCCGCCGTGAGAACCAATGGCGGCATTCCCGCCACCATTGGGATTCTCAATGGCGTCGCCCGGGTTGGCCTGTCGGCAGAGGAGCTCATTGAGCTGACCTCGACGGCAGAGACCAAAAACGCCTGGAAGGTGTCCCGAAGAGATCTGGGGTACATCTGCGGCCTGGTCGGTTGATATCCTGTCTGCACGGGTTGACCTGGCTTCTGACCGTCCACAGGGAATGGCGGGGAAACGACTGCACGGTGGCACCACGGTGTCAGGTACCATGATCCTCGCTCATATGGCTGGTATCCGGGTCTTTGGAACCGGTGGTCTTGGTACGTGGCATGAACGCTTTCTACTCTTACTGTGCAATGAGACTGATTACCCTACAGGCGGAGTTCACCGTGGTGGCGAGAATTCCATGGATATTTCCGGTAAGTTCAGCGTTGACCGAAGCGTAAGCTAGGTCTGACTCGTTCACAGCCGATCTCACCGAGCTGGGACGAACCCCCGTGGCGGTCGTGAGCTCCGGGTGCAAGAGCTTCCTTGATATCCCCCGGACGCTAGAATACCTCGAAACCGAGGGTGTCTGTGTAGGGACCTTTGCAGACGGCCGTGATGGCCCAGTGGACTTTCCCGCCTTCTTCACCCGCGACAGTGGAATCAAAAGTCCCAAGGTCATCCAAAACGAGGCCGAAGCGGCGGCCATTATCTGTGAGTCACGCAACTCGAGAGATCTCGCTTTCGGCGAGCCTGCCAGCTGATCTGGAACCATCCAGATGCCCAATCCCGGCTTCCCCTCTCCTCGGGAATGCATTTTGCCAACCCCGTGCCGGTAGAACACTCCATTGACAAACTAGAAATGGACGCCATCATTGAAGAGGCAATCCGCCAAGCCGATGCAGAGGGCCATCGTGGCAGTGACAACACACCCTTTGTATTGTCCAAAATCAAGGAACTCAGTGGTGGCAAGAGTGTGGAGGCCAATCGCGCTTTAGTCAAGGCAAACGTCAAGCGCGCTACCATGGTGGCGGTGGAGCTGGCCAAACTGGAGCAGTCTGAAGACACTCTCAATGAACGGTACGTAGCGCAGTTTTCCACTCGAAAACATATATCCCTAATTGCGAGACCATCTCCCCGCGCAGACATATGCCCGCCATTCCCCGCACGGTGCAAGCTGACCAGGCCACTCCAGAGGCAGAGCGGGACCCGCTCCACTCGATCACTGAAGAGCTCGACAAAGCTGACGTTCTCGTTGCTGGCTCTCTTGCTATCGACCTTTCCTGTGACTACGCTTGTACAGGAGAGACGTCCAAGACCCCGGCCCCCCACACGTCGAACCCAGCGGTAATCTCGCAGAGCCTGGGAGGCGTGGGCCACAACGTTGCCATCGCCTCCCACTACCTGGGAAGCTCCGTTCTTTTCTGCAGCGTTGCTGGCGATGATCTGAGTGGCCGGGCGGCGCTGTCAACCCTTCGCACGGAGGGCCTCACCTCCCAAGGTGTCCAGATCCTCCCGGCCTCGGCCGGAGCCCGGACGGCGCAGTACGTTGCCGTAAATGATGCGTCCAAGGATCTGGTGGTGGCCATGGCGGATATGGGCATCATGGAGCTACCCGAGTCAGCGCTGGATTTCGACGGTTTCTGGGAGCCCATGGTCGCACGCACGAAGCCGCAATGGGTGATCGTCGATGCCAACTGGAACCCGGAGGTGCTCGCCAAATGGGTCACCGTGGCCCAAAAATACGGGGCGCGGGTGGCTTTTGAGCCCGTCTCCGCGGCGAAAAGCCGCCGTCTTTTCGGGAAGGCCACGGCAGCCATCCGACCATCTGCCTGTGTACCCGACCATAGCATCAGTCTCGCTGCGCCGAATCAGTATGAGCTCGCTGCCATGTACATGGCGGCGCGAGAGAACGACTTGCTGGACTCTGACGGCTGGTGGCGGATCGTCGACGCGATGGGCATGTCCGCGTCAGGATCAAGCGACCGACTCGTGGCGACGACGTCAGCCTCCCTCGTGAGCCAGGGGATCCCGCAGCAAAGCGTCCAGCTCCTCCCACTCATCCCTTGTATCCTCACCAAGCTGGGCTCGCAAGGAGTGCTCGTCACGCAGCTTCTCCGTCCCGGCGATGCGCGTCTCACGTCGCCGGATTCCACACCGTACATACTCGCTCGGGCCCCACCTACGGATGAGGTGGTTGGGGGCGTGTATATGCGGTTGTTCCCACCGGCGGCGGTGCTGGCGGAGGAGGAGATTGTTAGTGTCAATGGGGCGGGCGACACACTCCTGGGGGCGGTGATCTCGGGATTGGCGCGGGGGGAGAGCAGAGTTGAGGAGGTGATTCCTCTGGCGCAGGAGGCGAGTCTGCGTACGTTGAAGAGTGCAGGGGGGGTCAGCGGGGAGATTGTTCAGCTACGACCTATACTTTGACCCTTAATGTGCGTATACATGATATGATTCCAGCAATATATCCCTATGTATATTGACGTATATTGGAGGGAGCCTACGAGACGAAGGTTTTGGCTACTCAAGGGAATAAAATGATTGATTAGAAAGATATGCTATGTAAAAATCAACTCAACACCCGTTCCACTCCCTCCCCCCCAACCACAGGAATCCTCTCCACTGTCTCCTTCCCCTGCCGATTAGGACCAGTAGCACGGAACCCAGCCGGCACCAGAGCGGGATCCAACAGACCGATCTGCACCAGCACGCTAGCTTGATCCCAATAGATATTATGCCGGGTGATCTTCCCCGCGGCGAACGAGACGGTCATGACGAGGAGGATGCGCACGGGACGATCGGTGGGCGGCACCCCGGGAAGTAACCAGGGGATTTCCTCGGTGTGGGTGAAACAGAGGAGGAGCTCGTCGACGATGCGGTTGGATCCGACTGTGCGGGAGAGAAGTCGGAGAGTCTGCGAGGGAGGGCCCGATGGGAAGAACTGTCTCGTGTAGAAGGTGAGGATTGTAGACGGGGTCGTGCCGCCAATCATTGTTGGTACGCAGTTCACGGATGCTGTTTGATGTAGTTCTGCCGTTGCGTTGTCATTGTTTTGGTCAGGACGTAAAGCTAGGCCTGCGTCAGCGCCGGTGGCCATCAGACGTAATGCCTGCGAGGCATGCGTCTCGGCATCGTCGTCGTTCTGGTGGTCGTAGAATAGATTCCGCCAGTACTCCTCCCAGATGGACTCGGGCTCCGAGATGGTCCAGGAGCGACCGGGCCAGCCGAAGCCTCGCTTCAGACAATCCAGAGTGCGACCCCAGGCGAGTCGCGCGCTGATGCCGTCGTAGGCCATGGACGACGGCTCGGCGAACCCCGGGGTCGAGTCCGGGTAGAAGAAGAGGTGGCAGCGGTGGCGTTTCTTGGTGGGGTGTCGGTAGTATTCGTCGCGCAGTGCGGCGGGCTGGTGGCCAGCGAGGTGGATCTGGATGGGGAGCAGTGGTACCGAGGCGTAGCAGGAGTGGGTGATGGCGGTGGTGGTGGATTGCGGAATGAGGTTGCTGTCGAGTTCTGGATGCGGTGCGCTGCCGGGCGCCTCGGGGTAGAAGGTGACCAGGGCACACAGTCGAGGGAAAGGATTGGTGGCGGTGGTTGACAGATGATGCGAGGCCAGCAGCAGGTCCGCCGGTCGGTGGTATGCTACGATCATCTCATCAGTCTTCATTCATCACCGAGTGCAAGGTATCCATACCGACTACCGCATAGCGCTCGCCCGGTTCGAGGTCATCCTCGCGCTCTTCCAGCAGATTCTCTAGTTCACGGCGCTGTCGCTCGGGGTCGTCCGTGTTGGTCAGGAGGAAAGGGAGATACTCGACGTCGAAGCCCTCCGCCCGGAAGCGGCGGATGATATTGGGATCGAAGTCGGACGTGCTCGAGATCAGATAGAGCCGTTGGGGTTGATTGGTGGACGACTTCTTCCTGTGACTCGGCGACGGCGATGCTGGACGAGGCGAGGCCGAGATGCCGATGCTGCGACGATGTCGCCGGAAGTATTGCCGGAGACGGTCCATGATAGATGTCGTCCATCTCCTCCGTAGAGCCAAAGGGGGTTAAACGATGACTTGGGGAGATGACGTCGACGAGTGCTGCGCCAAGGCAAGGGTCATGCAAGAGACGTGGATTCATCTATCTGACAGGAGGAAATGGAATCTAGATGTCTAAAACCCCGTCAACCACCGTCGCTGCTCCGACACCTTCTCCGATTCTCCCTCCGTCTCTTTCTCTCTTGTCAGATAGCAGGCGTACGCTGGTCGTTGCAGACTCTGTCGCGCAACCTCGCAGTCCTGTCGGATATCCTCCACCAACGCTTCCAGTGACACGTAGTCGTATTCGGGCCGAATGTACCCCAGGATCAACAGATTCAGCCGGGTGCCGTAGAAATCCGGTAACTTGTGGAACTTCACCTGGCCGGGTTCGCCGTTTGCCGTGGGTGAGGGTGCCGAGAGGGGGGACATAATGTGAATTTCCTATAATTGTAAGTCTCTCTCTTTCTCTCTCTCTCTCTCTCTCCCTGAGTGAGCGTTTTTCTATCTATCGGATGGATGGTACGTACCACCGATCTTGTCGTATTTTTATAAAATGGATTATACCCAATACTCAACACAGCCGGAAGAATCGTCGTCGTCGATGGCTCGATGGTATAGGCGAACTGGGCGGGATCCAACGCGACGACGCCGTAGTAGACACCGACCTGGAGATCGGGATAGTCGGCGAGACCGTCGGCGGGGATATTGGCGGTGGGGATGCCCAGCTATTCAATTGATTCATTAGCGTCACATTCATAGGATTTATACCAATCCCATCTATCCGAGGGCTCTCACCTCTTTGCTTCCCCGTCCAAAGCCTTTGATAACAGGACCGGACAGTCGTAGGGGGAAGGGAGAGGCGGGGCCATTGTCGGGGCCAGCGACGGGATCACGGGGGGTATCGGGTCTCATGATATAAGAAAAGGAGAGGGAAAGAAAAGAGAGAATAAGGTATAAATGAGAGAAAAGAAAGAGAGAAAGGAGAAAATGAATACGAGCAATACTTAACGAAGGCAAGTTAATCTTGGGAAGTTCCTCTGTAAGCACCCCGGGGATTTCCACGTGCTGATTGGTCTGTGGTGCACTGCCCGAGGAACCTGGCTGCCTGAGTTATAAGGTGTCAATCTGCCTGAGGAATATATTGTGCCTGAGGATAGCTGCTGATATCTGCCTGAGTTTACTTCTCAGCTATACATATATACATCCCATCCATTAAGATATTGCAAAAAAGAACACCGGAACTTCAAGTCATCCCTGAATCTGACGTATGTACCAATGAAGATGCCGACAGGCAAAAAAAAAAAAAAAAATCAACAATCACAACATTTTTCCGTCCTACTGAATAAAAGAAAAGACCATATCCTGAGACCATAACCGGCGTGACCCATAAATTAAAGAAATCAAATACAGGGTAGAAACTATCATCATCAGCCACATCCAGTCATATCATCTAAATCACTGAGTCACTTACATTCATCACAATCAGCATCGGAATGTCAAACACATCGCGCTTCACTGTCCAGCAGTACGCGCATTCGACTTTACCGTCCTTGAATCCCAGCTGGTTCATCCCCGCCTCGCTAGCAATACCGCCCTTCCTCAGGTGGCTGTTCCATCGTTGCCCGTCGTCCGACGCCGCCAGCTCCATGTCCTCCTTCGTCTTGTACTTGAGCAGCTTGCACGTCGTCATCACGCTGCCCCGCGAATCCCCAAACGCCAGCCGGGCGAAGTCCTCGTAGAACTCCACCACGCTATCGTCGTCCAGCAGCTCCGCCAGAAACACCGGCTGCGGCCGCCCCGGCGCCGCCGGCGTCTCTACCGTGGCGCTGCTGCGCGGCGTGAAACTGCGCGACGACGCCCCCGACCCAGGCCCCGTGGACCCCATGTTGACGTTCAGGTTCGGCTCCTTGCCTAACAGCACCTCCTTCTTCCACCCCGTCAGGATGCTGAACTCCTTGCCCACCGCCGCGATCTCCCCCGTCCGCCGGCACACAATTGTCGGCGTGCCGCACGCGTTGATGAAGTCCTCGTACTCAAACAGCGTGCGCTGGAAGCACTTCTCCATGAAGATCAGGTCGTCTCGGTTCAGCGTCTTGGTCGTCGCGATGAACGATGGCCGGATCGACGCCAACGCCTTGGCGATCTGTAGTGTCTTCTGGGGCGGGAATCGTCGCTGGATGCACGCCGTCAGGTTGTGGAATCGGTTCGTATACGCGTACGGCTCCTTCACGTTCTCGTAGATGGACGACGGGTTCCGCGGCCGTCGGCGCACGCTCACCTGCTGTAGGCTCGAGTACTTCAGGCTGGGCGTCGTGATCGTCGGGCGCTGTCCGTTCGGAGCCAGGCCGTTCGACGGCGTCGGCACCGCATGCTTGTTGTTGTTGCTGCTGCTGCTGTTGTTGTTAAAGGTCGCCTCGTCAAACGCGGTCGCCATCTGCGGACTGGCGAAACTCCCCGGACCGCTCTCGATGGCAAAAGCATGGGGCGCGTCGGTTTTGGACAGGTGTCCGGGGGGGATCACGTTCCCCGGGCCGGACTGCGCATACACGCCGCCGCCCACGGTCATCGGCGGCTGGCCTGCGGATTGGCCCCCGGGCCACTCATTGAGGAGCGGATCGCCGAACATGAACGGCGGCTGGCCGCCGCCGGGGCTGTCGCCGAACGCGGCCGTCCCCGTGATTGGGGTGCTCGCGAACTGTGCGGAGCCACTGCGCCCCATGGACCCCCGTTGCGTGGCCGAGTCGCTGGGCGAATCGCCGGCGCCTGTCGCCATGTGTCCCAGCATGCCAAACTCCAGCGCGCCATAACGGTTCTCAAAGTTCATGCTGGACAAGTCGAAGTTGAAGAGGGCCGGGTCGCTGGGGTCGAAAAATGGCCCGGCCAGCGGGTTCTGGCCTGGGGTGGCGCTGGCGACGCTGGAGGAGGGCGGTTGCTGGCCGACGGAGGACATGCTGTTATGGCGCGCGGTCGGGGTGGTTTTAAGGTTGAAGGTGGGCGAGACAGGAGACTGTGAGGGAAAGGAATTCTGATGGAGGGGATTCTCTTGGTAGACGTTGTAGGAGCTCGACTGGGAGTTGGGGTAGAAATTGGGGCCTGAGTTTTGCGGCGTATTCGCGTTAACAGCATTGGCACCGTTTCGCGACAGAGGGAGGCTGTTGTTTCGCATCGCAGCATTATTGTTGTAGTAATTATTGTTGCCACCGCCGCCGCCGACGACGCCGGGCATCAAGGCTCCGTCCGGGGCGTCGTGAAGGTACTTGGCCTTTTTCCGGACGCCGTCGTGGCAGGCATCCTGAAGCCCTCGCTTGATACATCGCTGACACGGTCTCTCGTCACCGCAGGTCAGATGCGCCCGTTGACAGGCGAAACAGGCCCGTCGTGCCTTCTTCCGTCGCGGACGGGACGGATCCTTTGCGTTGGTGGACTTCTGCTGGCCATTCTCCGCGGGCGCAGTATTCTCAGCGCCATTAGTCTCGTTCTTAGATTGTTGCTTCTGAGGCTCAGCAGCATCCTGAGCAAGCCCGCTAGGATCTACCGATGTGGTCGAGGAGCCGTTCTCCTGGGTTTCCACCTTCATCTCGACATGAAAAAGCTGTAGTCGACTGTAAGGGAGGGAGGGGTGTGTGAAGGTGAGCCAGGAAGGATTGCGATTGATTGCGTGCCCTTGTGGGCGATGACGAAGAACCAGTAGTGTATGAAATGGAGTGGAGATGAGGGAATATTCGTTTTGATTTTTTTTTGAATTTTTTTTTTTCTCTCGTTCGTTTTTTGAGGCTTAGTTGACGCAGCGACAAGCTTGCCACAGTCTTCTTCGTTTCAGTCGGGACAGAACCACGTCGCACCGTGAACCAAGACACTGGGACGGATCCAGATTGACGAGCTGGAGCGGAATCCCTTTGGCGCCTGTACTGGGGGGAGGAGTAAATAGGGCGTTCTGACACGGTCTGGGGGCATAGAATAAGGACCGAGGGAGTGTTGTAAGGAAGTAGGCAAAGTAGGAAGAGCGGAATCGATGCAAAGCGATGCGAATGGACGGAATGGAATAATATCGAGGCGGCCACCTATTTTTATTTCTTTTGATTATGGATGAAGTTTCTCGTTGAGGGCTTTTTCTCTTTTCCCTCTTTTTTCTTTTTTTTTTGTTCGTTTATTTCTGTTGACGGTTGGTTGGTTGGTTGGCGAGAAATGAACACTAAGAAAATTGGCAGGAAGATTTTAGTCACGCGAGATTTTTTGGATTTTTTTTCCATTTATTATTTCCCTCTTTTCCTATCACTTGCAAGATCCTTATTTGGGACTCGTTTTTGGATTCAATGACAAGCGAGTGGAGCGCCAGAAACGCTGGAACTGCGGGGAAACCGAGAATATCTGGTTGAAAGACCAAGAGGGGAGGGGATGAAACAGAACGAAGAGCGAAGAGCGAAGAACGAAGTCATGACAGAAATGAATTGAGTCGCGTGTCCATCCATTGATACTTTCTATACTCTCTAGTAGTATATACTACCTAGTAGTTACATACAACCTATACACTACAGGGATCGATCTCACATGTTGGCTTGTGATTCCCCCAATATTGAGTATTCCACGTGTATGATTTCTTTTCTTTTTTTCTTTTTTTTAATATAATAATAGTATTATAATATTAATTTTATATTATATTATTTTTTAATCCTTGACTAAGAATGCGCCATTTTCGACGCTTCAACGCGCCTCTCGGGTCTTTCCGGGTCGACGCCTGACTCCCTCCGTCTCCCTCCGTCTTGCCCAATCGGGAAGTGCCTCGGCTATATTTCTCTGGTGCACTGACATTCAAGGCATCATCCTCTTCCCTACCACTCTCCCTACCTCGGATGAGGTAGGAGGTAGTTACCCCCCTTCTTCACTTGGCTGGTGCGCTGACCTTCCTGTGATGGGGCTTCGAATCTGGGCTGCTTCCAGCCAGTAAACATGACGACCCCTGAGGGGGTCGTCACTAGTAGTATGCACGTACGGAGTAGAGCAACGGAGGGCCGGATCGCAGCGTTTCGTCATGCTTTTGCTAGGACTTTGGTTGTATATCTGCATATTATATCTATGTCAGCGTGGGGAGTAATGACATACTCTGGAGATACATCGACTTCTCCAGATTCAGGAAGACCCGTCGTCTCCATTGCCTTACTCCGGACAGACCGGCCCACTGTCCCCACTCAATAGGATTATCACCATGCTCGTCGGCATTAAAAACAAGCGCTCCACGGTAGTAGATATCAACCTGTCGGCGGCAAATCTACCGTGCAGCAAATCGGCTCTTCTGCCGAATCCGAGTGCCGTACCGGAAAAAGACGTACCTATCCACAATCGATCGTCAGTAACCGTCGGTTTCATACACGTCATTCCTCCTGGCGTCCCGGTGTAGCAAATTCATGCAAGACAGAAGGAAACACGGGGCATACGGAAATGGCGTCAAGGCCAGTGTCAAGAAGGCCAGCAACGATGTGGCCCAGTGGTATCCCAGGTTGTTGTACACTGCATGAATCGGTTAGCAACTGGCCGTAACCATCCTCACGTTGACCTCAGCTTCGGACAAGTTCTCAGACTTACTCTGGATCCCAAACAAGGGAAAGATCCCCCCAAACAGCGAGCGAGCAAAGCTATTGGCCGCCAATGCACTGGCCGCAAAGGTCGGATACGCATCCACCAAAAAGGTGAAAATACCGGAATACACGAGGATGGTCCTGTTGTTCAACAATTAATGGAATCAGCGCCAATTCTTCGCTCAGTCCCGTTGGAAACTTACCCGGCCCCAAAAAGCCCACTGCCAATGATCGGTGCTATCCAATGCACCTGAGGATAAACCGTCCAGGCAAAAATGAACAATCCTATCGTCACAAGGGGTCCGCCAAGGATCGCTTAATCGCTGTTAGAAATGTCCGGACAATTAAGTATAGGCCAAGGACCAAACGGGCAAACGTACCTGGAGGAAGCCGCCACTCGGGCTGGAAGTCGTCGACTTTCCCAACCCTCCTCTCATGGTCCTTCTCCAGGCGCTGGTAAATGTGGCGCCAAAAGGGGTTCGAGAGGATAGCAAGGATCATCCCCACAAAGAGGCCCAGGAAACAAAGACCGCGCTGCCATAGCATAAAGCCATATACGTTGCCAAACACTAACTGGAAGGCGCCAAAGAAGAGATAGAGTATACCCAAAAGGATGGCCGAGAATACGCAAAGATTCAAGCACATAGGCTCCAGCGCAAGAAGCAGCATAGGTCGATAGATCGACCGCAGGACCGTCTGTGCGACAGAGCGATTCAATTTCTCGATGGGAGCTCCCCAGCGGTCGTCCCCTGTTTCCTGTCGTAATTTCTGTGCCTTACGTCTTAAAAGCCTGTCCAGACCTCCGTCAATACGCATTTCACATTGTTTGTAGCGCTGGGAAATTTCACTTACACAGGATGATAGGTTTCGGGGACAAAAGCAATGATCGAAACGAGCAATACACCCGTCCAGATAAGAAGTACGTAAAACGTCCAGCGCCTAAAGTCAGGAAAGTAATTAGATCAACTTTGGCTCCCATGAAGGTCTTCCAGCAAGACGTACCATGTAGTAAACTGATTTATTAATCCACCAACCCTAGAGATCTACGGTCAGCCACCGTAAACAAGCTCCCGGCAAATAGTTCGGGTCAGAACGTACAATGGTCCTACTTCCGGGCCAATGAAAGGCGAAGCAGTGTAGAGCATCATTGGCGCACTGAGCTCATGACGAGCAAAAAAGGTCCCCCACCGTACCACCGGCAACGCTAAGAAACGCGCTTCCTGCAATGCCATTGAAAAAGCGGCATATGATCATTGTCTGAATATTTTGAGCCACGGCACACGGAATTATCCAAATTAAGAAGAGTGTGAATGAGATGATATAAATATATCTTCGCCCGTAGAACTATTTCCTAGTCAGCGATGAAAATGTCAACGATGTCAAAAGACATACTGACCTCGGACAATGGCCCTAGAAATAACGGACCAACCGCTTCAGACAATCTATTTAGCAGTCCATTTTTACTCATATCCTCGCGCACACATGGCCCGAACTTACCAAGCCCCCATATGAAGAATGACAACCCTAACGTCGCAACCAACCGAGAACAATTGAACTCCTCGGTGATCTGATCATAGGTAACGGTATACATTGAAGAGGTACAAGTCCTTGAGGGCTGGCATCAGCACTGGGGGGGTAGAATCCGGGGTTGCACTGCCATATACTCACACACAGAGTGAACCCATCGAGCAGATAATCACGATCATCCATCGCCTCAGCGTGTTGAAGTTCCGAGGATTCATCGGGTCGTTTTCGTCCCATCCGACCATAAAGGCGGATAAATCATCTCCGCCCTTCCCCTGTTCTTCGGCGGGGAGCTTCTCCCCTGCCTCTTCATCTGCCGTGTGGCAGCTATATCCATCATTCAGGGACCAACTGCGTTCAACGGACCGTGAAGAAGCCAAATGTAATCTCTGTATTCGCTCATCATTGGCGGCTAGAGGGGCACTTATTGGCGCGTAAGTGCTCGCCTCGTCAAACTTCTCCGGGTCAAAAGCACCGACATCACTCGACTCGTCATCAGTGGATCGTCGTTGTGGATTGAGGACAGAGTTGACAGCTTGGCCAGCGGGAAGATCCTCCGGCTGCGTTGCCAACATAATTGGCCCGAGTATCCTATGCCTTCTTCCGCACAATGACTCTCACTTTTGCCGTCGCGATTGTAATAGCGATGCGCTACTATAGGTGCAGTGAAAGAGGGTGCTACCAGCTCATAGCCAGTCGATGTCCAATACAACAAAGCAGATCACCTGCAGCGACAAGGCCCCAGAGCCCAGCAGAAGCAGAAAAAAGAGAAGAGAGTAAAAAAGGGAAACGATTTAAATCCGTGGGAAGAATATGGGCACTAATAAGAGGGAAAGAAGGTATCAAGACCCACTACATGATACAACGTCGAAGGGTATGTTGAAGGAAGGAAAATTTGCCAACTTCGAGAGCATTTCCGGGTTTTCAGTCATTGTGACGCTCTTCCGGAGTCGGATGGATCTATGCTGATCACGATCCTTGGTCTCGGCCTCGTTGGGTCTAGCCAAGCTGAGTGAGTAATGGATCCAGACTGATGAAGAGTGATACTTCCTAACTTGTTCGTCAACTCATTATGGTGATGATGCGAATTCATATCACCAGAAGAACTATAACAAGGAAATAAAGCCGAGTGGACAGAATTTCTCCCGCGACCACGTGCCGATGACAGGTGTCAGCGAATCCCTTGTATGTACTCTCACTATTAATTTACGGCATATTTGAATGTTGCATCTCTGCTGCTAAAGGTCCTGATTTCTATAATACTAGAACAAGGCTACCTAATCATCCGGCCTATATTCGCCCCAGGGCCAACAACGGACCTCGTGTCCAAGGTCCAGCCCAAAAAACATAGAACAATCAATCAATTAATAGTCCTCCTTTTCAATCCCAAAGTGTGACTCCCCAAACTCCATCAGTTCATTAAATAAACAAACAAGGACCCGCATCCAAACATAAAACAGTCACCCAAAGTTAAACTCCCGCCAGAGTAAACGAAGAAGCGGAAGATGAAAGCCAAAAAAGAGAGAGAAGAAGGCATGCAACTATACAGAATCATCCGGTCTCACACACACACACACACACACACACACAAAAAAAACTAAATACCCCCATAGATTAGTAAAAGGCACCATCGTGGATCACTTAAGCTGCCACCGCAGTGGATTGGTCGACAGACTCTCCGCCGGTAGTCTCTTCAGCCCACGAGCCCCAGAGAGCGCGTTTTCCACGGACCTTAAGGGGTCCGCCCACAGTATCAGGGCGTTGTTCGACCTGCACAGAGTCTTTGGTGGCGAGCACCAAAATCTCGAAAAACATCTTGGTCGCGTCGGCCTTCGACGCTTTCTTCTCAGGCAGAAGGTCTTCGAACCGCACGCTCCTCTTCTGCTCCGCCTCACCTAAGCGGTCACGGAGGATGTGAACGGCATGCTTGGTACCAATTGACACTGGGCCGCTGTCAGCCGGTTGGATGGTATCGTCAAAGTCGTCCAGTGGCTGGTTCATTCCGTCGTCATCGCTCATGCGAAGGCCTTGGTCTTCCTCGTCTCCGGGGAATTCAATTTCGGACCGTTGATTAAGCGTCGAGTCAAGTCCGAGTCCTTCGTCGACCGGCACGATCGCTTCTTCTTCGCCAAGTTCCAACGCAGGGGCATTGACTGCTTCGATATCCATGTCGGAAATGCCGCTGTCGCGCTTTCTCTTGAGTTCACCGGCCCTCTTCACGGCGTCGAGCGAAAGCAGATCACGAAGCTCTGGGGCCCAGCCACGACCACGGCCTCCGCCCATCACGTTCGACACAAAGTCGCCGTTCTTTTGCATGTTCATGAGGGTGAGAAGGACGGGGTCGCGAGGCAGATAAGATGTCTCCTTCATGATACTGGAGCGGTTGTCATGCAGCTCTTTAATGGCTTTGCCCTTGTAGTCAATTTTCACATCGGCCTCCATCAAGGTCTCGACCTTCCGTCGTTTGGAGCGCTGCGCGTGTTGGAAGGCAACCGCACCTTCCTGCTCCTCGTCGCCTTCCTCTTCTTCCTGGAAAGTTCTATCGTGCTGTATGAGTTTGTTCACCTCTTCATCCGCGATATTAGTGAGAACCGATTCGCGATCCGATTCGTGGTGCTCAACATCGAGCGCCATGCCCCCTTCATCGCCACCAAAATCCATCGTATCATCCGCCTGCAGGAGAGTGTCCTGAGGACCGTCGTTGCCCAAATCCATCTTATCCAAAGGCGCATCATCCTCACCGAGATCCAGAGGCAGATCGACATCATTGAACTTCCCGGCATCGCTGAAGAGATCTTCCTCAACCGGTCGAGGAGCCGGGGCGTCTCGCCCGACTTCCATGCTGAAATCATGACCCAACGGCGTCTCGTCCTCACCCAAATCAAGGTCAATTAAAGTATGATCTTCGAGACGTACGGGCTCCTGGGAGACAGAGCGCCGAAAACTACTGTCAGGGAGAAGCTGACTTCCAAAATCCATTGACGATCCCGGCTGCTTGCCCTCCGGCTCTAAGTGGAGGGTTTGAGGCAGCAGCAAGGAAGAATCCAGGTTCATGAATAGGTCAGACTCGGTAAGCACATCAGGCAGTGTAATACCACCTGGCGCGACGACGGTAGTGGTCAGGTCATTGTTATTGGTCAACCGAAAGGCCTAGAGTAGTTCATGTTAGCATATATCCCTCGGAGGCAAAAGAATTGATCGGGGGTGAACTATCATACCATTTTAATCTTCATCAGTGCTTCATTGCAATCATCCAATAGATAGCGCGCCTTTCTACTATAGATGCGGACCACACCCAACAGCAACTGACCACTCAATCGCAGAGCCATGGGTGCTTGTCCTTGATCCACAATGGCACTCACGCTACTTTCGATATCCGATTGCAAGATGTGCGATTTGGAAAGCTTGCGCTCCAGGTTGGCCGACAGCCAAACGCGGGCCAGTGGCCCCGTCTTCGACAGAAGGGTCTCGGAATAGAACATGGTGGCCGAAGCGAGATTAAACGAACACGCAAAAAGGAACAAAAAATAAAAAAGAACAAGGAAGAATGAGAGCAACAACTATTCAAGAAAGTATCAGGTAAAACAGCCCGCCCGATGCGGGGTGGTGTGTGGCAGGAGGCCCTGGCAACGCAAGTTTGATGACGCGGTATTCCGACAACAAAAGGATCAGTATTTCGCCTCCCTACGGGTTCGTTTCGAGAGAGAACGGCGCGATCAAAACAAATGTCCAGAAGAGTCACTAGACAGTAACCTCCAGGCGATTACGTAGAGACGAATGCAGGCGTATCCACGGAGTTCGCAAGTCGGAAGGAAGGGGGGTGGTTGGGATCAACCAAGTTATGGAGGTTGGTGGGAGAAACAGCGAAAAGGGAGCGCGTCTGGCGGCGGAAGTTCCTGCATTATCTAATAATCAGGTGGTTGCCCAGCCGCAACGAGGAAAGCTGGGGCCTGCTGATTGGCTGTTGTCTCATCACGTGAAGTATCCTGACTGACTAAGACACAACAGATCACGGGGTGTATTAGGCCCAATTAGGACCGGGCGGATTAATATAGTCGCCGGTGCTAGTCTGCAAAAGGCAAAGCATCATCAGCAAAATGTCAGGTGTCCAGATCTCGATCTCCAAAGACATCACTTCTCTTCCTAAGACTCACGTCCTATTCATTCATTCATTCATTACATGGTTGCTCTCTGCTGATCCTCCTGAAGCCCATTGGGGTTATCATTGCCTTTTCGGTGTTCAGAGTGACCGTCCAGCCGGGGTCTCTCTCTAGACCCTCGCGGCAGGGCCTTGTTTCCACTTGCCTTAGTGTCCATCTTAGCTACTCAGTACTTAATCTTACTGATGCAGCTTCGCGTTTGAGAACGTGTCTACTGGCAGTCTCGCTCTCCCAACATTCTTGAATCCTTTTTCCCACCTCCCTCCTTTTTTATTTATTTATTTTTTTTTTTTTGGAAAATTCCCCCCTTCCCACCATTACGCTATTATCCCTTTTCGGACGGGATGATAACAGCTGTGAGCCGGATTTAACAGGTCCCTGGTTCGACAAAGCATGAGAGATGTCAAGGTCCGCAACGCCGGCACTACCTTTGCATAATGCCCAGGCCTCCGAGTTAAGACCTCCGTCCACAGCTACGCTGGGTGTGCGCTCCAATCCGTCGTCACCCTCGGTAAGTCTAGGAGCCTGGATCCCGCACCGTTCAAAATTGCCATCTTCGACGTTGTCGCTGACGTGAAGCGTCCTGAACAGACTTCAACCTCCACCTATGCACTATTAGACCCGCAAGAAACCGCAGAACGCCTACAAACCTCTCTTATTCATGGACTTACCCCGGCGGAAGCGGAGATACGCTTGATACGGGGTGGACCAAATGAATTGCCTCATGAAGAGCCGGAGCCCCTGTGGCTACGGTTTCTCAAGCAGTTTCGGGAGACTTTGATCCTACTTCTTCTGGCGTCGGCGGCAATTTCCTTTCTCATGGGCAACTATGATGACGCTGTCAGCATCACCCTCGCCGTTACTATCGTCGTTACCGTTGGGTTTGTCCAGGAATATCGGTCGGAAAAGTCCCTGGAGGCACTGAGCCGCCTAGTGCCGCATCATGCGCATCTGATCCGCCATGTTCCCCATTGGAACGCCCCTCCCTTGGACAATTCCATTCCTGCCGCCCCCGAGTCTGACGTGGAATTACAGGAGCTGAGTAGAAAGAGTCCAGCTTCTGCTTCGGCCGCCGTCAAGGCCTCCACCACTGTTCTTGCCACTGAATTAGTGCCGGGAGACATGGTTCTTTTCACCGTTGGGGACCGCATTCCGGCCGATATTAGAATCACTGCTGCTACTGACCTAACCATCGACGAATCGAATCTGACGGGGGAGAACGAACCGGTGGCTAAAATGGCCCACGCCATTCGGAGTCTAAAGGGTATCTCCACGAAACCTCCTCGGTCACCGTTTTACGATGCACCGGCCAGTGGTGCTGTGGGAGCTGATATCCGTTTAAATGAGCAACATAATATCGCCTTCATGGGCACCTTGGTCCGCTCAGGGTATGGCCAGGGAATTGTCATTGGCACCGGTGCAAGGACAGAATTTGGCAGCATTTCAGCATCGTTGCAGGAGATTGAAAGTCCAAGGACACCGCTACAGCTCTCAATGGACCGTCTGGGGCAAGAACTGAGCTACGTTTCTTTCGGCGTTATCGCTTTGATCGTGGTGATAGGGTTACTGCAAGGTCGGAAACTTCTCGAAATGTTCACCATTGGTGTTTCGCTCGCTGTTGCAGCAATTCCAGAAGGACTCCCAATCATTGTGACGGTCACCCTCGCTCTAGGTGTGCTGCGCATGGCTAAGAGAGGGGCCATCATGCGAAGGCTTCCAAGTGTCGAGACTCTGGGGTCCGTGAATGTGATCTGCAGTGACAAAACAGGAACCCTCACGCTCAACCATATGACTGTCACCAAAATGTGGCACTTCGATTGTCTCGAGCCATTTGAAGTGCACAACGATATCACTTCATTGGCACCAGGACCTGCAGCGCGAACGGTTTTGCGCGTTGGCAATATTGCCAATAATGCCAGGTTGTCACGCGTAAACGCAAACTCTCCTGCTAGTGCATCTTCTGCCGCCGTGCTGTCCTCCACTGACGATAGAGCTTCTGGATCCATCCGGAGCAGGTGGGTTGGTCAACCCACTGACGTTGCTATCCTCGATCTTTTAGACTCTTTCGGCGAAGACGACGTACGCGATCGGATTAGCGCTCGCGTCGCCGAGACTCCATTCAGCTCCGAACGCAAATGGATGGGCGTCATCATTGGAAATGGCACCTCCAGCGAGACCAATCATGTTGCTTATATTAAGGGAGCCCTAGAGCAGGTGCTGGCGCGCTGTGATACCTATTTAACCAAGGACGGTCGCGAAGTTATCTTAGATGAGCCACGACGCCAGACAGTTCGACAGGCAGCCGATCACATGGCATCGGAAGGCCTGAGAGTCCTGGCTTTCGCGAGTGGGGCAGTACGAGATTCATCCAAGGGAAGGCCATTTGGTAGCAGATCCGGCACACCCACTTCGAGAACCAGCCAGGGTGACGACGATGATCGGTATACCGGACTGGTCTTCTCTGGGCTCGTAGGAATGAACGATCCTCCCCGAAAGAATGTTCACAAGTCCATCCGGCGCCTAATGGCCGGGGGAGTGCGAGTCATTATGATCACTGGAGATGCAGAGACCACAGCCGTTGCCATTGCCAAGAAGCTCGGGATGCCCGTCAGTGACGTTCCGGGTTCTCGGTCTGTCCTCAGTGGGGAGAGCATCGATCGCATGAGCACGGAGGAGCTCACGCAAGCCATATCCTCCGTTTCAATTTTTGCACGCACCAGTCCGGAGCACAAGATGAAGATCGTGCGTGCACTGCAGGCCCGAGGCGACGTAGTGGCCATGACGGGGGATGGTGTGAATGATGCACCGGCGCTGAAGAAAGCAGACATTGGCATTTCCATGGGCAAACTAGGCACTGATGTTGCCAAGGAGGCCGCAGACATGATCTTGACCGACGACGACTTTTCGACTATACTCCGCGCCATTGAACAGGGCAAGGGGATATTCTATAATATTCAGAACTTTATTACATTCCAGCTCAGCACCAGTGTTGCCGCCTTGAGTCTTGTGTTGTTGAGTACCGCTCTCGGATTCAAGAACCCGCTCAATGCCATGCAAATTCTTTGGATCAGTGAGTCTTGATATTGTTGATACATTTTTCCGATCTCCAGTTACTAACACATGCGTCCCTAGATATTCTCATGGACGGCCCTCCGGCCCAGTCCTTGGGCGTGGAGCCAGTTGATCCGTCTATCATGGGCCGGCCTCCGCGGCCCAGGACGGCGCGGGTGCTTACCAAACCGCTCATTCAACGGGTGGTTACTTCAGCTTTGACGATTATGCTGGGTACTCTTGCCATCTATGTTTACGAGATGGGCGATATCGATGACGGGGTTATGCCAGGCAAGCGGACCCGGGTGGTAACGGCGCATGATACGACCATGACATTTACCTGCTTCGTGCTCTTTGACATGTTCAATGCGCTGGCCTGCCGCAGCGAGGGCAAGTCGGTGCTCCGCGGGGAGATTTCTCTGTTTGGAAACAAGATGTTCAATTACGCGGTGTTCGGGTCTCTTGCCGGACAAGCGTGTGTCATCTACCTTCCCTTCCTGCAACGAATCTTCCAGACCGAAGCCCTCAATCTGGCGCATTTGTTAAAGCTGCTGTGCATTTCGAGCACGGTGTTTTGGGTAGACGAGGCCCGGAAATTCTACCAGATGATGAAACGGCGGAGGGCTGTGGGGGCGGGATATAGTGTGAATGTTTAATTATCTGTGTTTTGGTGAAAGATCTTGGTTTTGATATAGATTCGTATATACACATTGAGGTGCGGGGTATAATTAGATAGAACGATGTCTTTGTCGGCATCTGTACCTGAGGGTCAGTAGGCAACTAGAAACAGTAGAGCTTGTAGAAAGACCTTGTTAAATTAGTTCTATACTGATATTAGCAATAAACTCTGCAATTTCTTTGACAGGGCCCTTAACGTTCACCACTGACTCTAAGCGAGTTCTATTTTGGTATTATCAGAGATAGATACGGAGTACAGTAGATACTAGTGGCAGATGGACTTGGCGGAGTTCCACTACATGAGTTATGGGGTAGTCACAAGTTGAAAGAACTAATTATAAAATCCTTAGGTATACAGAGTATTGTTGGAGAGACAGACCGTTGTGGTCTCTACATTCTACAATCTGTTCTTCACGTACTAGGTACAGGCTTACCTTGGATGTACTGCTACTTGGCCCCATGCATCCTTATAGAGTACTCCCTGGTACTCCATATTCCGCAAGCTTAGCAGCTGCCAAGACAGCCAGACCATGCCGATGAAAGCATCCCGAGGCCGATTTCGGGGGGGCAAGGAGCAATGCGGAATTCCCTGAAAGTCCCGAAATCGACGCGGGAGAATCAGGGAGGAGGTGATTGGACCATCTGAACGTTATCAGTATCATGGAGATCGCAGAGGCTGAACTAGACCGGATCCGGGGAGTCGGGCCCACTTGGTGGCCGGTGGCGCCCAGGGCCTTATCGGGACCTCACAGCCAATCGTTCGGGCGATATCGATGAGCTCAGAGAAATGATGGATGATAAGGGCTGCATTCTTCTTCCGGAAGTAATAGTGTCACCCCCCAGTCTTGGGGTTATCATCTATCTCGGCTGCTAGAGATAGTAGATTCGAATCTCCGGGGGGGAGCAGATGAGACGTAGATTTAAATACAGGTGCAGAACCCTTCTATCTAGTGCGAGAGGGGAAGAAAATGGATCCAGCAGATACCCATCCCCCATGAAACTTTCCACCATGTCTCCCCCTCTTCACTTCTAAGGAGTTCAATTTCGGTTCCGCATGCGGTCTTGGCCCGGATGGGGAATGGAGAAACCATACACAATGGGCAGTGGTGACGATACGAGGGACTTTCTCTCGACAACTCTTTGATTGGCAGGGGAGAGATGTAGTTTGTTTTATTCGATTTGATTTTTCACGTCCTGTTATCTATTATTTTTTTTATTAGTATTATTATTACTTATCGTCTTTTTTCCCCCCCTCCTGCGCCCTTTCGTCCAGCATTCTTCTGCCCCGATCGATTATCGTTCCTTCTCGGAGTCGACTCTCGTACTCCGTGACTAAGTCCCTTACCTAGATTTACCTCCTACTCCCTGGTGTTTCTTTATATACTGTCTGGACCCTACCCCGTACACTGCGGTTTTTTTCTCCACACGCCGACGACCTTATTTTCTCCCTCCCGACATTCCCCTTTCCGAGCCAGGAATAGCAGGGTATCGCGGACCACATAACTTCTGCTGCCTTTGACCTCTCTTCCCGCCTGATCTACGCGTCTCCGCGCCTGTTGACGTTGACATTGCGGGACCAGAGCTCTGATTGTGCCTACGACCATTGTCTTCACCCGAATCGACTTCCATTGTCGCTATGGCATCAGAAGGGAAAGCCCCCTTCGCTCCAGACTATGCTTCCTACAACTGGACGGGTGCCCCCTCTAACTATGATCAGCTGGCAACCAACGACATAGGAGGAGATTCAAGTACGTGTTGGCATTGGAGTATTTGTGCAGCATGCCAAAATTCCCCCAGACTAACGGTTGCTTCCCTCTAGGAATGGAAAATCTGAACAAATGGTTCCAACCGGGGGATCAGGCATACATCATTGTGGCCTCCGCCATGGTCATGGTCATGATTCCCGGTCTCGGTTTCCTATACTCCGGTCTTGCTCGTCGAAAATCCGCCCTCAGTATGATCTGGGCCTGCATGGCCTCTCTGTCCGTCGTCACGTTCCAATGGTACTTCTGGGGTTACTCGCTCGCTTTCTCTCCTACCGCAACCAACGGGTACATCGGCAACCTTCGTAATTTCGGGTTGATGAAGACTCTGGCGGATCCAAGCCCCGGTTCTCCCCTAGTGCCGAACCTTCTGTATGCTTTCTACCAGGTATGGGCTATCGAAAGGATATGAATTCCTGTCCCTCCTGGCCCTCGCTAACGTCACGCCCTTTTAGATGCAATTCTGCGCAGTGACGGCAGCGATTATCATGGGAGCGGTCGCGGAACGTGGACGCCTGCTTCCCGCCATGGTGTTCGTCTTCATCTGGGCTACAATTGTCTATTGCCCCCTTGCCTGCTGGACCTGGAGTAAGAACGGCTGGGCCGTCAAATTCGGTGTGCTAGATTATGCCGGTGGTGGGCCAGTCGAAATCGGGTCCGGTTTATCTGCCCTGGCCTACTCGATGGTCCTGGGTCGCCGCCAGGAACGTATGATGCTGAATTTCCGCCCGCACAACGTCTCCCTCATTCTCCTGGGCACCGTTTTCCTCTGGTTTGGATGGCTGGGATTCAACGGTGGTTCGGCCTTTGGTGCTAACCTCCGTGCCGTCATCGCTTGCTGGAACACGAATTTGACTGCGGCCTTTGCCTCCATCAGCTGGGTGGTTCTCGATTGGCGTTTGGCTCGGAAATGGTCCATGGTCGGCTGGTGCTCTGGGACAATCTCTGGTCTAGTCGCGGCGACTCCAGCATCCGGCTTTATCACTCCCTGGGCGAGTGTCATCCTTGGTATCGTGACGGGAATTGTATGCAACTATGCAACCAAGGGTACGCTCTAACAATGTGATTCAAGATTGTGCATGGATCGATTGACTAACCCTCACTTCTAGTGAAATACTGGATCCGGATAGATGACTCGATGGATGTGTTTGCTGAGCACGGTGTCGCTGGCATTGTCGGCCTGATCTTTAACGCCCTTTTCGCGGACGACGCAGTGGTTGGTCTGGACGGAGTGAACACCGGGAGTGGGAGCGGTGGATGGGTGATCCACAACTATAAGCAACTCTATATTCAAATCGCCTTCATTTGCGCCGCCAGCGCCTATTCGTTCGTCGTATCCGCTATCATTGCATACGCTATCAATGCCATCCCCGGCTTGAAGCTCCGGGCATCTGAGGAGGCCGAACTGCTGGGCATGGATGATGACCAACTGGGCGAATTCGCCTACGACTATGTCGAAGTCCGCCGCGACTACCTCGCCTGGACGCCGCAGAAACACGACCAACTCGAGGATGGGCATCACATCCCTGCAGCGGCGCGGTACGGGATAGGCGAGCACAGCGAAATGATGTTGGATGGACAACCCCCCGCAGGTATCGATAGTCGTGGCTGCAGCGAAGGCGATTCTGGCATTCAAGAAATCAAGATGGCTCCGACACCACAACACCCGACGGAGGAAGAGACCGCCCAGCCTATGTCTGAAAAGACGCAGTCATGATCATTTCCTTTTTTCACCTTCCCTTTTCGTATTGTGCCTTTTTTTTTTCTTTTTTTGAAATACCCAGCGTTTCTTTGGTCTTCGTTTGGCTGAGCCACCTTTCTTAATATATTATCTTATACCTGTCTGTCTTTCTGGGTTTGCTTGGGATAGGAGTTGTTTTCCTTATCCTTTCGGCTGTCGACGGGATTGTATATAGTCGCTTCTCGGTGGGGGATTATTTTTCGGTTTAGGATTTTCAGATACCACGTGCATAGATTGAAGGCTCATTCCTCTTAACTATTTGGTTTACATTCTATCGTAGGGCTAGAATTTGGAATCTGTAACTTTTGTTTCCTATCGCCTGTGATAGGGGTTATCGCGCAGATATATATGTACGTGTTATAGAAAGATATATATGTACGTGCTATAGTGCTATAGAAAGATCTATCGATACTCAAATTTACAATGCGATATATTCCTTCTTTTCTTCACTGCTCGCCATATCGTCGCACCATCGCCCGGATCCGCGTTCGCTCCTCCCGGCTCAGTTTATCCACCACCTCGGCGGTTTCCCCTCCTCGCACGGCATCTTCCCATTCGTCCTCGTCCATCCCCATCACCAAAGCCATCTGCGTACACCGTGCGAAGGCCTCGCGATGTCGGTATCGTCCCGGCGCACCGTACGTGCCACCAATGTCCACCGCGGCGCTGACCACCCCCGATACGTCCCGCTCGAGTCGCGTGGCTCCCAGAGCATTGATCCGGCCGTGGTACGACCACAGTCGTTTCTCTAACAGTCGGGCCAGGTACGCCACCGTGACAGTCAGCAGACGGTCGAAGGCCGACGTGGTGAGGATACGACATAGCGGGAGGAGAAGTTCGGTCCAGCTGGCGGCGAAGCGCGGACGGACGAGTTCGGCCCGCGTCGTGGCGTCGTCGTCTGCGTCCTCCTCGGGGTGGTCGTACTCGGAATATGCAGCGCTGGTGGGGTCACTGTCATCCCCCGGTTGGTATTCAATGTCACGGAATGCGTCGGCGAGGATGGGTCGCAGACGCTGCTTGACCACATTGTTGAAGACGACCTGGATGCCATCGGACAGCAGATCGGTGACCTTGGATTCGAAGGAGGAGGAAAACGTCTGCAGCGTCTGTGCCGTGAGGGCCGCCTCGGCAGGAATTGGGAACAGGGAGCGCAGTGGATCGGTGTCCTCTATCTCACCGTCGGGGCTCGCTGTCTTCTTCGTTTCGGTATTGTTCTGCACGATGCGCCGGACGTAGTCGACGGCCACATCCAGATTGTTGATCAAGACCAGAAAGGAGATGACCATATGTTCCGGCGGCTGGCCTCCCTGGACGGAAGCTCGCGGGTAGCATTCATCGCGCATTTTCCTCTGCGTCATGCCGATAAAGTCGGACCCCAGAACCCGGGACAGCGTGGGGACTACATTGGTGACCACGGCGATTTGCGAGGTCGCCAGTGATTGCTGCAAGACCTTGTTCACTATGTACATGATATCATCGACCGCAGAGGTGATATGGGGCGGATCAGCCTTCAAGGGGTTCTGCGGGTTCAGTGTCAGGCCGGAAGGTTGCTCATCCAGCTGGAAGGCCTTCTCGACCGATCGTCGGAAGAAAAAGGTCGTCATGGCGTTAAAGGGGGCAACTAGTCGGTCATTAATCTTCTTCATCAGAGCAGACTCTTGCAGGAATCGAGGCCGTGTAGTTTGATTGTCGTCTCCCGGGGCCTTTCAGCTTGTCAGCGCACTGGAAATTATGGAGAGAAGCAAGGAGGACTTACATTGCATGTGTCAGCCAAGAATCGACAGTACAGTGACCAACGGCCAAGCATTACGGCCATTTCATTCAGGAGTCCATCAATTTCCTTCATATCCACGCCGTCATCCTCGGCCGTCCCCGAGGCACTATCCCGGGTGGCCGGGGAGTTGGAGCGAGGCGTAGCGCTCCGCTGGGCAGGTAGGAAGCTCTGCACCAGGAAAGTAAATGCGTATGATTTTATATCCGTCAGTCTGCGGTCTACATGTCTTTCGTCGCTCCAGGTGTCCAGGATGATCCCACCCTGGACATCCGCCTCGAGCTGCAAACGCTCAATAACACGGTTCATCTTCCTGGGGCCATAATGTCGCTCCACCAACCCCCCGTGGCCATCGATTATTTGGGCGATATGCTCGAATAACTTGGTCAGGGCATTGGCGTAGAAGAAGCCATCTTTGGCCTGAGCAGTGGTTCCGGCATTGAGATTGCCTCGAGCCCGGGACGCCACTCCCTGACAGACGTAACGGCCATAGACGTCGAGCCCAACCTCGGAGCGACCGATCAAGGGAAACAGCTTGAAGAAGCGGGTGATCTTAGCGCCATTGGCCTCCTTGACGGCCTTGTCGAACTCGCGCAAGAACAGGCCACAGAGCGACTCGGCCGCACTATCAAGAGTAACATTTGGCGGATCCGGCACCTCGGCCGTGGGCACCATCTCGGCCGCGAAGGAGCCATGGATCACGTCGGACGGAATCTTGGAGGCGCGGTTCAAGTAACTGGCGGCGGTTTCCCAGTCCTGGGGCGCCCCCATGGAGCCCGCCACCCCCAGGACGCAGGCCTTGAGCTCCGAGACCTGTTCCACCACCTCCAATGTGGCCTTTACCCGGGATTGTTCCAAGTCCAAGCGGCGGACGGCGCTCGAGATACGATCCGCGGTTTCAGCGGCGGAGGAGAGCATGCCATGGCTGAGAGAGCGGGTGGTGCTGGTCTGGGAGCCCAAGTTGGCCCGCAGCAGGTCCAATCGGCCTAGCTCGCGTGAGAAATCCTTCTGAGAGGCTACGAGAGCATCTAGACGGGCGGTCACGGAGGCTTCCTGTTGGTGTAGGTGGGACAAAGTGGACTTGATCTCGGCGACAGAGCTAGCGTTGAAAACATCCGGGGCGGGATGCACAGCGGAGGCAGATGACGGGATTATGACATGTCCATTGACGGGGGTAGAGTTGGACATTGTCCACTGAGGGGGAAGGGAAGAAGCGCGATCAACGTGAAGAGATAAGCAAGAGAGAAAGAAAGTGAGGCGATTCGAGGAAGAAGCGGCAAGCTGGCGAGTTGCTGGAAGAGGCAGGCGGTGGACACCAACGAGAGAGTAGAGTAAGAGACCTTTCTTTCTTTGTATATCTCTCATTGTATATCTCTTTTCTCTTTATCTCTTGTCTCTTTCATTATCTATTCTCTCTCTTTCTCATCATTTCTCATTGTCTTCTATATTGGTATGACAGACACCTCAGGCACCAACTACCATTTTCGGCAATCCCGATCGACGTCATCCGCGTTTTCTGTCGTTCTTCCTGCGCGATTTCCAACTCGACTGGTCTCAATTGCCTTGGTGTCTTGTCATTAATACTATTAATATATTCAACTCTGCCTAGAATATCACCCTCTCCCCCCTACAACCTCGATAATCTCCAGAACCGCCAGCATTGGTCGTCGTTGACGACCCGACCTCGATCCGGCCGACTGCCTCGCAAAATGGGCAACGAATCCTCCACGCTGATAGACGATGCGACGCCTCCATCCGCTCTGGAGGCTCGCACTCTGGAGGCAGTGGCCAAGTACATCCGCGAAAAAGATGTGCGACGGATTGTGGTGATGGTATGTATATATAGATTTTTTCCCCCTTCTGCTGTTCAAATGCTTACCAAGGCATGCAATGGATATAGGTGGGCGCAGGTATCAGCACCTCAGCGGGAATCCCCGATTTTCGTTCGCCAGACACCGGTATCTATGCCAATCTGGCTTTTCTGGACCTGCCCGATCCCGAAGCCGTGTTCGATATCAGCTTCTTCAGAGAAAACCCGCAGCCTTTCTACGCCCTGGCGCGGGAGTTGGCGCCGGGCCGGTATCGACCAACCATTGCGCATTCGTTGGTCAAGTTGCTCTACGAAAAGGGGCTGTTACTAAAACACTTTACCCAGAACATTGACTGCCTGGAACGGTTGGCGGGGGTACCCGGTGAGATGATTGTGGAAGCTCATGGAAGCTTCGCGAGTCAACACTGCATCGACTGTCGTGCCGAGTATCCCGAAAACCTGATGAAGGAGGCCATTGGCAAGGGTGAAGTCCCGTACTGCTCCCAATGCAACGGCCTCGTCAAGCCTGACATCGTCTTCTTTGGCGAATCGCTGCCCGAGGACTTTTTCATTAACCGGACGCTGCCCGAAGAGGCAGACCTCTGTATCGTCATGGGAACGAGTCTTTCCGTGCAACCTTTCGCCAGTCTCCCCTCATTCTGTCGGGATGGCATCCCCCGCATCCTGATCAACATGGAACAGGTCGGGGGATTGGGATCCCGTGCCGACGACATTTTGATCCTGGGGGATTGCGATGCGGGGGTACGGAAATTTGCTCGCGCTCTGGGTTGGGAGCAAGAACTCGAACTCCTCTGGAAGTCAACAAATCCGGATCCGGATCAAGGCTCCCGGGAGGCGGAGACAGCGTCGCTGAAAACCAGGGACGAGGGATTCCGAGACGAAGTGGAGCGTCTGACGGAGGAGATAGACCGGACACTGGGGATCTCTGATACATACCAACAACGGGTGCGACGGCAGCTGAACGGGTCAGAGGAGTCGGAGAAGAAACGGTTCTCAGAGACAGCAGTAGAAACGGTGTCGAGCATGGGGGGATTGGCGCATGTATTCCCTCATCTGGTACGACGACCGAAATCTTCGGATATAGACTGATAGATAGATAGATGACAGGAGAATGGCGTTGTGGGGGGTTTGGGGGGAGGGGGGCTGGTTATTATTATGATTGTTCTTATTTCTTGTTCCTTAAAATATGCACGTAAATCATCGCATGCCCAAACAAGGCCCGGTGAGGGAATCCACAGCGGGGCCGATAGTAGTTGACTAGTTCATTAGTGAGTGACTCGCCCCACGCCTGATATCATCCACTTTTCCTCCCTCGTCGTTCGTCTTTCTTTTCTCTCCATCTATTCTTCTCCCTCCCCAATTCTTTTCCTCTTTGTGCATTTCTTATCCTCTGACTCGTCACCATGGTTGGAATCGGTCCTAAACGTCCTCCATCCCGCAAGGGTAAGCTGACATTTTCATCATCACCATCGTCATTAGCTTATGGTTCTCACGACAGGTTCGAGACACGAATTGCCCCAGAACCTCCTGAAACAGATCAAGGAGCTGGAAGATATCTTCACGGTCGATCGGGCCAAATTGAAGCAGATCGTGGACCACTTTGTCAAGGAACTGGAGAAGGGTAGGTGATCTGACCGGATCTTCTGTCCAACGAGGCGGTCAAGACGAGCGAATGCTGACGAACCTCTATTAGGCCTCACCGTCGAGGGGGGGAACATTGTAAGTGATATCATATCTATATAGATACGACATAGATATATAGATGCTGATGATTAAGCCCATGAATGTCACCTGGGTCATGGGATTCCCTGACGGCAACGAACAGGGTACATTCCTGGCTTTGGACATGGGTGGCACCAACCTACGAGTCTGTGAGATCACTTTGACCGACGAGAAGGGCGCCTTCGACATCACCCAGTCCAAGTACCGCATGCCCGAGGAATTGAAGACCGGAACCGCCGAGGAGCTCTGGGAGTACGTCGCCGACTGTATCCAACAGTTCATCGAGTACCACCATGAGAATGAAGACCTCGCCAGTCTGCCCTTGGGTTTCACCTTCTCCTACCCGGCCACTCAGGAGTACATCGACCATGGCGTCCTGCAGCGCTGGACCAAGGGATTCGACATCGACGGCGTCGAGGGCCATGACGTGGTTCCCCCCTTGGAGGAGGCCCTCCAGAAACGAGTATGGTTTGGCTGGACAGAGTGACATAGCTACGCATGACTACTAACGACCGTTGCTTTTTTTTTTCAGGGCCTCCCCATCAAAACCGCGGCGCTGATTAACGACACCACCGGAACCCTTATTGCCTCGTCCTACACCGATTCGGACATGAAGATCGGCTGCATCTTCGGCACGGGTGTCAACGCAGCCTACATGGAGGATGTCGGTTCGGTGCCCAAGCTGGCCCACGTGAACCTGCCCCCGGATATGCCGGTGGCCATCAACTGCGAGTATGGCGCGTTTGACAACGAGCACGTCGTCCTGCCGCTGACCAAATACGACCACATCATCGACCGTGACTCCCCCCGTCCCGGCCAGCAGGCATTCGAGAAGATGACGGCCGGCCTCTACCTGGGCGAGATCTTCCGCCTCGTCCTCCTGGACTTCGTGGAGAGTCGACCGGGCCTGATGTTCAAGGACCAGGATACTTCCCAGCTGCGGAAGCCGTACCTTTTGGACGCGTCGTTCCTGTCCGCTATCGAGGAGGACCCGTACGAGAACCTGCAGGAAACCCGGGAGCTGATGGAGCGGCGACTGAACATCCTGGCCACCCAAGCCGAGCTGGAACTGATCCGGCGTTTGGCCGAGCTGATCGGCACGCGTGCAGCGCGCCTGTCGGCATGCGGAGTGGCGGCCATCTGCAAGAAGAAGAACATCCAGTCGTGCCACGTGGGTGCCGACGGCTCGGTCTTCACCAAGTACCCTCACTTCAAGGCCCGTGGGGCACAGGCCCTGCGGGAGATCCTCGACTGGATGCCGACGGAGAAGGACAAGGTATCCATCCTGGCGGCCGAGGATGGATCCGGTGTGGGAGCCGCACTGATTGCGGCCTTAACCCTGAAGCGTGTCAAGACGGGTAACCTAGCGGGTATCCGAAACAGGGATGCCATGCAAAAGTTGCTGTAGAGATGATGGGATGAATGAATGAATGAGCCTTGATATCTTGGCAGGATTTTCTGATTTTGGGTGTTTATGGGGACATAATATATATATACACGCCGCGTCTTTGGAGTCTAAGGAACGGTGATATACAAAAAACATGCAACTAGGATTTTGACAACTGACATTTGACCCTGGACCCGTTCATTGAGATGATCACCGTGATGATATTGATAGCGTAGCCAGACAACAATATTGCCCCTAGAAACGAAGGAATGCAGGAGGATCATCTGGTAGAACCATACGATCTGCACACGCAGGTATGTAGGGATGAGTCGTCTCACTCCAGGCGGTCGCAAAATCGCGCCTTTCCATATTATGCAAGTGACTCGGTCTTCCTCGAGTTAAAGGTGTATATATCCATGATATATATATATAGGACACGACAGTGGTGGTTTACCCCGTGACATTCTGTATACAATTTATACAAACAACCCGTCAGCACTGTTGTACAACACCCTCAAACCATTCAGTCACCCTCTGAATATTACTTAAATCCTGCACAATGAAACTCTCTCCCCTCCTTATTGGCACAGCCCTCGGCACAATGGCTATCCCACGGGGTGCCCATCACGCGCGCGACGACAGCGCTCCTCCTATCGGTGCAATTGACAACATTAATGGCGATGCAACTCCTACCAGCACGACCACGACTCCCTTGGCGAGTAGCAAACCAACTCCTACTCCTGAGGCACCGGAACTGGTATGTATATCATTGTTCCTCGGATATCGAAACAAATAAACAAAAAATAAATAAATGAATGAGAGACTAACAACAACAATAGATAAATCACTTTCTTTCCTCGGTAAGCTCGGCATTCCTGGACTCCCTAATTATTCCCTTGTGAACAGGCAAGCATGGATCAGAGAACTAATCGATACCTTGATCATGTGGGGGGAGTATTTAGGTCTCAGGACTTTTGGATGCAGTGAGCTTTCCCTCTCTTTTTGTATTCTTTTATTTTATTTTTGGTTCCCTGATTCTGATAAAATGATAGCTTGGAGCCTTCGTCGAGGCCTAAAACAGCAAATCAGGTTATTCTGCTGATAAAGAATAATTTATACAAAGACAACCTAAAGGCTATCGATCTTTTAAACATTATTCTGTTCTGCTGCTTTTATGTATCTCATAAGGGGGGACCACTTCGGATTTCTTGAATATTTGTGTCGAGAGGTAATTAATACATTGCTACCCTGCCAAAACTGAGCTTTGTCTTTCATATAACTTGATGTCCTTCACGTGTTAGTTACATATATTTGGCTTTCTACTATATCTACTATCTCCTGGGAATCTATGTATCTATCTTTATCCCTGAATCTCCCACAATCTGATTCGTCCCTGTTCATTGCCCACGGCCAACTGCTCCGAATTGGGCGACACTGCAACAGCTGAAATCCGTCCCAAAGGCGTGTTGGATGTCGGCCAGTTACGGTACACAGTGCATGTGGGAAGGTGAACTGTAGACTGTCAGACTTGTCCTGGAGACGATACAGGTCGTCATGGGTAGGAACTTACCGATTCTCAATGCGTCACGCTTCCATCGACTCGCCATCACAAAGAATTGTCCATCGGGTGCGAATACTAAATGACTGATCGGCGTTACAAGCTGGCCCAGCGCACGCACCGGTTCTGGGTTTCGTGGAATCGCCGACGAGGGATCACTTGCGTAGGCCGCTGCCCACGGGCGTCGGTCGTAGACATTAACCACTCCACTGGAGCTCCCAATCACGACCCAGCGGTCGCCTCCTAGCTGGGTTCGTCCCGATCGTCCCCCCAGGCTGAGCACTGTAGTGCCCACTGCACCTGCATCCACCCACCGGGCCACAACCTGCATCAGTCGCCCATCCCATTCGGACACTTCGCCATTCTTGCTGACAACCGTCATGCCCTCGCCGTCACTCCACCAGGCGAAGTCGGCAACTCCACCTTTGCCGTCTACACGGACCTGCGCGACCCATTGTGCCGTCCCCGAATCAAGCACGTTGATGAGACCGCCGCCCTTGCGCGACGTGCCGACAAGCCCAACATACCGTCCGCAGGGGGAGAGCTTGAATCGCTCCATGGATTTCTGTTCTTCTTTTCGGTCCGCGGTTCCATTGACCTTGTCGACCTTGCCCGTGTCCAGGTCCCAGATGTGGAAATATCGTCGGCGACCAGAGGCAAAGATCTTATTGCCAGTGGGAGGCGCAAACGCGGAGGTGTGGATGGGTGTGCAGCGGATATGGAACGACGTGAGAAGGGGGTTAGGCGCCGGGGATGAGGGGGAGATATGGTGAAGGAAAAGCGTCGCGGCAGGTCCCGACGACAGGAGCAACGGGTAATGGGGATGGAAAGAAAGAGAGTCGATCGCAGACTGACCAATTTTTCAATTTTCGTTAGCATTTTGGGTATCTTGTAAGGTTCTAAAGCTAGTATCGTACTCACCGGCTGGTCTTTCCCGACATCCTTCAATCTCTGAATACCCAGAACTTCCTGGCGCAACTTTCTCTTCCCACCCGGTAGTGACTTATCCTCGAGCTTAGTGAGGTCGGCGCTTTGAAGTAATTTCGCCAGAGGCTGCGTGGAACCTTGCCCTTCGTCATCTGTATCCATTCCGTCCGCGTCAGAATCGCCGTTAGCATCCTTCACACTTGACTCGGGGTTCGCCCATTCGGGTGTAGGATGCAGTTGTTGGTACTGCCTGCGAAGTCGCCGGATATACTCCTTGCCGCTGATCACATCTTCCGACTCGGCAACACGCAGCTTCCTCAGTCTCTGGTGGCTCGCTAGTGAAATTGTAAGGCGTTCATCGTCGCTATCATGCCACGCTGCTGGCATTTTATCCGCCTCCTCATCATCATCGTCCTCGGCATCTGATGGTAGCTCAGGAGACTCGGTAATATCCCCAGAAACGGGGCCTGCTCCTGAATCGAGGAAGAAGAGCTGGACTGTGTTAGCAAGGCCGATAATGCTGGAGTGTGGGAATTGCTACGAACATCGGCGTCATCCACATCACTCAGGTCTTTATATTCTCCTCCTTTATCACCCCCCTCCTCGTCAATACTCTCCTCATCACTCATGGCCGCGAGCGCCGCCAAACTGCGATTTTGATGGCTTCTCAATGCGCCGTGGAATCCCTCATCGTCGCCGAAAAGCATTCTCTCTAACTTCAGCTCGGTCTCGTCCTTCTCAGGAACATCCTCATCGCCATTTTTACGACTAGGCTTTATGCTCTCAAAAGGCGTGTGTGAACTGGGGTTCGCCTTTTGGCGAGTCTTCTGCTTCATGGTTGATTTGGGCATTGCAAGTGCCTTTCCCTGTTTTTAAAATGGAGTCAAAATAGCAAACAAAATATAAACAGAGAGATACTCTGTTGATGCAGGAAAAATAAAAAATAAAACAAAAACAAATGGAGTGGTTCAGGGAATAAGAGGCCCTCGAAGTTTACGTCGCAGAAAAGAATCGGCAACAATAATAATTTTCTGCGTTCAGCCGGCAGAAGCGGGCGGTGGGCTCTGCGGTGGACAGTGGTGCCTTAGCGTAGCGTAAGGAAGGACCTCAGGCAGCTGAGCGACCTCTAGTCCCTTGCAGCCTACAGCTAGGGAATAATCAATTCTATGACACTGATAGGGGCTGTTTATCTTGTTTGATAAATCGAGACTTGTGTAGACAAAAATAAATGGTATACTAAAAACACATCGATATCTTTGTACGAACACCATAACCTGCCCGGCAGCCTAACTCCAAAAAACATAGCACCGCTGAAAGTAACAGCTATTTTTATGGGTCTCTTTGCTGTGCCGTAAGCCTCATAGACGATGAAATCAGATCATCTTCAACAAAACTGTTGTTATTCGTGCCGATCGAAGCTGACGACCCGGAGCTGCTTTCGCCGCGAATTGTCGGATACTCAGTAGCGTCGAATTGCGTCAAAGCCTCCTTCACTCGTGGAGGGCTTTCTATACCGTTTCCAACGTCCTTCCCCACAGTTCCATCTTCGGACACCAACGTTCCATCATCTTCTAAACCAGCCAACAGCGCGTGACGATGGTCATGATCATCATCTAAACAGTCTCCGTCCCGGCCCTCTTCCTCCAGCAACTGATGTGAAGGTTTCTTGATGAACGTGTCAATGATGTAGTACTGAATCGCGTTCATGATAACGGGAAAAAGAAGCATAACGAAGAATATTTGGACAGCCGCATTGCCTTCCGTCCATCGCAGAGCCCAATCACCAACTTTGACAATGAATGGCACTAGCTGTATTAGGAAAAAGACACATATTTTCATTCCCAGAAGGCCGATAAAGTATATCACGGATTGCTTGAACCACCAGGCAGCACGAGGTGGACGGCCATAGTTTCCCGACAATATAGATTCGGGGGGGTTTGCTAGTGGAGTATACATGGCTAGGCGGTTTAGGACGTGAAGTATGAAAATGAGAATCGGAATACCAAGTGTAGTCTAAAGATGACAATACATTAGCCAGCGGTTCGGCAATGCGTTCACGGAGGAAAACTCTCGGAGCTCACATCGATGCCCAGATTCAACAAATAAAAAGAGCAGGGGTTCGGTTTGTAGTCGCTGGTAATTTCCAGCTGGCCAGCAGAAAACATGGACATGAGTAGGTTCGCGAGATGAAGCATTGCTGATCCAAAGACTTGCTTTGAGACATCGAAGGCCCAGACCTTGACAGGTCGCTGAGGTCTCTCCCTCCATCTTTTATAGACCAGGGACAGTAGTGCCAGTGCCCCAAGCGCGGCCTGCACGAGAAGTGAGAAAGGACCGAGGAGCCTACATTCTCCGCTGTCATCCGCGTCCCTTGAGGGGTCTGGGCCTGCCAGAGGGTAGTGTATGGACTGGGAAGATGGCGATGGTGATGGGGTCGCGAGGACACTAGAGGTCGAGCTCAAGTCAAGGGCTGAAGCGCCACTAATGAGCCCTGCGACGATGACGATTGCTGTGGCCATCGAAAGGCGCGACAAAGTGGTCGACATAGCGGGATGAACTGCGTCTGCTTCCGGGAGAAAGATGAGGAGAGGAGATAGGAAAACAAGTCGGAACGTCAATCAGCTTGCAAGTGTCATCAACGGCTATAAGGCGGCAGCAGCGACAGCGATACGAGACGAGACGAGGTGTAAGCAATCACGGCAAGGCAACTAGTGGAAACCGGAACAGGTACAGTGTACGGACGAAAATCCGTAGTCAGATCAAATAGAACCAACTTTGACGTGCACGGGAGTCCAAGTCGGAATGCTCCTTTGCCAGCAAGGAGCCTGAACCAGCCAGGTACGGTGGGTTTCAGTCATCAGTTGTAGGGAGCAAAATGAGGTGCCAGGTCGAGACAACGGCCCCCGCAAGTGGGCGGAGCAGGGCCACTAGTTCGGCCGTTAGTCAGCTCGACACTGGGCAGTGTGGCTGAAGCTAACTCTTTACTAGGCTCTCTACTCCGTACTGAAGAATCAATCCCCTTCCACTGGCGATAATTAGAGCATGGCTACGGATGAATACTGAATATTCTTGCGACAGAGAACTAATCCCAGAAAGTCAAGTTCTATTTTCCAGCGCCCAAAGTTTTGTAGCATCTAGGCTATGGATCGACAATATCCATAATCATCCACTACCACTCCTTCACTGTATCCAAAGCCCATCCTAGATCATAAGTCTCTCAACCTTGTCCTTGATGGTCCTGATCTGTCCCATAAGATCACTGGCCTCATTGGTTGTGATCGCGACCGAAACGACAGCGCGTGAAACACCGGCAGCGCGCCCCAACGCCAACTTGCTCGGCACGAAAACATACGCGGTGTTCTTGTCTTCAGCAAGAAGAGGCAAATGCAAGAGGATAGCCAGAGGGCTACAGTCGGCGGCAAGAATAATAAGCTCGGCAGTACCGCGATTGAGGGTCTTGGTGGCTACACAAAAGTTAATAAGAGGACTCGTCATTTTCAAGAAAAATACATGCCTTCGTTCGCACCCTTCTTCAACTGACGGTAATGAGAGGCCTGCTGCACGAGGTCCAGAATATTCTGGGTCAGGCTCTCATCGGCCAAAGGCCAGGCTACAAAAAGACGTCAGTATCCCATAACGCTTGAACTGAGGACCTTTTTGGCTTACCGGCATTGGGCTCTCCGGACATGATGTTGCACAAGATATTAGGGTGCGAGTAATAGAGAGAGAGAAAAAAAAGTGGCTCACGCAAAGGATCACTGCCGTATTGCAGATCAGAATAGTATGATTTGAAGAAAGGAAAATGCTCCCGGTCAGTCGGCAAAAAATCTCGAGAGAATGAGTGGTGGGGCCTGCGGCGTGACCATAGCTAGCCTCTTTGGGAATAGCCTCTTATTTAGGCCTTATAAATCTGGCATCAATAGACTCATATTGCCCACATTTCAAATACCATTCATTATGCTTTCTACGTTAGGGAGAAGAATATCAAAGCCGAAGTCAATGGTGGCTTAGACTCCTAGGGTGTTATTAAAATAATTATAGATTCTCTAGTAATCTTAGGACTGCTACGTATATTTGTTCCTTGCAGCGTACTGAGCACAGAGTACTTAAATTGGGAGCATGAAGGTATGCCCCTATAGCGACACAGCAATGTCCTAAATCCCTGATCGTGACATAATTGGCGTCTGACCAGGACGACTAGCGATTCAGGGGTGGGTACTATTGAACTTGCAGCCCAAGCCTCCAAGTCCAGCATTGCTGGGACTAACTGGGATAAGCTTACGTGGATCGTCTTCTGAGAAGCACTCATTTAGACACTAACTCCTGCAGCATTGCATGATCTTCACAGATCGGATCACCTCGGTGGTCCGCCAGGCGTTTGGTCGATCCTAGAGAAGTTTTACACCAACTACTGGCCGCTAGCGCACCACTTAAAACACCTTAAATACATAAAACGCGGTTGTTTGAAGACCGTAGGTAGACACATATGCCTCATATACTTAGATTAGGTCTTTCGCGACAGCCAGCAGTGGCCGGCGCCGAGGTGATTATATTGATAGTAGTGACGAACTGGTAAAACAGCACTGATCCCACCATGAAAGAACCCATTCTGTATCGCTTCCCCGGACAATAGCCAGAGGATATCATTCTACCTGCCGGCCACCCTCATACCCATGAAGAAGAGTCACGAAACCCATAGGAGTAAAACGCCAGAAACCCCACAACCAACCCAGAATAGAACGCAGCCAGATGCCTGCAAAGGGGACGCAGAGAAAGCGACAAAAAGAACCGTAACGTCATTCTATACCATGTTGCTGTTTGAGACGTTCCAAATTCTCTTGCCTTTCCGCCATATCCTCTTTCGACCTAAGCATTTTTTCTGGCTGGTGGTATAGCACTGCAATGAGCCAAAACATGTCAGTTTCATCCTGATGGACAGTGCATCTGGTCTGGCTAGTGCCTTGGATGGAATCACGTACCAACGAGATATCTGTTCTGGAAATTGAATCCATTGAGCTTATCGCATGCCTGTTTGGCGTCATGAACGTCTTCATATACGACAAATGCGGTACCCTTCGAGTTGTTCGCGATCCCTTGACGTATTTGTCTAGCGAGTGGATGGTCAGCGGGTAGGCGGGAACAAGGGAATCCGAAGTAACCTCGAGGACGTCTTACCGGATGGGTCCAAACTTGCCAAAAAGGTCGAAAAGTTGCTCTGCTGTTACGTTGTAGCTATACCGAATCATTCTCGTTAGCTTACGGGCTCCTAACCGACCGCAACATGTATCCTTTGATCCCGCCAGCCCGGAGGGTCGTGTGCGTGACCCAGCGGACCAGAAGGAATGGACGTACTTGAGGTTCTTGACAAAGAGAATCCTGATATCAATTAGCATCCGTAATGTAGGTGAAAAGAATGATTCCGGCGACGTCAACTACGTCGATGGCGGGGATAGACCAGGGTCGAATGGGGAGGGGCAGATTTATTCGATAAGGGAAGAACTTACCGATTGGCTTCGGGGGCGAGCTTTCGGCTCATTCTTAGGTGGGACAGTTATGGTCCAGGAAATGGATTTGAAAGGCAAAAGGATGTCGAGCAGATACCCAACGGGGCTGGGACTGTTCAATTCGGAGGGAGAGAAGACCTAGAAGAAGGGAAGGAAGTGAGAAGCAATATCCATTATCCGTGATGAGCACGAGGTCGGGACGGGGGCCTGCCTTGTCCCGATTGGGCTTAGGGGCCTGGCGGAGCCTCACTTTGTTGGTTCGTCGAAGAGCGGCAGAAAGAGAGACTGAGACAGCAAGAGCAACAAACATCAATCGCTATGGTGGCAATTGGCGGGGACAAAGCCTTGATGGTCATGCTGCTGAACCTGAATCCCAAAGAATAAGGAACCCTCAAACAATAGACGATCCCACCTGTCTCCCGATGATCGATCACCCTCTCTTCCGACCGCAAACGATGCAGTAGTTCTGTGGCAGCCTGAGGCACCCACACGGCCTGCTCAGCCTTCGCCCTCGCGCTCTCTCTCTTCTTCTTCTCCGTCGCCGCATCCTCCCCTCTCTTTTCTTCATCCCAGTTTGAAACACCATCGCATCCGTCAAATCCTATGGCGCATTAGTTCCAATCGTTTCCACCTTCGAATTCACCTCGGACACGGGGACTCTAGTGCAGTATCTCCTCCCAGCTCTTGCCCGCGTCCGCGGTGCGTTCCTCGGTGCTGTGTCTTCCCGCCGCTCTCGACTAGTCTGGCCGGCAGACTCAACTCTCCTCCCCCTCAAACCTCCCAACGTTCCGCCGTGCGACGCTGCTCCGTCAACCTCTTCTCTTCCCATCGTCTCTCCGCTCATCTCGCTTCGTCGATTATCCCATTGTTTATCGTGCGCCGTTCATTCTGCCAGGAATGACTCTCTCCTTGTCTGCGGTGGCCTCTCTCTAGCCCGCGTGGTCCAATTTCCCCCGCTTTGCACCCTTTTGCTGCAAGCAGGCTTGTTCCTTTCTCTCCTTTTGCTTCTTCTTCTCCTCCTCCTCCTCCTTCTTCTTCTTTATTTTTTTTTGTCTTTGGCGTCGTCCGCCGAAATTTCACTATGATTAGCGCCACGTCCTTTTCGAATCATTCGGCTACCCGACCACCGCGGTATCGCACTCCTTCCCCTCCGCGACGCGCCGTCGAACCGATTTCACCGTGCACGACCGCCGATGTCCGTGTCTCATGGGTTGACCGCGCCACCTCGAAGGTTGTGGGCTCAGATCGCGACCCGATCCACCCGAACAATGGTGGATATACTCGGGTGGGTAGTGGTGGGCATCAGCGCCCTGGTCATGGCAGATCTAGCTCTACCATCGACACCCTTGCGACTATTGCTCTCGCGACGAGCCCTACTTTCGCCCCGGTCGCCTATCGACCTCCTTCTCAGAATTCCACCCCTTCTATGCCACTATTTCCCTCCGAGTCTATGGATTTTGACGAACGACCAGCTAAACGCCCACGGTCGGAGAAAGATCCTTCCCCGTTTTATCAACACCGAACTGGTTCGGTACCAGATGCAAATCCCTCGTCGGCATTTGACAGCATGAAGACGGATGCGGAGCTTTTACTGAACTTTGCAAGGCCTTCCAATTTCCACCCTACCTTCCAACCCTCGAAGCGAGTCAGCATAGACGAGTCGTATCATCAATACGGGAGTGACACGAGAAGCAATCCCAAAGTCGGGCTAGGTGCGGCATATATGGAATCGGGTGAAAATTCTGCATACAGCATTTCGGCATCCGGCAACTTCCCGCCGTCTCGCATGAGGTCTCAATCTGACGGTTCCGCTGTAGTTTCTCGACCGATCAGCCATAGTGTACGACCAAACACAAGCTCTTCCACACTTCCACCCATATTGCAGGAAGGTCATGATAGGGAGGATAGCTGGATTTCAACGACTAAGGAGGTAGTGGGCGATTCACTCTTTGGCACACAAGGTTCTGGCTTGGTGGGACCTATGAATGTTGAATTACCAAGAGGCCTCTCTTCCAAGGCAGAGGACGACACCGAATCCGAGGGATCAAACCAGGCAAGCTGTGCCGCTTGCAATCTCGTTCGAATCCCAATTGATACAGGCGAATACGGCGATGTTACTTGGATCAGCTGTGATGGTTGCAAGCGGTGGTTTCACATTGTTTGTGCGGGATTCAAAAGCGATCGTGAAATCCGAACCGTCGACAAGTTTATCTGCCGTGAGTGTCGTCCAGTGCATGGACAGACGACGTTTGTGCGCAAGTCCTCTCGTGCCCGCACTGCCATCGATTATGCGGGACTCAACCAGGGACTTGTGAAGACTGCTTCGGATTCCGTGGAACATCACTATCTTGAACCTATTCGACAAGGCAAGATTCGTTTTCTCCCAGAAAGCTTCCCTCGAATGCGTCCGGAGCTGGTTACGGCCGAATATTTCGAACGCGGCAGCGGCATGACAGAACCCATTGTGATCCCCGCCCATATGAACTCCCATGCCCCAGTTTCTACTGCCGAGTCCGATTTTGATGCCCTCGTCCAGGAAGCTTCCACTCGGGAAATGTTTGACGAGTTGTTGGAGCACGCCCCTGAGGAATATCAGAACGTTGAGCGAGTAATCGACTGTGGTCAGGACCAGTTGGACATGGTGGTCCCCCAGGGCCTCACAGTCAGGACAGTGGCAGACCTTTACGGTCCGGATGAACGAGTGGAGGTAATCGATGTCAAATCCCAACAAGGGGAAGATAGAAGGTGGACTATGCAAAAATGGGCTGATTATTACGAAAGCACTGGGTCCAAGGTTGTCCGGAATGTTATCAGTCTGGAGGTGTCGCAGAGTAAACTGGGCCGATTGATTCGCCGACCGAAAATAGTTCGCGACCTTGATTTGCAGGATTCTGTGTGGCCAGATGATCTGAAGGCTGCTGGCGATTATCCGAAGGTCCAGTTTTACTGCCTCATGTCCGTTGCCAACTGCTATACAGATTTCCATATCGACTTCGGCGGATCATCTGTTTACTATCATATCCTAAAAGGCAAAAAGACCTTCTTTTTCATCCCGCCCAAGGACAAACATCTGAAGAAGTATGAAGAATGGTGTAATTCACCTGCTCAGGACTCAACCTTTCTTGGGGACCAAACGAAAGAGTGCTACCGCGTTGATCTTTCCGAAGGTGACACCATGTTGATCCCATCTGGATGGATACATGCTGTATGGACTCCAGAGGACAGTCTGGTTATTGGCGGTAATTTCTTGACGAGGTTGAATTATGGGATGCAGATTAAAGTTGCAAACATCGAAAAGGATACGAAAGTCCCAAGGAAGTTCAGGTATCCATTCTTTCAAAAGATCCAATGGTATACCGCATTGAAGTACCTGGAAGATGATCCGATACCTCACAGTGTTCTAAATGCATTCGTCCAAGACGAGAACTACCGCTTCCATAGGGAGTATCCTATCTATTATGAGTTCGGCGAACGGGAAAATACGGCGCCACCTGGGTCCCCTTATCATAACTCCCGCTTCTATTCACAGGCAGAGTTAGAAGGCCTACTAGACCTAGCGAAGTATCTCCTGCGAACTGCCCTGATTGCTGGCTCCTACGTTGTCGAAGGCGTGACGGCGGATGCCAGGAATGCAATCAAACGCTCCATACCAAAAGGGGCAGGGGATCCAGTGGAGACGGTTAAGAAATTCGGGCTCTGGGTTGCGTGGAAGCGCGGGAATGAAAAAGCGGCGCAATGGACACGCCCAGGCGTAATCGAGAGCAATGCAAAACTCAGCCTCGCGGAGAAGAAACCCGCTGGGCGGCCCAGTCGTCGTTCAGAGCGTAACATGGACGGTCAGCGCACGTACACTGAAAGACAAGCAGTGCAGCGGCTTCCAGAGCAAGCTCGCGAGCTCGAAACTGGATTCTTCGGCTACAACGGCTCTTCATCATCCAACAGCAGTGTTTCTGTTCCATCCCACTTCCCCTCAGGCAGCGCTGTCAAGGAGGAGACTGCCTCCAAGCCCCGAAATGTCCCCAGAGGCTCTGGTTTGGGTCCTAAGCGAGTTGCCTGTGATGCTTGTCGAAAACGAAGAATACGCTGCCACCATAAGGATGAGCAGGTTGACACGATGTCGGTAAAGCAAATGCCGATTGGAGCTTTTGGCTCGCCGAGTCAATCCTCTTTAGCTCATGATGCTGCATCTGCTCTGAACTCCCTGGCGGCGATTGCGTCTGAAGCCGGTCTTCAAGACAATCATGGCAGGAATCACGATGGGTTTGAAGCCGCTGGGAAGTACAGCTCTGCGGCCTTGGGAACACCACATTCAGTTCCACACAGGCTGAGCGACATCAGTCCTGAGGGGTCAGGCCAGGGGAAGAAGGGACGTAGCAAGGCCTGTGATGACTGTCGAAAGAGCAAGGTACGTGTGCCTCTAATCTTGCTTATACAGCCCAGTTAATGAGTTTGTTACAGCGCCGGTGTATCCATGATGAGTATGGTAGGATAGATCCCGTGAAAGCACAGGAACGGTCAAAACCACGGGCCGCAGCGTCTGCTAAAAGACCACGACCCAATGAGGAGAGTCTTGTTTCGACAGCGAATAAGAGACCTAAGCAAGAGAGCACATCTCCTGTGGCGCGACCGGTGCGTCTCAGCAGAGAAGGTGAATCTGCAGATGGTCGAACATTCCAGCCGCCGGTGCAAATGCATCAGGCGGTGGTAGATAATATCCCACTAGTTGAGTTCGCTGATGCCAACACAATATCCCTACAACAGGGTATGGTATCGGCGGAGAAGGAAGCACCAGTTGGACATACTTCGTATGCGTCGCCACCCACATACCAGGCAGATACGGTCATTACAGAGATCCATCCCGATTCCATGTCATCTAAACCGGCTGCTACGCTTGTGTCACCTCCGACTTCCCTGGCAGACGAAACCGACGTAGCTCATGAACATGCGGATGGGGAGGGAGAACATCCAGGAGTTTTGCACACTCCTACATCCAGTTCGCGTCATTCCTCCCGCCAACCTCGCCACGTTGACCGATATGCACCTGAAGTTCATGTTGCAAAGGGTACCAAATCGTCAACACACACCCCAGCGGCACGACGTTCGTCCTTCGGAGCTTCGAGTACCGGCACGCGTAAGACCACACCTGGTCCATCATCAGGCTCAAAGAAATCCTCATCACGCCCCTCATCGTCACACGCCAAGAAGAACATGTCGCCAGCGGAAAAGAAGCTGGATCGCACAGTTGCATCTTCCGAACAGGCGGGTAAAAGCACAAAGCGAGAACGGGCGAATGCTGCTGATGAAGAGCCGGATGCCGAGAGTCTGCGTCTCATTCGTGAGTTGCAGGAGCAGGAATTTGGGCTACGAAAACGGTCAACACGTGTGTAGGGCGGACGAGTCGAACTGATCCGATCATTATCAAAACGCTCTATATCATGGGTTATGACTTTCTTTTTTCCTTTCTTTTCTAGATTGTTGTTAATCGGGTGACCAACGAGTCTTATACGGGACTTGAGGATCCCACTCAAGTGGGCCGTCTTTCTCCTTCGTTTCTTTTCTTTTCTTCTTGTTCCACGTTTGGGAAGCGGAGTTTGAAATGGAAGGGAGTGTCTGGGGCTCTGGGTTTGAGCTCTTTTTCCGTCATTTTTGCGTGGACAGAATGGGCGTGTTTTATATTTATATTTTTATTGTTATCGGGCTGGTTTTCGTTCGACTAGGACTTTTTTTATGCATCAGTTTCCGTCCTGTGTGGCTTTTTCCAATCAATTCTTTTTTCGACTGCTGGGACATGGTTTCAAGCCTCACTGTCGATTGTCTGTTTTCATGTGGCGTTTGAGTGTATGTTGGGAATTCCCTCTTTTTTTCTTCTTTTTTTGTGCCCTTTGTTTCATGCAACATTTTGGTTTTCCTGTCGGTATATGGGAATCTCTTGCTAAGTCCTTGGGTTTCTTTGCTAGCGCTCGGGTTCAAGTTCAATGGAGTTCCAACAGCGTTATGTATGTGCTTAATCTCTTGATCTTATTTTATTTCCCCTTTACTTTTTTCTTTTTCCTTTTTTTTCTTTTTTGCCCCCTCTGTTGCTCAGAGTCGAGTTAAGTGCCATATATTATCCCACCTGATTGCTGATGAGTCCCTTCGTCTGCCTGGACCGGGATTTCCTGCCGGGGGTTGCGTTTCGCAATGATATCTGTGTAAATTTCTCATTATCCTTCCCTGTGTGCAAATTCCATCCAGAGTTGAGATGGGTATATTGAATGGTATGATGGGAGAGGTTCTGTCTGTATTTCTCTCTGTGCCCGGGGTATATAAATTTTTTCATTTTAGCCTGTTTACTTCTCTGGGTGGTTGCAACATATTTACTGAACAATACTTCATCGCCTTCGCAATGTAGCGTTGGATTATTGTAACTACTAGTTAGGACGTGTGGTTATGCAAGAGTAGGTAGTGATCTATTTCATTTCGAAAACCTCAGCAGCCAGTGTGCACTCTATGCTAATGATAATAGGAAACAAACACAACCATAACTCCACTTGTGATAGCTTCCACCTAACATATATAGGAATAATCATAAATCTCATAATCCATCGCAGTTCGTTGTGCCCATCCTCGGGTATCGAGCTGGGGATCTATGCGGCAAATCAATAAACACAAAACTCACGGGGTATATCCTATTTGATACGATATAATAGCAACCGGAAAAAATAAAAAAAGTAAAAATAAAAATAAAAAGGCCCCCTTTAGAACAAAAGGTAGACAGCTCAGACATGGCTCCCTTCGCCGGGTCCGGAGCTTTTCCAGCGCCTGGCCCGTTTGTTTCCCTCAATGAAGTTCTTAATCACACACGGAGCTTCATCGGCGCCCTGGCAGATCTTGCGGCGATTAAGATGCTTAAAGCGAGGCCCCAGTGGCCCATTGACATAATGATACTGACCCGCAAAGCGGTATTGTCGATGGTCGCCTAGATGGTAAAATTTGTCACCCCAATGACCGTTGAAGTAAAACCACTCCATGGGGGCATCGGGACTGGCAGTGGACGCACGCAGAGTATCATTCTCATAGTCATATGTATATGTATGGGAATTCAGAAGGGGATCCCAGAGTGGGCCGCGGTCCGTCTGGTCATGGAGGAGACCCCATGGGAGGACATAAGAATGGGTCCCGCGAGTGGCATACATGGCATGAGTACCTGCAGCTGAATAGATAACCGGCTAGCGAGCAAGAGTCAGCGTGATTGCCATTGAATTTTGCATTCCAGTCCTCCTCGACTTACCCGTTGCCCGATCTTTTCGACCGCTTCATAGCTGTACGCTTCTCCCGCGGAATGAGCACTGAAAAAGAGCGCCTTAGGTTCGCCATTGTGGAAGCGCACGAGACAATGTTCCCAATCACCGATATGGTTTCCAAAGCGCATATTCAGCACCGCATTTCCCAGATTGAAGCTGTAAAAATAAAACCAGAAGGCGTCGACAATACCGTTTCCTTTATCCACGACGAGTAGAATGGCTGGCGCATCGCTGCGACCTCCAGTCACCCCCACGGGGACCGCCTGCCCACCAAATCGCCTTCGCAGTTCATCTCGGATCCCTGCATCTGCCAGAGGATCCTTCGGTTTGAAGTATCCCAGGTCCTCCGGGGTTGACTCATCCTCTGGGGACAGGTCCGTATCATACCATTTGGCTCGTTCTGCCGGGGAATCTCCCGGGATTTCGCCGTCCACGCGACCATCCCAGTCTGCCCACGATGGACCCAGATCATGCTCTGGAGGGCTAGGGATATTCGTCTTCCCCTCCATCCACGGCGGACTAACTTCGACATTATCATTGCTGGTCAGAAAGACGTGGCGCCCGTTCTGCCATTGGTTTAGCTGGTCAAGATCCCGCAACGTAGGGTGGTCCCATCGCGACTTGACAGGGGTGTAGTTCAGCATTGGGGTGATATGGTAGAGATGCTCGGCAATATCGCACGGCCAAAATTGCTCGCCAGAGAAGAGGTGGACCAGAGGTGCATATTGGAAGACATAGTCAGGGATCTCCCTGCGAGATCGGTCCGCTTCATCCGATGGTTGACCCTCCCCGTTGGACCAGAAGGAGCGCCAGGGAGTGGATTCTTCATCCCCTCCAGATGTCGGGGAACCCGGGGAGGGTTTGCGCAAGCCGAAGCGGGGGCGGACCAAACGGAAGTGTGCGGACCCGCAGAGCCCTAACCAGCGGCAGGCTTTCCGGTCAAACCACGAACTCGACGTTGAGATCCAGCGCGATTCGTCTCTGTCTTCATCGTACCATATGAAGGCTGACGGTTTCACGGCCCGAAGCAAACTATTGAGTGAAACATACGTGATCAGGGAGGAGAGGATGACAATGGCAGTGGTAGTCTTTCGCACCATCTGTTGCCAGAAATCGGGCAGCGCCGCAACGTCGCGAGTAGGAGAGAAGGGCCGAGAGAACGGCAGGCCCAACCTCGCTAGATTGGGCAGCAGCAGCAACAGTAGCGGCAGTGAAAAGAGTGGTGGGAGCAGCCACTCTAGCAGTGGTGGGGATGATGATAGACTTCCCGATCGGGACAGCACCGGCGCTACAACTGGACCGAGAGAAGATTGGGGAGGGGGCGGTCAGGGAGGATTACTTGGGGCGCAGGGGTGAAAGAGAAACGAGAGAAGATGGACGGACATGCGAGGACTCAGGGACCGTGGGCGTCAAAAGAGGCGAAGAAAAAGCAACAAGAGAGAGAAAGAAGCTGCAGCCAGGCCCGACAGAGAAGGAGGAGCAGGCTGCACTATTAAAGGAAGGGAAGCGCGCACCAAGGCATTGATGGTCAGTCAGGAACAGCAACATGACTGACCCGACTCCTACCAGGTCCAGTAAAGACAGCATGAATTGTCCAGTGAGAAAGAGTGACCGGGAGTGACGGAAGGGGATTTGATTAGATAATATGGGGAGAATGGGATGGAAAATGACGGATGCGCCGTCTACAGTCCACAGGGCTGCGATCAGCTTAGCTAGAGTAGCTTAGCATACATAGAATAGCTGGCTAGCTGGCTTCCGCGCCCTGCCGGATCGTCGGTCATGAAGGAGGACGGAATGGACGGATTGGAATCGGGCCCGTGAATGAAGGTGGGGGGAAGAGGGGAATGGATAATGGATGACTGTAGACGCAGGAGCTGACTTACTTGTGGATGGGAGTGATGAGGTCATTCCACTCCACAGTTGTAGGTCTCTACCTGTGATAAGAGAAGTGAATGGATAGAGTACTCCGTAGTCCGTTTGTTTTCTTTCTTTCTTTCTTTCCCTTTTGAGGTTCGTCACGGGATTCAGGCACTAAGGCCGATCTTCCGCATGACGCTAATTCTAATTCCGGCAACCTTCCTTTCCTCAGGTACTTACCTATACCAAGAATATCATGCAGTCTCATTCCGACCCAATCTTGGTCCTGGATCCGGCCATGCTGTCGGATCCTGCATATCTGGATGAGGATCATTCTGATTATGAATATGAGTATCACGACCACGAAACGGAGGTACGTTACGTTGGTTACCCTTTATGATTCTCCTTCCTCCTAGCTGATGGAGGTGGTCTCCATTCCTCACAGTCATTCTATCTGAACCTCGATCTCACTTCCCATCATGGCCCAAATCGACCTCCGAGACGACGTCCCGATCCTCCGCAAACTACCATCTCATCTGCCACCACTCCCCCCGAGGCTTTATCGGGCAATACGCCTCGAGACGACGAGACGGAGCCTACCCTGGCCAGCACCGAATTTGGCAACAGTCTCGCGGAGCGGGTGCAGATCCTAGGTCTTCACACCCGTAATCCGATCGTTTCATATCGGAACCAAATCTACAGTTGTTCCTGGGCTGACCAGATCGGCACGGAACTAGTCTTCTCCCAACCAGAGCTCGACCCCGAGCCGGATTCCGTAGCTCAGACCTCTCCCTTGATGCGAAGGAAAGACTTTGAACTCATTGCCGCCAACAGCGTTAAGATTCTAGGTCGCAAAGCAAATCTAATTTCCAGTACCAGCCTGGTGGGACCAGCTCAGGACCCCCTATATTCCGACCCCGCGGTGCAAGGATCGGATCCGGCTACTGGAATGAACCGTAGATCGGTGCCCCTGACGAGTCACGCTCGCTTTATAGACCAACTCAAGAGTGTCAAGCAGGCCAAGGGCGAGATAGATACTGTACGCGGTTCCTTCAGTTTAAAACGATCCCAGAATCTGGAGGATCGGCTACGCGGTTGGGCGCGGACAGACGAGCAGCTGGCGGAGATTCAGCGGCTTAATAATGCGGCCATTCAGGGCAATCCCACAGCCATGGCGGAGTTGGAGAAGTTGTATGTCCAAATTAGAAATCAGGAGACGGGCCCCTCGGAAAAGGCATCTCAAGATCGCTGAACGAGCTTCCGTGGGAGTTCACTTTTTCCAACTGAGAGATTCTTTGGGCCACACTCACTATTGCCAGGGGTGCTGATGGATATGTAGTCTAGGCCATATACCTCACGTGACAAGATCCGGTTCCGGCCGAGGAAGAAAACAAGCTCCTGTAATCAACACCTCATCGCAGATCTGGCTTGGAGTCAACAGCTTCCAGAACCTTTCCGCTTGAACTCACACTCCACTAGGATGAATCGGTTTTCCTTGAATGCTTAGCAAACAACATTTACATTCTAGTTGATAAGCTGGACCAACCTGTATAGTTCTAGGACCGCAATGGAGGATCTACCTTACGAGTGTCATTATTCCCACTATGCATCACCCAACAGGCACAATTAATTCTACGTACATTATTGCTATACATTGGGTTTCTCTTGTCTTGTCCTGTTAAGATACTCGGACCCAGATACATGAGAGAAAATTAAACACTGTAAAGATAAAAATGAAAAAAACTTGCTTTTCCCACCCCATAACCGATGAACCACGGATCCTGAAAAGGATAAGAGACAGGAAGTACTCGCTCAGAAAACCACTCGACTAGTCGAGGAAAATCAAGATTACACATGAATGAGGCCCGATCACAATAAAAAGAGGTCTAAGAGAAAAAAGAAGAAAAAAAGAAGCAAAAATAGCTCCAACTCCCGGTATAGAAAGGACATTAAAAAAAATCAATGAATTCAACATCATTAAGCTATTTTCCCATCCATGGATCCCCAAAATGAACGGGGACTCCTAGACTCCACGGGTGACGGCGGCGGTGGCGGAGGAGGATAACCCAGACCGGGATGGGAATGAGAGCACATATCGACAGATTTTGGGACGGGTGTTGAGGCTAGAATGGCGCGGGAGATATCTTGAGTGAGAAGAGCCGGACGACCACTGGGATGCGAGGCAACTGGGGAAGCCATTTGGATCGATTTCAACCGCGAAGAGTAGAATTAAGATTATGTAGGGTCGTCAAGCCAAGAATTAAAAGTGGAAGTGTGTTTTATTTGTAACTAGCAGGAATGAGGATGGTGAAGACGACCGGAAAGGGGGACTGGTTCTATTTTGAATAGAAAACAGATCTCTGGCCTGAAGGTTTTGTCAGTCCGATGCTTGTGGAACTGATATAAAGAGAAGCTCAGGAAGTTCCCGACGAAGAATATGATCCAATCGCATGTGATGCAATTCACTTTTGCAAAGACATGGTTCTCAGAAGAGTGGACGGAGATAATTAAATAGATAAACAAATGCATAAAACTCACCTCGGTTAAACGAGTCCTAACAGGACTAAATATCCAGTGATGTAATGGCCGACAATTTACAAACAGATTTCCAATCAATACTCGCGTTTAGCTGGTGACTAAGAATAGGCAGGAAGAACCACGTCACAAAGTTCGAAGGGCAGGAAAGCCTGTTTATTAAGAGGCCGGCAGAGAAGAGTCGAGAAGAAGACGACTACGGTAGGGAGGATATGTAGGTACCAGGTGAGCTTGGCTGGGGGGGGGGGGCAGATAGGGATAAAAGTACGGTGAAGAGTGACGTTCGTCTGAAGAGGATCAGAAGACAAAGAGGATGTTACGATGCACCTTCTTGTCCCGGGAAATGACAGGTATATCTAATCTAGTTTAAGAGAGATTTCTAGGAATCGGGGTGTATTTTTTTAATTATCATTTCTGTCAATCAGACGAGGAAGAATTACAAAAAAAAAAAAATTGGGGGACAAAAATCAAAGGCACTTATTTAAAACCACTAGACACAACGAACGAGATAGATCACGGAGTGTGAATGATACTCTGTCGCCCCTTTTTGGACTTCAGTAAGCTGACAATGCGAAGTAATCCACTTGTCTGTGTCTGAAGCACCAATTGTCTCCCAAGAAGAGACCAAATCCCACCCTTTCATGACCGCCTCACCCGGCCTACCCTGCAACCGGGTAAGGGTAGGTAGCAACATAAAACAATCAATGGTGGGTTCATTAGTGTACATACTACAAGCTTGCCACGACGACGGAACGGAAGAGCGGGAACTGGGGAACAACAAGGTCCGGGGAAGGATGGAAGAAGGGGGTAGGACGACCGGTGATAATTATGAAAGATGGGCGTCTGGGATTAACTAGTTAACTATGGATAACTAAGGTATTTATTTCGGTGGGCTGCAGCAAAGGGGCAGGAAGAATTATGGGGAGCATACGTGTGCATGGGGAATTGTGGGGGAAAGGGAGCTGCCAAGGAATCAAGGAAGCAGCCAGAAAAGACTAGTCTGATTCCTTGGAAGGGAAGGAATAAAGGCCAGAAGTCGGCCAACTCAGTCAGTCTGATTCAAGGGCCAAAGTAGGTAGGTAGTTCGTTGACCGCATTCCCCTGGATGTAAATAAACAAGCCCCAACAATGTGACTTTCCCATGGTGTGCTACTTCGAGTAGGAACGGAGTACTACTCCATACCTGACCAGGAGAACCTCATCATCCCCATTTCCCGGAATTCTGGGGTACAAAACTTTCTATTTATCCTCGGTACATAAAACCGGGCGATCCTCCGGGGTCTGCCCAGGCGATCGGAGATGAGGGCGATGGCTAGACTCAGGGCGGAAATGAAAGGAATGTGCGTTAGACTAGTCTTCGGTGCTAGGGATTATCTCACATGTCCCTTTTTTTTGAGGACATTTGTTAAGTGCTTCCGCAAATTCCTGTCGCAGGACTATGTATACCATCCATCCAAAGAGCATATATACCTAGCTACCTATCCTAGAGTCCTTTTCACCTATTCAGACTAGAGGAAGGCATAATTAAATCTGTAGCATTCACGGAACAGGTTGGTTAGGTGGTGTTTGATCTCACCCACTATAGGGTGATGCAGCAGATTTCCCTTGCTTTGTAACACCCTAGGAGAATAATTATTTTCCTTCTCCTATCAGTAGGGCTTGTGTTCCTTATACCCAGTAGCTATATAGCTACAATAGGCATAAAGGACATACTTTCTCATTGCAAGTTCTAGCAAGACCAATTTGTAGGGATGCGATGAATAACATTCAGAAGAAAGATTATAACGCAGAGTAAATAAAATCTAAGAAAACCACATCTTCCAGTTTGTCAGTTGTGCCTAATCTCGGTCGAGTTTGTTTGCAATAGACAATAGAGAGCATAATCTGGTATGCTTAAAAGTACACACAACCACGGAGCACAGGGCCACTTGTGCATAGTTCATCTCTACCAATAAGCGGTAAAGAATCACGATAATTTACACTATTTCTTGGGAATAAGGTTTATTGCGGAGTGTAGCGTAGCAATTATAATAGCGCTGTTCGCATTTGGTTGTAATTCACCGCTTGTTCTCGACAATTCATCAGTTTTGTCCGCCGTTCTGTCAAGTCATCTAACTAGTCTACGGAGTAACAGCATTAGACTTATTTTTGACTCCATACAACATCAGTTAGGATACACTTCGAAGGTTCTAAATAAAGTACTTAGTTCTATGTCCAGGATATTATATACTTCGAGTAGGAAGAGGCTCGTATTCGGTCTTATGCTGCTAAGACACCTTTAGTCTCACTCACCCCCTCTGTCTAGTGTCAATTTTAGAGCACTCTACCCAGCTCAATAAGTTCATCGCATTGCTATGAAGGCCCTCTATAGTATGTGCATATATCTGAAGATGTTCGGGATCAACGCTCAACGTGTTTAATATCTCGACCACACAGCAACCCATACCCTTTGTGTGCTATACACAAACCATCGAGTTTCATATTTGCGCAATTAGATTGGCCGTGGCTATAATATAAGTAAGATTACCACCCTACTGGGGCAAATTGTATGTAAATATACTCCTCACATTGCCAGCATCACTTTTAGGACCAGCTACATGTTTAATTCTCTAAACTTTATAAATAGTAGTTACTCGCACCGGGTCAATCATAACACATATTAATTGGGTAATGCTATGTTACGTGCATTGTATCGAGTCTCTCTCTGCCTGGAGCCTATCTTGGTAGTACCTAATAACGTAACTCTCAAGCTGACCGCCAACCCTAGCGGCCCGCCATTCTTGGTGTCCCGTATAAAATGGCACTTTTTGGCCTTGAATATCCCAACAATAACTCTATATAAATATAAACTAATAGAATTTTTAATACAGATAGATATACTATATATTACTTATGGAACCAGTTAATTTTAGCTAGAAAAACCTATGTACATTAGAAGAACATTGTTGTCTGAATTAATCCTATCAGTTTATAGCTCTCTAAAAGCTTATACGTTGAAATATTCAAGGCCAAAAAGTGCCATTTTATATAGGATACCAAGAATGGCGGGCCGCTAGGGTTGGCAGTCAGCTTGGGAGTTACGTTATTTGAGGCCGATGGTTTACATAATTGGCAAGCATCAAACTCAGTGACAAGAAGTTCAGCGAATTGGACAAAGATAGTATATAATCGAAAGACTCTGGTAGTCCATACTCCAGCTACCAAAAAGAGATATATGAGCCAACGAGTGGATGCCATCATCTCACATTTTGATCAAAGAATTGCCTTATTCAAGCTACATAGCCACTACTTTAGGCTTATTTCTTGCTTGTCTAGAACGTATTGTAGCATTGTCTCCAAGTCTAAATGAGCTGTGAGATATCATTTGCATTCTGGAGTCCCGAGCAAACTACCTCCAAAGTACTTATCTTTGGATCCTAATCTTATCTAGTATCCCCAGCTGAGGTATTTGATTGAAAATTAACTTTCTTCGTAAAGGTGGTTTTGGTATGTTAACGCGGATGATCTGGACGCATCGCGATCTGATACTTTTTCCCCAATGAAAAGGCTCGTACATGCAAGGCTCTCCGTATTCCATGGAACAATCTCAACTAGGCACGAGACTCAACATATTGAGGAACCAATTTTTTATCTTGGCGGTGATTCTTCAGCTGCTGACGACATCGTCACACGATGTCATGATGTGATAGGCACATCAAGTTGCTCTACCTACACTATCCTTTCAATGCGGCGATTGCCTTAATATTCTGCATTGACATCTGTGTAAATGGATCTCCACAGACGGTAAAGAAGCTGATTGTACGGAGCAGGGAGTACGTTGTTATATAACGCAAATAAGGCGTTGCCAGTACAAAATTTCTTGGCGAGAAAAAGTTGTAGCCAACGATGATTTGATTGGGATTATCCCAGAAGCCTTTGGAAGCAGAGTACTCCGTGGCAACCAAGTACTCCAGTTGAGTTCCCCTGGTTTACGTGAGAAGGTTGACGAGTGCCGTCTACTGTCCCCACCTTGGAGGGAAAAAATTTTACTTCTTTTTTCTTTTTGTGCCCCTTGGATTTAGTTCCCCTCCGGCCCGTGGGGCGTAACTTCGTTCCTCATTCTTGTTTGCGGATATGGTTTTCATGGGGTAATAACATGGGGGATCGAAGTTGGAGTGAGCCATTTTAATAATGAGAACTCGACATTGAGGGGCCTCTTGTGTCAGCGCCGAATCAAGGCGGGTGCACCCCGCAAGCCACTAGGCATAGGGCCTGGTCCAGGTACGGGATTCAGGATGTTGGGGATGGTCCAACCCCGCAGTACGTGAATGAAATCTCTACGTGTATCAAGCAAGTACTATATGGAATGTCTTCGGTTCGACTCCGTTGAATTCTATGCAGATAGATTCTATTGCTAGACATATGGCTGTGCTATAGAATTTAGGTGGTCGCTGGATGGCTCAGAAGATAGAGACCAAGTCGTACGGAGATATATAAAACACATCCAAATCAGTTCTACCCTCAGCAGGAATCCTGACGGCTGCAATGTTGATACTTCAGTAAGATGGCTGCGGATAGGACCACCTCCAGATGAGAAAGAGATCACCAGCCCCGACGTCAGCAATATTTGTTACGAAATTGAGGCATTTTCGGAAGCATTTATTACGCAGCAGAAACATGCAGAATCGATTGCATGCAACGAGCGGCGGCGATGATTTGCAGTTCACTAGCCACCATGACACACCAAAATGGGCTTTTCCAAACCTACAGCCCTACTAAGTGGAGACGCTTATCAGGTGACCAGGACACGAGAATACTGCCTGTATTTCATCATCGGGGGAGGGTTTTCCACTTTTTTCCTGAGGAGATCTAGACTTCCTATGATCGGGTTAGATAAAAGGACCTAGTAGGTAGTAGTGCGTCCTGGGCGGTTTGAGGCGTGTTGGAAATGATACCTACGGATGGACCTATTTATATACGACGCCACAAGCATGGCGACTATGGAGTACATATGGAACATACGGATGTCGGCAGATGATAAGTTCCCAGGATGTTAGCCCTCCCGGGGAGCCGTGAAATACCAATACCGAACGATTGATTATGTACTCCGAAGCCACGGCTGACTCCAGCCATTTGAGGCAATTTTTCCAATTTTAGCCCCGGATGGCCAATCACGTCTTCTACGTTCGGTGTTTTTCCCTCTGCCACTATTTCAGCCTATTCCCAACTGGGAATCTGCGCCCCCTCCAACCTTGGTAGTAGAACCCGCAAAGCCTTTTAGATGGTTTGCTCTCATGGGTGTTTGAATGAATTGAAAGGGACAGAATAAACTTGGAAGACGATGGCCAGGGGGCACAGAAGAGAAGATAGAGTAGGGATAGTAGTATGATCTTATCTATTGACTAGGTACCTAGCAGAAAGAGCCTGACAGCTGGGACAACGAGGAGGGAAATCCATGCATTACCTTCAAGCCCTCTGATTTATTCCACTTATCCAACAGAACTGACTGGGAGTCCACTCGGTCCACATTGTTTGACCAGGATTTGCGGCAAATCCACGAATTCAAGACTCCTGTTTCCTTTTTGCTCCCCCCCCGGACCGGTCCCGTGCCTGGCCGATCGCATAGAGCCGGGTATGACTATGATCTCAGAGAGAGGACGGATGACGGATGCTGTTGTTCGGGGGATATAAAAGAGCCCGAGTCTGCTGTCAGGTCCGGGGAGCGATGACACATAGCAATCACAAATCAATTATTGACCTGTCTAAAGGTTGTTGTTGTTGTCGTCGTCGTTGGTATAGCTTCATACAGTCCTCATCTCATCCCCTTCTACCTTGATAGACGGACCCCGCCATTATCTGTGTTCAACTTTAATTATTTCTTCCTCACGCTCCAACCGACAGATTTGATTTTTCTTTTCTTTTTTTTTTTTTTAATTCCACGGTGACGTGTCGATTGCATGGCTTTTAGCAGCAAGTTCTTTTGAAACTACTTTGTTGCTTCGTGTATCATTGGTCTGCTGTTTCCCTGGTTCCTGTTAAAACCTCAACTGCTGCCGTCTTTTTTTTTTTTTTTTTAATTTGTATTTTTTATTCTCGCCTTCCCCCAACTTTTCCCCCCACCAAAATATAGAGGGGTTTAAGACTCACTCTGCAAGTCCTTTAAAGTTCTTTCTTCTATATAGGTACGTGGTCTCCTGGAGGGTGAAGCTACAGCCCGCCAATTTTCTTCTATCTGTATTTTCCGTACTTTTTTTTTTTTTTTTTTTCCCCTTCTCCTTGCCCCCCGCGGTGTTATCTTTTCTCTCTCTGCGTTTTGCCTCCCCTCTAGAGGGTGCGCCACTTGAGTCCCGCTCAACCACTCTTGAGACTCACGCTCTGTGCTCTTTAGATCCCTATATCTATCATCCTCCGTCTCCCAATTGCTCTTTCTTTGACACCGTCTATTCACATCCTCCACCACCATGGTATCCCCCGCACCATCTTCGACCCCGCATTTGGAAGGGCAGGTCAATGGCGCCAATGCCCTCCCCGTGCGCTCCGGTCCCAAGTTGTACGGCAGCAACGATGGCTCTTATTCAGGCGCTGGAACTCCCATTGGGTTTCAAAGACACCCTCACAACAAGACCCTGGACAATGTTGCTGGGTCAAGTTTGCGCCAACCCTCTCCTCAGCCCACCCATTTGGGCATTCCAGGTGGTAGCCCGCACCGCATTTTGTCGGAGGAAGATCCCGGCTATGTTGCTGCCAAGTTTGAGGGCAAGGAAAAGCAGATGGAGCAAGGTAAGCAAGCAATCAAGAGTCTCTCGTGGCAGCTCTCGTCCCTGTTCCGACTAACAATTGGTTCAACGGTTTAGTCATGGACCAGCTGGAGAGCAAAGGTTTCATTCCCAGCGAATTCGTCGTCGGAGAAACCGAATGGTTCTACAATCAGCTTGGGATCGACGATACCTATTTCCAGACCGAATCTGTGGATGCCATCGTCACCCAAATCCTCTCCCTTTATGCGGCCAAGGTTGCAGCTTACGCCCGTGATGACAAGAAGCTCGAGATCCGTCTGGACAAGGAGGCTGAAGATCATGCCGTCTATATCGACACCAGCAAACCCGGCATGGCAAGTGTCGATGGTCCACGATACGAGCAAAGAATTGACAAGAAATATATCAATGGCTCGACCCCGGAAAACAGCTACCGTGTAGAGACTTTCCGGTCGCCAACCTCGATGCCTGGCGATGATGGTCAGCAGCTCCGTTGCTACTTCGTGTACAAGTGCCAGTTCGCAAACCCCAACCCCGGCCCCAATGAGACCAATATCGATATCATCGGTGAGAAGAGGTTTCTGCAGAAGGCAACGGCCAATACCAAGGCCATCTACCAGGAGATCATCAGCAACGCCGTTGCTCGGTCCGGTCCCGTCATCGAGATGTTTGAGATCGAGAAAAGTCGTGAAAAGAGACTGGTCATTGCCTATCGTCAAGGTTCTGCCATGGGTTTGTTCAGTGCACTTTCCGATCTGTACCATTACTACCGTTTGACAAGTTCCCGGAAGTACCTGGAGAACTTCTCCAACGGTATTACCGTCATTTCTCTCTACCTGCGCCCCGTGAAGGATGCAGAGATCGCCGCCAAATATCCACCCATCGAGGCAGCTATCCATCAGATCATCAAAGAAGTCTCTCTCCTATACTGTATCCCTCAAAACAGATTCCAGCATCACTTTGCCAGCGGTCGTCTTAGCTTACAGGAAACCATCTATGCGCACTGTGCCTGGGTGTTTGTACAGCAGTTCCTCAACCGTCTGGGCTCCGAATACATTTCTCTATCTGATCTGCTGGACTCCAACAACAGCGTCCATGCAGAGCTATTGGCTAAGATCAAGAAGCGGCTTCGTACCGAAACGTTCACCTCTGACTACATCTCGGAGATCGTCAATAAATACCCGGAGCTCATCCACAAGCTCTACTTAGATTTTGCCAATACCCACTACGTGCAAACACGCGGCCCTGCCGAGGATGATTTTCTACCAACCCTGAGTTACCTCAGGCTTCAGGTTGATGAGGTTCTGGATGGCCCGAAGCTCAAGCAGCTCATCACGAGCACCGCGGCTAATGAACACGACGAGATGGTCATGAGCGCCTTCCGTGTGTTTAATGCCTCGATTTTGAAGACGAACTTCTTCACCCCCACCAAGGTGGCCCTCAGCTTTCGGCTTAACCCGGAGTTCCTGCCGGAACATGAGTACCCCCAGCGCCTGTATGGTATGTTCCTGGTCATCAGCTCTGAGTTCCGAGGATTCCATCTACGGTTCCGCGACATCGCTCGTGGAGGCATCCGTATCGTCAAAAGCAGGAACAAGGAAGCTTACAGTATCAATGCCCGCTCACTGTTCGACGAAAACTATAACCTGGCCAACACGCAGCAGCGCAAGAATAAGGATATCCCCGAAGGCGGTGCTAAGGGTGTGATCCTTCTGGACGTGAACCACCAGGACAAAGCCCGTGTCGCCTTCGAGAAGTACATTGATAGTATCTTGGACCTTTTGCTGCCGCCTGTCAGCCCGGGGATCAAGGATCCGATTGTTGATCTGCATGGAAAGGACGAGATTCTCTTCATGGGACCTGACGAGAACACGGCCGAGCTTGTGAACTGGGCCACCGAACATGCGCGGAACCGAGGCGCTCCCTGGTGGAAGTCTTTCTTCACCGGAAAGAGCCCCAAGTTGGGCGGCATCCCTCACGATACCTATGGCATGACAACCTTGTCTGTTCGACAATACGTCCTCGGAATTTACCGCAAGTTGAAGATCGATCCTTCTACTGTCCGGAAACTGCAAACTGGTGGCCCCGATGGTGACCTGGGCTCGAATGAGATCCTTCTCTCCAACGAAAAGTACACTGCTATTGTGGACGGATCTGGTGTCATTGTTGACCCCCAGGGCCTGAACCACGATGAGCTTGTGCGACTTGCTAAGAAGCGAGTGACCATTTCTGAATTTGACCTATCGAAGCTTTCTGCGGAAGGTTATCGGGTGCTGGTCGATGAGAGTAACGTCAAGTTGCCAAGTGGTGAGATTGTCCACAATGGAATGACCTTCCGCAATACATTCCATTTGCGCCGGGACCAGCAGTACGATATGTTTGTTCCTTGCGGAGGTCGTCCAGAGTCCATTGATCTTTCGACTGTTGGAAAGCTCATCCGGGATGGCAAGTCTATCATCCCGTATATGGTTGAGGGCGCCAATCTGTTCATCACCCAAGACAGCAAGCTTCGACTCGAGAGAGCCGGCTGTGTTTTGTTCAAGGACGCCTCTGCCAACAAGGGTGGCGTAACGTCGTCCTCGCTCGAAGTGCTTGCTTCCTTGTCTTTCGACGACAAGGAGTTCGTTGAAAACATGTGCGTTCGCGAAGATGGCACCGTGCCAACATTCTACAGTGATTACGTCCGACAGGTGCAGGAGATCATCAAGCAGAACGCTACGCTTGAATTCGAAGCCATCTGGCGCGAGCACATGCAAACCGGTGTGCTCCGCAGTGTGCTGAGCGATCGCCTCAGTGTGGCCATCACCAAACTCGACGAAGAGCTGCAGGAGACAGAGCTCTGGGATAACCTGGAGCTCCGCCGATCTGTCCTGGGCGATGCTTTGCCAAAACTTCTTTTGGACAAGATTGGTCTCGAGACCATTCTTGGACGGGTGAGTTCCTCTTTCCTCTCTTTCCCTTTCCTTTCAGTAATGCAACGACTAACTATCTGGATTTAGGTTCCGGAGAGCTACCTGCGGGCCATCTTTGGCAGCTACCTTGCCAGCCGCTTCGTATACGAATATGGTAGCGGCCCTTCTCAGTTCTCCTTCTTTGACTTGTAAGTGAACCGTTCATTCCCTGGACGTGATCTGTGGCGGACCAAATTCTCTGACCCATCGTTTCCAGCATGACCAAGCGTCTCGCCCAGCTTAAGGCATAGACAACTACTTAGATTTGATGTTTCTTGATTCGCAGCATGGCATCATCGGATTTCATAAATGGTTGCACATTGTTCAGTGCTATTACGGATATTAATTATGACAGCTTCCCATTGCATGGTGTACAAAAGTCACGATAAACTAAGATTTCTAATGCACTCTTTGGCCCGTTCAACCCGACCTGATTATTTCGTAGTTTATGAGGAGCCTAAATATAATATTTGTATTGTACATGTCGACCGTCCAAAGATGCCGGCACCGTTGACATAGCTCCCTTATAGGACTAATAATAATAATAAAATCTTGTATGGATTGGATTGCATCGATCTGGATATCCAGACCTGCCAGTGATAGAATCCGGCCCCGAGCCACAGCCACATCATCTCTTTCATCTCACTTAGACCAGGATATCATTGTTGTTAATGTCAAACTTCAGCCCTTCTTCATGCTCTGTGCGTTCGACTGTTTCTAGTCGAGCCCACAACTCCGGATATTTCGCCTTCGCCCACTTTTCTACTTCGTCCTTCCAGTACTGGTACGGGATCGCATTGTACAAGTGACCGATTCTGGCATGCTAGGTTAGCCATGTTAATGGGTGCTGTACAGTGGGCGAAGGCACTTACGAGGTTCGAGTCGGCAACTGCCCAATTTCACTATGCATGTTTTCCAAGGCCTCCGTAGCAAGATCAAACTCGCATTGCGCAGCCAGCGCTTCGATATATGCCGTGTACAACCGGCGGTCCAACTCGATGCCAAGAACCTTGATCTTCTCCATCATTCTCATTGCTTCCTGCGCTCCATTGTGGTGTTTGGCGCACAACTTGAAAAAGATACCGATTGTCTTGTGCGACGGACCTTCCTCCGATTGGAGAATTTCACGAAAGACTTCCATGCTTTTTTCTGGCATGTCACAGGCGGCGTAGGCAAGCATGAGCCTATTGAGCAACAACGTATTCAGATCAACTTCGACGTCCAGTTTGAGCATATTGTGCACGGTTTCCAAATGTTGCGTGTCCTGGGTGCGAGCGATCCCTTGGAAACACTTGGCATAGGTGTCGGGCTTCGGGCGCCGTGAGAACTCCTCAGCCTGCCGCATATGCCCGAATACCAGGAATGCCAGATCACTCCTATCTCGGTTAAAGAACGAAGTCATGATATCGGTTCGCATGCTCACGCCCGTCTCAGGAAAGGCAAGCCGCAGCAGCTCGTATGCCTCCCAAGCGTCGGTGCCATCTTGAGACTGATCCGTGATAAAGTCGGTGAGCGCGTTTCGAACTCTCGTTCGCTCCTCCGAATCATACAGGGCTAGGCGAGGGCGGAGAAGCTCGGAGACTCCCTCCCAGTCATGACGAGAGAGTAGCATGCGGGTCAGTGCTGCAAGCGTCTCGGACTCCAGGCGCACATTATTCTCAAAGAGTGGGTCAAGGAATGATGAGATCTGATCCATAGAGGTGTTCTCCTGCTCTGATAAACAGAGCATCGTGATGAGCTTATTCATCAGTGGCAGGTTTTCAAGGGCCAGAGATTTGGTGTCGCGTAGCTGTTTTAGGCCCCTAAGCATTCCGTCGACGTCGCCAGCTTGAACGTAAGATTCTAGTAGCAAGAGATCCGTTTGTACATTAGCCTGCAGACCCCATTGAGCAGCCAGGGCAGCGAACTCCTCGGCCAAACGAGGGTCACCGATTGTGTTTGCGTACTCCAGCAAATTGTTCACGCAGGACATATCGAGCGACTCCTTTGCCTCGGGAGTCTTCGCCGCCAACAGCCTAACCATATCCGCAATGCCCGACGCATCTTTGCCGTGTGCAGCTTCCCAGAGCAATGTAATGCCCATGGTCTCCGTAATGGAAATTTGCGAGAGCGATCGAAATATGGGTTCTGCCCAAGCCGTTTCGGATTTGAGGATCGCATATTTCACCACGGCTTCTTTGGCGGCGAAGGTCGGCTCTTCGCAACCAAATAGAGGGCATTCAAAGATCGTTTTGACTGCCTCCGGGAGGTCGTGACGAATGAGAACCTTGACCAACTCCTCTTGGGAGGTGCAATCAAATTTGATGCCATAATCGTTAAGCTTCTCAGCAGTCCGTCTCAGTTGCGTTTTGTCGTTGTTCATAGCAAATCCTCTTATGACCGTGAGCCAAGGGGAAGGGCTAGTTTTCTGTATCCTGTTCCAGAAATATTCGACAACATGGCGTGCTTCTTCGGGGTTGCCATACAAGGCCTGGATATTGATATACGCTATGATGGCGGGTCGACTGATCTGGTTGAAGCCGAAACCATGGTCTGCACAGAGTTCCAAGTATGCGAAACGGGCCACTTTTTGAACCACTAAGCGCGACTCTGGAAGACATTGGATCTCCGACAGGACAAACAACATGTTCTCCAGGCTCTCAGTCGAAAAGACGGCCTCCCAGTCTTCGGGTTCTAGCTCGTCTCTGTGAGCTCGCAAATGCTTCCACGTCAAGCTAAGCAGGCGGGCTTGAAAACCGGTGATGACTCCCGGAGTTTCAGCTCGCACCGCAAAGAAATTCTGGAAGGCTTTTGCCAGAACATCCGTTGCCGGGCCTCTGCTTTTATCCGTCAATGCCCTCATCAGGTCCCTCATTGGCTGCAACCCTGCCTCTGATGATAGGGTTGTAGGCTGGGGACTGGCTGACGGGGCCATATTGAACGCGAAAAGTCCGCGTCGCTGAACATAGTTGGGGCTGACGAGGTCTAGCCTTCGTGACCAATGTTTATTCTGGAGGGTATGGAGGAGACGATTTCGACAACGCGCGGACGACAACGGCTCATTGTTCAGGATCGCTCGGAAAACTCGTCTAGTCAGGTGGGATTGCATGGTTGCGAAGGAAGAGAGATAAGACAAAGATGGGGAGCTAGGTGACAGGCAATTCATGCGACAGCACCATGCCTTCAGGTGGTTGTGATTCTTCATCGTCTTCGTCTTGATGCCCGGAGCCAAACGGGCGACTTGGTTGGTCATGCGGCTCTTGGCGAGAAACTCGACTCCACTCATTTCAACCTCCAACAGCTCCTTGACCTTGCTTCTACCATCGCTCGTCACTCCGCTGATTTCCTTGCTACCTTCAGTGTCAGCGGTAGATCCGATGGCTTTACAGTCTTTTTCCCGGTCGCCTTTGCGCGCCTTTGTGCCAATCATCCCAGCCATCGGCTCTATATCCCCAGGCCGGTGGAATTCCACAGCAGCCTCTGCAGCGGTTGTGTCTACTAATCCAAGTATGTTATTGAGAAGCCTAGGGGACAGATTCTGATTTTGATACCATAATTGTCTCTTTTTTTTGTTTTCACAAGACTGACGGTGGTCAACTACAGAGCCCAGAGTGTTCCACCGCCGCCGTGCACCCAACCGTCAAAAGTTCATCGAAGATCAGAAGGTCCAAGGAGAGAGTCGGATCTTGGAAAAGTTCCAAACGCGGGACTGGAAGGCCGGCGATATCTACGCTCCCCATGATCTTAGTCCATCCGAGATGAGAAAATGGAGGAAACGCTCCAGTCCGTCGAAGGATGCGTTTGATTCGTTGAATATGAATCCGTTGGATTTGTACAAGGTATGTGCGGCGTGGTATATAGATATATATATCTTCAATCTTACCTTCGACAAGGGTCTGACTGATGGGCCGCTGACTATCGTCTGTTTTCAGAACTTTTCGATCATGTCGGAGTATATGACACCTATGGGACGTATCAAACACCGAAGTACGACAGGTCTGCGACCCGTGAACCAACGGAAAATTGCAAAGGCCATCCGAAGGGCAATTGGACTGGGACTGATGCCGAGTGTCCATCGGCACCCCGAGATTCTGGCTGCAGAGCTCAAGTCGAAGTTGGATTAAAAACAGTGTTCTTTTTTCTTGTAATATTATCTCCCCTTCTTGTTATTTGTCTAACTCATGAAACTTCCTCTTAAACCGGTGTTAAAACGAGGAGGAATGATGTACTACTACTGCTACTACGGTTGTTTTGATGAACTTGGCATTGTGGGAATATACAATAGATTTTTGATTCAGCCTTTTAATCATCATTTGTAGTTAGTATTATCGACCTCTCTCATTTATAGGTCTGTTCCTTAGAAGGCCAAACACTGAAAAGGGGTCTTGAAAAGAGGCACTACTGGGCTTGACCCCACTGATACGTCAGCGGCCTCCCAAATCACCAGTAAATCAATCACTCACTCCCCAGCCTTGTTTTATTTCCCACCACCGTCCTTGCTGATTATATTGCCTACTGGCACAGTCTATCAGTCATGTCGCTTACAAACGGTTGGTCCTTTCCCCCATGCGATCGGGAGCTTGTTAGTTACTGATTGTTCATCCAGAGTCCATATGGGCCGCCAGCCCCTCTACCACGAGGGGTCAGCCCACTCAGCTCTCTTCGGACGCCAAAGGCGAGCGGCTTGCCTATGCGGTATGCTCTAATATCTCAGCGATCGAAGACATGCGTCTATCTGTCTATTTATCTATCTACATTGGCTGACAGGACCCCAACGGCCAGGCGAATAAATCTATCTTCATACGCTCGATCGACAACCCCTCCATCGCTAGGCAATATACAGAGCACAAGGCGCAGACGACGGTTGCTCGCTTCTCGCCTTCTGGATTCTACGTCGCCAGTGGTGATGCCACTGGTTTGGTCAGGGTCTGGGACTGCGTCGGTGATGGCATCACCAAGGGCGAGTATAGTATCATCAATGGCAGAATTAACGATCTTGCCTGGGATGGCGAATCTCAACGCATTATCGCTGTAGGTGATGGGAAGCAACGCTACGGTCACTGCATTACATGGGACAGTGGCAACACGGTTGGGGAGATCTATGGCCATACGCAACAGATCAACTCTGTTTCAATCCGACAGCAACGACCTCTGAGAGCTGCCGCTGCCGGTGACGACAAAAATATGGTCTTCTACCATGGAGTGCCGTTCAAATTCAATATGGGTATTCGTGAAAAGCACACCAATTACATTTACGGAGTGGGTTTTAGCCCCGATGGTTCGACCCTGGTCAGTGTTGGTGCCGACCGGAAGATCTGGCTCTATGATGGCAAGACAGGAGAAACCAAGGGCCAAATCGGGGAGGGAGAACACAAGGGTAGCATTTTGGGGGTGTCGTGGTCCAAGGATTCCCGGAAGTTTGTGACCGCCAGTGCCGATAGAACCGTCAAGATCTGGGATGCTGAAGCGGGTAAGGTCTCTCAAACCTGGAGCATTGGCGAGGAAGGCAGCACCGATGTCAAGAACCACCAGGTCGGCGTGGTCTGGCCCCCGAATAGGAGCGACAATCTCCTAATCAGTCTGTCACTGAGTGGTGACCTAAACTATCTCGAGGAGGGAACCCCTCAGCCCCGACAAGTCATTCAAGGGCACCAGAAGAACATTACCTCTCTGACATCGTTCGGCTCTGGCAGCGACCATGAAACGTTATGGACGGGCAGTTTCGATGGTAGGGTCTGCAACTGGGATGTTCCCACAGGCACTGCGGAGGAAGTGGGAGGGGACAGTCCGAAGGCGTACATCGCTGGCCTGACGCCCACTCGGGAAGGAGCCGGTAGGATTTACAGTGTCGCCTGGGATGACACCATTCGATCCGTTGACGTCGGAGTTAAAACATACACTGGAGCCTCCTCCAAACTGTCCGGGCAGCCCAAGGGTGTAGCTGCTGGAGACGCCGTGGTGTTGGTTGGAACGCCAGATAGCGTGGATATTTACAAGGATGGGCAGAAAATTGGCGATTTCAAGCCCAACTCTTTGCTCACTACGGTGGCTGCTCATGGTAGCACAGCCGCTATTGGTGGCGAGGATTCGTCCATTCAAATCTGCAGCATTGTGGGCTCTAGGCTATCCCCGAAGCTTGACATTAAAACCTCTCGGAACCCGATATCTACCTTAGCTTTCTCACCTGACGGTTTCTTCTTGGCTGCTGGGGATTCTCGGGGCCGTGTGCTCGTTTACAAAGTTGCAGACGGCAGTCTGGTCACCGATCGCTGGACCGCCCACACAGCCCGGATTACTTCTATCGCCTGGAAGGAAGATAGTACTCATGTCGTGAGCGGATCGTTGGATACCAATATCTTCGTGTGGAGCCTGGCCAATCCAGGAGACTGGCTGCAGGTATCCGCTGCTCACAAGGAGGGCGTTAACGGTGTAGCATGGATCGCCGGCGGATCAAAGATCGCTTCCGCCGGTGCTGACGCTTCCATCAAGGTGTGGAAGGTGGAAGGGTTGAAATAATTGTGGGATAGGGTGATCATAAATGGGAATAGGAGGGAGGATGGGTGCGGTAGGACTGAAAGAACCGGGTAGCTACGATGATCATCTGCTAGGCTAGCGCATCTCTTTGGCTACGTGCATGTTAAGAGGAAATAAATAGTCGATATATTGTTGTCGTTTTTGTTGTTGTCTGCAGCAGACGACAGTTGTGTATGCCCGAGATCCAAAGAGGTATTAGACCGCATTGACCAGATCAGCTCTCCACCGGACCACCAACAAACTTACGTCAGGTGCCCGCCCACTCTGGTCTCTTCTGGTTCAAGTTTTTTTTTTTTTTTTCTTTTCTTTTTTCTTTTCTTTTTATTTTCTTCTTTTTCTCTCGACCCAATAATCATGGAGTCTGCTGCGTCTAGTAGGAGGCAGAGAAATCTGAAATGAAGCTATGCCTCCGTCCGGTGATTCTTCCAGCAGCTCCCATCGCTTTGTGCGTCCAAAGAAGGTCAGTCAGTACCTAAGTAATTGTTTTTTGGTTTGAACCTGCCGGTAGGAGAAAATAAAAGGAAAACGCGGCAAGAGGATAAAGTTTAATACTGACGGACGTGTTTGGCCCAAAAGCTACGCCAGGCGACCTTCGTTTTACCGCGGACAGGTCAACGTTTGAAAGGCCTGGTTAATTTACGAAAGCCGTATCCCGAGTCGAATGGCAGCAACGATGTCGAAGAGCGTCGAGGGCTTCTCTCGGGAGACATCCGGGCCGACAGCTCAAGTGCTTCGTCCCTTCTGCAGAGGAAAATATCGGATATAGGGCGTTGGGCACATCAGTCAGTCTCATCGGAGCTGGGAATAGGTGTCTTGAAGTGCAGTCTCGCCTACCTCTTCGGGTCACTGGCGACATTCGTTCCGGGCATTGCATCGTTCCTCGGGCATCAGGATGGCAAGCATGTCGTGGCTACCGTCACGGTGTATTTTCATCCCGCGCGATCGCAGGGCAGCATGTACAAAGCGTTGATTTGTGCTCTTCTGGCCTTCCTCTACGCTGCCTTCATCTCGGTCTTAAGCATGTGTGTGTCAGTGTTTTTCCAGGATACATTACATCTTCTTCCCGTGGGTTACGCCGTAGTCCTTGTTGCTTTTTGCGGCGGTGGCCTAGGATTCATTGGATGGACGAAGCAGAGGGTGGGTGACCCTCTCGTCAACGTCGCCTGTTCTCTCGCGTCACTTTCAATAATTACGGTCTTGACGAAAGAAGGTGCAGTACAAAATGGAAATTTTTCCTTTGACAAAATATCCCAGGTTCTGAAAATGGTCGTGATGGGTGTTTTCGTTACCATGGCAGTGTCCTTTGTGATATTCCCGATCTCCGCAAGGAAGAAACTTCGCTCCAATCTTACTACAGTCACTGAGACGCTGGCGACGATGTTGGCTCTAATCACAGAGAGTTTTCTAAGCGGCTCTGAAGAGGAGATCCAGACGGCGGAATACATCAGCGCATCTGCACGTCATAAGCAAGCTTATAATCAGCTTGATAAACTTGTCAGGGAAGCCAAGTTGGAGCATTTTGTGGCAGGAACTGAAAAGGAATACCGGTTGGAGAAGAAGCTCGTCCGCTGGGTCCAGGACATAACACATAATATGGGAGGTCTACGAAGTGCGGCTGTGCTGCAATTTCAGCTCCTAAAACAAACTCATCTCGCTGAATCAGTGCAGTTACATGGCCATACAACGAGTATAAATTGCGTTGGCCTGGGCCCTGTACCATTACTGAGTCCATGGTCGCTCCACGAAGAACCCCCGTTCTTAGAACGAATTGACGAGCGGCCAGAAGAAGAAAGCTCAGATGTTTTCAGTGAAGATTGGTCCAATTCAGGCCTAGAGTCTCATACGGAATCCGAAACCAACCAGGCCCTTCTTCCCGCTGAGATATTCGCGCTGTTCATCAACCATCTGGGACCCTCCATGGTAAAGAAACCCGTGAAGTTGCCCCTTGTATCCCCTTGTATATGAAAGACCGCTGCTAACAATTGGCAGCGATCGCTTGCTTTTACCATCAAAGAAATATTTCGTGAGATTCCGTTTAAGCCCGGACCCTATTATCAGGTCTCGGTCAACAGCAAGTTTCGCACGAGTCTCGATCGTGCCCTCGAACTCTACCGAGAATCACGGGAATCTGCTCTAAACACGATATATAGACACAAAGAAGTTCTTAAAATCCGGACGTTGGAGGTCGAAGCTGATCTTGAAGAGGTCTCCGCCAGCTGTGGTCATTTCAGCTTTTCCCTGCTTGAATTTGGCGAGCAGCTGAAGGACCTGCTCACGATCCTAGATGAACTGCAACTTGAGGCCGAGGAAAGGCCCAATGGGAGATCTTGGAGCTGGTTGAAGTTCTGGCGCCGAGATGGGCCGGGCCAAGGGAATAGGGATGCTCTGGACGCGGGTAAGTTCACCGAATTCATGCGATAAGACCAGGACGTCTGGGTGGATGCTGAACAGCCTCAGAGCAGCTATTGATTGAGCGAAATCCCGTCGAGTGTGACAACGGTCTCCAGTTGAACGTGCCCAGCTCCACGCAGTCGCGAAGGAAACCAGCGGTAACAGAGCGACCGCAAGGAGGTCGGCCTGCGAAGAGGAGACTCGCCTATCGCATATGGAAGTCGCTGGGGGTGTTTAGACGAGATGATACCAAGTTCGCGATCAAGGTCGGTGCAGGGGCCGCCCTGTATGCCCTGCCGTCGTTTCTCTCGTCCACCAGACCGGTCTACTCGCACTGGAGGGGAGAATGGGGTTTACTGTCCTACATGTTGGTTTGTTCAATGACCATTGGGGCCTCCAACACGACTGGATATGCACGGTTCCTCGGAACCTGTTTGGGAGCTCTCTGTGCCATCCTGGCATGGTATGTAACGGGCGGCAACGTTTTCGGACTCGCATTTTTAGGGCTCCTTATGGCGACATGGACCTCCTATCTCATACTTGTCAAAGGACAGGGTCCTATGGGGCGTTTTATCATGCTAACATACAACCTCTCCGTTCTCTACGCCTACTCGCTTACGCAGCAGGATGGTCCGGACGATCAAGACGAGGGTGGTGACACTCCGTTCATTACCGAAATTGCCCTTCATCGAGTAGTTGCAGTGCTATCGGGCTGCATCTGGGGTGTATTCATCACCCGAATGATCTGGCCGATCAGTGCACGGGAGAGGCTCAAGGACGGTCTGAGCCTCCTATGGCTACGACTGAGTCTGATCTGGAAACGAGGCGCGTTGTCCACGATGGCGGATTCCAGATGCTTCATGAGTCCGCGAGAGAAGCTGGAGATCGAACGATTTCTGTCACATCTGGAATCCCTCCAGGCGTCCGCCCGCTCCGAGTTCGAATTGAGATGCCCTTTCCCCGATGCCGCGTACAGTAATATCCTCCGGCGCACAAGGACCTTAGTGGACGCATTCCTCGCCATCAACCTCGAGTTGGTCAAGAATATGACCGCGTCGGAGGGAGAACTGACAATTCTGGAGTACACTGCCCAGGAGAGACTGCAGCTCTCTTCCCGCATTAGCCATCTCCTCTCTGGTGAGTACCTGCCCAGATCACACAAGAAGCAGCGACTGACCTACGGTCGACAGTCATGGCTTCATCGATGAAGCTGGAATATCCGCTGAGCGAGGTTCTTCCGAATATTCAGCACGCCCGCGATCGACTTCTGGCCCGTTTGTTCCGCTATCGTAAAGACGCCGAAGTCTCGCGGTTGTCGACTGATGAAGACTATGCTCTGCTTTATGCGTATAGTAAGTGCCACCAGCTGTCCCGGCCGATTCCGACGCGTTCTATGCAACTAATGTTTTAATTGATAGTTCTTGTGATTGGACAATTGTCCGTCGAGATTGAGGAAATAATGGACGAGATCAGTCGACTGTTTGGGGTTCTCAGTGAGGATGTAGTGAGGTTATACTAGAGTCCTTGGATAGGTGCTGCGATGAAAGGGCATATGGATTTAGTGTGGCGGACGTATAACTCGTAGAAAATGAAACGCGCGTCTTCTATACGAGAAGAGGATCTCTTTATAGTTTTTTTCTTTTTTATTTTCAATTTCTGGGGTTGTTCTGTTCTGAAATGGCGGGGAGGGCAAAAAAAAAGGGAGGCCAACCTCAGGATTTCCATTAGGTAGATTCATCCATTCCTCCGCTTCCATAACTTCAACCATCAAACCACCATCCTTTCCGTCACTATTCCATCAGTTTTCGATTTCTCCCATCTTTCTTCTCCTCCTGCCGAACGCTCAGATTGTTCTGACATGAATAACCCTTCATGAACACCTAGTTCTCCTTCCCCCCCTTCCCCACCCCCCCGGCTTCGCGCAGCCAGTCGCGCCCTCTACAAGCCTCAAAATCATGCAGATCGACCCGGCTGCTCTGAGTCGAACGGACTCTGCCTCGACTACGATCCCGTCGTCCAAGAGTACTGCTCCCAGTGCTCCAGCGACCCAGAAGTCAACCAAGGCGCTGATTTCCGTTCCGCGCTTGGACCTCGAACCCATCTATACAGAGCTGAAAGCTGCCATCGGCGACAATTGGGCTGAGTATAAAGAGGCCATCACACTCTTTCTTTTAGGTATGCATGCCATATGGATGCGTATTAGTACCTTGCGAATTCTCTTCCGCCTTATGTTCACCAGGCTGATCTTCTATTTTCTGCGTCTCAGGGCAGCTAAATCAAAGCGAAATCTCCGCGCGCGTCGACCATATAATATGCGCCGATCAGAAGACAGAGCATCTCCATAACAATTTCATATGTGCAATTATTGGAAACCTCACGAGAGACCTACCAGACCATGGCGTTGCAAGCTGGGTATCGGCGAACGATAAACCATCGGTGGTTTCGAAGCCGACCTCGGGCGATGCAGCGGAGCAAAGACTTAAGACGGAAGTTATGCAATTGCCCCCCAGAGATCGGCGGAGAGTCAAGGCAATTCCAGAGGTAAGACATATAAAACTGCGAAGGGTGACCCCAAGACTTTTGTGCCGCGACTCTAACCACGCTGTTCTTCGCAGCGCGACCCCGATGAAACCGTGCCCAGTGAGCTGGAGGAATACCATCTGGCGAAACAGATCAAGTTGCCTAGTCAAGTACCAGCGAGCGCGGGTGGCTTGAATAAGACGAGTAGGTTCACGCCCTGTCCTTAAAATTTGGGGCTGAAGGAGACTTACCATCCCGGTCGGCGATAGATTGGGAGCTAGAAATCCGAAAGCGCTATGCGCAGCCCTTAGCATCTGAGACTGGAGAGTTTCCGGACGCAGAGTCTATACACGCCCGCATGATCCCAATCTGCTACGAAGAATCCATTGTAAGTGGGGCAGGCTTCCCCTGCGCCGAGTTCATGGCAATTGCTACGGAGACATTTGTGAAGGAAGTCCTCTCCGTCGTCTTTTCACGAACCCGGTCTAATGGTCCATCCGGAACGATCAATGGTATGATGATGCGCAAATACCGGCAACAACTTGAACGAGAAGAGCTTGCGTTTACACGCGGAGAGATTGTCAAAGACGCCGCTACTGGTTTGCTCCCTGTTGAAGCTAAAGAGGCAAGCATCAGGAAACCTCTAGGGATCCGAGATCTTCGGTTAGCCTTGGAGCTTGGGGGAGGACTTCTTAGTCATATGCCTTTGATCGTGGATCAGATCATGGGTGGCTATCTCGAGGACGAACTGGAGATCGACAAGCAAGACCGAGTCGACGAGGCGGCGGAAACGACTAATGGCACCACGAGGTTGAACACCTTGACAGACGAAATGGAAATCGACGATGTGGAATCAGATTGGGAGGGGGGTACATTAGCAGAACGCAATCAATTAGGCGCCTTGCTCGACGACTGCCTGTCTATGGCCGCGTGAAGGATGGATTCTGCTCCATTTTCCTAGCAGATTCTCTCTTATGCTTCCTAATCCTTTCGACTTTACTCCTTTACCTTTTTTTTTTTTTTATTATTTAAGCCGTGACACGTCGATCCAACGGAACAAAGGACTTCGGCATCTCAATTGCAACGGCGTCCTGGGAGTAAAACATCATGGAAGATTATCATTGGGCGGTGATATGGAAGAGTGGTTTTTATAGCATTGGGACGGAGTTTTCTCTTTTCTATTATCTCTTTTCTTTTCTTTTTTTCTTTTTTTTTTGAATTCTTCGTTATTCTGGTTTCCTTTTCCTTCGTTCCTTCATTTCCCCTGCCAGGGACTGTCATCCTCTATACTCACTTCTCCCTCCGTGGACCTTGCCTCTTGGGTTGAGTTCCTTTGAGAATCTACGATGAAACAATGTCTGTAGGTACTCCCCGGACGAAACTCCCCTCCTTTTTACAATATGGGAAAAAAAGGAAAGGAAGGGAAAGAAGGGGGCTAGAAAAACCGCCCAATCCGTTCGATACCCATTGCTGCTTGATTTACAATTTTTTCCCTCTTAGTATCTAGCAGGAGAGCAGCAGAAGGCCAATTGATTTCGAGCAAAAGGCATGAATATATGGCCATGCTGCATCCTGCCGGTATCCCTATATACTGAGAAATATTGGAGAAACAACGGTGTTCTTGAACTAACCAAATAAAAGAAAAGGAAAAAAAAAAAAAGCAAGTTTTATCTTTCTTTTCACACTGTCCTCTTTCCTGCTTTGTATGTATGTACAATATTTTTGCCTTTCCAGGTTGACTATAGAAGAGCGGCCATCTTACGAGAGGGCATTTGAAACGAATACATTGCCAGGCTTGTTTGCAATGCCAAAAAAAAAAAAAAAAAAAAAAAAAAAAAAAAAAAAAAAATATCTTGCTGTCGACCATGACCTAATGATTTCCTTAACTGTAGCAACCTCAACGCCAGAATTCATGGTCATACAAAATTACGTTGCATAAAATAGGATAGTAAGTAGTGCCGTCAGACCGCAAGTCTCTAGAACACTCAGGAAAGACGGTCAGCAACCATCTTCAGGATCTCTTCTGTCGGGTGTTGTGCATTCGCCGGATCCTTGGCTACTGATTGCCAGATTTCTCCATGCTTGGGTTCAGTCGAAACGCATTTGGATATTACGTCCGCTCGTTTTTCCTAGATTAGTTCAGCCAGATTAACTAGGATCTGACAGTGGGAAAGCGAAAAAGACAGAGGGGCTCACCTCAGTACCATGCTGCAATAGGAACTTATAGTACCATGCCCAGCCATCCCCAAGATCGCTGTCGGAGACAATGGCTTTCTCAAACCAGGTCATCGCTTTCTCCAACCGACGCTCCCCCCAAAAGATCCGCGCCACTGTAATAAAGAGAATTGGATCATTTTCTACCTTCTTGATTGCCTCCAAACTACGCGCCTTTCGTTGCGGCCGGGGCTCGAGGTACCAAATGCTTTCGCTCCATAATAATCCGGATGTCGGCACTTCCTGCAACGCCTTCGCCATTAGGACCTTTGCCTGGCCGATATTGCTCGCACGCCTCTCTACCCGAACACTTTCTGTCCACAACTCCGCGCTCTTCGGAACGGCAAGGCGAGCTCTATCAAGAACCGAGCGGGCTTTGACGACGGCTCCGGCCTTTTCCTCCAGCCTTGAGGCCAACAACCAGAGGGGAGCAGACTTGGGACAGGCTCTAACACCGGTCCCATAAGCTTCCCGAGCTTGGGGGTATTTATTCTGAGACTCGTAGATCTGACCTTTCATCATCCAAAGCTTGTCAGCCTTAGGATAGAGTTGAAGGCCTTGGTTCACAAGATCGAGCGCCTCATCGACATTATTTAGTTGCCGTTCAAAGGCTACACTCTTGACCCAGACACGGTCCGTGCCTGCTTCACGACGGGCGGTAGCAAGGAGCTCCCGGGCTTGATCTGTCTGCTGGGCATCCGCTTCAAGCTTGACAGCAGCCAGCCAGATATCTTCGTTGTTGGGATTTTGATTAAAGGCACGACCAAGTACTCGCCTGGCCTCGTCGATCTCCCCAGTCTGCCACTTCTCCTTCGCGAGCTGCAACCATAGTTCTTCACTCTGCGGGCACGCTTCGACGGCTTTCTCGAGAACTTGCCATTGTGCCTCTTTACTGCCATGATTTCGTTCGAGATCTGCCGCTGCTAGCCAAATTGACCGGCGATTGACAAAGACACGCAACGCATACGCGTAGATGGCCCTAGCAGTCTCATACTTTCCTCTTGCAATACTAGCCTTCGCATCGTCCATCCAAATGTCTTTCCTGTCATCATCCTCATCTAGACCCCACCCAAGGGTCTCTCGTATGATCGCACCGCAAGTGAGAATCGCACCTTCCTCCTCACATTTTTCTGCTTCGGCTATCCATTCTTCTCTCTTCAGCATCGCATTTTCCCTAGCCAGCGACTGCACCGCTCTTTTCATAACATTAATTTTACTGAAAGTGCCCATTTGTTCTTGCAGACGCGCTGCAGCAATCCAGATTTCATGGCTAGTGGGAACAGCCTTTCGAGCGGCATTCAAAACCTTTTGAGCATTTTCGGGAGTCTCAAGCCGCGCAAGAGCAAGCCATAGCTCCACAGATAGCGGTATCATTTCAACTGCCTTTGCCAAGAGGAGGCGTGCATCTGCCGGATCATCTTCTAGATTCACGGCTTCTTTCCAGATGGCAACAGACTGAGGTATGTGGAGAATGGCCTGTCGTAACACGTTCTTCTTTGCACGAGGCTCCGATTCCAACCGCATAGCTTCAATCCAGAGCCTCGTGGAGCGATCATTATTCTTTATAGCGTTCGCAGCTATGATCTTGGCGTTATGCCCTTCGTTAAGCCGGATATTTTCAAGCCATCCATCCTCACTTTTTGGACATAACTCGCAACCCTTCGCAATAATATTTCTGGCAGCCACAATCCTGCCGGCAAGTTCTTCCAAGCGCGCAAGTGCAATCCAACCGGGAGCATGTTTGGGATTCGTCCTCGTCACAGATTCCAGTAACACACGAACTCGCTTTATATCTCCTATTTCCACCTCACCGGCTTTGAGTTCCGACTGAGTGAGACTCGTAAGATATCCCTTAGGATCAATATTGGTCGCACTTCCCGAGGCCGAGTCGCCAGATGACCCTATAGCAGCTTGGTCGAGCCTGACTTTCAGGACCTTATCACGGGCAGCACTTATATCCGCAAAATTCGTAATAGCTCCGTCTGTCCCTTCCGTTCCTCGGACATCTGTAGCGGCGCCATCATCTGTAACGGTGGTTTCAAACTGGGTGGAGTCTCTTGCACCAGCAATAACACTGTCTGGAACGGCATAAAATCGTTGGCGAAGGTTTTGTTTTGCCCGTCTATTCTTCCCCGTAAGGTCTCCAATCTCCGGAAGACTGGCCCACTGGTCTTCAGAGACAGAAGCTAATGATCGTTTCAGGTCCGCGAACTGCTGTTGAATCTTTGGATTTTTACGCTCATAGTCTTCCTGTTCTTGGCGTTCTCGAGCTTCCCTATAGGTTACAAAGGAATCAAGTTGATATTCTGTTCAAGAAACCGGGAGTGAACCCGATGAACAAATCTTGTAACAATGAAAGGGCAAAAAAAAAAAAAAAAAAAAAAAAAGGGCAGGGCAAATGTAGAGAGGCAGTATGGAAAGGGAGGGGACAAGGTACCAACCGTCTTGTTTTCCGGCGTCTATCCATCTTCTCATCTACCTCCCTGTAAATTCGATCCGCTTCATCGTCTTCTTGGTCGAATTGCCCGTATGCGAAAAGCCCAACTTCATTGTCTGGGTCCTGAAAACGATCGTCGTCTTCTTCCTCCTCTTTTTCGTCTTTGCCACCCTTCTCACGCCCTGCGCCGTATGCTGTCGGAGGGGCTGCCCCGAGTAACTGTGCCCTTTTCGCAAGAGCAGCCTGAATTTGCTCTGGTGTAGGGCCTTCTCGCGCAGGCCCCAGATCCGAACGAGTGGTGAAACCCGTCGCGCCTCTACCTAGACCGGCAACATAATTCTCGGGCGCAGGCTGGCTTAAAAAGTCCTTCCGACCAGAAGCCATGGTAACTAAAGTAGTTAAGGAGGATGGAACGCTCTGGCTCCGCTAGATACTGACAAGGCTATGCCGGGACCATGAGGAATCACGGCCGAGAGGTGAAAGCTGCCAAAAAAGGAAATTGTCGCAGTATTATTGTTCCGGCCCACTTATCTTATCAACTCCGCATGATCTTCTACCCTTTCGGTAAAATCATAAAAAAAAAAAAAAGAGCGACACAGAAGGGATTCAGGCTCATAATTGAATCTCGTCCTCCCTCTTGTCAGTACGATAACTTCATATCTTCACAGCCTCTTCCTGTCTCCCTTTTTTGTGATCACCCCCTACATCCAGTTCCCCTCATGCCGAAAGTGAAGCAGAAGAAGCGCAATGGCGCTTCCAATTCCAATCCCTATGCCGATGCTGCAGTCAAGGCAAAAGCCGCCCACAACGTCTTCAAAATGAATACAGATATAGGCCAGCATATTCTGAAGAATTCCGGGATAGCCGATAAGATTGTGGAAAAGGCGGACTTGAAGCAGAGCGACGTGAGTCTCTTTTCGAGGTTTTCTTGGATATCCAAATTTCACTTCCCCTTCCTAACTGGCTTCATCCTACAGGTGGTGCTTGAAATAGGTCCCGGAACGGGCAATCTTACTGTCAAAATGCTTGAAAAGGCAAAGAAAGTCATCGCCGTGGAATTAGATCCCCGTATGGCTGCTGAAGTCACAAAACGTGTCCAGGGAACTCCGGCCCAGAAGCGACTAGAGGTCATCCTTGGAGATGTGATAAAAACTGATCTTCCATACTTTGATGTCTGTGTCAGCAACACTCCATACCAGGTATGCTCTATATCTAGATGTTTTTGGTTTGCCAGTATCTAAATTACTCCTGCCAGATTTCATCACCCCTCACATTCAAACTCCTTGCCACCTCACCAGCACCTAGAGTTTGCATTCTCATGTTCCAGCGTGAATTTGCCCTGCGACTCTTTGCCAAACCAGGTGACAAGCTTTACAGTCGTCTTTCCGTCAATGCTCAAATGTGGGCCAAAATCGACCATATTATGAAAGTGGGCAGGAACAACTTCAAGCCCCCTCCGCTGGTCGAATCTAGTGTAGTCCGCTTGATTCCGAAGAATCCACGGCCGCAGATTAATTATGACGAGTGGGATGGTTTGCTGCGGATCGTCTTTGTAAGAAAGAATAAGACCATACGATCTAGTTTTCTTGGCAAATCTACCATCATGGACATGCTGGAGGCCAATTATCGGACCTGGTGTGCACAGAATGACATCCCGGTTGAGGACGGTCACGTGGAAACCACCGATACGGACGTTATGGACATTGGCAACATCCAAGAAGACGAGGAAGAGCTAGACGAAACCATGGAGCTGGATGACGACGACGACGTGCCCGATTTTTTCAAAGAAGAAGCGAACAGTCGCGTACAAGAAGCTCTCAAAAACCGACCAGCTCGTAAAAAAAGGGGGAAGGTGGCTGAGTTGGTCCGAGAGAAGGTGCGGCAGGTCTTAGAGGATGAGACGCAGCTTGGAGAGAAACGTGCCAGGATGTGCGACGAAAATGATTTTCTGAAACTGTTATGGGCATTTAACCAAAAGGGCTTCCACTTCAGTTGAAAGTCAACCGAGAAGGAGGAGCATTCTTTGTTTCTTCTTTTATTTCTGTTTTAGGTGCGCCAAGTATATAAAGCCGCAGATTATTAATGAATTATGATTGCCCATCATTGTAAGCCATTCTCAGGAGACCGGTCACCAGCAGGACGAAGATGAGCCCGAGAGTCCTGGAACAAACTCTGCCAGATAAATGCCTCGCTTAGCAGAAGCTCTATGTCTTTTTCTGTCCAATCCCTGGTTGGTAGAGCTTGCAAGAACATCATTACCTCCTGAGACCGTTTAGCATACTCGCCTGCAGGCTATCTAAGGTATTCGTTCTTCGAGTGCCTACCTGGAAATCCATTTTCACCAACTGGTCCGACCATTTCACCAGAAATGCTGCACATACGTATAGATGAAATCGCGAAAAGCCCTGCTCCTCGGCCTTAAAGGCTAATATCAGTACCTCTTTGATCCATAGTCACAGGATTAGGGACACAGCGACGGAACTTACCATATACGTGTCCCACATTCGTATGGTATTTTGGACGCTCATCTCCCGCATCAGCAGACAATTCATCCATCGGAAACTAAACTGCATAAACTCGACTCCCTCCTTCTCCAAATGTTTCGCCAGAGTCGAGTCGATTCGCATTGTCAAGTCACGTAGCGCTCTAACTTGCCTGTGGATACCCGGTTGCGCATATATATAATTGTCCTGGATGCCGTCCAGAAGCTTTGTAAGACACCAGAAGGAGTCCGCTTCCACGGCATCCAGCACACTTCTTGGCAGTTGGCCTGGGTCCATGCCCTCTTCAACGTTCAGGTCCGTGACGTAGACACCCAGAAAGACTTGCCAAAAGGGAGTAACAAGATCATTTATTCCTTGAACATAGCCGCTTGCTGGATGGCGAATAGCCCAGAGATAAAGAATTCTTTCAAGGGAACGTTGGGTGGCTTCATAGCTGTAAAGCTGGATGTGGGGGCTAGTGCGGGGAACGTCTATGCTAATTTGATGCCATATTGCTTCATCCAAGCCTCTGCCACGGCCTGTAGCCGATGCAGATGGGTTTCCAGAGATGGCAGCGTTGCTGCGCTCAAAGGCTTGCCTGACCCCGTCAAGATACTCTTTCCGCTTTCTTTCAAGGGTTGTAATACGCCGTTCACTATTCGTGGGGAGGTAACCGAGAAGCAGTTGCCAGGTCATGGCTCGTACTTCACCAGAAACTCCTGACCACGCCAGGTTTCTCAACTCCAATAAAGGAACCGTGCTTGTTTGCAGTAGGCGTTTAAACTTGTTGATTCTCGATATGCGACTCCAGTACATATCCATTTCTTTCGGCGTTGCATTTTTAGGAGGCGGAGAATGGTTAATTAGATTTAGGGCGTTTGCGGGATCTTGAAAAATGAAAAGGATCTACTCGTTAGCTTTGCAAACCCATGTATAATATTCAGCCGTATTCCTTTACCTCTTAGAATGTCTTTGTATTGAGGCCGAAGAATTTTATCCTCCCCCTTGCGGGCTGTGGGATACATTGGGACGCCACGTTCCTCTGCGATATCTGAACTGTTTGCGCGTTGCCTGTTGTTTGCTAAGCCAATTCCAAGTCTCATAGCATTGCTCTCAAACCCACCCCCTGGATCGACGTTCTTGAAAGGGAGAGTGCCAGCACTCTGAGTCTGTTTTTTCCTCATGCTAGCAAGGCTAGGTAGTCCAAACTCATCCTCGTCATCGTCAAACACCAGATCCCCCTCCTCCTCATCTTCTTCCTCGTCTGCTGTATGGGCACGTCCCAATGAGTCTATTCCCTGACTCATAATACCGGAGTATGATGTCCGAGGCGGGGTGGCCCAAGTACCTGGGCGATGTGAAGATGGAGAAATGTGGTGAGAGTTAGCGGGTGTCGACCGAGAGGGTGTTCGCGGGCGTATATGTTGTTGGTGGGTGCCTCTAGAACAGTAAAAGACCCATCGGTTAGTTTTGTATTCAACTGAAAACCTATATACGCTTTCTGAACGTGGTAGTCTAACTTTAGGATGTTCGCGTGGGAATATGAAGCACCAACCACGGTGCTTCGTTCACGTGGTTTAGAAGAAGCTGATCTTCCCTTCCAGAATGGCGAGACTTCCCGTCTTTGAAACAATTAGCTCAGTACATTCCTGAAGGAAAGAATATGCAGAAAGCGTGATACAGAAGATATAATAGTATCAGCAAAGGGTTGAGCGTACTCCGAATGGTCTGTCCATTGAAAGTGGGGAGCTATATCAGCCACGATAACCGGACTCATCAAGGATTTAAGAAGAACGAACCAACCTGAACCATTTCCTTATTGGTATCGCGAGAGAATATCAGCTTTTGTAGGAGGGAAACTGTAGCTGCCCAGACTTACCTGTTGCTGGCCCCTTTTAGCGTCCATTGGGCAAAGTGACTTGGCGCGGAGGAAATGGTATCAACAGAAAGACAAAAGCAAGAGACACACGGGGTTGCGGGGGCTTTGCGGGCACCACTGTGACATGAGTCCAGCAACCAGAAATCAGGGCAATCGCTGGATTTTTAAAAATTATAAATCAAATAAATCAAATAACAACGATGATAATTTAAGGAGCTGCAAGACCTCACAGATGCTGCAAGGAGACAAGCCCGTCCAAATAGCAAGACGTTTCCTGGATTGGTTTGGTAGAAGCATACGGAGTAGACCTACAAGGTACAGAGTACTTGGTACAGTGACTAGGTTCATCTTGTGTATAGATACCGTTGTACATGGTATGGTATGGTAATATATGTCCGTCCGTACTAGGTACTGAATATGTCCAAAAACAAATAGATAGATGCAAGTGTACCTAGTGGATGCTGTACATACAATACAGCATACTGTACAGTGTATTGTGACTTACCATACACAAGGTCGGAAGAACTCAACCTCACCTTCCTTCTCTCATTTCTCTCACTTCTTTCCCCATCACTGATGTGAAATCCTCTTCTTGACCCTTTCTCAACCCGCAAATTATAAGCAGGTGGATTATCACTCTTGATGAAGGCTTTCTTAAATACTCTTACTACATAGGATACTGGCTGCAGTTAAATCACCTGTTCTTTTTTCTTTTTTTTTTTTGTAGTTCATTACCGCAATGGCTGAACCAGAGGACGTCGAGGAAGATCTTTTTGCTGATTTGTAGGTCTCTCTATCTCTCCCTCTTTATATATATTCCCCTAATCGATAGAATAATTCCCTGACCCTGTCTGTCCTAGGTATGATGCGGATGACGCGGGAAATCAAACGACGTCCGCGGTTGAGACTTCTCAAGTTCCCCATGCTATCCCTTCAGACACGTCTGCTCAATATTCTAGCACTCCTCACGCACAATCTTTCGAACAGGTCCAGGAGCAAACTGGAGATTCGCGTGACATTTATCAAAATCCACAATCCCAAGGCGGGTTCCAAGGTAGCGGTGGCGATTTAGATCCTGTTTTTGGACATAATGTTACCATTACTCCGGCGGAATCTGAGCCTCAAGGCACTGGCATCAAAGAAGATGGGTAAGTTTTACTTTTGCAATTTCACAAGTTCCGCCCTGTCCCTTTGCGCTTGGAATAGTAAATCGATACTCGACTTGGCTTCGCAATTTGGTGGCAACATGCACAGTTTCATTTACGTGGGGGTATCATGAAGAGAGTTCGTGAGAGAAAGACAGACAGAGTGAGAAAGAGAGCGTGTGTCTCTGTGAGGGTCGGAGAGAGGTCAGGAATATATCTTTCATGCTCCTTTCTCGATCACTTTACACTTGGGTGGTCTTCGATGGCGGTGGCGATTGCCTTCTGGCTTTCCAGTGGCTGTGTTTACAGCCTAGGTTCATGAGATGCCTCTATTGAGATAGCGTGGTGCGATGGAATCAGGATGATATTTTTAGGTCTGGGTTGAGGTCTCTTCCAGCTGAGTCCAAACTTTATTGCTAGAAAGAATGGAGCCACGGTCGCTATGTTATGGAGCTACTAGATTCCGATCAAATTCAGCGATGGTGATCAATCTGGTGGAGAAGTTATCTCCGAGGTCAAGACCAGAATCCATGTGGGATACGTCATCCAGACGGCATCGGCGTGACTGTCGCAAAGACAAATATCGGATTTCTGACTCTACGAAACATTGTCGCGAGCCACTATAGTACAGCCGATACTATATAGCTTCTTGTCAATATATCTTGATAGAGCAGTGCAGAACAAGGAGTAGAAGCCTTGGCTGTGTGTGGCATTGTCGAACAATTTTACCTAGCTTCGGACTCTACTAGACAGACAGGCAAGCCAGAATTTCTTGGTCAGACAGAGAAAGAAAAGAGAAAAAGGTTCAATTTTTGGGCCTGACATACTCTTAAATCGTGGTCTGTTGTCACCTTCGTGCCGAGACACTCCCTGTTTGGCTTTCAGTCCACTGGGTCGTTTCGTAAACCTGTGGATAGTTGACTAGATATCTGGCTAAAACAACGTGCCAACGAGCCCCGTCGCAATCCTTGTCAATGTATGCATGACGCGGTCCGACACGATGGAGTTCCTCCATGTCATTTGCTTTCATCCATTCGAAAGTCAATGGCAGTGCCACCGTCTGTCTCTCGTCATGTTGAGTTACGAATCTTCGAATACTGGAAAATATAGAGACTCCGTTGAGCATGCCACAATATCAGACTGTATTCAGCACGTCCTTCAATCTGGAAACGGATTTTATTGACTCGACGTGCTTGCACCGCACGTTCATTATGGCCAACTAATATGCAGACACCCACGTCTAGAGATTCCGCTCTTTCCTTCTTGCCCTTTTTTTTTTCTTCTTTCTCTTCTTTTCTTTTTTCGTTTTCTTTTCTTTTCTTTTCTTTTTTTTTGGACGTTTGGGTATTTTATGGAACACATATCTCTATACAAGGAGAAGCTCCCATAGCGTCGTATTGCGCTGAATGAAGAGATATACTGATACACTTCTGTGAATAGGAAAATGTTCATCGGCGGGTTGAATTGGGAGACGACAGACCGTAGGGTACCCCTTATTTTTTCCAGGTCGATGTTGATAGTCTAACTTTCAGTGCTAGAGTCTCTAAAAGATTATTTTTCCCAGTTTGGAGAAGTACAAGAATGTACTGTAATGCGTGACAGCGCAACAGGTCGTTCAAGGGGCTTTGGGTTCTTAACGTTCAGAGACCCCAAAACAGTCAACACGGTGATGGTTAAGGAGCATTATTTAGATGGCAAGATTGTAAGAACTATCTCATTTGTGCGCAAAGAGTCGTTGGCTTACTTCTCCCGGAGATTGATCCGAAACGCGCGATTCCTCGTGATGAGCAGGAAAAGACAAGCAAGATCTTTGTCGGAGGCGTCAGTCAGGAGGCGAATGAGCAGGATTTCAAGCAATTCTTTATGCAATTCGGTCGCGTCATCGACGCAACCCTAATGATCGACAAGGATACTGGCCGGCCCCGTGGCTTTGGCTTCGTTACGTTCGACAGTGAGGCCGCTGTTGAAGCAGCGCTTTCGCGTCCTCTCGAAATTCTCGGGAAGCCCATAGAAGTCAAGAAAGCACAGCCACGCGGAAATTTGCGCGACGAAGAAGACCGCAGGAACCGCCGCGGCAGGGACGGCTTCCGAGAAGGAAGTCAGACGGGCACCGAGGGATCCCAGCAGCAGCAGCAGGGTGGTCAAGGGCAAGCTGGGGGTCTCACACCGCAAATGATGGCGCAGTACTGGCAGCGGATGCAACAATACTTTGCCATGATGCAACAGCAAATGGCGGTGGCTACGGCTCAGGGGCAAGGCATGGGAGCGATGGGGATGGGCGGAATGAATCCTGCCATGATGCAACAGATGCAAATGAAGCAGATGCAGCAGATGCAGATGGGCAACAATCAACAGCAAGGAAATCTGAGTCCTCCTTCGCAGAGCCCGACTCCCCAGGGGATGCCGCCACAGGGGATGCAGAATATGATGAATCCCTCCATGATGCAGCAGATGCAGCAGATGCAGCAGATGCAAAATCAAGGCCAGGGCAATACTACCGGGGCAATGGCAGGGCAGATGGGAAATACTTTGGGAGGTGGCACTAATATGGGGATGGGAGGCAATAGTCCTGGAAATATGAACATGGGTGGAAACTTCACGGGAGTCCGCGGTGGACCTGGGTACAATGCTCACGAGCAGATTGCCTTTGAGCAGCAAAAATACGAACAGCAGCAGGCACGGCGGGCTATTGAGAACCGAGCTTTTTCCCCCTACCAGCAGGGTGGTCCAACCTCGTGGGAAGGTATGTACGATGAAGTCCCACAGCCCAATATCCCCACGGGGCCTCAGGCCATGAATCGCGCTGGCAGTATGGGACGCGGTATGTACTTGCAATCCTTCCCGGTCATCATCTTTTTGAATATCGTTCTGACCCATTCATTGCCAATCAGGGCCGACACCGCAACCTCAAAGCGCCGCGCCTGCCAACGCGCCAACTGGTCCCAAGAATGCTGGAAAGCCCGGCGCCAATTACCGCGGTGGAGGCCGCGGAGGCCATCGTGGCTTTCATCCTTATGCGCGAGGCTAAGTGAAAATGATTTTTGTTACTGTTTTCCCTTTTTCCCATGTTGACTTTATTTCCTTTCATTTTCTTCTTTTCACACAAACACACACACCCCCCTCTCTTCGTTTAATATGCTCTCCTCAGCCCTTCCATAGTCTTTGCGCGCTAAGCGTCGCGCAGCAACCCCTTATGTGGGCTGTTAGGTTTATATATCCAGGCCACAGAACGATCGAGGGGGGACGGCACTGCTTCTAATGTATTCATACAAATGATGCTCTTACTCTATACGGTCTTGTTCCTTTCACCCTCATTGGCTCTTGTTCCAGCCCGAGTCAGCAGGGACGATGGGCAAAAAAATAGCACTACGTATGGTCTAGAGACGCTTGACAAATTATTGCCATTCATCACTTCGACCTCTCTTCTGCTCCCATATGTATCCATGATGCCCTTGTTCCCTTGCCTGCGTAGAAGAGAAATTTCGCCGTAGTAACCGTCATACAGCCGTCTAGTGGACGTCTATCGATGGCCTACATATAGTACTAGATATGACACATAAGTCACTACTCCCCATTGCCTACTGCCAGCAAACGTGGACGTATATACTCATCATATCACAATGAAAAGAGAAATTTTTCAGGCATAGATCGAAACAAATGAATGACAAGATGCTGGCTATACTTGGGCAAGTGAGAGTGTCAATGCGCCAAGAAGGAAAGGCAAGGAAAATGACAGGTAGAATTGGAAGAAAGATACAGATAAGCCCAAGCAACAGCACAGTACACATATATATCCGCTTAAATTCATCCAAAATCCTGACAGGAATGTCTATGCTCAACAACCCAACTAAGGGATTAAAAAAGGTGTACAAGAGTGGTATATCATAAATGAACTAACGGTCGGGTAGTGGTGGTTTAATACGCAAGGCCATATCCAGGCGTAGTAGCTTTGCGCCCATCAAGGGAGACATGGCTCTCGCGACTTCCTCCACTTCCTCGACTCAAACTTCGACCAGGTCGGTTGTCTTGGCCGTAGCCGGGGCCTACTAGGCGATCTGTACTAGCTGTAGGACTGTGTCGCAACGTGGGTTCATGCTGGTCTCGATAGGGCTCGTAAGGCCCGGTGTGGTTGAATTTACTCATTTCGGCGTAATTTTTGTGAGGCGGATGGTCCATCAAAAGTGATTCCCTCGCGTCCAGTGGAGTGAGATCATCCATATCCCGATTTAACTTCTCTAGAAATCAAGTGTTAATATACCAAAGGGCTAGCTACTAGGTTGCTTGCAACTTACCGGCTTCTTTTCTCCGCTTGGCGTGAGGATTCTCACGGCAGCAAAGGATGATAGCGTTGACAGCAATGAGGATGGCCAGGATCCCCGTCAGAGCAGACTGCACCGCAATGAGAACGATTCCAGTAATGGTCTTAGTTGTCTGCGTAAGGCCAAGTTCTTCGACAAAAATCAAGACGCAAGCCACCGATAAGACCCGGACCACTTGAATGCTGATATTAATCCATTGGGACGATTTAGCAACATACGGGCGGTACCACAACAAGAGGGCCAGCATGAGGGCTTCCACAATGAGTTGGCCAGCCGACTGTACAAGACCATGGCCATTGCCACCTGCAATGATACACCCTTTGGCGAACATATAAACGATCACAGGAACAAAGAGCCACCAGTAGTCCTTCTTATAATTGTCGTAAAACAGGCTATACTTGCGCCAAGTTTCCCTATTGTCGTATAAGCCCGAAGTATCACCCTCTGATTTCTTGTATTTGCGTGCGAGATGGGTAATTCGGAAACCGAAAAACAACAGGACAGCTGTAAACAACGTAAGCGTGACAGCTGCCAGGACCTTAGCAAGCCACGAATCTCCGTTCGCAAGCTGGTAGACGCAATATAATACCCAGATACCATAAACGATGAGAATCAAGTTGGTGATAGTTCGAGCCATAATACCCCAGTAGTCCTTGCGGAAATTCGTGAGTTTTTTGGGAAATGTTCCATACAGAGCCCACAATTCGAGAATAACCTTGCCAAGCAAGATACCCACAGCAATGGCGGCAATGACAATAGCGAAGATCAGCAAGACCGTCATGAATACATTCGCTTGAGGAATAGTAAGTTCGGCCGCAAAAGCTTCGACTCCTTTGACCGTCTTCTTAAATTCGCTGTCATCGCTGGTGTTGTTGCTAGCACTCGAGCTATCATATGAAGTCGAAAGTTCCCGTGCAGCCAGCTGCACGGCTCCGACAACCATATTCCATCCTCGCTTAGCCTTGGAGGGTGACGATCCATCACTATACTCCAGTGTTGCGTTGCGAAGAAAGTCGTAGCTGGCTTCTGTAAGATTGCCACCGGTAGATTTTCTGAATTTGTCGATGGATTGTTGCATGTGCCCCCACGGGATTAGCCCGGTGCTGAAAGCAAAATTTTTCGAAAAACTACGATACACCATGGGATAATTGACACTGAGCATGCCATTTGTGGCCATCGTATGAAACCACCCCATCACATCGCCAAAACCAGGACCAGATGAGTGTGCCCCAGGGTGACCAGCAGCACTGATGGCAGACAAACCACTCAGTGCGAGAGCTGCGCCAGCCACGCCAGCAGCGGCATACGAGACACCAGATATTTGCATGGTCTTTCCGTTGGACAAATTCGACTGAATACAAGCGACCTCTTTGTTGTCATCCTTTGATTTTAGCTTAAGTGTTGCCTGCCCATCCAAGTCGGGGATGGCGAAGGCAATAGATGGGATTTGGCTTGCGTATGACTCTGGAATTTGTTGTGACCCATTTGCTGAGAAAGTACCAGAAGGAACTAAATAGATTAACTCATGACTTAAGAGCGGAGGCGTGGGATTTAGCCATCACTAAAGCTTACTTACCAGGGCATAATTGCGCGATATGGTTGTCTGCACTGCAAGGGTTGAAGTCCTTAGTATACACTTTATTACCGTAAGCAAAAACCTCCAGAGAAGCGGTGACGTTCTGGACTTTCTTATTTGTTCCCGAAACATCAAATACAACTTCTCTTGTTGAACCAGTGTAGGTAATATGCATCTTCTTGACCTCAATATCAGAGCCGTCCAAACAAGTTGACACGCCGTCGGTGCTGAGAGTATCGGCCGCAATAATTCGAGCGGGCCAAAGGCTCAGAACGAGCAGGGTGAGTCGTAAAAATGAGAGTATGCGCATTTTGATAAACTTATTCCCCAAGGCCATCAAATACGCGCGCCAGTCTGGAACAATGGACAGGAGGTATAATCACAGTCAAAGGGAGCAGAAGAATATTGTGAAGAGTAATTGGCGAAATGGGTCAGATATTATCAATGTCCTAGGATAGGTAAGATCACAGTTGTTCGACCAGCAACTCAGCCAGCTCACAATAGCAGGAATACAACAGGGTCAACCTGTAGAGAAGAAGAATGAAGAACGAATTCGAAGGATACTCTCCCAAAAAAAAAAAAAAAAAAAAAAAAAGTTCCAAAAGGGACAATTGCGGGCGAATTGCTTAAATGAAATGTATACAAGAAAGAAAAGACAGCAATCAAGATCGGTCAGTCCTCTCTCCCCGTCACCTGTCACGCTCTCTCCTTTCTTCCTCAAAGCGTCAAAGAGGAGAAGGGAAGGAAACGTAAGGACGAAGTGGAAGATAGAACGTAGACATGCAAAAAGATGAACCCCAGGAGAAAGAGATAAGTTGTAATCTGATAGGCAATCCAGCAGGCACCTTCAAGAAAAGGAAGGAAGTTCAAGCGAGAACCCTGGATACAGAGAAAGAGGGAAGTGGGGTGGGTGTAGGCTGGGAGGTAGGGTAGGAACAAAAAGAAGCAAATTCGAAAGACCTTGAAGAAAGAAAGGAAGAAAAGAAAAAGGATTAAAAAAAAAAGACTATGACAGAACAGAAGACAGAGAAGACAGGGGGAGAGGAAAGACAAACAGTGGTGGAAACAATACACAGTACCTAATTCTCAGAAATTGGATGTGATAAACAAAGCAGATTGACACTGTTCGTCCGGTAAGAGCAAATAATACTATCACCTAGGGTATGACACTAAGATTAAAAATACATAATTTTCTTGCCTATTGTTAGATACCATGTAGTCTGTACTAGTAGGTGCTAATAATAATAGCTGTAGCAAGAAGCAGTAGCGCCGCCTAGTAGGTACTTACTGACTACTAATAATATAGCGTGGTTCGAGACGCCGACACAATTGCCCCTGAAATGTCTCAGGGCCAGCAGTGGGAGCTGCTGATTGGTCCCTTTGTGGATCCAGGAACGGCCCAACGCTGGTTTCGAGCCGTCTAGAACTCTAGACTCGTGCTGATATGGGGCCAAGATGTCTACGGCGGGAAAGTGCGGACAGAGGCAATTAATACCCAAGTAAGTAGAGAAGGAGTCCAGCTGTCTGTTATAGGATGGAATAAAAGAGTCATCCTCCCTACTTAGTCCCTGATTGGGTATTATATTTATATTTCCTGCCACTATCTACCCCGTATACTCATTGTCATTGATCGGAGCGAGAACAACGCAACAAGGATCATCACTGAGCTCTACTATGTACAACCCGTCCGCCACTGAGGCACTACGCCACATATTTACTACTACTATGTGCTGTATAATGATTAATCCCATATCCTAACGATTCATGATTGTTTCTCTTTCGAAGAGGAAGAAGGGGCTTAAAAGCCTGCCTTCTCTTAATTTCATATTTGTCTTATTGAATCCGCCGTTGTTAATACGGTAACCCTTCACCTATAAACTATTATAGTACGCAGAAGAGTTAATTTACGTCAGCTTACCGTCCCGGTCGGTGGAACCATCATTTATTTTGTTTTCAATTGGGAAGGCAGGACCAACAGAAATACCTACTTCACCGAGTAGTTACCTACTCCGTAGTACTCCGTACAACATATTACCTGCCTCAGAGCCAGCCCACGAAGTGCGACGTGCTTAAGAATCTGCTACCTACTCTGAATTATCACTTTCTAGTCAGATAAATCGACTAGGTTACCTACGGTGCTTACTATCCTTGGACAATATATATCTCCTATGAGGTTCTCTGTTACTATTCCTAGCATACGCGTCTTCTTTCGAGGGGCAAAAATAAAAAAAAAAAAAAAAAAATCCTGAAGTACTCCCTATGTTGAAAACAATTAGACACCATGGGCAAACACTAATCGACATTCTCCGGGAGGCATACTTCTTTGCTGCATAGTTTAACTACACATAACGCATCCAACCTTCGACCCGTGCACACTTCAAGGGAAATTTCAGGTCAAGTTAGGCAACAGGGGCTTCCTTAATATCACCAATACATGTATATATATGCTGAGAATTTCCAATTCACGATTCTTTAGATGATCATGGCTGGTCGACCCACTCGTTTCTTCATGAGGAAGTGGACAAATTAGGGGAGCCAGTGGGCCCCAGAACCGGAGTCTAATCTCCCCAAGTAACAGTTATCGTCCGATGAGCTATCGATGTGCTGTGTACTCTGTACTAGTAAGAAAGACGATAGTAACAATAGCAAAAATGACCAGTGCTTTGAGTGACACCCCTGAATGGCCGTCGCGCTCTCTAGGAGAATAAACGATCGCTAGGGCTCTCTCTCTCTCCAAGTAAGTCGTTTCGTCGGTCCCAGCTGCTTAAGCGTCGACGGATAAGAATGTGAGGAATGTGATCGATTATATTTGGAATAGAGGATTTGGCGGTACGATATGATGCAATGTTTATTTCCGCCCCGACTTCTCTTGCATCTCACGCATTGCAGCCCTAGCACTACGGCTACCACCCAGTTTAGGGCCTCGTGGCGCTTCCGGCTTGGTTGTTTTCGTGTTCCTTGCTCGTGCTAAACGACGACGCGATTGAATGGCATCAAGAAAATCCCTCCGGAATTGCTCGGCGACCCTATCATCAGCCGCTTGGTCATCTGCAGCAATCGCTTCCTCTTCTGCTGGTTCATCGTAGACATCCACTGAAGTGATATATGCATGTTAGCAATGTTCCCAGGGGATGGGACGGCCCTAGTTATATAGAGTTGAAGTCGCTCACGTCTGCTTTCACGCAAAACTTCTTCCACAAGCCTATCTCTTTCAACGTCATCGCTGGTCCGTCTCTTCCGACTTCGCCACAGCTTTTCATCCCTTCCTAGAGGAACCATCTTTGATGGTGAGCCATCATCTAAAGGAGGTGCGCCTTCGTCGTCACCAGCAAGTCTTCTCGTAGCTGCTTCCGTACGTGCGATGTTCTCTAGTGTGGTTTCCCGACCAAGGTCAATTTCATGCAGCTTGCCTAGGGATGCCGGCTCGCGTCGGGGGAGGTCAGATACGGTGCTTGCGCCGCTGGCTGCTTCGTATATAATAGGAGTATCGGAGTCAGTAGTATCTGCCGGCATACTGCGCCGGTTTCGCTTAGCCATTTCAGATTCTATATAGGTCATCCTTATCTCGTTAGTCTCCATTGCAAATTGTCGGGAGCTTAGGCCGTGACAGGAGCGCAGATCTGTACATATGCTTGTCAACATCGACCGTTTGCCCCGTATGGGCAGTAAATCGATCACACATAGCTCGAACTCTCTCCTCGTCAAGCTCTTCTGCTGTCACTGTCGATGCAGCAGACTGAGTTGCCTTCTCTGTCGATTGGTGCGTGGCGGAGAATTCGATGCCACCTTTTCGAGACCGTCGCAGCTGCCTCGGGCGACTGACACCGGGATGGTGCAAAGTGTCATACTGTGTATCTTGTGCAGCCTGTGACTGAGACGCAAGTGGATGTAAGCTGCGACTGCTTTCTGAAGACGTGGGACGACGTTCTTCTGGTATGTCTTCCGGTCGACGCCGAGGGAACTTTCTCCTCTTTACCGGCGGTCGGAAGAACGTCTTGGTGCTCGAAGGGCCATCCATATCCATAGTTGGACGAAATTCCTGCAGAGAGGTGGGAAGGAGGGGGTTACAAAATGAATTTGGCTGAGGGAAGTTGGAGAGCAGTACTGTACCGAACTAAAGTAGAAGAGCTGAGGCGCCGGGTTAACGCTTCCCTTGCCGCAACCGCCCGCGAACATCGATTTATCCATTAAACTTCCTATCACTTTTTGCTGCCAACTCCACCCCTCTCCGCCTACATAATCTTCACACCATTGACCAGGGAGGTCTCCAGTGAATTAGAGGTGCCATCTCAATTTGATTTACAACTGTCAGTCCGGTTGTGTGTTTTCTCCCAACATGAACCCTTCCGTTCCACCTTCAACTGCCGAATACGGTGGAGGTATGTTGCCTCCTAGCGCTGCTGCGCACTGTTTAGCGCATGCTTGCTTGCCAAAGAGCGTGCATATATTTTACCGGATACTGATATTTTGACGTGGACAGATGAGGTCTCTGCTATTGTCCTCGACCCTGGATTTTCGACTACGCGCGCAGGCTTTGCCGGTGAAGATACACCAAAGTCCCTGATCCCTTCGTACTATGGGAAGTATTCCTCCGAAGGCGAAGAAAAGCTTATATTTGGTGATGATGTCTTTGTTACGCCACGCCCTGGCTTATCCATCCACAACCCAATAGGCAAGGATGGAATCGTGGAGGACTGGGACATGGCAGAAAAGGTGTGGGAATACTCATTTACGTCGCGACTGACGGGGGCAAAGCCTAGCAACCCCTTCCAGAATGGGTTGAATGATGCCCCCGATATCGAACAGCCTACGGAGATGGACGGCGTGGAGACTGAAGAAAAGCCTCTGTCAGACAGCCCGCTCTTAATGTCCGAGTGCGGCTGGAATCCCACCAAGGCGCGCGAGAAGACCGTTGAGATTGCTATGGAGAAGTGGGGGACTCCGGCTTTTTATCTCGCGAGGAATGGCGTACTTGCAGCGTAGGTGGTCATGCTTAATTTACGTCATTCAATGGGCTTCCTGCTAATGCTACTTACAGCTTCGCTGCTGGCAAGGCGTCTGCTTTAGTTGTGGATATTGGCGCTTCTAATATCTCTGTGACTCCAGTGCACGACGGAATGATACTGAAGCGTGGGGTTCAGCACTCCCCTCTCGGTGGTGACTATATTTCATCTCAGATCCGAGCACTATTCAAATCGAACACGCCGCAGCCTATCACCATCACACCGCATTACCTGATATCCTCGAAGGCTGCTGTGGATGCTGGGCAGCCTCCACAGGCAAAATATAAGACCTATTCTCCCGAAAAATCCCCGGATGCCTCGTATCGTACCCTCCTTGAAGAGCGGACGCTTTCGGAGTTCAAAGAATGTGTCGTGCAGGTCTGGCCCGGGCCCAACAAACTCCTTGCCAGTAGTCCGAACGGCGTCTCGAATGAGGATGTTGCTAAAAGCAGTCCTGGGCGGCCGTTTGAGTTTCCTGATGGGTATAACCAGGTATTTGGTGCCGACCGCTATAAGGTGGTGGAATCCTTGTTTGATGCCAAAGCGGCGATTCCGGATTCCGAGTCACCATACCCGGCCCCGACACAAGCCCAGACCATTCTCGAGCTCATTAAAAATGCCTTGAACGGAGTAGATGTCGACATCCGTCCCCATTTGCTGGCCAATGTTGTCGTGACGGGGGCGTCAAGCTTACTTCATGGGTTCACGGATCGACTCAACCAAGAACTTATGCAGACCTATCCTGGCCCGCGGGTTAGGATTTCGGCACCCGGCAACACTGCTGAGCGTAGATTTGGCTCTTGGATCGGTGGAAGTATTCTTGCCAGCTTGGGAACCTTCCATCAAATGTGGATTTCGAAGAAGGAGTACGACGAACATGGTCCAAACATTGTTGAAAAGCGCTGCAAGTAGCTTGTCCCTCCCCTTAACTATTCTTTTTTTTCTCCCTCCTCGAATTCTTTCTTGTTATGTTTGATATTCACAGAGAACTTGTATTGTATCCCCTGTAACGAACGATACTTGAAGCTCTTTGGCGTTTTATTATGGACAGGGGAAAAGCTTCTTTGAGCCATTTCATATAAAAACATGTGTGAAAAGACTGCGAACATTGTATTTGTGCTAAGGTAGTCGTATGTTTAATACCTTTCAGAGTGTCCTTGGATTTGCAAAAGGAAAAAAATCCTAGCACCAACCGACTTTGAGTGATCGAGACAAGTTAATAATGATGATCGTTCTAAAACTCCTGACAGATATCAGTATGGCAATTTCTATTACGCCATCACATGCATAACAGAGCCGTGGTTACCTTTATACCGATTCTCTGTTTATATCCTAATCTATGTACACCTATGTTGGTTCTATCTATAGCAAGACAAGAAGAAATGGGCGAAAGAGAGGTGGTCCTGGTTGCATTCATATATTCCATCTCTACAAGACTAACCATTTGCTTACGATAATACCACAAGCGAGCCCTGCTATTCAATAAATATAGAGGAAAAAAGGAGGTCTACTATCCAGACGATTTGAATATGTTCAAGGACATTCGTGTTTCACGACTGGGCATCTAGCCTAGGCCGGGGACCGTTTGGAAGCCTATTTATTCCTTGTCAGCATCACCATATTGGCCAGTTGCACTCATTTTTTGCCTACTAGGGGAGGTGGCACCGGTGGAAGAGCTGTTAGGGATGACCGCCCATCTCCAACCAAGCATTCAGTACCGTATTCGTCGCTTGTGGCGTTTCCGTCTTCGAGCTCCTGGACTAGATTGATATGGACTGAAAGGGCATGGATTCGAGGTGCAACATTGCGTCTTGGCAAACAATAGATTTTCAGCGCCTTTGTTTCCTCCTGTAGCCAAGCTACTTCTTGTCCCAAGTCATCTTCGAAGAGCTTCATCTGTAGTTCTTTAAACGGTACGGGGGTGTTCGACGGTTTGGCGCGAAATTTGCTCCATAGATGTCCTTTTTTCTGAGACACGACGAGTAATCCTTTCTTTCTCTTTTTGAGACGTTCTCTCCTATGCGTCGACTACCCGGTCCGCTTTGAAATATTGCAAGAGCTGTTCCTTCATCGTATCCTGTCTGGCCGTCTTTTGGTCGGTAAAGGATCGCTCAGGATAGGGTAGAGCTGGCAACTTTTCCATACTCTGTTGTTGCTCCTTTCTGCACATACACAAGGCTTTCAACTGTTCTAGTGAAGTGCTTCGTGATCGAAGGGGCTTGGAAGGTGCCGCGGCAGGTCGTCTTGGTGCTGATGCTCCGACACTTTCACTTACGCCCGCTTCTCGCATAAGCTTAGCTTTTGAACATCGTCTTTTAGGATTCCCCTGGATGTGGATCAGGGTAATAGGTTTTGCATCTTCCACAACGACGTTGGCAGGCCTTGCTTGGCCTGGAGATTTCACATTTCTATTATGATTGGCGCTAGTTCCTTTGGCGCCCAGAAGATTTGGAGGACTCTTCTGCACAATCATGCGAGACCTTCCTTGCTTGGAGAGAGACGACGTGTCTGTGGTCGCGATTAGGCCCGGGGCACAGGGTAAAGGCTTATCTGGGATAGAAAATGATCCAAAGACCCGCCGTTTTTCGGATACGAATCCTCTGAGTAGATGTTTACCTGCAAAGGAATCATCTGAAGAGTGCATTAAAGATATCTGTCCCATCACTGTCAAAAATCTCGGTGTGACTAAAATGGAGGAGTAGGGCAACCTACCACTTCCTTCCTGCTTGCCACACCCACACGCCGTTGCATCTCAGTGATGGTAAGGCCGAGCTGAGAAAGTGCAGATTCAAGGGCAACTCCCTTTCTGTGAAGCTTTGAAAAAGCAATGTTCCACCCCTCCGTATTCGCCAACATCGCATTGTAGACGGCGACTAATTTACTAGATAGAGGAGCATTATTCTTTGCTAATTGTCCAAGGAACTGCCAGAGAGCGCCAATCGCTTCCTTTCCTTTTTGTATATCTTTGAGGGTGTCGCTGACTGTTGTGGTATAGCGATTAATGGCATGTTCGATCTTTTCATTATAATTCATCATGGCAAGGCGAAATTGGCGGTCGTCCAGCATCTCGTCGAGGACATTTAAGTTTGCTAGGGGGAGACTAAGATATTGGACCCGGGTGCGCACATCAAGTTGTATGATGAGAAAATCCTCCACTGTTCTTCCCAGAAACCCATCCATCTCGTCCACGTGGGCTTGGAGAATCTTCAAAACCTCCGCATCTGACTTGGCCAATCTTTTCGCTAGGAGGTGAACACCAAACGAAATTTGAGAGGAAAGCTTCCAAAATGGATGATATCTGTAGCTAATTAGCTGCCGGTCATACTTAAGGTGGCTTGTTGCCTGGAAGATGGCTGACTACTTGCTTTTCGCCAGTTCCTTGACGCCATTTCCGGCCACAGAGCCGTTCATAATCGACAGACTCAAGCAGATCTCTGCGCCGAGACCAGGCGTCAAGATCAACTACCCGTTCGCTCTGGACACCATTGATTGCTTCAAATATGGATTCTTCGAACGGGCCCTGTAACTGGGGGACTGGATGGACTGGGGCCGGGGTAGTGCTTTGTCTGCTGTCTGACATATGCTCTGCTCCGATTTCCGTACTGACAGAAGCTGCTAGCATGTCTTGGTCGGGCGATGCTAGATCCATGAATAGGAAGCCAGTAAATAGTCCCACTATTTCTTTGGAGGCAGAGACGGTTGAATAGCATGCATCCAAAATCCATCAGGCGTGACTGTAGATATCCCAACAGAACACAACAATGTCGAGTGGGCTCAGCCTAATGCGATCCACGCGAAAGCATTCGGAACATATATACAGGTTGAAGCACAAGATTGACCATCTCGAAGCCGGCCATGCCAAAAGAAACTGAACTCCACGATAAAAAAAAAAAAAAAAAAAGGCCCCGGTTAGAAGCAGGAATGCTATCCGGATTCAGTGTGTAAAGAGGAATTTGGGATGTTTGGACTGGTCAAAGAGTGAACAGCGGTGGAAAATCAGGCCTGGGCTATGACTGAAATCACCATACGAATGGAAGGAAGGTACCTCGAGTCCAAACCAACACATAAAAAGGGCCCCAGGGTTGGCGGCCAGATGGAGCGAGAGTGCCTGATGGATAACTGTACGGAGTGACTTTGTTCAGGAAATATCCCACCCATTCATATAGACTGCATAGATCGATCGAAAATTCGTGATCGAAGAAAGAACAAGGGATACGCGAAGTGTCTCGAAGCTGCACTAAATAATCGATGATATTGTTTGCTGTTCTTGGGGAGGAGCATATAATGGGTGGAACTGACTTCCAACACTCAGTGGGCTCAGGATTTACGTGTCTTAAATCTGACTTGGGCCATCCTGCGGGTCGATTTAGGGGAAAAACTCCGTGCTCTACTCCGTTCTTTCCTCCTAGACTGGCCCGATTGCAGATCGGAATTACCGGGTATATTTAGCATATACTAATTAAGATCTACAAACTCCAAACGGAGATGGTCTCCACGATAGCGGAAGGGATAGTTAAATAATTATAATTAGAGAAGACAGTTAAGCGAAAAGTGGTTGGCGTGATTTCACAGATCTCTCATTCGCAAGTGGTATCTTTCTGTTGTTCAAACTGCCGACCGTTATCATGCTAGTGCCTACTTCTGACCCCGGCTTTAATTCCCGATGGATTGGAACTAGGGAGTTGTTCTGGACGGTGGAGTATGCTCACCAAAGAACTCTCGCTCCCAGGGGGGTGTTATGGGTCACGTTCCTGTATAATCCCCGGAGAAAAACACAGGATCCCAAAAGTTCGTTGGGAGAGAGGGGTCCAGAAAGTCCCCAACAAGCATGTCAATATCGGCAAATCCACTAGACACCGCGGCCAGAATCCCACCGTTGTCAGAGTCTAAAGGGTCAGGCGAAACAGGTCCCGGGATCGGCTCAAGGGAAGGCACGTAGCTGAGAGGAGGATTATGATTCTGATGGAGTTGAGACGATAAGCACGAGGCGGGTTCCTCAGAACGTCTGGAAACGAAGGGCACGTTTTGAGGTGCTCTCGAGGGCCTGGAATCCCTGCTGTGTCGCGGGTGCCCACGCCTCACTTCTCGGATCTGATGCAGCGCCTTTTGTCCAAGCCGTGCCATTGCTTCGGCAGAATACCAGTAGAAACCTACTTCTTCTAACAGAGAACAACAAGCTTCCAAGCTGGCCTTGGCCCGGTCAAAATGGGTAATAAGTTTGCTCGACCGGAGTTGTTGATATGATACCCCCATGGACAACGCTAGTGCATAGGGAACTATCGGGAGAGGAGGAAGTACATCACGGCACTCGTTAGCAATAATAGAATATATTCGAATCGCTGCAAGCCCCTGGCGAATATGGGATGGTTTCGAACTGTCAGGGCGGTCAGGCAGCTTATATCTACAAGAAAGGATTGCAACAGCATGGTAGAAGAGTTCCAAGAAGCCTGCTCTTCGATTAGACCACTGTAGAAACCCCCATCCACCAAAACGTATAAAAAGTTTTTTTTGGGGGGGGGGGGACAACGTACCGAGCGTAGCAAAATCCAGATCTTGTTGTACATTATCGCCTATAATTTCTTCGAAACTTGGGAAGTCTCCTTCCCAGCCCACTGTATGATCTGCAGCGGGCCTATAAAGCGATATCACACTCGACAGCAAATCCGAGATTACAAACCAAATTTGAAACGCGGTCCTGCTATGAGTGGACTTTATGTCAGGCTTCTCGAGTCCAATATCACGATCAGCAAGAAGAACAGGGCGACCGCCTATTGATGCGTGCATCTTGTCCAAGGTCCATAGGCACCAAAATAGATCTGGGAGAGTGTCACCGGGTACCCGGCCAGGCCTATCAAGATGTAATCCCACGGTTTGTGCCTGGTGAATCGCCTGAAAATGATGCATAGAGGCCGACTCTGCCCCTTCGTAACCCTCGCAGTGTAAAGACATCAAAGCCAGTACACGGATCCGAGTGACTCGGTCGGGTTCAAGCCCCTCATTTATGACGACAACAAGCGCTTTGTAGATTTCAGAACAAAAATGACGTGATGACATGAGCGGACCATCGACAGCAAGGCGAAGATATGGGGCAACCACTCTATCTTTCGCCGCAACAAGACATATCGCCTTTTCGAGAAACACGGACGCCGTACCCTCCGAGTGGGCAAGTAGAAAGGAATCTTTGTCAACAAGTGGAAGAATATGATTGACTTTAGAGAGATAAACTGGAATCAATTGATCTCGCGTTGAAAGAGGCAGGCGCTCGTAAGCTTTGCTTGCGGATACATGTCGGTAATACAGCATGGACTCGACAGTCTGCGATCCGGCCGCAGGCAGGCGATCTAACGAACTTATGCCCACATTGGAGCAATATATTCGGTTTTTCTCATTGTTCTCTGCACTGGAGGAACTGATCCATAGCCCAATTCGATCCCGAAATTTGTTCTCAACTGTGACATCCAGCTTCTCCCGAATTACAGCTTCCGGATTGAGGTCGCCTACGAAGCGCTCCGTCCGGGCAATACTCGGAGACAAGGATTCCGGAATAATTGCGTCAACATGGCTTTCAGCAGTTGCAGGTTTGGATGGGGGCTGATTTACGACGCTTGCTCCATTTTGCTCGTCAGGAAGATCTGTTCGCATTTGGGTTTGAGGGAGAGACTCTAGTGCTGTACTCGGATGGCGGCAGCGTTTCTTTTCGGAATTGTGACCGTTCATAAGAGATTAGCTTCTAGCTCCCATACAAACATATATATATAAAGATGCACTGTGGGGGAAGGTAGGGGAGGTAAGTGGAACATTCATTTGCGGAGAATGACGTATACTCTCAGTCTTACCTTTCTTCGTTGGCAGGAAGCACATGCTCGAGGAGCTCTGGTCCGACGCCGTGATTGGGGAGTATCGGCAAGCCATGTCAGCTCCATCATTTATCGCCATCAATTGATTCACTACGGAATATTCCGTACATGTACCCGTAACTATAGTAATATAGACGCATGTTTTGGTTCTGGGTACATGATACCTCTCCAGACCGCCCCTTTCACCGCCTTCTTCTGCTTAAATTTACAGGTCATCATAAAACTATTTTCCGCCTTTATTAGATAGTTTAGGTAATGCTGTTACAATACCATTTTTCCTTACGTTGACTCTAGTGGGAAGACTAGTAGGTACGGAGTACTCCGTGGTTGATGGGATCATATTAAATTTCCTAGATCGAGCCTTCAGAGGTGTATGTCTCAGTAGAAATAGGTAAGGTATAGTCGACCAGATTGGGCCAATATTACGTATTAATCAGTATCCGCTCGGTCCGACTTTGTTCCTTTGTTTTTCACTTTTTATTCAGTCAGATAATAGCTCGAGACCTTATCCCCTAACCCGTAGGTTTGCTGCCTTTTAGCGCAGCTTTTCTGCCAGTGGGTCTTTCTGGCACGTCCCTCCATCTTCAGTGCACGCACCTCTTCTTGTATACAGATTAAATCCTTATGAAATACCATTTGAGTGTTGAAAACTAGTTTATAAGCTATTTACATCTTTCTCTCCAAGTGGACTTCTTGGTAGATGGAAGGTCTTCCAGCAATCAGTACCACCTGGCTTACAGCGGTATACTGCATATTTGGCAGATAAAATAAGTCTGTCTTGCCCGTAGTAGTTCTGGCCAGGTTGCTTCTTAATTTAAAGTTTACACCATGTACAGTACTGCTTTTTTCCTGAATGAACTGGTTTATATTAATCTTCTAGCCCTGGATTAGGCTTGCATTCATGCTTATGATGGGCCTGAATAAAAAGAGCTTTATATAAAGCTTCACGAAATTTTGCATGGGTTAACTAAGGTACTTTGCGCTTCATACGCAGTATATGGCTAATGCGGTATGCATTTATCACTGCTGTATCAAGGCACCAGTAGAATAAGGGCCACCATAAACACCAGGCCTTGCGGTGAGTCTTATATGTAGCACGTAGTTAATTTGTAATATCTACCCCGCCCATATAATAATTATAATCATTAATTACAGAGGAATCTTGAGTTTTGCGGTTGGCTGGCCACTAAAAGGCTTGCATGCAGTCGCAGTATTGGTAAAAGTCTTAGCGGGGCGTTTTCTTATACAAGGGATCTAGTTATTATCTTTATAAACTGTATAAACTGTATAAACTATAGATAAAGCTATCACAGTATTATTACCCTGCCAAGCAATATATAAAGTCTTATCCTTAATATCAGCATATAGGGAATTCCATTCACTTGTTAAAGTTGATTCCTTCAAGACAGCCAAGGTAGGATGGAATTTAGGTAATGCTAATAAACAAGTTGTACCACAAGCTCCAATACCTTTATTCTGTAGTTATTTAAAGAGATTAATGCTTGTGAAGTAGTTGTTAAGATAAATTATATAACAGCCTGATTCTTAAGGTAACTTTTGTAGTAGTTGATAAACCATTAAACCAGTTATTGTAAGGCCTTTTTCCTTAACCACTTTAATTATTAACTTTACATAACTTACCCAAAGCCAACACCAGACATATCTATAATCTGCCAAGGCAAATAGCTTATACCCTTCTGAAATTGGCTTATTAGGTATCTTATATGTATGCAAAGAACGCCCAAAACAACAGGTTATTAATTTATTAATAGTAACTAAGTCTAAAGGCTTGTAATATTAAGTACAGGCCTGGCGGAATCGGCCTACTAATAGCTCTACTTTGTGCCACTATAAAAAATCTAGGATAGCTTTACTATACAATGCTTTATCCTTAAAGTCTGTAGGCTCGAAAGCATTCACACACAGGTTAGATATATAAAGAAATCGCTGGATTTGCTTAAACCAGGTCTGTGAAATATTCTCCTGGAGCCATTTAAAAACAACTTCACCTGGCCTCCAAAAAAATCCACTGGTAATCCTCCCCAGGCGCCCATATACAAAATTGCCGCAAAAAAGGTCTTAATATCCCCAGGAATTGTAGGTTTCCATGGGCGACCTCTATCTCCAGCATTGTGCAGCTCAGCATAAAGATTTGTATGCCTTGATGTTATAGTATAAAGATCTTGAGGGATAAAAAGACAGAACAATTTATAGGGTTCTATACCAACACCAGGCGGTAAAATAGGCTGTGGAAAGAGACGTCCTTTTATAATCAATAGCTCGAATATTATATTTTCTGGAGAAGGCCACTGTGCCAGTAAACCTGGCACTTCCTTAATCTTTGGTTTCTTTGGTTTCTCTGGCTTTTTTGGTGGGCATTTTCTCTTTGGCGCACGTGAGGTCTGAGAGGTCTGGGATTCCATAGTCAGTGTTGTACAGTAAGGTAGAGGGCAGAGTAGAGAACAGACTAGGGAGCGCGTAGTAGAGCGCGTAGTAGAGTATTTACATGTAGTATCTGATAGATCAGAAAATAAGAAAGTGCGTGAGTATATTTGGAAATAAAGCCAATGGACGATTATGTCAGCAAGCGGTGAAAATATTGACCACTCAGAGAGTAGTATATTAATTACCGCTAAAAGCCAGCAACGGGGTAGGGGATACTTTTTAATACAGATCCATTATTATCATATGATCTGTGATACTAGCTCATACGCCCATTCAGCTGACCAACTGGAATGTATGTATGGATACTCCCGGTACAGTACATACATAAATTACGCCTCATTCACACGGCAAAGGAAGCTTCATGCGCGACGATGACGCGACGCGTTCCAGATCGTCGCAAGCAACCAATCAATCTAAGTAGGAAGCTGTAGCAAGCAAATACACTTAGGTACTCACATATCTACACAAGACTACGGTTTAGCCGGAGGTGTATCCCTATCCTTCATCAACCGCTACCATATTTTGTTATCCTAATCCCAACCATACAAGTGGACTCGCTCAACAAACAAGCAACATGGTCAGCCCGACAGGTGTGAAACGAGACGCCAATCATTTGACAACTCCAGTAGCGCCAAAAAAATCCAAGGCTAACGGCAGTATCACGTCTTTCTTTGGGGTGCCCAAAGCGAAAGCCAATACGTCTGAGTCCAAACCGCCGGCTACCTATGCTTCCACCTTCAATAAGCAGAAATGGGTAGCATCTTTAACAACCGAGCAAGCTGAGCTCCTTCAACTCGAGATCGATACTTTGGATGAAAGCTGGCTGTCACAGCTAAAGGAGGAACTTGTAACACCAGAGTTCCTGGCGCTGAAACGCTTTCTTCGAAAAGAAAAGCAGTCTGGGGCCAAAGTCTTCCCGCCGGAGAATGAGATCTACTCCTGGTACAGTGTCATTCCTTATAAAGATACTGGCCATCTTGTTTACAAAGATTCTTAGGTCTCGTCATACACCTTTGCACAAAGTGAAAGCAGTGATCATCGGCCAAGACCCATATCATAACCACAATCAGGCCCATGGCCTGTCATTTTCTGTTCGCCCTCCTACACCCGCCCCTCCATCTCTTGTCAACATATACACTGGGATCCAGAATGATTATCCGTCCTTTCAACGGCCGCCAAACAAAGGGGGTCTTCTAACTCAGTGGGCGGAGCGTGGTGTCTTATTACTCAATACGTGCTTGACAGTACGTGCCCATCAGGCCGCTAGTCATTCGAACAAAGGGTGGGAACGGCTTACTCAGAAAGCCATTGATGTGGTAGCCCGGGTGCGATCTCATGGGGTTGTTTTCCTTGCATGGGGTAGCCATGCAGGAAAGCGTGTGGCTGGTATCAACCAACAAAAACATTGTGTTTTGCAATCAGCTCATCCAAGTCCACTCAGTGCAGCCAGAGGGTTTGTGAGTAATCCATTAACTTCGTGCTACTTTCCTACATCATTTCTCTATTTTATTTTTCTTTTAATTTTGATATGCTGATTGGAGTCATTAAACTCAGTTTACTAATGGACACTTCAAAAAATGCAATGAGTGGCTGGCTGAACGTTACGGCGCTGACGAAGTTATTGATTGGAGCTTGACATCAAATGTGAAAACTAGCTCCCCATTTGTTACAATTCAGGGTCCTTCTACCGCGACTAATACGTCGAAAATATCCACAACAAAGCAGCCCTCGCCCGATCCCCTAGTGGAAGATGCTGATACAACACAGCATGCACAGCTTCGAACTACTGATGAGTTTGAAGACGATGTTGATGCTCTAGAGGCATTGGCGGCAGCAGAAACGGCAGATTGAGCGCAATTGCACCGTGTCTCGAGTATGAAAAGCGGTTGGTATGACTGTTTTCGCAAATTTTGATATTGGCTTGGCAACAATTCCGTCAAATTAGTTTTAGCGTCTAGTGTTTTGCAACTGGAAGCTTCGTTCTATAGTAGGTCAGATTTCCAATATTGAGAGTGCGAATAGCAATAATTTCATAAATGCCTAGTCTATTGCTTCTCAGCAAGGTGTCGTTTTCCCTACCTACTGTCTGTAAAATACCAGCAATTTAGTTTAGGTAGGAGAATAGCTTGAGCTGGAACAGCCAGAATCGGTCAAACCGTTGGAATTAATACTTGTAAAATAGATATCTCATAAAACTAGTAAATGAGTTTACAGTTCATCATGGTCCACCTTATCATCATCTGTAGCAGCGGGCTCGTCCTCGCCAGAAGCAGGAGTCTCGGTGACATCACCCTCCTCGGTCTTGTCGAGAGTAACAGCGACCTTATGTTTACCATTCTCCTTCACGAAATTGGCAAGATCCTCGATGGTACGAGATCCATCATATTCAATAGGAGCGTCCTTTGCACCGGCCGGGTAGAGTTTGATTGTGGGGAAGCCAGTAATCGAATCGGGGACATCGTTGGCGGTTGCATCAATTTTGGCGATAGTGACCTTGGATGCAAAATCGGGATTCTTGTAATAAAAACTCGCCAGTTCCTCATATTGGGGAGCAAGACTATAACGGGTTGGTCAGTGATCATGAAGCCCCTTAGACACATGTTCGGATGATAAGACAACTTACGCTTTGCAGTGTCCGCACCATGGCGCATAAAATTCGAGAAGGACATCCTTTTCGTTGTCAATGACAAGCTCTTTGTAGGAATGGGCTACCACAACGGTGACCGGGCCCTCCTGTGTCTCTGGAACAGGCTCGGACTTAATACTGGGTTCAACCTTGCCGTCGAGAACGTCTTGGATAAACTTGGCAACATCCTTGGTCTTGATCCCCTTAGACTGATCGTAAGGATATTTCGCCTTATTCTCGGGGTCTTGAATGGCGAACGCGGGGAAAGTCTGGGGGTCCAGATTGAGATTACCAGCGTGGGCCCCAAACAACTTAGCATCGATTGTTGCAATATTGATAGCACCCTTGTGCTTCTCAGCAATAGGTTTAAATTCCTCCGTAAACTTCTCGCGCTCTTCTTGGGTCTCGGCGAAAATGTATGCCAGAGGGATGCCAGCCTTCATGAAATAGACAAATTAACTTCTCGGCATCCTCCAAAACTATATGCAAGGGACACCATTTGAACTATTTGGACATGGGCAATGACTTACTGTAATATATCCAGTATATGTCTCCGGGCCAATTTCACCTACAAGGGGTGTACTGGCTGTCTTAACCCAACTGAGGACGGCTTCCTGTTCAATTTCACCAGTGTAAATGGCTTTTTTCTCGTCGAAATTTTTGTAAAGAACCACCGAAGGTTGCTTGACGCCCTCCGCCTTTGCAATAGCCGCATCACTAGCTGCAGCGAAGAGGTAGTTGTCTCTCTGAGACTCTGCCAAGCTTGTGAAAGCCTCGCTGGCTGCCTTATCGTCGGATCCGAAATAACCAATGACAACAACTTTATCCATAGTCTTAGTATCCTCGAGATTTTCTTCATTGACGGTAGACACGGCGGGAAGTGACTGCTTGATCATGTACGAAACGATACTATGATTCCTCAGCACTTGACATCCGCACAACATGATATGTGAATATGCTGTTAACTTACGATTCAGTCTGGCGGGCTCCCTGGTATGGCTTGCTAGAATCAAGACCACGGAAGATCTTCAGGGTTGGATAGCCTTCGACTCCCTGCTCCCTACAAAGCTCTTCTTCTTCGGTACAATCAATCTTAACCAATGGAATTTCCTTCTCCTTCAACTGGGTGGCGGCTTCCTCGTATTTTGGGGCTAGAGCCTTGCAATGCCCACACCATGGGGCAAAAAATTCAGCCAGCACCAAGTCATGCTTCTTGATGAAATCATCAAACGTGTCCTTGGTAAGTGACTGCACATCAGACGAACCATCATGGAGCACGGCCTGGGCATCACTAGATAACGCCACAGTCGAAGCCCCCAAAAGACTTAAGATCCAGGACGCAAAAGAACGCATGTTGACGCGTATGTACCACGGGAAACAAGGCACAACCTGAACGTGCGAGGATGGGAATCAATAAGTTTACAGAAGACTGGGAATTTAGATGATAATAGCCTCGAAAAGAGGCCTGATGCTTGTCCTTTCCAAACTTCTTTTTACAAAGAAAGCGTGGGCAGGAAGGAAAAGAAAAATAAAATCTTGGAAATGATCACTAGTGGTAGAAAGTGGTTGGTGAGAGATGGTGCTGAACAGGTAAAGGACTCATTAAGTAATATATGGCCTGGTAGTTAAGGACAGTTTGTTCTTTCTGTCAGCTACCTAGCAACTGAGCAACGTGACTGGTTCATGTGTGGGGCGGTGCCTAGTTCCAGCAAGGGACACGACCATCAACCTAGGTAGATAGGCAGGTACAAGGTATGGAGACTTCGTACCTAGTACTTTATATGGTTAACATATATCCATATAAGCAAGCCCATATTACTCCTTGAACAGGCATGTCTCTTGTATTCTGTTTTATGGAGTAGATAGGTATGTATGTACATATATCCCAGATATCTTGTCCTAAAATCATTCACTAATAACGGTACGTCGTCTTAAAACCTAAATATATGCTTTCAAGCATCTCTAAAGATCTGCATTAATTGCTTTGTGCAATCATTCTAACTGTCTGAAAATTGCCTGTGTGGAGTGGCATAGCTCCGCGGTAATCTAAAATAAACCCGCGGTGTACCCCCATAGTTTCAAAGCGCGTAAAGTGTATAGTGCACCCATGAGCCCTCTCACCAAGCTAGGCCGCAAATAGATATTGTTGAAACTCCTATAAGACTCTATTATGGCTTCGCTAAGGCCCGGGTTTTTGGTTGGCCAAATGGTGTCTTGACATCTAGATATTCACATAGGTTTATAATACGCATAAATGATTAATACAAGCTGTGGATATATTTTCCATGCTCTCATTGTTTTCTTTAAACCACTGTCTCTCCATTCCCAGTCTGACTATGGGGGATCGTACCATAGTTGCTATGCACTTCCCATTCCGGTGTACCTTCTAACTGTGTTGAAAGCCCAAGTGCGTCTCTTTTCCCTCGGTCAACGTCAACTAGGAGCATCAGTGGTAGTGGGAGCAGAATTAAGATCGCAAGAAAGATGAATGCAGGTCTGATTTCACCATAGTGGTCCGTGATTATTCCAACAATTGCAGGGCCGAAAATGCTGGAGCCTTTGTCGGTGATGGCATAAAGAGCAAAGAAGGCTGCTTCATAACCAGGTGGGATCAATTCTCCAAAAAAGCTTCGACAATATGACGACAGGCCGCCCATAACAAGGCCATACACGACGCCAAGTGGAAACATTTCCCAGGGTTGCTGGAGGCCGAAATGCCCCAAACTCTTAATCGCCGGAATATACCCCAGAAGACCATAGAGGGGGACAATTTCGAATAAGATAATGCATGCAACTATGGTTTGTGATGCACGAAGGTCGAAGACACGTGAAATATAGCCCCAGGAAAATGCTCCACATACCCCGGAAACCATTGTAACCACATTAATCATTCCAAGTGCCGCAGGCTGCATGTCAAGCTCTGTTTTGGCAAAGAGTACAGCTGTTCCGCTTACAGTAGCGATGCCGTCACTTAGAAGGAACCAAGACACAAGGAACAATGAAATGTCCTTTAAATTCCGAGCTCGCACTGCCGTGTGATACAGGGACTTCCAAGCAAATACTATATAACCAATCCAAGAGGAATTTTGGTTCGTATACGGAAGTGGTGGTCCGGGGCGAGGTCGCAGCCAAAGTGCAGCGGGTATGGTAAAAATGAACCACCATAATCCGATGAGAAATAGGACAAGTCGCAGTGAGAATGTAGTTTGATGAGTGACGACAACAACAAGGATACAGACTACTTGCAGTATCACAGAGCCAATGTATCCAATTCCAATTCCGTACGAGGATATCTTGGTAGAGAAGTTTAATTCCTCTGAGGTGTCTGTCGAAGATGGACAATTGGCGTATTCCGTATCGTTCCCCTCATTTTCTAACTGGATAGGGCGGAGAAGCGGTGTCGTTGAGTAACTTCCACACTGGCAAGCACTGTCTGATGAAGGATTATCATCCTGTAATATGGCAGAAGGAGCACGTTCACCATGTCTTCCAAGTAAGGACGGGTGATGACGGACAAGCAGCGGTAAGAATGAATTTAAAAGAACAAACGATGCCCCAAAGCAAGTATTCGACACTACTGCAAAAAAGCCACCGAGAATATAGAGCTTTGGCAAAACACCCAGAAATAGCATTGTAGCTGTGGAACCAATAAGAGCAAATGCCACTAAAAGCGATTTACGGTAGCTCCCATGGTCTGCGGCACCTGACATTGATATTATCAATATAGCTTGAACAAAGACACTCAGGGAGAAAGTGTACATAGCAAAGCTTGCAGTATTAATTTCAACGCCAAGTATTTTTATGATGCATTGGTCAGTATTGGGTGAATCGGGGGTCTTGTTCATAGTCATATCAGAAGCCCACGAAACCAATGGTGACCGGCGTGGGGCCTTCCAGGCTATAGCACATGGAGTCACCTTGTCTGATAGAAGAACACCACGATCGCGGGCCATTTGTTCTAATGTAATTGGGAGGAACGACCCTAGGGTTGACAGTTAATCCTAAGTGTTTATTGACATATAAAGAGCCAGGCAAGCCTTTCTGGGGAAATGATATCCATACCCATAGCGCACACCGCGAAGGCTTCTGCTGCCCATCCATAACTGTACCACCCAGTAAGCTCCTTTTTACTTGTGTATCGAGTATCATCACCAGGATATTGAGGCCGTGGGCTTATCTCTGTTATCTCATCTTCCCACATAGTGATACCTAGTCGAGCCATCCACAGTTTTCATATCCAAGAATAAGTGGGCAAAGTGATGGGGGGATGAAAAGGCTTCCGAATCTGTAGTAGACAAGATAACTAACATCTTAGCTTATCTGGAAGAGAGGGAGGAGGCCATCATCATGACTATGAATGAACATGCTTAACATACCTAGAGGTTAAAGACATACACTAGCAAGTGAACTTATTATAGCTGGAAGGACAGTAAATTTGCTGTAGATTGAAGCTACAACTACCATCTCTGGAATATAGCCAGCGGGTCCAACATAGCTTCTAAGTTGACCACTCCGTAGGTACCTAGGTATGTATTAATACCAACTATCCATAATAGGTTAGCTAGTTAGTTAATAACGTAGTTGGTAAGCGAGCGCCGCATTAACTAAAGGCGAGAGCGCCGTACTTCTGTACTCCATATAAAATGGCACTCTTTGAAACCTTAATATCTCAATCAACAGTAGATATAGAAACATCTTGATAAGATAATAGCATATCTATGGATTCTAAAAGGGTGTTTTTGTATTTTCGTGTTTTTAAATAGTTTTCTTAGCTCTAAATACTAGGCAACTAAATATATAAAAAATACAGTTGTAATTTATCTTATCTGGAGAAATATGCATTCCTGAAATTTCTCTGCTTAACACATATATATATAGTATTATATTATACCGTATATTAAATTTCATGCCCTCTAGGCGCTTTATTGTTGAGATATTAGACTCTTAAAAAGTGTCATTTTATGGAGTACAGAGGCGCGGCGCTCGCTTTCATGCGTCGCTCGCTTACCGATTACGTTTGTATCTTATCTCTTTAAATACTCTGTATGTAGGGTATGTAGGTGTATCTTTCGTGTATAGCAGGGCAGTGTACGGAGTACATACAGTACAATACATATACGGACTCACCTTCTACGTATCTATGTACTGTATGTATGGTATGTATGGTATGTATGGTATACGGCTGCCAGTAAGGCACCAAGGCATACACCACCAGCCATTGAGGCTGTCTAGTTAATGCATTGCATCGCATTTGCGTGGGCGGCTTCAGTTAATTCATTGTCTTCGTCTCCAAAGCCCACCAAAGCTTGTCGAATGATAAAACACGGTCTCTGAATACCATCACCTATGCTGAGAAGGTCCTGACCTCTAATCTTGCTTATGATATTTTTTCAGTACTTCGTACTTACCCTCAACTGCTACTCAAACTCCCTGTTTCTTTCTACATCCCTTCCTTATCCTGACGGTGCAAAGCCTTATCTATCTACAAGGCAACCTTTGAAGGGTGATATAAAGTTTGGCTTATAAGCTTTTTATCTCTAATCACCCAGTGTTGTTGTCAGCTTAATTAAAAGCTGTTGCAGTGCTAATTATAGTTATCCCTCCGAGGTTTTTTTTTTTTGGCAATCCACTGTGCCAGCGAAAAAAAACACATACACCTGCACGCACCCCAGCCAGCATTGTATGAGAAACCTCCTTGAGAATTTACTAGTGACTGCGGCCGCTGTCATAGATGCTGTTCTTGCGCTCTGCCTACTGACGAACACATGGCCCTACGCTATATCCCCCTCCAACCGAGCGCTGCCATCAGCTTCCCTTCCTACCCCGCCGGCTCTGGCTTCTTAGATTTCGAAGAAGCACTTTAATTAGGCTGCTGATCTTGAATTGCGCAGGGGTGAAGGAGGGGAGGGCTTCTGAAGACAAAGCCGCAGCCTAGATATGCCGGGCGTCATAATGGACAATACGAACGTTGTTGGAGCTGGGCAGGGGATAGAGGCAAGAAATGGCTTGTCACCCTCCCCCGTTGGTACCGATCAATATGTATTGTCCATCGACCCGAAGAAGGGCTCTATGCATGTCAATGGGGCGACACAGGTTATGGAGGATGGAGAAAAACAAGCGAAAACTACATTGAGACTAAATAAAGGGCCCCCGGAGTTGCCACACGTTACACAAGGTTTTTTTCCATTCTCAAAGTTGGTCAATAGGTCTGTACAGCAATGCTGGAATGATCTCTCCGACTTGCTTGCAGAGCTGGCGGATGTTCAGATGCCATCCCACGATGCAAGTTCGTCCTCATTGCCCACGAATGGAAAATTATTTGTCAACCAGTCCTCAGAGAACATACAGAAGAAGCTCCGGATCTTAGATTTTGTTCATGCTAAACGAGCCGAATTCATCAAACTCCTGGTTCTGTCTCAATGGAGTCGGCAGGCCGCTGGTGTCAGTAAGCTAATTGACCTTCAAAACTTCATTCGCACTCGTCATCAGGCATATGTAGGGGCTCTGCAATGGACTGGAGACATGAAAAGAGACCTGGTTCAAGCTCAGGTGGCGAACCCAGATCTGAAGACAGCTCTGGAAGTTTTGTCAAAGGCAAAAATTGTTTCAATGCCAGATGTAGGTTCCCTCCTCCAAATGAACAGTTGTCGGGATGGATAGTTAACCTAGTTTCGTTTAGCTTGGATACAAACCCCTAAGGCCCTTAACGGCTAAATGTACTCTTAAAAAATTGAAGAAAATCGATAAAATCATCGCCACAAGACTAACATTATGCGATGTAATTCCTCGTCCCTTCCAAACCTACCGTGTTCATGACGGACGTGTCACATTCATTGTATCCGGCGAGTTCGAACTAGATCTTTCTATCGGGAAGGAAGACGAATCATCTCAGTTTTACTTCGTTGACATTCGCTTCCTCTTTCATCCGTCGTCCTCGGTCCCCCAAGGCCGACTGTTCAATGAACTTGATATCAAAGTCAACGACGTTCTTAGACATAGCGGCTTGATTGGGTGCTTTGATATGTTGCATAACCTAGTACTGATCAACAAAATCAGCATTCTTTTTAAGCAGGCCATGGAACTGGCGAAAGGTCTTTGGTCAGATGTCTTGCACATTGAATTATTGCATCGAACGCTGGTTGTACATTATTGGGCTCTCAAGCCTGGAAGTAAGAGCTGGGTTGAAATAGGAATCAAGAGCGGTCGACCAAAATACCAAAGCCATAGCCACAAGGTTCCATACCTGGGGCTGCGCTGGATGAGAGATGGTCAAGAAGTCGAAAGTGGGGACATTGAATTCGATACGGAGAACCTTTCTATGGAAAATATTCTACGAAGTGTCCTTGCACTGCACATCTCTCACATATTATATTCTGCGCATAAAATACTAAGCAAAAGCTTCGTCTTCGCTTCTGGCTTGCTGTCTTTGCGGTCTCAATTGTCTGGAACCGAACCTGGAGATTGTCAACTGGATGTTCAACTCACCACCTCAAAGTATCTCCGGGTCTCGATCGAGCCAATGTCGGGATCACATATCTTGTCGGCTAGTCCCAGCACTTTAGTGCGAATGGACATTGAACGAAGCCATGATAGACAATACGCTGATGATATAGTCTCCCGTGTCTCACGATTGCGTTGTATTGCAGCCATAGAAGAGATCGAATCCCATGTTAAGATGCTCGGTTTCGAATCCGTCAATCCGAGAGGGTTAAAGATTGATATGCGCAAAGTTTTCCCAGCCAACGTTGTACGATTTTCTTTTTTCTGGCATCACTTCTGGGAACGTACCTGGGCTGTGGCGGTTACAAGTAGCATGGACGGCGATAACTGGTGGGTAGTTCAACTTCTGCCGCCCACATCAGCAAATAGTCATTCAGCATTCGACACAAGCGCCCAGAATCATTTCTCCCCTCGCTCGGCCCAGATCATTAGCAGTACGCTTTCCCCTGTGCAGCAGCCGATTAACTGCACGTCTTCTGCAGACATAGAGCATTGCCTTTCTGGGATACTGGCGGTTTATGCGAATGCGCGTTACCTCGCTGACGTACAGTCGATCGATTTCTATCCAGTTTTGCATAGATTAATGATTGGATCAAACCTCCAAGTTCCCGATATTTTCATTCGATACGACATGCCAAATATTCCTCAGGCTCTTCAGTTAGCATCACCGTCCAGATTAAAGAAAGGGGGATTGATTAAAGAAACAATTCGTGTTTCTTTTCATGGAGTTGATCCCCGCAAAAAAGCAGCCATAATGGTGGCATATGGCAGCTTACTGGTTCCCGCAAAGGTCTTCAATATATTGCGCACTACGTGGGATCACTCAGTAGTCTTTTCAAGAAGAGGCAATGGCTTTGCTATTCGCCTGCTTGCTCCAGCTGGCCGTCCTGTCATGGCCAGCCTCTTAGAAAAATTGCAGCGGTTAGAATGTGTACTGTCTGTTCTCGAAGTTCTTCAACGCAAGAAGATGTCCCCCCAGTCTTTGTCACTGTCTCATGTTGCTTTCAAATACGGCCCCGAGAAGGATCTATCTGCCAGCATTGATATTGGACTTTCCTCACCGCTCTTCCATGAAGACGCCAAGTCTGTCAATGGCGTGTCGCAAACGGACCCTTTGTTCTGCTTGCGCCTAGGGATCAACTTTGGCTGCTCAAATCCTCATCGTCGCATTCAAAGGTCCCTTACAACAATCTTAAATCGTTCGTCTACGGACGCTGGTCTCGATGCTGTTACGGAACTTCTCTCGCTCACACTTCCACTGTTGCAAGCTGTGGACGAAATTATGAATAATCCATCTCACAAGGGGCCATTAAAGGTGCAAGTGATCGCCCGCAATGCAAAAGCCTTTATTATTCACTATCCAATCCAAGAGCTGCGCTTTCAACTAGTAGCTAGCCAACACCTAGGCCACATGGTATGGACTCTTAGAGACAAAAGCAGCTCGCATGACTTATCAAACAAGGAGCTACGAAGCTCAGATTCCTGGAAGAGGCTTTACAGTTCAAGGGGTGACGGCTGGAGGGGGCTCGGAAATGGAGTAATTGCAGAGGTCGACAAAATTGGAAACCTTATATCAGAACTTGATAGATACTTTTCCAGCAGCAGTCGAGACCATTTAGGACCGAAAAATTCAGGCGCAGATACCACATCCATCGGCTTGAGCAATTCGGCTGAATCTCAAACAGTTCAACTGGGGGGAGCTGAGGGAACAGAGAGCATGTCTCAGGCAGGCCTAACGCCCACTACCAGAATGAGCGGCGAGCATATGCAATCCATGGCCGGCCCTATTCCACAAAACACAGACATAATTATGATCGATTAAGGCATTCCCGTTTTTCCAACCTTCATGATAGGGACAGCTCTCACTCGATACCTCATGCGTAGCAATGAATCCGTGCATGTATGTATAAACATTCTCATCTAATTATTCATATTCCACACGAATTGTGTTCACACTCGATTTTTATCTGTATGTACATTGTCTGCTGTACATGGTTCCCCGTTCACTTGCAGCCCCTTTTCTATCTACCCGTTACTTTTCGAAGTTGAAGATATGCTAGTAGCATTCTAATGGCATTGCTCAAGCCACCAGAGTCAAATAAGTTCCAGACCTTCCGAGGTCCCTGCTTTTGAAACTTGTTACCTCTTTGAAATATAAACTAAGCAATCAATGCCCCATATCAAATTATAGATAAAGATGGCTTCCGCTTTTAAACACGGAGTTTACTAATGCTGAGTATCTATACTGCCCCATGTCCTCTGAGGATGTTCAACCATCCATCAAAGAATCTGTTTCTGTGCCGGATCAACGCCAGCGAGAGAGGTGGAAGGATATAATTTAGTCGCTAGCTAGTAACTTTCCTCTCTTACTTTGCCTCGATTTTTCAGAACATCATATTCGATCCATCGCATGCAAGACAGCTCACCCTCAGAAGTCAGCTTTCCGGGGTTCATCACATGGCATCCTTCATAAGTCATGCAAAATGGTTCCGCCTCAGCGTCTGCTAGAATAAGGCCAGTTGGAAGTGGATACAGTTGCAACGAGGATACATAATCCCAGAGCACAGGTCGCAGCGACAGAGGGAAAGGAGACAGAGTTCCTTGATCTAATATCGTCTTGACAAGCTTCCGGGCCGTGAGAACTGCAGAGGGAGCTGGAAGGGTATTTACGCCTGTTCTTGGATTCTCCGTACGATCTTCAGGCGCAGCCGATATCATTTGGTCTTGAGGGTTCAAATCTTCTTCCGTCGCAGCACCAGTGTTATCCACATCCTGTTTTATATTCACTGCACTGCGTCTCAGCCGCCCGGAGATGTCATCCCGAAATATAGCGATGTCGTGGATCGGCCCGAAGAGAGTGAGACGTGACGGGTTTGAGGTCCAGATAGCCTCGCCGATTGGCCCAGACGACTGAGGCCGATCTAGCTCAGAATTTGCCATCGCAAATACACGTTTCACTCTCGATGTGAACAGCCCAGGGATCGCTGGGCGGGGAACGGGGGAAGCAGCACCAGCCGCAAAAGCAGATGACCATGGGTCACTGTCACCGGGTACAAATATGAAAGTAGAATGCTGCAGCAAGTAGGGAAAATCGGACAGAACCCCCGCGAGTGAGTCAAAATATTCTTTGTACTCAATGCTCCCTGCCTTGCCGCTGCCATTGATTGTAGTTTTCTGAACGAAGTTCCCAATCAGGATGAAGACCATCGGGCGCTCTGCAAGGGGCAAATCATTGTATAAATTGAAAAGTTTTCGGAGAGCATCCACAGTCTTCATATCGTCAAGATTCACCTCACTCATAATGGCGATCTTGAGTCGACAAGGGCTTTCGAAGCCATCGCGCATATACTCGAGGCATCTAGCTTGGATCTGCCTCATGCGTGAACCTTGTGCACGCTCACTTCCAAGTCCCAAAAAATCAACCCACCCGAGACCTCCGCTAGAGTTGACTTCCCCTCTGCTTTCCCGAACATTCATTCCAAAAGACGTCTCTCGCCGTTCACAAGGCGGGCCGCAGATAGAAACCCCCACAAATCTACCTCCTATGGCGCCTCCAATTCCGCTATTTCCACCCAAACTTGACCCTTTGATGTTCTCTTCCTCTTCGTAGATCCCATCGACAAGTATAATCATACCAGGGGCAAGCCAAGCACCATTTTCGGGTACCATGCGTGCATGGTTTAATTCTAATGAAATGCTGCCCGTCAAATCACTGAGAGATAGATCGCCTGTAGGAGAGACGGAGAGTAAACCAAGTAGCAAATGCGAGGTACCACTTCTGCCAAGCAAGTTTGCGATGGGGGTGAGTCTATAACCTTGTTTGGTAGCAAAGGGTGATGGCTGATGTAAAGAAAGTCCATCTGACAGCCCCATCGATGTTTGGAAAGATTCATTCCGGAGTAAACGCTGGCAAACAATGTTATATCGGTCTCTGAATAGCATGATATTGCGCAAAGGTGGTGGGAATAAACTAGGGTCAAAATTCACGACTTCAAAATACTTCTTGTCCGCATTGTAAGTTAGCCGAGGGATACTGAATGCTTCAATGACATTAATCCAGGACCTTGGGTACAACGACAACTCAGTGTCTTTTCGCCCTTTGATGTCCTGCGCTGCCAGAGAATGAGTATCGCTGCTGTTCTGATTGGTTATGCTCATTGACCCTTCGTCTGCTGTACTGGCCCTCCAATTAGCAACCCTACCGCCACTCATGTTCCCTTCCATGGTCCGCAGAATGGCCTTCAAGGATGCCCCTTTTCCCTCCTCAACAATAACGCCACCGCCAGCCCTTTTCCAACTCTTAGCAACTTCATCTAATACCCGCTCTGCGAGCCCTTCTTCGCGCCATCCCGAGCCACAGTTCTTACCCACAAATGTTGCTAGAGTATGGAGTGCAGAAGATGATATCGTCAAGTTATGCTTCCGGGTGAAAGTGCGGAAAGCCACAGGTCGAAGGGTTGAGGGCGGAAGCAAAATTGGAAGTATGGATGTCATCATTGGAAGTGGGTTATGTTTGCTCTTTCGCAAAGGATGCACAGGGGTTCCAAATCCCGGCGACGACGATGGAGGCACTGGATCTGAATCCATTATTGCAGCACAGCGATAGAAACACTGTAGATACGCACAACTCTTTTTTACTTTTTCCTTTATTCAATCAATAAATAAATATCGCCCCTCAAAAATAAAAAGAACCGATGAACGATTAAATGAATGATGAGGAAACACTGTTGTCAATTGCCACAAACATGGTATTGAGTACAGAGTAGTGGTCAGTAGTTAACCCGAAAAGAGCATACGCGTGATACATGAACGCGCCGTACACGCGACCTAAGTTGGTTCAAGACTCTTAAAACTACTCACGCAGAGCTCTACTTTCCAACATCCGCCCCATCTTCCTTTGCAGTATCACGCCCCACCCTCATTTGTCCTACTTTGGCTCTTGTATGCACAATCTACTATTTATTTTTACTGACAGAAAGAAAAAAAAAGGGCCATACTGATTCCACTTCCTTTTACTGAATCTCTCTTAGGCCGCCAACAATCTAACAATACTTAGTTCCTCGAGGATTCTAACCATGGCTGACGGCAACCCAAATAAGGCAGATGCAAAATCATCGGAAGCTGCTGTTGAAGCTTCGCAGGTATACTTAGAAAAATTAATTGAGCGAGCTGCTGCAAAAGATGCCATCAGAGACTTCGACTCAGCTGCGGAAATATATTCTGAAGCCACCGAACTCCAGGCTAAGCTTAATGGGGAATTGTCACTCGATAACGCCGATCTACTTTTTTCCTATGGGAAGGCTCTATACAACGTCGCTATAAGCAAAAGTGATGTCCTTGGATCGAAAGTAGCAGGTGAAACACAATCTCAGTCACAAAGTGAACCTGCTCAGGTTGAACTATCATCTGGACCCACGTCGACTGGCGACAACCTTATCCAAGACGCAGTTACCAGGGGTTTGGCTTCGAAGGAGCCGCTTCAGGGTGGTACTCTACCTGTTCAGGCCAAAAATAAGCCATTCTTTCAGTTCAGCGGGGACGAAAATTTTGATGACTCGGACACTGAGGGGGATGAAGATGACAAAGAAACTGCTGGTGTCGATGAAGATGAAGATGATTTTGCCAACGCTTTCGAAGTTCTTGATCTAGCCCGTATACTCTATCACAAGAAATTAACTGCAATTGACGATGCGTCTGGGAAAGGAAAGTCAGCAGCCCTACCATCTATCATCAGACACATCAAGGAACGTCTTGCAGATACGTATGATTTGCAGGCGGAAATCTCGTTGGAAGCGGAAAGATTTGTTGATGCAATCGCTGATTTGAGGGCCGCTCTCGATTTGAGGCAGACTTTGTTTTCAGTGGAACACCCTTCTGTTGCTGAATGTCACTACAAGCTTTCGCTCGCCTTAGAGTTTGGGTCAGTGCAGAGGAGAAATGACAATTCTGAAAGTGACAACAATTCGCAAAGGCAATTTGATGAACAAATGAGGAAGGACGCGGCGACTCAGATGGAAAAAGCTATTGAAAGCTGTCGTATCAGAATGTCTCAAGAGCAGAAAAAGCTGAATAGTGAAAATTCTTTGGATGAGGATAAAGGGGCAGCTATGAGAAGAAGAATTGCCAACGTTAAGGATATAATAGCTGATATGGAACAGAGAGTAGGTTTTTTTTTTTTTTTTTTTTGCTTCTGCTTTTTTCTCTTCCTCCTCTTTTCGCCTGGCTTTACGATGATACAGGAATCTCACCGGTTCACAGCTCATCGATCTCCGCCACCAACCAGTGTCGTTGGAAGACAGTGATGGAGAGAACGAAGCCGTCCTCAAGGGCATTTTAGGACAAATTATGGGACAGTCTCCTGCCGAGCAAAAAGATCGATTAGAGACAGTCACAAAAGAGGCCAACGACCTATCCGCCTTCGTCAAGCGGAAACCAACTGGAAAACAATCATCTCAAGTGACCGACTTGCCTCATATGCATAAGCGCGCAGCCCCTGAAGTTATCCGGGAAGACGATGCGAAAAGGATTCGTACGGATAGTACAACTAATAATCGCCAGCGAGAATAATTAAAACTAAAAATTACATTTTCATTGTGGCTGAAGTCGTCAGTGTCCAATTTTCTGTTGTATGATCTAAAAAATCTCATTCAAAAATTGGTTCATCTGGGTTCGGTTGGCTTAATCTGCCATTACCCATACACTTGCACAATAGGCAAATGCAAGGGACGAAGAGAGGATGGAACCTTTCGGAATAAAGTTTAGTTGAATGATGGATGACACCCATGCCCAGCAATATCCTTTATATCATCGTGATCTGACGATTTTAGGGATTACATCCAGTATTAACACCATCAATATAGTCTTTTAAATACAAATCAAGTCCCAACAGATGTTGAGATTTAGCATTCGTCTTTAGACGAAGGACAAAATCCTATGGCCACACATTGTGTAGATGAGGGTAGCAACAATAACAATATCTAGGAAGCATTGATGCCGAATATTGATGGACGCTCCAATTTGCGGCTCCTCCGGCATATAGCCAACCCTGGACTCCAAATCCCTGCAAATAGGTCCTCACATTCGTCTTCATCCTGACTGTCAAACTCCACGGGACAATCCAATTGTTTCACGGATGTCTCTCCCGAGGCCAATAAATCATTCAGCGCTAGCGAGTCCACGTAAGTGGCACATTCCCAAGACGACGACGTCAGGATCCTTTTTGTTTCCAAAATAAACTTGCCAACCTTATACCGCTGTGCCTCTTCCTCGGCAGCCACATACTTCCAGCCAAGTACACTCCCGCAGAAGGCACAACTGATGTCGCTGACCGTGTGGGCCCCAGTAACCAGTTGGCGCGGCACAGGCTTTTGGATAGTGGTATTCGGAAGCGAAACAGTTGACGAGGACATGGCGTTGACAGAAACAGCGCAGGTAACTGGTTCAGCCGACACAAGAAAAGCACGACCATAGCGACCAGTGAAACCTTTGCTAATGATCTGGGATGTCAAGCATAGATCTGTTGCACAACGCGAGCAGCGAATATAAGAAACATGCCCCTTTAAATATCTCGTCCCATCTCTCCTCTGACCAGTCGAAAGTGACGGGGATGTATTAGCAGACGAATGCCCAGCATTTTGCTTTTGCTGCCCGTGACGAAAAGTGGGGAGTAAGAATTTTGGAAACATATGAACTGTCTCAGATTAAATTATACCTGTACTATTAATATATCATGAAAAAAACTATGTTACATAGGGTACGGAGGCGTGGAATAAGAATGCTGGAAGAGGTGAAGCTAACCACCCCGCTTAGTATTGTGTCATTCTGAGGTCATACCGTCTTTGGCTTAGCAGCATCAGCACTTTCATAAAGCATATCTTTTACATTTCCCCTTCCAAAACGTCACAAAAGGTGGAAGCTTAAAAAGACACCCTATTAAATAATTTGGGTCTGTAATTGACATGCCAGGTGATATACTTGATGATGGTAGTGATTATGACATCATCACCAAGAGAAAAGGAGAAAAAAATAAACGTTGCTTGAAGTAACCCATCTACAGCTACAACATCAATATAGGCCATGCTAAGCCATGAAGGGGGGGAGGGGGGTCAAAGGGAGGTGCCAAAAGCAGTCACACCATAAAACTAATCCTAATGAAGACAGCAACACTTTCCCATGAAATCGGTAAGCAATTCGAAATAATTCATTGGGGCATAGAGGGGAATATTTGCAACGTTATATTAGATTTCAGCACTTAAGAAAAGCCATTTTGTACTCAAAGAAAGGTCTTCCGAATGACGCTCAATATTCCATGGCTGCAGCGTTGACAGGGCAAAACCACACCACCCCAAATTCCTAACGGCAGCAAGCTCGGACGCATCTTGGGAGCGAGGGATGCATGCAACAATCTGGGAACAAGAGAAAGAAGGCATGCTAGCTAGCTCAAAAAGAGCAATAAGCCTATTTTGTTGTAAGTTTTCATAACAGTACTATAGCCAATAGATTGGCGGATTGGGCAAGAGTTAAGGGGATAAGGATATACTATATCCATGCATCCACATACCCAGTTTTGAAACGATGTCCTAGTTCATTGTCTCCGAAAAATATGAACAGTGCTCGCTCATTGTTAACGTTGGTCACAAACCCTCGGTAAATGCAATCACTTGTGTAATCCAATACTTCAAGCCACTCTTGAACTTGCCTATGTCCGTGTCCTAGATTATTCTCCGGTCTGTTTTGGTACGCACCCATCCCTAGCGACTGATGTCTTGAGATTCTCCTCTCACCAAGGAAAATAGCTGACATTTTGTCACAGAAAAGCCTCTCACACTCTTCCGGGATAGTTTGCGTTGCCTCCCCTCTATGGTCCGGTAAAGTATGCGCCGGCCAGGTACCCTCCGCCTCAGGGTTGGTAAAGGAATCAAGAGGAGGGCTTTGGGAAGGGGTTTTCAACCCTGAGGGGACCTCAGGGATGCCACTGTGCTCCTAGAAACCACAGAAGCATTGCATCAGTACCCATGTCATCAACAAACTGTTGGAACTTCAAACAAAGGGGCAATTTACTTACCGGCCCCCATTGTAGTATAGTAGTGGAAACCACCGACCATCGCAGTTGATGCATTAACACTGTAACAACTTGCAAGTACAGTAGACCGGGAATTCTTATTGCCAGGCCGCTGTAACTGATTGTGGGCATTACTGCCGTTATCCAAAAACTTGGCCATGGTAATAGCTGCCCCAGGAGAAATGAGTGCCGTGTACGAGTGTGCAGAATTGATGACTAGGAGGAATAGAGGATTCAGATTAAGATAACACAAGGTTCAGAAATCAGCTTGGAAGTAGCCACTCAAATGAGCAGATACAAAATTTTTGAAAGATCTTTTGTGATCTAACTGAAGGTATTATGCTACTGTTGAATGCCGTGAGTTCTTTTGTGCTATAAAGGATAACCTGACTACGTTACAATAAATGGGGCCCGTCAAAGTATCACCTGACTGCGGCTCCATAAACCTGAGGCATTAAATATCTAGAAAAATTCGTTGAAACTTACAAATCAATCATGAACAATTTCCTTTTTCTTTATATATATATATGTATTTCGGAAAAGGTGCTTATTTAAAGAATCCGGATATGTAGAGCACACTGTTCTTAATGTTGGCCTACCTACTTATCAATACTAGTCACAGCAAGAATCAACCACATGAGAGTCCCTGTGCAAATAGATGCAGTGATACATGCTAGGTCAAACAAGATACAAGAATGTAAGATGTACAGGATATAGGATCTAACAAGCAAGAATAATATAAAGAAGTGGGAAAAAAAGGTCCAAAAAAACAGATAATAAACAAATCTCCGCCCACTATGCATATACGGAACGCTCTTTGGTTGTGTGATTGCTACACTGTATACCACTCAAGATTATTGGCCTAAAGCTCTCGATAATCACTAGGTCTTATTCTCCGATGCCTTGCCTGGTGTCGCTGAGGATTAACAGGTTGGCGGAAATAGGCTGTATCCTCCTCTCTTGCAAAGGGGGTACTGAAAGTGGTCCGCTGTTGGTTCGAGAAATGAGTCATCCCAGGTCCCTGTGGAAATCCTGCATTATGTCCCATCATTTGAGACATTGGGAACATGTTCATTGATGCATCACCAGTACCATTATACATGCTTGCTGTGCCATATCCGCTGTGCATTACACCATTAACATGGTCACTATAAGATCCACCTTGAACCGAATTCAAGCCCATAGTGTTCATTGGGTTCCATGCTTGGTCCATGGCAGCTCGGAAGCCACTGGTCGAAGCCATGCCCATTGGGTTATTCATAAACCCCATCCCATCGCCAATATACCCTGGGTCGGGGAATGACATCGCAGGAACACCTGGGGCTTGCATAAAGCTAAGGCCAGTAAAAGGCATCTGTTGGGGTAAAGACAAATGGCCAGGAGTATCTTTATTTTGTGAATTTCCCATGTCATCAGGCTTTTGATTGCTCTCAACTTTTTGTTTCTTTGGCACGGTATTCAAATTAAGATCTTCGGTAGCTTCACCCGAGAACTCATCATCAGCAAGTCTCTTCTTCGAGTCCGTTTGCACACCTTCACTAGGTAATATCGGTCTTTGTTTCGCAACTAAGGAATTATCCGAGGTAGACGTGCTGCTAACAGCATGGTCTTCTTTTGCAATTTGCTGTTTCTCCTTTTCCTTTTTGGAGTCTGCCCTTTCGGCCTCGTAAGCTTTGATTTTAGCAACAGTTTCATCGTCTACTGAGAGATTATCCAGCAAGACTCCCTCCGTTGCACACCCAGGACAGACAAAATCACTTTCTATCAAAGCATTCGTAATGCAATCATTGCAGTATGTCCGTTGACAGCATGGCGTTTTTGTGGGCTCTAAAAGCATCCGTTTATCAATAGGGCATTCCAGGCCACGAGATTGTAGTTCTTTGCTATACTCTGCTGCTGCTGCTTCTGCCGCAGCCGCGGCAGAAGCTTTGGCCTTCTCTTGGTATAATTCCCATGCAGCCTTGTCCGGCTTAGCAATAACAAAGTCTCCATCAGCGTTAACCATTACGCCAGTATTCCTCAGTTCTTCATTGGACCCATCCAAAGCGATTGTTTCCGGCTTCTCAACCTTAGTTTGAAGCGAGCGAGGTATACCAGTTGACCTCTTGACTCTGTATTTTCCATCAAACTTTGGGTCATTATTAGTTGGACACGCTTGGATCCAGTGGCCTATGTACAGGGAATAATGTCAGTTTAAATCAAATGAAAGAGCCCCGGTCTAGCACACCTTTCTCACGACATCTGTAGCAAAGATACCCAGGCGGTGGCGGGTGATCAGGGACATTGACAGGTTTGCCCCTCCCGCGACCGAATGGGACAGGTGTGGCACTAAAAGCACTATTAGTAGATCATTCCTCTCAATAATGGATATATGCCTACTTTGCCATCTCCTGTTGCTGTTCTTTCCATTGGTTGGCTTGCAGATTAAATAGCGCGTTTATTTTCTCCTCCTCAGTCTGGGCATTGTTAAGTTCCAGAACACCATTGCTAACTGTATTGCTAGAACCTGAAATCATGCGGGCAGGAAAAGACTGGTCATTACGAGGAGTGTTGCGTGCAGTCACAGGCATTTTGCCAGATACATAACGAGCAGCACCGCCCCTCCCAGGCCGTGATGCGGGCAGTCTTCGGGCTATGACAGATGTAGAACGGGGGATAATTGTGGTGTCATCGTCGTATTCTAGCAATATAAACATATGTTAGTTTTGTTTCCTTCAGCTATTTTCTCCTCTCCACTCCTCACAGTCGCCTTGATACATGCACACTTGCACGTTTATCTGTATTCTTTATAGTTTAAAACAGACCAGGGGAATTGGAGAAGGGGCAAAGTAAAGTTAGAAACACTCAATTCACGAGACTTACCTTCCCCAGTATCTTCATTATAAATCGACAATTCAAAATCAGTCCCATCACCAAGTCTACTCTGATTGATAATTTCGCGTTTCAATTCAAAGACAGAGATACCGGTGCCATCAAATGTTACCCTTGAGGGTTCTTTTTGGGACTTGAACTTGAAATGAACAGAGGATGACATTGTATTCAATTGCACGTTCAACAAAAGTGTTTGTGAATGTAATTAGACCAAGTTTATGGGTGTACCACTTTCACAAAGGTGGATGGATACAAGCGACAATATGGAAACGAAAACAGTAATTGCAATACTTGATAAGTTGGCAAAGCGCCTTTGACAAGTTTTATAACTTGAAAAACCTCTTTTTTTCAAAAAAAAAAAAAAAAAAAAAAAAAGAAAGAAATGGAGATCGATTGTCCAATACCTAAGGGGATATTGCTCGAACTCATGAACTCAATAGACTCTTGTTTGATGCTGGATGGCGAGTGTTCACTTCACTGCATACAAGATCAAGTCTGATGATTACAAAAATGTAGAGGTGTGGTTCTGTAGCAAAGGTTCTGTAGCAAACGGATGGTGGGCTGAAGGAAGCCTCAAGAGCCTTGCCAGTCTGCCAAGTGAAATCGAGTTTCCAAGTCCTTCTGCAGGAAACATGAGACAGGACCGGGTCCTTAGGTGCCCTAGAAAATAAATTTTATGTCTGACAACCGCATAGGCACAAAATAAAAGCGTGAAGTCTCTTGAGAGGGGGGGTTAGCTGCCGATGGCAGGTTCCAGTCAGCTGTAAGTATTGCTCTTTATTGGCTAGAGTTAGGGATGTAATATTAAGAGGACATCAGTAAAGTATTGTATTCAATGATGCATGAAAAACACGTTAAGTCAGGCGGCTGTTGCTTGATCGATGGAAACAGTTTATTGCGGAGGTTTAAAATTATTGCCTCTTGGGACCAGATGTGGCAATCATGTACGGAGTGTATCACGTGAGCCGGAAACCGTTTAGGCTTAGGCTGTTGGTTGTGACCTTGGGAAAGCCAATGCCTATTAGATACCTTGGTTTTTGGAAGGAGCCATCCCTGAGACCTGTTTTGAGTGCAATCTCCAGTTCTGATGAGTTTCTATAAGCGGCATGAATATATAATATATAAATATATATAGATTATTACACAAGTATGCTATCTTACTACCCTAAACACTTATATACGTACTATGTGTATAGTATGTCTTCTTTATGGTATTTGGATAGACCCACCGTGGGTATAGCAATCCTTATTTGAATGTATAGCATATTTTAGGTTCATTCTTGAATAGAAAGAATATAGATGTTCATATAAACATGGAAACGGTATACTTCATAATACAGAGTATTTTACATTTATCATTACGGTTAGAAAGGAGTTTAGAGAGGTTTGACGCCCAAATACTACCTATGCACACCGGAATATCTATATTTGGAAGTGCAGCATACGATCTTGACGGATGTAATTGTCTATTCTATATATTCAGGATCATTGCCACAGATTTTACACGAGCAGTGTAAAGATCGTAGTGGTCAGCTGCAGCAAGTGCAATAGATCCATCGCAGCAACAATAGCAGGAGCAAGAATAAAAGCAACAAGCCAAATATCATCAACGTCCCGATAGAATGCGACTGCACAACATCAACTCTCGGCCTCAGAAGAGCGTACCAGGAGCCCTCTACTTCTTAGATGGTCCTTGACCTCACTGACGGTGTACTCGCCACGATGAAACTGGTAGTCATTGTTAGCACATAAGAAAATGAAAAGAAAAAGCAGGGGCCATACTATGCCGGCACCCAAGGCTGCATCGGTAGCTGTATATTCAAAAACCTCCGCGAAATGTTCAGGAGCTCCAGCCCCACTTGAAGCAATTACCGGTATTTTAATGGCAGCCTTGACATCATTGATTAGTTCCAAATCAAATCCACTGTTACTCCCATCTCTGTCAATGCAATTTAGGAGAATCTCTCCAGCACCCATGGCTTCGACAGCCAACGCTAGTTGCCGAACATCAATATCTCGGGCCCCCCTACCACCATTGATAGTGCACTGGTACCAACAAAAGTTCTGCCCAGCAATGCTTGGATGCGTTGTCTTGATTGTATGATGACTGGTGTCCTCAGGCCTGTCAACATAGACACGTTTGGGATCAACGCTCACAACCACAGCTTGATTTCCATAAGCACTTGATATTGTTTCTATTGCCGTTTTCCCAGATAACTTCTCACCGGCTTCATAATATTCTTCCGCCGCAAGAACGGCTTCCGATCCAATGCTAACTTTGTCTGCTCCAGATTTGAAGTACATGGTTGCCACATCCAGTGCCGTAACATGAGTTCCATCAGTATCCACTGTGTCTTTGATCCCACCTCCTATTGTGAGGGGGACAAAAACTGTTTCTGATGTTCTTCTTAGGATTTCCAGCATGGGCGTATCTGCCACCGGACAATTTCTGAATGATGTTATATTCAGGAAAGTAACTTCGTCGGCCCCTTGTTCGTAATATTTTTTGGCCATGTCAATTGGTTTCCCTAAGTTCCTTACTTCCCCCCCAGCATCCACACCGGTCTTCTCGCGAACATCATACTGGTCGCCCTTGGTGACAACTAAATCACCGTCGTCATTCGCTCGGACATCTAGGCAGGCAATAACCCTGCGAGTCAATCCATCTTTTTGCTTGTCAGGAACTGAAACATCTTTCGCCAGTAATTGGAACCGGTCACCGTTCAAAAAAGCACGAATGGTCTGTAAACCAGCATGGCCGCTTTTTTCTGGGTGAAATTGGGTTGCAAAGATATTATCTCGCGCTATTGCGCCAATGAATTCCTCCTCTCCATACGTTGCTGTAGCAACTGACCAACCATGTTCCTCTAGCACGCCGGGCGTATGGAAAGCTGCGTAAGAGTGGACGTAGTAGTATTTACTGTTTGGGTTGAGTCCGTAGAAAGTTTTGTTGCTAGAGGTGTAAATCCCAATATCCTTAGCAGAATTCCAACCTATGTGAGGCACACTTTTTGCATCTGCATTAAATTTTCGCATTCGCATCTGAATCAGCCCCAGCCCAGAAACATTAGGATCTTCCTCTGAGCCATCAAACAGTGCCTGAAGGCCAACACAGATTCCCATGAATGGCTTTCCTGACTCAATGTGCTGTCTAATGGGCTCCAGGTAGCCCCCCTCTGAGAGCTGAGAAAGACAATGGCCGAAATGGCCGACCCCCGGCAATATGAGTTTCTGCAACACCTCAGTTAGCCAGTGCAGATAAAGTCACGCGGTGACAAGGACAGTAAACGTATTCGCACCTCTGCATTTTTCAAATCCTCAGGAGATTTGACCCATTCAACGTTGTACCCAACTTTATTTATTGCATTCACCAAGGAGCGGACATTCCCAGCCACATAGTCGAGTAGATGGACGGTTGGCATAGTGACAAAGATGGAGCTATCCGCTAAGTTGAGCGGACTTCAAGTTGAAAAAGTCCCAATCCTGAAATGCGGCAGCAGCAAAATATGATGATGGTCTCTATACCACTATGTCCCAGGGCTTTTTTCAATTCTTGCTGGTCTTTTCGATAGCAATGGGATCTGGGAATGAATTCAACGACAATATTCTCCGCCTACATCGTACCCCACCACGCACACGGTCTGAGTCATGACAAGGGTCCCCTCTGTTTCACCGCCGACCCGCGGAGTATGGATTTACAGTATATGTACAGTCTCTGACCTACATTACGAAATTTCTGATATGCTGCAGCTATTTTTAATAGATTTTAAACGCTGGATATGGGATATCTTGACTAGCTTGTCATGGTATGTATGTATTAATTTAATATTTAATGTTTTGTTGGTAATATAATTACACATATGGAGTATAGAGTAGATTACGGCGGATTGAATCGATCAAATGGGCAAAAGTCCTGTTTTTCAAATTTTAGCTTGCCACATCTTACGCCTATGCGACACTGAGAGGGCCTATGTCCGACTGCGTGGTGGTGGTGAGGTTTACCACTACGAAATCGATGGCCATTTATAGTCATCGAGCTCAGCGTAGTATATAGCAAGATCAGGTCCGTAGCACTGTGATTGTTTGGTTGCCTCTGCGCTAGTAGAGAGGCAAAACTCTTGACCATAAAAGGTACAAAACAACTGATTGAAAGATCAGTCGCATCAAGCGCCCTGTATATTAGCGAAGGCCTTAGTCTAGGCAATACACTGGGTTCAACCCTTGACACATAGGTGCACGGTATTTTTGTCCGCCGTATAGATATGTAGATACTGGTGGGAGAGGAGATCGATACCATATATTCCAACACCCCTAACTTTCCCTAGCTACTCTGTAAGTATAACCTGTAGTTATACTAGTACAGGACTACGTACTTTGTTCTTGAACCATCCTATTAGGTTCACTTATACACTTCCTACTACCCTTTGGTAGGAGGCTCGGTTATCAAGGTGTTAACCGAGAGAGACTACTATATTTGGGGAGCCTAAAGAGATTCAATATTCAGGACGAGGCAAGTATACCTATAGGAAACGATACAATGGGAACTTCCATAGAGTGCACCCGGTTGTATGCAGAACTTCTCTTGTCCAGACAGATTGTTCTGCTGTATATCCTTATGTACAATAAAAATAAACAAATAAATACAGGACATGAAGAAGGGTGCTAAATCAACTAAGTAATTCAGGATCTGTTGGAAGTATTTTGACACTTGATTGTGATTGTCAATATTTCTAATTCTATTTTCTTATTTTAATCCATCTGTTTATTTACTTTTCACATTCCATGGTCAAGCATTTTCACTTTCCAAGTTAAGATTTTCAAGACAGATAAGTCCGTTCTTTGGCTATAATAAAACCATTAGCATTGTACATTAGGACCATGGATAGCAACTTACAGGGGAGAACTGCCGAAGATGTATCCCAGCAGCCTTAAGAATTGCTGCACTCTGTAATGCATAAGTAAGATGCTAAGAAGGGGACGGCTTAGGGCATACATCTTGATCCATGTTGTAACCATTTAAGAACACAACCTCAGAGATGCCAACTTGGGCAATTTTGACGGTACAGGTCAAGCAAGGGCAACTTTGGTTCCATGTTTTTTATTCAGTAAATATTTAATCTTTCAAAAGGGAAACAAGGAGTAGATGGACTATATAGTTTAGACATGGAAAACTTACGTGTCACAATAAAGCACTGCTCCCTCCCGTATACGCTCCCTTCCAGCTTCTAAGAGAGCGTTTTCCTCGGCATGGAGGCAGAGGCAAGTTGATAATCCGAGGCCCCCCCCTTCCCCACGATTGCATCTTGGGCCTAGTAGACCATGAGCATGTTCTTGAAACACTGTTATGGACAAAAGGGAAGTTGGGAGGTTATGGATAAATTCATACATCCACCTTCATTGCAGTTTTTAAGATGCCGTGGAGTCCCATTATATCCAGTGCTTATGACACGGTGATCACGGACAAGGACACAACCCACTCTCCTTTTCATACAGTTGCTCCGCTGTGCAGCAAGGGAAGCCAGCTGCATAAAATATTGATCCCAATTTGGGCGCAGACGCTGTCCATCAGCTAAATTGAGAGCCTTGAGAGCCATGTGCAGTTCTTCTAATGAAGAAGATGAGTTAAGCAAGCGGACTTGTGCTCGATCGGTCAAATAGGCGCACCCGACGTTCTTTTCATACAAATGTCGATCGTTCCAAAGAACAAACTTCTCGAACGAGGGGGCTTCGAGACACCTCCTTCGACATCTGCAGATAAAGTATAAGCAACCGTTCTGGTGATTGGATGGATTAGTATTCTTGTATGGTTTAGATAATAGCTAACCTATCCACAAGTCGCTTCCATCGGAGACTGACTGGGGCTTCCACTCCCAATAAAAGAAAAAAAGGGCGCTGAAGGAAGCGATCCAGGGTGGAACTCTCCCAGATATTTGTGGTGATCCATAATCCTTGCCAATTCTTGGTTGCAAAGGCGAGAAGTGAGTTGACGTTTTCAAATACGTGGGAGGACGGGCTGCCTTTCCTCTCTAAAATATCAGAGTCTTGCAGCCGAAGACCGTTCGCAAGTTCATCAACTATTGGAGCGGAGCTCCTATCTTTCAACTCGAGTAGCCGAAAGCCTTCATTTTCGATAAGATACTCAGCAATGGAGTGCTTTCCGGCGCAGATACCTTCCGTCAGTGTTAGCCTATGCCAGGGACTTGTAGCATCCATGGATACTCTAGTTCAATTTCTGCTAACCTCCACATAAACCAATTAACATTATTTAAACTTTCACCTCAGGACTAGAAAGGCTGGTAGATAGTAACAAATAAGTACCTAACATACAGCAGAAATAGAAAGAAACTTCGGGTGTTGTGACTAAAGAGAAAACCCCAACCATTGTACGGAATAGTTTGTACATACACGCTTAGGATGATACAGTAACGAAATCGGACAACATGCTGGCACTTTGTAGGAATCGGCTGGAGTTAACATAGGCATCTACAGCCCCTGTTAAGCATTTAAATTCCCGCAATCCATGATATGGTATGCTATACTCAACAGATTTTAATGTCGACTGTATTTTTTAATTTTTACAGGACCAAACACCAAAATAATATGGGCACTGTAATTTAAATACAGGCCACCAGTGGTGGTATCCCCTCGTCCGGTGAAATATTCATTTTAGCGTGGTTTTTTTGTATCGGTAGTTTGATTGGCCAAAGTATTATACCGCTTCTGGCAGAATAATTTTCTGCCGGCTATAAAGCTACCACATCAACGCGCCCCCTACGCGATTTCGTTGCATATTCAACATCAAAATCAATAATATGGAGACCCCCCTCCCTCACAACCATTATTGGATACACAAAATGATATTAAAGCTGAAGCTGAAGCTGCAGCTAATTAGAGTTATCCAAGCAGGGCCCTAGATCCCTTTAAAATGCTTCAAAATCAAGACCTTATTACCAGAATTCCCGATCTGAAAACAGTAAAATTTAATCCTCTTCTAATAGACCCTCCACAGGGACCTAAGCTCCGGATACCACTTGGATATAATACCAACAGCCCTTTATTACTTTTCAAGCTATTTTTGCCTGATAACCTATGGGATACTGTTATACAAAATACTAATAATTATACTGAGCACAACGGGTTCGGGGAGGGCCCAGCGAGTATAAAAGACCATGGAGACATACAATAAGGAGTAAGATAATACTTTTTATAAGGGCCCTTATATATATAGGAGTCCACCGAGAGCCAGAAATAGGCCTTTATTAAAGGCAGGATTTTAATTAGGGACCTTAATATACAATCCCTTGCTATCTTAGCCTTATTTAGTTTAAGTAATTAAAGAGATATCTTTATATATCCCAGGCTGAGGTTATTAACTAATATCTAAAAAGTTATCTTGATATTAAGCCTACCGAAGATAACTAATTAAAGTACGGAATAAGGCATTTAGTAAAGGTCTAGTAGTATAAATTAGACCTAATAATTGTTGCACGCTCGTACGGGTTGGAACTGCGTAAGTGGTTCTCAGCGGTCACCCTACGTCGTTCGTTCATACTTCGAGCGTTTGACCTCGTCCACCTTCCATCTTCAACCTCACACTGATCAATGAAATTGACTATGTTCTTCCTCTGAGCTTGCGTGTTTTACAGCAAGCCTTCCGGGAGAAGCTTTACTAACAGCTTTTTAAATATATTATTAACTGCACACGGCCGGCACAACCATGTTTATATAAAAAAAAGGCCTCTGTGGAGCTTTCTAAATACTAATTGGATAGCTTACTATTATATAAGCTGGTTTAAACGACCAAATAGTCACATTGTATCTGGTATTTATATATTTAAAATAAACAGGTAAAGAGTAACAAAGATTAGCAACTTCCTGGGCCTTACTATGTTAGATAGCAGTGTTCTAACTGTTAAGTGCTACTATATTATAATTACTCTGGCTGTTTATATGATAGGGATTTTTATTCCTTAGTTTTCTAGCTAGTTAGTAAGAAATTCGCTTTATTATATATTTTTATATAGTGTTTTAAATCATTTTATTAAGAGTAGTATTAGCTCTAAAATAGTAAACAAAGTAGCGAATTAAAACATTAGCTTTATTTAGCAGTGAAATGCGGGTGCCAAGACCGCAAAAACATGCTAAAATGAATATTTCACTGGACGAGGGGATAACTATTGCAAGTGGCTGCATACTGGTTTTCGGGAATTTAACAAAATGTTGGCCAGGGAGGAGTACACAGGTCAGGTACCGCTTCCGAGAAGCCGTCAGCCGGCCCAGCTGGTCTTGGCACAAGCGGAACTCACCCTTTCAATACCGTAATACAGGCAACGAAATTCAATTTCACTTCTCCCTCCATAAATATTTCTTACAAACGAACATTTTAGCCTACTCTAACTACTTGCTAATTAGTTATCAACTGCTTATACCAGCCAAATTAATATGGATGTAGAAGATTCTTAGTTAAGTTTTAGTGAGATTTCACAAGTCTAATACAGCAGGCAAGCGATTATCATTAGTAGCAATCCAACAGTAATTTGTAACCAGTTCGTAACCTGTTTCGTAACCAATTGTTAAGTAGTTACCAATTATACCTTGCTAGTTCTGCAAAGCTTGATAAACAAGTTCTTTAACATAAATCGGACTTGTTTTGGTATTTATCATTCATATCGAACAGCAAATATGGAAGTTAATTATTTACAACTTATGGCATGGGAAGGTAATATATATATATATACAGGCTGGTTTCTATACACTAATACCATTCCATACCCGACCGCAATGCTTGGCATTACTTTGTAGGCTGGTTATCGATAATACAGATAATCGTTAATAGTTCTTGGTATTACATGTCGATTACTGTAAATTTGGTTTTGAACCTTCATGTTTCCAAATTTAGTCTGAAAGTGATAAAAATTTAGTAGTTTGTAGATAACTATAAGTTTTAAATGTTGATTAAATTATATATAAAGAACTTCAAAACTGGCTGAGTTTAATGGGGTTGAATAATAGTACAATAAAATCAATGCGGTATGTAAAAGTATGGACAAGTTAAAGCTTTGTATAGGTTAGCTGCCGTGTAACTAAAACTCTGTAGTGTATTTGCTGGAACCCGTAAAATAGGTCATGTGATTGAGTAGCGCGGCACCTCACTCCTAGAACAATGCCACCCCACCTGTAACCTGTCCAGGGGAGGGGGGGTTGTTACAGATTAGTTGTATTAACTAACTTAACTTGTGTAAGCTTAGATAAGCTTCCCCGCATTATTAACTAACTAGTTAACTCATATTAACCGCACCTTAATTTATTATCATTAGTTCCGTTATCTACATCAGATGACACTTGATGAAAGGGCAAAGAACTTTTCAGTTCATGCCATGTACTTGGACGTTCTTTGATTCCTTATAAATAGCCACGAACAGAGGGTAGATTCAGAAGCTACTTTTCAGAAAGCAACAGCCATGCAGTATACACCATTTGCATCAGACATAGAACTACCGTTCTATACCGCTCTAGCGTCTATGAAAATTAATCATGATAGGCTTGATGACTCCCCTCGCAAACTACTAGGTCTCTATGAGATCCGCTCAACTGATCCTCCGAACACCTCATGCCGGATACAGGTACATGGGAATGCCCTTTCTAGTGACGAGTGAGTCTCTGATGATCGACTTATCTGTTTCCGGACCCTGCGCAATTTTTTGGTACTTGAGTGGTCTACATTGCTCACCAGTTATGTGAGCCAGGGTCCCTGCAGGCTATTTTCGAGCCGAGGGGATGATTAAGAATGTCAATACTATTGAGGAATACAGAAATGCCGACAAAGCTGAGATTCTCCAACAATCTGGCAAAACAGTGAGTCTATCAGTACGCTACTTTCCTTCTAGCAATAGTAATATCCTTGTTAGATATGGGCTGCTATAAATGACGGCACCATCTATTCGTGTCCGTCTCTATTATCGTCCTTCGTCGTCCTGTCGTACGCCGATCTCAAACGATATAAGTTCCACTACTGGTTTGCCTTCCCTGCGCTACATTCAGACCCTTCATGGACACCAATAGAGGCATCAACCAAGCCAATCAGTCAAAGCGAAACCCATGTGGTTGCTATGAATACTAAGAGTTTAGCAAGCGTTGAAAGTTCAACACTTGCAGAAGCAGTGCAGAGTTGGAGCTACAGTGTAGATGCCCGACAACGAGGATTTTTCTTAGCCCGCAGATTGTTAGAAAGAAACAGCGAGGAAGAGTTTGACGGCGCAGATCCTACGCCACGTGAAGGTACAGGGAATGCACAGAACCATTTCAAGCCCTGCTGGAAAATAGCCCCTCTTTCTAGCTACGAAGGTGGCTTCTTTGATGGGGCACGTTCTGAAGATTGTTTCGTTTGTTTCGTGGATCCGTCAAATTATGACCAGGCACCTGGCTGGATGCTCCGAAACTTATTGGTGCTTGCACAAAAGCGCTGGGGACTTAATAAAATACAAATAATAAGATATCGCGATACACACTCTAATAAACGTGAGCAGGGTCGCAGCATAGTGGTAGCCATGGAAGCACGAGCCATTCAAACTTCGAGTGCTCCTGAGCTGCCGAACACCAACAAGATTATGCCAAAGGTAACTGGATGGGAGCGCAATGCTATGGGAAAGTTAACAGGAAGATTGGTTGACCTTACAGAATACCTGGATCCCAAGAGGTGCGCATGCTTACTATAACCAGAGTAAAGCTACTAAACTAACTGATTGTAATTTTTTTTTTTTACGACGGCTGCTTAGGTTGGCGGACCAGTCTGTTGATCTCAATCTCAGGCTCATGAAATGGAGGATTAGTCCCAATTTGGACCTGGACAAAATCAAGAGTACCAAGTGCCTCCTGCTCGGTGCCGGTACCCTTGGAAGCTATGTTGCACGAAACTTAATGGTATGTTTGCCAATGCCGCATCTTGACAATGCGAATAAGTAATGGTTATTTCCAGGGTTGGGGGGTCACAAAGATTACATTCGTGGATAGTGGATCTGTGTCATATTCAAATCCTGTGAGACAGCCTCTATTCAATTTTGTAGACTGTCTAGAGGGCGGGGCCAAAAAAGCATATCGAGCTTCACAAGCATTGTCAGAGATATACCCTGGTGTTGAGTCTACTGGGTATGCGATCTCCGTACCGATGGCTGGCCATCCAGTGGTAGACCTTGAAAAGACTCGAGCAGATTTTGAAATTCTCCAACAGCTGATAGTTGACCACGATGTGATATTCCTTTTGATGGACACAAGAGAGTCGCGCTGGTTACCAACTGTCATGGGCAAAGCAGCTGGGAAAATTGTCATGAATGCAGCACTGGGCTTCGACTCTTTTGTGGTTATGCGCCATGGTGTTAAAAATGAGGTAGACCCGGCAGCGGAGCTCGGCTGTTATTTTTGTAACGATGTTGTTGCTCCGATGAATGTGAGTACTAATATGCATCGTTTGTTTACAAATCTTACTGACTTCTAGCAGTCTGTCAAAGACCAGACACTTGATCAGCAATGTACTGTCACTAGGCCTGGTGTCGCCGCCATTGCGTCAGCTTTATTAGTTGAGCTACTCGTTTCGCTCCTTCAACATCCCCAAGGTGCTGCAGCTCCGGCCCCAGCATCACGGAGCGACGATCAAAATGGTCATCCATTGGGGCTTGTGCCACACCAGATTAGAGGATTTCTTTCAACCTTCGAGAATATCCCAATCGCGGGTAAAAGCTACAGATGCTGCAGCGCCTGCTCGGATAACGTTGTTGATGCTTACAAGAGCCAAGGGTGGGACTTTGTGCTGAAGGCCCTAAATAAAACTGGATATATGGAGGAGCTGAGCGGGCTGAAGGAGGTTTGCTCATCACTCGTATACCTAAGTTAACTACCTCTAAATAGGATGGCTAACGAATTCTAGGTTCACTCAACAGCGGAGGCAATGGTTGCTGATATAGAGTGGGATGACTTTTCTGAAGCCGAGGAAACAAGTCTCATGTAGTTGTAACCTTTCCAAATCCGCGTTTTCCCAGCCACTATACCTCGGGGATGTAGTTTTGCTCTTTTATGTTGCTTAATAAACCTGGAAATACTTCGCTCTCTTTTGCGTGTTCTTTGCGATGGATTCCAATGAAATATGCCTCCTTGGATTCCTGCGTATCGAATCAGCAAGACCATTCAAGAGAATAATTTGTGAAACCTCTTCCAGCTGTATTCAGTACATACATTATGCGACGACTTTGGCTTAAGTCTATGTACTTTTTCGAACAATTGTTTGAGTTGAGTCTCCAAATCTCGGTCTTCAGCTCCTTGGTAAAATTTACAAACGAAATGACCGCCAGGGTTTAAGACGTCGAAACTGAATCGCAACGCTGCACGACAGAGATCCTTGTTTGATTCAGTCACCTGCGAAGCATATCAAGAGCAGTAGACAGGACTTACCATACTGCCAACGTGATCTCTGAAGCTTACACCGCTAGTATTCATCATCCTGTTGCGTAGATCCATTAGACTCTCATTCCCAAATCCTGACAGCTAGATCCAGGGGGCAGACATGTCACTCAAAACCACATCTACTGTCTTTTCCCTCTGGCGCTCACACATGTTCATAAAATTTCCACTAGCCGTTCCGCTATTGGGTGCGCTCATGATCGAAAAAGATCCGGGAATTCTATAAGCACTATTATTATGAAAAGAAGACCTGGTAACGAGCGGCCCGCCACTCTTCGAATCACGAATAAAATTTTTGACATAAGCTACAACCTCGGGGTCTAGGATGTCTCCTTGTATTGTAGACACTCCCTTGAGTGCTTGGGCCGGGATAACATCAACGCCAAGGACCCGCCCATTTGGCTTAGTCCGGTTGACGGCCACCTACAAGAATTAGATAGGCGAAGGCAGAGACTGAGGTATAGAAATGACTGACTCACTTGGGACCAGGAGCCGGGGGCATATCCCTGTTGACTACTAAGCAGGTGAAGTTTGCCACGAGTGTGGTGTCATACCAGGTCGACAACAGTTTGCCCACTTCTAAAAACGTGATATTTTTGATCAATCTATTAACAGGGTTATTATTAGTCAATGTACATCGCAGTGAGAAAGGGATAAGTCAAACTACCTGTAGAAGCTTGAAGGCGGCACGGCTTTGCAAACCTTGCGCAGCTGCCTCCCTCGTAAAATGGTCCTTGAGTTGACGGGCTTGCCATCTTTTGGATGAAGACTGCCGTTTCAGAAAGAAAGGATAGCAAATACTAACGGGGTGAGACACTAATATAGTATAAGCCTTCCATGAGCGAAACATATTATCGCATACTCCAAGCTTTAGTATTATAATAGGTATGTGCCTGTTTTGGTTATTGTAGTAGCCGATCGCAATATTGACAGATCAAAGGTCAATGGTCTTGTATTGCGTTTATAAAAAATGCTGGGGGTTAAAATATATCGGCTTCAAAGTAGACGTACTAAAAACATAGCGTCTTTTTATAGTCTATCTGTTTAGTATTAAGCTTTATATCAACAGAAATCGCATCTCAGAGGAAAGAAAAGAACTTAGAAGTAGTATTGCTTTGGTACGGCAATGTATCTGTCATACATAATCATGGATATGCGTTTCTTTACTTTTTAGAGGTAAGTGTCGGAGGGGAAAACCTAAACCCGACTCCTGCACTACCGGTAACAGTACAGATTAGTGGACAACTAATACTCGCAGAGGTACTTCGTAAATCCAGATATAATCTCTCCAATCCATAATTCTACCTCTCTCTACATAGCTAGCACTTTTCCTACAACGGTTTTGTCATGTCAAAATGAGGCTTTCAACTCCAATAATTACCTTCCTCTGTATAGTATCATATGCTTTTGGTGCGACTCCAGAGCAGAGCAAGTTCGAAAAATATCAATCCCTGTCTCGCTTCAGGCCACTTGACTTGGACGATTCGACATATGAGGACCTTACTTCACAGCCACGGGACTATTATGTTGCCGTTATCCTAACAGCTACGGACGTGCGCTATGGATGTTCCTTATGTCGCGAGTTTCAGCCCGAGTGGGAGCTCATTGCACGAAGTTGGAACAAGGGTTCAGAGCCTGATGGACTTAAATTGCTTTTTGGTAGCCTTGACTTTAGCAATGGGAAGGCTACTTTTCAAAAGGTAAGTAAAAAATAATAAAGCACGCTATTGAATGATATCTCTCCTAATACGACTGGCTCTGAGAAAGTTGATGCTTCAAACTGCCCCTGTTCTCCTTGTCTTTCCCCCTACTCTCGGTGCATTTGCCAAAGTGGACGATGCACCCCTAAGATTTGATTTCAGTGGGTAAGTCTATGTGTACATTATATTTCGCCAAAATTGTGTTTATGCTAACTCTGGTAGACCGATCTCTGCAGACCAGTTGTACACTTGGATTAATCGGCATCTCCCCGAAGGGCCGAAGCCTCCTCTTGTCCGGCCCATAAATTACATAAGAATAGTTTGCGCTGTGACAATTTTGATGGGTACAGTGACTATGTTCAGCATTCTATCTCCTTATGTTCTCCCGATAATCCGGAACCGAAACCTGTGGGCTGCTTTCAGTCTGATAGCTATTCTGTTATTCACGAGTGGCCATATGTTTAATCATATTCGCAAAGTACCATATGTTGCCGGTGATGGCAAGGGTGGTATCAATTATTTTGCAGGTGGGTTTTCAAACCAGTTCGGGATGGAAACACAGATTATTGCTGCTATCTGTAAGTTTATAACTACATTATCTATACCCAAGAAAGAAAAGAACTGGAGAGGGAAAGAGTTTCTCCATAATTGCTTTGTACGAATGCTAATGAACTGTTAATCTCTAAGATGCTGTCCTTTCATTTGCAGCCATTGCGCTAGCAATGAAGGTCCCCCGCATCACAGATAGCAAAGCACAGCAAGTAGCCGCTATAATTTGGGGAACAGTGCTGCTTTGTATGTATAGCTTCCTCTTAAGTGTCTTCAAGGCAAAAAATGGTGGATATCCTTTCTTTCTGCCACCATTTTAGCTTCAACTTGTGTATGGTCTCTCAGGCTTGATGTATTTGCTCCTCTGGTGGAAACGCACAACCTAGAATGCTCAACATCAATAAATGGTGTATATTAGCTTCAGGTTAAATCGCTAACCAAAATAAGCCTTGATTTTTGTGTATATTAGAGAGCTAAAAGCAGCTGATTTGCTGCACTTTTCGAATCAGCCAAAGGGACTGAGCATGATACAGAGAGATGTTTGATCACTTAGTAAAGATTTATATAGTTAGCCGTTTTGCATATGCCGTAGTGCCTTCCACACCGCTCCCAAGTCGGATTAGTTAGTTCACAGAGTACATCCATCACTCCCTAACATGAATTATTGCCACCTCTTCTAAGCCACCTCCTAGGAGAATTAAAATACTAAAACACTCGGGATAATTCCACAGTGAATCCTATATGTATTCCCTCTCTAATAAAAAATAAACATACACACACCCACAGTGGCAGCAGCAGTTGGAGTACACTGTGTTAAGCATTATTGCAACAATGTCTCAGCCTGATGAGAATATTGGCCACATATTGGCTTCCTCAGCAACTAGCACCACGCTCTTGATCGCTATCCAGTTGGCTTCTAAGCTTTTTACTTTCATTTCAAACCAACTTATTCTGCGGAAGATATCTCCCGCAACTTTTGGAATTGCTGCTCGACTTGAGCTCTGTTCCATCTCGATACTATACCTCTCTAGAGAGAGTATTAGGATAGCGATTCAAAGACAACCTTTGGGGCCAGATGCAGCCGCTACGGTCAGTCCTGATGAGAAACGCGCTCAAAATGACTACCAAAAGATAAACGAAAAGGCAGAAGCGCGTTTTATCGCCTCTCAGTCAGTAGTGAACATGTCTTATTTGAGCGTTGGAATGGGAATTCCATTAGCTATGGCTTTTGCTACTTCCTACATGCAGTCTGCCTCTGAAAATCCCTCACAAGCACAATTCTATAAACTAAGCGTGATGATCACCACAATAGCATCACTTATGGAACTATGCACTGAACCTTTTTTTGCTGTAGTACAGCAGCATATGCTATACAAAAAGCGAGCAGCAGTTGAAATGGCTGCTGTATTTGTGAAGACACTCGCAGTCTGCGGTTCTGTGGTATGGGCTGCTTATGGAGATCGCAGTATCGGTGTCCTACCCTTTGCACTGGGTCATCTATGCTATTCGTTTGCTCTCATCTGCGGCTACTCCATAGCAATACTGAGGTTTAAAAGCCAATGTCCCTTTTCATTACTTCCTAAACGGATAAGTTCAAGGTACGCAGGCGACTTGGTTAAATAATTCAAGGTTCAGATATGATAACAGTACTTAGAGATGGCTCAGCCTACATATTTGGCAGGTTTCCGCGCCGATTGGTTGCATTGTGTGCAAATATTTTTCTTCCGACTTTTGTAAAATATTTGCTAACCGAAGGGGATTCGGTGATGCTAACCATGATGACAACAGGCCTGGAGGACCAAGGGATATACTCTCTGGCGTCCAACTACGGTGGTCTCATAGCGCGTATTCTTTTTCAGCCAATTGAAGAAAGCAGTCGGACTTTCTTCTCCTCCCTTCTGAACTCTAGAAAGTCGGGGGGGGAGAACTACGGTAGCATCAGCGTGGCCAAGATATATTTAACTGACATACTGCGAGCATACGGGCTCTTATCTATTTTGGTTCTGCCCTTGGGTCCATATTTGGTGCCTCGAGTGCTCCAGGTATTGGGCGGACAGAGATGGGCGTCCTCTGATGTCCATAGCCTGTTCTCCCTCTACTGTTATTATATACCGTTCCTGGCATTCAATGGTATAGCTGAGGCATTTGTCTCATCTGCAGCCAGCCCTTCGGAACTCCGAAGGCAAGCTGGCTGGATGGGTGTTTTTTCGGTATGCTTTGTTCTAGCAGCCTACTTGTTCTTGATAATCGGTGGCATGGGAGCCCGCGGAATAGTGTGGGCTAATATCGTTAATCTGGCGATCCGCATAGCATGGAGCTTCGTCTTCATTCGATCATACCTAAGTCGAAATAGGAGTAGCATAGCCCTCGGTGAGTTTGGCCTAAGGCCTTATACCCTTATTGCTGGGGCTATTGCATGGACAACATTAGCGGGGAAAAGGCATTATAATTTTAACTTCCATGAAATTGTGAACGACTTTGCAGTTTGTACTATGTATACTCTTCTAGTGTAAGTCAATCTCCACGGGCAAAGAAAAAGAAATCTAACAAATATACAGATTGTTTCTTGAAAGAAAATTTGTTAAAACACAAATCGACAAGGGCCGTCGAATTTTTGGTAGGAAAAATTCGGGACCGAAAATAAAGTAATACGAAATTCACTCGTCAAAAACTATCTTTGTCGCTGCCTTGCCAGAGTCAACATCTTTAAAAAATGCACCATAAGCGTCGTGTTGTTTCTTCTTAACAGTTGATCCAAATTTGAGAAGATCCTCCGGTACATCTTGCTTGGCGGCTTTCAGGACATTGATCAATCTGAAATACGTCAGTACATAACCATACATGGAAGCAATTGCCTTCCCTGATAGAGGTGATGGGGAACACATACGCCCCAGATTGGGCCTTATCAGTTTCTGTGAATAAAGTTATCGCATGACCCTCGGCGCCGGCGCGTCCAGTTCTAAAGAAAAGTCAGCCAGTTCATCAAGCATAAGACCATTTCACATACCTGCCAATCCGATGAACATAGTCCTCAACGGTGAGGGGAAATGTAACATTAATGACAAGTTTAACTGAAGGTATGTCGAGACCGCGAGCTGCCACATCAGTTGCAACAAGGACAGTAGCAGCTCCCGTTTTAAAAGCCTCCAAGCTCTTGAATCGTTCTTGCTGATTCAAATCACCGTGTATTCCAACAACTCTAAATCCCTTTGAGCGAAGTAGTCTTTCAATACGAACTGCTTCTTTCTTGTATAAACAAAAGGCCAAAACTTTTTCAGGAGCTGACACCCCTCGCTGGCATCGATTGAGCAACTGTACAAGTCTAGATTCTTTGTCTCGAGACTGCACCACTTCCACGACCTGTTTTATCCGCGTGTTCGCACGCGGATCCGCAGATGGATCTCCGCCAATTGTGACAGTCACAGCCGTATTCATGAAGGTAGACGCAAGATCTCTGACAACTGGAGGCCATGTTGCAGTAAACATAACAGTTTGGCGCCGGCTTGTGGGCATGGACCGAATGATGTCCCTTATATCCTGTTCAAAACCCTTATCCAGCATCCGATCCGCCTCATCCAAGACCAGGTACTTTACTTTCCCCAGGTCCACTGAGCCATCATTCTGGAGGTCCTTCAATCTACCAGGTGTCGCAACGACAACTGTCGCTTTTTTCAGACTCTCACGCTGCTCATCCTTTTTTACCCCGCCAAATATGCAAGCCAATTGAATATCCGTGTGCTCTGCAAATTTTAGGAGCTGGTCGTATATCTGCATCGCGAGCTCTCTAGTGGGAGAAATTATCACGGCCACTGGTTGAGCGGATCTCCGTTTTTTCTTTTTCCCGTAATCTTGTATCTTCTTTAAGCAAGGAAGACCGAAAGCAAGGGTCTTTCCACTTCCAGTTTCTGCAATGCCAATAACATCACGGCCGGCAAAAATAAATGGCCAGGTGGTCGACTGGATGGCTGTTGGCGAGGTAAACGACCTCAACGGCCCGTAAATGTCGCTATCACAGGGCGGAAGTTGTGAAAATGACAAGATCGGGCGAAAAGCCTCATTTCCAATAGTTATATCAGTTATCTTAATAGTATTTTTCTCCATGAACTCATCAATTTCAGATTGGGACACGTTGCCTTCTGGCGCGAATGATTGAGAAAGGTCATGAATGTGTCCTTGCTGAGGCTTCACATTCTTTTGTTTTGGGTACCTTTCAGTTTTGGACTTTTTCTTTGGCCTCGTCTCAAGACCCTCCTTATTTTCACAGTCATGTTTCGCCATGTTGCTGCCCTTTATATGTTAGTAAATTGGTAAAGAGAAATTTGCTTCGGCAGATAAATTTATTTTTTTTTTTTTTTTTGTTTTTTTGGGTTTTTCCGTCCGGAGTTCAATTTAGTAATTCGAAATGCGTTTGGGCATGCTTACCTAAACTACTCCATAGTTACTTTAACTACTCCGGATAGCCATACTATGTAAGGCAGTCCACGGACTACGTAGGACAAAGTTCCAAGGAAAGATGTCTGCTATTCTGACGCCTGAGGTTCCTATTCTGCATGTATATATGAAACGGAGATATATCCGCCTTAGGCAAAGTACACAGCGTGCCTAAAGAAACCTCTTGTTCCACAAGAGAACATTAAAGGGTTCTGTAGTTTCCAAGACCGCTAGCCTGTAAGATTAATAGTTATAGTAATAACAACCTACCCAAGCTACATAAATGATTGTATGGTTAAGGGCAGGATATAGTGAAGAACAGTCAAGAAAACCAGTATCAGGTATCTAGGATAATCACCCCACCCCCAACCTCAAACACTATAGCTTTCTATTATCCCTGCAAGGCGTGTGGCCTCTTCGGAGTAGTTGATTGGACTTGCAGATGATACTTGATAGCGGATACTAGAGGTATCAAATTGTTAGCACATATATCTTGTATCTACCATAAGGAATATTCTCACCGTTGCTGATCACCAAAATGATCAATCTTAGCTCTGCATCTGAAGTTCCAGGTCCGGCAATTGGCCTCCTGAAATATATCCTCAATTGCCTTTTCATCATCGTTCTGACGCAGCTGCATCAAATGGTCCGCAGGGGCGGCCATCATCGACCTCCCCACTTCATCGAAACAACTAAGCCAAAGATGTCCAGTATGGTCGCTGACGTTAATGAGCATTATATAACGATACTCAGGTCTGGGGTATGTTTTATCACAACGCTCACACCGCCACTGGCCAGGATCAAGTTCTGTCACCTTTTTGTTGCAGCCGTCAGAGGGGCATGCGGGGTAACACATGTTATCCTGCCTAATAAAGATCACAGTTGCTTTCAGTGAGAAGTAAACCGCATCCTCGGACATCCCCAACTGCTCTTCCCGGACCTGGGCTATAGTCTTCAACTGATCGGGTCTTTTCATAGACGTTGCTGCACCGAGCATGGAAGCATGCGAGGTAAAGGCCTCAACTCTGCCTTGCGAATCATACCACCCCTTCAATTTATGGGCTTCTTCAATATCGGGGTCTACTGTCATTGAACCCGAACTCAACAAACTCAGGCTTCTTCCTCCAAAATCGGATACTTTCACACCTTTAAATGCCACCACGGACTCAGGTGCACAATTAAAATTAAGTGCTGTTGATCCCCATATAGTCAAGCGTACAGAGAACGCCGTGGTATCCACTAGGGTGAGTTCGCGCTTGTTATATGGCTTATTCGTTGTCTTTGATACAATCTGGGAAGTCTCCCCAATCTCCTTTAGTACCCCAATCACGTCAATGGTGGTATCCTTTTCAACAGATTGGAGATCACCTATAGCAGTGAAATTGAACCGAACTTGTGGGACATCACTTTGATCTTCTGCCTAAAAAAAAGTCAGTCCAAACTAGATACTGCATTGCGCAAAATCAAACTAACCTTCTCAACAATTGTGTCCCTTTCAAATGTAAGCTCATAGTCATTCTTCAGATTTGTAAATTGCTTCTTGGCAATCTGAACACGACAGGGGCTAGAGATATAGTAAACACTTCCCTCCTGGAACATATTATATAGCATATCACACTGGTCATTAAAGCCTGTTGCACGAATCTCACCACTATCATCCAGCAAATTAACGCTGAAAAGTTTACCTTCCCCATTTCTGTTGTGCCAGGTTTTAATATTCGACTTGCTTGTGCAGCGCGCTTTGATAGTCCACTTATGGGCATACGGAGAAATCGCCTCAATGGGGTATATTGTTGCATGCCCTGAAACTGCAGCTGCCCGTGTCACAGGTGCTCGACTATTTCCTTGAATCTGCGCGCCTTGGATACTAGAACCATAGAAACCGTTACTAGAAATTGTTGTAGGCTGGGGTTTTTCGTCATCGTCTGCTTTGCTTTCGAGTGGCTTAGGCTCTCCAATCTTTTCCGCTTCGCCTAATTCTTGCAAAACGTCAAGGTCTAGGATTATAAGAATCCTGAGACGGTTAGCGAGGGACTAGTCATCTTTGCATGAATAAAACAAAACCAACTTTTTGCCTTTCACCGAGTTTGCCTGGAAAGCTTTAAGCCTGACAAAACAGCCCTTGCGAAGAAGACCACTTGTAACAAATGGATTGGCCTCTAGTGTATACAATCATATGTTAGCAATTCTATAGAAAAGTAGCATTTGTAAAAATGCTTTAACATTCAACAGCTACTTACGCGTTGCAAGCATTGTTTGCACGTAGTTAGAAATATCACTAAATACGGCCCTGTACCGCTCTGGGTGATTTTGTTGAGGTGGCAATGGCTTGATTTGAACACACTGAACAATAGGTTCTGGAGTTTGAGGTTTGGTTTCATCAAAAATTGCACTTAACAATAATTAACTATAGGACACTTAAATATTATCCAGTGCAGACATACCTGAGTGCACCAACAGTGATTTGGGATGCTGCTTCTGAGGTCATTGTGATTGGATCCTCCTATAAACAGCTGTTGGATTCTGTTCAGCGGAAAAAAAAAAAGTACCTAATGTATGAAGAAGAGTAGATTTAATAGAGGCTACTTATAGTCCCTAATTCTTGGTGTTTCTTTGTTGACAATTATGATGGACAAAGTTAGGTATCATAGATCATAGTTAGCGCGTGTAGAAGTACAGAGTAGTGTCTTAACATAATTACGCGACTACGACGCGTCAAATGATTCATAGCATCCCCACTCACACCGCCTTAGGATATGGGCAGAATGAAACTATTAAAAAAAAAAATACCACAAGGATAAAATGCAGTTAGACAACTTCACCTGCAGTGTTGCTATAAAACTAATAATATATAGCTAACTCTTGAAAAATAAGTTTTAACATTATTATTTAATGCTTATACATATAGATATTACAAAAGGTTCAAGAACCAAATGCTCTTAAGCAGAGATTGGCTGTTTGTTCAGAGTAAAATTTATAAAAACTCAGCTACTATAGGAACATAAAACAAAGGTGTGGTTGAATGTCGATTACCTATTGACATAGAGTACTTTTTACACTTTTTAGAGTACGGGCAGACAGAGAATCACATTGAGCCGGAGTTCTTAACCTAATATATTACAATTACCACCCAGTACCCCACCACCTGCCTGCACTACAATGTAACTTACCCCACGTCTTTCTGCCTATGGCCCGATAATTATGTCCACACTTTTTGTCTGGGTAAACTACAATAGCTTCCTAAATATCACATCTACAAAGACCGGATTAACTTACCCTATATGCTACTAACCTTCACATTACCTTCCTCTCTCAAGAAGTAAGATAATTTTACGCCTTATTTTTTCTTGTAATCTCAAGATGGGTTCTTGTCTCCATGTTGATTCTAAAGGTCAGTTGGGCAATGCATGACCTCCCTTATCATCTTATATATATTAATATCACCCCTTATCAGATCTTGAAAAGCCGTCCGCCTCACAGTCTGTATACCGTGAAGATTGTACACAATGCTTTGATTCTATAGTTTGTTTTTCCCCCTATTTAGGAATACCCACCTAATATATGACTAGGACAGCGAAGCTGGTCTAAATGTTTGCCTCACTTGCTTTAATGGCGGCTGTGCTGGAGAAAGAAACCATGGTCAACTTCACTTTAAACGCTTTGGTCACCCTCTAGCCCTCAATATTAAGAGGCACCAAAAGAATGTTCAGGTGGGTTAAATAGCAGTCTTAACAACCTTTGCAGCTTTGAAAGCTAACGAGACAGGTAATAGAGAGATGAACCACCACAAAAAATGTCAAAACTTGCAATAACTGCAGAGACAGAGGAAGATCGTTATGACACTATCACACGGGTTATATGCTATTCTTGCCTCTGTAATGATGTTGATAAATCTAGTGGCAGACTACCAGCTCTGATAGAGGGTGTGATGAATGCAATGACTTTTGCGAAGAGGGAAGAGGTTAAGGCTTGGGAACAAGAGTTTGTGCCTTGCGAACATGTTCTCTATTTAAACCAGCGCGAGCCTAGACAAATCAAATCACAAGGTACTCCCTACTTCCCATCCTCCCAACAAATTCTCTCATGTTGATGCCCCGATGGTTCAACTGCTCACAGAAAAATGTAGGTCTCAGCCAATGTTCCATGTGCAATCTCAAAGAAAACCTCTGGCTCTGCTTAGAGTGTGGCAATCTTGGTTGTGGACGCAGTCAGTTTGGTGGAATAGGAGGAAACTCACATGCACTGGCACATTCAGATTTGGCTTCGCATGCGGTTGCAGTGAAACTCGGTTCAATAACTGCCGATGGCTCAGCCGATATCTACTGTTATACATGCAACGAGGAGAGAATTGATCCTGATCTTGGGACTCATCTTGCTCATTGGGGAATCAACTTGACAGGGTGTGAAAAAACCGAGAAAAGTTTAATGGAAATGCAAGTTGACTACAATTTGAAATGGGATTTCTCAATGACAACTGGGGATGGCCACGAGCTTACCCCCGTCTTTGGACCAGGTTTCACGGGGTTGGCTAATTTGGGGAATAGCTGCTATCTCTCGAGTGTCCTACAATGTCTTTTTGACCTACCGGAATTTCAGCGCAGGTATTATCGGGAAAATGATGAGCCGCCATTTACTCCAACCCCGGCAGAAGATCTTGAAACACAGATAAGAAAGCTTGCTGATGGCATACTCTCTGGCCGTTATTCTCTGCCTGACAATACTGCCGTTGCAACACCTGATTCACCCAAAGTCTCACATCAGAGAAGCTTAGTGCCGACTATGTTCAAACACCTTGTCGGTCGTGGCCACGAAGAATTTTCCACTATGAGGCAACAGGATGCTTTCGAGTTTTTGCTTCACATCTTTAAAACTATTAATTTGTCGAAACACCCGCAAGGATTGGAGAACCCTATCAAATATTTCAGTTTCGCTATGGAGCAACGCATTCAATGCCTGTCCTGCAAGAGGGTTCGCTATAAGGTGGATGAACAAGACAACGTTTCTATCCCTGTCCCTGCGCGTCGTTTGGCTCCACCAAACGAGCCATCTGTCGGTCAGTTCGCACCAGTGGGGTTTTATGAGTGCTTGGACGCTTTCACCGCTGAAGAGAAAGTCGAGCTTGTCTGTCCTTGTTGTGGCAGCGAGGATGGCTTCATTAAACGGTCTAAGTTCAGATCACTGCCGCTGCAACTGGTCGTGAACGCTCGACGATTTGAACTAATCGACTGGGTCCCTACTAAGTTAGACATCCCAGTGGAAGTGAGCGAAGGCTCATTGGACTTTAGCACTTATATTTCCTCGGGCCAAAAGCCGGGTGAAGAGTTGCTCCCTGATATGGATGATTATGCTGAAGTATTCATACCTAACGAGATTGCTATGGATCAGCTCCTTGGTATGGGATTCCCTAGAGCAAGATGTGAAAAGGCACTTCATATGACTGGCAATTCCGATTCAGAAGCTGCATTGAATTGGTTGTTCGCTCATTTAGAGGACGAAGATATTGATGAACCGATTAGAATTGGACAGGTAGGAAGTATGTTGGATTCACCACTCAATGCTGGGAAGGTGGCACAGCTAGGTGAAATGGGAATTGAAGAATCTCATGCAAAAAAGGCATTGGAAGCCACTGGGGGTGATATCGACAGGGCTCTTGATTGGGTTTTTAGTCATCCAAATAATGATGATGATAGGAGCCGTCAACCCGACGCCGCTTCTAGCAACCATCTGCGCAATCTTGGTTTTGAGTCTACCCCAGCAAATTATCAGCTTCGTGCAATTGTGTGTCACAAGGGCTCCTCAGTACACGCAGGGTAAGACTATCTTCATCCATCTTGTGGTTGCTCACTAATATCTGGTAGACACTATGTTGCTTTCATAAGAAAAACTCTGCCTGGAGAAGGTGAACCGTCTTGGGTGATGTTTAATGATGAAAAAGTGGTAAAGGTTGATGATATACAAGAGATAAAGAGGTTTGCCTATCTGTATTTTTTTACCCGTATTTAGGTAGAACTAAATGTCATCGCTATATGGCCACATCTAGAGGGGAAAGGTGCTAGAATTCCTACAATCTCTTGCCTGTCCACTGTATTTACAGATTTCTGAAATAACTATGCAGCTATTATTATCTTAGGGGACAATACATGCAGGCCATATCGCCGTTTATACGGCCAAATAATGATATGAAATGTCTCTAATTAGTCTATTTTCTATTACTTACGGCCGACAATATTCTTCATTTCGGTGGGTCCTATACCAATCTATAGTGTACATGTAAGATGTAAAAGGCTGGAGTCCGTTTGACTTCTCGGGCCCATTACCCCATTGACACCATTCTCCCTGTCAGGCTTGGCAGTGATTAAACCGACCGTTTTACTGTATTTAAACATAGGATAAGGTTAAAATACAAATATTACACAAAATCACTGTAATCAAAATCGAAAATGATCGGATTAATCATTGCCAAGCCTGCTCCTTATTGTCTCCACAGGCTCCATAGCCCGGGCCTACAGGCCCTGTTAGCTCTTAATAATTTATACTATAAAATTTTTTCCATTTTCCCCCTTCTCGTTTTCTTTTTTAATATTTTCTTTTCACGTTATCATATATAGCGTAATATATAGGTTCTACGGGTTCAGCCCCTGATATTAGGAAATATTTATGTTACTTCCTTTATATTGAAATGGCACAGAACGGAAAAGACGAAAAAGTGTAAAACACGCAAAGCTCAGAGGAAGAACACAATTTCACTGATTAGTGTGTAGATGAAGATTGAAGGTTGAAGGTGGACAAGGTCAAATGTTCGAAGCATGGACGAATAAAGTAGGGTAACTGCTAAGAACCACTTATACAGTTCTAACCCGTATGAGCATGCAATGGCTTTTTACAAAATAAGGTCACCCTTAACCACTACTAACTGGATACATAATAAAGGAAGTATATTAAGTAAGAGATTAAGTAAATTATACTGTAAAACAATTTAGTATAACAAGGGATAGTAGTAATTTAAAAAAAAAAAAAAAAATAGGAAATAAAAAACACCTCATTAATATTACTATTAATCTTAGGCCTAGACTAATAAAGGTATATTAATAGTCGAACACTTGTACTTTTTAATAAGCTTGTTAGTAGTAACCTAATATTTTTAGTATAGATTTATTAATTATTTTCTAGACTATATCCGCGCCAGTGTACTAAATACTTAGTAAATAATATTATTTTTTAGCCTTTCCTAACAGTGTGCTTGTCTAGGATTCTTTTTATTTTATAATAATCTGCCTGTTTAGGGAAATATTTATTAAACACCAGTGGTGGTTTTAGCAGGGTTTTTTAAAAATAAATTACTAGTTTTTGCAGGCTTAAGTTATATAACTAAAACTACTAGATAAATCTTCTATTTTAAAGATAATTTTAATTAATAGGATAAATATCTGTTGGAAATAGGAGCCTAATATATCAGGCACCAATTACTACTGCAAAATATCAGCAAAACTATGGAAAAATTATGAGTCATAATTTATGTCACAGAAAACTATAAAATATTTAATCTATTTTTATAAGATTTTATAAGAAATTAATTAGCTATATAACTCTGTTAATTTTAAAGCAAGTCATACCTGAACTTTAATATTAATTTATTTACCCAAAAAGGAAACTAAAATGCGAATATAAGAGCAGGTCTTTTAAAAGTAATTTTTATAATAATAAGACAAGCAATTTAATCTATTTATTCTTTAATATATTATTATTATAAGAATATAAGAATCTATTAAAAATATTACTAATATTTACTATATCTTACTTCCCCTACTGCCTCCCTTTAACAGTTATCTTACTTATTCTTTTCTTCTTATATCTTATTATTTAACCTGCTAAATACCTATATTATTTAATATACCTTCCCAAATTGCTTTACTATTTTAAATTTATAAAGGTGTTTTATATATAGGACAAACTATATTATACCTATTAGTATTAATATCAAGCAGGTTAATATTAATACCATATAGATTTAACTAAGGTGTCAACAATTTTATCAAGCTAACTGGCTATTATAGTTTAATAATATCAGGATTATTACTTAAAATAAGGGTGTTTGGGATTATATAGATCCTAATATAGGTATTAAACCAAATATACTAAAAAGCCTTAGTACCCTAATATTTTAAATATTAATAAAAGGGCTAGTTTAGTACTAGACCTTAATACTAAAAAGTGTAACCTATAGTATAATACTATTTATATAATATAAAATCTAAGAAATATAATTAAATAATTAATAGTATTTCTATATACTATTAATTATTACCAATTTAATGTCCTATAATAATAAGCAAGCTATTATAGGAAATAATTCGTTAAATATATTATTAATATTAAAATCTAAAATAGCACCTTTTAATAAATCCTAAAACAGGCATATTATTTAAAAATATTATATAATTTAAAAAGCATCTCGAGTTGGCTTTATTAAATCATGGATTTCCCAATGGGAAAGTATCTATACTAAAGTAATAGAGCTAAATATAGGTAAATTTTATGTAAAACCTTTCTATAATTTTATTAAAGCTACTTTAATTATTTTACCGAATTTTGCAGAATTATGGAAGGATAAGCTAATAAAAAAAAAAAAAAAAAAAAACCTTTACTCTTCTAAATAACTAAAAGATTTAGGAATTCGATTAAACTAAACTAACCAAAAGCCTTTAAAACATCTAAATATTGCTTAGGTAATATATAAAGATAATAATTATACTATGCAAAGGCCTTGTCCGTGTAATTTAAAGCTAAATAATAGTTACTATTATTTTAACAAATAAAAATATATCCAGCAATTAGCTTGACAAGATATTAACCCAAATGTTTAAAAATAATTTAATAATACTTATAATAAAAGTAAAAAGTTTAAAACTGCCTTTAAAAGGGCTTTATTAAAAGTAAAATCAGCAAATTAAAATCCTGAACTAAAAATAGTCTAGAAAATTTATTAAAAAGCTTATAGACTTTTAATACTGCTTTAAATATCTATATTTGCAATTCTAGATTAAAATTATATAATTTTTACCTAATAAAATTAATATCTTATATTAAAATTAGGGATATTTTTACAGAAATTAAAAGCACTGGTATAGTATATATTTCCCCCTTAAAATTATTAAAAGAAAATATATAGTTTAAGCTTTTAAATACTGTACATATTCTTAACTTTTATATTTAGTCTCTGTATTAAAAGCGAAGGCTGCAGGACTATATTATAATACTTAAAATAATTAGCTTAAAATATAATTAAAAGCCTGTCTATATGTTAAAAGACTAATTAGGAATTTCCTTAATTAAATAGGATAATTTAACTTAGAATAATTAAAATAATTAATTATTTATAACTTACAGAACCTCTAACTAATATTAAAAACAGCTTCTATATATATATAGCACCAAATCTTGGGCACCCTAGTAAAAAGGTTATAAGTGTATTTAGAAAATGCAGTAAATAAGAACTATCCTATATATAATATATTAAAAATAAAAAAGCAAATATTAAAAAGATATATTAATATAGGCTAATTACTATTTAATTTACTAGGATATAGTTTAAATTAAATATATAGTAGGGATTTATATATCTCACATACTTATAACCCAGTGACTTATATTTAGGGATAATATTAACCTAAAAATATTAAATTCATTAATTTATTTAATATATTTTAAAAAATATATTAAAAACCAATTTAAAATATAAGTTAAATTCTATTCAGATAGTAACAGAAATCTTGTGTTAATTTTTAGTAAGTTTTGTTAAGACAAAGGTATAATTTATAAAAAGTTACTACCTAAACAGCCTAAATAAAATCTATATAGATATAGAAAGAGCTGGTGCTTTAATTATTAATAAAGATTATTAATAAATTCTATAAATTTACCTAAAGCCCTATAGCTAAAAGTGATTAAATTAGCTATATATATTCTAAATCAGACTCCTACTAAGATATAAAACCTTATATAAAAAATTACCTAAAAACCTGGGTATATAACCCAGAAACCATCTATTTTAAATCTAAAGGTCTATAGTTACAAAGCCTATACCTGAATTTTATATATACCTAGACTTAAAAAACTCAGTCCTAGGGTATATATATATAGGGTTTCTAGTAGGCTATATTACCTCTAATATATAAAAAATATAGATTCCTACCTAAAATAGGATTATTTTAGCTAGAGTTTATATTTTTAATAAAAATTAAATTTTATAACTTAGAATATGCTAATAATTTAATTAATAAAAATATTTAAAAACCTCTAGAAAGCCTTTCTAGAGATAAATTTCAGCAAGTTATTAAAAATATTATTATACTAAATAATTAAATTAATAACAATAAACACATGGATCTTGATAAAAATTATTTTTATAATTAAAATATTAAAAATAATAAACCTTAAGAACCTAAATATAATTAAAATATTTAAAATAACTAAATTCTTGGTAATTAACCTATATTACTATTATATACAATACTAATAGTATTAATTAATAACTTATGTTTTCAAGACTTAAATATATTAAGAAAACTCTGAAAATAATAATTAAAATGTTAAAATTTAAGATAATTATTAATATACTAATATAAATCAGGCATTAGGTTCTAAGTATAATAAAACCCCATTACCTGACTTTTTGTTAAAAAGGCATAAATTATTTTTTAAAGCCTTTTTTACAGCTTTATATTAAAAAAGAAAATTTATTAAGATCTACCAAACCTACCAAAAAATTTATTAGAAAAGAACTCTTAGACCATCCTTTAAAAAACAGGTTTATT